ATGTCCCCGGCATCGGTTTGGCAACAGATTGCTTCACCGGAGAGGAAGCAAGAGGGGTATCATCATCTTCACTGGACGAGTCAAGTGCAGCAGCTCGCTTGCGCCGCAAAGACTTTGCTGGAGTTGCAGGTTCGGATTTTGGAACCGTGACTTGGGACTGCGCAAATAGTCAACGATGTACGCAGCATATGGACAGGGGTACACGAACCAAAGGCATGTCCTCGTCCTCGCTCATGGAGGAGTCACTAGCTTTCTCTTGAGCGTGTCCATTCCCGCCGACTCTAGCTTGCTTGGCCTTGCCATCGTTTTGGAGTGAGCCAAGTGGTCGGTCGTCATCTGAAGACATATAGGCATCGCTAGACATTATTTGAAGCGAGAATTTAGCGCGAATAGCAAAGAAGTGTCTATGTAGCAATACAGAGAAATAAGAAAGCAAGAAGAACAGTGGAAATGAAGGACAAGAAGGCCTCTCCCGCGCTGTGGCAGTTGTTGATTTTTCCGAAGTCTTGATGGACCGGCCCTAAGCATCAAAATCACATGACCACTTGATCCTGAGCACGACGCTTTCGGACTCGGAATCACAGCTGAACAAGCCGAAAACAAACGAATACCCAAGTAAGTTGAACATGTCATTCAATAACATTTGAACTTATGATGAGCTTCATCTGCGGTCCAGCCATGTCCAATCCACCTTTGTTCCGTGACCCTTGGGCGAAGAGGGAAGCGTGGCGGAAACACCCTGTGTTCTCGAACCGTGCCATGTTTTCTAGCATGTTTCCAGGGCTTGGCATTGCACTAGTAGCGTTTACCGCGTATGTGGTAGTCGATAATTTCTACTCCAAAGCGCAGCCAGGGGCACAGCAGAAACACTGAGTTGCTTCGGGTGATGTTGGTAAGTGACAGCAGTAAGTTGTCTATTCGTCCACTAACGTCTAACTCCCGGATAGAAAGGAATCAACTGGCGCTTTTCACATCCCATAATCTGGTTGAGTCCGCGCCCAGTAGCATAGTGTTTGCCACATCGTACAGACAATGTCGCGCCATTGTCATTGCCACACGCCAGGGATGATTTGCCAATTTGTTTATTCTGTCTCCTCATCAAACCTGCTTCTATAATCAACGGCGATAGCTCTTTCTACGCAAAGAACCGTCCCAAAGCAATCGGGTTGAACGTTGAGCCATTTGTATTCTGTATTGCTTGTTGTAAATGCTTAACTGTGCCCTTTTTCTTCACTTTCAACATCTAAAGTGTATCGTACACATGCCTTGATGATACAACTTTCATTCCTGTTCTGATCGGTGGGAGGCCGAATGTCCTTCTGCCGCTTTGACATATTTCAAGGATTTTCTGCTGCTTAGTGGAAGTAGTAATCTGACGTTCAACACTGCCCGATTCACCTTCTATGCGGGTGTAAATACAAAAGGCTGTGGCATCGCATCTTCTATTCCCCACCTCTGTTCTGAAAGCTGGTAGTCGCTCGGGTGGGTCAAGTATACTTGCTAATCACCACCAGAAAATACAGGTCACTCATGTTCATCTTACAGCCGATGTGGACGGGAGCAAACTTATGTCCCAACGAATGGGAATAAGTCAATGGGCTCACACAATACACAGGCGCTGCATCATATCTTGAGGCATTAGGTTTAAGGAGGACTTAGTATTCCTCATAAACAAACAGGTTCCTATAGACGCCAGTATGAATCAGAGCGCAGGAATATTCTGAGTAAGGTGACAGCTGCAGCTCAACAAGCAGAAGGGAACACCCCCTTCAACCTTACGGGCTCACTTAGGCTCGTTGTACCATGTAATGACGACAAGATAGACGCCGTCGGCGCACTTTCTACTTCCCCCCTTTAGCTTCCCAAGCTGATTGTGGTATTTGGTATGGGTCCTTTGATTCGAGTGATGCTTGCTTATTGATGCAGTTGGACTTAGGGAAGATGACTTAATATCGTGCCTTGGACCTCGCCAGTGACGAAGATATAAAATTCGCTGCAGCACTAAGTTGAGCCAGACTGCACCAGCAGGGCCAGCCCACGAGAGTCCAGACGAGAGATTAATGGGCGTTGTTTTGGTCTATTGTCCGAAGGCTTCCAGGAATTTCCTTATTCGAAGGCTTCCTTTGCACCATATGTTGGAAGTCAGACCTGATATATAGGCCTGATAATCGAAGGATGTAGGTTACCTGCAGTCAGTCTCCCGAAATGAAATGCAACGAAACCAGGCCCGACTGCAGGATTCTCAGTGCCGTGGTACCATGTATGAACGTGTAATCCGGGCAATGCTTGCCGGTAGCAACAAAAATCACATCGTCCCACTGGCTTTCACTGGTGAGCGAGAAAAGCCCTCCAATGGCTGAATTTTCCAAGAATCTGTGAGTGGTTTTAATGGTTGTGCGCGATCTACCAATGAGAACGTTTCGGTTCCGATAAGTTCTCACGATTGCGATGCGATGGGTATTGGAAGCAAAACTGACGTATATAAGGTGGCAGCATATGTGGAAGATCTGAGACATACCTTTCCTCCTAAAGGCCTTACCCACCACCATATTGTTATTATGAGCGGAAGACTAGCTTCAGGTATGTCCATCAACACTTTATCTTATCCCGCGTTGCACTCACCCGCGATCCTGCAATCAGAGTACAGTGCCTGGAAGAAGCTCCAGCAGACGTATGATGCCGAACACGCCAGGCTCATCCTGAAGGACCTTTTCGCTCAGGACCCCAACCGTTTCTCAAATTTCTCCGACGAGTATGTCGACCAAACCGACAAGAACACGACGTTCTTGCTCGATTACTCTAAACACCTCATTACCAAACCCATCTTAGATACGCTCCTATCCCTTGCTCGCGAGGCAGAGCTTGAGACCTACCGTGACAAAATGTTTGCTGGCGAGCACATCAACACATCAGAAGATCGCGCAGTCCTTCATGTTGCTCTTCGTAACTTCGACGATTTCAAGATCCAGGAGGCTGGTGTCGATGAAGTCGCTAGCGTACTTGCGCACATGAAGGAGTTCTCCGAAGCAATCCGGAGTGGCTCATGGAAGGGCTACACCGGAAAGACAATCAACACGATCGTCAATATCGGTATTGGTGGTTCTGATCTCGGACCAGTTATGGTCACCGAGGCACTCCAGCCTTACGCGAAACGTGACTTAACCGCCTACTTTGTCTCTAATATTGATGGAACCCACATCGCCGAGACTCTTAGACTCTGCGATCCCGAGCGCACCCTCTTCATCATCGCCTCCAAAACCTTTACCACCCAAGAGACTATCACCAATGCCGAATCCGCTCGCGATTGGTTTTTAGCGACATCCAAGGACAAGGCACACGTTGCAAAGCACTTCGTCGCCCTCAGTACGAACACACAGGCTGTCACTGCGTTTGGCATTGACAAGGCAAACATGTTTGCCTTCTGGGACTGGGTTGGTGGGCGCTACAGCCTGTGGAGTGCCATAGGCTTGTCCATCGCCATTTATATTGGCTATGATAACTTCGAGCAACTTCTCAAGGGCGCTCACGGTATGGACAAGCATTTCAAGGAGACTCCCCTGGAGAAAAACCTTCCCGTGCTCATGGCCGTTATCGGTATCTGGTATAACGACTTTTATGGTGCCCAGACGCACGCACTCCTGCCGTACGACCAGTACCTCCACAAGTTCGCAGATTACTTCCAGCAAGGAGACATGGAGTCTAATGGAAAGTTCGTTACCAAGGGTGGTCAACGTGTTAACTACCAGACAGGAGTAAGTGCAATAGAACCATTTGCACGACAGAAACTAACATGATCTCGCACGCAGCCCATCATCTGGGGTGCTGCAGGCACTAACGGACAACATTCATTCTATCAGCTAGTGCACCAGGGCACGAAACTTATCCCCGCAGATTTCATTGCCCCTGCCACAAGTCACAACCCCATCGCGAATTCCAAGCATCACCGTATTTTACTCTCCAACTATTTCGCCCAGCCTGAAGCGCTTGCCTTTGGTAAGACAGAGGAGGAAGTGCGCAAGGAAGTTGGCAGCGGTGCAAGCGAAGCGCTCGTGAAGAGCAAGGTGTTTGAGGGAAACAGGCCTAGCAACAGCATTTTGTTCCCGCTGATGACTCCCAGAACCCTCGGTGCGCTCATCGCGCTGTATGAGCACAAGATCTTCACCCAGGGTGTTATCTGGGGTATCAATTCATTCGGTAGGAATGCGCGCAGTTGGCAGTTTCTCGTTCGCTGAATGGGTTTTGTAGATCAAATGGGTGTTGAACTTGGAAAAGTTCTTGCGAAGAATATTTTATCGCAGCTGGGCCACCCGTCCGATGTGACTGGCCATGACAGTTCGGTGCGTTTATCTTTTTACTAGGCTTCGTTTGTTAGCTGAGACAAAATCGGTCTGCAGACTACTGGTCTTATTCACTACTACCAAAAGCACCGAAAAGAATGAATCGCGGTGCCGAGGCTGTAATATTGAGTGTAGATCGGAAAATAGTACATGGATATCCTTGCCATTTCTCGATAATAGTATTTGAATATTTACTATAGGATTGTAATCTTAAAAGCGCTTATAGATAAGAGATAGGCCTCAGCTTTACATAAACATCAAATGACTTCGAACGCATGAGGTTGCAAAGTGCCAAGGAAGCTTCCACATAAGGAAATTCCTGGAAGCCTTTGGACAATAGACCAAAACAACGTCCACTAGTAATCTCTTTTCTGGACTCTCATGCGCTGGCCCTGCTGGCAGTCTGGCGCAACTTCGTGCTGCCGCGAATTTTAATATCAATGCAGACCAGGCGTTATGCGTGCAGTTTCATGTCTTTGGCCACGATCGCGATGAACAAAGTGACACGTGGATCGTCCGGGTCGATATGGCTGTCTCAAAGCTGATATCGGTGATGTATCTTGATGTTCCTCATCCACAGCATAGCTGTTGACATCCAGTACAGAGCATGCTGTCCTGAGCTCGCATTATAATGAGAGATTACGGGCTGTGTGCTCTCTGTTACATCGCCAGGTAGCTCGTAGTGTCTTCATGTAGGCGTTAATGTCAAAAACCACGAGTTTCATCTGAAAAAAGTATTTTGGTGTGCTTTGAGTGGCTCTATATGTTTTTTTGCCCTCTCATTCTAGGTAAGAACTAAGATACAACGGGCAGCGAAGGTAAGTGTCTATACACGTTTACGAATAAAAATGCAACTGACCCCACAGAAATACCTCTATGATGCTATGCGTCATCATCACACAACTCTCCGCTATAATATGTCAGCGATCCTGTTGTGCTCTAGGTCGCTTGCCGCTGTCCTAAGGGAGTACCACTGCACAAGCTCATCTTCGTGGATGAGACTCCGCGAGAATGCAGTGCCCGATTCTTGGAATCTTGTCGGAGATGTACTGTTGCACATGTAACGTCATAGTGAAGAAGCACGGTACTTGCCTGATCGTCACACGTGTCCAGGTCTACAAAGCATGAGCTCCGTGTCGTGGAAGGTGTTTGTGCTTGTGCATCGATACACAAATGGTGCCGCAAACGGAAGTAACGCAGGCCACAGGTGCGTTTCCTCCGGTGGATGATCCACAAACACTTGCCTTTTTTGACATGTTGTTGCGGCACAATGCGAAACTAATGCCACAATGCGTTCCACAATATGCATCCAGAAACGTGACTGACTTTGTGAGGGTTAAAAGCCGACACTCTTCTCTCCTACACTTCTCTCATCTTCTTTACTTTCCACTCAATCTTGACATCTTGTCCACTTCATATAACTGTTCAACATGTCTCTGTAAGTCTACTCACATGTCACCTCGGTATCTTCATATGCTAACAATGTCTCCCGCATTTAGCCCATCGTTGATCTTTGATGTGTTCTGGGATAGGTTGGTGTTCAATCTCGAGTTGAGTGACGCAGTCCATCTGATAAGTTCCTTAGCGACTCTGCAGTCGGCGATAACTCACGAGCCATTGCCGAACGGTATGGGTATGTGATTCTACCTCATCCAAAACATCAATTCAAACTCACGGCCTTTAGCAGTTGGGATCGCATCTGCATGAACTTAAATTTCGAGCGCCATCCATGGCAAGTCGCTCCTCAAATGTAAGCAAAGCTAACCAACCCGCCTGATTTTATCTGATGATTTTCTTAGCCGCTCTATCCCTATTGCAAACCACCCTCCTCCATCCCCTGGCCACTCCAAGGGAGGAAACATTCCTACCGATGCTGATATTTTCGCGACCTCTGAACTCGGCGATGACTCACGAGCCATTGCCGAACGGTATGTGATTCTACCTCATCCGAAACATCAACTCAAACTCACGGCCTTTGGAAGTCGGGATCGCGCCTGCATGGAATCAAAGATCGAGTGCCCTGTGACACTGGCAGCTAACGAAACCGCGCTGGCAGTTAAAGGCACGGCCCTCTGCGAATTTGAGGATTGCCCGGATACAGAGCCAAAAAATATGGTCGCCCAGAAGGAGAGCGTCCACCGTATTGAGTTCTACAAATGCCCCTATTGTAAACGGCGGTGGTCAACCATCGAAGCTGTGACTAGCCACTACAGGAGGTGCCTGTCACTTCGGTCTAAAATGGCCCTCGCAAAGCAGCAACGTCGCTCGTTCTTTTACCAAAAGCCTGTGAAGATCGTCTATTGGTACGTTGTTCCTGTACGGGACGCGTCCTAAGGCAACGTCCGATTATGTACGTTCCCCTTGCCCTGTATCTGTCACTGCCGCTAACTTCATATTGCCGTTCTCTCATATTCTTGAAACCACTTTTCTATACGACCAACCACACTCGTTTTATTCTATTGTTCATAGATCTGTCCAAATCACTTCGGATCATCGTCATTCATTCATTATACACCGAATATCTGTTTCACTGTGCTCGGTGTATCCACCTCTCATTGTTATCGTTTGGTGTATCCTCTCTATCTTTATTAGATTTTCTTATTGCATGTTGGATGTACCTATCCTACCTCGCCATGTCGCACGGTGTATCTTTTATGTTAGAAGCACGTTGGGAGTAGCTATTGTATCTCATCATGTCATCTGGGCCTTTGCATCGTATCTGGATCGAGAATGAATATCATTGTGTTGGGTTTGAACTGCGTCTCCCCTAACATTGTTCATAGTCGCTGTGGGACGGCATGTACATGCTATCATACATATCGACTGGAAAATAGTCTCCCGCTATGGCAGTAGTGGGTTTTGTGGTTACATTCATCATCTTGGAAAGGACTTGCCACCGTAGGATTCAGTACACGTGCACGTTAAGATTTAGATGCTACTGGTGATTTAATGCAACGCCGGGTCATTTTCATTTTTGGAACACCGGGCCAGTATTAACTATTAACGGACAAGATACTAGTATACTAGTACCAATGAAACCAACCCGACTTTCATTTCCGAGCTCAACTTGAGCTTGAACTATTAAATAATTTACGTCATGCAGTCGGCATCGGAGTCCGCGGACTCGGACACGGAGTCAACTATTCACGGGCCCCATACACAGGACTCGGTCAATTCCGTCACAGTTGCAACTTGCAAGTCGAGCACGAGTCGAAGGTGGGCAATTTCAATGGGTTGACAAACCTAAACGAGCAGATTGTGGAAATCGAGTACGGGTCACATCCCTGTTCTAACTTCTCAATTTGCGTTGACAAAACTAAACAATCAGATTATTTCAGTTCTCAGTGCTTTGCTGTGAACTTTTCAAGATCACTGTTAACTCGATATCGGACGAACACGAGCACAAGACGCATCCACAGAAACCAACTGTCAAGCTTGGAGAACTGAATACTAGCCCACGTTTTGATGCCCACAGCTATCGTGGCGAACGCTCAGCAGCGAGTCCAACCAATCTGGGTCGGTGGTTCTTACTTGTTCTTTCAGGCGAACAACAGCACTACCTAGTATAGCTTTCGACCAAGAAGCTGCCCTGCGCTGTCTTTCGAAGGATTGCATGGCTGGAATAGAGACACATTTCCGCCACCAGCGATAGGAGGAAACTAGTGAAAGTTGCCCACCAGCTCAACATTGACGCCTCCGAATGGCGTCCATTTCTCCCGCGAGTGCCTTCCTCTTCGCTTCATACGCCGAAAAGCGGGTGTCATTGAAGTTCATGTGGTTATACACCATCATCATATACAGTCGTCCAAACACGACATTTCCAACACAGGCTTGCGAAATTCTATTGTCCTCGCTTTCCCCGCAGCTATGTAAACCTGCCCGTCTAAACATCGCCGCCTCAATACAGGACCAGGCCCTTCTACCGAACGGCAAAACAAAGTGGAACCCCCGATCAAAGGCCGATTTGTATGTGTTCAGTCTTATAATTAAAATTCAAGTTTTTCAACCTCGCACAGTCGGTGCGCAGAACCCAGTAGTGTCGTGTAACAGTTCCTCGTACTTTTGCCGACCACATGCTTTTGCTGACTCGGTATGTATTTTTATTTTTACTCGACACTGCATTTCCGTTGGGATGTTTGCTGATAATCACAATGGTTCCGTAAATTGACTCAGATCCGCGCAAAGATCTTGCCAAAGCAAATGCCATTCTATCATTCAAACGGTCAAAATAAATGATGAACAAGGCAACTTCCGACCCTTCTAGATCTTTGCTATTCTAACATTCAAACAATCAGCATAAACGGTAAACACGATGACTACCGACGCCTCTAGTGTGTAAGGTCCTGTTAATGCTAGGCACAGAGCAACTTAAAAAAAATGTCCTTTGGGGTCGGATCACAGCAGCTTATCACTTCGGTCTCTATTTCCAAGTATTCAAATAGCCATCTATGGAGGAATCTATCCTGGTCGTACCCCATTTCCATTTTTTTGCTCCCGATGTCATTGACCTCAAATTACACCACACTTATCCTCGACATTGGGGACGTTTTGTTCTCTTGGTCCCCGCAGACCAACACCTCCATATCCCCAAAGGTTCTACGTAGAATTCTGTCCTCTCCCACATGGATTGACTACGAGAGGGGGAGGATTTCCCAGGCTGAATGTTATACTAGGGTTGGCGGCGAATTCTCTATAGACGCTGCAGAGGTTGGCCGTGCATTCCAAGAAGCCAGTGACTCATTGCAGTCCAACGAAGAGCTCATCTCGGTTATTCGACACCTGAAAGCTCGCTCCAACGGAATGCTACATGTCTTCGCCATGTCAAATATCTCTGCACCTGACTATGAAGTCCTTCGTACGAAGCCTGTTGATTGGTCATTGTTCGACGACATCTTCATATCCGCGGCGGTCGGTGAGCGGAAGCCTAACCTTGGCTTCTACAAGGCAGTGCTTTTGAGCACAGGGGCTGATCCCTCCCGCACCATATTTGTGGACGATAAAAGGGAGAATGTCCTATCCGCGCGTTCGCTCGGAATGCGTGGAATTGTTTTCGACGATCACCGCAAAGTCGTCCGCGCTCTCTATAACCTACTTGGAGATCCTGTCGAAAGGGGCAGACAATACTTGACCCTTAATGCGAAAAAACTACTGTCTGTAACTGACAGCGGCATTTTCTTACGGGAGAACTTCGCTCAGCTCCTAATATTGGAGGCGACTGATGACCGGTAAGTGGGAGGATAACCTTTTTTCCCCGCGCACCCAATGAACACCGTGTCAGGAATCTCGTCAATTTGACTGATACACCCCGGACGTGGAATTTTTTCCAGGGTGTGTAACAATTCTTACCACCATTGTCTAGTCGGCTGATCTGTTAACAGGAAAACCACTGCTAACTACTGAAGAGTATCCATATGACTTGGATACGACTTCCCTCGGGTTGGTCGTAACGAGCAGCCCTGAGGATGTAGCACACTCCGTTATGGATGACATGCTTGACTACATTGATGACGATGGGATTGTCCAGGTACGTGCATTCAGGTGTCTTTCGCATGCGTTCAAGTTGGCCGACCTGTCAGTGATCACAGACATATTTTGACCACCACCGACCTCGGTTTGATCCGGTCGTGTGCATTAACGTGCTCACATTGTTCTATTCTTATGGACGTGGTCATCAGCTCGACCGCACCCTTCGCTGGATACATGAGGTGCTCCTGCATAGAGCTTATCTCGACGGCACGCGGTACTACGTGACCCCAGAGTGCTTCCTTTATTTCCTTGGGAGGCTGCTTGAAATCAGCAACGACGTCCACTTGGCAGTCTATCTAAAGCCACTGCTGATTGAACGAGTTCAGGAGCGCATAGGGGCTGAGGGTGATGCTATGGCGCTCTCAATGCGCCTCCGGCTTTGTGCGTACCTTGGACTACGCAACAACGTCGACCTACGCGCTTTGCTTCCTTTGCAATGCGAAGACGGAGGCTGGGAGGTCGGATGGGTCTATAAATACCCGACCACCGGTATCAGGATCGGAAACCGCGGTCTTACAACATCCGTGGCTGTTAAAGCCATTCTGGAGATGCAACGCTTCCTTAGTCCCCTTCCATCCCCATCCACAGCATCCGCAATCACCGCTAGCTCTGTTGCAACAGCATCAGTACGTACCAGTGACCATTCGCACGTCGATCCTTTGGTTCTAGGTTGATGGATGGGATGATGAAAACCGCCGATGAGGCAGGGTTCCAACGGTAGATTTCCCCGCCGTGGTTTAGGCCCCCACTGACCTTGTGTACTACAGATATCTGCAACGACATACACAAACACGAATGTATACTTGTACCACTGCTTTTTTGTGATTTAGACCACGTTTCTTGTCCTCTTGTCCGGAGCCTATGCGCTTAAGGAACCCCCAGGCTAGCTTTCGTTTTAGTACCATCCTTATCCATGATAATGTAACCGCCTGATGTTATCCATCTTATCAATCAAAACTCTGATATGATTCCCAAGGATGTCATGGAACAGCATTCCACTGACACCGACTCAATCAAGCAATTATACGCGACTAGCGGAGCGCTGAACAACCTTTCTGATTTCAAGTACCCTAAAAAAATTATCAAGTGAGATCTGGAGTAGTAGACTCTCCGACAGTACGGCTCATATTTTCGCCTGTTTGTACTTGCGAAGGCACAGAGAGGGGTACGCCTTCTTCAAGTCTTCGTTGGGTTTATAATTAATACCAACATAAATCTATGTTTACCGACGCACTCATGCTCAACCCCGGCATTGATTCTATGTTGATCCATTCAGAGTAAGCTGTCCTCCAAGACACCGCTTGTACACTTCGTTGTCAGTTTCCTCCACATAGTGATATCCCAAGTGGCTCAAAAATTCGTCAAATGCCGCGTAGTCTTCTCGAGGAACTTGGATGGCCGTTAGAACTTTGCCCAGATCTGCGACAAATTCATAAGGGACAAATTTCATCAAAGAAGACACTACACAAACCTGCACCATGATTGCGGTAGTGGAATAGTGATATATTCCAGCCTAGACCAGGGTAGATGCCCTGAAGGAACTTGCGCAAGGCACCTGGTCGCTCAGGAAATTCTGGCGCGAGGTTCTAGTAAGCACAACGCGAAGTGAAAATATGAAATGTGAAAGGAATGCGTACCGAACCGGAACACCCTTTCATTTGTGACTGATGTGCATCCACCTATCATGTACCGCGCGTGAGATTTGGCGACTTCATCATCACTGATATCGAATCCAGTCATCCCTTGATTTTTGATTTCTTCAAGCACCATCTCCACTTCTTTTTTGCGAGATGAGGTATCTAGTTTGAATGAAAGAAATATATGTGCGGTTTTCGGATCGTTAAAACGGTATATGAACTCTGTTGTTGCTCGCGGGTGGATGATGGAGTGCAGCGCAAAGAAGCTGCATAGGAGATAAGAAGTCAACCGATTAAGAACAGATAGAAGGGACGAAACGAAATGATGTAAATTGAAGGATTTACCTTCCAGGCTTCTCTGGTACCACCACACTCAGAAGTGCTTCGCGTCCCTCGCCCAATTCTGCACGCTCTGCAACGAAACGCAGCCGGTCAAAGTTCATGTTGGCTCCACTGACAACGGCAACGAATTTTCGATTCGCGCCGACGAGATTTTTATTTATGATGTGTCGCTTTAGGCCTGCTAGACTCAAGGCTCCGGAGGGCTCAGTGACAGACCTAGTTTCTAGGCTTATGAGCAGAGGATTTCTTCCACGAGAAATGAAAGATCCCTTACCTTCGAAGATATCTTTGATAGCAGCACATATTTCGTCGTTGTCAACTAAGACCACTTCATCCAAGAGTCGCTGGCATATCCTGAATGGCTCCTCGCCAACGATTCTTACTGCTGTGCCGTCTGCAAAGGGACCGACCTCGGCTAAAGTCACTCTCGCCCCGCTTTTCAAACTCTGTGCCATGGCATCCCCATCAAAGGTCTCGACACCAAACACTTTTGTGTTTGGGTTGCCTATGCGTTTAACATATTCACAAATTCCAGAGACAAGACCGCCACCGCCAACCGCACCGAAAATGGCATCAAGATTTTCGGAGTCTGGTATTTGTTTTAATATTTCCATGCCGACGGTACCCTGGCCTGCGATTACGAGCGGGTCGTCGTATGGAGGAACAAAAATCAGTCCATGGGTGGCAGCTAATCTCGCACATTCTGCCTTGGCTTCGTCAAAGTCGACACCGTGGAGTACGACCTTTGCACCGAGACGTTCGACATTACGAACTTTGATGGATGGAGTACCCTTTGGCATGACAATGGTACAGGGTATCCCGAGACGTTCGCCAGAAAGAGCTACTCCTTGCGCATGATTGCCTAAAAGTGCCAAGTCAGTGAGTTGGACGGGGAAATCATAAGATGGCTAAAGGCATCGAATGACGCTGCAAGTACGCACACTAACCAGCGCTGCATGTTACAACACCCTTCCAGCGTTCTTCTTCAGATAGTCCTGCCATAAAGTTATAGGCACCTCGAATCTTGAAGCTGAAGACCTCTTGTAGATCCTCTCGTTTGAGCCATATTTGATTGCCTAGCTTTGCACTAAGGTTTGGAGCATAGACCAGGGGTGTTTCCTTCAAGATCTCATATACTTTAGCAGTGAGAATAAGACGAAGGTAATCGGGTTCATTTGAAGATAGCAAGTGATGTGAAGACAAGCGCGGGTAGATGAGAGGTTGAGGAGCGTTAGACGAGTACTCTAGAGTTGCAATAGTTGGTGTCATGGATATAGGAACGAATTCCGAGTCAAGGTGACACAGATCTACGCTAATCGGAAAATTTGACTCGGTGCTTGCCGGAACTGGTGAATCATTACCGCGTGCAACCGTACAATTGAATGATCACAACTAATGATCTCTCATATGTGATATCAATATTAATGGCCAGAGGCAGCCAGCTGGCCGACCCCAGTCAGCCTGCAGCTGCAGGAACTACACAAAGTATTTTCTTAAAAACGCGAAAATGACACGTGCATTATATGCCCATGGACAGGTCACGTGCGCGAGATATCATGACGGCGGGGGTATATGGGGAACAGTGAACATTGGTAGAGACTCTAAGAACTCAACTTGCACATCCATTCAGTTTGAGGATTAGGGAAAGATAGAACGCACCGAGTCTGGTCTTAGTACCCAATCCCAACTGAAACGTCACCATAGCTGACGGAGACTTGGACGGTCTTTGGCTAGTTTTTTTAAAGTCTTTCTACCAGCTGCAGCGGAAAACCCGGTGAAGTCAAGAACGAAGAAGGAATTGAAAGCGACGAAAAGCTAGTTGAACGCTGAACGTTGAACGATTGTGCAGAGAAGATTCGGAAGATAACAAGTGTGCTGCCAGCCCTAAATAAATGTAAAGCCAAACTATACTCAGATCCACCACAAGCTTGCCAAACAAATTCTTCCCCTCTCCCTGCTCACAACCAGTTTATGGCCCAGTCCTCAACAATGGGGCCTCCTCTCTCACCACGAGAAACACGACGTTCAGGAAGGCGGTCTGCACCATCTGCTTCAGCTAGCACTTCCAAATCACCAGACTCCCCGGCTTCTGAGTCCCTCCCCCGAACAAAGGAGGCCATCACACGTCCTGCCATACTCTCCAACAACAACAACAACAACAACAACAACAACAACAACCGCACAAAGCGTTTGAAGCAAGAGGATCCTGAGGAGCATGTCCCTACCAAGAATGCTCTTACCAATGGCACCAACTCCAGCCATGGGAACTCAAACGGGCGCGCAAAGCGCAAGGCCAACGGCAAGGAGAAAAACCTGCCATCCACTGACCAGTTGATCGAATCGGCTTCCCATAAACTCAACAACTCTAATACCGGAAGCGCCGCAGACCCTCAGGACGATGACCCAGAGGAACAGGGTATCACGCGTTGTATATGTGGCCAGAATGGTATGTTATCTTCGACTATATATCAATCATTCTCTCACTTTTTCGACAGAGGAGGATGCCGACGCAGGAGAGTTCATGGTTCAGTGTGAAACCTGCAACGTTTGGCAGCATGGCCTGTGCATGGGGTATCAGCACGAAGCAGATCTCCAGGACGAATACCACTGTGAACAATGCAAGCCTGAGCGCCACCAGGACCTTTTAAAGTGAGCCGTCTGTCACTCCGTGTCCACTATCTTGTTTTGACCAGTTTCATTTCCCCAGGAGATTAGCCAAAAAACCTCGCCAATCATCTGCCAACTCGCACCATACCACTTCGCGTCTTTCACGATCACACTCTCCAACGCACCTTTTGAAACCCCCCAAACGAAGGAACACGATGAACAGTCGCGACGCGGCGTTTGACGAAAGCTTAAAAGAGATCCTTGAAACGACGGCAGCAGAAGCTGCAGCCGTGACAGAACCCCGTCCCGCTCAAACAAATGGGAGTGTCAACGGTCAGGCTGAAAGCCACGAAGATCCGGATTCGAACAGTCGCAAAAAGCGCAAGCGTACAGAGGACGACGTGTCAGTGTTCCTGCTATGCTCATTTGCTTTGCTTTGTCTGACGTCATGACAGTCTACCCAAGAAACGCACACGATCAGCCTCAACTGCCTCTGATCATCAGCCAGAAGTAGCTACAGCCGTGCCAGAGGATATACCAGCTCCTCCAGCCAAAAGGGCAGGTGGTGGCGCGAAGTCCGGCAACCGCAATCGAAGAGGCGGTGGATCACGAAAGACAGCAGTTGCTAATCAAGATGCAGTCGCTGTCGCTGAAGGTGAAGAAGGTATGCGAGTAGCACTCCACATAACAAAGGATAAAACTCACGTGACTTAATCAATTTCAAGTTGCCGGTCCCAGTAAGCGACCTGCGGTAAACCTCCGGAACAAAACAAACCCCACACCCAAAAGACCACCTCCATCTTCTCACGCTGGGAGCGTGCCAACTGACCCTAGGCGCGCCGGTGGAGTCGCTATTGCCAGTTCAGAGAATTCTCGCGCATACCGCAATTCCCATGCTTATGCTGTCTCCCAACAACCAATGTTTACGTCATGGAACTTACCAGACTACCTTGCCCACCTGGAACCTATGCTGCCGACAGACACGCCCCGTCCCCTGGAAGTCCGCGGTTCGGGCGTTGGGCCAAGAGAGTCGGTCGACCGGACCATGGAGAGGGGCGTGAAGGTCAAATGGCCCAGTAAACGAATGAGTGTGGGGGATATGAACAAGCGCGTGCGTGCGCTGGTAGAGTGGGTGGGAAGGGAACAAGCTGGGGCGCTTGACCGTGGCCGTCGGAGGGACGCGCTGGAGAAAGCGTTGAGAGCTATGAAAGCACAAGCTTTCAATTCCACAAATCCATCACCTCATGACGATCGCGAAGTCGGTGGAGGCGATACTTTGGGCTCACCTATGGTTTTGGACAGTACCGCCACTATCCCTATCGACGGGTCTTCGCCGGGGGACGCCAGTCATGGGAATGCATCAGCACCTTCGACGATGAAGATGATGGAGGAACTGATGGAGGAACTGATAAGCTTCCAGGAGCGGTTTGGTCCAGGCGTGAAGACGAGGGAGCGGGAACGAAGAATGGTGTCAGGATAATCATAGACTTGATGTTAATCTTCAATGTACCCCTTCCGTCACGCATCACTACTTCCTGACCACTTCACTAGCATATCTTTGTATTATTGTGATATGGCACCAACTTGCATCCAGCGCTGCGCGAGTTCTCTAACATGATGTACCACGTGTTGACACCCCACATTGAGGTTGCTATACTTAGTATACCCAGGACCTGGTCCTAGGTATTTGACGTGGTATACAACGAAAAATTAACGATACTGGGAGGAAAACAACAAAATCACCGTAAGCCGTTGCTGAGTTGCTGAGCTCAACCCTGGCAGCACTCGGTACTTGTAAAAAAGATTGATCGACATCTCTAGTATGCATCAGAAACTGACAAGGTCGTACAATTGAAATACGAAGCGCAACAATAATCACAATGGCTTATCGCTGAGTTAAAACTAGCTCTCGGTACTGGCGGATTTGTGGAGGACTCGGAAAACATCCTCGATCGAGCTCATCTGTTCAAACTTCAAAGCTTCAAGCTCGGGCGCAGAATTCATGCACACGTGACACCAATGAAGCAAATTACCTAATTCGGAACGGAGAGCCCGTCCATTAAACTTTATTGCATGCACTCAAGAGTCACCGCCGCGCACGACGTCCGCAACCATCAAACATCCGCTGTCGATGTTATCAACCCCAGCAAATTCGGTCAGTGATGAGGAATTTTCACCGCGTGCTGTTGACCCCGAACAGTCGCCAACATTCTCCGGCGATGAAGAGGAAGCAGAAGATGACCAAGGAGGAGACTATTCCACGCGAATGGAGGAGTTGCTCAGCGATGATAATGATGATGATGATGAGCACTGTGGTGTCGAAGCGGACGAGGATGATGGCGGCTTCGTCTATGATGGTGTAGATGCTGACCGGGTCACAGGCGACAACTATCGAGACCAGCTGCGAGACGTTCTCGGGCCCGAGGACTCATATGATGAATCTGAGGAACAGGAGGTGGAGCAGGAACTTTTGCAGGAAAGCAATAGTGTTTCCCATGAGCTGCCTCGTGATCTGCCAGTAAGCCGTGGCACGCCTCATGGCGTAGACATGTACTCATGCATGTGTAGCATGTTGATATTCAGCTGGACGTCAGCGCTTCAACATCTGCTCCCTTAGTTATGTCCTCTCTCCCACCTAGCAGAGTAGGGTCTCCTGCGCCGAACGGGCCTTTCATACAATTCCCCAAGCCATTCCTACACCCAAATGTCTCCCGACTTCGCTCGTTTACGCCAAGGAGCTCCTCTGCTCCCAGCACTGGTTCGCCCCATGCTCAACCTTTAATTAACTTCTCCCCATCTCCATCTCATTTCTCTGAGATTTCACGGACATCATCTCCTTCAGCGGGCCATAATGGACTTCTGACAGGCCAGGAGAGAGAAGTGTTTCGGTGGTCGTCACTCCGGAGCGCAGGGTCTCATCTTTACAATCAGAAACCCGGAAAAGCATCGGCTGTCCTCGGGGATCTTCTCACGGGAGCTCCCATGGTCCTGACTGCTAATGGGTTTATTTGCGTTGGGACAGACAAGGGCCGCATATTCGTTTTTGACTTCAAGCAAACATTGAAGTACATATGTGGCAGTGACTCGTCTGGTAATTTGAAACCTGTTGAAATGATATTCGCCATCTTATCAAACCCATTCAGGATCGACTGCTGGGCCTGTCTCAGCGATCGCGCTATCAAACGACCATACATTTGTCGCATCTGGGCATACTACGGGCTACATCCAACTTTTCAACTTGAAAACCCCTGAAGTTGCAGCTCGAACCGTGACACCTGTTACTCTTGCCGCTGTCACATCTGGCCGACAGGAAGGACATCTTCCAGGCTCCCGTATCATCAGCATATCCTTCGTGGCTGGCCGTCATACAGCTGTGGTATCTGCTGATGAGCACGGTCTGTCTTTTTACCACAGCCTTGGTAAAGTGCTATTTGTGGAGGCATCAGACACAATACGCATTTTTGGGAACTATCATGGAGAGGACGCTGCCGAAGCTAGTGTCTCTGGTCATCCCGCGAATCCATCATCACAACAGAACGCACTTGATCACCTTTCCTTTCGCCGCAGAAGACGACCACGCAACACAGTCCTTGCAATGACTACTCTTCCCCTGGGTCCTCTTCCACATCCCACCGATGTATATCAAATCGTTACTTTGCTGACGCCCACAAAACTTGTTGTCGTTGGCCTGAAGCCTACTCCGAAGACATGGCTGAAGATTATGCGAGATGAGGAACAATTGTCGTCCCCTGCTTATCGAAGGAGAGGTTGTCTTGCGTGGTTCCCCAGCGTTCAAGATAGTTCTACAGAGAAATCAGACAAAACAGTCAGCATGAAGAACGCAAAGAGCGGGAAACAACCACAACGCCCGCCAACTCATCCTGTCCTCTCGTATTCGTGGGGGAGTCACGTATATCTATTACGTGTACACGAACAGAAGACCAAACAGACCGTATCAAACAGCCGCACAGGGAAAACGAGCGAAGTGGAAGTTGGCACGCTAGTGTTCGAGGAGGTGGGAAAGTGGTTGATGGATGATGCCGTCCTTGCTATCCAATGGCTCAATGTCAATGTAAGTTCGTTCCGATATAATTTACCAGTTCTCATGCGCCTTGTTCGATAGCAATTGGCCATATTTACTGCGAGCGCCTTGAGTATCTATGACGCTCATGGCATGAAAATCGTTGAAGCCGTGCGATTCGACTCTTCCTCTCTGGTATCACCTTCGCTAGGCCAAACGGGTAATGGTTCGATATCATACTCGGATTCTGTGAGAGATATCGCACATAGTATTCGGACCTACAAAGGAAAACTCTTCCTTCTGGTGAGAGCTGTGCATTCCTTCCATACGAAAGCTAAGAAAGAACTAACACCCTTGTCAGGGTCGACAAGAACTGTTTGTTGGTACCTTGCTTAGCTGGGCTGACAGGATCCTGTCGTTCGTTGAACAGGGTGATTTTCTCAGTGCCATCGAACTGACCCGGACGTACTATACGGGCGAAGCTCCTGGAAACCGCAATGGTCTTCCCGAGGACCCAGAAGAGCGGCAAACCGTGATCGCAGATAAAATTCACGACCTCATGATGGCGTCCTCCCGTTTCACATTTTCCGAAGATCGTATGACAGATGGCACCCACGCGTCCCTTGATGGACGGGGCGTAGATCGCACCTCGCTCTTTGAAGATCTGGTAGCAACTTGTGCCCGTGCTTGTATTGCTTTGGATGACTTCGATTTCCTATTCGAGGGGTTGTTCCAGCAGTACGAAGACGCTGGCATCCACCGGATGTTCCTCCACCAACTTGAACCTTTTGTGTTGGATGGCAGCATCCCTTTAGTGCCTCCTCGCATTACTCAGCGACTGGTGGCGCTACATGAGGAGGGCGGACGTCCAGATCTCGCAGAAAGAATCATCTGGCACATCGAGCCATCCTGCTTGGACATTAACCAAGCCATCAATCTCTGCCGAACCCACCAGCTATGGGATGCGTTGGTTTATGTGTACACTCGTGCATTGCGAGATTATGTCTCTCCCATCATCGAATTCCTTGCCCTCATCCGCAGCTTATATCAGAACCCAGCGCCTACGGACACCGTCATCAAGAATGCCTATAAGATTTATTCTTACTTGGCGACCGTGTTATGTGGGCAAATCTATCCCAGTCAGGAGCCTTTGGAGCCAGACGAGGCTTCATTCGCCAAAAGAGATGTGTACTCGTTCATTTTTTGCGGACATTCCACTACCTGGCCCGCCGAAGAAGGAAATCTGGTTCTGACATCCCAAGATGAGAACGGTATGGAGCCAACATATCCCTATGCTCGACTCTTGCTCCGCTTCGATGCTGAATCGTTCCTGCATTGTTTGGACATGGCCTTTGAGGACTCGTACCTACACGAATCTTCAGACATGAGTCGCCTTATGATAGTGAGGATTCTATTGGATATCATGTCCAGTGAAGATCTCTCACCATCTGGTGTCACGTTTATGAACATCTTCATTGCACGGAACGTTCCGAAGTATCCCCAGTACCTTCAAGATTTTATCGCGCCTAGTGTCCTTCATAACGTTCTTACTGCACTCGCCACTCAGCCCGAAGTGGAAACACGAGAGGACCGTCAGCTCGCAGCAGAGTATCTCCTGTCAGTTTACACCCCCCATGATGAAGACCGACTGCTTCAGCTCTTTGAGGATGCAGGATTTTACCGCATCTTACGTAGTTGGTACCGCCACGAGCGACACTGGGGTCCCCTCCTCACTGCATTCCTTCATGATCCCGAACTCCGCCCTTCAGAAATGTTCAGCGGTTTGGAGGAAGTCATTGTCAGTTCGATAAGAGACAACAAAAAGCAGGTCCCTGGTGACATCATCAATATTCTCACCACCTCGCTTGATGAACTCTTACAAGCCGATGTTCTTGCAACTGCGTCTCTTCTAGACAAGCACGCCCCTGAACTCCACGAGACGGCCCTTGAGAGCTCGCGCTTGTCGGATGATCGTGACCAATTCATCTACCTCAATCACCTGGTCCCTGACAGTGAATATGACCAGTATTCTCCCACTTCCAGTTCTCCAAGTCACATCAATAGCCGACTTCGCCACCGCTTCATCCGCTTGCAGTGTCGCTTTGCGCCTTCTGGTATCATTGATGTCCTTAAACGTTTACAAGACGGCATTGACTGGTCGACGGCGCTGAGTATATGCGAGGAGGCAGGAGCGTATGATGCTGTCATATGGTCCATGAATTACAGGGGGCAACCACAGGAAGCCCTCTCAAAGGCCGACGTGTTTGAGAAGCAGCTCACGCTAGATCTCACACGCACGCTAGCCTCGCCAGCTCCTGGTTCCACGGACTCCGTTAACAAATACTTGAATGATCTGCAAGCCATCGGACGGCGTGGCATTTCAGTATGCATGGAGCATTCCAGCACGTCCTCTGCTGGAGAAGTTCCTCTCGAAGACATTTGGTATCAACTTCTGAGCAGCCAGATTCATACTGTGCAAGCCCTCTCGGCCTGCTGTTCCACTGGCAAAGGTGGTGACGCAGGGCTTGAGGGTGAAGTGTTGTCGACTTTGCGGGCTATCGTGCAAGAGACGTTCGCGTCTTTGGTTTCTGTAAGCTCGACCCAGGCAGTATCTTTTCCTCGACTGTTCAAGCGTTTGGTGGATCCTGCCGTTCACTCCGGCACAACGGGCACCCCGTATACGGAGTTCCGTGCGATTCTGACTGGCATGCTGGAATCGTACCGAACTGATGGAGACATGTTGATCATCTCGAAACGTCTCATTGATCGGGATGTCTTCGATTCAGTAGAGTTATATGCAAAGGAGAAAATGCGTGGCTGGACCCCATCTTGCGGTGTATGTTCATCTTGCGGTCGGACTTTACTTCCTTCTCAGGCAGATGCTGAGAACGTTCAGATTAGACTTTCACGGACAGGGACTATATACCATCTTGGGTGCTCTACTTAATGGCATGTTTTGTAATTAATCAATGTTCTTGCTACTGCGATCGAAGAAGAGTTCAGAACACCGTCCTCAGCCAAAGGTATAAATTATGGGCAAGTGTCAGAGATCGCTGTCAACCAGTTCAGCTCGAACCATTTGATCCAGGACTATGAAGCTGTCCATGGACTGCATGTTGACCCCTAGGGCTTCGCCTTCTGTCCTGAACGCTTCCACGTCCAGTATCATCTGTGCACGAATGCGTTCCTCGTCCTTCCCGTCATCTTTTCCAGCAGTAGCAGATCCAAAAATAGATAGCGTCGACTTTTTCCCTTTCTTCAGTCGTCGAAGAGATTCCTCGGTCTTTTTCATCGCAGTCAAGTACTGTATGTACCTTGTATAACAAGTCAATATCATGTTAATCGCACAGGAAGAGCATACGAACCGCTGACAGACGCTTTCCACAACATCAGTTGAGACATCCCTCAACAATTCCTCCTTGAGTCGTTCCCCAGGACCACCGCCAGTGCCGATTCCAAAGAAGACCCTTACCGGGCGGAGGATGGTGGGCGCAAAGTAACTTGGTTCGGAGGGCAGCCGCTTGTTAGACATTGCTCTAAATTGCGAAGGAATAGATCGAACTGGCAACAGGGCATCGCAACAACGCCTGGACAATATGGATGTGGCCTGGCTGCTCAACGATGCAGAAAGAGCACTGAGCTGCTCGAGTTGAGTTCTCAGAGCGGCTGCAGATTGTTGAGTTGAGTAATTTGAAGACGGAGGTCATGTAAGCTAACCTTCTAGCACCGCGTCCTCTGTATTGTCTTCCGTTGACATGTCGGGAAGCATCATGCTAATCTCTTCTCTCCACAATTGCAAGACTTGGCTTGTCATCGCCCGAATATCAACGAGAGCCGTTGCAAACTGCCTTAGTAAGATCTCGTCTGCAGCTGTGCTTTCAATAGTCGCTTCTGGCGTGAGTCCAGGTGTTGAAGATCTTGGAGGGTTGACAATTGCTGAGGTCTATAAAAAGTTAAAGAATGCTCTGGCGTCCATCAAAGCACGTGCCTTCTCATGGGTAATGTTGGCAGCAGGTTTCACTGGAGACCCTCCTGAAGGCGGCAGTGAGCTTTCCAACCATTCCCGATATCGGCTGAGGAGCTAGAAACGTGTTCATCTCGAAGCCCGGCAAGCAGTGGGGAGGAAGTACCTGAAGAGTAAATTTCCAGAAGCGATGCGAAAGGTCGGGAATGTACCCTTCCGCACCCCAGCACGAAGCAATTGCAGTGAAAACATCAGCGGCCTGTGCCGTTACAAACACATCACGCCCTTGACAACGGTTAGCCGAGGACATGTGCTGGAACCAAGTCAATGGGTAACTCACCAGGAGTAAAGTTTGGTGCCTCAGGATCCAGAATTCTCGATGACAAAGTTTCTTCGAGCTTTGTGACGGTTTCCTTCCACCGCAACTGGAAATAAACAGAGAGCTGCCAACGTCGCTGAAATGCAGTGAACACTGGATGGGAACGCATGTTTTGCACAGAATGCGTGGAAGGAGCCAAGAACTCGAGAGAACGGATGAAAGCCTGCGTTGTAGAATGATGCTATAACCAAGGGTCAGCATCACAGAACAACTTCTGACAAGACTTTACCTTGCGGAACTCATTTGGGTTTCCTGGCGCAAATACAACAGTGCCAAGCTCATCCATTATTGCCCTACCGATTTCTGCCCACACCACATTGGTCATAATCTCGAAGCCATCCACAGAAGCCTGTTGTGCGTCTCCCAAATGATAGTCTCCCAATGCTGCACTTGAATACGACGTAGTCGAACCCGCCTTAAAGGAAACTCGTTCGGCAAGCTCCATGATGCGCCCAAAATCTCGCTCAATAAAGCGAAGAATCTGGTTGTACAATTTTGCAAGCGCATCATTAGATTCGTCAAGCAAGTGCACTGGTCCAGAGACATGTGAAGCCTCAAAGGGATTTTGTTTAGTGGCAAATGCAGTGAATGGAGTATATGGGGTACGGGGCAACAGCCCGCCACCGTATGATTCTGTGCGGGTAGAGAGTGTGGCAGGAAGTGGAGTGTGCGGTAACACAGGTGAGAGCGACGTAGCCAGTGCATCAGAAAAAATAGTCTAGATGCAAAGCTGAGCAACTTCTTTCTGAGGAAGAGGGTGATACGTATCCCATACCTTCTTGATAAAAGTCTGCATTACGTCTCTCCGCATGATCTCTTCAGCGACTCTCCAAAGGCGTAGTGAATCGTAGATCCTTAGACACTCAGTTAAATCAACATATAGTTTAGCTCGTTCGAGGTCCAAAACTTTTCCTGCTTTGATGTCCGTCAAGGAGCCCAGGATAGCAGAAAAAACATGGTCTAAGTCAGATGTGAGAGTTGATTGTATGCGGTCAATACGCTAAACCGGGTCAATCAAAAAAGACTTCTGTCAGAATCTCACTACGAAAGAAAAACGTAACAAACCCATCGTATTTCATCCACAAAAGCACAATGTTCTTCTTTTGCCTTCTCGATGTGATACAGGAGTTGAGTATACTCAGCAGTGACTCTGGAAAGGTGTTTGGCGCGGTTGCCTTGGCTCCTGGAACCTATTAGATCGTTTACCACAGTAAAAGCAATATAAAAACATACTTGGCATCGCTAGGCTGTCCTGCAGAGGCAGGAAGATGGGACAGATGACTGCTGTGACTTTCAAAGGATGTCGTAGTAACTTGAGAGATGAGAAGAAGACTCTCAAGTCTGGTTACAGACTCTGATATCTTGAGCAAGAGATGTAGAAGTGCCTGACGACGGAAGCTTCAGTTGGAATGTGGGCCACAGAGATTGAGTATGAACCTTCTCTTCGCGCAACTTAGTACGGGCATCAAGCGTCTCTTGAATGCTGTCTTGTGTAGCCTGGAGACCACCTCGCGACTCCTTGCATAGGATATCAACGGGTCGATAAAACACAACGAGTAATGGTAATGCTTACTGAGATGCGTTTGCGCAAGTCGCCGAGTGGAAGTTTGAGCCTCTCCAATCTCGAGCCCTCTCCTCTCAGGTCTGTACTCAGACTGATGAATGCCTCGTAGTCGTCGTTGATGAGTAACACCAGCTCCTCCTTCAACGAGGTAAGGTAGTCTCTAAGCTCTGAGCGCAAGTCTTGTAGAGATGTGTGCGATCGGGAGAGCAGAAACTCTTCGACGTTAAACACTTCTGCAGTTAGATGAGGGTTGTTATGCGATAATGGGACATAAATTGGCAGCTCCGTTGAGGCAGTAGTTCGGGGAGCATAGTTAGATCCTGCTTGCTCACGCGCGACGAGCTCTTCTGCTAACCGTTCCAACTCATAAGGGTCGGGAGATTTGCCAGAGGCATGGAAGACGCGCGAAGACATTTATGGTGTCGGTCAGCACGTACTCTGGCTACAACGCGATCCCACCACGCGCAGGGGTCATAACGTATAACGAGTAGGGAATATTAATAGTTGTAAATCATAACATAGTCAATAATTAATCAACCATAAACATGCTACAGCCGAGTTCTGTCAGTACTACATATGTCAGTATTGTGTACAACAAAATCCTTTGGGTATGCAACCAGTATCCACAGAATATTTCCATAGTGTGTGATCGTAGGTTGTCCATGCCCATTAAACCCATCGCGGCGGCAGGTCGCGAGTTCATCACGATTTCTCCTCCAATTCGCTGAGAAATGCTAGCCACGTCTTCTTGTCGATTACGCCTTCGTCTGACAAGTGCATTGACTTTAGCGACAAACAAACCGGAGTGAATGAATATTCGTACAGTCACCGTCAGTGTCCGTCACGACAACATAACGAGCGCCGAGTTTTACGAAGAATTGGTGAAGAAGCTCCAAAGGCGAGTTGGACTGAATCGCCAATGGTGCCTACGTCCATTTGAGCGTCTGTATACCACAAAACCAAACGAAAGGAGTGTACCTGGTCCATATATATGCTGAAGTCAAATGGATCTTCTTCACTCTGCCTCGTATCTTCTGCCCAGGTCGAAAATGAAGTAGCCAGTTCCTCATGGGAATAAGTAGTGTGGAAGCGAACTTCCTCGGTTGCTCCCTCCGCCACAACAGCTAGAAAATTTGATCAGACTATGTTTGCATGAGAAAATGAAAGTATCTACCGAGAGCATGTTCTAGTTCGCTAGCGCCAATGTAGCCAATCATGCGCATCCCGTCTCCGTCGAAACTTGGCCTGAGAATGGGGAAACCACCGTCGTCGTGCTCAGCATTCAAAAGTGATTGCAATTGGTCCCGAAGACTTTCAACGGTGTTGTGTTGATCGACCCTGATAACGTCGACATCTCGATCGGTCTAAATGTGATACTAAGCAAGCTCTCAACAATAAATACATTGTCCTTACCACTTCCTTGATGGACAGATTTGACCACAGGTATTCATGTTTAGCATCTAGGTACGGAAGTTGAGACAGCCTGTGAAAAGTGTCAGGAGGACCATTGTAGTTCCGATGAGGTTCTCACTCAATGACCAGGTCATAAATCCCCTTAGGCTCAAGAGCATCGGCTACAGTCTTGGCAACCAGAACAGACAGCATGACAGGAACAGCATATGTGAGGGTATCGGTCAGCTCGAACATGATGACCGATAATGACACCGTCGTTCTCTGGAGATCTAGATTTAACTTCGTGGCGCCGAGGAGTTGAGCCGGGAGCTTACCGTGACGCCAGACAAGGCTGCTGCAGCTCCCACCATCGCATACAAGCCAGGCACGACACAATCCATGTCACCATCGCACACAGCGAAGACGGCACTTTTCGGGTAATGGTACTGAAGGTATTGCACAGCAATGCCAACAATCCGTCCAGCGCATGCACCTACTCCGAGGGTGGGTATAAAAATCCCGGCCGGCAGTTTGATGCCAAATGTGATTATGGTCAGGAAACCCTTGACTATCATGGCAACAAGGATCGCTCGTACAACTGGCCAGATATGGCCGAAACTGCTTGGATCCAGGACGCACAAATCAAAATGACTATTTTTGCTGCCTGTGCGACATTCAGAAAAGAGATTGTAAACAAGCTCTGTGCCGCCCATGCGTGCATATGGATTTAAGAAGCACAAGACGGTGGTTGCAAGCGTAACCTACACGGCTGAGCAGGTTGAAACATCGGATGAATAAGGTGTTGCTCACAAGAATGACTTCTGCAACTGGATGTGACTTGAGCCATGTTCCGCCACGAACGTCACGACTCCAGCGATAGTTCAACTTGGAAAAGTACGCGCCGTATACTCCCTGTGTCTCCTTTTAATGAACTGTGCTCCAAGAAAACTGAGATACGCACTCCCAGAACGCCAAGTAAGAGGAAAAATATCAGCTCATACGCATGCCAGTCCTTTCAGACACAGTGAGCGAGTTACCAGTCGAATATTGCGTGGCGAACCTTGTCATAAGTAACCTGGAACAATACAACTTTACCAGTTCCGAAAGGATTGAGGAACCGGAGGGTAACAGCCGCTATCATCGCACAGAAAAAGCTAGAAAATTGAGTTCAGAACAAGGGAATCCTGGAACGTGTGGTGGCTACCTTCTCCACATAACCTTGAACAAGAGATTTAGAAATTGATTCACACATAATGGAGGGATACTACCTTCGGCGGGAAGAAGTAAGAAACTTCTTCCAAGCTAAACAGGGTACCACCAATTGGAGCTCCAAATGCAACAGCAACACCTGCCGCGCATGCTGCGCTGAATATCTCACGACGCTTGGCTGAACGATATACATGAGTATGGAAAGAAATTTGACTGCTAAGAAATTGACCTTCGTTATTTTCATACTTGCTATGATAACGGCTGACGATGTTGCCTACGCAACATGCAATGTGGACGAAAGGTCCCTCCTTGCCTGAAATTCAGGTGTCAGTGCTCATGTCCCAGAAGAAATTTGCGCGGGCCAATCACCAAGAGATAATCCTGAACCAACTGACAAAGCCAATCCAACCGCTTTAGTCAATAGCGTGCGCAAACCAAGATAACCATGAATGACGAAGCCTACACCAATAGATGAAATTGAGAGACGATCGTTGATTCTTGACAGCTACAAACCAGATAGAATGGTCTTGATCTCCGGAATTCCGCTCCCAGCAGCCTTTGTCATATCATAATCAGTTCAGACACTCTGTAGTAAAGCTTGTGCGTACGTAGTAAAGCACTCGACGCTTGGCCTGCGACGAGCTCGAAATATTCTGTTCACCACTTTTGTCGAACCCCGGGGACAGAACTCCGGATTCTTTGCGGGTGACAAAAGACGTTGACGCCGTGAGATAGATTGTGAGGAGCGATGAAGTACTGGCTAATAAAACCTGATAATCCATGAGATGCTGCATACAACGCAGCCGGGAAACCTACCGCAATGATCGTATACGCAAGATACTGTACGGCACTATCATCACCTCCCAATTCGCGGCCCGTCCATGACGCGAAGACGTCTGACCAGGTCCTCCAAGTGGGACAAATGTCATCCAAAGATCCGTACTCGTCAGGCAGAGGGCAGCAAAAATGTCGTGCATGCCACCATGCGGTCGTGCAGTAGCCCTGCTTTGCATCAAACAGCCATTGTTCTGCACGGACGACAAGAAATGCAACTATGGCAGTGAGGAATCCGACGACTGTGACAATGATCCATCCAATGCTCTTGTCGAATGTAAGTCGAACCCGGGAGCGTATGGATTTACCGCGCCGGAGCCGGGCGAACCGGGCCGAGTCCTTGATGGCATCGTGAAGCCAATCGATTGATGAGAACGAAGAGTACCATACGCGGAATCCGTTAGTTCGAACGTCGATGTCAGTGCCAGGGGTATCGGCGTTGATATTTGCGAGCTGTGCGTCGTAGGCAGATATGGGCCGCTGCTGGGAAATGCGACTGCGGAGTGTGTCGCGTATAAATGTTGGTGAGAAGGCCGATGGAGAATCTGGAACAGAGCGTGTCCCACTACGCGTTCGAGAAAGGCCTGTGAGAGTGGGTTGGCGACGAGCGACCGAAATTTGATCGGATTTGGTGGATGCGCGGCGCGGGTGAACAATGGGCAATGTCCCGTAGTTTGTGCGGGTGGGAACTGCGCGCAAGGCAGTGGTCTCGTTGTCTGCTTGATTTTGTGCTGTAGGCAATGAGAGGCTGCCAATTCGCTGGAGTCGTTTCCTGCGGTGATCGGTATCGGATGGGCCACTCAGAAGCCCTGAGGGAGTACCAGATTGGATGGATGCGGGAACGTTTTTGGGTAAAGAGTCGGACATCGTGCGGCGCTGCGCTAGGACCGTCCACATCTAGTTAGCTCCCATGAGCATTACGGAAGTGCACTGCTTGTACTCACCTGAATTCGTACACAATCGCTGTAGTCAATGCTGACCGCCTTGGAGAACTTGGAGGAATCGGTTGGCAGAGCCTGGATGTCACGGTGAGCTGAAAAGTCCAAACAAGACTGTTTCCCAGTTCCGCTCTTTCTACTCTTTCCCGGGCCTTGCCAGCTGGACTGTCACGCAGCCGCTGCCACAGGAGTTCTAATTCCTATTAAGGAAGGTTCAAAATGTTGCCAAAGCAAGAACAAACAACACACCTCCCAAAGAATTCAAACTCTTACACTGACAACCACTCAAAATGGCAAACACGGGCCTTGGTGTGCCAGTAAAGCTACTCCACGAGTCCTTGGGACACATTGTTACCGTGGAACTCAAGACAGGCCAACTTTATCGTGGAAAACTCGCTGAAGGTACGTATATTTTCAAGCATCACTGTCATAGATCCTTTCTGATTCAAATCTACGATGCTAGCCGAAGATAACTTGAACATCTCACTCAGAGATATAACAGTCACAGGACGAGATGGCCGTGTATCACAACTAGACCAGGTGTATATCAGGGGAAGTATGGTCAGATTCTTCATTGTACCAGATATGCTGCAGAATGCCCCCATGTAAGTTTCCATATCCTGATCGGATTTCGAGATCACCCTGACCTTGGTACGTAGGTTCAAGCGGGTTGGTCCCAACGCCATGCGCGGAAGAGGTATTGGTACTGCGCGTGGTCGCGCAACTATTATGAGAGGTCAGTTCTCGTGTTTTTCTGCATCATACGATTTACTGACTGATCAACCTCTTCAGCGAACGGTATGGTTATTTTTCTTCTTCTGGAACCTGTAATCTGATTAAAATGATAGCTCGTCGGGGACGTGGCGTCCCTGCCCCAAGAGGCATCAGGAGGTGATGTGGGACGTTCTTGCGACTGCGGTAAAAATGTACATATTTTCATAATTCTGTATCTTGTGCAACACCAAACTGTTTTTGGGTTGCTTTGCGCAACCCGTGGGGGTTTGTAATGCATGCTGAAATCAACAAGGTTTTCTTGAACACAGAAGCTCGCTCGCTTGTCAAATTGCCAGAAAGGAGCCGGAGAAATGGAAATGCCCTTTTACGACTCTCAAGCTTCGACTTTCAGATGGTCACCTCGACCTGGAATGAATATCTTGACCATTTATACACAAACGATCAAAAGTTTCAGCAGGGTCAAGCCAGAAAGAAGGAATGACTGTCTTCTGGTCTGACTAGAGGAGACTAGGTTCAAGCTTGGATTAAGTTAGAAGACTGTCAGCGCTCTAAGGTAGCAATGTAAAACGCAACCCGGCGGCAGGATGTCATCTCGCTGAAATGGGATACATCTACATAGTCGTAATAGAAAGAATGACTGTCTTCCTTCTTATAATAGTCTGACTGGGGGAGACTAGTCGTAATAGAAAGAATGGCCGTCTTCCTCCTAATAGTCTGACTAGGGGAGACTAGTCGTAACTGGTCTAACTAGAAGTCAGAGACACGCCCTTTAAAACTCCAGTCACCGCCGTCATCGTTCCACTTCCCGACAGGCTCCCTCTTCGGACCACCTTGTTCACCAGTTTTGGGGTTGACATCACCCTCAAACTCGGGCGTTAACGGCTTGCGAGCGTCTGGGTGTAACGACATTTGTGCCTCCGCTTCACCGTGAGAGAGGGTTGGAGATGAGAGAGGCATTTGAGCACTACGCTGGAGTTCTTCGAACTCCCGTTGAAGTTCTCGTGGAAGGGGGGGAGGTGAAGGTCTATTCAAGTTGGATGAACTCATTCCCCGTGTTAGGCGTTGTTGCGGGGCTGACTTGGTCGCCAGTGAGGCGAACCGAAGAAAGGAGATGCGAGATGGCATAATGAGCCTTTAAGGTTTACAAAGACGGTGTGCTGGCAGCGTCAGTAAAAGGATTTATTGAGTGTGTATTTGCCAACACCTACTGGCCCGTTTATGTGACCTGAATGAGTGCGCTGGTTAGGTGATGGAACAAACAGGCTGAATGGAACATACCTTACGTCAAATGTCAACCGGCGGTAGACTGAGTGATGATTTTCAAGAAGATGATGATGACCCTTAGGACCTTGGTTCTCGAAAAGAAGTAGCCAGCGATGTTCGTTTTTGTGATTCAGCGATGCAGTTACCGGCGGCAAAACTTTCAAAAGGTCGATCAGCGATCGTAGACTTCCGGCGGACCCAATGTACTTTAGGCTGCTTTAGGGTATTATGCGCGGGGAAGTCCTTTTTATTAATTTTGGGTACATAGTGCATCGGCTTGTATTACGGCACCGAAATTTAAAAGTCCGATAGCAGCACGTGAGAGTGAACGTGAGGAGGGGGTAAATAACGTTTGCTTACCAAAATATTTAACCTGGTTTGTCGTGAATCGTGATTGCTATGTCTTGACCCTTTCTTCCTGACTTTCACACCTTTGAACAAGACGGTCATCTCCAGCTGCGACCACTGAATATCATTCATCCACAGGTTAATCTTTGATTCTGTTTCCGTACCCGTTTTATTTTAGTCCCTCAAAGTGCTATCGTGGATCTTCCTGAATCATCCCTCTCTCCTTCCTCCTTGAGATCATCGCATCCTTTCAAATAATCGCACCCTTCTTCATATGCATCCTACTCGTCCCTACTACTCTTCAAACGTCTATTCCTCAAATGTCGTAGATATTGGTGACCCTTATGTGGTGTCCCAGCAGCCTATGGCCAGCACGTCTATGGTCACTCTCCAGCGCACCTCCTCATACGCCAGCGACCAAGGCGCCTACAAGAAGCGAAAGATCGAGCGGGCCTGCGATGCTTGTCGCCGTAGAAAGACTAAATGTGATGGTCCACGCATGCCTGACAATATCTGTACCAACTGCGTACAAAATCGCAAGACCTGTTCTTATATGTATGTTCAAGGATCTATTGCCTACACAAAGTGAAGTTGCTTATCCATTGCGATTCTTACAGCGAGGCTTCAAAGCCTAGAGGTCCTCCAAAGGCGTTAGTACTCCCTACTCTCTGACTAATCATGACAATAGAAACTGAGACCGTGTGCAGATATATCACTGGTCTCGAGGACAGGTTGGAAAGAATGGAGGCGCTTTTAAAGCGGGTGCGTAAATCTCACGTCTGTCCACTACCCGCAGCATGTTGGGTGTCCCAAGAGCGTGCCGAGACCATCCAATGCATTTAGATCCTCACGCTCCATCACATGTCTCCCAGAGAAATGATGGAAACTGCATTCTATCTTCTGCTGTCTGACTTGTCTACTCTGTTGTTCCTATCTGACCGATGATCATTGTATAGCTCCGTCCTGAGGCTGACTTCTCGGAAGAGCTTGGTTCACCAGTTGTCCGTGATTCTTGGAAACGTGATGCAGAACCGCAATATCGTCTTTCCCCCGATGAAAAATCAACATCACCAGTCGCTCCTTTGCGACCTCATGGGTCACCTTCTGTCGGTACCAGTCTGCCTCCTGTTGGCAAAATTTTGCCTTCATCTAGCGTTAGTGTCAGGAGTCGGCGTTCCGCAGGCACCCCTCGCACTGATACGGACTTATCATCGGACACATATACATCGTCGGAGAGTGAAGAAATCGGCGAACTGAGTCTTTCCCGCGGCATGAAGCGTCTAACCATTCGTGGGCTTGAGCCTGCCCAGGAACATGGCTCATTGGTGGATAGTCAAGTCCGCTTCCATGGCAAGAGTAGCTGCTTCAAACTCATCGAACCAACTCGAAAACTCCGGGAGGAGCACATGAACCGCATAATTCAAGAGTCATGCTCGACTGATGTCGAGAGTGGACCAGGCAGCCGCAACTCACCAGAGTCAACGAGTTCTGTCAGCTTTACACCAATTCGACGGCCAGAATTCTGGACTACACCTTCTGTAAGCATCTATTCTCATTGGACATCAAACTACTCATCGCTTGTACTAGTGGGAATTTGCTTTCGAAGGTTTCCAAGACAGGCTCGAGACGCTCTGCCATTCGCTAACAGAGGAATTCCCCCCACCTGACTTGGCTGACAGTTTGATCAATTTATTCTTTCTCCATATCAACCCTCAATGTCCGCTTTTCCATCGGCCGACATTTGAACGCCAATGGCAGGAGGGTCTTCAAGAAACAGATCCGTGGTTTGGATGCTTGTGCTTGTCACTATTTGCTGTTGCTAGCCGCTGGTGCGATGATCCCCGCGTCTTGGATGGTCATAAGGGCATACCCGAGGCAGAGATACCCAATGAGGATTGCAAGTGGCAAAGAGCAGGATGGAAGTACTTTAACGCGGCAGTCGGTATGACGGCAACCTTGTCGATCTTGTCGATTTATCCTTGTCGATCTCATTATTCTCTGCAGATGTTCACCGCGATTCTCGCAGCTTGTTTCACCCCCCTGGCCTCTTTGAGGTACAGACAATGTCTGTGAGTAACTTCACAAAGACAACAGTGATTTATATAAATATCTCATCTGCCATAGTTGCTAGGCATGTTTCTACGCGGTACCGCCTTTCATCCAGTGGCTTGGCTCTTCATCAGTACTGGCCTACGAAAAGCTCAGGATGTTGGTGCACACCGCAAGAAGATCTACGGAGCAAAGCCAGGTGTTGAGGAGGAACTGTGGAAAAGAGCATTTTGGGTGCTTGTGCTATACGACCGCATAGGAAGCGCTGCTCTTGGACGTCCATGTTGTTCTGGAGAAGAAGAGTAAGTCACACGGTTTTCTACGTGACCCTTCTGACGCATGGTCATCCAGCTTCGATGTCGACCTTCCCCTGGAAGTCGATGATGAATACTGGGAAACCGAGGATCCTGAGAAGGCATTTCAACAACCACCGGGAAAGCCATCAAAGATAGCAGCATTTAATTCGTACCTAAAATTGACCAAAATCTCGGCATATGCACTAAGGACCATTGTGCGTTTTCCCACCCCGCAGATAACTCTTACGAGTGACTAACCTTTTCTTGGCGTAGTATGCTCTTGACAGGTCCAAGTTATTGGTCAGTGCCGCGCGTCCGCGGTGGCAAGAGGTTTTGAATCACCTTAGCACCGCAATGACCGAATGGGTGGACTCGGTACCTCCTCACTGTCAGTAAACATTCATCTTGGACGTCGATCCATCTCACGATTTGATTGCAGTACAATGGTCACCTCATATGGAAGATCCATTCTTCGCCAACCAATCAGTCACGCTGTATACCACCTATTACCTCATCCACATCCTCATTTACCGCCCTTTCTTGCCCGGTTCACTTCGCTCCCTCTCCAATGCTCCACCGCACGCAAACATGCCCGTCCCCTGCATCGCTGTCTGCGTCAACGCAGCAAAATCTTGTGCAAAGATACTTCGGTCGCAGATTCAAAGGGGTATATCTAATATTCCCACGCTCATCTGCGGGTCACACATGTGCGCTGCAATTCTTCTCATGAACTTTTGGGATTTGAAATGGCAAGAGCGCAAACAACTCCAATCTGGTGGAATGGAGGATGTGAAGCCGACACTTGCGGTTGCGATGGCGGAGCTCCTTGAAGATGTCTCCTTTTTCATTCAAGTGCTTGAACATTTGAAACCGCGATGGAGAAATGCCGAGATGTATCTGTACGTGACGCGATCTATTGTTTGACGGTTGCTGAGGTTTCCTACTTTCTAGAAAGGACCTTGGTACTTCAATGCCACACCGCCTCAACGGCACTGGAAGCGGTAGTCACAAAGACAATCTGACATCCCAAATCTACGGAGGCAAACCAGAACATCTCGCCCATCCCCCGGATTATCGCCCTAATCCCCCATCAGCGTATCACCCTGCGCTGCCGCCGGTCACTACATACCCATACATTTCACTGGCTCAACCCGTTAACAACAGCCCTCAGTGGTTTGATTTCCCGCACCTTACCAGACATCCAGTTCCTGGAGTGCTACCATTGTGGGCATCACATGGACTGGCGCAAGGGGGGGCCACCCCCTGGAGCAATCAACTCCAGACTCGCCCTTCGTCCTTACAATCTTCTCCTCACAAATACGACCATCCCGCCGTTCATCATTCCCTAGAAGCTAGGAAAGCTTCGGTCTCCAGCCTCGACTCTGGAATAATGATACCTTCGACCCTTGTGCACGGATCTGATACAAGAATGTCATGTAACGAGCGCCCCATCCCACGCCCGCAGTATGAACTTGCAAACGGTCCACCGTACAGTCATTATACCCAGCATAGTGGAAATGGCCAAATGCGTGCCGACGCCGCGCATCACCCATATGCCACTCATTCAGAAACAAGGTGTGCCTTTTGCATCATTAAAATTTCCTCTTCTCATGTCGTCCTTCGCCGTAGGTACGGGTGGCCAGCAGCTGAGTGGGAGCAAACGTATGGGCCTCGTTCATCAATTTCCGGCCCTCCTCCACCTCGTCCCAGCAACGTTTCGCACCCCAAAGGGAGTGAATACTCGCAGGGACACCTCCTCTCATATCCCGGGCATCATTAACTTCAATTGGGTAGACAGGGTCTTCTTCTCTTATGTATTCAACGACTTTCCATGATCAACTCCATGAAACTTGATGTCGAGGCCTCTGTTCATGATGTATTTATTTTCTAGTTTACATACCATTCGTGCTAGTCCTTGCTGCTGATCACATCTCTTTAGATTTATACCATGCTTTCTGTGTGCAATGAAGTGCTCCGTCTAGATGTAGTGCTTGTGGGACTATGAAAGCCTAACAAGACTACTTACAACCTCTCATTCTACAAGCTGTGATTTCTTTCAGCTCAGCGTGAATCGCAATGTATGCGAAAAATTGTCACGAGCAGAACGATAGAGTCATCCGAGGCTTGCTGCAAATTCATGCCCATATGAAGGCCAATCGGTCAAACGATAACCAGAAGGTCTGGCCTCTCCAGAGGTACTTCGAGTAAATTGATCATAGCCTTCATATTGACTCTTCTGTACTCAAAACAGCTGACATGAAGTAAAATAGGCTACATTGCGGCTGGCGGGGCATTGAAGAATAGACGCACGAGATAGGCACGAGATATTTTAGCTTCCTAACAATTCGTATTCACTATATACTGAACGAGCGGCGCACTTGGTTGGGAATTGTAGTAGATATGACCCATAGATGTGATTGAAGTGTCTGCAGTATCAAACGTTATGATAATACCGATGCATTGGCGCGTGATGGACTAACATAGATTGCGATGTGAGCTCTCAGTATGAACAGTGGCTGGGGTTGACATCCCAAATGTTATCCCCCTCTTCCCATTGAGGGAGAACGGCTGTGGCTCGTTCCGCTATGACTAGGGTAGGGAAGCGACACCTTTGCATAGGGGTACCGATAACCTCGATGATAGAATCAGTGCGCCACTTTTCAATCTCTTTGCAGTGTGCCTTGCACCCTGCACCCGTGACATGGATGACGAGAATCTTCAATCTTCCTTCCTCCAAAACGGGTCCAAGCATCTCCTTAATGGAGTTAACACTCCCATACAGCCCGTGCCTGTACGAAATTGCCAGATGTGTGAGATAAGGTAGCTCTCGAAGACGAGCAACGCTCTCAAACGTTGTAGCAGGGGTTAGTTGTATTCTGAGATGCGTGACTAGAGGAGAGATGATGGACATGTCGAGGCCATCTCGACAAGCAAGCGCTATGAGGTATTGTTTGTGGGGTGCAATAGGAAGGCGAAATGTTGTGGTTTCCAGCGGGGCGACAGGCTGCTTTAGGCTCCAAGCACAGTGGACGTAAGAAGGGACGGAAAATCCACAAATGAGACTTGTCACGCCAGTGCACTTTTTCAGCACTTGATCTATATTGTTGATGGGGCCCAGTGCGGTAATGCTCAGCCTCTTCACCAGATTATGCGCGAAGGCATACGGTTTGGAGTCGAGAGTAGCAATGAATGCCACGAGGGAGCGACTGGATGAGAGGGAGACTGTATGGTAGAGGTTGTGTTCGACATGGTTGCGCACCCAGTGCGAGACAAGTGATAATGCTACAGCAGTAGGACGGTGAGTAGATGCCAGCGAGAAGATGAGGAGCAGGAGTTCAGGCGGGAGAGCAGCAAAAGGCGACGCCATGAGGGTACCAGGCTAATGATTGTGAAGGCCGGTCTTATCCAAGGGTGGTCATCTAAGAAGATTTATACTTGCGATAAAACGGCCCATTGCTCCTCCAGTTGGGATCAGGTTTCTCGAGTTGCTCCACCTGCTCCACCAAACGCTCGATGAGCAGCTTGCTATCGGTTGGCGCCTGCGATGTAAGGGAGAAAGATTATGCAGAATCGCTCTAGAAGATCGGTTGAATGTACTGATTTTGGAAGGCTACGACAGTGGAGGCCACGCGCATGACGTAGCCATAGCAATTATAGAATATAAAATATTGCCAAAGATAACACGAGAAATATGATTTGTTGATAAATAGGGACGACATCGACGGTTAGTGGGATTCACTGAGCAGGTAACGCACTGCTCTAAACTTTGTTTAGTCTAAGCGTTCTCGTTTTCCCTCGTTATTCTGGGTGTTGAAGGCTTTCAAAGTTTCCTGTGAAGTTTGACTTTAACCGGACTTTACAAAGGTTCATGAATCTACATTTAAAGTTCAAGTGAGGCCGAACTTCGTCGGCAGGAACTTTGTCGACTGAGCGTACAATATTAAACTGGGGTTGTTCTGGAACAACACCAGATACACTTCGACTGACATTTGGCAGGTACCACCACAGCTAATCCCGGCAAAGGTGGTGTAGGGTGATCGACAAAAGTTCCATGGTGTCACATCGCCCTCTCACCATACCATGATATAGCAAAGGGGAAGTCCCTAGCCGGCAAAAAGGTTACCAACAAACCTTACTTGCTGCAACGAAGCCGAAGAGGAAGCATGGCGGAAAGTGAGATGAAGGGCTGCACTACTGAATAGAATAAGTAATCGGAATGCATGTCATGGTGAATTTCAACGTAGAAACTGACCTAGACATCGCCAGTACGTAGTTCTCGACCGTTAGTTTCAATGGAGCGCACGTTTGCCATTATCCATGGGAATCACCTGACATCCATAAGAAGACGGCAGCTGCCTCTCACACCATCATACTCGTTCACGGACTACTGGTCACAAGGTCAGACCATCAATAACGCCATTACAGACATTGCGACACCACCTACCACGGGACTTCTTCCATTCAATATCTATGTCCCACTATCGCGAGCTCGTGGCCGAGACGGAATTCGGTTGTTGTGAGATTTTTGACGAGAACTTGCTGGTGACACATTCGTCAGAACATTTGAGAATTGAAGATGAAAGGTTGGCACTTGCGCACATGGTGCATTGATGAAGATCGACGATCTACTGATATCGGCGTAGATATCAAATTGTCCATAAATTCCCATGTGTACACAACTTGGTTCCTTTCAGCCACAATGATCAGTTCTAGTGACCTTGTTATTATTAACAAGGCAATGCCTATAACTTTCGATAGGAAGCAGCAGGAAGCAGTAGGAAGCGGCAGGAAGCAGCAGGAATATTTGCCTGTCGAGTGCGGGAAGGATCTGGCCAGGGTCGCCAAGCAAATAGGTCGCCGGAGTAGCTTCGCTGATATTATTGGACGTCCGTGCTAGTGCAAGCATTCGAGACATTAGCCTTGGACGAGGCAGTGCCTTCTCCCGCTGATGGTCTCGCGTTGCGCTGCAGGCATTTGAAGAACAGGGCTGATCCTCGGAAAAACACCTCGTGTTACGAACAAGTCCACAATCAGCATCCCACAGAGGCGAAATCGGAGGAACGAAATCAGGGACAGGCCATGATTTCATCAATCGCAATGTGGGAGCATTCCTCATGATGTTGCGATTGGGAATACTTGGCAGTGCACGGTTGTTGCGTCGAGGTGGTGAGCACGTAATATACAGTAATAAACTAGTCGCGATAACTATTAATGGCATGAAACCTGCTGTAACATGAGGACTTACATCATCTAAGAACCCATGAAAGAGCCCAGCCTTCTAGTACAGTCAACGCGTTATGCTTGACATGCTTCTAGACGACTTGGCGGTATGTTCGTTAGTGCACTGTGCTGCTAGTTTGCTCCCACCGCCTGCAAAGTACGACACTGAGTATGACACACTGTCACCTTCTGGATCCAATGACTGCTTCACCCGTCTCTCCCCGGCACATGTGCGTCGTGCACCGTGAATCCATGTCCTTGCCAATTTCTCGCCGTCCAAATAATATGACGCTCGAACCAATCATTCTTACCAACGAAACTGTCACCCTTGTGTTCGTCGGGACTTCCCATACCCAGGACGGCCCTTATCTCTTGCATGGCTAACGCATGTATCCGGTGTTGCTTTCCGAGGACCTCTATGCAGCCTGAAATTTGTCCTCATTCCTATCGCCCTTCAGTTATCTCTAATCAAAGTCTTGGCATACATAGTGAACCAGGGAATGAATGTACCACCCCACTCTGTCCGTGTACATTTGTACAGGGTTAGCAGATCGATCGGAGTCGAACAACTGTGCAGATCCAATGCCAGGCACAGACCGTCGGAAACCAATACATGTGCGCGGGAGGGACCAGTCGTACACCATGGCGATAACCGTCGATCAGAGTGGTTAAGCGGAAAGCGGCGCGATAGTTATTGTTTGCCGCGAAGACCTCCCTGACTGCGGTTAAGGTCGTCTTCTAGTGATTCATCTGCAGCAAGAGCACCATCGCCATTCCCTGACTTTTTACTTGGATGGGATGACCGTCCATGGCTCGACATTTCTGCAATAGCCTGCTGGCGAGTCCAGCTAGTCTGAGCGACAAATGCAACAAGAGTCTAGAACAAAATGGTGATGGGTCACCATGATTCAGTTCAAGTAAGAACAGGCACTTACCACCAATACAGCACCCATGATCACTCGCTCTTTCCACCGCTCATCACTAGCTGTATCGTCGAAATGAGGCCGGCGCGACCTAGCTGACCATCGTATCGGGTCCACTTTGTGAGTGACTTCTACCGGTCCGCCTGAAGAAGATGTCTTCCCTCGAAGTATATCGTACGCTTTAGAAATAGCTTGAAACCGTGTCTGCGACACCTCGGAGGGATAGTGACGACCGACAGCCGAGTCGGGGTGGTAAATTCGGACAAGTTCATAATCTGCTTCGCGTTAGGTCGTATGAGCGCAGTGGTAGTATAACATGATACGTACATCTCCGTTTCACGTCCTCCTGGTTTGCATTTCGCGGTAAATGGAAGATCTGGTGCGGTTGAGGGTTTGTTTGTGTTGGATATGGGTAGGGATTGGCACTTTTGGACGCGTACGAACGGGAGGTTTGCAGTGGGATAAGGAGCGTGCGCACTCGAGAGCGAAATGTGGGCACTCGCTGCATCAGTGTGCAGTAGGCGTCGAGTAAAAAAATAATATTGGATGATATGTCCTGGCCAGCCTGAGCACCGTACTGTTTGAACAGGCTTGCCAGATAGTTGTCTTTTGTGCGCACAGCAAATACAAGACGCGGTCTATCCTAGCCAAGACGAATGAAGATAGTCATTTGTGACGTTGACTGTTTAGCGTATTAGGCTCGAAGACAACGGCACACGTGAAGAATACTTTCGAACTCCAAAGACAGGAATCACAGGATTAAAGTCTCGTATTCGGGGGTCCAAAATACACTACTGTTCTACGAGTAATCTAGGCGTATAAGTACTGCGCAGAAAGGCACTCTGAGGCTATCAAGTAGATAGGAACGGATAGGAAGAAAGGTAGTAAAGTGACAAGCAATAAACTGTCAGTAGAGTAACGACAGTATATATACTTCGTGCGCAATAGCCTATGTCTAAGGATCGAGGGAATGTATCAGTCTAATAAGGAACTTCGGATGAGGGTGACCGTTACATCATTCCTTAAGGTTCAGTTCGGGGGGTCGGCGACGCTGTGACGAACCTAAGGTCGAATGTACACAGTATTTGATCTGATTTTGCCAAAAAATATCTATCAAAATCATCTCATGGCCGATTTCCTGATGACTGTGTAATGATTTAATAGATAAAGACTCATGTGTTCCATCTCGCGAAAAGACGGACGGACAACAATATATTACATGCATACTAGTACGTACTGATCTATCACACTGATGAGAAGGAATTCGTCTCTACCGTCACCTCAATGGGGCGACGTGGCTAAGGCGTGACAATCAGTACTCTTCCACCGCCAGAAACGCAGCTACTGACCATGGCAGATGAAGTAATATGCATCACTTCATCGTCGGAATGTTTAAACATGTTCTTCCGGGATCCCTGGGATCCCTGGGATTCCTCGTCTTGCGACGCCTTAACGTTCAGCTCCGGGCGGTAGAGGGCGTGGCGCATATGAACTTCAGAAGAGTTGTTATTAGTATCTGTGGTAGGCTGCAAGAAGCTTCGCGCGTTCAGGAGTGCGAAGAACGAGTTGACATATACTGAAAAGGAACCAGTGATCAGCACAATTTTATGAGAATGCTTTGGTCATACATTTAGCCAATAAAAATTCAACGCCGAGGAATATCAAGTCGTGCGGCATCGCTGCACACTGTAGGCAACCTCAGAGACAAGATGGACAGTACAATCATTGGAGGCTTACTATAATCACAGCCACCATTGAACATATGCTGCATCAAATATGAGTCAAAGATGTGGACTAGTCTGGGGGGAGGAAATACCTTGTCAGACAACCCGTGTTAACGATGTAAGCCATGAGCTTTGTTATTTTATAATCGGAGCTAAGTACTCCATGTTAGTATATTAGATCCTTTGCAGTGAACAAACCGCTCCTTACCTAGAAAATCCAGTACGGGAAGTAGCGAGGAGATGGCATAGCGATGATGCAATAATGACATCGACAAAAGTCATCGTGCCCAAAGTCATATATGTCGTCCACTCGATTTTGATAAAATCTGTAAACACGCGACACTTATATCTACTCCTATCAGCAAGTCGTATAGTTATGGAGTACTCTGTTTCACTCACACGGCCCAAACCATGGCTGGCATTGGATTAACATGATGAGCTGACAACTAGGGTACCAATTATTTGAACTCTCACAGATGGCAACGCCTGAAAAAAATCATCAAGATCGAGCGAAGAGGAATTGCAGGTGATAGACTTACCTGAGCCTAGTATTACGATTGTGCCCTAATATTGGATCATCAGAATCAAATGCCATAATACATGATCGTCGATTTCAAACCCACCACTGTTATAGGGAGGACTTTTGATCGGCCCTCGGCGATTAGGTACATTGCATCAGTCGTAGAAATCCATTGACAGGGAAACACATACCTAACCACATGCGATAGACATACAGACTGCGAACCAATAAAAGTGTTACTTGAATCCTTCAAATTGTATATAACAGTACTTCGAACTTACAGATGTACCCCATAGACGATTAAAACCTGTGGTGCATATGTAGGACAGATCGCAGGGCATAGGAAATGCAACTTACATCGATGATGATCTGAAGCTACACGAGCCCGTCAGCATTGTAGTAAAGGCTGCACGAAGGCACGAAGTAAAAAAACTCACTTTGAAGCTCCATACAATGTTTGTGAGTGCACTGATGTTCGCGTAGTTCGTCACCAAATAATAGTAGATGCAATGGACTATTAAGAACATGTGCAGAGCATCAAGTATCCTAAAAATTTAGGGGACGGCGTAACCTCGACGCCATCGACGATGGCAACGGGAAAGAATACATACCAAAGCCAGAGGACCTAATGTAGCGTCAACAACTGAACTGACGGAAAGAAGCATGAACGCACGGCCAGCTTATTGAATGTGATCCCTGTGCCCTTGTTCGTCTGAAAGTAGAAGAAAGCTTGAACATTGGTTAGACCAAAGAGCCTGGCCCGTGAGATATATTAGAACGACAGGACTCGGTGAAGCGCTAAGCTTTGTGAGTAGATAGTGTACTGACATTGTTGCAATGATGACCCCGATAAAAAGTGCCCCAAATGTGTTCCCGAGTTGAGGTTGTGGGATGAGGTCCTGCGTTGAGGAAGACATTGATGTTGACTCAGGCTTGAGCCCATTCACCAGCAAAGCAGTATTTGCGCCGTACTATATATCCTGCAGCCACAATAGGACAATGAGGCCATGGGATGGCCGCTATCTAGATCTGGGATGTGACGGAATGTATAGCTTCTGTGCTGATAAGGGAGCATACCTTTAAACGTGATGATATACAGCATCACACAGTACTAGTGCCGGAAGGAGGATGGAACACCGCTTCGGAAGTTCCAATATACCATCATGTCTGTCAGAATCGCTAGTATCATACACGCAAATTCCAGGTCTATCAAAAGAATTGGCAGATGGCCTGATACAAAGTAAGATCAATGGCAGATTGAGCAACCCACAAGGATAAAACACGCACTGCATTTCGCGCCATGCACAGCTTTTGGTGGAAGTAAGGGGATCCATCAGGGGTGAGTCTATCATGGCCTCAGCCGGAGAACAATCATTCGTAAAGAAGACAATGATGTAATTCCAGGGTTTTATTCCACGGCTTTCATTGTACTTCGACTGATAATGATGGTAACTTGAGTCCTTGACCGCCAACGCGGTGCACAGGCGAGTTAGATGCAACGGCTTGACATACTAGTACATGCATAAAACTTATGAGCAATACCTCAGGGTTTCACTGCGGGGAATAACTGAGGCCTGTTGAGTGTGCGAAAACAATGGTACAACTTCACCAACCAAATTGATATTACGATGGGTCCGCAAACGCGTTAACCATGATGGATACTTGTAGACATACCTTATTCAAGGTCAGCGCTCGATTATATATATGAAGTACAGCGGCCAGCACGCTCACACACCTGAATTTCATCCAAAATTCCAAGCCCAATTCTTGTCCTATCACTCGTTCCACCCCAGGCCATCCCTGCTCTTCCGTGTCCCTGTTCGTGTTGCGCCCGCACCCTGTTGGGCACAAATTTCGTGATGCAAAGCCTCCATCGCGAGGCCCTTGCCTAGCAAGGCATGACACATCACTTGATAACGCTCAACACTCGTGGCAAATTGCATGCAGGCGAGGACTTTAACGAGGGTCATCGATCTGTCCCGTGAACTTTCACTTCGGCTAGTAGATACAGCTGCATGACCATTCAGAATGATGATAGCATGGTGGCCTTCGAAGCATCGGTTCTTCGCTGGTGACTATGATGACAATACAGTAGACCTTCGTGCTAGGTACTAGAGCATTGGAGATATCAGATGGTATGCAATTCCTCGACGTACTCCTCGATCACACCTATGAAGGGTCCGCGCGCCTTGTTCACCATTAGCAATATTGAGCTGAGGAATTAAGACATTTCATTGCTGCATGGCGTAGTATGCTGTATTACTGGGCAGTGTAAAGGCTTGGAAAGGCCTGCCTGGCCCTGAATCGAAGGTGTCCACAACGCGGGAAACAACAACTCATGATCAACAAGCTTGGAAACAATGGACACCGCCTTTTTTAGGTAAATCGGAATCCATGTAATATTTACATCATTATACACAACACCAAAACACTTCCTATACGTACAGTATCGTACACTTGGGTATGAAAAAGAGAAAGACAGCACAAAAAAACCATGTGGGTACGTGGTCATCGCAATAAAATTGCCGTTAGCTTCAGTTAAGACTCACAACAAGGCAGCCATCATTGCGAGGATCTACTTCAACGTGTAGACCCAAACTGCATGATATCCATGATGAACAAACTTATGGAGACACGTTCGTAATGCGCATACCTTCCAGCACGATCCTGGATCGCAGGTTTGATCTTCGGTATGTTATTTTCGGAGTGATTTCCCTTTCCTGTGCAGTTTTATAATCAATGAGAAACCCGTTTCTAGAGTTGAATGTGGAATTATGCCTTACCTACGATCACACGAAGTGATGATTCTCCACGGTCTTGACCCCCTTGAACAGCGTCGTTGAAATAGAACAGGGCTTCTTGGACATAGAGTCTGTGGAGATCAACCGTATTGGTGGACCTGTGCTTCTTGAAACAACGTCGGACAGAGGCGCCCTTCAAAAGAACAACAACAAACTCGGTTATTTTCTAGATGAAATTGGAGGTGAGTTAGTGTATCCTGCACATTTCGTCAAGTTTCATACCTTGAAATATCTTCGCGCTGGCTTCCTTATCTAAGCGCTCCATGTTTTCTTTGTGCGCCCCACCCTTCTGCGAAAGCTGTCCAGCGCGCTGTCGGTCGTTGCCAGCTCTCGCTTCTTTGCTCTCCTTGAAGCATTTGTCCATCTGTTCTCCCTCATTTCTGGCTTTGAGACGAAGAGACGCTGGTTCTTCGTCCGGGTCAATCACTACAGGCGCCACATCAAAATCTGGCGCTCTTGCAGTAGGAGAACGATGTGGTCGCTATGTGTCGAAGTGGTGAGTAAACAGCAGATGTGACACGCCCGAGGGATGTAACTGACAGGTGCAGTCACCGGAACAACATCAGGAGATACAAAGGGTGTGGGTTGTGTAGGGAGTAACGGTCGACGAGAAGGCCGATGGGGAGGTGGCCGAAGCGGGGAAGGGGTCTGGTAGCTTTCGACTGCTGGACGCCGCGGTGGCGAAAGCTGGTATGAAGGTAGGTCCGAGGTTGGCGGGGACTTGTTCCAGTCGTTGAATATGCTGATTGCTTTCCGCAGCAACCAAGCCGGACCATTGAATAGGGCCCCGAGGGCCCATAGTACAGAGGGGATGAACTTCTGCATGATATGATATGGGAGATGGAGAGGCCCTATCGCTACACTTGAGGTCTATATTTACTAACACATTGAGCGCTCCGCCCACATCCATGTTAGATTACATGATGAAGTACATCAGCAAAAGACCCATAATTTTCGCTTGTCAAAAAGAAGATTAATGATTACGGAGAGCTTACGACGCTGGTGATGGAGCAACGCGATTGGTGGAACAGAAATTCCAGACGTGAACGCCGATATTGCTGCCATATCTGGCTGATCAAACTTAAGTCGAAGTTATCTCGCGCGGATAAGATGCGATGCTCAAAGATATGATATGATGGTAGTCGGTTGATACATGAATATGCTACTGCCTATACAAACTCGGTACTGAATGTATGATAGCTCTCCTTGTCCGCGAAGTTGTTCAGAAAGAAACGCTCGAAGGTTTCCAAGCAAGTCGCAGAGGACACGCCGTCGCCCACTGCCTCGCCATAGTCCGGTATCAATTCAACCGCATGTGTTACATCTGTCATCCGCACAACAGCCCCCTTCCTATGGCGGCCACCGTGTTCATCGTGCATGTACGCACGCTCCACAGTCCACATGGCGAGTTCGGGACGTTCGTCAGGATTAGAAACAAAGGGGAGATATTGGATATAGAGAAGCGGGTCGGAGAGGCACGATGGCAGTACCAGGTTGGAACCTCGTCGAATCATGGGCTGAAAAATCAATCGAACCTGTGCAACGCAACTCGCTGTGAGTGATATCAGTAGTGCTACAACATAAGCGCAGGAATAGACGCACTTATTCTGCCTTCAACGCCCGTGCCGTCAACGAGAACGGTGTCGCAATTGCCAAAGGGAAAATTGTCGCTGGGTGGGTATGCTTGTACTACTCTGCTGGGCATGATGACTCGTGGCTGGAATGCTGAATGAAGCTGCAGCCGAAACTTGTTCCACGTCTGAAAGCGCCCATATTTGGGGTCCCAGCTGGCACGCTCGCCGCTGGGCGGGGCTGAACGACGAATAAAATCAGCAAGCGCACGATCAAAGTCGGGGAGAGCGAATTTCGTGCGAATTTCAACTGGTGACAGCGACTTGTAATCTGGCGCGACATTCAATTGAAAAGCAGTGAGGGCATCTTCAGAGAGAATGCCCTTCAAAAAGTGGTTGCGGACTGGTCGTGGACCACGGACCGAGTTGACTTCGTCAGGGAGAACACGGGAAACCCAGGAGAGCGCAGGATTTGTAGTTGTAACCTCCTCATCTTCCGTGTGTATGGCATTGACAAGCGGCGCCCCCCATGAAGTCAACAGTGCGTACAGGTCAAATATCTCCATTGATTCTTGGCGGTTAAGAATCCGTACACACTGCTCTGTGAAATCTTTGCTCTGCCGGGCTGTCCGCGGGAAAAGTTCCTTACAGTGTGTTATGAGCAAGCGCTCCGTCGTGTCAGCTGAAAACTGCATCAAAGTGCCCAATCTCTGGATCGTACCCTCGAAGCTTTGCAGTAGCTCAAGTTTCGGGATGAAAAAATCTTCCTTGGCGCCCTTCTTCCCCCTCCTCGCTGCGGCCTCGATGATAGCATCCTTGAAAGAGTGGAAGTCCGAAAGTGCCTGCACCATTGATTGAAGTGATTGGTGTGAATGAACCGGATTCTGGGCGAGGTAAATGAATTCCACAAGGGCACGGATTGCGCGAACGAATCTAGGTGGAGCGGCACCTGCGATCGAGGCAACGACAGTGCGTTGTATGTCTCTGTGCTCACGGCCCGTCATTTGCTTGACGTGCGTGATACCTTTTGCGAAGTGGCGCGTCCCGACCCGCTTATGCTGGGTCATGAAGCGCTTATCAAGCTCGTGATTTCCTACAGCCTCCTTAATCCATTTGAGCGGGTGATCAGCAAAAAACTTGTGGCAAGTGTGCAGAAGCTCGCCAGCGAGGAAGACAGACGGACATGCGAACACCCAATCACGCCAAAACGGCATGTGTACTCCGGACAGATTGACAAGTTTGGCTGCTTTCTGGAACTTGTCAAGCTCCCAAGGATCAACTGTTTTGGTGATATCGACAATGAGTTGTAGTGTATGCCGCCCGGTGCGTGGGGGGTGGAGGATCCCATCACCAAAATCCCGTTGTGTCGCCATAGTTATAGGAGATGCGTTTTTAGCAACTGCAGCGATCATACTAGCCTCCGGCAGGTCGCATACATGAGCCACGAGAGGCGTGAAAACATAGCGAATGTATCGGGAAGGATCAGGCATGAAACAGCCGTCCATTGCTGCGGCCTTGAGGTTGGCAAAAACGAGGTCCATGCATTTATGCCATAGCCGTGCCTGGAGAATGCTTTGATAGTCCGGATGCACGCGAAACTTGACAATCGGCATGTAGGCAACGCAGCGCCAAGCTCGTAATGTTGCCTTGGAGCGAACCTCGGAATCAATGTTGCCGATAGTGACGAAAACTGGGTGCATCTCAAGTCCCCCTGTGAGTCGTGTTACAGCAGTTTTATCGGACCCCAGGATAATTGGCACTTGAGTTGCACCGAAAGGAAGATGGTCCTGGAAAATCGTGAAGTCAATCCATAACTCGACGAATAAGATGAACAGAGTGAACAGACCTGAATTTTCCATGCCATGTCAGCGCTCATGTAATCTCCGTATTCACGTTGGTTTCCGACATTGACAATGTGCGGGTTGAAAGTCATATGATTCGCAAAGATCGGGTCGCTAAAGAGTTGTTTAACGACCTCCATCGCATCGCGCCAAACAAGCTCGATGGGATAGACTGTCTTGTAGCCCGAAAACTCCATTTTGGAAACTTTCCACTCCGTAAAACAAGGGAGCGAGTCCATCCAGTCTAAGAGTTGATCTTTCGTGGTGAAAGAGGGTCTTTCACGTGTGTTAAACTGTGGAGGTACGATCAGCATTGTGTCTATGGCTTGAACCATCCTTTACCCATTTTAACTTCAAAAACTTGGTGATTTGGGTTTGGTTGAGGTTTTCAACCAAGAACTTCCCTAATTCCCATTCACCTTCATCACGGAAAGGGTAGTGGTGGTTTATCTTCCGCCGATACGCATACTCATCATCTTCCAACCTATCGAGCATATTCCTGCCGACACCAAAGACATATCCAGAGCGTGGATGGCAAGTACCAGCTGCGGGCGTCTGATCGCTTGAATTGGCACCTCGACGGAATACAGGAGGGACAGGTAATTCTTGTGGTCGTGCTTCAGATGGCCAACAGGTAGACTGAGAATTAAGATGCAGAATTACCGCCTCGATAGATGGATATTCACCCAAGTTGCAGTTGGGGCATAACCTGTCAAAGGTACGTAGTACGCATCAGCATCGAGCCCAACAGAGGATACTCACATCGTAGCTTAAGCTTTGCCTTTGGCCTGTGCAGGCTGTGTTGCTGCCAGCTGTACTTACCCAAAAACTTGCTAAGTCTTTCGAAGTCCGCAGCTACGCATTTTTTCACACTACACAATCACTCGCTGGCGTCATCCGCAGGAGGCGCCAATGTTTGCGACTTCATCTCCCATCTCCTCCCCTCCTCGGTCAAGCAGCCCAGCCCCTACCACAGGCTCGAGCAGGAGCAGTGCAACTAGGGTTGAAATAGCACCCTTTGAACTATACAAAAAGCCAAACTTGAACCCCCCCCATGCAATGACTGAGTTAGGCTCTGGCACTAATTCTCCAGGTTACCCACATACTCCCCTCTCCCCAGTAGATGTGACTGACTTAGGCTTTGGCACTAATTCTCCAGGTTCCCCACATACTCCCCTCTCCCCAGTAAATGAGAAGCCAAATCATTCTATGACAGGGAGCCTATTGTATAGGCCTTCCCGTCGTGGTGGCCTCACATCCTCTTCCCCTTCCCGTCGTGGTGGCCTCACATCCTCTTCCCCCCGTCGCGGAAAGTCTGCTGTTCTCCGTCGTGGAAATCAGCGATCTCAGCCCCTGCGTGAGGAGAGGCCCAGGCCATACCCTGGCCGCCCAACTCCACTGGAGCTTCGGATATCAGCTCGTGTATCAGGACGGGCATGCAAACCAGAATTCACGCCCGAGGAAATTAATGAGGTATGTTTATGCTAATTTCTTTGTTACAAGAGGCTCATCTCATTCATATGGGAAAAGAATGAGACAGCGATACGGAACGGCTTTTCAGAACTGAGCTTTTCAACGCTCTACAAGTTATTTCAGGCAAGGCTTGCTGGCCGTGAGGCTGCACGCCAGCGTCTACTGTCTACAACGTGGGAGATCGAGGAGGCAGAGCGGTTCTTATCATTCAACCAGGCACTCCATGAAGAGAACAAACGCCGCCTCATATGGTCTGATGAAGAGTTGAAACGTGTTAGAGCCGTTTTTTCTGAGCGTGAGCACACAGAAATCGAGGACGACAAGAATTACCTTCAAGCTGTCTACGATGACGAATGCGAGATGCTTCGCGCTGTCGCCGCCCAAGCAGAAATACTCTCAAGGCACTTAGGCATGCATGCCAAGGATGATCTGCTGAGATCCCTTGGAGAAACCTCACAGAAACCTCGAATCGTCGGTTTGGTCAAAGAAATCAGCAGCTCATGTACTTCCTCCGATCTAGAAGGCAGTATGGGCAGTGCCGTTGAGGATGATATTGAGGGTTCTGATGCTGATAGCGATGATGATATCTAACCTTCCTAAACCTTGCAATCGGTATGTAAATTTTATCATCCCCGCTCGTTATCCACGCTGATCAATATCATTCGTGGATAGCCGCCTGTTCATATCATTCCTCGGATCGATCCTTTTCTTATTAAACCCAGTGCCCTCCAGGACTTTCCGCCCTCGTTTCAATTCAATTCAATTCCGGACCGCGTTACCTCTCGCCTCTCCCAATATGTAACATTTGTACAAAGTTTGCAAGTGTGTTGTTTTGTAGTACTGTCAATGAAATGCGCGTGTCATTTGTATCTTCTGACCACCATCTTCATGACAAGTAAGCGTCCCCCACAGCGCAAGGGCAAAGCAGCAGTCCCTAAACCACCTCGAGGATCTGGCCTCAACCCTTCTGGTTTTCCTCTCGCTAATCAACTCTACCTTCCAGCTGAGCAGCCGCACATGCCCGCATTCAATTTCGACCCATACGCACCGAGGGATGCAGGTAAGCACACGAGTCGGTCAGCACCCACCATCACTAATGATTTCACACAGATACCCAGGACCAGCCGTTGTGCCAAGGATGATCTGCTGGGATCCCTTGGAGAAACCTCACAGAAACCTCGAATCGTCGGTTTGGTCAAAGAAATCAGCAGCTCATGTACTTCCTCCGATCTAGAAGGCAGTATGGGCAGTGCCGTTGAGGATGATATTGAGGGTTCTGATGCTGATAGCGATGATGATATCTCACCTTCCTAATCCTGCAATCGGTATGTAAATTTTATCATCCCCGCTCGTCATCCACGCTGATCAATATCATTCGTGGATAGCCGCCTGTTCATATCATTACTCGGATCGATCCTTTTCTTATTAAACCCAGTGCCCTCCAGGACTTCCCGCCCTCGTTTCAATTCAATTCAATTCCGGACCGCGTTACCTCTCGCCTCTCCCAATATGTAACATTTGTACAAAGTTTGCAAGTGTGTTGTTTTGTAGTACTGTCAATGAAATGTGCGTGTCATTTGTATCTTCTGACCACCATCTTCATGACAAGTAAGCGTCCCCCACAGCGCAAGGGCAAAGCAGCAGTCCCTAAACCACCTCGAGGATCTGGCCTCAACCCTTCTGGTTTTCCTCTCGCTAATCAACTCTACCTTCCAGCTGAGCAGCCGCACATGCCCGCATTCAATTTCGACCCATACGCACCGAGGGATGCAGGTAAGCACACGAGCCGGTTAGCACCCACCATCACTAATGATTTCACACAGATACCCAGGACCAGCCGTTATTCAATAACGCTGGTCCATCATACTCACCGTCGAATAACCTTGGTTTTTACTCGGGGGCAGGTCAGTCGTACAACGGTCAGTACCCACCATCACTAACGACTTCACGCAGATGCCCAGAACCAGCCGTTCGATGGTCCATCGTACTCGGGGGCATCCCAGCAGGGTCAGTCGTACGATGGACCATCTTACCTGGGGGGGGATTCGGGGGAACCAGGTACGAATACGACCGCGTCGTTGCCCACCTACTGCTAACGAGACCACACAGATACGCAGAGTCAGGGTCCACCGTTCTACGACGACGACACGCAAGACCGGCACCCAGCGTTCGACGACGACGCCGGCCCACCTTATGACTTCGGTTCGGACTTCGATTTCGACACCAGTGGATTTGATGGTGGCACTGGTCCACCCGGCCCCAGTGGACACGGCCAAACCAATCTTGACGACGTGAATGCGGCACGGCCCACGCCGGCTTGGGTGGACCAAGCCCCGGACCAAGGCATTGGTCTGGTAGACCGAGGTGGTGGTCTCGTGCCGTCGAACTGGAATACAGCGCTGATCCGGCGAGGAGAAATCCCTCGCTCAGAGATTGTTCACGTGCGTGTTTTTTTTATTTATTTGTCCCGTCAATTTATTAAAATCTTATGCAGACTGGGGGCCCAGCACGAACAACGAAAAAACGAGCATCTCGACGCTCGATGCCCGGAACGCCATATATCATACCACAACCCCTCTCCGTCACTCAACGAAACGAAACGCGTACAGAACCTCCGCAGGTGATACCCGCACCTCCCCCAACGACATCTCACGTGTCTCCGAAAATCATCACTCTGTCGCAAGATTCCATCGCAGACGCTGTAAATAAAGGGAAACAGTTGATTATACGGGAAATGTTCTCAAGGAATGCGTTGGGCCTGACCAGAAGGCAGCGCCAAAGTCTCGTGGAGCGGGCCATCAACGAGTCCATTCCCGCTTGTCACGAACCCAACGGTAAGTGTCCTCTACGACGATCTAACCTGTTTACTGATATTCGCAGTGGCATTCACAAACTTCATAACGAAATTACACCTTCGAAAGGTAGCGAACGCCTTCTCCTCGACGCGCGGGAAGATGATTTTGTTCGCGCGAGACGGCGTTTTCGTTGCGTTCGAACTCTTCCCCCCCATACAAAATCCTCAAGTAGCAGATACTTTTCGTGTCGCGAGAGTAAGCGCACTAATTCACGGTGTTGACCCGCTGTTGTTTATGCACAGGTATTCATTTAACGAGGCACGTTGGGCACGCTCTCTATCTACGGTACTTCTACTCAGTTCTCTTTTCAGAATGGCCTTGTCACCGTCCACGCGAAGTTCGAAAATCCGTTCGTCATGGCGCTTACCATTCGTTTCATCTGGTCCGGGGGCCGCCAACTATTTCTCGGCGATGCGCCGCTCAAAGCGTTGAAGCATGTCGTGGCGCTGAGCGGCGCTGCTACCCATTGCGCCTTGGAGGAGCAGGGGCGGGTGAAGATCGACGTCATATCCTTTGGCGAGACATCACACGGACCCAAATTCAAGGAGATACTTGCCGCGTTTAAGAGCCTCAGCCCCGAGGAGAAAGCTTCCCTAAAGATCTTTTTGCAATACATACTGGATGTTGGACCTTCGCAAGCTCGAGAGGGCGAGGACTCACTAGCATCCTCGCCTGAGTCGAGTGATTGGTTGTAGGTAGATAGCACACAGATGATCAGATAGCAGAATGTATTAGTAGTACTACTATCAGATTTTGATAATCGAGCAGATAACCAACGCATCTCGCATAGGATGGTCTCAGGGTTCAACATAACCAAAACGAGCGTGGTGAATAGCGCCAGGGTGCAACATAACCTAAAACGAGCGTTTACGAACGCCGGCCTGAACTAACCCAATCAAAAACGCTCACAAGCATTTGTGAGCAGCTTTTGGAAAAAGGTGCGTTTTTAGATGTATGCACGAATCAAGGGGGAACCCTGACAAAAGCGCCGTCCCATGCTGCAACTTGAAACGGGTATATATGAAATTGGATACGTGATTATATATACATGAGTCAGTGTTCTGCAGATTAGGACAGAGGCAATCGCGTTATCATAGCTGGATGTACCCACAGTACGTTGAATCACATCCGTCGGATGCACTTAGTGTTCATAGAAGGTATCGCAATGTATGATATGGTCAAGTAGTCGCACAGCCTGGCAATCAGAACGCCTGCAGGTAATTTGTTGGTCCACCTTAGGAGGAAGATTGTGCATTTGATAAATAGTTTAGCTAATAGGCATAAGGTCCATTATCAAGCCATTTACGTACTGTCTCATCAAGTTCTCTAGAGCCGCATGGCCGCACTGGCATCACGAATCTGATCCGAATGCAAGCCTTTGCCTGCATCCTTGATGTATGAATTCTGTGCCATATTCAATGTTCAATATATCACGTACCAACAATCAGGCGGGATCATCTTTTAATTCCCTACCGTGACTGTCGGGCTTCCTTGGCGTAGAGTCCGTGCAGATCCCATTCGCTTGGCTCGCCATCCTGTTCGCATTATAGGGGGAGAATCATCCAAGCTTACCACTAGCAAGTGGTAAATTCAGAATCTGCAGGATAACATCGGAATATCCGTACACTGGCCTCCGCTGGAAGCAGATAGACTCCGCGCTCATGCCAGCGGGGTAAGGAGCATGCGCGCTTGATGGTGAGAAAATTAAATGGGGACTGGCTGGCGGCATCGGTGTGCGGTGAGTCTGACTCGGATGATATGTGCTAGCCATTCGGCTGGTGTGTCTGCCTGGCGCCTTTGTGGGGTTGGTCGTTCAAATCAAAGACATGTGTGCACACATCATACGCTCCACCATAACACTTTGATAACTGATGTCGGTATGAATAGGGAAGGACATTTGCATCAGCACTTTACACGAGTTGCAAGGCACCATTTCAAATACGAGGGTGTTACATGACACGCGACGGGATAGCAGGGAAACCCCTCCAAACGTACCGTATGGTCCGCATCCAATGAACGAAACTGCGCAACAGCGCTACAAGAATCCACTCCTCCTTTTGAACTGCTCTAGAGCGCAATCTCCAGGGGCTCAGGGCATTGTATGTCGGTGCAAAGCGAGAAACGACCTCGTCCATGGTGGGTCGCATCGCTGGGTCACTCTGCACCATTTGTGAGACTAAGGGTTCAAGGAATCCTAACCCTCGATAAACCTAAAACTTGGTCATGAAAGCGCCTTCGAGATTGATAGATGAAGCCGTACATGTAATAGCTCTTGCTGTAGCATATATCCCAAGTACCACACATCTGTCGGGAACGGATTTTGAGGTTCAAGAGACAATTGAAACTCTGGGACGTTCTTGTACCCTCCCAAGATAGGAGGCTCTAATGGTGCGCCGCCTTCCAAACTGTCGTAACGGCGCGATATCCCGAAGTCGATAAAAAGATATCGTGGGGAGGACTCCGTACGTGAAAGAAATTTGACTCGACCTTTCATGTCGAAGCGCTTATGGGGAGCGCACGGGTGGTATGGCTCGAGAAACATTCTTGAGGGGTCCATCATGATGTTCAAATTCATACAATCACTAAAAGTCGTTAAGCACCAACGCAAAACTAAGACCAAATGGCTTACCGGTGTGCTATGTTATGTTTGTGCATGAATTGCAAGCCCTAAAGGTGCTTAGCCTCTTCAACAAGGGTAAATCAACAAATGTTGGCACCAACCTCACAGACTTGGACAACGAAGTCGATAATCTCGCCGATTGTTTCGAATGGTGGATCGTTAAAATCCCGAAGCAGCGGCAATATCAAAATTGCCTCGTCCGGATCATTTGGCACATCCAGTACATCGAGCACCGCTACGCAATGGTTTTCGCGCTGCGACCTGAGTGGTTCAGATGCAACAAATCTACTTATTTCAATTTCATGCGGATGACGGGACGGCTGTATTCGCTTCAAAATGACATGAGCACCATCAGAAGTTCGTATTGCACTGATCACTTGTGCGGTCTGGTGAGTGATGTGAGCATACAAGTGTTGTTCAGTGTATGAATTCTTACTGGCAACCAGAAGCTGTCTTCACACGCAACCCAATTCTTGTCAGTGCCCTGCCATGAAGGAACCCAGCCCGGGGCGTAGCGCGAACGCAGTTGATAGCCGATATCCTTCAACCATAGAAAGTGGTCCCTCCACCAAATCTCTTCTTTGGCAAGGTCGCCGTCAAACTCCACTCCAGCGATAAGTCGAAGTTGGTCAAGTGCTAGATCCAACCTCTCGTCCTCTTCTGCCTGGGCAGCCTGCTTTTCAGCTCGGAGCTTGCTGAAGAGTCTGAAAACCATTAGAATGAACGCGACTGAAACAGCGCTCAGCCTAATATTTGCAAAGCAGTTCTGCTAATTAAACTAGCATACAACTGTAAACTCGAACCCACATGCAACAACTCTTTGCAACAACTCTTTGTATTTGGAGTGACAGGAGTCCTTGACCGTTCAATTTATGTATAGCCTCGAGCATATACGGTCATGAGTACTGTTGAATAATATAGTACGTATATAACAAGAATCGAATTGGACTGATCTTATATTACTTCCCTGCATTTTCACCAACGCAAAATCGGTTTTCTGCGATGACCGCCCAAATCATGGATTGGGCATCGATTGAAGAGTCGAACCGAGCTACACTCAAAAGTCAAATCCCCAGGGTCCGTGGGGGCAAGAAAGAATATGGCCTTCTGACCGCAACCCTTGAGACAATGTTGGAAATAAAAGAAATTGCAACCCAAGAGGAATTAGAAGTTCCTGGCGTGACATTAATGACTAGGCAGTATCTTCGGTGAGTTCATCTGCCAGTGACTCGAAATTGGCTGCCAGTGGGACTCAAAATCTATTTACTTAGCGCCATTAAACAAGGAAACGACCTGAAGAGTGGAAGCTGGTGGAAGAAAATCCGGAACATGAGGGATTGGGATGACGACCGAGAATTGTTCAGAGGAACATGCCAGAGAGTCTGGAACCTTGCTAATGTATAGGCTTACTTCGTTTATAATATGTCTCGAATCTGATATCTTCCTCTGCAGCAGACGTCCCTCGATCTCGCTAAAAAGACAGAGAAAGCAGCCTCACGAGGTAAATATTCAAGTTTCTCAATTTCTCCTCTTCAACTTTGTTCTTCAGCTCCTATCAAGCGGCGCATCTCTCTCGAAACAATTTACGAGCATGGCAGGCGACATAATCAACTCGAGGATACTGCGGCAGCGTCTACTGCTGCTAACAACGAACCAGCTGCACAAAAAGCCGAACCGTCGGCCACGACAAGCGAAAAGATTCATATGTTCCAAGAAGAGACTATACGACATGTCGCTGACGCGACCGCTGCAAAAATATTCGAGCTGCTCCTACATCGGCATAGCAAGGGGAACGTCCACATTAATAATTATGATTTTCAAGGATGTGTCATTGGTGCCAGTGGAAGGACGGCACCAACGGTAAATTACGGCGGAAAGAACAACAAAGGAGCAGGCTAGTAAACCAAGCTCTTGACGTATTCTTTGTTCTAACGTCAAACTATTAGTTGTGAACCCGTTTTTATCCTCTGCTGAAACTGATGGGAATAGTATATATGATGAGGATCACATTGACGACAGTATGGATGTTGATTAATATGTAATAAATCTTATTTAATGTCTTAGCCGTAAAATATGTATTTATGTAATTTTTTATCTTACAAAATTCAATGCTCCAAGTACTTAGTGGATGACTTCCTGTAGCTAGACACAGAACTATTCAATGTGCACACTTCCGTTGATTTGGGGATAAGCTGGATGGAACGGTTTCGAATTTGCAATCTTGCTAGCGCGGAGACTTGGCGGAGAGGGACCGATTTCCAAATATGTCAATCGCGGAGTTTAGAATGTGAAACAAGAAACTTAAGTACAAGAAACGATCACCCAATTTCGTTTTCAGCGGTTACCTCACGAATTATTCTGTTTACCCCAGTGTGCTAAATGAGTTGTACGCCTCAGTCAAGCCTGAGCATCACAGGACCGAGTCTCACATAACCTTGCCGTGCTACTTTTGCTGATGCAGGTTCTCCCGCTGGCCCTACCCAGTCATCTTTCCATCTTAGCGCTTAGTCTAATCATCCCAGCGTCTATTGTGCCGAGCGGCCCTCGACAGCGTGGAAATACACCTGCAATCTGAGTCGTCAACCTCTTCTCCTCTTTTTCTCAGCTGAACTCCATCCACAGTTCTCATATCCCTACCCTCCATCTTTTTTACCACTCGTTTTGTACCCCACTCAATTTCCGATGCGCCGTATTGTTCGTCATTTGTTTCGTCGCACCATCACGCCTACTAGCCATACAAGCCAATGTATCAAACTTGAAAGTAGGTCACTCAATGTCATGCTACTATTCGTTGCATGACCCTTGCGCTTGTTGACAGTCATCAGCGGAAAAAATCTCAAAGTCCCTTCCGAGCGCATTCCCGCCGGTATCTATGTGCTCATCAATGTCGACTCGACTCGGCGCTGGAAATCAGCCGTTCAAGTTTTATCATCAAACGAATCTGTAACGTGGGGCGATACTATGATCGTGTAAGGTCCATGGAGACTTTCTGGCACGATTCGAGGCTGATACCCGGTTTATAGTTCATCACAGGTAACACCTGCATTATCAATGGAGATCAGAGCGTCCTATGAGCTTGATCGAATGCTAGGCAATGGTGAAGTTATTGGAAAACTTAGAACATCGTGGCATGAGCTGCTCGATCATGGAGATGAGCCTTTTGGTGAGTGATTCGCTCCTTATTCATGCACATCTACTAATACATCGCAGAACTGTCCTTCCCACCTGTTCGTGGTGTCCGCCCTTCCCTCACGCTAAAGGCCGTTGTTGTACATGCTTTCGACAATCAACACAGTACACGGTTTGATGTGAGTGATGCTGACTCTATCCTGTTAGCTTATGCTGACAGAAAACCGACTGTAGTCCCTCGTAGACTGTAAGATTGCGCTCGACACAGATGCAGGCCATGTACGATTCGCCCAATACATGAAACGCAAGAGGGTCTCTCACTTGAACAGTGCTGTGAAGCATTTTCAGTCGGTGCTGGACCAGTGTCCGGTCGGCCATCCTGACCATGCAGCAGCTCTCACCAACCTTGCGTGGGCCCGCCTTCTAGGTTGCATTCAAAAGAAAAAGGATCTTCAAGACATCGACAACATCACTTCCCTCTTCCGCGAAGCCCTTGCATTGCGTCCGCAGGGCCACCCCGATTGCGCATTATCTGTCTATTGTCTCATTCGAACATTGAACTGGCGCTACAGCAGGGAGCGCACCGCCGTCTACATTCACGAATCCGCACAGCTGTGCTGCAAGCTACTGCCCCTCTGTCCAGAGGGTACCTACCTTCGTAGCATCGGCCTTGACAGCGCAGCTGATTATGTGATCCCGCAATGCAACAATCTTCCACCTGATGCATCTAATGAAGACATCCGCCTTCGACGAAACGTGCTCGAACTCTGTCTTCCGGGTCATCGACTCCGTCTCCGCGCCCTTGACGAGCTTGCACGGGCGGTTGGTGCACGCTTTGACCAGCATGGCAACATTGATGATCTAGACGAGAGCATACAACTTGGTCGTGAAGCTGTTTCTCTGTGCCCCGAGGAACATTCCGACCGTAATGTCTGCCTGAATAACTTGGCATTCTCACTCGAGTTCCGCTTTGGACACCAAGGCAAATTTCATGACCTAGAGGAGGCCATTACTTTGTACGAAGAAGCGCTGCGTCGGCGCCCTGTTGGGCACGAATCTCGGCATTTCTCATTGGACAACCTGGGGGCCGCCCTCCTCGCCCGTTTCATTGAACGCGGTGATATCGATGACATCGCCCGAGCCATCAGCCTCCATCGCGAGGCATTGACGTTGCGCCTATCTGGGAATCCACGTCGTGTCACCACGCTCAACAACCTTGCCCTCGCGCTCAAAGTCAGATTTGAAAAATCACATGTCAGCGAGGAATCTGTCGAGGATCTTAACGAGGCCATTGATCTGTATCGTGAATCCCTTCGGCTACTGGGGCATGATCATCCCGAGCGCCATGTAGCTCTTCGAAATTTGAGCTCGGCGCTCTGCTCTCGTTTCACGCGAACTCGGAAGAATGAAGATGTCAAGGAGGCGATTGATCTCTGTGAAGGCTCATTGTTGGCATTGCCTTCATTGCACCCGGATAGATACTTCAGCTATATGAAGCTGCAGGAAGCCTATTTGTCTCGTTACCGAGTGCACAACAACCCCGTTGATTTGTCACTTGCAGTGGAGAACTTCAGACTGGCATCACGACACCCTACTCATGGATTCCCACATCGCATCGTTGAGGCTATAGACTGGGCTCGCCAAGCAGAAGTCTATCAACATGAATCTGCCCTCGAAGCATATCAAATGTGCTTGGAGTTGTTTGACAACCATGTGATGACGCGATCATCAATCATCTCACGGCGTGAAGCTGCAACCGCCTTCCCTTTCCGCGATGCGCAGTCACTGCCAGTAGATGCAGCATCGTGTGCTGTTCGTTCCAATGATTTGCAACGAGCGGTTGAACTCGTGGAGCAGGGTCGTGGCCAGCAATGGTCGCTGGCCTCTCGCCTGAGGAGTCCACTCGAAGACCTCGAGTCCACGAATCCCAACCTAGCTCACAAGTTCTCAGAGCTCAGCCAGCGTCTTTCCGACGCTCAAGGTTCCGCAGTCAGCACAGACCAAGCTGCTGCTGATCGCGCAGCAATCGAGTACAGGAAACTGACGAATCAGTGGGACGCTGTGGTAGCTCAAATCCGTAATATTCAAGCTTTCTCGCGATTCCTGCTCCCGCCATCGTATGCAGAGTTGCAAGTGGCAGCGTGCCATGGCCCGGTCATCATCCTCATTGCGAGCAAATACTCATGCAGTGCCATCATTGTCCCGACGTCAGGGGAACCCCGCCACGTTTCCTTCCCACGCATCACTCTCGCAGATCTGGAGCAGCTCAAGGACGATTTTGCTACGGCAATCCGGCACACGGCTCGTATGCACCCAAGGAAGCCGAGGGAGAAGTTACAAAGACGCTTGCGAGTAGTATGGGACGAGATCATGCTACCCATCGTAAATGTCCTCCAGGACGACCTGAACTTGCAGCGTCAGTCTCGAATATGGCTTTGTCCGACGGCAGCCTTCACGTCCATTCCTCTCCATGCAGCTAACCCCTTTCGGTCGAAGGCAGACCGCTCAGGGCCAGAAGCATGCCTGGAGGATTTATTCATCTGTTCCTACACGCCAACGCTTTCGGCTCTGATCAGGTCTCGACAGAAGATGGAGACTTGCGTCACTCAGACATTCGCAGCGATCGGACAAGGTGAACCTGGCGCAGGGCAAGGTGAGGTGCTCCCCGCTGTCAACATTGAGCTTGAGCTCGTTCATGAACTCATTCCTCCCAACGTCAAATTCACCAATATTTCAAAAGATGAAGCTACTCAAGCAGGTGCACTCGATGCTTTGCGACATAACACCTGGGTGCACCTCGCTTGTCACGGGAAGCAAGACCTTGAGCAGCCTTATAATTCAAGTTTCGCCATGAGAGACGCACCCCTTACGCTACTCGACATCATGGAGAACAATTCTCCGCAAGCCGAATTCGCGTTCTTGTCGGCGTGTCATACCGCTGTTGGCGATGAGGAGACGCCTGACGAAGCCGTCCACCTCGCAGCTGGACTCCAGTTTTCTGGTTTCAAGAGCGTTGTAGGCACGCTGTGGGGGGTCAATGACGCTCTCGCAAAACACTTTGTAGAAGCTTTCTACAAGAAGATGTTCGAGGATATGGAGGATGGTGTCATGGACTGCACGAAGGCGGCGCATGCAGTCAACTATGCTAGAGACTCCGTGAAGACGAGGGTGCCGCTCGAGCAGAGAATCGTTTTCGTTCACATTGGTGTGTAGTTCCTGCTGTATTGCTTTCGACTGGTACGGTTTCACTGGGTTTTATATTGCATTCTCTTTCGTCCTGTTATCTATAGTTACGACCGTGATACTTTTACGCTCCTGTTGTCTCGTTCTCGCATCCTCTCTTGTTATTGTTGTTATGTCTGTACGTTCATGCTCTAAAGTACAAGAAACGATCACCCAAAACCGGCACTGACGAGGAGGCTGTGGATCCTTGTCCCTCGTCTGCCCGACGCCCATCTGTGAAAAGGTGTTCGAGGTACTAAGACTCGAACTCCAAGAAAACTGATTTGCAGTCAAAAATTCCCATGCAGGAATATAAGCACACGCTAAGACTCAACATGGGCGGAAATCTCATATACATGACTCTCATAGAGCACTAGTCATACTTTACTCCCTGAACGCCGCTTGTGTCCTTTAAGTCGACTCACAACAAGGCGACCTTTATTGCGAGAATCCACTCTGACGCGCAGACCCGATCTGCATGACATCCACGATGAGAACCAACTTGTGGAGACACATATCACGGTGCGCATTGGCATACCTTGCTGCATGAGCCTGGATTGCAGGTTTGAGCCTCGGGATGTTATATATGGAGTGTTTTCCCTTTCCTGAACAATTTCGCAATGATGAGAAACCTGTGAGATGGAATGTGCAGTCATATCTCACCTACGATCACACGAAGTGACGATTTTCCACGGTCCTGGGTCTCTTTAACAGTTTTATTGAAGTAGAACAGGGCTCCCCGGACAGAGAGTCCATGGAGATCGACTGTGTTGGATTTGGATTTCTGGGAAAAGGGTCAGACAGCGCTGCCCTTGATAAAAGAACGCAACAAACTCGGTTGTTCTCTGCACGAGGTGGGAGGTATATTAGTGAATCCTCATGTTCAATTCATCAGTTTTTCGTACGTTGAAATATCTTCGCGTTGGCTTCCTGTTCCAAGCATCTCATGTTTTCTTTGTGGACTTTACCATTCCGATTTAAGTCTGCAGCGCGCTGTGGCTCATTGCGAGCTTTCGCTTCGTCTTCCTTCCGAAAACATTCCGTCATCTGATCTTTCTCATGTTTAGCTCTGATTCGAAGTGACTCCGGGCCTTCCTGAGGGTCAATCACTACGGGCGCCACAGCAACCTCTGGCCTTATTGCAGGTACAGAGTGGCGACGTGATCGCTATGTGTCAGAGAGGTGAGTAAACAGCAGATGGGACATGCTGAGGGATGTAACTGACAGGCTTGGTGGCCGGAGCAACATCAGGAAATACGAAGGGTGTAGGTTGTGTAGGGAATAGTACGCTCGCCGGTTGGTGACGGGGTTGATGGGGTGAGTGCTGCAAAGGTAACCGAAGGGGGGAAGGGGTCCGGGCCGCTGAACGAGGTGGCGAGTGATGGCGGTGGCTTGATATTTGCTGCTGCGAGTGAGTAGATTCGTACGGTGAATCAGATGGTGAATGTAAATCTGAGGATGGTCTCGGCGGCGGCGGCGGCTTGCTCCAGCCGATCAATATGCTGATTAGTTTCCGCAGCAACCAATGTGGACACTTGAATAGGGCCTTGAAGGCCTTTAGTACAGAGGGGATGAACAACTGCATGATGTGGGGGATGGAGACAAATTAAAGGCCCAATATCGTTAGACTTCAAGCTTGAGCAGCACAATGAGCGCTATGCCCACATCCATATATTCCACGATTGAAAATAGCATTACGCACGCATCACGGGGGAACCCTGACCAAAGCGCCGTCCCACAGTGCGGACGGCCTATCAGAAGGCGACTTATGTCACAGTGGTATTCATGTAAATGAATACTAAGCGTATTATCGCAGCTAGATGTACCTTGTGACAGCACATTGAATCAGATCCGCCGGATGCATTCAGGTACTTGTTCACAAAAGATGATCAAGTAGCCGCTGCACGATCAGAACGCCTGCGTTCTGTGGGTCCATCTTATTAGGAAGATTGTGCCTTTAACAAATAGCTTACCTAATAGGCAGGGAGGTTCATTGACAAGCCATTTGTCTCACTGGGCCAGTTTGATTTTAGCGACATGGCCATGTCATGATTCTATTTTCTCATCCAAACATGCAAGCCTTTCCCTATCCTTGATAGTATGAATTCTGTACGATACTCAATGTTCAATAGCATCACGTACCAACGTACCAACAATCAAACGGATCTGCTTTCGAGCTTCCTTAATAGTTTAACCCGAGTATAATATGGCTTCCTTGGAGTACAGTCCGTGCAGATCCAAATGGCCTGGCTTGCCATTCTGTTCGCATTGTAAAGGGGTCGATAATCATCCAAGCTCATCGCTAGCATGTGATAAATTCTCTCAGACTTCGAGCCAGAAACTGTAGCATACCTCGGAATATCCATGCACTGGCCACCACATTCAGGGCTTCTATAGCATCCATGCTGCTTGCCCTTCTCTGACGTTTCCTTAGCTAGCGCACCATCATGGCGCGCATGACCCTCGTCGCATATAGGCTCTGCTCTCCTTGTCATGCCAGCGGGGTGAGGAACACACGCATTTGGGAGTGAGAAATGGCCCACGGGGACTCGGTGCCGACATCGGAGTGCGGTAGGTTCGACTCGAATGTGAAAACGCTTGTGGAGTCACGGTTGGTCGATTCAAGTGGAAAATTTGAACAGGAAACTCAGTAAATTAGTACATAGTGAACTAGTGACACTGTGACGTGTCTACAGTGACACGCACCAGAACACTTTGACAAATACAGTACTTATCATGCACAGTTTGGTATGAAAAGGGGAGATCATTTGCATCAGCACAGAACAACCACTCTGCACGACCGGAGATCGCAAGAAAAAATTGCCATTCGCTGGGTTCAGTTGAAATTCACAATAAGGCAGCCATCATTGCGAGGGTCCACTTCAATTGGCAATCCCAAACTACACAATATCCATGATGAGAAAACCTTACAGAAACGCACGCTACAATGTGCATACCTTTTTCCAAGATCTTGGATTGCAGGTTTGATCTTCGGGACGTTGTTATCGGAGTGATTTCCCTTTCCTGTGCAGTTTTACTGTCACTGAGCAAAGTTGGAAGGTGAGTTTATATCTTACCTACGATCACACAAAGTGACGATGCTCCACGGTCCTGAGCCTCTTTGATAGCGTCCTTGAAATAGGACTGGGCTTCTGGAACATAGAGTCCGTGGAGATCGACAGTATTGGGTTTGCGTTTCTGAAAAAGGTCAGATAGCGCTGTCCTTTATAAGAACACAACGAACGTGATTATTCTCTGTATCATGCAGGAGTAAGCTTCCTGAATCTCGCACGTTCCTTCTAATGATTTCGCACCTTGGAATATCTTCGCGCTGGCTTCCTTATCGAGGAGCATCATGTTTCCTTTGTGTGCCTCACCCCTCAGGGTGAGCTCCTTAACGCGCTGTCGCACGTTAATACCTTTCGCTTCCCTCCTCTCCTTGAAGCATTTCCTCATTCGATCTCCCTCCTGGTTGGCTTTGAGACGCAGAGACTTGGGGTCTTCGTGGGGGTCAATCACTACAGGCGCTACAGGTACCTCTAGCACACTTGCAGCAGGACGTTCATGGCGGTCAATCACTACGGGTGCTACAGGTACCTCTGGCACTCTCGCAGCAGGACGTTCATGGCGGACAATTTCTATAGGTGCTATAGGGACCTTCGGCACTCTTGCAGCAGGACGACCTGACTGCTATGTGTCGAAGGGGTCAGAAACAGCAGATGAAACATGCTAGGACAAACCTGAGGTGTGTAACAGACAGGCCCAGCCACCGAAGCATTACGAGCTAAGAGGGGGGTGGTGGCTTGTGGGGGGTATTGTGAGCTCGGCAGGCCATGGGCCTGATATGGCGAGTGCTGCGAACTTGAAGACGCTTGCTGGGTGGAATATCGCGAACTTGAAGGCGCATGAACGGTGGCATATTGTAAAGGGGTCTGGGGGTATTTGATTGCTGGACGCGGCGGCGAGAGCTGGCGGTGCAATGGTTGATAGTATGTCCCTTGCTGCGAAGGAGTAACCCTGTATGGTGAATCTGACGGCGAACATATGGCACCTGAGGATGGTGTCTGCGGTGGCGGAGACTCCTCGCTCCAGCCAATGAATGCAAGTAATATATATAGGGCCACGAGGGCCGTTAGTGCACAGGCGATGTATAACATCTGCATGGTGTGGGGGATAGAGACAAACCAAATGCCTGTTAATATGGTCGAAGACTAGTGAAGACCCTGACCAAAGCGCCGCCTCACGTCAACCTCGTGTTCACAGCATCGGAGGTTATGTCACAATGGTATACATGGAAATAGATACATCTTTATACATACATCGATATCATTCCTTTGTTCGGCAGAATCGCAGATGAATGGGAGGCGAGAGCGTTATTGCGGCCGGATGTACACGCAGTACATTGAATCAAGATCCGTCGGGTAAATTCAGTCATTTCACAAAGGATGATCAAGCAAGCTGCACGATCAGAACGCCTGCATTCTGTGGGTCCACCTCAACAGGAAGGTTGTGCCTTTGACAAATCGTTTAGCTAATAGGCGGAGAGGTCTAACAAGCCACGCGTACTGTCTCATGAAGTCCTCTAGGGCAGGTTTGATTTTAGCGACATTGCCATTCGAGTGCAAACCTTTGCCTATATCATTGACGCATGAAGTTCTGTAACAGTACTCAATGTTCCATATATCACGTACCAACAATGAGGCGAATCTGTGAATCCCCCTGCTGCCGAGCCTCCTTGATAGCTTTATCCGAGTATGATATGGCTTCTTTGACGTAGAGTCCGTGCAGATCCAATTCGCCCGGCTTGCTGTCCTGTTTGCATTATAGAAGAATTAGAAAACAGCCGAGTTCAATAAATAATATGTAACAAACCGAATTGTTCTCTGTGCGATGCCAATGTCAGACTCCAAGCCAAAAACTGACACAAGGTAACTCAGCATACCTCGGAATATCCATGCACTGGCCTCCGCGTTTAAGGCTTCCATGGTACGTTCGTGCTGCTTGCCCTTCTCTGAGAGTTCCTTAGCTCGCGCACCCTCACGGCGGGCGTAAGCCTCGTGGCTCTCCTGAAAACATTTAGCCATCGCGTCTCCCTCCTGGTTTGCCTTCGCGCGAAGGGACGTGTAGCGTTCATTATGTTGATTGGATTGGTTCTGGTCCTACAAATCATCAATTCAGTGATCTGTACAATGCATGCGCCACTCGCAGGCCACTGGACTTACTTGATATCGTATATGGTCATGTTGGGCTGACGGTTTGGAGGGCCAAGCGCCTGGAAGAGGAGAAAGTGGCTCCTGTGGCCGCGGTGGTCTTTGCACGCCGGTAGGCTTTTCGCCTTCTGTCGGGAACGACTGACCGCAAATGGCCTTGACAATCGAGTACAGAAAGTCGAGCAACCCCATGATTGTGGTGAAGAAAAACGTTGGTTAGTAGTTGGTTAGCAGTTAAGATAAGCTGGGACAACTTGGCCAAGTGTTCCATAATAAGCTTTTAGTCGCCTCAATGGCAATTTCAACGACAACTCTTCTCAAATCATAATGACAATCCTGCTATGCCCTTTTGCGTAGATTTGAACAGGGAGATAAAGGCCAATATCATTGAGATAGCAGTCATTTGATTGCATACAATAATAAAAAAACAATTTAGTCGTGCTGTCGTGCCCACTCCTACCACATAAGGTTGGTTCACATTCCCTTGACCATCTAACTAAATCTCCACACCGACGAGGATGTACGCAGGATCAACCTGGAATGGTGGTTTAGTAACAACGCTTCCCCCGACGTACATGAGTGAATGTAAAAGTTCGCTCAGACCGTGGGAAACCTTGTTGAATGCGATGATCAAAGCTGAGCACTGGAGTTGTTCGTCGGCTAGATCGAGGAGAGCCACAATGCTACAGTGGTTGTGTAAGCACAGAGATTGTATGCTAGTACTACGAAGCAACGCACCTTTCGCGAAGGGACACCGCTTGGGCGTTCTTGCCATCGACGTAAAGTGTCTTGGTCTTTCCAGGAAAATCAAGCACCACACCATCGAAAGAAGTACCCATATTTGGGGCAGCGACGACGACGCTCTTAGCATAAGGCAAAAGGCTCAATCCATCACGAGGAAACATGGCCAAAAGAAGATCCAAAGCATCTTTTGAATGCTTGGTAGTTATACCAGTGGCACCACTCTCTTCATCGTCATCCGGTGTTAAGGGCGGAGTGGCAATGTCGTAGGGCGAAGCTGGTCTGGTGGGAATGTTGCGAGGCGGAACCGCAGATGGATAAGGCGAGTAAGATGAATGCACAAGTGAATCATTGGATGTGTTGGAAGACGATGAGTAATGCGAGAAAGAAGAGGAAATTGAAGACGCCGGACTGCCTGTCACACAGTCTGACGACCCTCTGTCAGGAGGGCATTTAGCATTAGGGATGTCAAACGCGCCACTGGAAAAGTCTCAGTACTAGGGAGCAATAACGATGACAACAGTAACTTACTCCGGGTCCGCCAGAGAACGTAGTAGAGTAGTAGTACATATCGTCCGTGCCCTGCATGTGGCAGACGGCAAGTACACTAGGAGTGATGTCAGCAGAGAAAGCCCCATCCCCAACGGCTTGACAGCCGTTGCTGGATGTCATAATCAGCTTAAATCCAGGCGCCAAAGAGGGTGAAGAGCATACGCGGGGCAAATACTAAATTGCTGTTTCAAAAAATTCGACATGGATGGATTCGACATGTTCTGCCAACTTGACTGGGGTGATAAAACTGTTACGTTGTTGAGGTAGAATGCTGGAAAGTCAAGTTTGACCGGAGGCTTGAAGGAAAGAAGTTAGCGCTTACTGGTAGAATTTGTATAGAGCAAAGAGTTTGGGGCGTGAGATGAAACTAATGCTTGTATTTATCATCAACACCGCTTTGCCACTCCACAACCCCCCGGTCACTTTGTATCTCGCAGGGTGTAAGCAGCTGGAATACATTTCACTAATTGGGCCACCTTGATGCAACTGAAACACGAAGATCATATTCTCGTGGCTTTTTTAGCTGGAACTGTGGGATGAGAACGTGTTACACTTGTACAATGCACAGGCAACGTGTCAGGGGGGTGATGGGGGGTCTTATTACCGCTTCAGGGCAGGGCTTTGGCAGCTGCATTGCAGGATACACAGCGAAGACACTACCATCCGACAGTGAGCCCAACATCGCCGAACCTCAAATGTGAGTTCAACCCCATGCCCTTGCACACAGCTTAGTACCCAGACGCTCCTGCATGAGGAACGTCAAATAATCGTATTTCGGATGGATGCATCCATGCGTTATCGGATGCAGCATACCCTTTACTTCGATCGTTTCTCGGTGACTTCAAGTGCTGACTATCATCTGCGCAGTAAATATCCGGCATACAAATAATGGCTGACGCAGCACGCGGACGCGGTGGATTCGGACGTGGAAGAGGTGACCGAGGCAGAGGTCGTCGCGGGCCCCGTAGAGGAGGCCGCAAGGATGAGGAAAAGGAGTGGTCTGTATTCATTCACTCTTGACTTGCGCTCTGCCTATAACATACAGTCTCGCAGGGCTCCTGTTACTAAACTCGGCCGTCTCGTGAAGGACGGTAAAATCAAATCTATGGAAGAGATCTACCTATTCTCTCTTCCTGTCAAGGAATACCAGATCGTCGACTTCTTCCTGCCCAAGCTTAAGGACGAGGTTATGAAGATCATGCCTGTGCAGAAGCAGACCCGTGCCGGTCAGCGTACCCGCTTCAAGGCTTTCGTTGCCATCGGTGACTCTGACGGACATGTCGGATTGGGTGTGAAGTGCGCGAAAGAAGTTGCAACTGCCATACGGGGCGCTATCATCCTCGCTAAACTCTCCGTCATTCCTGTGCGAAGAGGTTACTGGGGCGCAGCCCTTGGTGAACCCCACACTGTGCCATCAAAGGTCAGCGGAAAGGTCGGCTCCGTTATGTGCCGGCTGATCCCTGCCCCTCGTGGTACTGGTATCGTCGCTGCTCCCGCATCAAAGCGTCTGCTTCAACTTGCTGGTGTTGAGGATTGCTATACGCAGTCGAAGGGCTCGACTGCAACGATGGGTAATTTCTTGAAGGCCACCTTTGCTGCTGTATGTGTGTTCTAGCTTCTTCATTGTGTTACGCTCACACTTGTGCTAGATTACGAAAACTTACGCGTTCCTCACTCCTGACCTATGGCGCGAGATTCCTGTTTCAAAAGTGCCTTATGATGAGCACAGTGCTCACCTACAGCTTACAGCAGGCAAGAAGGCATATTAGATGTAGGGTTAGCACAGTTTTCTCTCATGTATATCTGAAAAATCACGCCCATGCTTTTGCCTATGGATCTTTCCACGAGTGTACACAGCTGATGTGATCTGTACGCCAACCGTCTGCGGCCCGGATCCGGGATTTTGGAGTCATATGTAACAGAGTCTTACACCGTGCATTGGCCATGTTGTTAAATATATTAGGCGCGCGTGGCTAAAAAAATTCCTTATTTAATTGAATTTTAGGTGGCAGTGCTCTTCCGTCTGCCGGTCACCGGAGTTCGCATTGCCAAGGATGATCAGAGGCAACCTGTTTCATCCACTGCATGACGATCATTTTAACATTTGCTCAGTGATCGTCGCACCAAGCACAACCACTAAAATGGATCTGCTCTTCATCCAATACTGCAATAATTTTTTGGCGGTGATCATAGATCAGCACTCAGCCGGATCCGAATGACAATTTTACCAGCGCGGATGGGGCCAGTACAGAAAGATCTGATATAAAGTATGTACTTATCGTTCAGACGGCGCTGCCTGTCCGCTGGTACTTGCGCCCGTCTGATTGGATTCAAGACACTGGACAGCACGGCATTTGATTGGATTCCAATCACCCTTTTCGGTGTGCCAACAAAACCGTTCGTTTCAAAGGTCACAGGTTCAAGTCCTCTGCGGTACACATGATACAAGCTTCTGTCACGGCTTAACATATTTCTATCGTACTCCTGGTTCAATACCGTGCTAAACCAGCCTGCTCGTGCATTCTGTTGACTATGTGAGTGCCCCCAATTGGTAGTATTAGGATGTTCCCTGATGATTGCAATAATTAAAGCAGAACACCACCACTACTCTCACCAACGCCTCTCGTCTGGCATGTTGCCGACCAATTCTGTTATTCAACCGATGCAGGGAAACCCCAGCAGCTCCAGACCATCCCGGCGAGTTTCACGTTCGCATTCCTATGATCAACCTCCTTCAAATATTGCGTCACGACGCCAAGGCGCTTCATCCTTCACCATCCATGCCCGTTTACCCTCGGACGCATCTCACACATCGCGGTCGTCTGACCGCCCTATCTCTTTGGTACCGACACTCTCTCCTGCATCGACTTACAGGTTCGTATAATCCGGATACGGCCTTGTGTATGTCGCTAAAAATCACTTTGCATATTTGCAGCACGTTCTCTTGGTCTGGAAGTTCTAACACCCAAGAACAGCTATCACCCAAAACTCCCGAACTCTCTTACTCGCCGGCGACCACTATCGCATCTCCTGTAGTGACGCCTATAACCGCGTTTCTTTCGGAATTCTACGAACCAGATTCAAGATCGGACAGCGGCGCCCACACACGAGGCGATCCTCAACGATTAGATCTCTTCGGGGAGAGAGACGGGAAGAGTATGGGAAACAAACAGCTCTCAGAATCTCCATTCAGTCATATGGCTGATGAGACCAGCCCGCCTCTTCCAGACGAAATACACCTGACGAAGTCAACACCAATGTCATTGATCGCGGCAGGCTGTGCTCCATCGGAGCATGGTTCAGGGAAGATACCCCCTGACGTTCGCAAGTCTCGTCGTTTCTGCCGTGACTTTGGGGAGCCTGTCTGGTCAAAGGACCTCCATGATGAATTTCCCACATATCTCGCAAAGGACTTGCCAGTGACACCTTTATCCTCCTCTCCCCCAACTCCGCTGAGTCATGACATCCTACCCCGACCTTCACGGTCAGATGCCTGTAATCTTTTCTCAGAGGACGAAACTACTGCCGTCAGGGAATTTCTAAGGGTATGGGGTTCGAACAATAGGATGAAGGAGCTTCCATCGAAGCCGCAGATCAGCGAAGCCCCAGGCACCCAGAGCGATGATGATTACTCATGGGAGGCAGCAGAAGTTGAGGATAGTGTTGGAGATCCCACGTCTTGCAGCATGCTTCTTCACGCAGTCAGCCAGATGGTGGGCCTCCCATTTGAAAACACAACGATGGAAAACAGGGCCTCGATCGCCTCCACACCTCCGGAGCTCGATATACTTGGTCGATTGACTCAGGATAGTCATGGAATCTCACAGATCCTGCATCTATCCTCGCCTCGCCAGTCTGCTGCGCTCGTCAGGAGTCCCAGTATTCTTCCAGACAGCGATGGTGCCAACGTGAGCGACAGCGCTTCGTCAGACGCCTGTCAGCGAGTGGATCAACCTCTTGACGTCACACCTCAACCTTCAGTGACCTCCGGTTCAGTCACGGGAAGTAACGCTTCCACATGTGAGGATCAGGTTGACGTGGTAGCCGCCAAGTCGATGAACGTGCCTGTCATTCTAGCGACTTCCTCGAATGAAGCCCCTCTGCACCGACAATTAAGTCTTCGCAGAGCCAGAACCGATAGCAACCTAAGGCGCCGCGGTCAGATCTTCAATATAGAGAAGCAAGTCATACACGCTGCATCTACTGGCACAGTAGATTTATACAGGTCCTATTTACCCACAAGAGATCCGCCACCGCTCCCACCCCTTCCAGCTCCCTCGATAAGACGCGTTTCAGCACTCGACAGGCTCGAAACTAGCCTGTCAAGGCTCAAGTCGCACAATTCGCATCAGCGGAAGTCCAGTAGGGTAGAAAAAGTTAACGCACCTTCGGATGACCGAAAACCAGCTCTATCCACTACCCCACGAGAGCGCAAGCACCAGTCCAGTGCCGCTCGTATTCCGGATTCTCGTTCTGGACACGGACGCCACTTCTCGAGCCCCATGCCCGAGGATCAGAATCATCGCAAGGCGCCTCGGGTTGAGACCGGTCCCATTAATGGGCGTCTGCAGGAGCGCGCTGCCAAGCTATTTCCATGCCCGGAGAACCGAGAGTTGACTATGAGATCTTTCATGGAGATGGATGTGGTACCTCCAAAGGCTCCGCCCCCTCGTCGGATATCGAGATTAGGGAGAGTCGCTGCTAGATTGAGCCAGGGCATAACGAATTGGGGGAGGAATATCACTGGATCTAGGGGCGTCAAGGAATCTTCGTAGGGCTTGGTGTGTTAAACTGGTACGCAACCAGTGTGCGTGTGTTCTTTTGATTTGTACCATGACTTTTACTATGTATCACAAGATCAGTTATTTATGTAGTATTAATATCGTCTAGCTTTGTATTGTTATTCGTAACTAACTATAATACGATTCCTATATATTTGGGGTTTGATCTTCACAACTTCAAGCGCGTCCTTGGAGAGTAAAGAAAGGAAATTGGATTCAGGAACTACGCTGTCTAATATATACTCGTCTTCGTACATGCACGAAAATATGGGAAACATTGTCAAGAGATGAGCCGCAAGGTAGATGAGAGAGATGAGTCCATAAGTAAGAAAAAAAGGGTACATATCGATAAATGAAAAATGAAAAATGAACAAATCGGAGGAACTTTACATGAGAAGAGACGAGTCCACAAGAAAAGAAACGCGCAGTCAGGTACATGCCGTTAAAATGAAAAAGGAACAAATCGAGCGAACTTGACATGAGGAAGAGACTCGGGTTAGATGTGCGTGCAGGACCACGAACGCTGTGCGGTGGCCTTCAACTTCTCGGGCGGTAAAGCTCCAGGTCGTAGGGGACAGAGAAGGAGGCCGGGATTTGGTCGTAGGAGACCTATAACATCGAAGATCGCGGAGGTACTGGGCGGCGCATGGAGATAGAGTGTGCGCGGCCGGCGGTGGCCTTCAACCTCGTGGACAATGTTGCCCAAGTCGTAGGGGACAGCGAGGGAGGCCGATGTCCGTCTTCGGGATGCGAATAGTGTGTGTCGTGACTCGTGGATTAGTGTGTGCAGGTGATGTCGGGCGATAACATGGAGGTGAGGCCGAGTTTTGCCATGGCGTCGGCCCAGCCATCGACGAGAGCCATTTGGTCGACGAGAATCTCGCCATGAAGTTGCTCAAGGTGGCCTATTTGATATGAATAAGTGGTGCAGACGTCAGGAGAAATTACTTACCAATGTAAGAGCGTGCGCGGGCAGCACGTAAACGAACACGGTGCTGAGAAACCAAGATGAGTGTCTTACTTATTTTAGCGACGAGTATAACATACCTGTTGTTGGCGCCGTTTGAGGATGCGCTCCGTATCGGGGGGCTTCTTGCTTTCGTTAACAAAGAATCCGGAGTCCGACTCGGAGGAATTGTTGTCGTCGACGTCATCGTCGGCCACAAGTGTTGTATGCGATTCCATAGAGAGACGCTTCTGTCTCGGAACTGGAGTGGTGCCGGTGAAAGGTGTAATATAGGGTGTTGAGTCCATGGGTGGGGAAGTAGGGGGGGATGAGGTGTCGGTCATGTTATTGCTAGGGAGGGATGGTGAGTTTTCCTTGGACTGATTAAAGTCGCCGCTGATTAGCTTCCGTGCAGTTCTGTCGGATGCAAGTATGAGGATCGCCGTCGAGAGGCAGAGGTCGGCGGCGGCGAGACCAATGGTGACAATGGTGACCTTGTCCGCTGTGTGAATGACCTGGGCGGCGTGGTCGACAGCCGCTTTCTTGAAGAACGACACTGTGAGGAGCCCGGTAATGGTGATGCGAGCAGTACCGCGGAAGACAGCAGAAGTAGGAATCATCTTGGCGAGTGGTGATCGTGAAGAGAATGATGAAGCTCGTAAATAAATGCGTGTACGCGTAAAACGAGGCAAGATAACAGGCATTGAATCACAGGTCATCGGATACTTATACCCCTGGGTTATTTGCGCGTGCTTGGTACGACGCGTCAAGTCACGTGTTTCGAAAATCAATCCCTTAAATAGCGGGCGACTGCAGACAGAACCACCCACCACGCCCTCAGCGATACCGCCCACCCTGAAATTATATTAGCCTAGGAATCTTATTGAATTATGTTCCGTACCGTTTTTTTGGGAGCTTGTTGAATGCTTGTGCTTATGTAGAGTACCTTCTCTTGAATTGACTATCACGGTGTAGCTTTCGACTCTGGCCAGGCCCAATGCATCGACGAGACATTACACAGCGACAAGTCTTTGAGAAGGATGCAATCGAGAGCTGAATCAGTACTAGCACTGGTGCGCTGGTGTTGTGTGATCAAGCGGTGGGTGCATACGATGTTGTTGCTTAAAGTCCGAATGCAATATCATTGAAAGATACAGACCTGTGAGTGGGGTATATGTGCTTAACATATGGTAGACATTGATATACTTATAGGTCCTATGAAACGGCAAGCGACTCGAGTGGTTTTACAAGGAGTGGACACTGGCTTCCTTTTTTGAACTCTCCAGAAACATATGGTCGCGTGAGCACGCTGACAAAATAGGGCATCAGAATATGTCCTGGATATGATGCGCGCGACTTACACGTTGGCTTTGTAAATTCGTTTGTCTGTTTCGGCAAAGGCGAAAGCAGTCAGAAGGATATAGAGAAATGTCTTCATCTCAATCATGGAAAAACGCATCCCGATGCATGACTGAAGGTCTAATTGAGCGATGCCAACAAATACTTGGTAAAGCTTACCCTCGGCCCAGCGGAGAACGTCAGAAGATTAGGATATAGCCCCGGAAGTGACAGCACATCCTCCGAAAGATGATCCCATCGATCAGGGCTGTAGGATCCCTTCGTGAGGCAGTTCAATGAAGCGGGTTCGAAAAGCTTACTCAAAATCCCAAGCATTGTGTCCCCATATGCCCTTGTCGAGATTGAAAGCCTCCACTGGAACGTGCACGAAGCTCCCCTTCGGCACACTTATAGACTGTTGCTCCGAGACCGTGCCGTCGCTCAAATGGACAGGATATGATACAGGTATCTCGTCATCTTGCGTTGCAACCCGGAGGGAAGAATGGACTGGAGGGATCAGACGCAAGGACTCCCGACAAACGTTGTTCAGGTATGGCAAGTTCTGCAAGGTGTCGTGTAAAGACTCGATTTCTTCAGGTGACAGTCGTGATATTGGAGTAGTCGGTACGATGGAGAGAAGTTCCCTGCGAAGACGAGTTTGCAAGTCTGGATGTCTTGCAAGGAGCAGAAACGTCCACGTCAGAGCGAGAGATGTCGTATCAGACCCTGCGAACATGAAGGTATTGATGTTGTGTAATATATCTTCGTCGGAAATTCGCTGATCTGGTGGGAGGTCTGTAGCAATATTGGATTTCACTACGAATCTGTCAGCCAACCGACAAAAAGAAATGACAGTTGACTCACGCAGCAGACTAAGTAAATCTTTGCCGGCATATGAGGAACCGCTCTTTTCTCCATCCAAAATCCTGGATTTCTTCTGCTGCACTAGCTTTCCTGCTACGCGGCGAATAGTTTCTTGACATCTGTGGACGGTCTTGGCCCTCTTATCGGGCTGCATTGCAAACTCAGCCAGGATTACATTCATGAGGAAATTGATTTAAACGTACGAAAAGGCTATTTAGGATTGGAAAGTAAATCCCCAGAACTGTCCTAATCCCATCTCCCTGCGAGACAGCAATCTCGAACATTTCCTTATACGCAGCAAAGAGCTCATTCGACTCGTTTTGTATAGCGTTGAAGCGATAGTCAAAACCTGTGGGTGATGCGTGATGGTCAGGTAAGGATGGATGCACGACCCAACATGAGTTACCTGCTAACCCAATTACGTCGAAGGTCGCCCGGCTGATCCAGTGACAGACGTCTATTTCAAAACGACCGGAGTTCTGCTTGTCCGAGGCTGCCTGATCTTCCTTCGCTGCCTGAATCATATCTATCCATTTATCTTTGAGCTCCTCTCCTTTGCTAAAGACAAGAGGCACAAGTGCTCGCATATTCTGAATGGAAAATGCAGGGGTGGCAACGCGCCGTTGACGCTTATGAACATGGCCCTCTGCAGCCAGCATACCGCAACCAATGAGGCTCGTGATAAGTCTTCGAGATTGCCACGGTTTCTCGTAGATTGTGCTGTTCTTTAGTACATGCGCTACAGAAACAGGGTCAAGGGGGAGAAGGCGTTCGTCCCACTACATCAAACAGTTATTCACGAGTTTCGTGATTAAGAGAATAGTTACTCACTGGACCAAGCCCTCTTATACGGACGTTCCTGCCATATTTCTCTACATATGCAGCATGAGTCTTGGGTGACCTGAATGGGCTAATGGAAAAGTTCTAAACAGACAGGTCAATTGAGAGAGGCGGAGAGCTTACTCGAGTACATGTGACATGTGGTTGTCCAGTGCCCCCTTTAGCGGTGGTCCAGCCAACTTTCTGAGGGGATTGAACCGAGGTGCTATAAAGACATGATATAGAATATAACTTGAAAACAATGAAGCAACAGCAAAAGGGGAACAGAAGAAGATAGTTGAGAATGAAATCATGGCGCGTTCCAATCACCCAGAGGTCGAGGAATTTAGTAGTGTAGTGCAACGCCGGAACAGCATGGATTTATATCTCATGGCTCAAGCTAGAGGACAATAGATAATGTGACACGGTCACACACGCGTCTTGTCACACTTACATTTCCGATTTCATTCAAACGGGTTGGCATGAGGCTTGTTGCAGGTTTACCAACGTCTGCCGGCCTGAGTCCAATTTCCCTTCATTAATGCCTTCAATCCGCAGTGTGCTTCCCTTCATTGTAATGGAACTGGTTAATTTGTTTCTAATTTATGGACGTGACAGTACAATGGAAGGAGGAAGAGGAAAGTCATCGAGGTCCACTGCGCTGTAGCTGCTTGCCAGGGTCGCTAGAGTCATTTGGGATCCGAGGATGTCTCGAAGGTCGGGTCGTAGACTTGATTCGCACCCTGGTGGAAGAAGCAGGTCTGCAATTGAGGGTGTCATCTCAATCGCGGTGCTGTCGCTGTGCATGTGTGCATGTTTGGGTTCTGCATCGAACGGCTCGTCATCCTCGTCTGTATCTTCTTCGTCGCCTGCTGCTTTGAAGCCCAGGGACAACAACAGAACAGGCTTGTCCATCTGCATACTCCTCGTCTGAACCCTTCGCAGCTCGAAAATCTCCTCTCTCAAGCTTTCGTGGTCTGCGCTTGTTCTGGTGCCGAGAGTCTGCAAAGATGCCGCGGGGATCAATCCTGAGCCAGAGTGGCTCATGCTTGTTCCTGTGTGTATCGATTCAGGAATGCCTACTCCCTGGGCGTCTCCCCGGTCTTCATCGTAACCCTCCTCGACGATAGAGCCAGCTTCGACTGTTTTTGGTAATCGAAGGCTGGCAATTGATTTGGCTTGGGATGCCCCGTGGACAGACGATGCGAAGGCCATGGAATCTAGGGAGCGCTGTATGGCAAGGCCCAACGTGAGGGCGATCTCGCTGCCGCTCTGGCTTTGACAGTCATCTTCACACTCCTCGAGTATGCAATGCAAAAGCGGCCTTGGATAACTTAAGGATTCCGGTTCTGTTGTATATGAAAAATCCGACCACGTAGTTCGCTGCGGAAACTCTGTTGACCGATCTGCAGGAGTGCGTGATGCATGCGATGTCTCTGGAGATTCTGCATTCTTGCGATGCAGGCCTGCCTGAGCCTTCCGGAAGATCCACGAGAACCAGGACGGTATCGTTCTCTGCGCGGGACGAGTTGCATGTTTAAGATGAAGCGCCAAACTCTCCATGGACGTTGGGGAATTCTGAAGCGACGATGTAGATGAATCTGGACTTTTCTCGTTGAAGACCTCTTTCCCTTTGTCATGCACTGAGTCTGTTCCGCCCTTGCCAGTCTGGCGACGTCTCCGCCGCTTCAGGATCTCCCCTGCGACAATAACGCCCACCAGGCTTCCCATGACTACGATGGCAACCGCAACCGCCACCATTACATTGCCTTCTGGCCTCTCGTAAGGAATCGTAGGAGGCAATTGTTGAGCAAGAATACCCGTTGGCGGCTGCCCTTCCGTGATGAGTTGCTCGGGAAAGAAGGTACCACCCGCAGTACTTTCCGCGCGTGGTGTAGACGCCGATTGCGCTGGCAGCGGGGATGTTGGGTATGTAAAGAATGAATTGTACTTAGCAAGTGTCGTATTGATGGCCCCTTCGTGGTGAGCTCGATGTGCATGTCCGAATACGCGGTAGTGAATTCTGCGTTTCCCTGTGCCTGTAGCAAACGTTGTGGTGGTAGTTGGAGGCATGAATTCTTGTGGCAGGTGGGTTGATGGCGGCGGGTAGGCGATAATGCAGTTAACAGGGGGTGGTGGAAGTGTAAGGATGATAGCCGAGCAACCTCTGCAGTACTTACATGGTGGCTGACACGCGCTCAGACACATTTCTCATTTGACCTCATTCCTCCGGCACCCATAACATTTCTGTTCTTCATAAGTTATCAATCACCAGTCACTGAGGTCTATGTGCATTGCATCGGTAGACTGGCCAGGCTAAATACACCTGTAATACCGTTGATACCAAGCATGAATGCATGAATGTTCGCCGACAAAACAAAACAAATATAGCAGCAACTGGTTTCGATCCAGTGACCTCAGGGTTATGAGCCCTGCACGCTTCCACTGCGTCATGCTGCTGTTGTAGGTTCGGCAGAACTTGCCTACACAATTCCATCTGGTATCGAACATTAAAATGGTATAAAATTGTTCTCATTTAGACCTTAACGTTGCACTGCTGAAGAAGTTCTCTTATGCAACCCTCGGTATCGATGAGTGTCCCCAGCAGAGTTGACAATTGGCTACTATTGACAATGTCTCTTGCCTTTACTTATGAAGGGCTAGGTATATTACGATAACATCTTATAACGCCACAGCTCAGCCATTCTGGTTCCAAGATACCCTTCGTGTTATACAAGCATGCCACTTTAAGAGAAACAAAATTAGCGCCTAGACATGACGACCAAAACCACACAAGAACTCACGCGATACCAGCCGTTTGGAGGGTTCTGCAAAGAAATTTCTCGTTATTGGACAAAACAAACAGGACAAATCAAGGAACGCACGAAATGAATCCGCAAATCATAGCAGACGTCGCAAGTTTTGCAATAGTTTTGCCCTGCGATGGTGCCAAAGCGCCGAGCACACCGATCTGTATGCCTAGCGATCCGAGATTTGCAAATCCACAGAGTGAATATGATGCAATCGTGTAGGCACGCTGTGACAGGGGGTTTGAGCTTCCTTGAATACTGTTTAGTTCTGCAAGAATTACGCGTTAGCTACATGTCCATAAAACGGTGTGACGAAAATACCTAAGTACGCAGCAAACTCGTTTTCGATTAGCTTCGTCGCTAACAGCTGCGAGACCCGGAGGATCTCAGCGCTGGGGACGCCTAACGAGATATCAGCTTTGATAGCTCGAGATTGTAGGGATGGTATGCGAACCCAAGAAGAAGGCAACAGGGTATCCGATGTATCCCAAAATTAGCTGTAGAGTAAGTTGGTGGATCCCGAATCCACGACCAACCCATGTCAAGATGGCATTGATGGTGGCGACGAGTGACAGGATCGTCAACACGTTAGTGCTATAAAATCAAGCTGAGTGACTTGTCGATGACCGTTTCAAGAAGCTCACAGGATTTGTCCCGCGACATTCAGGCCAAACAGACCTCCCAAAGAAAATGCGTGAAGAGCGTTGGCTGGCCGGTTCTTTTCCGTGTCTCCACGGTCCACTACTATGCGACCGCGAGTAACAGGTTCGTCAACTTCGGGGATCCGCATCTTACTGATGGCAATAGAAGCAGGTATGCTCATGACGGATGAGGTAATGAGATTCTGCGGTGGAACACCTAGGGCAACGTAGGCGGTCAAAACAGATCCGGAGATAGTGGAGAAACCTTTGAATACATAAATGTTAACGTCTCAATGGAAGAATATTGTGAACAAACCAGAAGTCATGACAAGATGAAGTTCCGATGGGGTCATGATATCAACGTAAGGCTTGACCAAACATGCAGACTCTCCTTGTCCTACCCAAGGAGAAGCAGCCGCGACAACTGCCTCAGCGCCGGACACATTCATGAGCTTAAAGAACAACCATGCACTTACAAAATAATCAATCCCGCTGTCTGATGTATAATGTGTTCATGCACTCACAATCCTTTGACCATCCATTGCATGACGCCGAGCTTTCGTGGAGTTAGTATTGGTGGCCCGAAGTAGAGCCTAGTCACTGACATAGTAAAACATTTGAATCGTGGCGATGAAAAAGATAACTGCGGAGAGCTGTAATCTTATCAAGTTATGCATTCGAGCTCAATGACACCATCATCATACCACATTCACAAAGAACCATTTCTTCGCAACGGTTTCTGCATCGAAGAAGAATGCAGCTCCGACATTGGCTTCCGACAAGAAGTCATTTGCGAGATCCGCAATGTATTTGAAAAGGGAAAAACCAGCGCCAGTCTTGAGCACAAAAAGAGCGATAGTCTGTTGCAGGAAAAGGCCGACTATCACAGTAGGCCTTGCATTCTAAGTCAGTAGATGTAGTAGGCTGACAGGGAAGCACCAACCAGCAAATGGCCGATCTGTTCGTGGAGAACAAGTAGAAACCACACTGGAAAACAAACAGCCCAAGTACTGAAATTGCTCGATGTCCATAATCGGTGTTCTACAGCGATATCAGCTTGTCAAAAACTTATTTAAGATGACATAACTCACACCAGTGAGCGGGAATCCGAAAGCAGACCCAAACACGATGGCAAGAAGGCAGAGCCATCCAGTTGTCAATCTCACTGTCCGAGAAAGTTTGTACCAAGGCTCCTGGATGCATGGCATCCATACGGCAGCAATAGGCTCCGTCACCACCGAATTGGGTATGAAGCGGAACGCGATAATGCTTGACGGCGCCGATAATCAGGAAGGGGGATTTTGCTTTATAGATCGCTGCTTACAGTAAGAAAAACCACGCGAAAACTGTCTGCACGAGCCTTTGGTAAACAATTAAAAATTATTGATTCAACGACTTGACTCGGAAGAGTATGTCATACCATCGTCCGCGTGTCGCTGTCAAAATAGTGGCAGAGATCCACCACCCGAGGATGAGTGCAGCGAGGGCAATCAAGACGACAACACGGAGTTTCTTGTCGAACGACTTCCTCGCTTGCGTCTCTTCATCCTTTTCGGCGCCATTCAGATCACCCTCAACATCTACAACGGGTGCGGTTGCCTTTTTTTCATCGGAGGTTGTGGATATGGATGTTTTTCTTTGCATGAACTGGTTCTCTGCATCGAAGACGCCTGCTGAAGCTGCCATGTCACTTGGGGGGCCAGAAGGAAAGCAGATGCCTGCCGTTAATTAGACAAACTATATTTAATACCGATTGAGGCCGGAGCAACCTCCATGCATTCTGCTGGTGCATGTGGTCTCATCATTATCAGAGGTCGTATGCGGCGTCACGCGATAGGCTAATATCCTAATCAAAGATCCTATAAGCAGTTCCTGGAGGAAACATGCGAAACCAGGAAAAACTTTGACCGCGATCGGAGTGAAATCGGAGCTATGTATTTGATAACATGTCGCAACCGGCCCGGATTAGTACCATATCCAGTAGCCGCCTTAAGACGAATTGTCACGACAATATTATTTTAATTTTAATCAAAATACTTTTGGTGATAAACGATAAACGATGTTCATTGGCTAGTGGTAATTGGGAAATTACATAATGATAAGTTCTTATCTAAGAAAACGAATGGCACGGATCTATTTCAATTCCAGGTTCAGGGGTAGCCCGCGGGTTCAAGCGTTCATGGAAGAAATATTATGAACATACATACCCGTGATTTAGACAACATTGTCGCCAATTTTGTTTACACGTGTCATCTACATAGATTATTTGCTGCCAAGCGCGAGTCGCGAACATCATGAGACATATATATAAGGGCAAGTATGGTGAGATAGCGGAAAGAAGATGACCCAGGATCTGTCAAGGCCATAGAGTGGCCAGCTCAAAAGGCCAACCGAACACCCATTTCAAGTATAATCGCAGTAACCATCATTCCAATCCTCAACTGGATTGAATTCACACCTTGAGCGCCTTGATAGACTTCCCGCTCGCAATCGCTAACCACTCTCCAGGCGCTGTCGAGTGACCCGTATTCATCGTCATACCTGGTATCTGAGGGGACCATGCGAGGTTGGTCACTTCGCTGCTCGCAGAATAGGCCATTATCGGATCGCTGACAACACGTTTCTTCACGTCTGGCCGCGGCGAATTCAACCGAGAATTCGCGGTGCGCGGAGAAGTCGCCGTTTGTGTGTAGGTAGCGAGGTCCCAAAGTAGAACTTGGCAATCATCCCCTGCACAACAGAGTTCAGGTCGAACAGAGGCACGAGTGAATTTTTTGCAGTGCTTACCTGCGGTAGCCAACGTTGGTCTATCCGTTGTACTCCATCCCATCGCGTTTACCTGCGCGCGGTGCCCTCTCAATTCTATCACCGGCTGACCAGGACTCCGCATATCCAAAATCTGCACATCCTGTCCATCCATATGAAATGTTGACATGTAGTTTGAGTCGGCAGGGTTGAATGCAATGCGCAGTAGAGGTGACGTAGGTAGACGCGATGATGCTGAAGCAGCGGCGGGGGGACCACTTTTGGGTGCCGGTGTTTCATACAGAATGGTAGAATGTTCGAGACTCCGTAGGTCAAACGCCCGAAGACTACCATCTGCTCCGACCGATACGAAGATATCTGTCGATCCTGGAAGCCATGCAACATCGTAGACTTCTCGATCGTGGGCGATGAGTTGTGTTATGGCAGTGGATGTATCGATGTTCCAGACAGTACACGTCGTGTCTATTGATGACGTGACAACTAAACTGGGGGCTTTTTCATTCCAAGAGAAGCTCGTTAATGGTGGACCAGTAGACTGGCTTTGCACTTTGGATTGCTGAAACGCACGAGCAATCAGTATTTCCCGTGAATCAAGACATGAGGTTACTATCACGTACCCCAGACAGCGCCGTCTTAAGTGTCAACCGATGCCCTCCGCCCGTAGGCTGCCTCCCAACATAAGCCGACGACGCTGGTGGTGCATCTCCAAAATACTCCCACACCCTCAGCGCATCTCCAGTCGTTGCAAGTAATTCTGCAGCTGGCGCTTTGCCAGTCCAGGGGAAGCCACTCGCACTCGCAGGCTGCCATTGCAGATTGGTTGCTGGGTATCCATGGTTCGCCTCCACCAGGGTCACAAAGTCGGGATAATCAGTATAATCATCCTCAACAAGGACACGCTCGTCTTGAAGCCCTACGATAGCAATTCGGTTTCGGTAGTCTTCAGTGAAGGACGCAATTCCGAGACGGAAAGCTGATCGTGGACGAGATTGATGTCCAGGTGCAGTTGATTTACACCAATCAAGCGCATGTACAGGCCCTGAGCGAGGTTACCAAGTGAGTTCGAGAAGCGGTGACAACATATCCGGCTTACATGGTGCTTCATATTGAAGCAAAGTTGTTTGGGTCATGGCGTATGCTGACAGTGGTACTAGTGTGTTCAATGTGGCGTGGACGTTATGAGGCAATTGAATAACTTCGATCAAACTTTCGGTATACTTAGCAAGTGAAAATTCAAAGAATTCTTCCAGAATTGTTTTGAAAATATCAGACCAATTCAAACGAATTTGGCGTCAAAGCAACAGAGCATGATATGTTACAACGGAGCAAGATATGTACAGCGAGAGCATATTTAGCAAACGTAGCAGTGCAGTATGATATTGGGCGGTGTTTTGATGTCGAGTGGTTGTCGGAGGTTCGGAGATTGACCGGGTGTCGATCACGAGAAGGGCGGTGAAGTCGAAGGAGGCGGATAGAGGTGATGATAATTGTTGGTGACGCAGGGGAGACGAATATAGGATCGATGTGTCGGGAACAGACGTGACCAGTCGAGCCAGAGGGAAAGCAAATCACGAAGGATAATCAGCAAAATAAAAAAATAAAAAAAATGGTGTCAAGCATGTCGACTTCAGTCCGAATCTACCATGGAAATCGCGCCGCATTGTTCACAAAAGCTCCACATCGTCCTTGAGCCGTCGGAACCAGCGGAGCAGGCGACACGAAGCTTGGGTATTTGTGAGCAATGCGAGCTGAAATGGACGGCATCACGGAGGCAGGAGAGCGAGTCGCAAGTCAGGACGATAATAATGGACGAGTTAAACATGTACTTACCCATGGTGAGTGAATGAGCTTGCAGGTTGTAGCAGCCCAACCGCCTTTGAAGAGTCGTCCGGCTGGTAGTCGACGACCTGGGCGAGACGAGGGTACAAAGCTAAGACGCGTATGGCAGTGTGAGAGTCGGCAACATTTAAGCATCAGGTATACATACGAGAGCTGTAGTCGATAGCTTCCGAATATAGAGACGAACCGCTTGACGAACTGGCAGTAGAATGAAGGCGAGTATGATTATTTTCAGGGAAAAACGAGACGGCGTCAGATGAGGGAGATTCAGACATAGCAACGTCGGCATCAGGTTCATAGTTGGGGAAGGGAACCATTTTCAATTGCTTGGCGACCTGATATGAGCGCGTATTAGAGCTGGAACGTAAAATCCATTTAACAAAAAAAATGACCTGGGGGCAGTCATCGCTAGCATCAAAGTCGAGCTTGCGTTTCATGGCCATTATATCAGAGAGTGCTAGTGGATGTATGGGCAGATGAAGATATGTGGATACCAGTGAGTTCTTGGGAAAGGAGCAAAGTTGATATGAGCTCGAACTTATACACGACCAGATTTGTCAATGTTTGGTGCACATTCGCGGAGCGAACATATCTCAGAAAATGTCGGAGTAACGATGTCGGTGGTCGGCTTGATCGGCTGGCATTATGCCGCTATGATCCGATTGGCTGGTTCCTAGTGAATCTCTTATTTTCTCTGTCTCCATTTGGCAATTTGTTTTATATTTGCTGTGACCGTGACAACAGTCACACAGACACGTAACGGGCATTTAGTGGCTATGCCACATCCAGTACTTACTGTCGCAACTCAAACACGACGTGGTGCATCACAGATATTTACGATTTAGCTCTGACCTTTGTTCAACTTGAAACTCAACTTGAAACTCGCGATAGAAGGCATTGCAGTCGATATCATAGCAACCATGGATCCGGCAGACATTCCCCTACCAGCTTTTCTAGACCCCCTCCTTGGCTTCCTTGCCGAGAAAATTCCCCCACCTCTGTATTCATTTCTGCTCTCATTCCTCTCGCACTCACTTGCATTATTTACTGCGCTTATTTCGTTGATCTCATCTATAATTTCCTCCAAACCATGGCAATGGAACGCGCAGACCATCATTCCCCCCCTCATCAGTTTTCTCGCCGCATATCTCGCCCTCGTCAGCCTATATAGGACCACGAGTTGGATGGTCAGAACCAGCATATGGTTCATCAAGTGGGGAACCATATTAGGAGCGCTCACTGCAGGGCTGGGGTGGTACATGGGCAATCAGAACGCGGGTGTTGGGAACACGGGCGTCGTGTCCAGTTTAGGCGGGTTTATCTGGGATGTGCTGAATAGCCAAGGCCAGTCCACCCCTGATACTCAGCGTTCATCGCGGACACCCAAGACACGTACACAACGCAAGTCAAATGACCGTCCAAGGTCGTGGGAGTCATTTGAAAAGCACAAACAATGGCAGTATCAGGAACGCGGCGGGAACCAGGAGGGGGACGACGCTCAAAAGATAATGTCGAACATTATGAAGGCTGCCAATCGAGTAATAACGGAGGGTGGGTGGTGGGACGTGGCTCGGGGGATTTTTGACGGGCCGAGTTCTGAGGATAAATCCACTACCAGGGATAGTCAGAACCGCGACGAGACGAAGAGCAGGAGTCGATGATAGTTTTTTTCAAGCATAGGCACACGTATATATCAATGTATATGATTCGAATAAGAACAATTCGCTGAACTTTGACGAAGGGACATGCAAGGGAAGTACGAGTAGACTTGGAGACTTCAAGAGAAACTAATCAAGCTTTGACTGCCTCAGCATTATTGTACCGGTGACTTGCTCGACAGTAAGCATCGAGTTTGAATTGTTACTTGGCCTGGAACTCACTTTGCGATCCGAGCCAATTGACCTAAACCGGTAGAGCCAACAAAGAAGTTCACCTGCGCGACCAGTGCATGAATGGTCACCGTCAAGAAAACTCAGCGATGCTTACCGCTGCTAAACTGTAGTTTATCGGAGTGATGACCAATGAGTATCTCACCCAGATGAAACCCGTGCATGCGAGTGCTATCCGGGGAATAATGTTGAACGGAGATGGTAGTGATGCAGCGACGCATCTACGCACCAACGTTTTGTGATATGCTGAGTTTATCTGCTGGTCGACTCAAGTCCTTCACGCCAGCAGCAACCAGACACCACTTCATCAATGGTGCCCAGAAGAAGACAGTCTTCGGGCCTGTCGTAGCGTCAGTACCATGCTTGCATCAAACGGACATCCCACGCACCAGCTGGATGATTCATAAAAGAGGAGAATTTCGACCCTGCGGCCGCAGATGCTGCGCCAGACATTGCTAAGACTTGAAGAAGACAGACAAAGAAACGAATGTCGAGGTGAGTAAGCAGCCGAAAACTCAAGCCTTGGAACACGGGTGGGCGTGAACCTATCAGCAGATTGTTCTTGCCGTTATTCGGGGCAAATTCGGAGTGCTATGAATTTATAAATGGGGATCTCCGGGCGGCAGGCCGCACGAGCCAAGGCTTTTCCCGCGATCCAAGTGACACGATAATTATTATTTTGTGCGACGATATGTTATGTACAACTAGTGGAACGAATCGCGAAGTCGTGTCTGTTAATTACTCCCACATATATGGAACACATCGAAGCCATTCTCGATAGTGGTCCGCCGTGCAATTCAAACAAGTGTGCTGTCACAAAGGCGGGATGCGCCATGACGCGCCTCAGTTCGCGCTCAAAGACCCTCCCACCCACTTAGCAACCAAGTCTTTCCAACAGTCACCAATCTGCATATGCTCCCCCTGACAAGCTACAAATTCAATTCCGCCGCTTTCGTCAAGTTGTCGAAGACCTATCCAATCTTCTCTGTAAAGGGTTTGTAGACGCATCGGGATGATGTCTTTGGTATTCGGTGAACTGAGCATCGGCGTCTGATCGGATCCAGATGTTTCAATAGCGATATCTTCGAGAGGTTGCTCGGAGCCAAACCATGCGCTCTCTTTTGGGACTACAGTTTTGTCTTGGAGGAAGAGGACAAGGATAAGCTTATTCAGCGAGGCAAGGTTATCCGCATATGATGCATTACGAGAAGATGGGAGCAGGACTTCATTATTGATGTCCGGCAGAAAGCTCCCTGACGAGATGTATTGCGAGAGCCGTTGCGGGTCTCTGAAATACTGAGCCTAACAATTATTTAATTAACGGCAACATGGTACATGAAGTGGTTTTCTGACAAACCTGAACAAGATGCTCCTGTGCCCATTCGCTATACACGCCACTGTTCGCTGCTCGGCGCGCGACCTGGCAAAGTAGATCCATCGGTTTGCATGCTGGCAGATCCGATACACCCATGTGCTGTGACCCAAAGGTGATCAAATTGTGCACGGGTGGGCTGTTGTTACGTTCCACGTAGCCACGAAGGAATTGACCTCCTTGTGAGAATCCTATGGCATCGAAACCGCGGCTGAGCTCGGGGATCTCAGCGAGTTGCTGGGCGACTTGCACAATCTGTTGGTTCACATTGCCATACTGATGGAAATAAGTCAGGAACGCACAGAATGGCAGTATCAATCCTCACAAAGGTTGCACGCTGGTCTACGTTTGGGTCTTCGTCGATGAAGATGGAGTGAACGAAGACGCCGGGGTGCATCTCCTTGACTTCATTCTCAAAGCGGACCATACCAGGAGATGCGTAGGTGTCACCGAGGCCATGCCATATTACTAGGGGTCGTACATCGTTCACAACCGCGCTGGACACAAGGTTGACGAAACCTGCAAAGAGCACAATTGAGGGAAGCATGATGGCCGCAAGTAGTGTCTTTGAACCGCAGCGGCATATGGACACCGTTTTCAGAATCGTGTGGGAAACGATTATGTAAGTATTATGCTCTTCGCAGCGGCACAACCCGCCGAAACTCATCCAATCCGATGCTGAGGAATAATGTCATTTCCATGTCTTCAGATGGTTTCCAGCACGGATTCGTCACTTCCTTCATCAACCTCACATTCAAGTCAAGGTTATGCGAGTCAGAATTTTCCGGACATCGAACGTACAGCCATCGCACAATGGTGGACAGCACTGAGCACTGGCAGGAGGATGGTTTTTGATCATACTGCCAGATCAAAATGGCCGCCATGTAGGGCCCTAGATCACATGCAATTGAGTCCTGTCGTGGAATATCTGATGAGGCAGTTCTTTTATTTTCCTATCCCACACACGAGACGTATACGGACGCAGACCCGCAGACCTTTACACGGAATGTGACAGAGTGGACTCCGGGAATGTGTATACAACAAATGGAATCCCCCATATCTTTCCAGCACACCAACTTCATTTTTCTCCCAGAAGTTTGGATAATTACACGCAACGAGCGAGTCGACTATGTGGAAAAACTCCGTTACGCCCCGAGAAGTCACACAGCATAGATGGACTGGTCTTCGAGAGCGACGGGCGAGACAAAATACCCCCGTCAATTCTCGGAAGGTTTCCAGGGCGAGAGAATACCTGTCTAATGCTGTGGTGATCTGTGCGTTCTACCTTAAGGAACCCCCCTACTCGACAACGGTAATAAATATTTCGAGACGGATTTTGATATTCGGTATAGTGGCACTCTGATGACTGGGCTCCGCTCCAGCATGGACAGCGTAACAGATCAAAGCATCTATATAGAATCGGTGGCAATGATCACGATTGTTATCTATGTGACTATGTCCGAGATGGAGCTGTTGTGGACGCTCAAGTATCAATCTTCCGTGCTGCTAATGATGCTACTGACTCGAGCTAGGCAGTGACATACGCGCGAAATACAACCAAATTGGAGTTCCCGGCAGTAATGTCTATCTTCGTATCAGCTCCAACAAATATGACGCTTCCAGCCTGTAAATCTAACTTGCCGCCACTCCAGCTTACCTGGCCGAAACCTTCGGTGGCGATTGCGATTGAAGGACCTGAAATAGCCTCATGAGTTTCAGTCTCACCCTTTTGGGTGTTGACCTGGAGAACCGTGAAATCTGGGATTGGGGGATCATATTTGCGAGTGCGTAGTGTGATGTCGATAGGGTTGACCATGTGCTTTTGCCAATCTGATGCCGTATAGGTCAAAACCGAAACAAGATTGGGGATATCTTTGGCCTTAGGGGTAAGACCTGCACGAATGACATTGTCCGAATTGGCCATGCACTCCATAATATCTTCCGCATTATTATTAATTTGGGCTGAATACCATCAGGGGAAGACATACCGCCTTGCACGTACGCGTGGGGCTCTCCAGCTCCCAGGAAAATAGCCTGCCCAGGAGTCATTTGGACGTAGTTCAGCATAAATGCGCAGAATACCCCAACGTCCCCGGGATATTGTTCATTCAATATCAGGACGAGATCCTTGACATCCTCTTCTAAAGGTTTCTGACCTCCCTGTTGGTAACGAGCGACGAGCGTCCGAAGTTGTATTGCAATGTTGGTAATGTCAGCAGTCATGAGTGCTGCAAAGAGCTTCTTAAGAACTGCCTTCTGCTCCGGCTCTGACAAATTTGTGCAGTTCAGGAATTCTGTCGCGATGGACGGATCGATTAGTGCATTGAATTCGGGAACAGTTCTGACGTATTCAGCGACCCTCGCGATAGGCATGAAACCGCATAGCGCCTTGAAATCCGTCAACGCCAAGGCCATCTCGGGTTTATGGTTCGGATCTTCGTACAACTTATGAGTGAGGACTCAAGGGCAACGTCAACAAGCACTCTTACCAGTGTAAACTGTTGGTTGCTCAGCATGTAGTTTCTCTGCTGTCTTCTTGTCAGGATGGGTTTGTATGCTCAGGGCCTTGCCAATGGCCAAGACCTTGAACAAGAAGGGGAGGTTTCCGTTTGTCGTGTCGAACCGCCGAGATACCTGATCCCCGATCAAGCCTGGGATCTCAGTCAAGATCTGGGCAAGGTTCTGCTTCCTATCGACCACTCCTGACGGCGACTTCACATGCGTGCCCATCCAAAGCTGTCATTGCACGCCTACCGGTCAGATCTGCTGCAGACCGTACTTCCAGATCACCTACTTCTGCGTAAGGAACTGATTGGTTCAAAGTAAATCCAAGTATTCCGGCCCCAGAAGCAAACTCTGCAACCTTAGAGTCCTTCCCCTTCTTCCCCCAATCGTAGTTCTGGACAGTGGGAATGATGCGGAAAACTGGTTCAATTGTACTCATCGTGAATAAAGGTTGATCGTTATCGATGGTGGTGGTACGAGTTGAAATAGGTACATGGATGTGCGCACACTGCCGTCCAGAGTTCACATCCGTGGGACTTTACGGAAGTTCTGTCGTGCTCTGGAGAATGGACGACCTGACTCGGACAGTGACAAGCTTAAGATGGCGGCCAACGTGACGTCATTCAATTACTTTCTTCCGGCGACCATGAATCTTGAAAGAATCACAGCCCAGCGCGGGGGCTAGGAGGCAGCCAAGACCACCAAGCTTCTGTTTCTCCTGTCAGTTGGACATGGCATCGTCATATCCAGTGCAAAGTGAAACGTCCGAGGGGCATATAAGCCCACCGAATTCCAGCGACACAATCAACCCACCATTTGTTAACTCTGCGTACACTCTAGCACAACATGACTGATTACTGGAAACCTGGCACTCAGTACAATGACGATACAGTAGTCCAATATGAAGGTCCGTTTCCGTTCATCTTTTACTCTCGGGCAATCAAACCATCCCATCCAGGTGTCTACTACAAGATCATTCAGTATCACCGATCCCAGGTAATCTTTGGCAGTGTCCCTCATTTTCATACTCACCAACAAGCTCTGCCCATAGAGTGACTGGGCCCCGCCCGTGACGCCTAACTTATGGAGACCCCTGGTAGACTATGATCACCGTCACCATCCCCATCATGAGACATCTGGTCAATGGTGCGGAGACCGCAGGTCCAGATCCAGATCCAGATCCAGATCGTGCTCTCCGCCATACGACCGACCTCCTAAGCCCCCGCAACCTTGCCGTCCCCATCATGAGTATTCTGGTCAATGGTGCGGAGACCGCAGGTCCAGATCCAGATCCAGATCCAGATCGTGCTCTCCGCCATGCGACAAACCTCCTAAGCCGCAGCCTTCCAATTCCCCTCAAGGCTGCATCCGGCCGACTCATGAGGAGTGCCAGAAGCACTGGTATGACCTTGACGACAAAAGGAAGAAAGAGTTGGAGGTATGTTTTCTCTCTCGTGTAGATTCCTCACATCATCACATGCGTCTCTTCCATTAGATTGGAGGGGCCCTCCTGGTCGGTGTCGGCGCCCTTGCCGTCTACGTCCATAATCACCACGGAAAGAGTGAGGAGGAGGTATACTTAGTGTCCATTATCACTCGATACAGATCTGATACTCCGATTTTCTCCAGAAAAAGGCGCATGCCTGGTCGCTAAGCAACTGGATTCGCGATGCGGAGCAACGCACCAAGGCCTTCCGAAGTGGACATTACCCCTGTCCAGTAGCATGGGTCCTCAATGAGGGTAAGAACATCCCATCGGATGCTATCGAAGGTGGATTTGAGCGCGGCTCGTCTTTGTACATCTGCCGTGCTTACTACGAGGCAAGTTTGACAGCCTTGCGTACTTTCAGCCACTTATTGTATTTCTTATAGGGTTGTATCAGTACGTCCTGAGTGGTGTTAGTCGTAATTTTGACTGAATGAAGTTTACTCCAGTTGTCGGAAAGGCATGCTCTGTCTTCAAAAAAGGGGGTGTGATTGGCTTCAAGAAGGAAGAGATACACGTAAGCGCAAACCAAACCGGGCTGTTATCGTCTACTGAACTCATCGGAAAAGATTGTTAAATACGAAATCCTTGTTGGGAACTCTCAAGCAGTGCGATGGGTTAACATTTCCGGCCAATTTAGTTTGGCATCTCTCAATGGGCTTCGACCTGTTGAAGGTGGCCGGGAGCCCGGAGGCGCTTCTCACTACATTGCCCAAGCTCCCTACCATGGGGCTGTGCACCCGGGGAAGGCGTGCGAGGCGTTTGGTGATGGTTGCTTCATCACTTACGACTCCACAGAGAAGAAGGTCAAGGCGAGTACAAATGCCAGCAACGTTGACAAGATCTAATTTGACACATTATCGCAGGATTATTCGGTGCTTTGCTACAAATGATAGGACGTGTTGGAAGAAGATGTGAATTAGCAGCATGTTAGGTTGGCGTGAAATATGTAACGATTAGTTTTGCCTATGTATGGAAAAAAAATTCAATGTAAGGCATTGGATTTGCATATTCACTTATTCATTTGTAATCTCCTGCATCGCTGTAACAAAAAGCAGCATGACCACCAGACTGGGCACTCACTTCTACTAGCCAGGCCTGTCAAAGAATTGGGAGAAGCGGTCGTTTCTTCTAATAATTCACAGAGTCCCAAGCAGATCAGAAGTCCTGGCTCGTCGACTACATTCGGACGCCGTCAGAACGGACACCAGTCGAACTATCCAACCCGAGCTCTTGAAAATCCTTTCGGAGTGATTCTCGCCATGCATGTAGGAGGTGAGGTCAATCAACTGCCATGTGACGAGAACGACGGTCACAAAATTTCGGGTGATTCAGCAGACTTTAGAATCTCGGGACCAACTCGTTCGTCAAGGAACTCAGGGAACTCTGGAAGAGATATAGCGGGAAAGGATAACGAACGACGCATATGAACGATTATGAGTTGATGGTCCAATGGTCGGAGACGCAGTATTGCTTTCAAAGCGAGGCGATTGATACCCTAGGTTTGAGTAAGGCTAGTCAATCTGGGTAAAAGACTTCACCAAGTTATTTCAGTCAGCATGCATCTGGAGAATATCACCACAAGTAAGTTAGGCCGTTCATTGGACTATCTTATTCGAATGGTCAGCGTTCTTGGCCACTTGAGCTTCGTGCGATAGATCTGATCATCATCATCTCAGTATATCAAGCACGTGTGAGCTCATTCTCCAGGGCAGTTTGTGGCAAGTAGAGTTGTTGTCGGAACGCCAAAAGGCGTGTAGGCAGCTCGCGGCACCTGGTACCCGGGCGAGGTGAGGGAGAAAGACTTGCCGTTATGACTTTGGGTATGTGTGAAAGGTTGGTGAAAGATGTCCTAAGGGGAGAACCCTTGCCTTGGCTCATCTAGCGGCTATTGTGGTTCGTTGATTCAGCAGGGATGCCCGGAGAATAAGCTTCATGAATTGCATCAAGCGGTGTGTCTAAGTATCGTCGAGTGCAGGACATAATGCATGATAATTCCTCCTAGCCACTGGGCCTATCGAAGGAAGGGTAGTCGATGCATGACGGTGCAGAACGAAAGTCCCTCCAGTTCGGGCGACATCAGCAGCCCGCCACCGACTCGTCGAGCGTTGCTGGAAAATGCAACAACTTACTGTATAGAGATCTCCCATCTCATTGCTGTTCCGGCCTTTAAGTCTATGAGTGTAGGCTGCATATGATGTTAGTATTACAACCTGCAGATCAGGCCCGTGCAGTCAAATCAATGTTTTATTTTGTTTGGCAAACGCCTCGTGTAGCATTTCCTAATTTATCACAAGCACAATAGCGCGCGTCGAACACGCTGGAAACACGCTTCACGCGCCAGTTGGCCGACGAGGTCGCCGATCATGGACACGCCTTCATCAAACTCACTGTTAAAACCTCGTCTAAGGCTTATCCGCCGCACACCAAGTCCTCGTGCTCAAGATAGCAGTGATATGGACTTTACCCCGGTCGCAGTTCCTTCCTCCGCGCGATCCCAGTTCAATGTTGTTGACGATGAGGACGACAATCAACCTACTCCCCGTATGCCACTCAAGAACATTGCTTCTTCTTCCAATAGCTATGGTACAGATTCTGAATTTGGACCATCTACTTCTTACGCGATACCCTCCGATACTCCTGCAGCACGCCTCCGCGCCTTGCTAGCACGTTCATCAGATTCGCCCAGCGGAAAATCTCCTCCTACAAGACTATATGCACAACCGTCAGAAGATGGCGCTGGCTCGGTGTCGTCATCTCGTTTTACACGGGACAGCCTGAAGGATTTGTTCTCTCATGCCAGACGTGAGCCTGGGGACACGCCACAGAAGTCGAGACCACGTAGAAATAGTTTTGACACCAGCGAGATGGACATTACCCCTGTGGTTGACCGTGAAAGGGACAAGCATAAGGGCAAAAGAAAAAGTCTCAGTGATGATGAGGTTGATAAACCAAGTTCGTCGATTCCCTTTACTTCATTATCTTCGGCCTCTCATCACGATACCTATCAAAGAATCCAGCAAGGGGTCTGAATCGTCATCTCGGTCTTCGCATGCAGCAACATTTGACACTCTTCGTGCACGCCTGATGTCTTCACATTCGCAACTGCTCGATCAAAAATTACCTACAGCAATATATGACGGTCAGCTCATCTATATCATTGCGACGAGTGCACCCGATTGAAGTCTATCAGTTACTTCTCAACCCTCCGAAATAGGTTCACTACTTTCAGATGAACACCGTCTGGAAAGACATGCCAATGTCAATCCCACGACGACTTTGTTACGGCCGCTTGATTCCTCTTGGTCATCACCTCCAAGAAGTGCAGGTTCACCTCATGGGACCTTCCAATTACCTTCTCAGCTAGTGTCTCACTCTAGTAAGGTTATAAATTGGCAATATTTGCACTTCTTTGATCAGTCAATCAGATCTCCTGGATCAGGATTCGGATATGCAGCATGCTATGAGAGATCTTGACACTTCTGAAGATGGTGCGCAATCATTTTTAAAATAGCGCACTGTAACGTTGCTCATTGTTGTTTCACTAGCGCCAGGACCGACGCCTGGCCCAAGCACCGGTCGCCCGTCAACTACTCCGTTGCGGCCCCGTTCCTCCCTTTCATATCGTGGAAGTTTGCGACATCATGATCAGTCTCGGCGTGCCAGTCTCGAGTTGCCAGGTAGGTAATGCCTTTTCGCCATTGTGTCACTTCGCTGACTGTATGCACAGGGCCGAGGGCAAGTTCATCACTTTCTGAAGCTGATTGTGAGATAATACCTGCTGATTTTTTGGAGGCGAACTCATCATAGTAATTTAGTCAAAGAGAAACAGCACTCTCGTGAAGAAGATCAAATGCATCAACGCGAACGCGAGTGGAACCGTCCAAAAGCACCATCACGTTCAGTTACCCCTGAGCTGCATCACCGACACTCGTTGGAGTTTCACCGGCGCCACTCTCAAGAAATACCTAGGACATCTCCCTCTCATGTTAAGTCACTTTCGAACGGTGCAACCATATCAAGAAGCGGGTCACCGCTTAGCAGCAGGAGTCTGCATAGAAGGGGTAGCATTGCGTCGCTCCGGAGTTTTGATGATGATCGGAGCTCCAGGCCAAGTTCCATGAGCTCGCAGGCAGATCGTAAGCGATTGTTTATTTTCACATCACATCACTTCAATGACCTCCAGATCGTGATCGGATGGCTGAACTTGACCGAGACCACTACCTTGAACGTGAACGAGAATGGAATAAACGACACCCACCGCCTCGACCGTCTTCAAGCCTTAGCTCGCATTCGAATCACTCCCACACGCATCCCAGTCGACCTCCATCGGCCACAGCATACTCGACACCGACACTTGCATCCCTTCAACGACAAGGTTACGGTTCTCGACCATCAGGTGCCAGCTCACCTGCCAGCTCACAGGCTAGCCACAACTCATTACGAGATCAAGATGAAGAGGAAGAACGAGAGGTAACGCGAGAGTTAACGCATGAGCGAGAGCGAAATTGGAACTCGCCACAGCCCAATTGGAAAACGGCAAGGCATAGTCACGGCGCCAGCTCACTGGCTAGTCACGACTCATTACGAAATCAAGATGAAGAGGAAGAACGAGAGGTAACGCGAGAGTTAACGCATGAGCGAGGGCAAAGTTGGAACTCGCCACAGCCCAATTGGAACACGGCAAGGCATAGTCGCGGCAGCAGTGGAAATGAAGTTACATCTGCCAGTGTCCATCTTTCCCAAAGCAAGAGCGGGAGGAGTCTGCGTGCATCTTCCAGTTTACCTCACCTCACTCCGGACGCTCGGAGCAAGGGCTCGTCGACTATCGTGAAGTCGCATTCTCACAAAGACAAATTGGATTCAGTGCTCGATGGATCAACATCTGTTCATCCTCCTCAGCATGCAACTCAGTCGTCTCCTCCTCAAACCAATCAGGGTGAAGCATCACCTTATACCACACCGCTCAAGCTTGCGCCCGCTTCAAGATTTGGCTGGCGTTTTCCGCGGAGTCATCAACTTCCCCCTCTTGATTTGGAGATTTCACCCGAACGACTCGAACACAGAAACAAGGAGTCTGATTCCTCACATAACCGCATGCAGACCAGCACTTCGCCATCGCTGACCCCAACCTCTCGCCCATCCAGCCGGGCATCGAATAGGTCGAGTTTGATTCCAGTACCCTCGACATCTAAGAGGAATGGTCTTTTCAGCAGCGGCAATTTTGCTTCTTCTACTCCTAAAGCCGATGAAGAGAAGTTCAAGAAGGGTCATCGCAAGCGATTGACGGAGTTTACTGAGTCAGTGGGAAGTATTCACCCTCAGACTAACATGCACGGTGCATTTGGAGACGAGGACATGGTTTTAGGTGAGATACGTGTTTTCCTTATCCTGTCAATATACCTCATCTGGACTCTGCAGCGAGTGATGAGGAATCTGTGTCGGACTTTGCTCCGCAATCGACTACTCCACGCACACGACCTTCGAATTCTTTCCCTGATGATGCTCCCAGCGAGACAGAGACAGAAGTTCTGGTGTCTCCACCACCCTCGCCACCAAGACAACGCTCACCTGTTCAGGCACCTCCTGGCGTTCATGTCAATGATGAAGCACGTCTCCATAGAGCTCTTTCCTCAACTTCGGCGACCTCGTTCCGACCTCCTACTCCCGACTATCCATTAACAACCTCTCGGCTCCAAGAACAGACGACGCCATCCTCTTTCACTCCGCCAGGAACGCCGCCACTGGCCAGTATTGCCCCTCAGGATGAATCTTCCGAAGTCATTCCCAACTTTGTGCTCACAACTCCGCCACGTCGTCTTTCATCAAGCACTTCCATCCTTGACTTCCGTACCCCGTCTCCACCCCATGACCTCGCTAATCTTTCTGCTCTCCCTTCATCTTCTGAGGATGAAGTAGAGACGCGCGAGGCGGATGTCACTCCCGTGCGAGTAGATGAGGGTGGTCTTTCCAATCCGAACTACACAGCGATGAAGACCCCGAGACCTCCTGGTGCATGGGCTGCCACGCCCATACCGCCCAAGCACCTGAGGGAAACACATCGCCACCTCCTACTTCATCTGAATTAAATATGACTGCACCATCGTCGCCGACGTCTTTGTCTCGAGCCAATTCTGAACCCGAGCGGAGCTCGAAGACTGAGGCCCCGGCAGGCAATGGGCTACTCACGCCAATACCTTCTCTGTCGCGTGCCAACTCTCTTCCTTTACGCACCCCAGCTCCCCCTGGTGCATGGATGTCGACCCCGAACCAACCTACAATGCAGAATGGACAGAATGGTTCTACTGATCAGTCCCCGTTTGGTTCTATTGGAAAGAGAAGGAGCATTCTCAAAGTGCGCTTTGATGTCACGGAATCAGAGGCTTCAACTGCTGAAGTTGAGCACCAAAGATCTCCTTTACCTTCCGGGCGCGTATCTGCGCCTGACTTTCTGCCCGACATCCCTGCACGGCGAGCTGAGAGCGTCCTTTCGAAAGCGACCAACGGTTTTGCTCAAATCGATGTCGTACATGATCCAGTGCTGGCGAGGCCTCGCACTCCTGAACGCCCTACAACGCCAGTATCTCGTCCCAACGCACCATCACCACGTTCACTGAGAAAATCCCCCACCGTCAAGGTCGTTGATGCATTCGGTCGGGAAAGGATTGACGACCTTCCGACGTCGGCCGATCCCCAGGATATTGTGAATGGGCGTGCGGACGCGAACGATGCGATTCGTTCATCGAAATCAGCTGAAGCTCCTCATACTCCTCGCGCCCAACACAAGAGTAATATTCGTATTGTCGATGCAATGGGAAGAGAAATTGAGGAAGAAGCCAACCCTGTGATTGAACCCCTGTTCGAAGAAGAAGAGTCAGTCCTGCATGACGATTCACCCATTGGTCGCACGGAAACCCTGGCTCAAATGCGGCAAACGCTCCGGGAGTGGGCTGATGGGCTAAGTGATGGAGACAGGTAATACCGCAAGCGTACGGTTCAAAGAATGCTGACTGATAGGAACTCCACTAGGTCTGCTGATGATCTCGCTTTGAACACGACCCACCTCGAAGAGCTCGAAGAAGTTTCAAAGGCAGCGCGGCGTGCTCGGAATCAGTTGGCTCAGACCCTTCGCGTCGAATCGGTGAAAGAGCGTGACCTGATGCACAAATATGCTAAGGACGCCGTGGGCCGAAGTGGGCTTTTGGTAAGACAAAGTGTATATGCATTTGGTGTAGTCGCATCTGATTGATTCTCACAACCAGCCGGCTATCGCTGGTGACAACAGCTCTTTCCAACGTGGTCTGGTTGTGCTCGGGATTGTGGTCCAAATCATCTTCGTCCTCGCCATGTGGCGGTAGGTTTCTTTACTTCGTATAGAAATTTTATCACTGATCTGATGAATGTCTGCGTAGATTTGCACATGCCCAAGCTCGCCGACTCTTTTATACTGTCTATTATGACCATCTATACCCGGAGTTGAATCCCTTGCCTGGACACTCCCATCAATTCTCGCCCCCCTACCCATCATTCCCATGGTCACTTTCGAGTGCATACGAAATTGTAAAATATGAAGGCTGGACAGCTTTGAAGGCGGAGCTACAGGGCACTGTGCGCCGCATCGGTGAACATGCTTGGGAGAGGTGGGGAGAACGCCCTTACACCGGGACATGGCCACCTACGTGATTATTATTATGATACTGCACGCTATCTAAATTTCATGATATATTTTCTTTCTCTGGTATCGTCGAAAAGCTTGGCTGAATACTGTGTGATATTATTATTTAAATGATATTGTATATGCATACATATGTCGCATGATTACACACTTCCCTCCATGATTTCCAGAAGGGAACGACTCGCGATGAATTGGTACCTCCTGGAACTTGTCGGAGTGCTATATATGTAGATGCGGGTAGCCTTGGGCTATGGTGGGGTTGCGCTTGGCGGTGGGGAAACGGTATCCCGATGAGCAGCTAGGTTAAAGTCCGAGTCATGAGGACGGGGTCCTGTTTTGCTGGCTGGGTCCTTATCGTCTGCGTCCTCAACGAGACTGAGCAAGGACAATTAGATACCGAATATTATTTCCCAGTGTATCGCAACTAGACAACTTGGTTCGATGTCGGTAAAGCTTCAAGCTTCAAGATATAATATATACTAGTTCATAATGGTACAACACAGTGACGTGCGACAGTACAGCTGGCAAGTACAACGAGACGTGAAAAAAACAAAAACATAGGACAACAGTATACTCAGCCGTAGTACAAGTACAATATTTAATCGACAAAATGACAAATAACCGCAGCGGCTTCATTGCGTACCACCTGCCCCCGGCTGTGTCAAGCGTGCTAAGAAGGCATGAAGCATAGCGCGCGCATAAGGCTTGTCTCCCTGGGAAACTGCTTGAACAAACTGCTCCAAACGAAATGCTACTTCAGAAGCGCTGCGGAACTCCATTAGGAGCTCTATTTCCATTTGTCGGATGTCGGAGTACCTGTGGTGTTCGAAAATCAACAACTTGAAGTACCACGGTGTAAAACAAGAAAACCATACTGGGCTGTAAACCATGAGAACGCCTCATCAACGATATTGCTCTTGGACAAGCTGGACTTAATTGCATTGAAAGCCAGATCTTGCAAACGTGTATGCTTCAGCTTCGGGACTCATGTTAATATGTGTATCATGGAGAAAGAAAGCTGTACCAACCTTCTCCGCGAGTCGGTACATTGACTTGGGAGAGCAGCGCAGAGTCCCAGTGGTCTCATCACGTCGGCTGGATGGATCTTTTGACTTCAGAGGGTAGAAAGAAACTTGGCCAGTGTAGCAATAGTATACGTAGGACGCCCAACTGCAAGAATAATGTTAATGTTTTGGGACATGTCGAGTTAATCAGAGTAGTCGTATGTAACTTACGTTGTGAATGCCGTGTTCCGAACCAGCATTCGCTGGATCTGAGGGAAGGGTGGCGGCGGCGGCGGCTCAGCCCCCAGTGTGTCTGTTGAACTGAAACTTGAACTGAAACCTAGAAGCAGTAGCCCGGGCGCATAATGCGTGGAGCTAAAGTCTAAGTGGCAGACTGAGCACCGTGCGGGAGATTACACCCCAGGCGCGAGGAGAAGCAGACCGGACTCACCATCACCGTCATCATCCAAGCTTAGAGCACTGCTAGAAGCAGTATCTGAATCGAACTCAGGTGCCACGCCGAAGGAATAATCATAACGATTATAAGGCATAGACCTCTCTCCTTGTCCTTGTTCGTCTTTCGAGATCTTGACTTCCTCTTCTTCTTCTTCTTCTTCTTCTTCCTCTTCCTCCTCCTCCTCTTCTTCTACCTCCTCCTCCTCCTCCTCAATATCGCTGTCCAGGTCATAATCAGATTGCCCAATATCCCTGTTCAGGCTGGATTCGCTCTGAAATTTCGCAAGTAAACAAGCTGTATTTGCTGGTATCTTCGAAGGTGTATGAGGAAGGGGCCCGAGTTGCCCAACGTCAACGTCCTGTGTTAGGAGTGCATGATTTGCGTGTATGACGCGAGTTTTTCCTGGAGATCTCCAATTCCTACGCCTGTACATGACATAGTACTTGGTGTCGACGAATGCGCCATCATTCATGGACTGCCTTAGAGCAGACGCAGTACCGGCGAGAGGGTCGGCGATAGCTTGCTGAACGAAGTTATTTAAGTTTGCTTTCGGAGTTACTGTAAATGACATGTAGGGGTGTTGAATGATCCTGGACGGCGACAAAGCGCGAAGAAGTGCGGGAGGCCCATGGCCAAAGTCAGCAATTGTGACTGTCTTGCTGAGGAAGGAAGGGCCCTCTGGATCAGACCCATTTCTAAGGCAAACAGTCACCGTAGTGGTATCTGTCACCGAAGAGCAATGGGCATGATCAAGGTAAATCTTCACTTCATCAGAACCCCAGCCTTTTTTTGCGTACTGCAGGCCCAAACGCCACCCCAATCCGAATTTTTCGCTGTAAAGTATACTAGTTGAATCTCCTTTCAGACAGGCAGCAAGACATTTGTCCTTATTAGGATCCAAATGAAAGGTTGATGTCACTAGTACTGCATCAGATACCCTCTGCATATTGGAAGAAGATGAGAGGAGGATACGTAGGCGCCAGATAACGAATGACGGAGATTGGCGGCCTTTGTCCTCTCAATTAAATGGACGATTAGCTTGTTTTGGACTGTTTGGTATTCCTGAAATCAGATACCACCAAACAACAGTACTCTGATCCGTACAAGTGGTCACTTCTGGGAAGCACCACAAGATCTGAGGATGCGTGATGCGTGAATATTCATTTGTCGCCGCCAGATTTCACACATCATACACTTGGCAGATGGGGGCTGCAGCGCCTAGCTACAGTTGTAGATGATCTTATAGTGGCATCTGCCATGCACTGCATGAACATGTTAGCACATAAGCATACACGTCCTTATAGTAGTAGTCCTCGATTATATTCCGATTTTTACTTCTTCCGATTCCCATGTTTCTAATATCGTATACTGGACTAAAAATTGGGGTGCATGTCGCTCGGTACAGCAGATCCGAAACTTGACGGAGGCCAATGGAGCAGAGCAGTAGCGTGTCCCATTCAAGAATTCCGCAGAACATGGCCTTCCGAGTCAAGTAACGCCTGGAGGACGAAGGAGTACCACGAGTATAGGAGGGATTTCCACAGTGGAAGTTGAAGCCGTTAGCAACAGTGAACGTTACAGTATACAATTGGTAGCCTTGTAGCAAGTTCATAATAGACATGAAAGACAAGATAACAATACAGGAGAACATTGGACAACATGACTTACAAGTACAGCACTGAACAAATGACAGTATGACTGTCGCGACTTCAAGCTTCATCGTGTACTTGCCCCCTGCCCCGTCAAATTTGCTAAAAAGCCATGAAGCATAGCATGTGCATAAGGCTTTTCTCCTCGGGAAACAGCTTCAAGAATCCGCGACAGGCGCCTTGATACTTCAGGTGTCTTGCGGAACTTCATTAGGAGCTCTAATTCCATTTTTTGAATGTCGGGGTACCTGTGGTGATTGAGGATCAACGCATATGAGGGTGTAGAACAAGAAAGCCATACTGAGCCGTAAACCATGAGAACGACTCATCCAGGATATTGCTATTGGACAGACTAGACTTGATTGCCTGGAATGCCAGAGCCCGCAAACGTGCATTCTTGAGCTTCGGAACTCTTGTTAATCTACGTGTCACAAAAGATGCGAGATACACCAACCTTATCCGCGAGTCGGTACATTGACTTGGGAGAGCAGCGCAGAGTCCCAGTGGTCTTATCACGTCGGCTGGTTGAATCTTTGGACTTCAGAAGATAGAAAGAAACCTGGCCAGTGTAGCAATAGTATACGTAGGACGTCCAGCTGTAAGAACGGTTTCAGCCATTTGGAGCCAGTCAGAGCAGCCATAGCTTACGTTGCGAATGCTGTGTCCCGAACCAATACCATTCGCTGGCCCGAAGGGAAAGGTGGAGGAACCGCCTCAGGCACCAACGTGTCCATCGAGCGGAAACCTGGATGCACCCGTTTCGTCCAGTGAAGGCCTAAGCAGCAAACTCAGCATGAGAGATCATACCCCAGGCACGAGACCAGACTTACCATCATCTGAACTTAGTGCACTGCTATCGGAAGTGTCATCAGAAATATCGGACTCAGAAGGTGCCGCCACAGGGTAGTAACTCTGGCTATAACGATAGGGTTGGTACTGGCGATGTGCCTCTTGTTGTTTTTCATTCGGTTTCGGTTTCGGTTTCGGTTTCGGTTTCTCTTCCTCTTCCTCGTCCTCTTCCTCGATGTCGCTGTCAGAGTCATAATTGTATTGCTCAGCGTCCCTCATCAGCATAGGTTCGCTCTGGTAGCGAACGAGTAGACTGTCTTCCTTGATAGGTGCTGAAAGATAGATCCATTATTATCCGTCCAACCAGGCAAGACGAGAAACCACCGACAAGGGGAAACGGGCACGATGCCGACGCCGTGGTTTAAAACTGCATCGTTCGCATACACGAAACGAGTTTTTCCTGGAGATTTCCAAGAAGTTCTACGTTTGGACGTGACATAGTACTTGGTGTCGGCAAATTCACCGTCGTCCATGGACTGTCTGAGAGCAGATGCAGTATTGGTGAGGGGGTCAGCGACGACTGGAGCGAAGTCTACTTTCGTGGTGACCGTAAACGACATGTAAGGGCGTGCAACGATGACGGACGGCCAGAAAGAGCCAAGAAGTGCGGGCGGCCCGTGGCCAAAATCAGTAATCGTGGCTGTTTTGCTCTCAAAGGGAGGGACCTCTGAACCAGGCCCAGCTTTAAGGCAAACAGTCACTGTAGTAGCGGCGCCTATCGCTGACGAGCAATGGGAGTGGTCAAAGTAAACATTCACTCTAGCAAAAGACCAGCCTTCTTTTGCGTACTGCAGACCAAAGCGCCATCCCAATCCAAACTTCTCGCTGTAAACTATGGTTGAACCTCCTTGCAGGCAGGCTGCAAGGCGTTCGTCCTTAGTTTCCAACTGAAAGGTAGATGTCACTGAATCAGTTAACCTCTGCATGATGGATGAAGATGAGAGGAGGTGTAGGCGCCAGAGTAGTCTCTTTAACTGGAAGGCAGTGTCACCCCTCCTATTTTGGGAGCAACAACCCCCATCCTATAGCAGATTGCTATTAGTGAACAGGTTTCCAAACACGAAAACATGTGTAATACTCGTCAAGCAAGCCGCATCAACAACAACGAACGATACAGTAGATTGGTAGTACAATTGGAAGTCCACGGTTCGTAACACACGTCCGCGCAATGAACATTCACAGACCCGAACAACCCCACCGTCAGTGACGCTATCGGAATTAATTCTGGCCAGGTATCTGCATAATCAACGCAGTGAGAACTTGTCCAGCGTTGGGTATATTGCCTCTAGCCACAGCTTCCATTTTAGTTGGGAGACCCTGCAGAACTTCTGATGCACTCCTATATTTCAGCAGGAGGGCAATTTCCATTTCTCTGACAGCGTCGTGCCTTTTTGAATGACAGTAAGCAGCAAGCAAAAGAACGACGGGATCGCCAATACCTGGAAGTGAATTTGGAGAATGCCTCGTCCAATATGTTGGCCGCGGACAACCTGGTCTCCATACCCTTTATGTAAAGCAAGTTGAGATAATGGTTCATTGTGAAGCTGTCGTTATGAGTTCATACAGATACATCAAAGCAAGTTCCCTGTAGTTACCTTCCTAGCAAGTTGATACATCGACTTTGGGGAGCAACGCGGTGGACCACTTTCTAAGCGACTCTGCTGAAGCGTTGCAGTGGGTATCCTTTGAGACCGCAGATTTGCAAAGTTGATGATGCCGGTGTAACAGTAATAAATGAAGGCGTGCCACCTGCGAACTCGATTCAGTGGCGCCTCTGTGACATAAAATCACACCTACGTCTTCCAGGCAACACCTTTTACGAGGGCGACTCGGAATCCGCGCTTCAAGTTCTCGTTGATCACAACTGGTACCATCCCATGACCTTCCGAAAGCAATGGCCGATTGTCTGGCTTCTCTTGAAGCCCAGCTGTAAAATGAAAATTTTCAATCTGACATACGTATGAGGTTTCAAGTTTCAGTACCTTCAATGCTGGAGAAAGACGAGATTGAACCAGTATCGGTCGTGTCTGTGGAATGATGATCAATAACATATAAGCTTTAACACTGGAAATAAACAAACAAACCTTCGCGTGGTTCATTGTCAACTGGTGTGGGATTGTCGTCGTCGTCATGGTCCAGATCACTGTCAGATTCGTATTCATAACCCTCCAGGGAAGTGAAAGGGAGAGTGACGCCTTCAGACGGTTCAAAGAGGGAGGTGAAATCGAGAGTTTCTCCAGCTACCAAAGGTGCTCAGGAACCACGAAGAAGAAGTAAGAATATAACGTACAAAAGTCTGGTAAAGTTGTTTGCAGCACAGCAGTGCTTGCATAAATCGGCATTGGTTTTGCGACCTTTCCGGGGGACAAGCAACAAGTGTAAGCTTGAAATATTATGTCAAATGATGTTCCCGTCTTGAGCGATTGCTCGAGGGCATGAAGGGCAGAGGAGACCTGAGACACTCTGGGCGCTTCAGCACTAGCAGGTGCGTCTGGTACGGGCCCGACGGGTGCAAGTACATCGAATAAATTGTCCGTCGGTGATTTGATTAAGATGACCTCCAGCGAGACGAGGGCATTTCCAAGCTCTTCAGCTGGACAAGCGATCAGCGCATGATTATTACTCAAATCTGAACCGCAAACTCCTAGGATCACGGCGATAGATTTGGTGCGTAGGGATTGATCACCATCAGGATGGGACGGGAAAGATACTGTGACCTTGGCCAGTGTACCATGTCATGCATCCGCACAACTTTGGGAATTGAAACATAGCTTGAGCTGGTGTGTCTTTTTTTGTTTGCGAATAGTCAGGCACCAGCCAAAACCCGCAACAGGAGAGTGAAAAGGAGTTTTCTTCAGAATAGAGGAAATATCAGCTACAGAGCCCAAACGAAACAACGTCGTGATGGAACCTGAAGTCGAGGTTTCTTGTAGCTTTTCGATGACGGACATTGGTTAAGCGCATCAGGACCTAAAACTACTCTTACAACAAATTTATAAATGTGGGCATCCAGAGACCCCTGGAGCTGCATCGTGGCTCGGTATGCAATTATCACCTTACTAGGTCGCATTCAAAGGCTCGGATCTACCGTCCATTATGATCGTGGGTTGATCAAGGGAACTCGAAATGCTTCTTGTTCCAACTGACACCCACAAAAGAAGGCTTGAGGAAGGACTCCCCAGGCCGAGATACGGTATAGAAGTGCGGAAGACAGTTATTTATGCCATTCTTCCCTGCAGTAACGCGGTCAGCATTTAAATTTAGTAAGATGTCATATTCAATAGTATTCACATACCGTAGCAACATGAGCAACTCTGACTCACCAATTGGTCTCCCCCACAAGACGATAGACGAAGAAAAAAAAACGTTCCTTTATTTGACGTTCTTGATCATGAGAGACCACAAATAAAGGTTAAGTCTCTCAACTCGTGTCAGTGATCGGTAACTTCCGTTCTCCTTGTTCTGACCAGATGAAGGTCGAATTCAATTGAAGCTGCATGTCCCATCCATCTTTGTTGACCGCCGTGCACGATGTGCTCGTGCAGTCCGCGTTGCCTGTCCAAGTGATCGAGTCTGCTCACCCTCTCAGCACTGAATATACTACAGTAACTGCACAACTCGGTGCAGTCATCAATACAACTCACCGCCTAAACCATGGACTGAACCAGCTAAATGACCTGCCCCTTGGTGAAAGCGCCACCAAACTGGTGGCCCTCATGAAAGAGCACACCGCTTTGACATTTTCCATCAATCAGTCGGCTGCTGCCTCTGCTTCGCTCTCGTCTCTGTTGCGAGGAGACAACAGAGCAATTTATCCGGACACAAGTCCTCCTCATCCTGAAAAGATCGCGCAATGGGGCCGTAATCTTGGCATGGAAGTTTTCGTAGACGGGTCGACGACTGTCCTCGCAGGCAAGGTACTAGTGCTTGATATTGATATTAATGATCATGTCGCTGTCAAGACGTCCTTCGCCAATAATACAAACAGTAACGGGAACTCGTCAGCAGCACCAGGGCTAGACTCCTTTCTCGCACGGGAAGTGACCCGCTGGATCAATGCAGCGAGACGCGCTGCTGGCATCGATACGGCTGTTGTACACTCAAAAGAGGACCCTGCGATTGAAGCTGCACGTTGTAGCCGGGCAATACAAGGACACTTGCGATATCTGATGATGCTCGACGGGCTCGCGGCCGCCGAGAACGAGAAAGGACTTCGTTGGTTCATGGAGCCAACTGTAGTATCAGATCACATTAGAAATCAGGTTGCGTACGTCTGTTCTTTTGTCGCTCTTGTTTTATCCCTGATACGCGACATTCATAGCTCACCGCACACTCAACCTCTCGACAAACTCCTCACGCAACATTCCCTTCCCCTACCCTTCCTCGTTACTCCTTCACTATCATTCCTGGTCTGGCTTTCACCCCGTGCATATCTTCAACTCCTTCGCAGCTCTCAGCCATCCAAGCAATCGTTGATGTGGAATGTTGATGTCCCAATAGCACATCTCAGGACATCGCTGCTTGATACTCTAGAAGATGTCACCATTGCTACGCTGAGATTGGTCCCTTGTGCTGAAGTAGCAGCGTCCAAGATAAAGTCAAGCGATGTCCCCGGAGATCATACGCTCCTGACTGCCCCCTCGCAGATGTGGGTGCTTGAATTCACCGCCAAGTCACCACAGACTGGCGTGGTGATGTCCCAGAGCCGTATGCATGTAATTCAAGGAATCGTCGAGTCTCGAGCCATCGACCTGAACTCAATGGGGAGCATGTCTAGTATGGGGTCAATGTCGAATCTAGGCAACATGAGCCACATGAACTTTGGAGAATTTGGTGTGGCGTCTTCACATGCAAATGGAAGCGGAGGAACTGGCAGAAGTTGGGTTGACTTATTGGTCAGTCACTTTTCTCTATAGCTATATGCATATGCGCGTGCCGATACTTGCATCTGATCCAGGTCAATAAAAATTCATCAGCAGAATACTACACTGCAACTTATGTGTGTGGCACATGCGCAGGTACAAGCACACACTGACCGTTGATCTAGAAATCACCGAACGGCATCCATCCACCGCTACATCTTCGCCTTCTTGCACCTTTGGAACCAGGCTTTCTCCTCCAGAGAGTTCCGGTGAGGAGCGTAAAACAAGTATTGCGAGTGTTGGAGGTAAGTTTTATCTTGACCAAACTGTCAAATCATTCTTAGAGATTCTTCCAGGTTGTTAGAGAACAATGCTGGCTCAACGAATCACTGGGCATACTCCAATGGTCGCCAGAGAATTCACAAGTGCTGCAATCACCCCAACGACCTTCGAATGTAGAGCCAGAAGATACGGCATCAAGTACTCTGCTAGCCTCAGTCCTCGCAGGAACGGTCGCGCCGCAATCTATCCCAGTGAACGTCTATCTTCCGTCCAGTGCTCTATCGGCATTGTCCCAACCAGCCGATCCGTTTACGTCCAGCGGGCTTGGAATGGGTCCTCCTGCAAGCGCAGGCTCCAGTAGTGGTGCAAGCTTGTTCGGTCCGGGCGACTTGGAGATGGACATGGACATTCCCGGACTGAGCATGAGCATGGGTGAAAGTGTGGACATGGATCTTGGAATAGATCTTTCGACCTCGGCTGATCCCATGCAACAGCCACATAGTCCAGACATATGCCCTCCCCCGATGATCGTGCTCTCCTTTCCGAGGCCGGTGCCCAGGAGCGGGCTGGTTGAAATCAGGGTTACGTCGGGCGATGGGTATGGGAGTGTAGTTGGGGAAAATGGTATTCGGGTTGAAGCATCTCCAGGTGTTGAGATGGGATATATGCCAGAAGTCGTGAGGCGGGGCGGGGTGTGGAGTCTTCCTGGGCGAGTGTGGAAAAAAGGCTAATGAGTTGTTGCCTGTGTTGTGATAAAAATTTTGGCAAGAAATATGTGCAAGGCCTAGGATTGTAAATGAAGCTTGAGGAGCCTTCGTACCAGTTGAAGACTGTCGGGGGCTAATAGGGAATATTGTCCTGATAAGTCACTTACGTGGTAATAGCTAATTTATTTGAATAAAATTATCCTGATCAATTTCGAGCACGCAAGCTGGTGCCTAGTTGGACTCTCCATCCAGATTTCAGACTCACCACTGAACTTACACTGACAGTATCAATCGGGAGACCGCCGTCCACACATTAAGGATGGAGAGGGTACAATTTCAACAGGAGCAGGTTCGTCATCCTTCCGAAAGGTTCGACTTTCAACTAATGAAAACCTAGATGCTCGCAGAGCTCAAGGATCTTGTGCAAAAAGGTTTGTTCACCCAAGTACGTAGGTCTCATACTGCATCACTCCAGTCTCATCCAACTCTGCTCCTAGTCTGAGGTTAAGCAGATCGTGAAGAAACGTACACAGTTCGAAACCGCACTCGTCCGCCGCATCCCGAAAAAGAGTGACTTCCTGCGATACGCGGCGTATGAGATGAATCTGGAACAGCTGAGGCGAAAACGTGTGGAGAGACTGAGTGCGTGCTTCGCATGTCCATATTCCAGGGTTTCCGACTGACCGTTCTATTGTTTGTTCTCAGAAATAGAAAAGACCGCACCGTCAATATCAGATTACGCTCTCGTTCGCAGGCAATTCCAGATATTTGAACGTGCTCTTAAGAAATTCAAATCGGACGTAGGATTATGGACACAATATATCGAAGTTGCAAAGCGGGAGGGGGCCCGTTCACTAGTGGGGCGCATAACAGCTAGGCGCGTCCAGTCTGACATTTGGTTGGTCTGTTTTTAATCGTGCATATAGAGCCCTCCAGCTCCATCCAAGAACCCCTGCATTGTATATCATTGCCGCCTCTCACGAACTTAACCATATGTCCCCTTCCGCGGCACGCGCCCTCCTTCAGCGTGGTCTTCGACTCAATGCGGACAGCGTCGATATGTGGAGAGAATACGTGCGAATGGAAATGGGTTTCGTCGAGGGGATGAGACGAAGGTGGACTGTACTGGGAATTCATGAGGAAGATCACCCTATTGCTGAGGCGGAGACAACTACCGAGGAAGATATGGCGCCACTAACCCCAGAAGAGATAGCAGCTGAGAAAGGAGGTGACGAAGGCGAGAAGGCACGGCAAGCCATTATTGATGGTGCTATCGTCAAGTCCGTGATTTCGAGTGCTGCAAAAGGTTCGTTCCATCATTCCTCTCTAAGGATTCAAATTGAGTTGGACCACAGCTCTGCCCAGTATAAATTTATTTTCAGCTCTCGAGGTCCTAATCCGTTCGTATCCCAGCCAAGAGCGCCTTCGCACAGCCCTTCTTGATCACCTATATAGTGTTCTCAAAGTCACATTACCAGATGACCCTCAGGCTGTGAAAATGCTGGCGACAAGAAGACTTCGAGAACTTGCATCTCAGGAAAATAGTGATAATTCTGTCGTGGCCGAAGGTGAAGAATTCGTTGACGCCCTTCAAGCTGCAAACGAGTCTTTCTCCGCGGCTGTTGGCACCGGGAGCCCGAACGCCTCCGGCATGGCTGATATCTATGTTGAGTTTATAGAGGAGTGGTGCAAACTGCCCACACTGGATCCGAATTTAGTGAGCTTCATGCCGTGCATCTATCGTGTATTCCAGCTAAGCAAGTAACATTAGCGTGCATATCTTGTAGCTTCCCTCCGAAAACTTGCCCGGCAGCCGAACGCGCACCCTTTGCTGCAGGCCGCACACACCCATCTGATATCTCCTTCCAAGAAGGCTCTCTAATTTCCACATAGCTATCCCACAACATAAAATCATCGATGCGCTTTGGTCCAAGTGGCACCGTAACGAGGATCTGATCGGTATACATTTATGGAGAGGATATTCGAGACCGGGAGACTATGGAAAGCAGGAGTCAGTCCAACGAGAATGACCAGCTTCGACCAAGTTCCCTCTGCAACCTAGCTCGTGGTGCGTTTGGTAATTGACGTAAATCACTGCGGGTCGCTCGTAGCTCAGTTGAACGGTGTCGCACTAGTTCGTAGGTGAATCATCTATTTTTGCCAATGTGTAGGAGTCGTTGCGGATGGAAGCAGTGGTATGTAGCCACAAATGACAAACAGCGATACCAGACAAACATCGAGTTGACTGATCGTTGAAGCCCAGCATTGTTGAGCTGGTCGATGCAAGTATGATATGGCTCAGGTTGGTCTAGGCTACTTTCGCTCCATGACCGGCATCTGCCACCCTGGAAATAGTGACGTTCCGCTTTCCTTCACTCGTATCCAGATCCACGGATCTGCATCCAAATTATTATTGCAGTGCTCCTAATTCCTTCCCAGGCTGAACTAGCGACAAGTTTCAGTCCCTTTCGTGATTGATCTCAATCAGGATTCCCTCTCCTCATCGTGCAAGGATAGTTCTCACTTGATGAATATACTGGGCTTCTGCGGTCATAAAGCATGTTGCCAGTCGAGGATCTCGGTGTCCCAAGGCTATGGATGCCACACGTGTTCATGAAGTCTTCCAGCAGGATATACTCGCTCCCCACAAGTTTACAATCGCGTCCCTCGAGATCCTGTTCCCGTCACAATCCTAGTGACCTGGAGGCACAGGATCAACCCCTACACCCGTTGTCCTGGTGAAAAGATTACTTATCTTTATCTTTTGGTACTCAACGAACGAGCGTCTCCCCGGGTATTTCCTGCAACTCACATGCGGCTCAATGTGCCACAAGTTTTTGCCGTCTCGCATTGCGTAAAAGTACGTCAGGAGTATTTCTTCCTCCTCTGTACAACCAAGAGGAATAGCACTAAGTAGAACACTGAAACGTGAAAAGTAAATAACGAGCACATTCAACTTCACGTTGATCAGAGTCGACGGCGCTGATCATTTCCATCAGATTTGACGACACTGTCCGTAAGATCGCGTGTGGGCCGACCAAGGCCGAACACTGAGTACTGAGTACTGGAAGATGCAACCGTAAAGCTAGTAGTACTACATAGTACTTGCGTCCTATCCAGATTGCAATCGAAAGAAGAACATTGTTATGATAAACTTATAAAAATCATTTCGGGCTTGTCTCGGGCGCTCGAAGAGTTCACACACTCTTACCTTCCCCCATCATGGATCCTTCAACCATCATGGAGCCTTCAAGCTTGAGACAGAAGTTCGAGCGCTTCCGAATCCTCATTATAGGAAGAGCGAATGCAGGGAAGACCACCATTCTCCAGAGGGTTTGCCGGACAAGGGACAACCCAGAAATATATGACAGTGCTGGGAAACAGGTACGCAGCCTGAGTACTATGATCCCAGATAGTGATGAATCTTAATTGATTGGACGAGATCAGATCGATGCCTCCGTTTTGGCGGCATCCAGAGAGGTAAGGCGCGCTCGTAGTGGTTAGCAACGTCCTGTGATGAGTCCTCAGCGTGGATTGCACAATATCGAAAATGAAATGGTGTTTCGAACTAACCCAAGATTCGTCTTTCACGATTCACGCGGGTTTGAGGCAGGAGGACAATCCGAATTCAAGAAGGTGAAGGCTTTTATCGCAAGCCGTTCTAAGGAACGAGCTTTAAACAATCGAATCCATGTCATATGGTAGTCCTACTAGTAGTAAAGTTGCCGTCATACGCTATCTCACGTCTTCAACATAGGTACTGCATTCCAATGGATGAGGATAGCAGGTCTTTCACAGAAGCGGAAGTCAAGTTTTTCTCTCAGTGTGACACTGGAAGCAGTACGTTTTGTGTTTGTTGTCGTGTATCATCAATTAATTAGCAATCCTCAGTTCCAGTAATTGTGCTGTTTACCAAATTCGACGCCCTCTACGACGATATACATGCAGAGCTAATGAGTAAGGGAGTATCGAGGAAAGATGCTGACGGACTGGCCCCGCAGCACGCCAGAGAGTCATTTGCCAACGGGCCACAACTAAAGCTTTTGTACAGCCGCAACGGCAACCAACGTCCTCCAAAATGTCATATATGCCTTCCTGGTAAGTTAATTAGTCTATTTAATTGGATACTCACGTTTGTTCCCTCTCGTACATTTAGATATGGACAAGGATGATGCAGACTGCACGCCGCTTATTGAACACACGGCTGAAACTTTGGACGATGATATGATCAAACAGTTGTTTGTCTCCACTCAGCGGACCAACTTGGAGGTGTGCATCAGAACCGCAGTCAAAAGGTGACCACTCAAACCTCACTTATCTGTGGCGAGAAATGACATCTGAAATTGTCTCAATGTCTTGAGGACACTTGCGCAGCAAGCAGTCTCATCTCGCACATTTGGGAAATTTCAGGATAGTAAGATTGTAGATGAATTGGGTGCCTGGTTTCCACAGACTCATGTGAGTTGTAGGAATGTTCGAAAATTCCTCTCATTGATGTTCGACGGTCGCTTGCAGGGAGTACGTCTGTTGGCCATCCCCGCTGGTATGCTGATATAAGGTATCATTGATCTGTTGTCAGTTTGTGAGTGAACTGATCCTATGTCGAGCTCGAGCCTCGCTGACCCAACCCATTGATGATCCCTTGACAGCGCGTGAGTGTCTTGATCCTATGTCGAGCACGAGTCTCGCTCACCGAACCCATTTCTGATCTGTTGACAGTTTGTGAGTGTCTTGATCCTCTGTCGAGCTCGAGCCTCGCTGACCGAACCCATTGGTGATCCCTTGACAGTTTGTGAGTGCCTTGATCCTCTGTCGAGCTCGAGCCTCGCTGACCCAACCCATTTGTGATCCCTTGACAGGACGTGAGTGAACTGATCCTATGTCGAGCTCGAGCCTCGCTGACCCAACCCATTGGTGATCCCTTGACAGTTCGTGAGTGTCATGATCCTCTGTCGAGCTCGAGCCTCGCTGACCCAACCCATTTGTTATCCCTTGACAGCGCGTGAGTCTCTTGATCCTCTGTCGAGCTCGAGCCTTGCTGACCGAACCCATTGGTGATCCCTTGACAGTTCGTGAGTGTCATGACCCTCTGTCGAGCTCGAGCCTCGCTGACCGAACCCATTGGTGATCCTTTGACAGGGCGTGAGTCTCTTGATCCTCTGTGGAGCTTGACCCTCGCTGACTCAACCCATTTGTGATCCCTTGACAGGACGTGAGTCTCTTGATCCTCTGTCGAGCTCGAGCCTCGCTGACACAACCCATTTGTGAACCCTTGACAGTTCGTGAGTGTCATGATCCTTTGTCGAGCTCGAGCCTCGCTGACCGAACCCATCTGTGATCCATTGACAGCGCGTGAGTGTCTTGATCTTCTGTCGAGCTCGAGCCTCGCTGACCCAACCCATTGGTGATCCCTTGAAAGTTCGTGAGTGTCTTGATCTTCTGTCGAGCTCGAGCCTTGCTGACCGAACCCATTTGTGATCCCTTGACAGGGGGTGAGTGTCTTGATTCCTCTGTCGAGCTTTGCCCTCACTGACCCAACACATTTGTGATCCCTTGACAGGGGGTGAGTGTCTTGATCTTCTGTCGAGCTCAAGCCTCGCTGACCGAACCCATTGGTGATCCCTTGACAGGGGGTGAGTGTCTTGATCCTGTCGAGCTCGAGCCTCGCTGACCTGACCCATTTGTGATTCCTTGACAGAGCGTGAGTCTCTTGATCCTCTGTCGAGCTCGAGCCTCGCTGATCCAACCCATTTGTGATCCCTTGACAGCGCGTGAGTGTCTTGATCCTGTGTCGAGCTTGACCCTTGCTGACCGAACCCACTGGTGATATCTTGATAGTTCGTGAGTGTCTTGATCTTCTGTCGAGCTCAAGCCTCGCTGACCGAACCCATTGGTGATCCCTTGACAGTTGGTGAGTCTTTTGATCCTTTGTCGAGCTCGAGCCAACCCATTTGTGATCCCTTGACAGGACGTGAGTGTCTTCATCCTCTGTCGAGCTCGAGCCTCGCTGACCGAACCCATTGGTGATCGATTGATCACTTGACAGGGGGTGAGTGTCTTGATCCTCTGTTGAGCTCGAGCCTCGCTGACCCAACCTATTGGTGATACCTTGACAGGACGTGAGTGTCTTCATCCTCTGTCGAGCTCAAGCCTCGCTGACCAAACCCATTGGTGATACCTTGATAGTTTGTGAGTGTCTTGATCCTCTGTCGAGCTTGAGCATCGCTGACCGAACCCATTGGTAATCCTTGACAGTTGGTGAGTGTCGTGATCCTCTGTCGAGCTCGAGCCTCGTGGACCGAACCCATATGTGATCCCTTGACAGGACGTGAGTGTCTTGATCCTATGTCGAGCTTGAGCCTCGCTGACCCAACCCATTGGTAATCCCTTGACAGACCGTGAGTGTCTTGATCCTCTGTCGAGCTCGAGCCTCGCTGACCCAACCCATTGGTGATTCCTTGACAGTTGGCGAGTGTCTTGATCCTCTGTCGAGCTCGAGCCTCGCTGACCCAACCCATTTGTTATCCCTTGACAGCGCGTGAGTCTCTTGATCCTATGTCGAGCTCGAGCCTCGCTGACCCACTGACCCATTTGTGATCCCTTAACAGTTGGTGAGTGTCATGATCCTCTGTCGAGCTCGAGCCTCGCTGACCCAACCCATTTGTTATCCCTTGACAGCGCGTGAGTGTCATGATCCTCTGTCGAGCTCAAGCCTCGCTGACCCAACCCATTGATCATCCCTTGACAGGATGTGAGTGTCTTGATCCTCTGTCAAGCTCGAGCCTCGCTGACCGAACCCAATTGTGATCCCTTGACAGGACGTGAGTGTCTTCATTCTCTGTCAAGCTCGAGCCTCGCTGACCCAACCCCTTGACAGGGGGTGAGTGTCTTGATCCTATGTTGAGCTCGAGCCTCGCCGACCAAACCCATTTGTGATCCCTTGACAGCGCGTGAGTCTCTTGATACTCTGTCGAGCTCGAGCCTTGCTGACCGAACCCATTGGTGATCCCTTGACAGCGCGTGAGTCTCTTACTCTGTCGAGCTCGAGCCTCGCTGACCGAACCCAATTATGATCCCTTGACAGGACGTGAGTGTCTTGATCCTCTGTCGAGCTCGAGCCTCGCTGACCGAATATATTGCTAATGTGTTGACACTGCCAGCGCGTAAGTAGATTGATTTCAAACCATTTCTGCTTTTCTATCACGATTCATCAGTCTTACCGACACGAAGATAAGGAGATGTGGTCCACATTACGCTCTCTGGTACGTCTCATCGCTCGCAGCCTGTCCACATAGTTCTCATGCTCAACGTTTGATAGGACTCTGGCTCATCCACATTGGAGAACATTGTCCAGTTTGGTTCTGGTGAGATTCAGGCTACATTGCAACGAGTCTACTCATTATTTATAACCAGCTGCTGTTATTATCTTGGAACACGCATTCCATCTTTGGGACCAGCAATTCAATGCTCACCAGGAGTCCGTGCACCCTGTCAGTGTTGCTCTCCAGCAGTACATGGTGTCTCCAAATGCAGCTGCTGCCAGGGAAGCTCTGAGCTCTGTCATTCACACGTATCAAGCCCACTCTCGGTCCATAGCGGGGTTGATACACCGCTCTCGAAAGAAGGAGCAATTCATCAACACAGTTATTGATGTTATTTTACAACATCGCCTGCGTATGTTTTAATTCTCTTGATTGTTGAATTCATGCTGATCTGTTGGTCACCAGCAAGACCCTGATTCTAGGAAATCCATCACGAAGTTGGGAGTTGAGCTTAGTGTCTGGGCCGTGACTGCAGCTTTCTTGACTGGTATGAGGAGGTGGAACGACACAGATTGATGTGGCTGGGCAACAGTATCCAGTGAAGCTTGTGAATGTTTAAACCGTTTGAATCATTATGTCCTTCGCAACCCCCCGGCGCTCAAAGCATGTATCGCTCCACGCCCAAGGATGCCCCGCATCACGAGCAATTTTGCAAAGGGTCTGTAACTTCACCATGGTTCCAACTGGATCAAAATCGTATACGATCTTGTCCTGGACGTATTGTAACAGCGGTTCCTTCCTTTCCCACCTATGTGATAACATAACCCCACTGAAGTACTTCGCAACCGCGTCCTTGATGGGCTCTTTTTGAATGGGTGCATGCGTCATCGATGAAGATAAAATCTTTGTGTATTCCGGGCTTTCCATGAAGGAATTTATCTGTTCCTCTCGATCACATAAACGCCCAGTGGAAGTGTTAATTAGCCGAAGTGGGGCGTCTGCCAACTGAGCAAGAGTGGCGCTTCGGATGGCGTCCTCCACATCAGACGGACTGACATACTGCGGACGCAACTCTGGAGAAAGTGTGTTCATGATGCTCATGTTGACACATGAGCGGTCCATAGCTTACCTCGTATATCCGTGACGGGTGCATTGTCCAACTTCAAGAGCATGGTTTGGAAGGCCTCAATTGCTTCGCCATAGCGTTGTGCATTATGAAGCACCGCATGCTTTAGTTCGTACCCAAGATAAGATGAAGCATTGAGTTCGACAACCTGTGGATTGACAGTATAAGCATAACTGTTGAAGAAACCACAAATATCGTCCGCACCTTGTCTGCGTCGTGAAGGGCCTCTGCATAAAATTTTCGGCCCAAATTTGCCCTACTGCGGTGCGCAAAGAGGGACTCGCATGAGAAATCCAACCCTATCCCTGCCGAATACAGTTCAACAGCTGTCTCATACTTGCTCGCAGCAACAGCCTCATCCCCCTTTGCGAGACAGAACACAATGCAGTTTTTCTTGAAGGCTAGAAGACCCCGGAGTAAGTGCGGATGTTCAAATAATATAAGATCCCAAAGCACTTGCCAGTGGACCATTTAAGGTAGCTGTCCTTCGGGTTCTTCGGGTCCTTGTTAATTGTGTTCGTCATGTAATGGTGAGATTCAACCGCTTCGATCACTCGACCAGCGCAGAGGCATGCATTGCACCGTCTTTGGTTGGCGATTGACCATAACGAATCCAAGTCCCAGCCGAAGAGCTGTGCAGCGCACATGATCAATCAGTTGTGATCTCTGCACCTTAGCAGTAACGTACCACTGTGAATATCTTGCACTTGGGTTTACATGGTGTTCTGCCAGATAATAAGTTGGTTATACTGGGAATAATACGATTGAGTACATCGGCACTTCATTATACCGCCCATCCTCGAAAGCAATTATTGCAAGCTGCACGCATAGATACGACTGACAAATATGTTCGAGAGTGAGAAAACTCGTGAAGCCTGGCATAAAGCTCACGCTAACGACACTACATAGAAGTGTATTTGAGTGTTGAAAAGCGGTGGAGAGGTCTCGAACTCGCCGCATTGCCTCGTCGTGGCGACTGGCATTGAAAAGTGCAACAGCCTGATTGAAGTATTAGTATGACAGACGGACTATGAAAACAGTGATGAGAGTACCTTAATCAATAGTAAAAGATCAATAGTAGTCGGATCACGATTCGAAAATATGAAAGCGAGATCAAAAGCTTCCATCGCGTCCCAGAGCTGCTCGTTGCCGCAAAGAGCGATACCCTTGCAAACGTAGCCCAATAACGAGGGCTGGATTGCAATTGACTGTGACAAAGCTGAGTCAACCGGTCGTCAACGGCGTCATGATAGGCAGAAGGTCTGACCTTGATTGCGTCTTGAAGCGCATTGTCCCACTCGGAATTTCGTGCCCTTACGATTGAGCGATTAGCATAGGAATCGCAGTTAGCGCCATTTGCATCAATCTCTTGGGTGAGCAAAAATTCCGCGGCATTCAGGTCTCCAGTAATGCATGCATTGCGGACCGTCGTATTCATAGCCAGGATCTGCATGAGCTATGGTCACGTTCCGTCATAAGCAGATACATCGAAAGCAAACATCTCACGCCAAATGATATTAATGAGAATCTGTCCAGAGACTTCATGATTTTCCGAGAAATGACTGCTTGTGATGTCGTTATCACCGGTGGGCTCGTAGTTGTGGTTGTGACCGCGCAGCTGTATCACCAAGTAGCAGGGCATATATGAATCGAAAGGCACAACCAATAGAGGGCAAGAACGTACCTACGTGTTACTACGAGAAAGAAGTTGCTGTCGGTGTGTTTCGTCTACCTCTGTTAGCCATTCCTCCACCTTGCCTTGCTCAAGTATGTCCTTGATAGACTGGGACCGAATCTTCCCTTTCTCGTCTCCGCTCACGAGCAGTTCTCCATTGGGAGAGATTGCGATACAGCGAACCCCCGCGGTGTGTTGGAGTGCCTGTCCTATCTGCCGGTGCGTCTTTGTGCTCCACAGCCGCACAGTATTATCATCCGAGGCGGTAGCGATAAAGGAGCCATCAGAAGAGATGGCGAGCGAGTAGATGTGGTGAGTGTGGCCGGTACATGGATGACTGATCTGATCTCCATTAAATACATCCCAGAACTTGACTTCTTTGTCGTATGAGGAGGAGACAAGTTGCTGGCCGTCATGTGACCACACAACACTTCGAACCCGATCTTCGTGGGCGTTGATCTCAAGAAGAAGTTCGGCGTTATCGATGCGCCAAACCCGTATGGTATGGTCATCTGATCCGGAAGCTAATTTCAAGCCATCCGGGCTGAATGCGACACTCAACACAAAATCACTATGGCCCTCGAGTGTTGAGATGACAGCACCAGTCTCCGCATCCCATACAACAACCGTTGAATCGTTCGACCCGCTGGCGAGTCTCTTGCCATCGGGGGAAAAACATACAGACCACACCGTACGTGTATGTTTCACCAGCGGATCGAATACTTTCTGCTTGCTCTCGACGTTCCAGATGATGATAGTATTATCTACTCCACCGCTGGCAATTCGTCTGTCGTCTGGTGATATGGCGACTGATCGCACAGTGTCCTTGTGTCCAAGAAATGCTTTCCCTATCGATACTCCTTTATGCATGTCCCAGATTTGCAGGGTGCAGTCCCAGGAACCAGTGACGACCCGTCGACCATCTTTAAAGAACGCGACTGCCGACACTACATCCGTGTGCCCTTGCACCGTCCGCGCTGTTGCCGGCGGCGTCGGCGTCGGTCGTCCTTTCACAGTAAGATACACTTGTTTTGCCACATTAAGCATCCCTGGCTTGCCACCTTGACCTAAGAGACGATTAGTGGCATTTCCATCAAGTTGACGAGGAGCGTACTTTGAGGATATGACAACGTCGTCCGATACCTATGCCTGGGCTCATGCAAACCTGTGATAGGCTCGTGACGCCCCGTGACCTGATGCTGACTGATCCTCTGACCAACCAATCTCATTGTGCCCACAGAGGAGATTTACGATAATTACCAGCCCAGCTGATGCTCTGGACCAAAGAGTGACGCAGTACGTTGACACAGCCTAGTTGGTTTGATCTGTCTCCGTGCGGCGCGCAGGCGTAGTCAGCACGAGTCTTCCTTGGCCCCTTTTGGCAAATATTCAATATTCATGCGGCTGAACGAAATGTCTCTCTTGCTCAACAGATAGTTGGTTCAACTTCTTTCATCAACGCCTTGTTTGTCGTGAATTGGGCCGGAAAGATACTTGGATCTGATCATTCTTAACTTAACACTTGTACAGATGGCGGTCATCAGAGTCATAGTAGTGGGTGCTGGCATTGCTGGTCCCGTTCTTGCGGTCTTCTTAAAGACTAGAGGCTACGACCCCATCATATACGAAAGACTCCCGAGTCCAGGAGAGGGTGGACTCAGTTTCATGTGAGCACTCATCCGTCCCCTTCCTCATAAATGTTGTACTAAAACAGTGACGCAGGCTGCAGCCAAACGGTCTCCGTGTCTTATCACTCATCCCCGGCCTCCTGGAGCAGATCCCCGGCCGTTCCCCAGATAGTATAATCCACTGTTCCTCATTGGACGGAATTGAGGACATTCTCGCCGACAGCGATATTTCACCAGATACTATGCGAGAACGCTTTGGCTTCCCCATGATCGGAGTCCGGCGTGTAGAGTTTCATCGCCTTTTGATCGACACGGCGGAAAGGCACGGTATCGAGATTAAATGGGGCCACCAGGCTATCGAATTTGAGCAAAGCGAGGACGCAGTAGAAGTCACCTTTGCGAATGGCGCCAAGGACACAGCGAGTTTTGTTGTAGGCTGCGATGGGCTGCATAGTAATACCCGAATTGCACTCTTTGGGAAAGAGAAGGCAGATTTCACTGGATTGGCGCAGGTGCGCTCGGTTTGGTGATGGTCCTGGAACGCAGGCTGATATTCAAACCATTTGCAGTTCGGTGGGCTATCTCCTACACCTCCTGCTCTTCAGGGAAAGTTTGCGCTGGTGAATATTTATGGGAATGGCCGCCATATGGTTTCGTACCCTGTTGCGGAGGATAAGCGTTCATGGGCGTAAGTGCCATCTTAATCACTTGTTTGTGGTCTGATTATCCTGGGGTTCAGGATCACTACTCGGGAAGATGAGGTCAAGGAGGATTGGAAAACACAAAACATGGAACAACAGAACGAAATTCGAGGAGGACCCCTTTCTGCTTGGGGGTTCGGGGCCGGAGATATGGTAAAGACCGCCCAAAATATCGTGAAGGTCAGTTCCCTCTCGCAACGAAACTTCAATTCTCTGAAATGGAGGTCTTGCTGGCAGTATGGCCTCTATGATCGACCTGAGCTCAAGTCGTGGTTCAAGGGAAGAATCGTTCTTTTGGGCGATGCAGCTCACCCCACCAGTCCAGTATGTAATTTCACCATCGAGGTTCCATGGCGTTGATCAATATCATTGTACCTAGCATCTGGGACAAGGTGCAAATCAAGCGTTCGAAGACATTTACCATATTATGCGGCTTTTCAAGATATACAACCCCTCTGCTGCCCAGCCTTCAACAGAGTTGTTGTCACAAGTCTTCACAGATTACCAGGATCTTCGGTTACCGCGTACATCCGAGCTTGTGAGGGGGGCTAGAAAGCAAGGGGAGGCTCGAGTTGTCGAAGGCATCGATGCATGTAGGGCGAGAGATGAAACAATCCGGGCAGGGCCCAATGATGATGCGGCGAGGATGGCATCCTATGAATTGTTATCTGGACCGTTTAAGAACAGCGAAATATAGTGCCTTCAGCGTCCAGGGCTGCTGCTTGGGCGTCATGGCGTAAAAAGGGATGTTCACCAAAGTTGAAAGCACAAGTTGCGATGACAAGCATGTGGGTGATACTGTGACTAATTACTGACCGAGAGGCACGAGTCGAGTGTTCACTTATGCGATCTAGTAGGGCCAGTTGAGAAGCGGAGACTTGTACCACTTCCCTCGCACCAGCAAACTTTGATAGTACTACATCGGTCACGTTCAGCGGCTATTTTTCGGCTAGTTGCGTTGCTGGAATGTCACTGTCACGGCAGTTGTCAATGGTACGGTCGAAACCTTATAATTATACACACTAGTGCCGCTGATGGTTCTATGACTTTGCGTGCATGTCGATGCATGTCTTGTTATGTGTTTCATCTATTCTAGTGGGCTGTCCTGGCGTACATCATCCTCTCCAAATACTGTCTAACGTTGCATACAGAATTTTTGCTGTCTACTCTACAAACACTTGTTACTCGTTCGTCGACTAGTGGGTGCTAAACTCCATAGAAATAAATACGTGAGTCGACGGTCAGAACGAGTTCGTGTTGTTGCCGGCCGCTCTACGTTTGCTGTGCTACATTTGCAGCTGCCAGTGCCGCAGGTATCGCACCTGTACCACAGTTGCGTGGCTTCATGTCGTACGAACTGCCGTATGCGATGGCGTAATGGGACACGTCGTGGAAGAGGCCGAGCAAGAAGGTCGGCCATGCAGGTTGGGCGCAGGCTCTGACCGTGAAAATTCATCCATGCCTCAACTCCACCAATTGTAAGACGGACCATGGACGAGCTTAGACCCAGAGGTCCTCCCGCCAGGCCGGCAAGGACAGCCTGGATCTCAACTTCAGTGCTACTGAAACGGTGGTTTAGTACTTACACTACGAACGAGGACTACAGCCACTGCGCCAGGACCCCATCACTCCTGCGGAGGATCTGCGCCAGATCTCGCTGGTTCAGTGATGGTTTGGCTTTCACCAGAATCACAACCCTTGCCATATTTTGCCCATCCGTGTGTCACTATAGTTCGATGACGCAAGCAGAGGGAGCCGAGGTGCATACGAGGGGTTTGCTGGCAGCCCGGGTAGGACAGGTACGTTATTTGTCGGCTCTGTTTGGTCCTTCTCCACTTCTCATGCTTGACTTGCTCATTCGGTGCCGACAGAACATGATCTTGTTGAGCGACCTTCCAGGAGCTGTTATGCACCCCAGGCCTGGGCCAGCGATGCAGACAGAGTACCAATGTTCTTCGAGGACGGCAGGATTTTTCGGTCGTCATATCGCACCTAAGGCTGTGTTTGATCATAAAAAAAGAGATTTCACTGATCGAACTTAACTAGGAGATATGGAGAACGGCATCCAAAGTACAAATCTCGCAGAGAATCTGGTCTTTCGTGGCGTTCAAATGTGTCATCCGAGTGACTGCTTGCGCCCCACCACCGAAGCCTGTTTGGTTCAAATTGAAGACTCGTGGATTCGTGTCCCCGTTCTACCTAATTTTATGTGAAAACTCGCTTCTTCATCTAATGCTCATTTTGGTGATACGGGCGCTTAATGGTGTGTATATAGTATGGATGTCATCGTCATATAACCACCAAACTCGCCATTCTCTCGAACCCGTCCTCGAATAGTATGACCCTCATCTCAAATGATCCCAAGTGGTGGCCGCTCATTAATGCGAGTCGCATTGCCAGTTATCTTACAGGTTCGTGGAGAGCTACTTGTATGATGACGGTTACTCGATTTAACCTTTGCGGTTTCGTAGTGGCCTCATCTGCCGAATTGATATTTGATTGTGGTAAGTAAAATAGTATTATTGAACCATTTTATATCCTTACTATGGTATTTCTAGCGCTGACATTCACCCGAGAGGTGGGTTGATGTCACTACCTGAGCAACCATCTCGCTAATAATGGGTTCAAAGGTCGAACTGGTCTGGGTGAGTAGAGTCCAACATCAGAATAAAAGCGCGAAAATACGATTCATTGCAGATGCAACAGTGGTCCCTGATGATCGTTTTGTATTTCAGTGTATGTTGCGTGCATCACAAGTGTCATTGGCAAGTTGTGCTTACTTGAAAATATGCCAGGCACGCTACATTGGAATGTTATATGCGGTGTATGTTTGGAAGGCAAGCAAAGCATTTGACGTTATACTAATTGGCCATCTCTCTCAACCAGCATTGCCAAACTGTGTACGTCTCCTCACACACCACCGTGTCCTTTCTCTGATCTGCAGCATATAGCAGAAGTTCAGACAAATCTCGGTGACAGATATCGTGAGTTTTCTACGCCAATGTATGTCGTATCCGTCTACCCACCCGCACTCACATGTAGGGGTGAGTGAGATTCTTGACCAGCCTGTTCGCTCACCATAACGCGTAATGACTTCTATAGATGTGAGTGTGTTTCGGGTGTGATTCTCAGATGCTGATTACCGATGTTGCATAATTTATCAGGCCTTGTTTTATACGGCGCAATGAAATGGATAAATGTTGTTGTGACTGCGGTCCTGGGCGGTGAGTTACGCGGCTGCAATACCTTTACTTGACTGAAACGTCATGCAAGTTATCATGATTGCTCGACTGCATGCTATGTATCAGGGATCCAGACAACTACTGATATTTCTCACTGTCGTGTTCCTGGCTGTCAACATCACTGATGTAGTGGTTGCCGCAATAACAACGAGGCGCGTTTCAGCGGGTAAGCTTAATTATGGATGAAAGACTTCAGTGTGTGAGGCTCATTGACGAATACCAGAGGAGCTGGTTCTCTCTGGCACCTTTCAGTGCGCTATTAACGGTGAAGGGGATGTCCTACTTCTCGATTCCATCGCATGGATAGTCCCCACTTTATGGCAGGTTCTCGCACTTTGTCACTGAGTGTTTGATTTTCAGATTGCTCAAGGACAGTGGAATTTGCCCAGGAATACATCAACTCAGTAATGGATCATGTGATGTGGTGATTGTGGCCCTTGTTTACGCTCCGACCGGTCCACAATTCATGAGGCAAGTATTAAAGGCAGAGTTCCTTCAAACCGGCTTCGCATCTTACTCGCACGTCATGAAGCCTATTACCACATTTCCATTTAGTTACCTCCCAGTTGAGCTTGTCCTCATCGTCCTCAGATATTACGTGCAACCCACATTTGATCAGACTGATCCATATTACTCTAAAAGTCCATATTCTAATGCACGCGCCCTCTGTCATTTCTCCAGAGCTGTCAGGCGGGCGGTACTTCCAGAACTCCTCCGTACCATACTGCTTGGGGACGATGACACAGTGAGAGCGTTCGTGCATGCTCTACATATGCAAAAAATGTACGCGGAGAAAGCAAACCACCTCCGTTTCGACTACATTCCCCATGTGCACAAGATCTGGATCGGACCCCATGGTGTCCGCGATCGCCACATCCCATCCTATGCACTGATTGAGTGTCCGCTTTCCATCAGCCTCCTCTCTCCGGTGCTACTCGCTGCACCATCCATCGGCCTTAACTGGACAAGTATAGACCTTCTTGAAGGATGTCTGGAACATGCATGGAAGTCCCGTGCAGCTACCCATGCCAACAACGAGCATTCCCCACCTCCCTGGAACACCCAAACCCTGATCCTGTCGCATGAGCCCCTCACCAGCGGCGCACGGTGGGGGTGCCTCACGGACACTCCCCAGGGATCTGCGTTCCTCGCATCAATCTCTCACCTCTCAACCACCACAAACACCCTCTGGTCGAGGGCATCATCCTACCGCATGCCTCCGTGGATGCAGGTCACTCCATGGGATTCTTTCAAAAACCTTCAAATTGTCTCACTGCCGTACTTGCGCGCTATCGAACCCCTCGTTGAAATCAAGCTGGTGAACAGACATGAAATCAACGTGCACGTCGAGCTGTTGACATTGCCTGCATCCCTGCTAAGGGTTCACCGCAAGTGTATTCCCCAGTTCATGAAGAAAATAAAGGCGTTGGATCAGAGAAGTTTCGGAGAGGAGATTATTCATTCAGATGGTGTTCATTTAAAGGTGCTCCCTTCTGGCATTGTGCTCCCTTCTGGCATCTTCTGCCTTACTCATGAGCGGAAGAAAGTTTGGGCAAGCATGTTGTAAAGTGGACTTGGGGCGTTATGATATGATTGGTATTATGAATTTGTACATATATCCACTTCTCGGCACCCTATGGACATTCTTTATGTACTACATAGTAAACGCATCCTCCTAAAATTACCGCTACTTTGTATAGTGAGTCTCATCGTCCGACTTCTACGATGAAGTTCTGGCTTCAGTGTAAATACTAAAATTTATTGATCCCGCATGGAATCGAACCGGTGTTTAATTGTTTGCTTTGTTCACCGTCTATCAGTGTTGCTCGTGCACTTGAAAAGGCACGCGGTTGTTCATCAAACCCACCCCCGATAGTTCAGATATGAGCTTGTATGAGCTGTGTTCGAATTGGCTTCCTCGAAGGCGGAGGTTCGGGAGACGAAACTCAATGATGTTAAAGTAGGTTCCTCTTTGTCGGCTGGCGCGGTACCGAAACCACGGGGATGCCTGCAATCATGTCGCCAGCAAGTAAAGCACCTGCTGATACTACTGAAGCAGTACCAGCAGCGCAAGCGCCTCCGATGGTTGCAAACATCTCCCAGGACTCGTTATGGCTGAACTCGTGACTCTGCACACTACGCGCTTCGAAGTGAAGCGGGAGACTCGCCAGGTGCGTTCTCCAGCGTTCTCCGGGTTTGAGGTAGTTTTTCCAATTAGCAGGGACGCCTACGAAGAAAGCAATGTGTATGTCTTGGTCAAGGTCATTGATTAGTGTTACGTCAGGCATCTTTTGTTGGAGGGTAGAGCAATGCGATGTGAGAGCAGATTCAATGCAGGGTGAGGACGAGTACGAGTACGAGTACTTACGCTAAAATACAAACAGAGCTGGAATCGATTGTCCTGGTAATGGGAAAGAAACGTTAGAGCTCTGGGGAAATGAGGAAGTCGTGCGTTGACCTCGAGACTATAGTATTAAAGGCCTTCAGAAGCTCCCTTTGATGTTCGGCCGGAAATTTCACTATTGGAGACCCAAAGATCATCCTTTGTCCAAATTTTGCCTGTCCCGTGCCTCGCAGATCATAGTAAGCCTGAATATACTTCAATGTAAGGCACAGTCGTAAAGACTGCGACGTTAATGAAGTCGTCTTCGAGAGTCCCCACCCAGAATCATATATTTTGCAGACTGCGGTTGAAGCGAGTCGTAACTCGTTCGTACTCACCGTCGACTCATCTCGGAGGAGTACGTTAAAGGCCTGAGATCGGTTTACTTTTCCGAAGAACGGTAGCGCCGCAAGGCTGTCAGTTGGACCAAGCGGCATGGTGAGCACCTAAGATAGACCTCGTTCATACACCGGTTCATCACGTGACCTAGCGTGACATTTTAATCAATTTGCATATAACTCGTTGTACACAAAGTGTGAGCAAAATCTGTTCCAACAATATGTGAGGACAGTCTGTAGCAAGCTGGACATGTATTTTTTATGATCTACTGTAAGAAACTGAGGGACGAGTAGGCATTATATTGTCAAAATGTCCTTGCTAACGTGACAGATGCGCTAACTCGAAATGCATCAGTCACAAAAGGGTCACAACGGTGAATTTGCTACAAAAAAGCCTACTCCTCCTTCAATTCGCCGAAAATAAGGATTCTGAGTAGACTACTTTGATATTGTAATACATCCCCACAAGTTGTTGGAACAGATTTAGCTAATTATAAGTTTTAAAAGAGTAACGAGCCAAAACCATGTATTCTATCCTCAAATCACGTGATGAACCGGTGTATGAACGAGGTCTATCTTAGTAGAAGTCTGTTGTGCGGTATTTGCCGCGTTGTGTCACTCCACTGAGCACATCCATAACGCACAACCATAACGCGACACAAACCTAGCTATATAATTCGCGCCACCCAACCATGCATGACCCATTCGAAGTGAGAATGCAATTCCTTGGGCTCATTCGCAAGCTGAACGCGTAAGTCGTCGGATTCTCTCCGTTCAGTACCCTCCACCTGCTCATGCACATTTCACCACCACCACCCACGGCTGCCTGATGTTCCATTCATGTGCTACGGATTTGCATCGATCACGGCGAGCAGCTCACAACAATCGATACAAAAAGTCGTTGGATTTGCGTTGAAGTACTTTTCGAGATGCGGGGAGGATTTGTGGGAGTGCATTATTGAAGAGTGTCAGAAGGTGAGTGTGATTCTTGGTATCATCTTCTTATCATCGCACCTCGTTGCTCATCCTTGAGCGGTCGGCTGTTCTTGTATATCCGCGTTTCTCTTTCGTGCCTTTGCTGTGAGATTATATCTGACGCCAAGTGAAGGGCTCCATCAATCACCGCATAAATATTCTTTACTTTCTTGACTCCCTGTGCGAAACATCGCTGCTAGCGAAGGCGCATCAACTCCCAGAACAGTCATCTTCATCGTGAGTTTTGTCTCGCCTAGTTACTTGATCCTAAATGGTGGCACCATACTAGAAGCAAACAGGTCAACAACGCATTGTATGTTGACTACGTCTCGCGGGATCTGACGCAGATCGTGGAATGCGTCGTACCCGTGGGCAGGCAAGGGCTACCTAATCTACACCAAGTACAAAACAGGTGCGCACATCCTTGCCCCATACGCCGGTTCTTGCTTAATCCACAAACTTACAGATCCTAGAAAACTGGCGCACAAAACGAATAATAGAGCCACAAAAAGTGGACGAAGTCCTCTCGCTGCTCTCTTCCAGAGACTCGGCACCAGATACGACCTCGACATCCGCTGTACCTTCAACAGCAAAATCTGAGCCACATCTCTCTCGCGGCGAAATATTCAAGCGTATCGAAGAGGACCGAGAGCGACATAAACGCCTTCGAGAACGGCGGTGGGTTCAGGCGCAGCCTCACTCTGGCCTTGCAGTTCCTTCTTACTCGACGTTCACGCTTGCGAGTTTCTTACCGCTTAGCGACGCAGAAAACGCCGAGTTAGCGCTGGATATAGAGTTCGAGAATGAGTGGGAGGCAACGAGCGATTGGAATGAGGACGACGTGGAAGCTACTGCGGAGGAGAGGGAACTTTGTCATCCGCATTTGAAGCGGAAGGGATTTACGAATGACGAAGACGAAGGAGAGCAGGAGATGGACATAGATCAATCATGATTGTTGCAGTGAAGTACCGTGCTATGGGACGCGAGTGACGTATCACGATCCTCAAACTGGATTCTGAAACATTACTCACGTTGCGTCGTTATGGTCAGTTCTCGACTGCCTCTAAGAGTGGATGGGATGATCACCAACCGAAATATAACTTGTATGCAGTGATCGTTCAACGTTGCTTACCAGGCATTTCTATATTGCTTCGTTGAAGACCTCGATTCTACACCGAGAGAGGGGCGCCTAAGGTACTTAGAACTTGCACTGGATGACGGAGAACAAGAAGCACAATGATGCAATCGACGACCCACTAATATAACATTACATACATATGCTCAGACAATCGAAGTGTTTGGAAGGAGGTCATGAGAAAACAACAGTATCAATAAAGGATGAGCGGCAATAAAATTACGATGTCACTGGGGGAAAAGACAGAACATAAGTATAAGGTCAAAAAAACACGAACGCCAGACACTTACTGTAACTAGCGGGGTCAATGTGATCAGGAAGTTCGGGCACGGCGACCTCAAACCGTTGTTGGATGGCAGACATGACTTGCTGATCTGCCTCACTGGATTGGAACGTGATAGCGAGACCTTTCGTTCCGAAACGACCTGCACGGCCGACACGGTGGAGGTAACTGTCGGCGTCTGGTGGGCAGTCGTAGTTGATCACGATATTGACCCGTTCGACATCAATGCCACGGCCAAAAATGTCGGTTGCGACGAGGATACGCTTTTCGAAAGCCTTGAACGCAGTGTAACGATTTATACTACAGCGAGTTTAGTACAAAGCGCCGGATTCGAGAGTCACTAGCAGTTACTCACCGCTCCTCTTGAGCCAGACCGGAGTGAATGCTGATACTAGGGAAATTACATGAAACTAGGAGCTTATCAAGCTCGACGGCTCTTGCGACAGATTTGACGAAGATGACCACCTGAAAATCGTTAGTAAACACGTCTCTTCGAGCGAGCAGTATCGTACTTGGTTGAACTCTAGGACATCTAGTAGCTCGTTCAATTTTCGGTTCTTCGAGTTCTCGTCGAGCTTCACGTAGTGTTGTTGCAATCCGTGCAGCGTCAACTTCGTCTCGTCATCAACAAAGATCTCCAAAGGCTGCAGCAAGTGTCATCGAGAAGTCCATAAGAAAGAGTGCACCACATACATTTGCCATGAATTTCTTGCAAGTGATCCTAATTTCTTTTGCTAGCGTGGCGCTGAACATCATCACCTGCTTGTGGTGAGGTGTTGCACGGAAGATTTCTTGCACGTCTCGACGCATGTCTGCAAATGGAAGATGTAGTTGGAATCGTAGCTGTAATTGATTGGCACGATGCAACTAACCAAGCTGTTCCAACATTTTATCGCACTCGTCCAAAGTGAAGTGCTTGACGCTCTTCGCATCCAAAACTTTTTCTCTCGTAAGGGCATTGAGTCGTCCGGGAGTGGCGACGACAATGTGGGGACACCGTGTCTTGTCACGAAGGATCTCTGCATCCTTTTGAACGGGGGTACCGCCGTAGAACGTGCCAACCCGTACGTCGGGCATATATTTGGCAAAGCGCGTGTACTCATTTTTTATCTGGAAAGCGAGTTCGCGAGTATGGCAGAGGACAATGACGGAAACTTCGCCATTGACTGGCTCCAGCTGTTGCAGAGTCGCGAGCACGAAGACCGCTGTCTTACCATGCCCTGACTTTGCTTGGCAGAGGACGTCCATTCCTAGAACAGCCTGAGGTATGCATTCTTGTTGGACTGTTGAAAAGGGTTTGGTGAGGCTAGAACACCATTTTGAACGTCGCTGAAGTATACCTTCTGAGGGGTGCTCAAAACCCAAGTCACTAATGGCTCTCAGAAGTTCAGGTTTCAACAAGAAATCCCTGTGAAAAAGGGTAGACCATTTTCAAGATGAGCATGGTTTGTGACAACACGTAGAATAACGAACCTGAAGCCCGTTGAATGTATTCCGGAGAAGTTTTTCTTGTCTTTATCAACTTCGCCGTCCACTGCTGACGCGGCTGCTCCGTTGGTAGAAGTAGCTGGAACTGCGCCATTAGGGATAACGTCATGCTCGTCCTCGTAGTCGATAAGTTCCTCGTTATCGTGGGAGCTCATTGTTGTGGAAAAAGAGTGTAGGTTATCAGAGTGGTCGTTGACAGAATTCAAGAGGACGGCATTCGGCGAACGCCGAACCCCCTCAACTACTATGTGTTCCGGGGTCCTCGTTGAAAGTCACAAGGCTAGCCCATGCTTTGAAATAGTACATACAACAGTTCTCGGTAGTCTTTTTTAATATGTCTCTATTGTAAGGTTCATAACGAGGCATGTGGCGAGAGCCTTTGAAACTCGAGACTTTTATTCAGGGGGATCCATAGAATCACAATCGTCTTTGCGTTTTCAAGTGTAGGGGTGGGTATATGGGCTATACATCCCCTGATTATAAACAACTGATTATTATAATCACCTGCAGAGATTATCAGAGGAATCATGATATCGATCAGTGGCACGAACCATATATTCTACTAGTAGAATCTGCCTCGCAATATTAATGCACGTACTAACTTGTCCAGATTCTGTCATGGGACAACTCCTACATAGTCGATTGCAATTGCGTAGTTGATTTCCTTCTCGATACTTCTGCCTGAGCAATGGGGACCCTGGAGTCGTCGAACACTCGCTATTATTCTGGCTTGAACGTGTGATACGTGGTCCTGGATGAACGAAGTATTGCAGCCCTGGTGGTCGTCAGCTTGAACATCAACAACTTCACTACATACATTTCTCTGGACCAATCCACGCATATCAAATAATCCATCACCTCCCCTTGTGGTCCCATACAAAGTCCTACACCTTCATGTCCCCTTTCCATGACTACTATATCAGATTCTCCGCACAAACAATGCTCCAGGGTGACATGCTGAACGTAACGGGAGGTCGAATGCGAGATTACACGTACATGACAGGGTCCTCACTTCCACTACCAGCCTGAGGGAGCCATGCCACGCTGCATATGTGAGTATACGCGCACATCACAGACATACAAACACAACCCATTGAAAGAACGTTCCTTGAAGCGTGAACTGAAGCGCTATCGGTAGTTCTCTGACTAACTCTGACACATGGTTGAAGCTACACACTAAAAGATAACCAGCGTGTCTTTGAGCGCCGTGGGGTTGCGAAGGACATAATGATTCAAACGGTTTAAACATTCACAAGCTTCACTGGACACTGTTGCCCAGCCACGTCAATCTGTGTCATACAGTTCCACCTCCTCAAACTACATCCACAGATATGCCACCAGTCAAGAAAGCTGCAGTCACGGCCCAGACACCAAGCTCAACTCCCAACTTCGTGATGGATTTCCTGGAATCAGGGTCTTACTGGTGACCAACAGATCAGGATGAATTCAACAATCAAGAGAGTTAAAACATACGCAAACGATGTTGTAAAATAACATCAATAATTGCTTTGATGAATTGCTCCTTCTTCTGAGAGCGGTGTATCAACCCCGCTATGGACCGAGAGTGGGCTTGATACGTGTGAATGACAGAGCTCAGAGCTTCCCTGACAGCAGCTGCATTTGGAGACACCATGTACTGCTGGAGAGCAACACCGACAGGGCGCACGGACTCCTGGTGAGCATATTGCGGGTCCCAAAGATAGAATGCGTGTTCCAAGACAATAACAGCAGCTGGTTATAAATACTGAGTAGACTCGTTGCAATGTGGCCTGAATCTCACCAGAACCAAACTGGACAATGTTCTCCAATGTGGATGAGCCAGAGTCCTAGCAAACGTTGAGCATGAGAACTATGTGTACAGGCTGCGAGCAATGAGACGTGCCAGAGAGCGTAATGTGGACCACATCTCCTTATCTTCGTGACGGTAAGACTGACGGATCGTGATAGAAAAGCAGAAATGGTTTAGAATCAATCTACTTACGCGCTGGCAGTGTCAACACATTAGCGATATGTTCGGTCAGCGAGGCTCGAGCTCGACAGAGGATCAAGACACTCACGTACTGTCAAGGGATCACAAATTGGTTGGGTCAGCGAGGCTCGAGCTCGACAGAGGATCAACACACTCACCAACTGTCAAGGGATCACCAATGGGTTGGGTCAGCGAGGCTCGAGCTCGACAGAGGATCAAGACACTCACGGTCTGTCAAGGGATCACAAATTGGTTGGGTCAGCGAGGCTCGAGCTCGACAGAGGATCAAGACACTCACGTACTGTCAAGGGATCACAAATGGTTTGGGTCAGCGAGGCTCGAGCTCGACAGAGGATCAAGACACTCACGTCCTGTCAAGGGATCACCAATGGGTTGGGTCAGCGAGGCTCGAGCTCGACAGAGGATCAAGACACTCACGTGCTGTCAAGGGATCACCAATGGGTTGGGTCAGCGAGGCTCGAGCTCGACAGAGGATCAAGACACTCACGTGCTGTCAAGGGATCACCAATGGGTTGGGTCAGCGAGGCTCGAGCTCGACAGAGTATCAAGACACTCACGCGCTGTCAAGGGATCACAAATGGGTTGGGTCAGCAAGGCTCGAGCTCGACAGAGGATCAAGACACTCACCAACTGTCAAGGGTTCACAAATTGGTTGGGTCAGCGAGGCTCGAGCTCGACAGAGGATCAAGACACTCACCAACTGTCAAGGGATCACCAATGGGTTGGGTCAGCGAGGCTCGAGCTCGACAGAGGATCAAGACACTCGCCAACTGTCAAGGGATCACCAATGGGTTGGGTCAGCGAGGCTCGAGCTCGACATAGGATCAAGACACTCACGTCCTGTCAAGGGATCACAAATGGGTTGGGTCAGCGGGGCTCGAGCTCGACAGAGGATCAAGACACTCACGTCCTGTCAAGGGTTCACAAATTGGTTGGGTCAGCGAGGCTCGAGCTCGACAGAGGATCAAGACACTCACCAACTGTCAAGGGTTCACCAATTGGTTGGGTCAGCGAGGCTCGAGCTCGACAGAGGATCAAGACACTCACCAACTGTCAAGGGATCACCAATGGGTTGGGTCAGCGAGGCTCGAGCTCGACAGAGGATCAAGACACTCACGTGCTGTCAAGGGATCACCAATGGGTTGGGTCAGCGAGGCTCGAGCTCGACAGAGGATCAAGACACTCACGTGCTGTCAAGGGATCACCAATGGGTTGGGTCAGCGAGGCTCGAGCTCGACAGAGGATCAAGACACTCACGTGCTGTCAAGGGATCACCAATGGGTTGGGTCAGCGAGGCTCGAGCTCGACATAGGATCAAGACACTCACGTACTGTCAAGGGATCACCAATGGGTTGGGTCAGCGAGGCTCGAGCTCGACATAGGATCAGTTCACTCACAAACTGTCAACAGATCAATGATACCTTATGTCAGCATACCAGCGGGGATGGTCAACAGACGTACTCCCTGCAAGCGACCGTCGAACATCAATGAGAGGAATTTTCGAACATTCCTACAACTCACATAAGTCTGTGGAAACCAGTCACCCAATTCATCTACAATCTTACTATCCTGAAATTTCCCAAATATGCGAGCTGAGACTGCTTGCTGCACAAGTGTCCTCAAGACATTGAGACAATTTCAGATGTCATTTCTCGCCACAGATAAGTGAGGTTTGAGTGGTCACCTTTTTACTGCGGTTCTGATGCACACCTCCAAGTTGGTCCGCTGAGTGGAGACAAACAACTGTTTGAGCATATCATTGTCCAAAGTTTCAGCCGTGTGTTCAATGAGCGGCGTGCAGTCTGCATCATCCTTATCCATATCTAAATGTGCGAGAGGGAATAAATGTGAGTACCCAATTAAATAGACTAATTGACTTACCAGGAAGACATATATGACATTTTGGAGGACGCTGGCCGCCCTTGCTGCTGTACAAAAGCTTTAGTTGTGGCCCGTTGGCAAATGACTCTCTGGCGTGCTGCGGGGCCAGTCCGTCAGCATCTTTCCTTGATACTCCCTTGCTCATTAGCTCTGCATGTATATCGTCGTAGAGGGCGTCGAATTTAGTAAACAACACAATTACTGGAACTGAGGATTGCCAATTAATCGATGATACACGACAACAAACACAAAACGTACTGCTTCCAGTGTCACACTGAGAGAAAAACTTGACTTCCGCTTCTGTGAAAGACCTGCTATCCTCATCCATTGGAATGCAGTACCTATGTTGAAGACGTGAGATAGCGTATGACGGCAACTTTACTAGGACTACCATATGACATGGATTCGATTGTTTAAAGCTAGTTCCTTAGAACGGCTTGCGATAAAAGCCTTCACCTTGTCGAATTCAGATTGTCCTCCTGCCTCAAACCCGCGTGAATCGTGAAAAACGAATCCCGGGTTGGTTAGAAACACCATTTCATTTTCGATATTGTGCAATCCACGCTGAGGACTCATCACAGGACGTTGCTAACCACTACGAGCGCGCCTTACCTCTCTGGATGCCGCCAAAACGGAGGCATCGATCTGATCTCGTCCAATCAATTAAGATTCATCACTATCTGGGATCATAGTACTCAGGCTGCGTACCTGTTTCCCGGCACTGTCATATATTTCTGGGTTGTCTTTTGTCTGGCAAACCCTCTGGAGAATGGTGGTCTTCCCTGCATTCGCTCTTCCTATAATGAGGATTCGGAAGCGCTCGAACTTCCGTCTCAATCTTGAAGGATCCATGATGGAGGAAGGTAAGAGTGTGTGAACTCTTCGAGCGCCCGAGACAAGCCCGAAATGATTTTTTATAAGTTTATCGTAACGATGATCTTCTTTCGATTGCAATCTGGATAGGACGCAAGTACTATGTAGTACTACTAGCTATACGGTTGCATCTTCCAGTACTCAGTACTCAGTGTTCGGCCTTGGTCGGCCCACATGCGATCTTACGGACAACGTCGTCAAATCTGATGGAAATGATCAGCGCCGTCGACTCTGATCAACGTGAAGTTGAATGTGCCCGTTGTTTGCTTTTCACGCTTCAGGGTTCTACTTCGTGCTATTCCTCTTGGTTGTACAGAAAAGGAAGAAATACTCCTGACGTACTTCTACGCAATGCGAGACGGTAAAAATTTGTGGCACATTGAACCGCATGTGAGTTGCAGGAAATACCCGGGGAGACGCTCGTTCGTTGACTACCAAAAGATAAAGATAGATAATCTTTTCTCCAGAACAACGGGTGTAGGGGTTGATCCTGTGCCTCCAGGTCACCAGGATTGTGACGGGAACAGGATCTCGAGGAACGCGATTGTAAACTTGTGGGGAGCGAGTATATCCTTCTGGAAGACTTCATGAACACGTGTGGCAGCCATAGCCTTGGGACACCGAGACCCTCGACTGAGAACATGCTTTATGACCGCAGAAGCCCGGTATATTCATCAAGTGAGAACCATCCTTGCACGATGAAGAGAGGGAATCCTGATTGAGATCAATCACGAAAGGGACTGAAACTTGTCGCTAGTTCAGCCTGGGAAGGAATTAGGAGCACTGCAATAATAATTTGGACACAGATCCGTGGATCTGGATACGAGTGAAGGAAAGCGGAACGTCACTATTTCCAGGGTGGCAGATGCCGGTCATGGAGCGAAAGTAGCCTAGACCAACCCTGAGCCATATCGTTTGGATCAAAGCATCTTGGGATAAGTATAACTAGTCAGATCTTCACTCACCTACATCAGTGAACTGGTGAAGAAAGTAGAGGGTCACCTACAAGAGCGAGTTTAGTTGCGACATATTTTTGGACGTACAACTTAAACCCACCTTTTCCTGTGATGACAATGAAACAGGAATATGGTAACTTTGGGAGCTCTTACCTGGTTGGATATATCGCGATATCACTCAACGCTTGAGAACATGCGCTAACGGATTCATCAGCGCCAGCAAAAATGTTACCCCAGGCCAACCTCGGAGTCAATCCTCGACATCTTAGCGGTGAGCGCTAGACTTTCCCAAAATGCGTATCAGGATGGCTTTCCATGTACCTGCATAGCCTGAAGTCGACTATCAGTTGGAGGGTCGCAAAGGTACGGTAGCTTGTGGCACGATACTCTGACACGTCGACGAGCGACGTTTCCCCACAGGTTGTAATCGGCGGCTGTTACTAGCCACTGATATCGGGTATTTGATGGCCCCAAGCCATTTATGTACTGCTGGGATGCTCTAGGCCTTTGTTCTGGAAGAAAGTTGGAAGGAACGCGGAATATGATTTTGTTTGGTCGTGTGGGGACGAAAGTTGCTCGGCGACGCGCTGATCTGATTTCATCTTCTTGGAAGTCTTTTTAGACCTGTCTTAGAGCTTCTTAGACACGATAATTCTTTGATTTTATTCCATTAGGAGCGGCAATGGGTGCACGGTATGCACTCATCGACGAGGGTCACTTTGCCCGCTGCATATGAGGTCGCTGAAATAGATAATCTCGCTCTTCTCATAGGTAAATTATCCAGCTCGTATCCTGTTCATTCAGATCTGATTGAACATCTAAAGCTAATATGCTTGAACGATTGATCGCTCATAATGACAAGATACCCCTTCTGCCGTATGTCATCTCCTACGCTTCATGTCACCCCCCACTCATTCATTACTATTCTCAGCGAGAGCCTCACCCGATTTCACTCGAGAGCCGTACCAAACATCAGCGTCCTCGATTATCTCCGACGCATAATCAAATGGACAAAAGTGGAGGTCCGTACACATTCCTATCTTAAAACCCCAGCTAACCCGTCTCTCACAGAAATCATGCCTTCTCCTCACTCTACACTACGTCGACCAAATCTGCGCCCGCATCCCTCTCTTCACCCTATCCTCCCTCACCTGCCACCGCTTCATCATCGCATCCATCACAGTCTGCAGCAAAGGCCTCTGCGACTCCTTCTGCACAAACGCCCTCTACGCCCGCGTAGGCGGCATCCCCGTACCAGAACTAAACGTCCTCGAACGCGAATTCCTTCGCGCAATAGACTGGCGCTTAATGGTTCGCATAGATCCCAGCCCTCCCCCACCCGTTTTCCTCTCACACCTTTTTTTTTTCCATGTTGTTTTTGGTCTTTTGGGACTGCGTAGTGCACACGCGAAGTCCTTCAGGAATATTACATCAACCTCATCAGGACGGATAGCACGGGGAGCTTTATGCTCGAAGGCGCAGAGTCTGAGATAGAGGATAGCGATATGGACAGCGTCTCCTCTCGCTCGGCGTCTCCTATGGACGCACAAGTCCGCCATCGCCCGTCGTTCAGCCTCCTAGGCAACCGTGACCGCGAGTCTTCATCCGACACCGCGACGCTCGCACCGCAGGGCCCTACAATCGAACAGAACATGGCGTTCGCTGCATTACAGCATTCATGGAACAAGCCTCCATAAGAAGTATAACTTTTGGTGCTTTTTTGTTCTTACGTACCAATGCATTGTACGTACGCACGCACGCACACGCCTTCGTCATCGAACTCGACCTCATCATTTTTCGTCATCGAGGCTCATCATTATCGCGCCATAGACGCGACATTTAGTCATCCCACGCATCAACCCACTCTCACGCTCTCCCCTTGCCCATAGCCATTACATTTTTCCAAGTTTCTGAAGACTGCATACATACGTGGCGCGTAAAAAAACCATCGAATTGATCACAGTAGCGCAAACATACAAATATGAATGACATCAACAGTAGTCGAGGTCACGAAAACAGAAAAAACACCCATCGACTCCTAAGAAATTACACTGTATTGTAAAACGAGCGACAAGGTCAAACTAAGATTGTGTGTTTTCGCTTTTTCTCATCAACACAAAAAAACGATTCTATAGTATGTATGCATATCAAATGTGGTGTAATACAGTCCGAGAGCGATATCGAACGAGCGTGGTAGTTTGATTGGGGTTTTCTTGCAACGGAGACAGTAATAATAATGCGATGGGTTTGAAGTTTTTTTTTTTTGTTTTGAAAAAAAAAAGTCGAGCCTGCGCCAAACGGATATTGGAGATTATTATGCACAGATAGAAAAGCACAGGAGCACAAAATATGCACAACGGCCTTCATGAGCCTATTCACACCAACATATAACCGGCATGAGCGGATGAATTACAACAATAAAGAAAAGGCTGGTGTTCGCACCGTAAGTAGTTGGGTACCATACAATACATCGACCGCCTCCTTCCACACACACAGCACCTACAGGCCCATAAGCCATCTAACAAAAAACAACAACAAAACACACACACAACACACTTCTTCCTCAACGTACATCAACGCCTCAGAGCAGAGAGCATCTTCGCCAGCGCATTGATCTGGCCCTTCTGCACCTTCTTCGGAGTGTCTTCCTCACCACCACCACCGCCACCCAAATCAGTCGTACTTGTAGCAGCATCCCTCAAAGGCACAGGCCTCTCGCTTATCGTATCCAGCTTCGACTTGCGCGTCCGTGGTTTACGCTGAGGAGGCTGCCCGAATATATCACCCACTGGATTCGGATACAGCTGCCTCGGAAGCTCGTCAAGCTCCCATGGCACACCGTTCATGACTATCATCTCAAATCAACACCGCCACACAAAAAAAAAACCGAGGTAAAACTCACTCTTGATATTCTTCGGGATCTGCGGAGGAGCCTGACCACCAGCTCTCCAACTCCCACTACTCACACTCGTAGCAGTCGTCGAAACGCTCCTGACGCTCGAATTGCTATACCGCGTGAATGCGCTCGTGCTCGTACTAGCACTGCTCATCGAGCTTCGCCAATTACTGCTTCGGACACTGCCAGGTGGGGAATGACCTCGCACGCTTCCGTTGACAGTGGGAGGCGCGGTGTTGGAAAACGCAGTGCTGAACGTGGACGTTGCACCAGGCCGCCGTCCCCGTGCCCATGTGTTGGCTTCGTCTGCCGGGGAACGTTGCCGTGTGAGTGGCGTATATCCAGCATTGACGCTCGTGCTGGAGTTGACATTGATGCTGCTGTGCGAGTTGTATGGCGAGGCTTTCTGGCTGTAGGGGCTGCTGGACTGCGGATGGGGCGAGGGTTGGGAGAGCCCCATGATGAGGTTCGTCACGTTGCTGGCGGTGCCGGCTGTTGGTTCTTCCGTGGGGGTGACCGCGACGGTCTTTCCGCTTCCGAAACCCAGCTTCCACTTGCTTGGCTTCTTGACTACGACAGGCCGAGGCGCTTCGGGCTCCACCGCCTGGATCACAGGAGCAGATACACGCGCTTGACTCGATGCATGGCTTGCATTTCGGCTCAGATCTATGATACCAGGAGCGAGCGATGACGAACGGCTCGCGCCCCGACTTGCCAGACTGATCTCCCGTGCCAAGCTCTGCGATGCAACAGCGAGCGTCTGGAGCGTCTCGTCCGTCGTGGTCTTCGGTCCTCCCTTTCGCGACCCGCGCTTTCCTCGTTTCCTGGTCGACCGCGAGCGTCCGTCCTCGTCGAGGTGCTCATCCTGGCCCTCGCGTGGCAGCTCTCTCAATAGATCCTCTGGCTCTTCAACAAGCACACCACCCACGCTTGGAGCCCTGCTCAATGACCGACTGCATACGAGCGGCGTGCGCAATGCAGCGCGGGATGATGGACGACGCGAGGGGGGGCACGATGACAGGGGGTGTCCGAGCGTCGATGAAGCTGTGCTGAGCACGCGCTTGTGGCCTCTGTGGGAGGGCTCGCGGTCGCAAAGCAGTGCGGGCAGGTCCTTGATCCAGGCACCAAATTGCCTGGCGGTGATGGGCATGTGGCTGGCGTCGAATGGTGGGAGAACGAACACGCGCTGGGTGAGGAACTCGGCAACAGGCCAAGTCATGCCGGTAAAGCGCTGCATGAAAAAGTGGGCGCCATGCGTGCGGAAAAGGGAAAATGAAGAACAGGCGCCGTCAGAGGTGTCTGTCCATGGATTATAGTGGTACAACCTGATGGCGGTGTCAGAGATAATCCAGCAATGAAAATATCAACATACATGTTGATCAAAACGATGCCGAGACTCCACACATCACTCCGCTCGGGGCTGTAGGTCGGGGCGACGTTATTGCGGCACTCGAAGCTCATGTAAGGTGCGCTCCCACAGTCCATATCGGCGCTTTCCAATTCGTTTGTGCTGAGGCCAAAGTCTGTTAGTTTGACTAGGACTTTGCGCTCCATGCAGTCGGAAGAGGAAGAGGCCGGCGCATAGCCATCGGTAACGATAAAGTTTTCTGGCTTGATATCGCGATGGAATACGCGCTGTTCGTGACATGCGGCGACTGCATCGCACATTTGGGCGAACATGCTTGCGATGAGTCTGAGACGTGTGTGGCTTAGCAACGCAGAGGGATGCAAGGTAGCGAGAAGAGAGGGGGTAGGAGGGGTCTTGCTCTCAGTGCTCTCGTCGGGTGCATAGTGATCCCGTGCCTGCTCGAGAAAATAAAAGAGATCCTCGCCGGGGACGTACTCCAAGACTAGGAGGAGGAAGGCGTCTGTCTCGAGGGTACGGTGGAGCGTGACGATGTTGGGATGTGGCGAGAGACTCTGGTGAATGGTGACTTCAGTGAGCTGTGCTGTGAGAGCGGCGGAGTCGAGGTTGGCCTTTGAGAGGACCTTGAGAGCAAAACTCCTGCCGTAGACGATAGGCGGAGGGGTTGGGCCAAGGTCAAGGACGCCGACGTGGCCATCGTCGCTGACGGGGTTGCGGGAGAGGACTTCACGGACGAGATAGACGACTGCATAGCTGCCTGTTCCTAGTCTACGGATGACTTGGAATTCTTTTGCAGTGTTCATGTCTATGGGGGGCGAGGACACAAGGACGAACTGGGTCGCCCTGAAGAAGCAGGTCCTCGCCGACGAGGTCGCCGGGAGCGAGTACATCCTCTATGAGAGATGAGACAGAGGGGAGAAGGGGGCTTTGAGGGAGGAGTGGGGATGAAGGAAGATACGGGGAAGGAAGAGATGGAGAGGGAATTGAAATTGGGCTTGGGGGGGTTGGAATAGAAATTGGTAAAACAGGTGGGGTTAGAACCGAAGAAGCTGTTGAAGATGGTGAAGGGGAATGAATTTGCTTGCGAAGAGGTTCCTTTGGGAAACGCCTGTTGAAAAGACGAGAATGTGCATGTGGGTAGTCATTATGGCGAGGATTTGAAGTAGGATTTGGTGGGTTGAGTATATCTTTACGGTTCTGTTTATAGGGAAGGGGGAGGGGGATTGGTTGGGCGGAGTATTGCAACATGAGCTCGTGTAGTCGGGAAACAGAGAGATAATTGTAACGCTTTCTTGGAACTACGAACGACGGGGTCAAGGACGACTTTGAAGACGAAGGGGAGTGGTCGTCGTCGTTGTCGTCGTCGGACTGCTCAGAGTCTTCAGAAACCTGCTGGACTTCTGAGATTATATTAGTTCTAATGCATGCAACGTTGTCTGGCGGTGCTGAAAGGTTGATAGCGTATCTGTTCATAAGGAGCGTGAGTGAGGTTGAGGGAAGAGGAACGAATCTTATAACACAAGCGAGTCTCACGAGTCATAAGCTCGAAGCCTCGAGGCAGATGATATTGTGAAATTCAAAAAATAAAAAGATTGAACTTACGACAAGGAGAAGGGGGAGGGGGATGAGGAGGAGAAGTGAGAGAGCTCAAGTTACTTTGCAACGCCAACGAAAGAAACGAAACGCAGCATCCGAAGAGGTATTACAGCCACGATAGCCATGTGCTACATCTCGGTCTTCTTTCCATATTCGGTTAACGCAGTTTCAAAAGTCAAAGCAACTATCTGAAATTTCTACTGGTTTTATTGCAATACTTTCTATGGTATCACCTAGCACACCATACTCCGTGATATCAGTTTGAGCTCATCGTCGAGCACAACGACGAGCCCATTTGAATTTACGTGGAATTAATAAGACCGTAGGAAGCACATGGTCATATACCATAATTAGTTTCAGACCATGTGCGACCCTCTTGAAAACATATGTAAATTAATATAATTCATTTTAAGTCTTGCCTCGTTGTCGCCCTTACTCTTTATCCAAACTTATTGTCCTACTTTTCTCCATTCTTCAAACTCGCTTCCGTGTCCACCTGCGCTTTTAGGCGATCATCCCGGCCCCGTTCCAACCAGATTGACTTTGGTTATCGAAGCTCACAGCTGCTATAATATCAAGTACCTGCGCCAACTAATATCATGTATCCCCCCGACGCCATCCTACCGGTCACTTAGAAATACATCAAAGCCCCTAGACTCAATCCCTCCGCCGATCACACAGATTAGGGGGGCGTAAGTAATGTCTTATCACAATCTCAATGTAATCGACGTGGCACAATAAAATGAAATGCTCTCCACTTCCACATGTATAATAACGCAACTATCATACTAATACTCACTACTAGCTGCCACGTCACCTACCCGCTATCCCGCGTGAATGCATCGTGCATCACATTTCCATTCAACTGCGCTCTCTACTCCGTAGGTACTAGCCGATACATGCGACTGACTTCATATCTGATACGTCCTCATCTCGGGTTCCTGTCGAGGACAACCGTATTCACACGTGCATGTACAGGCCGATCGATCACGGCTCACCACGGACTAAGAAGTAACCGAATCAGCTGTACCCGCGGCGCAGCCCAGCCCCCGCAGCACAGCTTCTGGTTCTGTGAGGAGAATAGGCCTAGGGCTTAGGGCGTCTCCTCCGCAGCGCCTCAAATCTGCGAAGCTCCACATTATTATCGGTGCCAAGTTCTGCTTCACAGTTCTTCTACTCCATTTGTATTGATCCTGGTGTTCGACGCCCCAACACACGACGTCTGCACCTCTATTCGATTGCCTAGTGATCATCGGCGTCCTAATTCCATATACGTCTGACAGACTCGAGAGGGAGATTTTTCATTCCGCTGCGTTTTGGTTTTGAATGGAAAAATAATTTATTGCAGCGCTGCGGGACGTACGCACCTTCCCAGTCATAAAAGCCCATGGTATTTTTGTCTCGATATAATTGTAATTCGCCTTTTGAGAGCAGAGACCGTTTGTTGTCGGACTCACTGTCAGTGGGAGTATCCTCCGGCACCATTCATACCGCCCGCCAAGAATACTTCCCAGCACACTCGGGATCGAAACCTAAAATGATGTATCAAGCTACGGTGCTGTTTGACTGAAATATCTTGGTCTTACAGAGTGTGATAAAACGTATGGATGCATCATGTTGGCGTCGGCCGCTGGTGGTGACTTGGCTTGGCATATGGCCTAGGGATACACTACATACAAGGACTCCGGTTTGGTCGTTCGTTCGTTCGCAAGCATAGCGTGTCTCCGCGTTCTCACTCTCGATAACGCCGTGTATAATTGACCGTGACACGGCCGCAACTTGCCGCCGTTCGTCGCAATGGTACAAGGCAAACTGCGCATCAGCATAGCATGACGTGCTGGGCGCAATAGACGTCGGTTATTCGTGCTTATATATCGTAGATTAGCAAGGTCTGTCGCAAGTCTGTCGACACAATATTATCAATAATCGTTCTCACCATTGTCAACGATCATGACACTATATGATACTGTAGACTAAAACGCCATTGCACCTATCAATTCTGAGAAAATCGCATTGGCACTCGAGGCGCTGAGAACGCCCCGCACGGCGCGGCGTTCGCAAATAGCAGCAGGAGACGCATGACGATGGTCCAGAAGACTGACTAGCCTGTTAGAAGACAAGAAGCTAAAATTTGAGGCTGTGAGGGAACTAGGCTGTTTAACATTTGAAGCTCAGCAAGAAATCAGCGAATTGCAAGGGGTCGGGCGAACGGGGTGTTTTATATGATAAGAAACTGAACAAAACAGCGAAGTGTGCGGTGACTTCATCATAGCAAACTTACACACGGTAGGAGGTTGAGAACAGATAAAATTCAGTTTGAAGGGCTAGACAGTGGCAGCATCATGATCTATCTTTGTCAAAAACATTCTGCCGTCATTAATATTGGTTGATTGTATCGACCCTTGGGGAGACGTGTGAGCTAATCTCGTAACCGCATCATGGCACATATCAAAGAATGTCAGTCTAGAAACACGTAGAATCGTTCTTATACTCACCTATCGAAGGTTCAAGCTTGTTTCAGTCAAGTTAGAATCTAAGATGACCCGTCCGCTCACATGCTGAAACTGAAACTTCAACTTCTTAGATAACGGTTCGCCTTTATCGACGTAGATGCGGCAGTCAGATGCGCGTTCCACATGGGCCTTGCTCGAGCCTATATCTTTCGGGGGGAAGTGTGTTTTGGATTGCCTGTTTGGATTTTTTACGTCCGTACGGATCGATGTCGGCACCGCCGGAGCAAAGCTTGGAGAAGCGCGTCTTGCCTGTGACGCAGCTAGCCCTGACCTTGGGAAGTTCTTGCGGAGTCGGACAGCGGAGGGGCCGACAATGAGCCATCCTCCCTCCCTTCCTCTTCCGGGATTCAAATTTCACTCCGACAAGTCTTGGCGCAAAACCGCAGAAGCCAAAAAGCACTTGAGGGACGTTGTACGTGAGCTTCTTTTAGAAGGAAGATAGTGTGTCACTATACCTTGTGGTCGAGAAGCTGCGTAACATACAACTTTGAATGACCGCTCACGGCCCCGGATCTCCTCAGAAACAGATTTTTTTTTAGCCACCGTCATACCCGATGGGCTGGGCGGGGCCTTGTATGATGTAGGCATTTGTCTGAGGATGGGTCGTACTATTTCAGGATTCGGAGATGGTTGGCAGCATAAACTCCCCAGGGTGAACGAAAATTATCAAGATATTGTTGGGCAGCATGCTTGCCTTACGGCCGCTGCGAACCCCACTCCATCGGACATCCAAGTCAGAAGAATGGGAAAATGGTTAACATTTGGAATCCTCCCATGTGCTGGAAGGGCGTAGCTTGGAAAAATTTGCAAACAAAATTGACAAACCCGTCAACTCCCGTCAGGTATGGGTGCAGCTGGAAGTTAAGTATGGGTAGGACTGGCTGACATGATTGACTGCACCTGCTAAGCTGCTTGGCGACTGCCCGCGTGGAAATTATTTTCGCCTACGGCTTCTTCATTTCCTTTTTCGAAAACCACCCGGTTCCGAATAAAATTGGTCCAACTTGAATGCCTACTGACGAGGGCCAAGTCGCATATCGGTGGGCAGCCCTCGTGGCGGCAGTAGCGCCGTTGTAGTACCATGTTGATTTCTTGCAAGGACGCCAACGCATGTGTAGGTGCGGACTTCGGGGGTGCCTACCACAATTATGCAATGCTGCCCAGCTAGTGCGGCTGCACGCCCAGCTGACCGCTTCAAGCACATGGTCACGGTGTGCATGCAATCGAGACCCTGCAGGCACTTCCAAGTTCCTGTTACACGAGGCTGACCGGGCGGAGCCTCGACTAGGATGCATGGCGCCATGTTACTAGGTAAATTGCAAGTACCGCCCATACAATACAATTCCTCCTGCTAATGACGCGATCTAGATCATCTCCCCATTGTCTTGACGGTCATGCTGACCCGCATGATTACTCAGATCGCGCCGTTGGAGACTTTGTACAAAACAGGCTGTCTCCCTGGAGATGGCGACTCTTCACCTCCCAGGAACATCGTGTATGCCCCTGTGCCCTCAGGTTGTTGTAATTGTGGTCCTTACGATACAACAACGAGTGTACACGATATCCTCCTGAATGATAGATTGTGTCCTAGCGATCAGGCCCTGGTGAACTGTGCCTCTGCACCTTGGAGGAAGCGCTAGACATCCCCAGGCCTTATCCTCCCTTTCCCTTTCTGGCGACGCGGTAGTCAGGGGTCATTTTACCGATTTCGCCTTGGTTGAGATTGCTTGTGATCATTAGCGAGATAAGAGCGCTATCATTCAAGCTGCGGATCGACTTTAGTGTCTAGGAAACTAGTAGGTCAGCCCACAACAAAACAATAAAGAAGGAATGTCTATCTCCTATATTGGTCTGCTGGGGGAGACAAAGGTCAGCCAGCTTTCATTTCGTTCCGCTCATAGCTCACATTCACTAGTCGCTCTTTTCGCTCAACCCCATATAGTATTCCCGACGTCATGCAATCGCAGGGAAAGGGTTTCATTTTCATAAGCTTATGAGGTAGGTGAACTGGGTTGCGCCAGCGCAACGCCGCAGCAGACCCTTTGTTGTTACCCCATACATCCAATCCGTGTGCGTGACTGAACAAGCACCACCCGTTGCTAAGCACGTGAGGACGATGTTGTGCTGCGCCTTGCGTCGAGACTCGATAAGATTCTGAATGGATGGATACTACTTTTTGCAACGCAGTTGCGCCCGATGATCGAACAACGGCGTCTTCGAACCTTGCAACATTTTCCGTTCCTAACGGATAATACCCCGGTAATGGGGTTGGCGTACCATGAGGGGGCTACGACCTGCTGGACAGGTGACTGACGTCTGATGGAAGGGCCAGTGGAGGCAAGTCTTCTTTCGATTCATTGGCGAGCTCTTCGGGTCGAATTGTGATTTTCATACAGCCTTTTGCACTTCTATTCGCATTGTACAACGCCCCTTCATAGGGACACCTTCATGTCCACAGCGAATGCAGCTTATGCGGCCTTGATGCGGCCCATGAAGGATGCGATGATGCCAATGTGCTCATGAATGTTATGCGTCGAGATTACTCTGCGATCTCGCACCTGGCTAGCTGGTGGTGAAAGGGGATCCAATCTAGTTCGCGCCCACCAGTTCTTACCCTCCCCCTTCATTTCCGGCTCAGGGAGGTATTCCGCTATTCAAAACACATTTTAAGCTCAGGACTGGCGTACAAGTTGCAACTAAACTTAAACCGCACTTACTGGGGAAAGAAGACGCCGGCGATCGAAGTGCCATGCCATGTATCTGATAGTGACAAGAAAGATGCTATGATAAGCAAAGTCGATATCATACACCACCGATCTTTCATAGTGCGTGACCTCATGTTTTCATGCTGGCCACCAGGAACCATATCAAAGAAGCACTTTTCATTGTTGGGACTTAAAGTTACCAACACCGAACAGTGTTTGCCGATCTGCAAAATTATTTCGGAACCATATGGTTTACAGGTCAGCCTGGTCGAGCTCGGCCTTTGTACTGATCGTGTTGTGGAGTAGATTGATGATCGGGCAGCCTGGTGGTGTTCTAGTGTGTGAAGATAAGTAGTTTTGCATACCTTCTTGGTGCTCGTCCCTGGGCTTATCTCCTGGAGATCCCCAGGCTTCCGAGTTCAGATATGTTTAGATGGTGACTTGGTAAACTAGGTCACCAGCAGCGGTCCGGCGAATGAGTGTGACCATGGCTCTAGTAGAAAGATGTGCACATGATCGCAGGAGCAGCGAGGATATGGTATACATCATTGACTACGGGACTTCTATGGTGCCAGCTTCTCGTCCAGTTTGACGCCATGCATATGTGATTGACCTCTGATTCCAGGTAATGGTGATGCCTTCTATGGCAGACTGTGGAAAATAGTGGAGCTAGCGGGCATCAACATAATGGAGTTGCCCAGACAGGATTGTTCAGCCAAGATGTATCCAATATCACGGAGTCGCGGACTTCCAATTGTAACCTAAGAAAATATGAAACGCCCAGCGCCGAAGCTTGAAGCTTCGAGCAGTAATTCACCAAGCACGGTAGGTATAGGTAGGTACATGTTCTCCTACTCAGGTACTCGGATAGTAAACAGGGAGACTTCCTACTGTAACCAGTTACACCTGATCAGGTACTTGTTATATTCGCTGTTGCACAGTCCTGGCCTTCCTGGGCACACGTCGGATGTATATGGCCATAGTAAGATGGCGTTCCTGGACGTACAGTACAAGGGGGCAGTCCGCAGCTAGGGAAAAGACATTGCAATTCGATCCGCTGCGCATGCGAAGATGGACACCGTTGAGGACTAGAGACTTTAAATATAGCAAGACAACGTCATCCATGGTGCACACCCTCTGCATCGTTCGCGGTCATCGCGCAGGTAGAAAGGTATTAGGTCCTCTAAAGAAAACGTGTTTGCCATCCGACAGTCTATGCTAATATCGCGTCTAAGCGCACATATCATATCGTTCAGCTGGGAACTCGAGTCCTTTATACAAACAGTGCGGTTTTATGTAGTCCATTGTTTTATTAATCATTTCTATAGCATACCAATTTACTTGCAGAGTACCAGAGCGACTCCCAACTGATAAGCGAGCATACGATTAGGACCAGGACAGATAACGACAGATAGTGAATCCAAGTCCTCCTCGTTGTACCCCCTTCCACTCGTGCTCGGTTGAGACTAATAGGCACAATCCTTTAAGCTTACCTCCGACATGCCCGATGCGCCATTCAAGTTCCGATTGCCACGCAGGCCAAGGTTTCTTCTTTGACCCAAGGCCTCCCAAGGTCCGCGTTCCTGGTACGAAACGTTTGAACTCAGCGTTACTATCTTGGGCGAATTGAGCACGTCTTGATCCCAGCCCATTACCGATATGCGCGAAGTTTGGTGGGCTGATTGCAGTTAGCAACGTTACAATTGTTTGTCCAACGAAGTTATAATGGATAAATCACTTCCCTCGTTACGAGCAATTATGCAGTGCGGTCCGTTGTAACTGCGGATCATCGTTGGGGTATTCCGGCATCGTGGACATCAAATTGGATGCACTCATTGAGGGGCGTATCGCCGTGATGCTTGTATTTTGGAATGTATGCTGGCTGCACCTATTTTATTTGGTAGCAGGTTTAGACGTAAAGGGGATTGCCATTTATTCCTCATCGCAAAGTGCTCTCTTACTGCTGTTACATAATATGTCGAGCGTCCTCCAGTCAGGGGTTGGTCAGCTGCCTTCTCTGACCATCTTCTCCATTTGTGCAGAACGACACACAAATGCGCAGCGGAAATGGGCAGGGCTTCTGCAATACAGATGAGCTCGCAAAACCGGAAAGGCCAACATCATCGACGAACATCGTTATCCCGGTTGTGAACTGTGGCTTTACATCAATCTCACGGCCGTCAACGTCCCTCGCCTTCTCTATACGAAAAGTCGCAAGGATAGAAACGATGGCAGCCCACATCATTGAATCTGTAGCAAACCGTCCTGGACCTGTCTGAAGTCAATAATTTCATCATGTCTTTCGTTGGGAAATGCCTCACAAATCCGTCGCCCAAAACCGAATACAGGGCTGTTCGTGATTGAACCCGAATTCAGCGACCCGTCTGAGCCAAAGTGCCTCTCAGGCCTGAATTCATCTGGATCGGGATACTTCTCCTCATCCCGGCTCATCGCCCTGCAACGTGGTCACATTTAAAAACGAAAATGAGAGACCATCACCGTACCAGGAATTGATGATCACCCATGTTCCTGTGAGAGCCTTTGAGATCCGTCACTGAATGTGACCGAATTTTGAGTACGAACCCTTTGGTATTAAGTAGCCTTGAAATATATCCTCGCTTGACGTAGCATGAGGGATCCCTGTATGACCAGAGCAATAAATCAATAACTTTTGGTGTGATGACACATACCTAGTGGTAACGCAGGGTTCCATCTTAACATTTCTCTGAGGATAGCTTCGACGTAGGGCAAAGAAGGTCTATCTTCGAAGCATGGCAACCTCGTCGAACCGATAACAGCGTCAATTTCGGACTGGGCTTTGGCCTGAACTTCTGGATAGAGAACCATGGCGAGAATGAATGCGTGCAACATCGACGAGCTCTGTATTTGTGTATATCGTTTCTTGAAATCTAACAAAAAGTGGATAAAGCATACCGTTTCGATCCCGGCTGTTGGTGTAACGGGCCAAATATTAAGGCTGGTGGAAGAAAGAGTTTGATGGCTCTCACCGAGGTAGGCCGTCGCCGCAGCCGCCTTGATTGCGGACTCCTGTGCTTCACGATCGTCCTTTTCGTCTATTTGCGCCAAGCAATCAGACACCATAGATTGTGACGCAGTCCCGGCTGCCTAAACTCAAGTCAGCTACAAATATGACCTTTGTGAAAGTAGTCACAATCTCTAATTTTGTAAACTCGAAAGGTGCATCAAGCACCTGTTGGGCCAGCCTTCTAGAGTACAATGCATCCCGCTTGAATTTCGCACCGGGAAACCAGGCAGGTATATGTGCAACTGCAGGAACCTCAGCTACACATAATGGAATAGATGTCAACTTACGAAAAGGAAATGCTGAGAGAATAGCTGCTCTCTCAGGAGTTTGCCCGTTCGAAAGGATTTCGGCCAATTGCGCGACAGCAGAGACATACGGATCATTCTCTGACTGCATTTCGTATCCATACGTAATCCCCATAATGATTGCTCCGATAAAGCTGTCCGGGCGTCAATGTTCAGCATAATGATGAGATGCTGCGCATGGCCACTGACCCCTGGATATGTGCCTCGAAACCTTGAGGGTCGTTCAGCAAGCTAGCAAGAAAGGTCCGAGCTCTGCGCAAATAAATTTCACGCTGGCGAAGTGAGGAATCTGCTTGTAATGCATGATGGAATATCTTTCTATGAGATCTTAGTTCTGATCCATAGCGCAACATGACTGTGTTCCACTCCACGCCATAACTGTGACAAGACATGAGCTACAGCTTGAATTGAAAGGAACATACAATTTGGGGCATACAATTTATTTGTCGCAAGGACAGGTCTGTCTGAGTAAATAATAGATCGTTGATCCAGCATCGCGCGTGCAGTTTTCTCTGAGTTGACGACAACGACTTCCAGTCCCATCAATCGTACACGGAAAAAGTCGCCTGAAAGATGTCGAGTCGAGTCTCTGATCACCAATATATGTAGACCCACCATATACCTTCTGCCATGCTGTATATGCCAACCAAGGTGCGTTGATGCTGATATGCATGACATTGCCTATCACAGGGAGAGGCCTTGGACCGGGTGGGTAAGGGGGGTTTGAATAGGGTACTCTGCGCCTCGCGATAATGAGGGACGAAAGAAGAATGATAGAGCCACCAAAGGCACAGACAGCGAATAGTGATAGGTTCGTCAACATCGTGGTTCAATAACTGAGCAACTCAGAATTGACACTCCCATTTGATATAGCAATCCTAACGTCTGACCAGAAATCATTCTAGGGGCCTTTCTTTCAGCGCGACGCGCCTAACCGTTTCCCCATTTCACCGATAATGATGCACAGTAATTGGTTCTGGGAGATAGAAGGACCTCCTAGGTGATAGTTACATAATATTATATATCAGTGTAGAGTCCAACCAGACATTAATGAGGTTGGAAACGCACCTGCCGGAACTTAAGAGAACCCAGCTGCAGTGTCACTGTATTCAATGAAATTCGGACTTATAGCGGACAGGCACTCACAAACTTGTGCCAGCCAGCTATAAATTTGGATGACAAGCTTACTATAATATGAAAGTGGCGGGTGAGACAAGCATACAATAGCTCCCATGAAGAGATGTTTTGCTTTCACAAAAAGAAAGCACATGCGGCGAGCTCAGGGCCTAAAAAGTCGTGCCGGACGCAATGTCCGACGAATTCAGAGCAGCTCACATGAAGGGCATAACATTGTGATAAACCGATACATGCCTTGCACAAGCCTCTAACTCCTAAGTACCATTCTGAAAGAAAGATGTTCCCTGATGCATATGGGCCGCATGATGGTTGTTCAGGTTTGTTAAATTTGTTGTCGGGACTGCAAATTACAGTAATCGGTTAGCGGAGACCCAATCCTGCTCAATCTCCTACATGCCTCCCAAAGCTCACCGCGCTGGCGCAACGGGCCTCCCTCGTACACACTCCCGTTCATCGTCGGGAGGTTCCTCCAAAGCAGCACTGAATCTTCACTTTACGCAGAAGGATCCTGCTCCAGCGAAGCAAGCCGAAAGAACAAAGAAAAACGGCTTAGTTCATGACGTGCGTCGCATCAGTTTTTGACCCCTCAAAAAATCATGGCTGAACCACCTGCTTCGAATTCACTGTGTCGTTTAGTCGCATTCAAGGAATACTTCGCCATACCCTCCCAGAGTGAATAGCTCGACACGTCTTGCTTCAAGGGAGCAGCTACCGATTCAAACGCAGCGGCATGTGCCTCCCTCGAACCAGCGACAGACAACTGGCAAACCTAAAGCAGGATTTACCATTGCTAGCCAAAGTGCGGATGAAGATGACGAGTGGGTTTCCAGCGAGAGTGGCGCAGCAACTCCCAGCAGTGTGAGCTCTGACAGCGGCAGGTCTCGAACACCTGTCGAGACGCACAGACCTTCGCTCCTCGCGGCCCCGTCCGTTGATGAACCCATACATCGGCCGGAAACTCCAAGAGCACTACCGCCCTCTATGTCCCGAGTGCCTACCACCCGTCCCCCCGATGCACCAGCTCGAGCGTCATCAGCTGTAGCTGTGTCAGTTGCACGTGCATCACCGGTTCCAGCACTAGCCTCATCTAGGCATCAAGCGAAGCAATCCAATCTCTCTCAGCACCCTTCTCCTGAGCGCCGTATCATGGAGACTCGCTCAGAGAACACTTCGCCTATTCATCGCTCGCACCCACACAAGCGTCAGTCGGTGACGCGCCCACCATCTACTCATTCGACGACAAGCAGAAACGATGCACCATTACGCCCGCATCCACTTATTCGAGGTCAGTCATATGGCCCTGCAGCTCCAGTGACACCACGGATGGTGCCTCTCGCCCCACTCACCATCACATCTGAAGCTGCTCCAGCGCACATATCCGCACCCCAGACATATGACGCGGAGGATAGGATATGCACTTCACCATCCAGTATTAAGACTACGTATGCTCCACCGCCTAACCGCAGAACATCAGTATCGTCCGCAAGTTCGGTGGTCACTCTTCCAACTCAAGCGCATATCCAACCACCCCATTTCAAGGCTGTACACGACCGTACTCGCACCCTTTCATCCATGTCATCAACCTCTTCGAGCTCTGTACAAGCGTTGTCATCACTTGCACAACTTCCCACCACCCGTCCGTCAACGCCGCAATATACCTCGCATTTTCCTGCGGCTAGTCTTTACGCCAACCTTGAAACTGTGCACCCATTACTCCCACCACCCTACCTTAGTGCACATGTGTCCATCCTTGCGCACCGAAGTCCGTTGAGGGAGTCGTACGATAGAGTTATTGTCGCCAAGGAGCAACAACGACGTGGAGAGAAGAGTGGTTGAGGTGTCCATATTGGTGCTTTTGAATTTTAACTGGTCGGTGGAATGTTCGTGACACGTCCTCGTCCATTCTCATTCTATGGCACTGACTCGTATTTCAGATCTATACATACCATTATTGTCAATTGTTTCATCGTTGGACCCGACATCCAATTCTGTACCATTATAGACAGTTCTATACCATTTACTGTCCTATTCGAAAGCTATCGGCGTCTCAAAGTCTTCATTTCTTCACACAGACATGGCTACGTTTATTGTCCAGATGAACTCCTATCCTTGCGATAGCCTTAAACCTTAGTACTTTTATTGACAGACATGGAAATCTTACGACTATGTAGAATACTTGAGCTAGACCTCTCCCTCGAAGATAGCATTAGGATAGTCTTAACGGTATGAAAACTTTGTACTGCCATCACTGAGTGCATCATGATGTAAGGAGAAAAGTGACGTGTCAGTCACGCGACTTCCGCGTTCATGAACCCTATCCAGTGAACTTATTGGGGCAATTTGCTCAGTCTGTGATTCTAATTCTCATCCTACCGCTCTCTTCACAAGACTCGCTTGAACTCTGGAGACATGTGGTTGTCTGATGCGCAAAGTAAGTCTACCCAAGCTGTCTGCTTTGATTGCTCAACGAGAATCGTGTATCTCAGAAATTGGCGTGGCCCTCACGACCTTTGGAACACTATTCATGTTCCTTGGCGTCATGATGTTCTTCGATGCTGCTTTGCTAGCACTAGGAAATGTGTGTAGCCTTACCCGAAGCGGCCTCGGTCACAGCCATTTCATTACCGACGCTGCCGAAGGACCAGGGTGCGTTTCTTTCTTCTACTACCCATTTCATACTTCTACTAGTATATGCGAATCCAATACCGTATTCCATACAGTTCCGACCAGGTTCTACACAAAGCTTTGTCTCGTCGTCTGAAATGCTAGGGCCACTCCTGAGCTAAAGTTTTGACTCGGATCAAAGGTCGACAAATGGTCTCCCAGCCTGAGCTGACCTCTGTCCAGTTTAACCACAGATTCTGACCACTCCAGGGACCATCTGCATATATCCAAAGCAGTATCTACTACACCTGCGCCACCACAGTTCGAACACTAGGTGCTGCTTTCCGCCCCAGACCTCACCACTAATAAAGCCTTGGTCCACCTTGCACAGCACCAGTCCGTGAAATACCCTAGACGCCCGTACACAACACCCAACCCTACCCGTCAACAATCCCTACGACCCTATAAACGCCCTTGACGACATCCCTGGTTTCCACTGGGCTCTCCACGAATTTCTTCAATCTCGCATGCACGAAAGCGATCCAGACAAGTCCTTCCGTCCTTATCACTCCCACAACACATTCCAGAAACGGAGATCACTGCAGACAAAGATTGGACTTTGCGAATGGTATTTTATAATGTGTGGAAGGGTCTCGTGTCTTTTGAGGACGAGGTCTGTGCATTTTGGCTTCTGTCGATCGCATCAAGCACAGTATTACTGTTGCTCCTGCGCATCGTAGTTCCAGTACAGTGATGTAACATGACATTGCCAGACGTAATTCTATCCTCTGAAACAATATATACTAGATTAAATAGCACAATGAAGTTCGAAATAAAACATATGCATGCTCCCTGCCCACCCGGGGTTGATCATTTGGATGGTCTAAAGCGCTACACGTCTCCGCCAGTCGACTCATCTCCGACAGTCTGGAAAGCAATGGACGTCATGTGCGTTCCCGCGTCGGAGATGGCAACGAGCCTGGCGTTATATTCCCGAACGCTGAGGATCAGACGGGGTCCCAGCACACACATCTGGAACACCTGGGCCATGTTGAGAATGCCGTCATAAACAGCAATTCCCAAAGTAAATGAGTGCTGTAGACATCATCAGGACTGGTCAGATGCAGATGTTAGTCGCAGGTCAACGCACTAGGATATATGGAGACAGTGAACCAAGAGTGAAGCAAGCCACGATAACAAAGCTAGTCATCCAGAACTTCAGCGAAACAAAATGACAAGAGCCAAATCATCGAGCTCACGCTAGAAAGTAGAGCGCGTGACTTCTTATTAACATCATGAAACAGTCTCCAATGGTCGATCCTCTTTGCGATTGTCGCAGTTCATGGAAGTGTTTTATAACGATCCAGACTGCAAGGGAAAAGGCGAGAATCTCCCATATAGCGGTGGGTATGATCATGTCGTCATTCAGAATCATCGTGTCTAGGTCTGAACCGTCTGATTCTGAAACACAGACACGATAACCAGAGAGTATGGCCTCCCCTGGTATCTTTCCATGAGTCCCGTGTGCTCTAGGCTTTTGTCAGTAATTGAAGCTTACCCCCTGAAAAACCCAGGCTTCCAATTACCGTCACAACTACGGTGGCGATCGTGGATACCAGCAGGAGTACGGCGAGAAAGGCAAGTATTTTGTTGGATCGCCCATACATGGCATGTATCCGAATCATCACCATGACTTGCATGATATGTCAGTCAAGTCAGTGTCAATACAATATGGTACAGCAGGTGAGCTTACCGCCCAGCATGGCATTGACAACAATAGGCGTCCATCTCCATACGAAATGAACGATAATGCCTGAAAAACGCGGTGACAGTTACACATTGACGAACTTAATGCTTCAAACAAACCTACAGCTGTTGCGGTCATGTCCAACCATGATTCTGTCCGAAATTGTCACTCACCCCTGTGTAGGAGTAGAGTCAGTAGTGGAATGGGAATGAGAATGTCAGGCATCAGTGCCAAATACCCACTATGTCTGTCACCGGGACTGGGAGAGAGACTAGTACATGCTGCCAGTCAGAAGCAACGAACACGGTGTATTTGGAGATACTAACATATGTTGTTGCTGATTGTGGGGTTATGGTTTATTAGTACAATGCAGCGTCAACTTGATAGGCTTACAAACATACAGAGAATATAATATTCCGATGTAGCGCACCTAGCATATGTTGATGTCAGCGCAAGATATCAAATGCGCTCATAACATAACGTACGCAAATATAAAGCACGGTCATGAAGGACCAGCGTTGCTTCTACCCCGGATAACCGCGTTATGCCATAATTCCTATTTGTTTCTGATATATGATCTTGCTCACCCAGATCAGTTCGAACTGGTAAAACATTCTCAGTGAGATGGCTGCGCAGGTCATGACATGAACTTACCTCTTGTGCGAATGTTAGTGCTTGAATACTGTAGTATACATATCAATGATCCGATCGGAAAGTGTTATCTCGCTCACTCCAATCGTATACCACAACAACAATGGATGCAACTGCAAAACCACAGTCAATGATAGTGAGATGTCAACATTGTTATGCCACCTTCTCTCTACGAACCTATTAAATAGCTATGAAAATAAGTGTCGTTGATGAACGGCCACAAAGCGGGATCCTTTGAGACAATGTAGGTCATATCGGGATGGTGCGTATGGAGTTCGTGGAGGTATAACACCATCCAGCGCTGTTATTGTGATCAGGCTGGACAGTCGGTCTCGAATCACTTGATCGTCAAGGGATCGTAGTGTGGGAAGCCCTTGTTCGAAGCGCTTTGGGGTAACTTACATTTTTAGATCATTTGGACACCGAAAAAAGTCTGTTCGTGAGGGAGCTTGTGGTTGATGGGAACGGTTCTGCCAGTGCATCAGTTCTATTAGTGATCATGGAACGTTAAATATAGACCAACTGCAGGACTCGGACTAGCCGTGCGGCGTGTAACGACAGAGAACGGACCATGATGATGATGTGTGATGGGGATGCTCATTGAAGGCCCAAGGGTCAGTGACATTTGCAACTTCATCAGATAATTTCTTGATGAAAAAGACGGACTTGCAATTGTAGGAACACCTGAGGCCTACCAGCCCGAGGGAGTCATGCCACGCTGCATATGTGAGTATACGCGCACATCACAGACATACAAACACAACCCATTGAAAGAACGTTCCTTGAAGCGTGAACTGAAGCGCTATCAGTAGTTCTCTGACTAACTCTGACACATGGTTGAAGCTACACACTAAAAGATAACCAGCGTGTCTTTGAGCGCTGTGGGGTTGCGAAGGACATAATGATTCAAACGGTTTAAACATTCACAAGCTTCACTGGACACTGTTGCCCAGCCACGTCAATCTGTGTCATACAGTTCCACCTCCTCAAACCACATCCACAGATATGCCACCAGTCAAGAAAGCTGCAGTCACGGCCCAGACACTAAGCTCAACTCCCAACTTCGTGACGGATTTCCTAGAATCAGGGTCTTGCTGGTGACCAACAGATCAGCATGAGTTCAACAATCAAGAGAGTTAAAACATACGCAGGCGATGTTGTAAAATAACATCAATAATTGCGTTCATGAATTGCTTCTTCTCCTGAGAGCGGTGTATCAACCCCGCTATGGACCGAGAGTGGGCTTGATACGTGTGAATGACAGAGCTTAGAGCTTCCCTGACAGCAGCTGCATTTGGAGACACCATGTACTGCTGGAGAGCAACACTGACAGGGTGCACGGACTCCTGGTGAGCATTGAATTGCTGGTCCCAAAGATAGAATGTGTGTTCCAAGATAATAACAGCAGCTGGTCATAAATAACGAGTAGACTCGTTGCAATGTGGCCTGAATCTCACCAGAACCAAACTGGACAATGTTCTCTAATGTGGATGAGCCAGATTCCTAGCAAACGTTGAGCATGAGAACTATGTGGACAGGCTGCAAGCAATGAGACGTACCAGAGAGCGTAATGTGGACCACATCTCCTTATCTTCGTGTCGGTAAGACTGATGAATTGTGATAGAAAAGTAGAAATGGTTTAGAATCAATCTACTTACGCGCTGGCAGTGTCAACACATTAGCGATATGTTCGGTCAGCGAGGCTCGAGCTCGACAGAGGATCAAGAAACTCACATTCTGTCAAGGGATCACATATGGGTTGAGTCAGCGAGGCTCGAGCTCGACAGAGGATCAAGAAACTCACGTCCTGTCAAGGGATCACAAATGGGTTCGGTCAGCGAGGCTCGAGCTCGACAGAGGATCAAGACACTCACCAACTGTCAAGGGATCACCAATGGGTTGGGTCAGCGAGGCTCGAGCTCGATAGAGGATCAAGACACTCACCCCCTGTCAAGGGATCACAAATGGGTTCGGTCAGCGAGGCTCGAGCTCAACATAGGATCAAAACACTCACCCCCTGTCAAGGGATCACAAATGGGTTGGGTCAGCGAGGCTCGAGCTCGACAGAGGATCAAGAGACTCACGAACTGTCAAGGGATCACAAATGGGTTCGGTCAGCGAGGCTCGAGCTCGACAGAGGATCAAGACACTCACCCCCTGTCAAGGGATCAATGGATCACCATTGGGTTGGGTCAGCGAGGCTCGAGCTCGACAGAGGATCATGACACTCACGAACTGTTAAGGGATCACAAATGGGTTGGGTCAGCGAAGCTCGAGCTCGACATAGGATCAAGACACTCACGCGCTGTCAAGGGAACACAAATGGGTTCGGTCAGCGAGGCTCGAGCTCAACAGAGGATCATGACACTCACGAACTGTCAAGGGATCACAGATGGGTTGGGTCAGCGAGGCTCGAGCTCGACAGAGGATCAAGACACTCACCCCCTGTCAAGGGATCACAAATGGGTTCGGTCAGCGAGGCTCGAGCTCAACATAGGATCAAGACACTCACGTCCTGTCAAGGGATCACAAATGGGTTGGCTCGAGCTCGACAGAGGATCAAGACACTCACCAACTGTCAAGGGATCATCAATGTGTTCGGTCAGCGATGCTCAAGCTCGACAGAGGATCAAGACACTCACGTCCTGTCAAGGGATCACAAATGGGTTGGGTCAGCGAGGCTCGAGCTCGACAGAGCATCAAGACACTCACGTCCTGTCAAGGGATCACAAATGGGTTGGGTCAGCGAGGCTCGAGCTCGACAGAGCATCAAGACACTCACAAACTGTCAAGGGATCACCAATGGGTTGGGTCAGCGAGGCTCGAGCTCGACATAGGATCAGTTCACTCACAAACTGTCAACAGATTAATGATACCTCATGTCAGCATACTAGTGGGGATGGTCAACAGACGTACTCCCTGCAAGCGACCGTCGAACATCAATGAGAGGAATTTTCGAACATTCCTACAACTCACATAAGTCTGTGGAAACCAGGCACCCAATTCATCTACAATCTTACTATCCTGAAATTTCCCGAATATGCGAGCTGAGACTGCTTGCTGCGCAAGTGTCCTCAAGACATTGAGACAATTTCAGATGTCATTTCTCGCCACAGATAAGTGAGGTTTGAGTGGTCACCTTTTGACTGCGTCTCTGATGCACACCTCCAAGTTGGTCCGCTGAGTGGAGACAAACAACTGTTTGAGCATATCATCGTCCAAAGTTTCAGCCGTGTGTTCAATGAGCGGCGTGCAGTCTGCATCATCCTTATCCATATCTAAATGTGCGAGAGGGAATAAACGTGAGTACCCAATTAAATAGACTAATTGACTTACCAGGAAGACATATATGACATTTTGGAGGACGCTGGCTGCCCTTGCCGCTGTACAAAAGCTTTAGTTGTGGCCCGTTGGCAAATGACTCTCTGGCGTGCTGCGGGGCCAGTCCGTCAGCATCTTTCCTCGATACTCCCTTACTCATTAGCTCTGCATGTATATCGTCGTAGAGGGCGTCGAATTTGGTAAACAACACCATTACTGGAACTGAGGATTGCCAATTAATCGATGATACAGGACAACAAACACAAAACGTACTGCTTCCGGTGTCACACTGAGAGAAAAACTTGACTTCCGCTTCTGTGAAAGACCTGCTATCCTCATCCATTGGAATGCAGTACCTATGTTGAAGACGTGAGATAGCGTATGACAGCAACTTTACTAGGACTACCATATAACATGGATTCGATTGGTTAAAGCTTGTTCCTCAGAACGGCTTGCAATAAAAGCCTTCACCTTGTTGAATTCAGATTGTCCTCCTGCCTCAAACCCGCGTGAATCGTGAAAGACGAATCTTGGGTTAGTTCGAAACACCATTTCATTTTCAATATTGTGCAATCCACGCTGAGAACTCATCACAGGACGTTGCTAACCACTACGAGCGCGCCTTACCTCTCTGGATGCCGCCAAAACGGAGGCATCGATCTGATCTCGTCCAATCAATTAAGACTCATCACTATGTGGGATCAAGTACTCAGGCTGCGCACCTGTTTCCCGGCACTGTCATATATTTCTGGGTTGTCCCTTGTCTGGCAAACCCTCTGGAGAATGGTGGTCTTCCCTGCATTCGCTCTTCCTATAATGAGGATTCGAAAGCGGTAGAACTTCTGTCTCAAGCTTGAAGGATCCATGATGAAGGAAGGTAAGAGTGTGTGAACTCTTCGAGCGCCCGAGACAAGCCCGAAATGATTTTTATAAGTTTATCATAACAATGTTCTTCTTTCGATTGCAATCTGGATAGGACGCAAGTACTATGTAGTACTACTAGCTTTACGGTTGCATCTTCCAGTACTCAGTACTCAGTATTCGGCCTTGGTCGGCCCACACGCGATCTTACGGACAGTGTTGTCAAATCTGATGGAAATGAAGCGCCGTCGACTCTGATCAACGTGAGACCTGAGACTTAATACCTGTTTGGGACTTTGCTCGAGGTGAGCGCTAGCTTCTGTTCTCTGCGTTTCGCTGGTTTTGTGCTGTGTGGGGCTTGGTTTTCGTCTGGGTATATGCGTCTGTTTCAATGATACTGATGAGCGGTTTTCTGCAAAGTCGCGGAAAGGAGATTGTGGTGAGTGAAGCTTGAAGGCGAGGCTACGGGTGAGTTTCTCTTTCCTCCGTTTGATTCGTTTTCGCTTATGATTGTTTCCTTCGTGTGTCGATCTTTTCCCTTTATCTCTCGACCTCTTTCCTTCCAATTCCTCTTTCCTTCTGCTCCCCATCCCTCAATCGCTCATTATCATCTCGGTGCAACTAGTGGTCCAAAGTAACATCCACATTTGGCGAGGCAGCATGCCTGGCCACGCTCGGCGAGCATGCAGAAGCGGAGAAGCTGATGGAGCACGCCCAAGGGCTGAGGCAGAGAATCTCGGGGAATAGTATTCCTGTCATGGTGCGTCTCTCGTTTTTATTCCTTGCTTCTTGCATCCTTCCCCCTTTCCTTCCATCCACTCTACCCATCTCCATCTCCACCCCTCCATCCCAACCCAAAACTCAACGTTGACCAAACATACAGAAATTTGTCGCCCGCAAAGCCGCCTCTCCCAATTCAACAAACTTCTCCTCCCAGCCATAGAGCTCACCTACGATTCCACGCAATCGCGCATGCGCCTAGGGAGGCCATTGCAAGGGAGATGATTCCTCCTGTTGGTAGTGCTTTCGTCGCAAGGGAGTGAAGGTGGTAAGGTTGGTGGGGTGGGCAGTGGGAAGGCGAGTGGGGTTAAGAAAGGACAGATAAGAAGCTAGAGTCACAGAGAGGGTATTGGGATGACGTCTGTCTTGCACGGTTTTTGGAGGGCGTGTGTTGGCGGTTTGTAGCTATTCGGTGCGTTTGTGCTTTTTGTGTCGAGCTTTTTTCCGTTGGGATTAGTGTGTTCGGGCATTCGGCTCTTTCTCTCTGGGAGGTCCTGATAACCCCGAGGATCGTTTTCCTGAGGGGTAACAAGCTTCCTGCCCGTCACCTCTTTTCCCAACAATTCTCCTTACACGTTGAATACACTCATTGACGCACATCCATCTAGGACCCAGACGCTGAGCTCGAGACTGACGAAAAAATCAACTTCTCACCAGAGGGTGCACGCTCACACTCGGAGCGTGCGTTCCAGGCTGTCTTTGAGCATGGATCTAACATCGAGTTGGACTATTATGTCGTGTCTTACGCCCGTGAGTGTGTTTTACTCTGTCGTTTGTTGAGAATTTGCCGACTTTTGCTTTTTCGTAGAATTTGAGTACGGAAGGCTGCTAGCGCGATCAGGCGAGGACGCAGTTTGATCTTGCGATGTCTGGAAAGCCGCTTGAGGTGAACGCTGCTGGACGAAAGGTACGTTGACTGACACCCACTCATACACTGCCATCAAGTGTGTTCCCCCGTCGGACCTGGCCATGAGCTTGGCGTTATATTCACGAGTTGAGGATCAGACGTGGTCCCAGCACACATATTTGGAACCCCGAGAAATGTCAAGCATGCCGTTATACGCACTGATATTTCAGACATACCATTATTGTCAATTGTTTCATCGTTGGACCCGACATCCAATTGTGTACCATTATGGACAGTACTATTCCATACCATTTACTGTCCTATTCGGAAGCTATCGCCGTCTCAAAGTCTTCATTTCTTCACACAGACATGGTTACGTTTATTATCCAGATGATCCCCTGTCCTTGCGATAGCCTTGAGCCTTAGTACTTTTATTGACAGACATGGAAATCTTACGACTATGTAGAATACTTGAGCTAGACCTCTCCCTCGAAGATAGCATAGTCTTAACGGTATGAGGACTTTGTACTGCCATCACTGAGTGGATGTAAAGAGAAGAGTGAACTAGTGACGTGTCAGTCACGCGACTTCCGCGTTCATGAACCCTATCCACTGGCAGTGTACTAATTGGGGCAATTTGCTCAGTCTGTGATTCTCATCCTACTACCGCTCTCTTCACAAGACTCACTTGAACTCTGGAGACATGTGGTTGTCTGATGCGCAAAGTAAGTCTACCCAAGCTGTCTGCTTTGATTGCTAAACGAGAATCGTGTATCTCAGAAATTGGCGTGGCCCTCACGACCTTTGGAACACTATTCATGTTCCTAGGCGTCATGATGTTCTTCGATGCTGCTTTGCTAGCACTAGGAAATGTGTGTAACCCAATTTCCTGTCTTCCATTTCCTTACTCAAACCAAGCTCTTGCACAGATGCTCTTCTTGTCTGGTCTCACCTTGATTATTGGCCCTCAAAAGACATTCTACTTCTTCGCACGAAAGCAGAAGCTTCGTGGAACAGCATGCTTCATTGGTGGTATTCTGCTCGTGTTCATGAAGTACGCATTCATTGGAATGATCGTCGAGATATTTGGCTTCTTGAATCTGTTTGGGTACGTGGCGCATTTTCCAAACGAAGAATTAAACCTGAAAGCCAGATGCAGCGACTTCTTCCCTGTGGTTGTGACATTCCTGCGTCAATTGCCCTTCATTGGCAACCTATTGTCGTTGCCATACATTCGACCTGTAAGAGTTCTTTGTTGATATTGCTGAAGGTTCGAGCTAAAATCCGGCAGATCGTAGATCGTATAGCAGGTGCAAGGACGTCGGCTGTGTGACACATCATACAGGCTCGCCCAGTATCAGATACTCATTCGGAATTACAACGGCATTACAAACAATCGTCTCAATACATGTGCATGGGATAATATCTGGGTGGTAGTGAATGCCTTATACTAATTGAGAGGGTCGTGTTATCCTCTTCCTCCATTATAATCGAGCTCTCCCACTTCTCATACGACCACAATCAATTCGTCACTGGATACCCTCTTTTCATCGTTTGAGCGTGCTTTAGCGTCACCGGGGAGCTTGGTTAGACAGCAATCAGCTGCGTGTGTGGCGGAGGGGTCGTGGCGGATGCGGAATGTGAATCCGCCCTTTATCGCCTGGTCGACAACAATACCGCTGAACGGAAGTCAGGACAGTGTGAGCTTGCAAAAACGTTGGATGTTACGCGGCATAAATGGTCACGGCAATGAAGCCTGACATTGGAACAAGATACGAGTGACGGGTGTATGTTTTGTCGGCGAGAGCACCTTGTGCCAGAGGATACCAAGCCCCACCCACAACACCCTGAGCTTAGTGAGACGCCTTGAATTGAGAAATGTCAGCAGACCAGAGGCCTTACCTGAACGATCAGACCGGTGCCCCGCTTGGTTTGGACTCCAAGGTTCTTCGTACCTAGGGTGAATATACACTGGAAGTGCATGAGGAATGAGTTATAGCTCAATAACTAAATGGACGCACGGGATAGCAAATGGACTCGAAGAAAAAGAGACAGAAAAGACACCCGACAGCACGATAACCTGGAAGCTGGGAAACCAGGAGGCAGAACAGCGAACAACAAAACCCGTAGAAGGCTAACAATAAGGCGGGATCGATAAAGTTAAGTATCGCAACACCAATAAACCTGCAAGAGTAACATTTAAGATGGCCATGAGATTAGAGTTGGACTATGGCTCACCGTGATATGGTGAAGGTGATCTGGCAGAACGAGAGGAGCTGACTAGCCTTTGACTGGGTAATACCAACTTTTTGGTCTACGAGAAAGTTGACTGCAAAAGAGGCGACCGTTACTTGTGCGCCGCTGTGCTGTATGTCAAACTCACAGCAGAAGGTCAAGAAAACTAAATGAGCGCACTAGTAGGCAGTCAGGGCAACAAACCCCAAGACACAGTGGTATTGCTTCCACAGAGGACCTGGGCTGTATATTATCCCGACCTCCGAGTCGTCTATCTCGTCAGCCAAAGGGTCATCTATGATTTCAGGTAGGTCGCATAAGCTACTGAAGGTGAGAACTAATCTTCAGTTCTGATATTGCGCGCTTACAAGAACAGGATATGAAGTGCTATGCCGGAGCCAGCGACCGCTAGATAGACCCTAAAGAGATTCTAGTGTGGCTCGATCATATACACTCACGGACAAACCATTGTACGGTTCCAAGACTTGTCGCATTAGCACCAGTGAAAAACCAGCGTGAAGCAATCAAAGGTCCGGCAAAGGTTGCGACAGCTTGAAATCCATGACTGAAGTTCAAACGGGCCGCAGCATACTGAGGTGCCCCAAGCACAGTTATGTAGGAGTTGGCAGCAACCTCGAGTGTTGAAAGACCGCACCCTGGGGACAATCAGTACCACATTCATATAACTCTTCCAATTAAATCACCAGTTACGAATATGCTCCCAACGAACCCTCCATACGACTCGAATTTCGCTGATGGCCAGCAGAATATGGCACCTAAGATAAGGTCAATCGATGCATCTGACTAACGGGGACATCGGTACCAATCGAGTACAAGCCAAGGCCAACGTGGATGCCTTTCTGTAAATTAAAATCAGCTAGTATCTAGTTTGTACATATCCGGATCAGAAGTTACCTTGTATCCCACCCGTCTAATCTGCTTTAATCAGTATTGCTGTGAAAAAACCACTGATATTACTCACAATTACACTAGCACATGGTGCCCATACGAAATAAGCACCCTAATCAGTGGTCAGGAGATCATACCATCCACGAGGATCAGACACTTGCAAAGTATGCCAGCTGTAAAAAAGCACTCTGTAACTTGGTAATACCGAATACGGTCTGGAAGTGTGCGTTGAGCACAGAAAGGAGCTGTCATTGAAGGTTGCAGTCATGCAGAATAATAAGTTTGTTAAGCTCGTACACCGTACGCAAAACCCCCTGCAGTTCAACATCGTTAGTTTGGTTCCAATGAGAAGAAAAATCGCGACACACAGGTGAAACATAGGGACGTCACAAGAGCAAACGCAAAGGACCATTGCTTTCGTTCGAGTTGAGTTCCTGCATTCTGCTCAATTATTCATGTCCAAACATTGGATAAGAGTTACTTACCCGTTGGTCCCACAGGAGGTGCCATGTTTTTAGACTGCGAGGGAAAAAAAGGGCATGTGTCTGTATGCTTGAAAATACTCAGACGCTTATATTGCCGTTCCATTAGAGGCCATGAAATAATTTGAATACATGCAAGCCTGGTGATGCTCTACACAGTCATGAGGCACGGAACTCTGGGAGATACATATCGCCCATATCAAATATCAATCGGGGATAATTGGGGGATAAGACGCGATTGTGGCGCAAATCCCAACCGCATATCAACCTATTCCTCACCTAACGTTAACCAGCTCGACCAACTATTTTTGTGACTTGAAAGTTTCTTCGGTGCGACGACCGCGGTAACCACAGATGTCGATGAGCGTTGAGTTTCGGTTCATGAAGGCCCCTCACAGGTGATGATGTTTATGACCCAGACCGGCTGGGCATGGTAACCTGGCAAACGATCCATCCTCGATGCTGCATGCTGTGACTCTCTACGAGCAATATCATGATGCGAAATACATGTGTGGTCCTGGCACAGTTCTGAACCATAATCCATTGCCTTGTCTGGGTTATCATACCTTGGGCCGCAATGTACACCTCATTTTCGGCCGGTAGTCTGCGTGATTAAGGCTGTTGCCTGCACTTAATCGAGACTGCTAACAAATTTGTCGATCTTGGGTCTCGTAGGCAGATGGAAATGATTGCGCACCCCTTTCATTAAACCGATGAGCTTCTGAAGTTACAAATCGACGTGATGATAAAACAGACAGTTGTGATTCGGTCTTGAGGAAGGGACGCTGGGCCTTTCAGGCCATTGTGCAAAAATGTTGCTCATCCAATGATATTATGAGACGAACTCAAAGGAAGCGCTACGTCTGATAACTTCTCATCGAACAGCGCATCCTTTTAATTCGCGATCATCGCATAATGGTCCTCAAGCTTAATTGCAAGAGAGAGTCCGAGTCGTAACGGTGAAATTTACGCGGTCCTGTGATAAACGATAAACGATTTTCATTGGCTAATAGCTACGCCCATTGCTGACCTAATCAAGTTGTGCATCACGCCAACAACTTTAAGTTACAACCTACTGCAGTCAGTGATACCTACGTCGTAGTCTCCCTCGAAGTTGCCTTGACATCCTCCACAATTATTCATCGACGCGACGCGAGGGAAACTGCTCACTATTGTTTACAACGGGGTGTCAATGACATTTATTCCATATCATATGGTGGAGGTGTGGGGTCACTGCATGACAGTTGCATGTACATGGTGGCACACCTCCATCATCTGCAGAATCCCGCCTTATTCCGCCTGGCACTATGCCGGGCTGCAGCAGCTCTCGCTCGTGCTGAGAGAATCGCAGATCGCACCATTCCTCCTTTTCACGCCAACGAATATCAACGTTTTCATGATTTTAATTGATGATACAGACTTTCCTCTCATTTTCTAGACAAAAGGTTCACGCACATTCAAGCACGAGTGAGCTTAAGCAACTTGTATGTGGCTGTGACATCTACAGTTCCAACTGACTAGCTATCATTTACCTGGATACTCCTCCAGCTCTGTGAACTATCTCCGCAGCGCAGCCCGACCTCCTCGGGATGTGTTCAGCGCAAACCTGTCGTTGCATGTTATCCGTCACTCATCGGCGTATGGCGACTTCAGGTCCTGCAAGTGCACCAGCACCAGTGCGAATGCATCCTGCCATCGAAACCTGATTTAGATGGAGGGAGCACGCAGCGGCATACTATTCGATGTGTACTCCAGCGTTTCGAATGTAATACCTTTACAGGGTACGCTTAAATGGAGCCTTTGACATTCAACAATTTCTTCCCTGCGTCAATAACATTCATCAGCAAGCTCGTGAGGCCATACACTCGGCTGGTACTATCAATGACCCGGTAGTGCAAATCAATTTGCACTCGCACATCACTGCACAACCACAACACGGACAACCTCGACAATCAGTACGACTTGTAGCTGGAAGTCTGTAGAACTACTTACGAAAATCAAATCTGTAATTTTTTGTTCCAATAATGCGCCCTCGAGATAAGTGCAAACACGACATGCATTTCTCTCCCAAAGATTTGCAGCCTGTCACGCGGACCTAATTTCGACACTTGATTTTCTGCAGAAAGCAGAACTATGCCAAGCTTCTTCAAATCACGCTCACGCACTCTTGTATACACAACTGACAGTTCGTTTTTTTTTGTGAGATTAAACCCTTGCTTTGAAAATTTGCATCACCAGACACATTTGTACTACTGGGGGGTCATCGATAGTAAGAGTTGCCTGACAGTCAATTGGACTGGTAAATCGTGGATCGTGCAGCGGGTTCAAGGACATCTATGATGCATATCACACAGACCCGCGTCATTTAAGCAATCATGGTGTGGGCACTTAAACAGCAGCGACATCATAACAATACATGCACATCGAATGATATTTGAGGATGGTAGTGAATAGTTACACTAACTGAGGAGGTCATAGTATACTGCTCTTCCTCTATTGTGAACGTGCTCCTCATTCTCATGCGACCTCGTCACTAGATATCTTCTTTTCACTGCTCGAGCGTCCTTTCGTATCACCAGGGAGCGAGCCGGTCGAAGAGACATCGACGGCTGCGCGATTCAAGTTCTCGGTGAGCTCATCGCGGTTGCGGATTGAGAATCCGTTCTTCTTCGCCTGGTCAACAACAAGACCGCTGTATAGAGGTTAGAACAATGCAAACTTGTGAAAAATGCTGGACCTTACATAGCGTAAATGGTCATGGCGATGTAGCCTGATGCTGGGACAAGATACGAGTGACGGGTGTATGTCTTGTCGGCGAGGGCACCTTGTGCAGGTGGGTACCAAGCCCCTCCTCCGACACCCTGGGTTTAGTGAGAATCTTGAACCAAGCACAACCAGCAGACGAGAGGACCCACCATAACAATAAGACCAGAGCCCCGTTTAGTGTGCACTCCGAGGTTCTTAGTACCTAGGGTGAATATACACTGGAAGTGCATGAGGAATGAGTTGTAACGCAATAACTGAAGGGACGTACGGGATAGCAAATGGACTCGAAGAAAAAGAGGCAGAAGAGACAAGCGACACCACCATACCCAGTAAGCTGGGAGACCAAGAGGCAGAACAGCGAACAACAAAACCCGTAGAAGGATAGTAATAAGGCAGGGTCGATAAAGTTGAGTATCGCTACACCAACAAATCTGTAAGTCGATAAATTGAGAATGGCGACGAAAGTAGAAAACTGCATTATGACACACCGTCCTACGGTGAAGGTGACCTGGCAGAGCGAAAAGAGCTCGCTAGCCTTTGATTGGTTGATACCAACTCCTTGGTCGACGAGGAAGTTGACGGCGAAAGAGGCGACGGTCACTTGTGCACCACTGGACTATATCTTAGGCTCACTGCACAAGGTGGAGAACTAGGCAAACGCACACGTAGGCAGTCTGGGCAACAAACCCAAAGATACAGCGATATTGCTGCCGGAAAGGCCCTTGGGCATCTGTGATGCCAACCTCATCTATCTCTTCAGCCAAAGCATCTTCTGTGATTTCAGGTAGGTCGCAGAAGCTGTTGAAGGTTAGGACTGATATCCAATTATGCAGAGATCGCCCTCACAAAAATAAAATATTAAGTCCTATGCCGAGGCCAGCAACTGCGAGATAGACCCTGATGAAAGTTTAGTACGACTCTAGCGTGAAATTTATCAGACAAACCATTGGACAGTGCCCAGACTGGTCGCATTGGCACCAGTGAAGAACCAGCGCGAAGCGATCAAAGGTCCAGCAAAGGATGCTATACCTTGGAACCCTTGACTGAAGTTCAAACGGGCCGCAGCATATTGAGGCGTTCCAAGGACAGATATGTAGGAGTTGGCAGCGACCTCGAGTGTTGAGAGGCCGCAACCTGGGTATGATATCAGTACGATATTAATATGACGCTTGCGGTTAAATTACCGATTACGAATGTGCTCCCGACGAACCCTCCGTACTTTTCGTATTTCGCGGATGGCCAGAAGAATATGGCGCCTAAGAAATGATCAGTCTGTGTATTTGACAGACGAGGACAACAATACCAAGCGAGTACAAGCCAAGGCCAATATGAATGCCTTTCTGTAAGTGAAATATGTTTGTTATCTAATTTGTGGATCTCCAGATAAATAGTCACCTTATATCCTACTCGTCTCATCTGCTTTAATTAGCATTGCTCTGGAGGAAATATTGATATTACTCACAAATGTGCCTGCGAATGGTGCCCACACGAAATAGGCACCCTAACTCCGAGTGATAAGATTGATCACACTATTACCAATGATGAGACACTTACGAAGTATGCCAGTTGTAAGAGCGTGCTCTGGAGCTTGGTGATACCGAACACGGTCTGGAAGTGTGCGTTGAGCACATCAAGAAGCTGTTATCAAAGGGTTCAATCAGCCAGTAGAATGAATTTGTACAGGAATTTCGTACACCATAGGCAAAACCCCCTGCGATTCGACTTCGTTATTTCGGTTCTAATACTAGCAGAAGATCAATGACTCACAAGTAAAGAATAGGGAAGTCACAAGGGCGAACGCAAAGGCCCATTGCCTTCGTCCGAGTTGAGTACCTACATTCTGATCAATTATCCAGATTCAGACTGAATGAAAAAGAAGCTGCTCACCAGTAGTTCCTGTAGGAGGCGCCATGCAGGAAAGGATGGGTACGCGTCCGTACGGGGCCTGAGAACGGTTGGACGCTTATATTGTAATTCATAATTGCATTGAAGGTCAGCAAATGATTTGAATTCATGCGAGTAGCCATGGGGTTCTATCGGATCACGACTCACCTGGGACTCCCGTCACGGTATCTCCACATCAATCGGGTATTGGGTGTGAGCGGAGCAGTAGGTCTTGTGACCACCCGACCCATGATTGATCCTCTCCCCCCGGACCGACTCTGCGGACAAGCGCGCGCGCGATGAACGGTGATTTGAGCACTCTGGGGTTCGCCGCAGCCACCAATGTGAACCAACGCGTGTGAATGTTGAATGTTTTCCCGTCTGCCATCTGATACTCTGTGCTGCGACGTCGCACTTGTGTTTCATTGTCCTACGTGTCGTACTCACAGAAAAAGTATGATCTAGTATGGAGAGCCCAACTTGAACGTTCTTGAACCCTGGTGACGTTGCGCGGAAGGTCTGAATCCATTTTTCCTTGTGCCTTCGACTCGAACGGTATATATTACTGCTTTGAGCCCCACGTTCCTTGTCCGTCCAATGACGTCGCCATTCTCATTCAGGACCTTTATGGAAGATTGATCAATAATGCTCTATGGCTTTGACTAATATGGAATGGAGGCGTCGGTGACCTGGCAAAACAATCAGCCAACCACTCGACACCGACATCCGCAGAAAAATGTCGACAAGTTCCTTCGCACAATGGTTGCTCGTGGGTCAAGTTGCTTTCTCTCAAAGGCCCAATCTGAGTTTGTCATGATCGCAGGTTCACTACGCGTCGACCAAGAGCCAATCACCGAACGAAGGCCGTAGACGATGGAAACTTCGGGTTGCACAAAAGTTCTGGGCATCAGGCGAGAAAACGTTGTCATATGTAAGTACTATATATCACGTTCATGTACATTCCATAAGATCCCTGACATTCACATGTATCTCAGACCGCTGCAGTCGGTACTGCTGAGAATATCGATCTGGACTTCTATATCGATAGCGATCCTTTTGATGAAGCGTCCACTGACAGACAAGAACTCGGAATCCTTGTGCGGACCGATTTTTCCGACGAGGCTGCTTGGTTGGCTTTCTGCAGTCGATTGGAAGAAGGAGAGAAAGAGTTTGCAGCTAGTCCTTCGGAAGAAGATGACGCGACAATGGACAATCAACCTGAGCCCAACAGAGCAAGCCATGATACCGCTGCAATTACGACAGAAGAAGATGACAGCGAGGAATCTGATGACGAGCTCAGTGCAATCTTTTACATCGTCAATCCATCTCTACCCCAGGAATGTGCTCTGCTAACCAACATCTCAAATCTTGCTGCCCTTCGCTTCTTTAATGATGTGGATGTCCGACAAGCACCCACTCCTCCACCAGATACCAAACGCATCAGGCCTCCAAACAGATTGGTCGACTCAGGCGGCTGGCAGGAGGTGTATGCCGGAAAAAACCTGTGGATATACGATGCAAAGTCCAACAGTGATCAATGCGTGCGGGTAGTCAGTCAGACCAGCTCAGACATGTATGGGACAGCAACGTGAGATCGTTGAAATCTACTTGGTCACCCGCGCTGATTTATCATTGCAGGGCCGATAGCTGGAGAGCTAGAGTATCTCACTTATGCGAACTGCAAGTAAACCTGTCTTCTGGCGCGATGAAGATCGACTTTGGAGGCCTAGATCGCTGGGATTACGCAGAACGCCAACGAAACATGCAAGAAGCTGAGGCTCCAGTGGTTTTGTGATCATTCATTATGTCATAGATTTTACCAGGAATTGAGAGATGCAATGTTTTTTTTTTGAGATGCGAGCAGCCAGCTACAGTAAAAACGATGCATAGGGTAAACCTCAAGGCGTCCTCCACCATGCAACTTCCCCAGAGGATTTTAAGAAGTGACAGTCCAGACACGAACAAGGTTGTCAGTGAATCCACCGAACAACGTCTGCCCGTCCGCTGACCATGCAATCGACACACACTCAGGTTCCCGTGAGTTGGGGCCAACATCAGTGAAGCTGGGCTTGAGCTCGTCAACGATCGACCTAGAGATTACACAGGTTAGGAAGACGTCATAACTAAATCATGGGAGTACGTACTTGCTCTCGAGGTCAAAGATTTTGACGCAGCTGGCGGTGGCAGCGCATAGCCAGTAGCGGTTGGGCGAGAACACAAGAGCGTTGACAATGTCACCAGCCTCGAGCGAGTAAAGGTGCTTGCCCTCGTTCAGGTCCCAAAGCATGGTAATGCCGTCCTTGCCACCTGATGCAGCAAGGGAACCGTCAGGAGAGACAGAGATGGTGTTGATGTAGCCAGTGTGGCCGTAGTGGTTGGTCTTCAATTTGAACTTGGACAGTTCCCAGACCTATCAAGATAGTATTAGCAAGTTTGCTAGGACATTGCTGCGAGCGCTTCAGAGATCTTGGTAGAAAATATTATTTCATCGGGTGGTCACCCTCTGAAGGTCCCCAATCAAAATATAACATCACTAGACCTAGGACGGCCAATGATATGAATCTTATTGAAAGCTCACCTTGACAACCTTGTCCCATCCACACGAGACAATAACAGGGTTCATGACGTTGGGGCTGAAACGCACGCATGACACCCTAAACCGTATGGTCAGGGTTATGATATTCTTCCAAGCATGATTCCCACGCACCACTCAGTGTGACCATCATCCTTGATATCATACTTGCACTCTCCAAGGGTGTTCCAAAGTTTGATGGTTCTGTCACGCGAACCAGAGACAATCTGCCTGTTGTCTGCGCTGAAGCTGACGGACAGGACATCGGAGGTGTGGCCCACGAATCTGCGAGTGGTCTGGCCAGTGTTCAGGTCCCAGAGACGCAGGGTGTGGTCCCAAGAGGAGGAAAGGGCGAATTGTCCATCGGAAGAGATGACAATGTCAGAGACGAAGTGGTTGTGGCCATGGAGAATTCGTTTGGGGTAGCCATACGTGTCCTCGTCGCGAGTGAGCTGCCAGACGATGATGGTCTTGTCTGAGCCCTAAAGTCAACTAATGAAAGTTATGCAAAAATGTCAGTCATACCTCGGGAAGCCGTCAAAATCATGTCTGGGTTCTCCGAGGAGGTGGCGATGGCAGTAACCCATCCCTTGTGGCCGGGGAGGGAGCCAAGGAAACGCAAGGATTCAGCCATTAGTCGTAAGTCGCTTGATATCGAGAGGGACGCGGGTAAGTCTCGTCTATGATTTGACGTGACGTGACAGCCACCGTGACTCTAGCTGCATAGTTCTCCGGCATATGCCGCTTTATGAAGCCCCAGCGTTTCCAACATTTCTTCCCAACCATGCACGCGCTGACTACGGATTTTAAGAGGTTTTAAGCAAAGGTGAGTCTGCGTGACTGCACATCAATTTTATGATGCTATTCTTTCAATATTTGCTACTTCAGAGGCTAGTTCCGATGAGACCAATTTTCCACCAAGATCTCTGATTCATTTTCCATCGTTGCAAGCATTTCGCAAGCACTTGGCTGACTTTGTTCTGTTAATAGGCATGGATCCCATGGGAAAATTTTGCGCGCTATGTACACAATTAGGCTGGTGTAGCAATCGTAATGATCTCTATGAAACTCAGTCGGTTCCTTGAGACTCGAATGGAGACTGAGCTACTGCGACCAGCAAGCACCTATTGTTGAGCGGAAAGCAACCCCCGCATTACAGACATCTGAATGTTCTTTGATGTGATCATTGCCTAGGGTTTTAGGACCATCTGCCATTAAACCGCAACCATCAACTTCAAGAATTGTTTCAATGTTTTACTATCGTTGGGCCAGAGTTTCAAAATCTGACGACCGCATTTTCATATCTCGTTTGCTACACATTAAGACAATAATTATACGGTTCTGTAGCTATGTGTGTCACTGGAGAGCTTCAGTTGACACAAGAACGAAAAGTGTTCAAATGATGCTGCCAGAGGGATGCATGACGCAAAATGTTAGAAACAGTAGAGAGGGTGTCACACTTTGTCACAGCGTCGGTTTTGCAAAACTGAACGTCCCGTCATATATCATACTAGTTGTTGCGTGTGCTATGAGGCATTTTGCAACTCTCTATTGCAATTGTTTTGCAACTCTGGCCCAATGATAGTATGACATATCTATCTTCGTGCAGTGTTCGGCTAGGTTCCCATCAGGCACTGTCGTAATATCTTCCGGTCAACGTTTGAGGGTCTCAATAAAATGATAAAGACTCAGAGTGCTTTCTGATCTGATTGATAAAGGGCCCATTTCCTGCTTGCGTTGATTTTATCTATAGGAAGTTCTGATAAACCATGGACGGGAGGACCAGGACGCCAGTCATCAGTGAGTGGTCGGCCGAACATGCTGTATGCTTCCTCTTGCCTAACCATGGCTCGTAGTCGACACGGACCCCGGCGTGGACGACACTCTAGCTATGTATGTATTCAACTCCCTCTGATCCGCGAATTCGGTTCTAAATCCAGCATCGACAGCCTATTTGCTATCGCATCCCCCGAACTTGAAATCATCGCATATATCGTTTCATTCGGTTCGTAAATGCGTCGAGATGGGATGAAATGGAAACCTTATCGATATCTGATCACAGGGAATACCGATGTTCACGCTGCTTAGTTGAGGCGCTGCTCATTCGCAGTCTGAAATGAAACTGAACGTGACTCCGCAGTGATAATATCTACAGGCTCTATCAGGCGATAGGGCGCCACATTGCGCTGCATCCTGAAGATGCAGCGAGGTTTCCAAATTTCTCGCCTACGGTCCCGCCCCTCCTTGCAGTTGGACCAGAAGGACCTTTAGAAGGTGGACGGCACTTTGCCCAATACTTCCACGGCCGGTAAGTGTCTCTTCAAACTTGGGAGATGGAGATGGGTGCTCATCGTCCTGTAGTGATGGCTTATCGAATATAAGCGAACGCCACCCTGACTTGAATGTCGACCTCGAAAATTCATCTTTCTGCGACAACTTCCAACCAGTGAAAGAATCAGGCGTCGAGGTTGCCTTGCGTTTACTAGAGTCGCGCCCCGACAGAAGCATCACATATGTGGTTCTGGGCCCTATGACCAACCTGGCACAACTTGTGCGCGAACATCGTCAAACAGTTGTGGATAAAATTGGTCGAGTCATTTGTATGGCAGGAGCCTTAGATGTTCCCGGAAACACTACTTCAGTCGCGGAATGTAAGCAGTTAAAAACGGATTCGCATTGAAAAATTCCACTAACCTTGTTTGCGTGTGCAGTCAATGTTTATGCCGATCCTTATGCGGCAAGAGAACTTTTGATACCCACAGATATCACCAGCGGTCTCCCGCTTGACAGAGTGATAATCGCTCCCTTGGATATCACTAGTAACCACGAACTCCCCTTCCCTCACTATTGCCAGAAGGTAGACCCTGCGTTTAAGTCTACAGCCCAACCATCGAACGCAGATGGTAAATCACCGCTTGTCCACTTCACCAGCTCTGTCTTCGAACGCACGAGGGAAATCATGCTCGAGTGGGGAAAGGACGCTATGGAGTTGCACGATATTGTTGCCATCTGGTGCGCCATCGAGAACCCACCTGAAATCAATCCAGTTCGCGGTCTTCCTGGAATGTCAACTGGATGGGTTGTAGCTCAGCGGACATTCGATATCGAACGGTGCGATCCTGCGCGTTCCCGATGGTTTATTGCTCACCTGACAATTTTTGTATGAAGGACCGGAGAGATTACTCGTGGCATGTTTGTCACTGACCGAAGAGAGGAGACTACTACATATGCACCAGGTGCCAATCGGGCAGAGGTTCAGGCTCAGCTAGACCTGCGTCATCTCGGGCACGGGCTCCTGGAGTCTACCGCGCTGCCTGCGAGAGTAAACATAGAAGACCCGACATTGTTAGCGGGAGGTCAAGGTGAGGTTGGACTCGAGCAGAAAGAACGGAAAGGCGTAGCATGCCTCGTAGAAACACCAGGGCCAAGTGTTCTCCTTCAACTATTGACACGTAGGGTCTGGGGCATCCAATGATTTTCATCTACAAATGTAAATCGATACATCCTACGAACAGAAACTCTGATCATCACGATTGTACCATCTACATACACATCAAACAAATTATTAGGGGCTGTAATTCGATTCGTCGGGAGCAGAACTCTAGGTATGAGGGCAATCATATAAGACTGGTGCAGGTAGTGTTCTTCTGTCGGACAACGACATAAGTCCAAGGTGCCAGTAAAAAATCTGAAGCGCCTCCATGATCAGCATGCATCGGTGCATTGGTAAGCAATAACCTTGTCTCGTATACGTAAACGATATACTGCAAATTGCAAGGGATCCCATCTACTTATAGCTGACAGATCTCGTTCACGCTGTGATTCACCCTTGAAACAGTCACACCGTTGATCGTATTCACAGCCATGCAGTAAACATGGTCAGAGGACGCAAGAAAGATTTGACTGTTCCTCCTACGCGACAGCTTACCCAGCAGCGCGATTACCGAGCGCGCAAGGCCCAATATCTTTCCGAACTCGAGCAACGGTGTTTAAAGGCTGAGGAGGAGAATGTACGATTACGGCGAGAGCTAGAGCTAGCTCGAGCCACCATGCCCTTTGGCGGCTCACCACAAGAAGTTGTATGTTGCACTCCAGTTCTTGGTTGAGACACGTAGCCGAACGTATGTTCTTCATCTAGGTACAAATATCATCCGAGCTACTGCGTGACCTAGTCAACGCTTCTGCATCGATCGCGCGCTTCCAACAGATCACCGCAACTCGTGCGCCAGTCCCTCCGGATGACAATTCCTTCCATCATCGGCAACCGCCAGAATCTTCATATTCGCCACCTGCAGGTCCTAGCAGCCTTCGCCCATCGTCTCCTCCTCGTCAGGCACCCTCACATCCGGTTACAATTACACCCTCACATGTTCTTCAAGAACTCCGAGCCCGCCCGGCACCACCAAATCGGATGCTGGCTCCTATTGATGGACAACGGGTAGATCGAACCCCTGCGTCCTCGTCGGCCAGTTCGCAAGCCCCAGTAACGAGCCCATCTCCAAGCCCTGGTTCTGAGGAGTGTTGCGGGGGTTATCTTGATTGTAGTGAACTCATAGAAGAGAAAGATGACGAGGAAGATGAAGAAGAGGGTGAGGAAGACGAGGATTTTGGAATGTATCATTTCGCGCATACTTCGAAAGTTCGCTTCAGCCAAGGTGATTTTCGAAAAGATGCTGCACGCTAAATGTTTGGAACAGCAGTCATAATTTTGTATGGTGTAGCTATCCTAGGTCACTGCCGCATCGACTCCATCGCTGCAAGCAGCAAGTTTCAATATCCAACAACCCTACGTTTCTACATGCGGTAGCGGGTGTTCTAATAATAATCATATCTCATGTATTGCTTTTGCGGGCTTATCATGATTCATGACAATGCAATATGCGATGGCGTACGAGGTAGTTCCGCTGGAAGATTTCTCCACGGTGTTCGGGTCGACTACAGGTTAGTTGTCAGGGATCATAGTGGTCCCTTCTTCAACTGAGCTGGTTTTCGGCAGAATTATCGAGTGCTTCTATTGGAGGACAGGTAGTGCATGTTTCTGACGAATTCTTTGCTGAGGCATACCAACTCCTGCTGGTCGAGGTCAGTGCTAAACTCCGTTACTTGACGCCTTGATTCAATACAGAAGTTTACAGCCGCCCGTAAACCTTGCTAAGCAGTATGGACCGAACGGGGAGCTATACAGCGGATGGGAAACGCGTCGACACAACCCAACGTATGACTGGTATGTGCGTTTTGTGCAATTAACGTACTTATTCTGTAAGACGTCCTTCTGCGTAGGTGTACCATTAGACTGGGAACAACAGGGATAATCACTGGTTTCGACATTGATACAACTCACTTCAATGGTATGCCCTGGTTACTTATCGCTCGATAAAGGACCATATTTTGACGGTATCGCTACATAGGCAATGAGGCACCAGAGGCCTCCGTTGACGCCGCGTATGAATTTCCAAACGAAGGAACAACGGTACGTGTGATGCGCATGGCATCATCAGTAACGAAGTTGATTGTCACACCAGTGGAAGGAAATCCTTCCTAAAGTACGCCTAGGACCATCATGCCGACATCTTTACAAGATACCTGCGACAGGACAGGCTACTTATGTCAGACTTAGAATTTATCCAGATGGGGGGATTGTAAGTGCGCGCTTACAGGGTTGATTTCAATACTTCATACTTTGCAGGCTCGCTTTCGCGTTTATGGACATGTCATGCCCGTGTTTCCTGCAAGTCCTGTGGAACCCTTTGACCTTGCTCATATCTTTGCGGGTGGTAAGGTCGTCGCTACATCCGACGACCACTTTGGGTCAAGCTCAAATCTTCTTCTTCCGGGGCGAGGTTAGTTGACACGGGAACTTTGAACGAGTGACGACCTTTCTCACAGACCACAGGGAAAGATATGGGAGATGGATGGGAAACCAAAAGAAGCTATACAAAGGATCACCAGGACTGGGTCACTATCAAACTGTATGTTTCTGCCCGCTTCCAGACTTTTAAATGACATTCACTCTTTCAGGGGTGCTCCAGGATACTTGTCAACAGCAGTCATCGATACCATCCATTTCAAAGGCAACTTTCCAGAGAGTTGTGATATCCGGGGCATATACAGTCAAGACACCGTGCCAGATGCAAATGGCGATGGCTGGAATATGATTTTATCGCCCGTTGCGCTGGGCCCCCACCGCATGCATTTCTTTCAATTGAGTAGCCCCTGCGAGCAGTACACGCATGTCAAGGTATCGATTTACCCTGATGGCGGCATCAAACGGATCAGGATCATGGGCACAATGGCGGCGAAATCTGAGGCAGACATGACGGAAATAACGACGCAGGAAGATGGAAAACACCAGACCACTCCGATTATTGTCGAGGAGGGCTGGGAGATTATAGAAGTTGAAAATATTGACTAGCTACAAGCCTACTACGCAAAGGAGCGTATCAATAACTCTATACCAGATGCTTGAATAACATGGGAATGGATCCCAATTGCATTGTTACGCGTCCCTGAATCCTGATGCATCGAACAGCCAAAATGGGATGGACGTTGGACGCCTTGGGCCGCATACATAGTGCGATGTGCTGCACTACCTGGCGGCTCGCGATCCAGCTTGCTCCAAATTATGCAAATAATGATTTCTATAGGTGTAATGGACGTCGGTGCTATTGATTTTTATAGACTCATGCTTAACCCGGGCTAGATAGTTTTTAGGAGGCACATCGGGCGAGCTTTTGCCAGATCTCAGCTAGTAACTGGAGGAACAAGCTCAAGCCTGAAGACTTCGTTCATTGGACAACCGTTGGTACTAAATATAGTTGTTGTTATTAGCACGTAGAGGGTAAGTAACATATTGCACCCATTCGTGCATCTTAAGGATATCAGGGACTTACATACAACACGGATGTCATAAAATAATATGCTACAAGACTGGTATGTGTGGACGACGATCTGCGGGAAGGTGAAGGCTACATGTGAGTGATTTCGTACGGGTGTCGGACGAGTTCGTCGTATAGATCTGCAGGGAGATCGCGAACGAGAGTTACTGCAATGCCTATGACGGGAATTGCCTCGAGGGGCGGGAATGTTCGCAGTAAGCGCATGGGACTAGAATAAAGATAAGCATGGAGGTCAACATCACAAAAATATTGAAGCAACCTTGATGATGCCATCACTTCATCTCGCATGAGAAGCAGCTGGGCAATGACACATAGTACGTTGAGATGGACGCCAAATGCAAGGAGGAAATCCCATAGTTGGAGCACTTGGTCAAGAGGTGGCGTGCATGCACAGAGTGTCAGAACAGCTATGAAGTAATGGTCGTCAACATATCGAATGATGCTTATGACTGAAGGACAGACATGGAAACGCATAGATTTCGGCCGAAAGGTTTTTCATTCGCAAATATGCAAACAGGTCGGGATCCACAATCTTCAAACACCTGTCGAGTAGCTATAGAAAGTTTAGCGACACAGCGTGGAAACCACAAAACTACTACCTTGAGACCACGGTGCACCCCTTCTAGCGTGGGTTGAACATATAGTGGGCAGCACTCCTCGATAAACTTAGCGAAGCAGAAGAAAGCTTCCAATTCCGAAGGCATGGTGTATAGAAACGGCGCAGCCAATACATTCATCCCTTGGACGTACGTAAAGCCGAGTTGTTGAGTTTCTTGCCGGTCTACATGTAGGGTCAATCACTTATCTGTTGCCTCACGGTGAGGCAATTGAACTCACCATGATTACGCCACACAAAAGCATCCAACAGACGGACGAGCATATCTTCTCGTACTCGTTCCTTGAAACCTCGATCTGTTGCCAGGGTCCTACGGAATGCATTGGCACAACGATTGGTGTCGGGCGCTTGTAACGTACCTGAATGTATCATTCCTTATTTTCTCTCGAACCTCACAAGGACCACGAGCAACGTATTCTAAAAATGTGCCCGCTGAGACGTCATCAACACGCAGCAGAATTTTCCATATCCGAGGACGGAGAGTAGGGTCCTACAACGAAATCATTTGACATAGCTCAAGTTCGAGGGTCTTGGAAACATACAGCCACTGAAGGTATGCCCTCAACGAGGATCATCCGCCGCAATTTCTTTGTTCCTTCATCCACATCACCAGATCGTTTTGATTTTGGCGACCTGGGCTGATTGAGGATCTTATTGAATGAATGTGCAGTCGTTGCCGATGATTGTGGCGAGGAGGAGGCCATGTTGATTTTTGTTTACTAGTTCACGTGCTCATCCCTAAGTCGCGACTGCCACACAAGCGCCCACTGACACGCTTAACCCTCCGCGTCCATCTTGCTTCGTTCTCAGATGGACGTAACCTTCATCAATTCCGGCGCTCTAAGCCGTGCTCACTACTCTTTGGTGCGCAAGGTGGAGTCTGCGCAGTCCCCGCAAGCAGCAGACCAGATCCTCCTGAGCGAAATTGATGGCATCAGACGTCACTTCACTGTTGGAGGTGTATCGCTTGTGCGTAGGCAGCGGCATATTCGAAATGCATTTGAGTAGACGTGACATGCAGAAAGAATGCAGAGAGAAGCTAATAATGCTTCTCTACTGTTCCATGAACTTGACACAGGTTAATCCTGGCGAGCTTGCTTTTGCTTTGCCACAAGCTGTCAATCTGGCAGAGATGGGGCAGACGTTGCGTGACAAACAACTCGGTATGGTGTTCATCATTCTTGAATCTGAATCTACATCAATAATCAACAAACAGGCTTTATCTTTTGCACTGAAGTTATGCCACCGAATCATGAGTTGCAGCTCATGTTGGTCAATACCATTCGGAAGGTCAATGCACTCGTGTTCATGCAGATATTGGTCTGACTTTGCTCAAGGATCTGGAAAGCTCGTCCACAGCTCGTGTTTGCCTAGCTCTCAGTGTCTTAATTCAGACGCAGAATGATGATGTGATACCCGCAGTACAGTCACATTTGCAGGCCCTATTCATGCACAAGTCGTCAGTTCCAGACATATGTCATCGTTAATGCACGCTGAATCTGCGATCAGGATATCAGTTCGCCGTAGAGCCTATTTGGCGTATCATTCACTGCTACACAGCGACCCTTCACGATTGACGCCACTAGAGGATGCAGTGGTCCTCCGCATCCAACGTACGCTGCCTTCTATAGACTCTTGCGCAATGGCAGCAGCCATAAAAGTGCGTCTATTTAAATGAGACGCAAACAAAAATAACATTGTACATTTAGCTTAATCAAGTTAATGCCATCAATGATGAAGTCAACGCTCTCCTACCAATTGTATGGCAAAGATTCAATCGTCAGCCTCGATCTCTTACTTTATTGGTACTTCGAGCCCTTCGGAAGGCCAAGTACGTGTCAAACGCTTAACATTACATTCTTATCTGACGGGTGAGCAGACTAACAGTGCCAAATGTTGGTATTGTGCTTGAGATTATTAAGCGCACATCTGGTCCCCTAGTGCGAGGTAACTCGAGTAATTGCGCTGCAGAAATGTTGCTGATTGTGCCCGATAGTGCTGCTGCGGGAGGCTTTTATTGTCTTATCGTCCGTATCAGCAGAGGTCATCCAAGAGTGCCAAATGCAGCAGTCTCTGTCGCCAGTGGCTGACATCCGCCACCTATTAACGTCAAAGGATCCTAACGATCAGTATCTTTTTGTTTCTTGCTTAGATTGCCTGAGCCCCACTCTTTGGGCAGGGACCCTGCCAGGAACGACGGCAATTTTAGACGAGTGGGAGGTTCAAGAGGTGATGAAACTTCTTAATTCACACGACAGGCTAGTCCGAAAGATAGTGAGCTCCAACAATTTGTGTCTAGTGGCACTGCTGTACTGATATAGAACGCTCCCAGACCCTGAGGGTCCTACAAGCGGTCGATCCTTCCCTTGTTGGGGCGTACAGCACGCAGTTGCTACAGAACTTTCCTATTGGGTCAACTTTATCTGACAAGAACGAATATGTTTCTCGTCTGCTTGATGTTGGCGAACTTCAACATGGAAATGACGGGGAACAGTATGCTAGTTACCTCAAGGACCTGTTTGCCGTTGCAGAGGGAGACACTCAGGGTCGTACGGAGGACATGTCTGTCCTCGAAGTGGGCGTTGAAATGGTTCTTACCCACATCCGGGACTGTATGTGCAATAATTTCTTGACCTGTTTCACGCTGACCGCCCCAGTTGATATTTCATCTCGTGTATCGTGCGTTACCGTGTTGGCAGTTTCTGTCACAGAGTTAGATGCTCGGATTGGGCCGACTCTAATGGTGGTTATTTCCGCTTTGGTTTGTGAATACTGCGGAAAGATAGCAACATCGCCCCTAGCACTACTCCAAGGCATGGCTAGCAGACTTGTCTCATATGGTGGTGTGTACAGGATATACTTTGAACCTATGAAGAAGCTCAAGAAGCAGCAGTTACAGTTCAGGACGCATGCCTGCTATCTATGCTTCGGATGTCTGCAGAGTGTGACCATATTCCCCACACTGTCTCGAAGCTTGTCACTGAAATATCCCAGTTCTCCGGGAAGCGTATTCGCAACGTGAGTCCCGCTGCTGTTTGGATGAAACCTGTGATTAACCTGCCCATCAGCGGTGTAGCATTTTCTTGACATACTGTGATCAAAGGAATGTGCTCGCTGGTATCATTGCTCAAGCATCCTCGTCTTCGGTAAGCCAGCAGTTATTCCTGCCCTCTACTGAGAACTAACCCTAAATCAGCTTCCAGACTTTTCGGCTGCTCTAATCACGTATCACTCAAGTCCCGCGGGCACTTCAACGCCTGTTCGTTTGAAGTCTCCTTCGGCCTTGACCGGACTTTCGCCAAGTTCGCCTCCTCGAGCTAGCTTATCTCCCAGCAAGTTACGTTATGAAGCATATGCTACTCCCCAGGCTGTGCCTAGTCTAAGGCATCTATTAAGCCCGCGCAGAAACGATAGCTCCCTGCCAAGTCTGGGAAGCAGGACACGAAGTTCCTCGCGTGCGAGTGAACATGAGATGTCATTGGCTGAACTCTCCAGGACCATCACCCCAGGAGAGTTGACTATTGTTGCCGCGCGGGGTCCACTACAAGAGATCTCCGAGGTGAGAATTTCTCGACTACATGCACCCTCTTATATGTCTGACTACGAAAAGGTTGACCTTGTTCGGAATTCGAATGCACCACAGAACGAAGATTTAGTACGTCTTGGGAGCAATTTGAACGTACTTGTTGCGGCAGCTGACCGTGCTGTCAGGGATCTCGTGTTGATCTCATATCGCTCGATACTGCCTTCAGTGAAGTGCCCGTGACATTTCTGACTCCCGAGCCCAACTTCGAAGAAGTTTGGGATGCCATGGAAAACTCCAATCTCCGAGGCTGGTGCGAGTCGTCGATGGACAACGTAGTGAGACTTCTACAGAGTTTACAGCACTCCATGAGAGTCATCGCAGTTGATCAGCCACCATTTGAAGGTATGTTTACCCTCACTACCGGTCTGCATAGAACCATGCTGAGATCTATATTTGTCGCGGCCCTTCTGACAGGGGAGCTTAAAGTCTTGGTTGTTGCCTCATCTGATTCGCCCTTAGCGGAGCCTAAACAAGGTGCTGCCCTTCGTCTCCGGGAGAGTGAAGAAGAAAGCTGCCTGTGGCGTCTCCGGTGCGATGATCTTGAACTGCGAACGACTATCAAGAGACTCTTGGAGGACATATGAGATGCCCCTGCTGTTTATCATGCGGCGTTTGCGATCAGATTATTGTCGGGTTATCAGATATGTTTGTCGAGAAGTCACCGGTGAGAAATAAACTTTTGAGGTCGGGAATTTTAAGGCAAGCTAAGGTAGATCATCAAGTGATTGAGAGATTTCAGGCGGCCGCGTCTTTTAAAAGCAAGTCGCCCGGAACAATGTACCGCGCTTAGAGATTGCGATATTCGTGCTGCTCGGAAGACATGACATCGTGCGAGTCGGCACATAGGTCTCTAATACCGAAATCATTCCGATAGGACAGCCGCCTCCATGATGCCGTCATGAATCCGTGGGAAAATTGTGGTTCCATATAATCCGGACCTTCTCCCAAAAATTTGACCAGGAATCTTTTCCTACAAGCTGTAGACCGATAATCCCTTAGGAGTGCTTTTTGTACCAATCTATGGTTTTGTATCCACCATTGGAGTACGTTCTTCACATTCTGGCATGTTGTTGGCTGACCTTTTAATGTCCATCGCTCGCAGCACGCCACGCCTGACTCACACCATCCTCTTCGGACCACTTGCAGTCTCCCTTGTCGACACAGACCGTCCTCCTTAGAGCTGGTCAAAGTCTTTTTGCCTTCACAGATCTCTATCTTCTTCATTCCTACCAGCTAATGGGATAAATTCACCCTGATCCTTGGAACCAGACTGTCTGCTCTGGAACCACAATAACCTCTGCACAAAGAACCAAGGTCAGACACGAAAGAGCAGTTCACGTTACATATTATTTTTACATACCCTACCGTTACACTACCGGCAATGATCTCATTCAAGCACCCAAATCTTTTCCGCCCAAGCAGTCGTCCCACTTCACCAAATCCCTCCTCCCGGCCTGAATCTGCCATGGTTGCGGAGAGGACATCCCGACCTCTCAACAAGCTCTCTTTCAGTGGCTTCAAACGATCGTCCTCTTCTATGTCTGTCTCCTCCCCCCTTCCAACTCTGCTTGTACAAGACGGGTCTTACCTACAGGCCCTCAGTCTTAAGCTTAGCGAGGCGGTCTCGAAGGCACTGGTGCAGCCGACCGGTCCAGTGCCTGTTGGCGAGTTGGTTGGAGGCAGACGTCCAATTCCTGTAGGTCGTGGGCAAGCGCTCGGACTTCTAATTGCCTCGTACGTGCTTTCTTTTCATCCATGACACCGTTCTTGGCTAAATTGTTGTAACCAGTGAGCTCAAGGCATGTCAAAGCAATCCCCATTTGCACAAGGCTATCATTCGTTCACTTCACAGGCCACTGTCTGTCCTACTCAGCAATCTCTCAGCACTCCTTCTTCCCCTCCTTTCCTCGCCAGCATTTCTTGCCCCGCCTGCTCCTACTGTACAGGCCCCCAATCCCAATGCAACTCAGCTCCACGCACTCGCAGCTGCTGGCTTTGCAGGAGAGCTTCTCGAAAGTTTCGATGAAATGGGTCTGGGCTTGGACAATGATGCAAGAGGAGACGGTTTGAAGTCGATTCGCGAAGGCCTTGTTTCCCTCATGGGACGCGTTGTGAACCCACTCGTGGCGGGCATCAAGTCTGAACTGATGCCTCTCCTGGAGTCTCTGGAGATTGCTGTTGCTGTAACTGTGCCTAAGACAGGTACCAAAGCTATTCTTCACCCATCTATCGTATCATTACAGACACTTATGCCAGTGTACGCACGTGCATTGGCACGGTACACGACAACCCTTCCTTCCCAGACGACCTTGGCGACTTTCTTGATCTCCATCATTTGGAGAGCGCTCGTGTCTCTAGCTAATCGTCCCCAGGTGGCGGCTTCGCCGCCGACTTCACCGCCGGGTTCGCCACAGCTCACACCCTCAAACAAGAGGCAGCGCGCTGCTTATGGTATTTCTTCACCGACGACTCCTCCCCCTACACGGTTTACTCTTAAGCTGCCGCCTTCACGACCATCGTCTCCTCCCGGCATCTCGGTTATTCCTTCAGCGGCTGCTGACGCACGTGCGCTCCACGAGCTCATGGTTCTCCTTCCACGTCCTCCTGCACATTGTGATGCGACACGTGTGGCTCGCGAAGCTGTTGATGAAGCGCTTTCTGACTTAACGGCTCTGGCCACACTGCTTGAAAGCATAGACAACCCGTTGTTCAAGGTCGGCAAGTCAAATGAGGCAATCCTGGAGGAGATCGAGAAGATCACTGCCAATTTGCCAACCCTCATCGCGTTGCCTGTGCTCCTACGGGGTTACTCCAAGGTCACAATTGAGTCGCCATCCATTCCGCCAATATCCTCTATCATCAATGTTTCAGAGGATGAATATAGAAAGAGCTGCCTATCAGGCTTTGGGCGAGCCGAACAATGTAGCAGCATCATCGGTCATAGCGTGCTTGACTTCATGTGTGTCCAAAGTGGCTTACAGAGCCTTGTTGCGCAGTGGCTAGCTAACCGAGTTGATGCCGTTGACCATTGACTGCATGGACCCAATGATCTCCATAGGTACACCTACTTCATATCTTGTGAGTTAGTATCCGTCCTTATGTATCGATCCATCACATCGCCTTTGGGTTATTCTTATATAGAGTGGTTATCTAGATTGTTCCATTTTGTTCAATTCTACGTTCGTCAGTGCGGCCTCCCTCTAATCTATATGATTCTTGTGGTTATGACAAGTTCACGATCTCTACGCTTTATGACGTCCTACTTGAGAAGCTTCAGCAGCGAGACCGCAAATCTTTCATTTTCGACTGTTTCGACATGCAATCAGATTATCAGTCCACTTACGTTTGCCGCGTTAAATGGAGCATCCATGCTCAGATTGCAATGCCACATCATGATCTTATGATTTTCACTATGCCGGACCGAAGAACACCAATTCTCCTATAGTAAACCAAGATCCTGTACGTGGTATACCTGGCGCCCTGTCACGATCAATGGTGCGCTTCTGAAAATAAGTAGGTCGGGACTAGACTGGTTGACAGCTTTACTTGTGTTGCATATATTGTATCTATTGTTTCATCACAAAAACTCATGCTCGCGATGTTAAGAACGATTATAACGTACAAACTGAGCGAACGCTTTTATTCATACAATTCCACCTCAACTACTGCTCCACTACCACTGGCAGTTATGCATTGTCCATCAAAATCTTGTTCAATCCATCACGGCGCAGGCAGTTCTCAAACTTGAAGCTCTTCGCAAGTTCATCGAGTTCGGCCTCGCTCTTTCCACGGAAGTGTTCTGCCCATTCCTTCACAAGATACTCGGTTACCAGTAAATTGCGGGACAAGCGACCAACTCGATCGGAGAGTTTCCAGACCGGGAATGGATAGAGGTCCTGGTTCTCCTGCGGTATCTCTTTTGTGATATGATCGATAAGCGGTTGGTATATGTGCTGTACTTGAGCGGTATCAGCGCCCCAAGCATCCACAGCAAGGCGATGTTTCTTCGCCAAAAAGTCCTTCAGTAGGGTCATATACGGCGTTCCTTGTGAAACGTAGACCATGCCCTGGAATCCAATATCCTTGTACAACCAGATTGACCAACTCAGACGATCCTAATGTCATGTCAGCCAACAGCAAGAGCGTTTTCAGTGCTGATGTACCTGATTGTAGATGGTCAACTGGTCTTTGAGGACCTTGTACCGTCTTTCATTGATGACGTCTGTAGCAAGTCCATCATATTCCTTCCTGGCATAGACTGGGCCCCATTCGCCGTTCCAAACACAAAGATCGTGCTGGTCCATCCATTCCCTCTTCCTCTCGTAGCTTTTCTTCATTCTCCGTCGTTGTTCGTCGGAGCTGACATAGTCCTCTGGACTAGCAGGGAAGCCGTATCCACTGTAGTCTGTGGTCTGTATAAGATCAAATTACGGAAACAGTGGTTCAGAGCATACCATGGATGGAGTACGCGGTATTGTACCACTTCTTGTGCATGTCACCGAAATGTGAAAAGTCACTTGCGAACGTGTTTCCATCGAAGAAAATGACATGCTCTGTGTCAATCGAGCGGATGGCGTCGTGGACTTGATCGTAGAACTTGATTACAGCGGAATGGGTGGGGTCGGTGGGTTCGTTGAGTGGGTTATAGCCAGCAATCCACTTGTTGTTGACATAATGCTTAGCAAGTTCTTTCCACAACCAGATTGTGCGATCCTGGAAGTCTTTGTGTATCCAGAAATTCGCAACGTGCGAGCCAGCATCACAATGCCAGTCGGTGTTCTGACCGCCTGCGGCAGCGTGCAGATCGAGGATGGTGTAAATACCTTGTTGGGCACAGAGGTCAATCACGCGGTCAAGGTGCTTGAAGCCCTCTTCTTTCAGGACGCGGGGGTTCATGTCATCTGATGGACACCATAAGTCCGACGAATTACGAAAACCAAAGGCACGTATGTACCTTCGAAGTGCCTGTAGTTGAAAGGTAGCCGAATGCAGTTGAGTCCGAGGCTCTTGAAGAACTTGGCGTCTTCCTCCTGGAAGAAGTACTCCAGGAACTAGGCTTACCCATCAGAAACAGGAACAATCATACGTATGAAGACCAGCTCACCTTGTCGAAGAAAAATTCTGATTTAATAGGCCCTACGATCTCAGCGAGAGCAGCATGAATCTGGAATTCACAGCCAGGGTATCCGGAGATGAAGTTCTCCATGCTATAAGAGGGAGAAAAATCATGATGCGTGAATGAACTCGGAAATCAGAACAACTCACTTCATCCACCCTCCGAGACCTGCACCCCTGAGGATGACCTCTTTGCTATCCCCGTCGACGATCTTTGTTCCAGAAACTTTAAGATAAGACATGGCGAGGGAGGTGTGCAGCGCTACATGGTCTTCCTTACAACCTTAAGTACTGGAGCAATGGAGCCAAGGTTAAGTTAGCGGACCGCTGTAAGAGTCCACGAGACAACAGTCTGGCTGTCCATGCTCCGAGGTTTACCCGTGTTTCATCGATAGCAGACTTAACGTTCAAACCTGTAAGCTTAAGTTGGGTTTGAGTGGACTCGTGACTGGAGAAGCAGTGGGTCAGTGTCCTTGCCTTTCGTAGTCAACTGCCGATCACTCTCATCTGTTTCAAATCTACATCCCAACAGGATAATCCTTCTGAGTGAGCATCAATGTAACAAGTGAATCAGGTTTAGATAGTATGTAACAATGTGATTGACCTATTTGCGCGAGTCCGCGAGCGGTGGCTACATTGGGGACAAGATGAGGGTATCGTGGTATTCTGTGAGAGGCACCGTAATTGCACAATGAATAATGAAACATATCGACCAGGAAATAGATACCATTATAAGTCTCTCTTTATGGACGTAAACAACAGGGTCATGATGAGTCGTGAATCGAAAGTGCTCGGACAACTTGTGCCCCTGAAGACGAGGAATATCGTCCAGACAACCCGAAGTTTCTCAGCGGTCCGAGAATTGAGGTCCATTGTTCTTATTCGATATCCTAGCGCGCGGATCCTCTTGCACTCCTGGGATCTCGCCATTCTTTGCGAGGTGGTGCCAATAGAGTACATCCCCCGCCTTCAACCTCCGAACAGGTGAGTCTCGGGATTCAACAGGCACACTTGACTCGAGCGCGGGCTCCCGATTACCTGGTTGTGACGAGGACCGCATCGGCTGTGATGCCGATGCATGAGGGGATGGAGACCGAGGAAGAGGAAGAGGACGTGGAGAGCGCCGGGGAGAAGCTGGTGTTGCGAAGAAGTATGGATCGGGTGAGGATGGGAGTGGTGTTGCGCCTAGGTCCCCATATTCCGAGATAAGTGTGGGAATAGATTCGGAAGACGAATGGGACAAGGTAGGGGATGGGGAAGGCTGGGAAGGGAATGGGTGTAAAATACGCCGATAGCCAGCGGGACCATCGACGGAAGACAGCGCAGAATAAGCGGACGTCAAAGGAGGAGGGGAGATAGGTGCTGTGAATTCTATGGGGATAACCCCTGGTTCGTCAGGGATATGATATCGTTCCGATGCGATTATTTCACTAGAATGGAAGACGAAGCGATGGCCATTGGTCGCGCGATTAGTCGCCGTAATTGACGACGTACACCGAGAACACTGATAAAACATGTCAACACAATCAGAGCTTCACACAGTTCTCACACCCAGAATCTTACTGGAATCACGATCATATAGCCGACGGCTGTACCACAAGTATGACAGCAGAGAGTCTGAGTCAGGCATTCGCACGTCCGAGGGGGGGAAGCATTAGTTGATGGACGGCATGGCGGTGGGCGAAGAGCGTCCGGATTTGACGTGTATGCAGAACAGTTTATTGGAAGGGCATCGGTGGAAAAAAGAGAGACGTTAGGTCTGAGCAACAAAACAGCCTGGAAAACAGATTTTGGGGTTATCAACTGGCTCTCACATGACAAAAGAATCGAAAATTTATTGAGGTCTAAATTTAACTCACCTTCATACCGCGATTGGTGAGAAATGTGCCACAAGATTTACAGTCCAGTATCCACACTTTATGAGCGAGTTGAGCGGGCGGGAGAGATGGGGGCGGATAAGAGTTATGTTGGACCATTGACATTGACACATGTGTTTGCCAGGATCCGGCGGGGGCCTGTTGGGGCACTGCAAAATAACTGAACATGGGGGGTAATGGGTGTGTATTCTGTGCTTGTGTTGAGATCTGCTGGCCAGCGAGCGGATAAACACGTTCAAAGTATGGAGGCTGGGAGTATGGGGGAATGAAAAGGCTTGTGCTAGTGTTATCATAAAGAGCGTGGACGTCGTTGGGTGATCTCTGTCCTCTCGGAGCTGGCGGGCGCATGTAATAATTGATAGAATCACGATTTGCCGCGTGTCCCGAACCCTGACCGGGTTCAACTGACTGTGAAGGATCTGCGAGAGCGAGAGCGGGCATTGGTCAGGCTCAGCGACGGAAGGGATGATGAGGAAAGTGAAAGGTCAGTGTACTAGATGGGTGGGGGAGAAAGGAGCGAAAAATGTGCGCCTGAGAGCAGCTACATCTTATAATCCCATTTCCAGACGAAAGAAGAATACGATGCCAACAGCTTGTCAATAAATGCCAAGTACTGTATTCCTCCTCTTCCGGATTACGTAACCTCATCCCGTTCATTTGCCGGACCGCCGGCAACTGCAAGTATCCTCTGCACATCCTCCATGAACTCAAATATCGCCATTTTAACTCAGTCACATAGAGTTATCGCAGCAAAAAAGCGCGACAAACGAAATCAGATCAAGGAAATTGTATTCGATGACGATGCACGAAGGTACGCATGGTACAGATCCGCAAATGCAGGACTTCACACATGGTCCTCACTAGAGAGTTCCTCACTGGATTTCACAAGCGGAAGGTGGCAAAGAAAGAGGAGGCTATAAAGAAGGCGAAGCTAAGGGAAAAGCAGGAAAGACTAGACACGCGACGTGAGGTGTGTCGGTGTCCAGCCTGTCATTTAGCCAATTCCAGAAGTTTAATCGTTTTAACCAGCATCGGCGCGCCTTAGCGGAGCGAGCGGCACAGAATGCTGCGGAGGTTGAGAAGGCATACGGTGCCACCATAGGTGATCAATCACCGTGTGTGTTGTGCTGCGGATCGTTGACATTTAACAGATGGTGAGGATGATGAGTACGAGGGGCTGGGCTCCTTGGAGGATGAAAGGGAGCGGGAGGTAAACGGAGAGTATGAAGGCGAGGAACAACTTGCTACTGTGACAGTGGTCGAAGATTTTGATCCTGCCGACTTCTTACATGGCCCACCCATGGCCGGCTCCGCACCTACTGATCGGTTGGACATCCCTTCCCCCACGCCCCTGAAGCCAAAAGGGAAGGAGAAAGCCCAAAATGATACTTTGAAGCCAAAGCGCAAGGTAAAGAAAAATGAGAAGACGAAGAGTGTCAGGTATCAGACGAAGGCGGCACGCTTGGCGGAACGCTCTAAGCAGCGGGCGCGACGCACAGAGAAGGCAGAACGGGCCGGAGGAAAATCTTCGAGGAAGGGAAAACGCAGATGATTTCAGGTTATTCCCTTGTCAATCGTGTATTTTCTCATTCTACACTGCTTGTAGTACATTGCATTCATTTTCGACAGACAGACTTCGCATGCATGATGTTTCTGTCATATGTTCGGAGCAAGTTCGGAGGGGTTGCTAGTTTGAATGCCGAAACCTCCGGTATCTCGGCCGTCCTGGCCGGACGTTTATGAGTTGACCGACACGTTGGCCAAACGCTACTCAAATTGTCCTGCAAGCTGCAAGGCTCGTCATAAACTACATCCATTCGAGGGCTCTAGAGGAGCAGCTGGCTGCACTATGAATTCCCTCTACACCCATGGCGTCCGGCAAACAAATTCGCTCACTGCTGACCTCGAGCGGCTGCGCAATGGAGACAACTCAGCATCCCTCCTAGGTCTGTTGAATTACCTGCTGACTTTCGAAGGGAAGGGGCTTGGGTGATGGGCAAGAACTCACGGACTCATCTCGTTAGGACAGATATCTGCCTCACTCGCTGCGATGCATAGAACCATTGAGGATTATGATTCAATGGCCAAGAGGGAAATAATAAAGGCGAAGCAGGAGAAAGGGCAAATGTGCGTGACACGCTTTAAAGGCATATATTGAATGGACTTATTTCTATCGTCGTTGCAGGCGTGTGCAGAAATTCCGCTCTGACTATGCTGAATTGAAGGGTCAGTTCGAACTAATCAAAACTGAGGCATGTCCAGCCATTTTGTATTCAGAATGCAGGTCTCACATGCAAGTATAGAGAGCTGCAGCACAGCGAAACGAACTTCTAGGTGGTTCGTCAAGCATGCTATCTCCTTCATCAGACACACGACGACGATTCACGCCGACCGCTGCTGCCTTGAACGGTGGAACATCGCCATCACAACACTCCGAGTCACCTTTCCGAACGCAAACACCACTACCGGGCTCAACACTTCGTGAAAGTCACGCATTACATGAGCATTCATTTATTCAGAATACGGAGACAAGGTTGGATGAGTTCCTTGCCCAAGGGCGAGAAGTGTTGGACAACCTGGTGGATCAACGGAATGTTCTCAAGGGGACGCAGAGACGACTCTTGGATGCTGCAAATACAATGGGTCTCAGTCGGGACGTTATAGGGTGGATCGAGAGAAGAAGGTAAGCGGAGTACTCTCGATTTTCGATCAAGCTGATGTCTTGTAGCACGCAGGATATGTACATCTTCTTTGGCGGCGGAGTGATCACGTTTTTCTGTTTCTGGTTGATATGGCATTACTTAGGCTAACTAATTCTGGACTTGCATATGTTGCCTGTATACGTACCCCTACGTACTCTTCGACGTCTTCGTCTAGTTCGCAATATTCACGCTTGTAACGTGTCGTGTCAGGAGTCGGAACTTGCCGGACCGAAACTGTATGGTGTGAGCCGCTTCCCATAACGCCAACCGAACGCGACATCGGACGAACGTTCAACGAAGTTCTGGTACCTTTTGTTGCTGTGATGGCCTTAGCCGGCCCTAGCGAGCCACACGACTATACAGAGGGCGCGTCAGCCATCGACATTAACGATGCTGTCACCCGTTCGCGACGCCATTCATTATATGGCGGGGACAGTGGTCAAGGCGCCATGTTTGACGGACCGGGACAGGAATCCATACCTACAAGCATGTCAAGGATGTCCTATACAGAGCATGGAATGGAAGGGAGACGAAGAAGCAGGGAGTGGTCCAGGGGCCGGAGGAAGAGTGAGGAGTCAGTTGGACGTACAAGTCGGAGAATGAGCACAGATGGTGAAATTTCGCAGGCGACGGAGGAGGCGAGGTCTGGTAGTGAAGAAGAAGCAGAAGAGGACGATGAAGGCACCAGCCACAGAGGGCGTAGACGCAGGGGATCCTTATCACCCGCCCACAACCGGTCCTCTGTGTTCGAGAACATTGCTAACTTGTTCAGCCGTGGTGCAGGGGAGCGCAGGCCTTCACTTTCACGACGTTCATCTGCGTCTTCGACTCGAAAATCAAAATCACGACGAAGGTCCTCAGACGCAGGGTCAGGATATGCTCTTGCAGACGAAGTGAACGAGCGATGGGGATACTCATCTGGAGAGGAAGATGACGAGACAGAGTCCGACGAGTCGCATCCGTTGAACCCTTTCCACAGTGAAATAGACTATGGGTCATACCCTCCATCTCCAAGTGCAGGCTCACACCTCCCTCTATTCGCCGCTGATCCAATTTTTGGCGACGAGGTGCGCATAGACATAGACGTGCCTCAAGAACCGCTAAACCCTCCACCTCCTGGGCCGCCAAGCAGACAAACCATATATGTACCAGAGGAAGACAATACCTTCCGTTTCGTGGGCTATGAAGTTATTATTTGGCGGCAGTGGCTCTGGCGAGTGTGCTGTGTTGCAACGTTGGGTATTGTGGGTCTCTTGGGCCACTGGTTCCCTCGTGTATGGCTACGGTGCGTTGTACAAGAGAAGGCTTTTAGAGATATTAAGCATGGTTATGTTGTCGTCGAGGTGCGCCATGCCATAAACTTCTTGGAGCACCTTTAAGTTATCTGCCGTCAGTCTGCACACAGAGACATCTCATTGTTTCCAGTCAAGCGCCTAGTATATCCATACGCGCGATCGACGGTTTTCCCTGTCCCTCCTGCGGAAGCGGATGGACGACTACAGCTGTTGGCACGCGGCGATAGACAAGAAATTCTTGGGGACCTCCATGTCGTTGATTATAGATACTCACGTTTTGCACTTGACGTTCAGACTGGATTGTTCGGCATGATAAGGTGAGATGATTACGTTGCGCCTTCGTTTTTGCTGAGCGTCAAGCAGGGATTGGCGTGATCCAACATGGACGGGTCTGCAGTCCATTCAGAACGGGCTTTCGCAGTTTGTTAGGCATCAACGCTTAGTCTTATTTGGACCGAACATTGTTGATATTGAAGGCAAATCAACGATATCCCTCCTGGTTGATGAGGTACGTCCAATATTCATAGATCAATGGCCTCCCCTCACCGTACGGTAGATAATCCACCCATTCTACGTGTTTCAAGTGGCCAGCATCATCCTTTGGTCGTTAGACGACTACTATTACTATGCGTTCTGCATTGCGCTGATTTCTACATTGAGTGTCGTGACAACCCTTATTGATACTAAGAAGGTGAGAAAACACACGCCTGAGTATGTCACGAAAGATCCTTACGCTCTCCTAGACTATCAAGCGCATGCGGGAGATGTCCCGCTTCTCCTGTGAAGTTATGGTTTATACAGACGGTGGCTGTATGCAAAATTTCCCCGTCTTGTGCTCCAGCTCACGATCATGCAGGGGTTGAGCGTGACTCCACCGACCTCGTACCAGGAGATATAGTAAACCTCACTGAACTACGTGCATCTCTGTTCCCTGCAGACATGCTTCTTCTCTCTGGCGACGCGATTGTGAACGAAAGCATGCTGACTGGCGAGAGTGTACCTGTTTCGAAAAATGCAGCCAAGGACGATGATATTGCTCGTTGGCGGGACCTCAAGGACGCTCAGGGTGAGCTTGCCAAGAGCTTTGTTCATGCAGGGACAAGAGTTGTTCGCATCCGTGGTGCTCTGGCAAGTGATGGGACCACAGGACAACCCGCTCTCGGGTTGGTTGTCAGAACAGGTAGGTCTTCTGCATTGAGTGGAGATTATGTGTTCATGGATAACAGGGTTCAACACGACCAAGGGTGCACTTGTCAGGTCCATGTTGTTCCCAAAACCGATTGGATTCAAGTTTTACCGTGATTCAATTCGTTTCATTGGTGTTCTGGCATGTATTGCTACCCTTGGGTTCTGTGCCAGCGCTGTGCAGTTTGTCCGACTCGGAGTACGTTATCGTGGTTTACTTATGCAATTGTCGCTTACATGGACACAGATCAAATGGCCTGTTATTCTGGTTCGTGCTCTGGACTTGATAACGATTGTGGTTCCACCCGCTCTTCCGGCGACCCTCTCGATCGGGACGAATTTTGCCATCGGACGTCTTCGCAAACTTGGAATCTTTTGCATCTCGCCCACGCGTGTCAATGTCGGAGGAAAAGTCAACGTATGCTGCTTTGACAAGACAGGCACACTCACAGAAGATGGACTGGACATCCTCGGCGTGCGCTCCCTCGACCGCAACGTACACCGCTTTGGTGAGCTCATAGACAACGTCCACGATCTACCTTCTATCCACGACCGCACGAGCTTCCTTCACGCACTCGCGACGTGCCATTCCTTGAAGATGGTAGGCGGCGACATTATTGGTGATCCACTGGACGTCAAGATGTTCGAGTTTACCAAGTGGACTCTTGAGGAGGGATTGGTCGCGGGGACAGGCATCATCAAAGGAAGAAGTGGCAGCGAACGGCCTGCTGCGCTTGTGCAGACTGTTGTGCGACCACCTGGGAGTGCCCAGTTCCGCCTGGAAGATGCTCTTAAGACGGGGGCGAAGGTACACCATGATATGAAGCAATGCACAGCACGCTAACTGTTACATCTCAGCATGCACACTTCCTTGAACTTGGCGTGATCCGCACCTTTGAATTCGTCTCAAGTCTGCGGCGGATGAGTGTCGTGGTCAAAAGGCTCAGGAGTACCAGTATGGAGATCTACGTTAAAGGAGCTCCAGAGGTCATGGTGGATATTTGCGAGAGGGACTCTTGTCAGCTTCCCATCTTCCTTGAAATTTCAGGAGCTGATTATTCTGCAGTTCCACAGGATTACGATGACCTGCTATCGTACTATACAAGGCGTGGGTACCGTGTTATTGCAATGGCAGGTAAAGCTATCGAAGGTTTATCATGGCTGAAGGCTCAAAAGATGAAGCGGTTAGACATCTTTTTTCACTTTGGCTTCATAGGTGCTAATGATTTTACAGGGAGCAAGCGGAGTCGAATCTTCGTTTCCTTGGACTAATCATATTTGAGAATAAGTTGAAGCCGGGGACGACTCCTGCCATCCAAACCCTCCGGGCAGCTCATCTGGCATGTAGGATGATTACTGGAGACAACCCACTGACTGCTGTTAGTGTCGCACGAGAGTGCAGCTTGGTAAGCCAAGCTGCACATGTCTTCGCTCCTGTGTTCGTCCACGGTGAGTAGTCAATGTTGTCACTTTGTACTCTTGCGAGACTTCTTTCAATCCCAGGGAATGTTAATACGCCCATGTCGAAACTGGAGTGGTCCTCCATGGATGATCCCTCTTGGAAACTGGACGACTACAGCCTCAAACCATTACCTCCGCCTCCACATCTTACCGCAGCAGAGCATGAGGTCGAGTACCAGGACTGTGCGTTGGTTGTGACAGGTGATGTATTCAGATGGATGATCAACCACGGCCCTCTTGAAACTGTGCAGCGGGTGAGGCCATTTGGTTGAGTGTCACAGTTTATGAACTGATTTTTGCCCTCAGATGCTTGTCAAGACCCAGATCTTTGCTCGAATGTCGCCCGATGAAAAGAATGAGGTTGTCGAAAGGCTGCAAACTCTGGGTTATACCGTGCTAATGTGTGGAGACGGCGCGAATGACTGTGCAGCCCTCAAGGCCGCAGACGTTGGCATTTCGCTGTCCGAGGCAGAGGCGTCTGTAGCGGCCCCCTTCACCAGCAGGACACCTGACATCAGTTGTGTCATCGAGGTCATCAAAGAGGGAAGGGCTGCTTTGGTCACCAGCTTTTCGTGTTTCAAATACATGTAATAAAGCTCCCTCTACACTTCTGCGAACCTACTGATATTTTTCAAGGGCGCTGTATTCCATGATCCAGTTCACGACGGTCACTCTATTATACTCTTTCGCATCGTCCCTAGGGGATTTCCAGGTACTTACCTGACAAACCAATTTGCTCCTGCTGAACGCATTTCTTTAGTTCCTGTATATTGACCTCTTCATAATCATTCCGATTGCCGTTTCCAGTGAGTTCGGCGGAGATTTTTCACTTGAGGCAGTCCTGATTGGACTTAGTGGGGAGGACTCTCCCATATCCGCGGATATATCCCAAGCGCCCCACCGCTAGCCTGGTATCGAAGAAGGTCCTCGCCAGCTTGTTCGGCCAGATAATAATCACGAGCGGTGTTCAAATCTGGACGTTCCTCTGGGTTAGGCGACAAGATTGGTCAGTAGAGTGTTTTATTACACTGCCTGAGCCAACTTACCTGAGTTTGTCCGCAACAAGGTACCGTCCACCTGATGAAGACCCTTATGGCAATGGAGCCCATCTCAAAGCCACCAACTTTGAGAACTCAACGCTGTTTTTAGTATCTTGTTTCCAGTATATTCTTGTCGCAGCAGTGTTTAGCATTGGTCCTCCTTACCGCAAGTCGATGTGGACAAACGGTCTGTGTTTCACTGTAACAATCACTGCGCAGTGCTAATTTGATGCTGCTGCATAGGATGGCTGATGGCATCAGTCACTGGTTTATCGCTCCTGAATTTGCTAGTATTGTTACAACCTCCGAAGCCCATTAGGCTGATTCTCGAGTTGATGCCACTCCCGTTCTCTGGAAGAGTCTGGCTAGCGATATTTGCGATCACCAATGTGGTTGTTTCACTTGCTTTCGAGCAATGGGCCACCCAGTTCATCTCACAGGTGATTGGCGTTTTGATGAACCTGCATTCGGAGAAGAAAAGATATCGTGAGGGGAAGGCGTACAAGGCTGTGGAAGGTGGAATGCAACGTTAGAGTATAAATACCTGTGCGGAAATATATCATCATGATACTGTTGCCAGTGAAACGGGGCGCTGTCCGGGAGGAATTTCCTATTTAGTCGGACCAGTAGAAGGAGGTATTTTCAGGACACCTTCGGTTCCATTGTCTCTGCCCTCAACGCCCTGGTGGCATCATCTCATACTCCCTTCAACGCCGTCTTCTCTCTGGATTCGCCGAGAAACTAAGAGCAGGCCTCTTCATTCGTTTAATTTGAGATACCAAGCCCTTCAGCTACAATGTTCTTCAAGCTTGCACTCTTCACCTTGTTTTCGCTAGGCTTTGCTAATGCAATTCCATCTGGTGGAAACGCCGCTATCGCTCGTCGCCAAGCAGCAACTTCCTCCCTCATTGCTGTCCCTCCCACAGTCACTACAACGATGTCCATCCAAACGTGAGCCAAAGCCAGTCTTCTTACAATAGATGTCGGGCTAATCTTCGCAGTGCAAATGGTCCAATGAATGAGATCTGTGTCCTCACATTCACCCCTGTTGGCAACCAAATACAGGAGGTTCAGAATTGCACCATGTCGATGGGCGGGAGTGTGGTATCGAGCTTGATTTTCAATCCATCCTCTACAGCCAGTATTGCGTCTACTTCAACCGTGAGTCAACTATTCCTTGGTGGCCGTTTTATTTACGATCCACGGAATTCATTTCTAGAGCGCTTCTATATCTGCGACCCCTACCGTTCAAGCTGCATTCTCCATGCCTGGGAGGTCGTTACAGGTGTTGCCGGTGGGACTTGGAGTGTTTGGAAGCATTACGGGTATCACCATCATCATCGTAGCCTTGGTTACTCTCGAGCGTGTTCGTTATCGCAGGGTAAGTCCCCCGTACACTATGTGCAACTGTTTACTGATTGATTATCCTATAGGTCTTCAGGGAACGTAGACTGGCCGAACAGGGTGCTATGATGGGTTACACAGCCAACTCGATAGAGTACAAGGTCTAGGGTAATGCGGATCGACAAATCAATTATCAGTCACTTCAAGTTTGTTTGGGCATTCCGTTGATCGGCTACATGTTTCAAAGACACTCCTCGCCAAATGCTATCGGCGTGCCTTGCTGTGCCCGGAATAATAGTAGTGCATCATCACTGTAATCCCTGGCGGAATTTCAGGCTGGCTCGGTTGTAACTTCACGCAAGAGCTCGAAAGGCACTGTACCGCAATGGGTTATAAATTGCTACTATGGAGACACAATATGACTAGAATTTGTGAGAACCAAAACGTTCTCCGATCCTATTTCACTAGTGAGACGAGAGCAGTGCTGAGGAAGGGCTCCGACGAAATATCGAGCGAACCTCGCATACCGATAAGTAGCACACTGCGTCTCGATCTTAGCTGTCCGTCGCTGAGGAATGAGAGGATCTCCTAGAGGATCCGCTTGAGAAACGACCAAGATCGCCGTCTCGATGAAGTCCAGTATTCATGGTCTGTACACAACTTAGACAACATATGTCAGTGCCAAGTAACGCTTGAGTTTCTCAGTTGACGAGGTCTGTAAACGTCCTCCCGTGTTTAACATGACAACGGCCAAGGAAAACAATACAGTTCGGGGAGAATGTAGCCGTCGCGAGACACTGCATTCTTCCCGAATAGTAATGTTCTCTGTAAATACGAAGGGAGTCAAGGCGCGACATAGTCTGGGAACGTGGGAATGCGTGTGACTAAGCTGAGGGAGGTACTGTACAGTTACTTCGAGTTTTGAACTTTAATCTTTAGCCACCTCAGGGAACAGCGACCAACCTCCTTACCTTCGCCATGGCCCCCAAGCTCGTCCGTCTGCTCTCATACTTTACACCCGTAATGCAGTTAATGACCATCATCTTAGGACCCCAATGAAATCAAAATCATCTACCTCCGGGCAACAGGGGGTGAAGTTGGTGCATCGTCAGCACTTGCCCCAAAAATCGGTCCTCTCGGTCTGGTGTGTGTCTGCAGTCTGGTAGAAAATAATTATATAGAATTAAAGCTTGGAACAGTCACCCAAAAAGGTCGGAGAAGATATTGCCAAAGCTACCTCTGCATGGAAGGGTCTACGCGTGACTGTCCAGCTTACCATCCAGAATCGGCAAGCAGCAGTCTCCGTTGTTCCTTCCGCTTCCTCCCTCGTCATCCGGGCGCTCAAGGGTGAGCAGTTCTGTCCCTACTTAATTCCCCTCTCATATCGCTTGTTATAGAGCCTCCCCGTGACCGGAAGAAGGAGAAGAACATCAAGCACTCGGGCAATGTTACTCTCGACGAGATTTTCGAAATCGCCCGAACGATGAGATCCAAGTCACTAGCAAAGGACTTGGCTGGCGGCGCGAAGGAGATTCTCGGCACGGCCCAGAGTATTGGCTGCACAGTAGATGGCCAGCCCCCACACGATGTCATCGATGGCATCAACTCCGGGGAGATTGAGGTGCCAGATGAGTAAAAGACTGTCGAACCCGAGTCTTTTTATACTGCCCGCCATGTATTTTTTTCGACACTACTGCATACATGCATACATTCAAACGCTCATATGCCCTTCCCATGCATTGCTTTGGGGACAGGATTTTGAAAGTGGTGACGTGGTATTGATATGAAGGTAGAGCTGCATAAAGACGGCAAAGCAGACGATAATTTATTCATCCTTGTACTCTCAACTCAATTGTCCTTTCAAGTGGGAATTGGAACCATTCGCCGGTGGCTGTGCATGTCTTTTGTAGCGCCCAGACGAATAGTCCGATAAGGATGCAGGGAACAAAAGCTCGCCATGATACATCATTATTGCCGTGCGGAGTACTACGTCGTGTTCGACTCAATTGTTCAAGAGATTGGCACATAGCCGATCAGGTGAATTTTGTCTGCCTATTCGTGCCGCGACCCCTGTGCTGAAAGCGAACTGACTGAGGTTGTGTCAATTGGTTTTCCTGTAGCGTGTTCATGACATGAACAGCTGTGCAATCAGTAAGGTTGCGTCCTGCCCTATGACACTATGGGGATTGAAGCTGAAGCGCTGAAGGGCTATACGGTCTTTGCTGTTGCGCCGTGGCCGGATTTGAGCCAAGTTGGCCACATATCAAAGATTGTGCCTGTCCCCACTTGAATATAGGGTCCCACCCATCCCGCATTCCGCTTGGGCATCTACATTCGAACAAGATACAACAGTTTAACGCTGTCGAGTCGTGTAGTAAGATAAAAACGGCGAGTACATAATTCCTTCAGCAAGTCCACCTCCCGTACTCATCACCATCAAGATCCTTCAAAATGGCGACAGACACAGCTCGGCCCATCATTCCAAGCACCACATCTGTGCGGGTGTTTGTTGACGGTCACCGCGTGATCGAACTCGCAGTTTTACATTCTGGGCAAGGATGTGTACCAGTTGAGTTCCGCGATCGCAGCAACATCAAGTTACGGTCATTCTGTAAAGCTGTTCGTGATGCGGGGTATCGCTAGGCGTGGAACGCATGCTGCATCGACAACGTAGAGCTTCAAAATCGCTCAACTCCATGTTTGTCTGGTACCACCACTCTGTACTTACCATTGTCTGTCCGATGTTCCGCCTTCGTCCAAGTCTGAGGCACTGGCACGGGCAAACGGTGTTTGGAGGTCTGGACCCGCAGGAAGACATCGTATGCTCATTGTTCGGGGTCTTCGACGCCAAGCTACCAGTTATTTACGGCGAGAAGAAGCAGCACGCTCGCGGGCAGCTTCTGCAGGAGATATTAATATGATATTATCGCCCTGGACTGGGTCAGAAAATACTCTGCCAGCTGACGTCACTTTGTACACTCCCAGTTTCGCGCACCGCCGCCTCTTACTTTTCTGCATCAGGTTTTCTGTCGCTCAAGCTAAAAGGAGGTCTAGTCGAGACAAGGAGACCCTTACGTATAGCGTCAAGGCCTGAGGCAGGCTTCGCGACTTCCTTATCACCACCTGATTCAGCTTTTACCGTCAAAGCCCACTCGGTACAAATTCTTGCTTGTCTGTCCGGGGAATCGTTATCTCCTCGAGCGTAACGCAGAGCGAGGGACGTTGTCCGCGCCCAGCTCTCCGCCAGAGGATTCGTTCAGCGGGTCTGATGCAGAAAATAAGCCAGTTGATTTGGAGTCTCACTCGCAAGCGTTGCGATTGATCATTCGTCTCGGACAATCTTTGGGCGTACTTTTGCTGATGCAACAGCAGGGTGGAGAATACAAGAGAATCGCGTCGGATTGTGCACAAGTGAGAAACATGGCTCTGTGCACACTATGATGGACGTCAGGACACTGGAGATATTGTAGCTGTGCATTTGGAAGGACAGAGATTTTAATTCGTACCTTGATCTACCTGCCATTTCATCGTCATATCGTATGCTCTATCACACCAAGAAAACGATTTTGTATTAGATGAGAATAATGTAGCTAGATGGCTATGCACTGATGAGAGTGCGAGCGCGATATTAGCGTGAAGAGTTGAAATCCACCGTGAACAGCCCGCGTTCACATGTTTTCCGTCAGTCGACTGGCCATATACTGCGCATCAACCGAGTGCAGCAGTTTAACAAACCGTTTCCAAGTCTTCTCTGTAGGAGCAGCCGTACTGTCAATCTCATTCATGACATGCGGATCCTGATACCTCCGCCCATACTTCCCGTAATGACCGACAAGAGTGAGAACCTTCCGACACTCTTTTCCCCATTCGGGAGTGAGGTTCAGTGCACGCCAAACATGCCGCTACGTAACAGAATAAATTAAGACCGTGCTAGATGACAGACTATAGACTCACTCTTTGAACCCTAGAGTTTGGCGCGCCGTCCCAGTGTGATGGCGTTTTCTTATCTTCGTGTTCCTTAACTCTGCTTTCGACGTAATTGTAGGTCCACAGGACGTCAGAAACGCGCTTTGGGCCTCCATGAGAGATGATCGACATGCATCGCGGCCATTCCTTGTCACCCTCTATGTCTGATCGAATGAAATTGGCAATCGCATTGTTCCTCTCATCTTCTGTCGCTGCATGGCGCCCAGGAACGGGTGGAGATATATCTCGTCCTCCATCTTCATCGGATGAAGAGGAACTTTCTAAATCTCCATCCCTTGACTGCCTCGCTCGATGTGGCGTGCGACTAGGTGAAGGAGTCCTATGGACTGGGCTATGCGGTGCTTTATTTTGAGGTGATGAATGGCTTTGGGAGGGTCGTTTTCTCTTTTGGGGGCGGTAATCACTTTGTGACAACAGATCGAGGCGCGTATCACGTGTGACTCCTGAATACATTGCCTGTCTCGAGCTTTGCTGTCGAGAGGGTGACAGGGCAGTATCGGAGTCAGAGCCAGACGCTTGTTGCATTTCACAAGGAACCCGAGGAGGGGGAGGTAATCGACCTTTGGGGACAGGCTAAGAAGTGAAATCAGCACCCCTATTTGGCATGTCAGCGCATCAAACTATACGTACAGCTTCAACGACGACTTCCAGCGTGCGTTCTTTGCTCACACCAAGATTGCATGACTCTGCTTCGAGCATGTTGTCAGCGTCCACGCGCATGAAAAACTGGCGATATTTTCCGCGAAGCGTATATACCCTCGCAGGACCTGTGAAACAAAATTCACTACTACGAACCACTAGTCGACAGGGTAGCATACCATCTATCCGCGACGGTCCGGCCTGCAAAGTCTCGCAGACTTCTTTTGCATTTGCCCAAAAACCACCGTCTGTGTCTTCTCCTGGCCGAAGAACTACTTTGATCTCTGCAAGCTGGTGATCAGGGACGCCACTTCTGACATCCTCAATGAGGAGCGTCAACATCCGAAGAGGTCGCATTTGTCCTCCAGAGGCTGGAGGCGCTGCGAACCGTTCTTGTACAGCTGCGGAAATGTTAAATTAGGACGAAACGCGAAGGCCGACACCTTACAAGTCTGTCTCGCAGGTTCTTGAACAGATACTGCACTTGTGGAAGGTGAGCGAGAACCTAGGTTCATCTCATAATCACGACGATAATGTGCTCCTGGGTGTTGGTAATGCATAGTGGAAGGAGGGGGCTGAAGTTGGCGGCTAGAGGCTGATGGCTGAGTGAAAGTACCAGGGTCCTGATCTGTACGTTGTCCGGCTGACTTTCTGCTCCGTTTATTTTTGGCAGGCGCTGTGGGTCCGCCGAGTTGCCCGAGGGTACGATTTTGGCCTGAGTTGGTGTTATTGCATGCCCCTGGTGTCGCATTATAGGAACTACGTGGGGTGGAAGCTATTGTAGAAGATGTGGCCGGGGAATGAGCTTCCGCAGGTGGTCCACCGTCGGCCATTGAAGGGTTAGACATCGTGACGCTAGCGCTGGGTGATGCAGCATTGATGATGCGATACATAGAAGAGTACGGACCCGCACCAGCATATAGCGCGGGCTGTGCTAAGGGTTCTGGTGTGGGTGTAGGTGTGGGCTCGGGTACCTGGGAGAGTCGGAACCGGCTTGTCTGAGCGGAGTACTCCGGTTTGGGTCTCCTTTTCTTTTTCTTGGGCAGTGCCTGTCCCGGGAGAAATTGGATTGCATTTGTATTTGAGGGAAGGACAGCTTGGTAGGTGTTGACAGTTGCGATAGGCAGGACGGACGGCTGCCATGAGAATCCGACTGCTTGGCGAATCAATGGCGCTGGTGTGCCATCTCTGGAAAGCGCATCCGCATTAGCTTCGACTGGGGCAGGGACTACGGGGGTCTCATCGTCAGAGGTTGGGGTGAAAGACCGTTTCTGCCGTTTCTGCAAGGTTGGGTAGGATATGTGAGTGGCCATGAAGAGTAGAAGAAAAGAAGAAACACGTGCAGAGAGCATGAATATTTACTTACAGCAACGGGCGAAGATTCTCTGCTGCTCCTAGCCTCATGTAATTGGTAAGTGTCCAATTGATGTTGGCCGGAAGGGCCTCGAGCACTCACGACGATGAAGCACCGCGTCTACCGTATCCTATTTGCGCGTCGTTGTCGCTGGCCATTCTCTGTATGAATTCTTCTACTGGTGAAGGAGATATGGTTTCAAGTAGAGACTGGCTGGTGAGACAATGTAACGACCTCGCCGTTTACCTGCCGTCAGTAACTGTGGGTCCTCGTATGAAGATAAGCCAATTTAGTTTGTGAAATAGTTCTTACAAGTGAGAGATCAAATGTATGCCCTTCTTAGCAGGAAGTGAGCGAAACTGTGGATCGCGGAAACTAGAATGGACCTACAGAACGAAATTGTAGGACCCTGGTTGTAGCAGCGCGTACTAGAAAGGAAACTCAGTGCCAGTCACTTGTCCCAAACACGGAAGCACCCCTAATCAGTGTGCTCATTTGCACACACGAACCTACTCTAATTACGTGAGGCCTCCTCCTATCACCGTGTTACACTCTGTCAATGTCCGACGTCGACACGTTGTTTGTTTCTACCCATACATGATATCGTTCAATTACGAAAACCAGTCCAAGAAAATGAAAATGAAAATGGGGAATATTTGTACACAGTCAGTAGCTGCAATGCCATTATCAAGGTCCGTAAATCCTTTTTGCATTTAGACTAAAGATTGCATCAATCGCCTCCTGCTCCACTGCAAGCTCTGCAAATGACTCCCGCACAAGCGCAAACCAGTCCTCAGGGTTGGGGAGCGAGGGTATAGCAAAGGAAGGCGAAGTTCCAAAAATAATACGTTCGTAGCCAAATGCTTCCAGCACCGGTCCAACTACCGGTTGTCAATCAACATTGCACCAATATATCAGAATATATACGCAAGAACTTACTGAACATCTTGATCTTTCGTTTCCATTCACGATGTTGGTCCATTTCTGAAGTTGGATCTCCGGGACCTGGTACGGGTTGATTCCACATGGGGGGCGTAAACTTCACATAGAGATTCGGAAACAATGACAGGGATGCAGAGTGTGCTTGGTAATTGCGATAACTCGGATCGGCGAGGAGCTTGACGATCGGCACGCTTAGGTCGTGCGGCGGCGGTAATATATTGGCTAAAATTTGGTCAGTTCCAAACACTCATCTCAAGGGCGAATAACGCTCACAAAGGACAATGGGGACCTTCTTGTCTCCAGGAATATCGTTTGTGGCTTTCACGAGAATGCCCTCAAACACTTCATACTTTGCGGCATTCGACATGACGTCACTTTGAACGTCAATATCGATAAGACGGCTGTTTGAGAATGCCCATTTCAAAGTCTCGATAACTTGGGATCTAGCTTCTGGAGCCTCATGCGCATCTGCGTATGAGGTGTGAAGATGCTGGGGAATTCCAGATGGCTCTGGATAATCCGATGGGATGGGACCACCAAGCTCGAAGGGAGCTGCCTCGGAAAGCACTCGAACATCTGATGTCGAAGGTTGTACCGCCAAAGGCAACCTGAGTAACATAACCAAGATAAGAATATGGAGAGTTTCCTCAAAGTCAAACGCTTACCCTGCTGATACCGAAGGGTTGGTTTTTAATAAAACGACACCCGTGGCCACGGTGCCAACCAGATCAAGACCATGACTAAATGCCTCATAGCGCACATTTGCGTCAATGACTTCGCCTGGAAATAGCGCACTGGGGGTTGGAGGCAAAGGGAACATGTCAGAAGTCCCTGTGCTTGGTGGGCTGAACGCAGACGGAGGTAAACTCGGGAGGTTCTTCGGCCTGCGACGGCCACTTGCCAGACCAGGCGATGAAAGAGGTTGCGTGAAGCTCATGATGAGGAAGGAAGGAAAGATGAAACAGGCTGACACAGGTCCTGGCAGGTTCTGACAAGTATATGTAGGTGCAAAAGGCACTATCCGCAAGAGATGTCGTTGTATCCGATTGCAACGATCAAAGCATGATCAATCCGAACCGTTGATTGATGAGTTTATTAGATCTTCGTCTATTCCCACGCACAAGTGTGCTCTTCCCAAACCAGTGTGGGTTCCAGACCATCGTCGGTCGATCGTCGGCAGTGTGCATAAACTAAAAGTAAGTATGTATCGTTCATGTGTTATCGTTTCAAAACTCATAGAATCTACTGGATGAATTCACAGTACCCTTGAGCGGATCAAATTTCCCCAATAGCAAAGATGGTGGTCAGACAGAATGTCAGTGTCGTTGAAGGTCACCGAACCTAAAAATGTCCATAAGTCACAGCGTGCAGTACGCACTGAAGCATTACACGAAGTTTTTGTAAATGATAGTTAAAGGTGCGTTGTCTCGTAAATGGAGTCCAGTAGATGTGGCACGCAACGGGTATCTTCTCTCAAATGTTCACTGGTTCACATCCACAGCGTCACGGTACAGCGGACGTTTCAGCCATACAGGTCCGAGTTGGGCTGGAGATCACGACCGCTGCATGCGTTCATTCCATTGTTGCGCCTTTTTTTGTGCCTTGCAGAAATACCAGTCTCAATGGCCAAATATTGATGTGACGGGTCAATACTCACTGTATAATCCTTCTCATCGACTTCTGTAGCAAAGAATTCGTCAAAGGCGCGAACTGCACGTTCATGTTCTTCGTGCCAACCTTGTTCTCGGCCATTCTCGAATGCCTCTTTCCGACCCATTTTGCGACCCTGCTTGAATCCCAACTCTCGTCCTTCACGGATGCCATATCGTCTACCTTCTTCAAACCCATCTTCCCTGCCGTCGTCAAAGCCCTCTGCGTGCCCAGCATCCCAACCCTCGTTGTGCCCAGTAACAAACCACTTCTTCCGGCCGTATATCGCGTTTTCTTCAATGCCTTTCTCCTTTGCCTGCTGCTTGCCAAGTTCGATTTGAAACTTCCTTGCAGTATCCCGCGCTCGTGATGCGCTGTCATCGGCTTCGTTTCTTTGCCTCTCTAAGACGCGGACGTCAGCCTGAAGTTGCTTGACCTGCTTCTCCAGGCTCTCGATGCACATTAGATGCCGCCGTATCTCTTCGTTGGCACGCGCAGCATCGAGTTCCGCATAACGCTTGCCCGTTTCAGCAGCACTGACACGTACAGTCAGCTCCCGCACTCGGAGTTCCGCGAATTCTGTTTTGGATTCAGCCTGCTTTGCCCTGCGCATTTCCTGATCGAGTCTGTCCCCCGTCGACCGAAGGGTCGATCTAAGGTGATGCGCTTGCTTTTCTTCTTCTGCTACCACCAGGGTCATCAATGTCGATGCAGAGTAACGGGGTTCACGGTGCTGCGAGCTAGATAACCGTTTATGGCTTTTCTTCTTCCCATCGGTGTTGTGGAGCGTGTTGATAACAGTAGGGTCTTTCAGTAGTTCTTTGAGGGGCATGGGGGACATCGTTGCTGCGCGGATCTGTGCCATGACGTCAACTCTGTCTGGTAGTTTTCCTTTGCTGGGTTGCGGGGGAGGGGTGGGCAAGTTGACATCGCTATCAAAGCCAGAGGTGAGATGCTCATGAAAGCGAGACGGGGACATTGGCTTGTTGGCGCAATGAGGGAGTTAGGACAGCTTATAAGGAATCGGATTATGTTTCTGGAATCTGCGGTGCGCGCAGTAGCTGTGCCCAGGGCATACGACCCCACCCGTGGTGTGCACGTGTTGATTGACACTGGCTAGTTTGGCGATTTGTGCATAGCAACACAATCTGGCGTTCTAAGCGCTGCACTATTTTTCTCGTAGGCGTAGGGAAAGCTCATAATGTTGACTGCGTGTATGACACCGTATGTGCACGCTTCTGACTGCATGCTCCTCGAGGCCATGCAGCATTGTAATGTTTACGTAAATACAGAAAAGGAAATAGTTTCCCATAGATCTGACATCGATCTCCTTGTGAACTTTTGAAGCACTTTAAATTTGTAATAACTTACAGTACTTCGTTTGCCATCTACCTCTTGCTCAAGTATTTCTTGGATAAACTTACAGAATGTCGCTCAAAGCTGTATGTCCGAATATTTTCTTCATTTTCCTGCCCTTGACTTGCTGTGTGTAGATCGTAAAATGTCTGTGCGCTGCAATGTTCTGTTCTCCGCATTCTGTTAATCCCATGAAACCTAGCTGTCATCTCTGGCGACACCCTCGTTTTGCGTGGACGTACAGGTCCACAAGGACAGAATCCCAAGGAGAGGTGCGCAACTCAGAAGTCCGATGAGAAAGTGACACGGTCTGACCCGCTACGCAGAATTCTACATCTTGCTGATGTCGTGGCTCCGAGAATGGGAAACCAAACTCGAGAGGACGAGGTAAGGCATAATCACCACGTCTTTTGTTAGTGCTGACTGAAGCTGTTTCTAGCAATGGGCATTCGAGTCTCGTGATTTTCTGCGTGCATTCGCGGTAGGCAAAGAGGTCTCTTTTACTTCCACACATAGTTTTCCGTCCAATGATGATGTCACCCGTGACTTTGGCACTGCTGACATCGGGGGCGTGGATGTTGCTACTGAGATGCTGAAGAACGGCTGGGCCAAAGTCAAGGAATCAAAACGGGACCCCACGGAAGACGATATCCGAAAACGTGACATCGAAGCTGAAGCGAAGGCGGCAGGAAAAGGCTTGTGGAATTCTCATGGTCCCCAGGTGCGTGTTCTCGGCTGCCATATCATTGTCGTTCCTTCTGTCATTTCCGCAGGCCCGCGCCGTGCACCAAACAATGCCACCTGATTCGCAAGCGTTTGTTTCGGAGTGGAAGGGGAAATCTATTGACGGTATGACATCTTCTTCCGACTCGCATGCTTGGTTTGATTCATATTTTTAGCACTGGTGGAACAAGTGCGGGATGGGTCTACTCTCCGAGTCCGACTTTTCATGCCAGATGGTGAGCATCAAATGGTCAACATTGCACTTGCCGGTGTTCGTTGTGCCAGGACATCTTCAAAGCAAGGGGAACCTTCGGAACCTTGGGCAGAAGAAGTGAGTCGATTCAAATGTCAATACATTTTTTTTTTAATACGGTTTGCAGGCCAAATTTTTCACAGAGTCTAGGATGCTCCAGCGATCTGTACGGGTGATTATACTGTCGTTGCCAACTTCGACAGCGACACCATTCCAAGCCGGCGCTAACAGTGCACCACCTCCGCCAGCATCGATATTCATTGGCACTGGTACGTCGCCTTCTGTGTCTGAGAGTATGCTTAGCAATATCCGTTGTAGTCCTCCATCCCGCTGGCAATGTGGCTGAACACCTCGTTGCTACTGGGCTCGCTCGCGTTGTCGATTGGCACGCTGGTATGCTGGCTGCAGGAGGAGGTATGGAACGCCTTCGTGCGGCTGAGAAAGTCGCAAAAGAAAAGCGAGCATGTCTCTACGCCAATGTGCCAACCGCATCTGCATCGACTACTCAGTCGAATGGTACTGCCAATGGAAATGCGCGGGTCTTCGACGGAATTGTCAGCCGGCTCTGGAGTGGTGATCAAATATCAGTCATTGACAGGGAGAGTGGCAAGGAACGTCGGCTGCAGCTCAGTTCAACAAAAGGTCCCAAGTAAGTAGCATGCCATCTGGTCGTCGTTGTCTTCTGATAGTTGTCAGACTTTCCGACCCTAAGCAGGCTTACTATGCACAAGAAGCTCGCGAATTCCTTCGCAAGAGACTTATTGGCAAACATGTCAAAGTTATGGTTGATTTCGTTCGTCCTCGTGACGGCGAATATGAAGAGCGCGAATGTGCGACAGTCCGATACGGAAACCAAAGCTCGTAAGCAATAATATATATGATGCATTTTACATTCACTGACATTTCCGATCCAGCAACGTTGCAGAGCAGTTGATAGAAAAAGGCCTTGCCTCCGTTGTCCGCCATCGACGTGATGATGAGGACCGTTCACCTGACTACGACAAACTGATGGCTGCGGAACAAGCGTAAGACAGCGACACCCCTCCTTCGGGTTAGCCACTATTAACTCTTGAAATTAGCGCTGTGGCTGAGTCCCGTGGTATTCACTCTGGTAAAGAACAACCAGCTGTGAAGCCCCCCGTTAACATTTCAGAGGTATGTATATCTTTCATCATCCGTTCCTTGTAGATCCAGATTTCTTTCTAGTCTGGTGCACGCGCCACCACTTTCATCAATGGTTTCAAGAGGCAAGGGAAGGTGTCTGCTGTCGTCGATTATGTTGCCTCGGGATCTCGCTTCAAGTGCGGTTTACCACGGTTTTGACGAATAGTTCTAAATGTTCTTTGCTCAAGGCTCTTCCTCCCGAAAGACAATCAGTCGCTCACCTTGGTCCTCAATGGTAAGACTCTCACAAAAACAGTTTTAAAATTATCCTCCATTATTTCTCAGGCATTCGAGCGCCTCGAACAGCACGCAATCCTTCCGAAAGGAGCGAAGCATTTGGTCAAGAGGCTGCAGACTTTGCAACTCGCCGGTACATGCAACGCGACGTAGAATTTGAAGTGGACACCGTTGACAAATCCGGTGGCTTCATTGGAACGTTGTGGTTGAAGAATGAAAATGTCGCGATTTCGCTAGTCAAGGAGGGCCTTGCATCGGTACATTCCTTCTCTGCCGACAGCTTGTCATGGGCTCCGCAGTTGTACGCAGCCGAGGTGAGCGCTGCCTGGATCCTTGAATTTCAAACTTTTTTGATGTCATCATTTCTAGGCAGAAGCCAAGCAAGCACAACGAAACGTAAGCAGTAACACTGATGCACTTCCTTTCGTGTTTAATCATGTTTCAAGTTATGGGAGAACTATGATGAAGAAGCAGAGAAGGCTGCTCAGGCTTCCCCTGCTGAGGATGATCCTGGACGCTTGAAGTCGGAATATCTGGATGTCATTATCAGTGATGTCCGGGCAGAAAATGGCTTCAGTTTCTCAGTACAAATATTAAACACTGAGGGTAAGCTTCACACAAAATCACTCGAATGGCTATTTCTCACCGTGTACGTCAGGCATCGCGACCTTAGAAAAGCTGATGCGTGATTTTTCTCTACACCATCGCGTCGCACACCCAGCACCACCAAATTTCGTGCCGAAGGCAGGAGATTTGGTGTCTGCCAAGTTCTCGGATGGGTCATGGTACCGAGCCAGGATTCGTCGTGCTTCCTCAGTCAAGAAGGAAGCTGAGGTGACATTTATCGACTATGGAAACCAAGACATTGTCTCGTTTTCGAATATACGTCCGCTCGATCCCAAGTTCCGCTCCTTGCCTGGTCAAGCGCAAGATGCTCGCCTCAGGTAATTGTGCAATTTGCATTTTTTGTTTGTTTGTAACACTCATGGTGTTTTGCGCAGCTTCGTCAGGCTTGTGGCTTCTGAAAGCGAGTACCACGCAGATGCTGTTCAGCGCTTCCGTCAACTGTGCGAGGGCCGCAAACTTGTCGCCAACATTGACTACAAGGAAGGTGCTACGCTTCACCTGCGTCTCATTGATCCCAATGACCCCGTCGCTACGCAAGACCCCTTAGCTTGCATCAACGCTGACCTACTCCGTGAGGGTCTGGCATCAATTGACCGCAAGGGTTGTAAGTATATTGGCGCATACCCACACGTTATGAGTAAACTGCAAACTGCAGTTGCTGAAGCGAAGCGTGATCGTGCTGGGATGTTTGAGTTTGGTGATGTTGAGGAGGACGAGTAGTTATAGTACTTCGACTTAATACCGGGAAGACTTAGTCAGCTAATAATACACGCCTTCATCGTGACGTTCAGCATTAATTGCGCTTGCAGGACGCGACGAACATGGAACCCACGAGCCAACTTGGCGCCAGTACTTCGCTTCCTCAACTAAACAACTTGAAAGGCCCGCAACTTCTCTCAGGCTCAGGCAGTTTCCAGAGCTACTTGTCTTCAGCTGGTTCATATCACCGTCACGCTAAAGGGGCAGGTGTCCATCTTGAGAACCAATATTCAGTTCATATCGACAAAAACCAATCACCCCACCTTCAGAGCATAGTAGAAGCTTCTTCCCATTCAGGACCGTTTTCTGGCGTTGTGCGATTCATAACCAACTTTCCTGGATTCGCGCTCGAGGACCTACACCGCTTCCGCTATGGACACCTAGGAAGGCTGCGGATCTTATTGCTTCTGTACTGCTGCGTGAGCGTTACCTTCCTCTCTTTCAAAATGCATAGCGCCTTGCGAGGGGTTGTCGCAGCAGGCCGCCCGCACATAGGTCATGTCCCAAGTACGTTGCCAAGGATATTACAGCACTCATTTCTAAGATCCGAATGTGTCAGACACAATGTACCGTGTCTCCCCTCTTTCAAATATGTCAGTTCAGCAGCGAATGTCTATTGCGTTTCCTAATATTCCGCCACCTGGTCATCTGGAGACCTTCACCCTGGCTACTCATTCGTCAGTGGACAGTGACCTCACCGCTTGCCTGTGGACCGAGGAAGACAAGCTGCGCGACATACTTACCACACTCACGACTTGGCCGGGTAAACCGGACTGATTTTGTTGTTGCGAAGCACAATAACTTACTGTTTTCTAGGACCCGTGTCCCTGGTCGTTGTAACCTCTGCACGGTCGGATTCCACGGACCATCTAACCACCTTCAAAAGGTTTCCAGAATTTATGGGCCTCCTCGATACGCATGCCTCATTCGGTCTGTCGTTCCACGTACTCCAAGTCTCATCCTCTTCTGGAGGGTCGGCCAATGCTTATTTGAATGTTGCTCGTCTCTTGGCGCCCACTGATCGAGTTGTCCTGTTCCCGAATGGTTTGCCTTCGCACCTCTCGAATAATTTGTACAGCTCCATCATTCGGTCGACGTCTCCGCTGCCTCTTGTACTGGGTAACAATAGCCGTAGGACATATCCATTCGCCCCGATGTCCCCTGTTATTCTTCCCAAGGATTATCCCACGTGGTGTACCGAGCGTTTCTCTCTTTTCCGATCTCGATCACTGGACTGGGAAGACTGTCTCTGGCAGCTGTGGCTCGAAAGCGCTGGCTCGGTCAAGTCTACGGCGGTGGATGGCTGGCTAGGGGAGGAAACTGGTAAACCAAGTATTTCGAATAACTCCGCCCTATCCGTACGTTGCACGACTTGAACACCTGGTCCCTTCACTTGCGTCTTACATACTATATCAGGCAAAGCTAAGACGACGTTGGACTGTCAAATATCGTGCAGAAGCCTGTGCTCTCGCCATGAAAAGAGCACAGATCTTGGAAATAACTAGTTATGCAGACAAGAAGGCGTTCCAATGGCGCAAGAAATTTTGTCATGAGGTGAGGTCTCGATGCCCTTGAATCGTGGTCTGGGATCGCTTGCTGAATAGTTCAAGTCTCTGGGTACTTCCCCGGCAAACGCTGCTTAATCAACCGGTTTGGAGGTTTATGGTCACTCGGACTTTGATTGAAGACGCATTAATATGTGGTGTTTGGGGATGCAAGAGATAGACATCAAAGCATAACACGCGAAAAAAAATTGTGCAAGAGTTATTTGGGATAAGCTGCAAACCGAGCAGTGCATATTTGTCCGGAAGCAATCTTCAGTCTCGGTATCGTTTTACTTCGTCAAAGTTGAGTCAAAGTGTTACCAAAATTCACTCTTCGTGCAATCTATAAGTGACACTTAGCATGCACATACAATGCCCCATGACAAAAACGCAGTCAATTCCAAGCCCTGGTAAATGATTATTGATACTGTTGAAGTATTATATCCCCATAATGAATGTCGATTGTTTCCGCTGAACCAATTACATACTAGTGAAAGCCCATAGTGGTTGTGATGTGTGAAAGTAAAAGCTCCCTTCCAGACCGAGAATTCCAGAGCTAAAGACACAGGCAGGGACACACACATTACAGAATTCAACGAGAACTTTGTGCGTTCTCGTTTCATACGCATAGCCGCACGAGCCTCATTCCGCGTTGCCGACTGGGACATCAACCTCACTGGTAGATCCCTTCGAGTATCGTGATTTTGGCAGCTGTTTGGATCCGTCGGAAGTGGTTTCTGCGTCGAAGTTTATCTCGACGTTCAGTCGATCTGGTGGAACAGTCATGGCCACAGTCGGGGGGATCCGACGCATCCGCAGGGAACTGTTCACGGCAGAGTTATTGAGGGTGCTGACAGATTTTCCCCAGGCCTTGCCCTCTGTGACACGGTAGATAATGAGGAGTGAGGCAACGATCTAGAGTACAGACGTGGGTACATTATGCCCAGAGCAGTGGACGCGCACTTACCTGTGCCTCGGCCAGTATTTGGAAGAATGCGTCAGAGAGCGGGTTGTGAATGGCAAACGGGATGAGGTAAAGAAGCGAGCATATTGAGTAGATGGAGGCGGACTCGATGATCATTGCCGCGAAACTGGCATAGATCGCGCCGTGGCCTGGGCCAAGTATTTTAGACATTCGGCGGCGGTGGTATAGCAAGCGCAAGGCGGTAAGGAGGCTGATGAAGATGTTGATGGTGAGGGCAATGCAGGTGTATGGGAAGAGGAATTGGATGGACATCCAGCCGCTTGTGGCTTTTGTTGGGCTTGACATGATGACAAGCCAGATAGTCCCGATGACTTGAGAAGGTGTCAGGGAGGATAGCTAACAACAGAGGTAGATCAGGCACATACCGACAGACGTAGTGAACAAAATGCCTCCAAGTCCCATGATAAACGTAGTGTAATCTGGTGTCTTTGTATACTACTATACACCTCCAAATCTTATGATGCTGGTCAATAATGAGATAGGAGATGTAACTGTGCACTGACCATCAATATGTCAGCACCCCAATTTGCAAGCAGGAGGGCAACACCAAGTGGAAGTGAGAAGTTTATCCTAGCGAATGCACTGGGACCTGTATGAGTGAAGAACATAATTATGAGTTACGGTAACGGTCTTCTTGACAGCTCGCATACATACCTCCGGGAAATAGACGATTGTAGATGAAGGTCTTTTGTGTCTCCTCCATACTGAACGCCATGTACAATGTACCCAACACAAACAAGGAAGTGACATAGCAGAAGAAGAATATGTTTTTCCTGTAGCCAGTGGCATGCGATCGAATGCGTGGCCAGATGGAGCACCAGCACGTGAAAGACAAGATGACCACCACGCCGTAAAACATGGCAGCAACTATAGCGCCATGCAACCAAGTGGCCTCAGCGTAGATCTGCGCGCTGGATTCGGAGCTGTAAGGGGCCATAGCACTAGCGGCATGCCAGGTTTCTGAATTGAATCTGTCAGTTTTGCGTCATCTTCTTGGAATCGTACCGATGCAACGCACAATATTTACACTATTCAATTAGTGTGATGACGCTGGTCCCCGCTGGCAGATGGTCCTTACACTCCTGGGGGACGAAATCTTTTGAGGACTCGGTAAAAATCTGTTGCGCACGTAATGAGCTGTGAATGAGGTTATTTCGAGAACATTTCTGCTGCTTTATATGCAGTGAGTCGACGGCCAAGCTTCTGCTGGGCGAATGAACTTGACTGGGCTACACCTCGATTACATAGTAGCGTGCACTATTGCATCACTAGTCCTATACAAGGCAATCATTTTTCAAGTGCCGCGTTGGCACAGAATAATTTTTCCCTGGTCTGACTCGGACATGGTGGTCCTAGTGGTCGAGACCAAGAGCAAGTGTCACTGAGACATGCCACGACACCCAAACTCTCTCGAACTTGTCACGAGATGCACTTCGGGGAGATAACGCAAGCTGGATTGCTATCGAAAATCTGCAGAGACGCAGCCTCTTGTGCTTGTTCTGGTTCGCCCGAGCTCAGAAACCATTTTGCATAATTCTTGACCATGACCCCTCCAAGCGCTGACACAGAGAGAGGTCTAGATTTTTACTGTAAGTTCAAGTTCAGCAAGGTCACCGATTGGGAGTGAAACCAGTGAAGTGATACCCTTACGATCGTTCAACGCGTTCATGTTGAATGAGTTTTTTACCATGGGATCCCATGAATTTGACAAAAACGTAGAGTGGGTTATAAATATATCTCGAGCAGCACTGTGTCCCGATCGGACATCGACGCCAAGTAGATATTGAGCCGGTGACTTCCCGCGGCCGCAGCGTTTAGCAATTAAGATTTTTTTTGCATAAAAAAAGAAAAAAAGAAAGAAAGTTTGCAAACGATCGCACTGCTGCAACATCAGACACATAGGCCAAAGGTGGTCCAATACGGTTCTGGACACCATCTGGAGATGCATGCGCAGAGATATTATTTGACGCAGCCTCTCACGTGTACAATGAACTAGATCACATTGGCAGCGAGCCTTCGAGCTTCCACTTCCTCATCGTCCTCCATCTCTTCATCTGGCCCCTCTTGGTACGTGGCCCATATAGCATCCATTTGTGGCGCGTCCATCAACAGCTCCAAGAGATCTTTTGCAAGCCCTGTGCCGTCATTAGCCAGAAGCGAAAACAATAGTTAGCAGCATACCAGCAACTCTCTCCAAGTCCAGTTTGTCCTCTTCTTGTACCCATTCGGGCACGTCAGCAAAGCTAAGACGCCCCATGGTGACGACGAAAATATGTACAAGACCGTTATAGTGGCGTGGTGCATGCTCTAGACGCTCCCGCAATCTAGGGGGAGCTTCAGCTTTAAACATCAAATGGTGCAAGAGAAAGGTCGTCTGGTTCATCCGTTGTATCACTCTGATTAAACGATATAAGTGTGGCCGGCTTAAGGCAGAAAATTCGTTACCTTGAAGCGGCCTGAGGATCAGACTCCAGTGCCTCGTCACCTTGCCATACAGGTACTGATAGTTCGTACAGATAAACAATGATCGAGGGTATCACAGATTGCGACTCGATGATAATCGCGTGAGCAGTTGGATGAGCCTCGGAGAGCATAGCGAAAAATGTCAGGATGTGTCGCTTGATCCCATCGGCCTGTCGTGGTATAAGTAGATCACATAAAAGTTGCACTGTTGTAAATACCTCGTCGCCCGTTCTACTTGAATCATTCAAGAGAGAACACATTCGCTCGACATGAGGGAGCCGAGTATAGTCTTGTGATTGCCCCTCGGTGTCAGGAATTGATAAAAGGGATTGGAAAAGGACGGGTCCTAAGCGTGATTATTTAAAGAACAGTTTATTGCCGCAGGAGTGTCATGCTCACGAGTTGAGAATCGAGAAAGCATGCGCGTACTTTGAAAAAGAAACCACGTCGGCCGAGAGGAATCTAGAAGTATCGATAGCACAGAAGGACAACGAGGTACAAAGGCTAGCCTGTACCACTCGTCAACCATGAGTGAGTAGAGCAAACGTCATCATCACCTATTTTCCAGGTCACTCGGGGTATCCCAACACAGGGCTTCCAGCAGTGCGAGCGACTCCTTAGCAAGTAGACCTAGATCCGATTTCTCGGTTTCGTGATTTTCTAGTTTACTGACGTAGTCCTGAATAGTAGAACATATCACGGCGAGAATACGAGGAACCCCGTCTTCTTCAACGTCTGTCCCATTATCCACCAAGAGATATGGATGAGGTGCTGGAAGAGTGTATGTTATTTGAGTCAGCTGACTAAGAAGTGCGGCCAAAGACGTTATCTGAAGGAGATATTCATGATTCATGAATAGAAAACAATACACATCAAACACATACCTGGTGGGAGGCGGCCAGTACATCTGCCATTTCTATTAGTGCCTCACAAATCGTTTGGGCTGCGAGTCCCCAAAATTGATGCTCCTGAGCGGGTACACTGGCAAGAACGTCAAGCACACGAGAACACGCAGACGTATATGCAACTGATTTGGGGCCGATAGGCAGTGAAACTCCCAACAAGGCATGGAATGTTGTCATCTTGCAAGTCGGTTCCATGTGCATTAGGACAAGTCGATGCAACTAATCCGGTTGTTACATGTAGACAGGACACAATGGGTGGTGCAAACTTACATCTACAATCCACCTGTGAGGCTCTACCTCTTCAATTTCCTCGTCCGCAGTGGCCTGAATCTGTGGATCTTGAGCTCCGTCGGTCATCTCAACGTCGTGCTGCGAATAGAAGTTTATGTCCACGTTAGAGTCGGCCATGAAGACGTCATCTTGGGCTGCAGCGCCAGAACCATCATCTTGAGCCGTTTGAAGCGGATTTGTCTGCGCGCCACCAAAAGGAAGAAATGCTGGCGGAGGGCCACTGTCGAATTGCGCAGGTGCCTTGACTCTGCCTTTCCTGGAATTTGTATCCCGCGATTTTGTAGGGGATGCAGAGGGCTGGAACCCGGATGGTAGATTTCGGTTTTCAACGACCGGTTTCCTTGTACGCTCATTGTTTGCAATTTCGCCAAAGCGAGGTCGGGTGGGACTCTCCTGTACGACTCTTGAAGGGCTTGCCACAGCTCCACTCCAGTTCCATCTTTGCATCTGCGAAGGCAAAGGCACAGGCGTTGCAGGGGGTGCCATTGGGGCTTTCTTGGAGCTCGCAGACCACGGAGACTTTCGGGTAGATGTCTCGATCTCATGTTGCTGTCAAATACATCATCAGTTTCTGAGTGAGCAGGTAGGATTCATCCATACCTTGAATGTATACAACGTCTTCAGGCGTTCTGCCTCCTCTTTCATTTCTTTTTGCATCTGTGTTTGTTTGGCCTCCGACTCCTCCTTCGCCGCCCTGAGCTTCGTTATTTGGGCTGCGTGATCTTGAGCTGTCTAATGAGGTTTTTAGTTGTCCTGAGGTGACCGATCGATAGGCGAGCTACCTTCTCAATATTTTTCCTTAGTATTGCATTTTCTCCTTCTTTGGCGAGTTTAGCAGAAAGCATGGATTGGACATCTTTGCGAAGCTGGGCAGACAAAGTGTATTGTTACTACATCCATTACCCATTTAGAACGCAAGGTATCAGACCTCGTCCGTTTGCTTTCGCAAAGCAGCTACATGCTTCTCCAAGATAGTGGTAGTAGATACACCGGAGGCAGCGGCAGGAGAATGGTCGGCGACATGAGGTTTGGAAACAGATTGACTCCGAGAAGGCTGAGATGCCACTCGCGCAGCGGGAGCCGGGGCAGGACGCGTCGTACTAGGGGTTGGGTGACGAGACTGGATAGGTAGTTTTAGGGATGCACGAGGATTAGAAATTTCGCCAGCAAGGGTGTGATTGTTTGAAGGTATGGCTCCATCCTTCGTGACATTTGTTCCATGCAATATCACGTTATCATTCAATGCAGTTTGAGGGGTCAGTGTGATAGGTCTTTGCAGTTCAGCTCCGTACGTGTCATCCCCACACACTGTGATGTCCGGTAAATCTTCGGTATCATCAGGAGAGTGACTGAAGACACCGAAATTCAGCGGAGGACCTGGGTCCAGTTTTTGTCGTTTTGCCGGGGGTAGCAGGTCCTCTGGGTCGGGCTCACCGACACGTTTGGACTCCTCAAACCTGGACTCCTCCTTGTCAAGGATGGCCAGCGTTTGATCATCCAAGACGAAATCATCGTCGAAGTCTTCATCGGAATTGAACATGAAGAACGTCTGGACCTTGCATTTCCTTGACTGAACGCGTCGTACTGAAGGTCACTGAGAAAGAGTTGCCATTTATGACTCAGCACCAAACAAACGCGTCGACGCGCTCTTAGCTTCACCAGGCTTCACCCCTACTACGTATAACCACCTGTCGTCGTCACTTAGACATGTCTTGGAAAGCGAGCTTTCAGCAGGGTATCTCTAACTTCAAGAGAAATCAATACTCCGAAGCCCTTGCATTCTTCGATGAAGTATGTCCATCAAACACATCCTCTGTCCAGTTGATGTACTAATCCAGAGTGAAGGCCATTTCACTCGGTTGTGACTCCTTCACCGTTTATGATTCTCGTGCCGCTGTGCACGAGAAGCTTGGGAACAATAAAGCTGCTCTCCTTGACGCGAAGAAAGTCGTGGATACTGCTCCAGATCGTTGGCAAGGCTATGCTCGCTCAGCACGTCTGTTTCATGCGCTTACCAAGAACGAGGCGGCCCTCAAAATGGCCGACCTCGCTCTCGAGCGTATCAAACCAGACGATGCCCAACGTCGTCAGGGACTACACGCGCTGAAGTCACAAGCAACCGATGCCTTAAAGGCTGCTGACGACAGAAGGCGAGCGCGCATTGCAAAGACAGCATACCACATTGGCAAGTTACCTGTGGAAATTTTTGCGGAGATTTTTGGCCTCGTGGTTGCTGCCGACCATGTGCAGATCCTCAACTTGTCACATGTCTGCAAACATTGGCGCGGCATAGCTATTGAGACCCCTTCACTTTGGCAGACGCTGGTGGTTTCGAAGAAATATCCCACCAGAAAAGCACGATTTTGGGTGCAGCGAGCTCGAACACAGATATCAGATCTCTCTTTCCACCATAATATATCTGAGATGGACTGGCCATCCATTCTCTTGGAGCTCACGCCATTGCATTGGCATGGCCTCCGTTCTCTAGCAGCATCTGGAAGCTTGTTCTCCCGACTATACGATATGCTCCACAAATTGTCCAAGACAAAAGCCATTTCGCACCTCGAACATCTGGATGTCACAGGGTGTCCGAATTTCGAGAGATTCTTGCCAGACTTCGAAGATTCTCACCTAGATACCCTCAAAGTTGCCAATTTTACCCCTTCGATGGGCGGGCTGTGGAGTCGGGTGCATCGGCTCAAAACCATGAGCATCGAGGCAGGATGCATAGAGATAGTCCCGGCTTTGACCGCCAATCCGTCATTGGAGAATCTCATGCTCTGTGATATAGTCCCAATCCCGATGCAGTCAGGAGGCGATGACCGTGTGGAACTTTCCAACCTCCGATGCTTGAAATTCTTCAACATCGCATCGATCTCTATGATCACTCGCGTCGTCATCGCACCCAATTTGCAAGTCCTGCACTTGTTCAGCATCGGACATTCGTCTGACGTGCTGCTGGAATTCGCGCACCCCGATCCTCTTCGGGCTTTGAGGGAGCTCCGGATTGGGAGCTGCACCACTACCGCCAGTTCGCTGAAAATCATCATCGCTGGGGCGCCTTTATTGGAAACCCTCCAGATATCAGGGATACACGGAGTCGTTAATGATGTACTTGACTTCATTTCCGGCACACATCCAAACGATCACCATCAAGACATGTGCACCTTCCTGAAGCATGTCGACCTCACTAACTGTGGTGACTTGCTCACCAGAAATGCTTATTCCCTTGTCAAGACCCGCCTGCACACTGATCAGCCCGCCACTGTAGATGGGAGTCAGCCTGAGTGCAGGGCCGAAATCGAGTCCTTGCGGTTAGATGGTTGTCCTCTTATTGAAGCAGAGATGCTGCCATGGTTCAGAGGGAAAGTGAAAGTGTTTAGCTGCGTGTATATGACGAAAAAGGAGGGCAAACAAAGACGTTGACGAGCCCTGAGTCTCGCCTGCACAGGGTACTTACTACGGTATCTAGGGCTCAGTTAGAAGCAGACCTTAGTAGAGAACGAACGTCAAATATATATTCATTCAAGTCTAAGGTCTGCCTAGGGGAGACTATGGAATCACGTCTGCAACGCGCGCGTCAACATCCATGGACTGCGTGCTGACATGAAAAATTGTCGTGGACCAAATTTAAAAAAATATGGGGGAAACCAAAATGCGGTACTTTCAACAAGTCGTGGCGTTGAGCGCTAGCAGCTACACTTACTTTGATGGCGGGAAGTTAAGAAGATATCCCCCCCGGAGAACCATGCTCTCCATATCATCGCATGCCTTCCACACGCATTCGTAAGCCTCTCCGATGTGTTCGCACCAAAAAGCATTCTATAGCTAAGCATGTTAAGTACATATGTAGACTGAACCGTCTGACACTTGGCTACATTATGAAAATCAATTCCATAATACTGGTCAAATGGTAGATTACAGGAACTAAACAGAAAAACAAAAGGTGTGTAGCAAGAAATGCGGCTACTATGTGGTTTCAGCCAATGTGACGAGGCTTACGGGTGGTAGCCACGGGGTAAGCGAGAGGCCAGGGGAACCGTCAGGTCAGCTTCACAGTGCATGCGAGAATGACAGGGCTGAATGCCACTGAGGCAGTATGAAACTCGTTCGCGAATCGTTGCTGCGTAAGAGCGCCGCCGGAGATGCATCGATCTAGGCTGTGGATGAGGCTTGATGTGATAAACGATAGAATCAGTGCTATCCGACATAGCGGATCTTGATTGCACTAGTCCTGTTGCGCACTTCGAGGGCTAGACTATGTGTTAATTTTTGGGCGGTTATCTGTGTCTGTGAATCGAACCTTTCATTTCCTCCGCTTCCTCTCTCTGTTCGTAGTCCAGAACTAAACGTTTGAGATGTTGTTGCTCTACTTTATCTTGAAGTTGTGCAGATCGCGTGTGCACGGCAAGCGCCGATTCAGCTGGTACAAGAAGATGACGACCCTATTGTCGTCGATGAGGACAGAATAGTGAGGGTTAAGACGATACGCACCTGCTGCTTAGTGCCGCGTTTAGTAATGACAGTGAACTGCATTACGGCGTCGCCGTCCGGATTGTTGTCACCGCCAGCATCGACATCACCCTCATCAGCCCGCTTCTTGCGCAAATTAGGAGCGAGGACGGCAGAATCCCACCAAGCTGTCTTCTTGTCGACCTTTCTGGACTCAGCAGAGGAATCTGTAATGATCTTGGCGAGTTCTTTCTCAAACTCAGCTTCAGCTTCCTCAGATGGTCCGAGATGTTCCTGTGTAGATAGGACGATAACAGCTTCAGGAGACGGCGCTCGATCTTCATTCTAGAAGGCATGGCCAAACCTTAGTTATTGTACGAATAGGGCTCAGCCAAGCTATCGCTTACCGAAGATTCTTGACCAGTTGTATCACCATCGTCGTCCTCTTCTTGTTGAGGCCGTTCACCTTCTTCATCGCTGTCTTCGCCACTATCATCACCAGTTGACACTTATTTCAGACTGTGAGTTAAGTGCCCACAAAAAAAAGTGGTAAACAAACGTACAGCCAGCGTTCTGCAAGGCAGCATTGAACATCTCATCGACAGCTACGGCGGCTTCCTCTATTGTCTTATATAGCGTCATCTTGGGCCGGATAGCCTGCAAGCGAATTGAGATCAGGTGTGTTATCAAAGTAGACACACTCGCCTCCATTGAATCGGAGAGCATAAAGTCAACATCCATGGGTAGATCTTCCTTGCATAAGACATAGTACTGCGGAACCACGGTGTAAGCATCGTCGCGGATAAGACGTCAAACAACTTTTACCTGGAAGAAAACGAGAAAATTATCGATTTTCCGTTTCTGAGTCCCTCGGTCGAAGCACATGCCGACAGTGTCGAGCAGTACGCAAACGAGACGAACGCGGAAAAAATCGTTAGGCATATCCAGTGGGCAAGGCTGACGGGGCAATGGATGTCCCTCAGCTGTGGATAAGGAGTTAGTCGAAGCATGCGAAATTGTGTCTTGTACTGACGATGTCCGAACGTGACCAGCGACCACAAGGTATCGAACACCAGGGCCGACCCCAACAGCCGATAAATATAGAGTTCCCCCAGATATTTTATGGCCGCCATGCGGCGTTGGTTCGTGCTATAGACATTCTGTTCCAAGCCTCTTCGGATGTCTTCGAGAACCTGGTCCACGACCGATATCGCGAAAGCTGGGTGATAACGTTGGAGGTCGTATGTCAGCATGGCCAGCAAATTGACGTTGCCATATTTGATTTTCCAAGGCTTTGTGAAAACTTTATGCAGAACACGCTGAACAATTGGATCGTCCCAATCAAGCTTGCGAAGGAGCTTAAGAACCTTATCAATGGTCTTCTTAGCTAGAACGTCGTATATAAGATGGCGGATGAAAAGTTCCAAAGGAGTGCGCTCCTTCTGTTGTCTCGGAGTTCGTTCCGGAGGGTTACACTGCATTATTCCTATAAGTAAAGATGCTGTTCCGTCAAGTACGATGAACTGACCTGATAATATGCGTTTTCAAGTAGAAGGATCTGTCTTTGATCGAAGTGCTGCATGCTCTGCTTACGCCTCATGAGCTCAAGCTGCAATAGGGACATTTAGCCATTATCAGCCTGCGCATACGTTGTGGACTGACCATAGTGCCAAATCTTTCCCTAGTCTCGTCACTGCGCAGTAAAAACCGACCGCATCCTTCAAGGAGCATAGAGATATTTTCGACGTTCGTTCCGGAAAAATCGTCCAAGCATACTTTGAACATGTGGAGAATGAGATGAGAAGGTACGACGCTAAACTTTGTCAAGTTCGACAAATATAAGATGTTCTTTCCATATTGATAAGCATTGGGGGGTTTGAGTGAGCGGATCATTAGTTTACCTTCAAGCGAACCTCTGCAAGCTCTTTCACCACATTCTTCTTTCGTTGTAAATAGCGGAATTCTTCATCCAGCTTGAAAAATGAATGTGACCGGGGACCTTATCGAGCTGAGATAAAGCTCACCAGTGCCACAAGCTCGGTGCCGACGTCCGGCATGTATCTGTTCAAAGTTGCCACAAACCTTGCATAATGAGGAAGCAAGTCGGTACGATTCTTTGGTACAGCACCCAGGAACTACGGAGCTGTCAGTCAACCCGGACCGGGAACATGCCTGATTGCTGACCTTGATCAGCCTCTTCCTAGCCGCCTTGGAGTTCAAAAACGCGAAATCGATTGCAGCTTGGTCAATCATAGCACGATTTGTTGCGTCGGGGAGGCGAGCAAGCAAAGCAGTAAGCAGCTGCGATGGTCCCTGAGGAGCGAGTTGGGGAGACAACGGAGGACTTGAAGCCTTGGCCGGAGATGTCGGTGTCGGTGTGATTGTACTAAGCAGCATAAGTCACCCTGCAATCTAGAACTAATTGATAGACAGACGCACCCGTCGGGCTCTCCCTCGTTCGTCTCGACTTCAGCAGTACTATCTCGTCTTCCATTTGTTTGATCACCATCCAGTTTCAGGCCCTCCAATTCCTCTTCTAGTTTCTTCGCTTCAGCATCTGCTTTCTCCTTCTCCGCCTTTTCTCTCTCTTCTGTGGCCTCTTGATCTTCTTTCTCTTCGCTCTCAATGCCCAAAACTGACTTTGGCACGAAGTCCTTGAGGTCCTGAATATCCTCAAAGAAGCGACGCTCTTCCTCGTCCTCCCATTTACCTCCAGAAATCGCAAGAGGATCTTCTTCATCACCCGAGATAGCATTTGCTCCAATTTGGATAGAATCTGATTTCTGAGACACCGTGGGCAATGAAGGCATAGGCAGGTACAGCAGTTCCGAGAGGCTGAAAACAGATACATCAATGGTTGGAACCACTAGAAGATTGGTTTCAAACCGACGTTTGGCAGCTCGCAAGTAGTTTCTCGTAGCCTTTTGTCATCTTCTCATACGCTTGTTGCCTATCCTCAAAAATCTCCCCAGACCGGATATATGCTTCATGATTCCTACGATCTTGATCTTGCAGGCGCTGCAAAAATGGAGTGATTAATTATTATTATTATTTTGGAGAAAACCCCTCTATATATACCTTGTGCTCTATGATGAGTTTCTTGGAAACGCTTTCAAAATAACCTTCGCACATGCGCTTGAAGCGATCGCGAATTTCTTGTTCAACAAGTTCCTCGCCCTCATTCAAGAGCGTCGGAAATTCTCCCTGTGTGGCGTTCGTAGTTGCTTCAGACAAAGTTCCAGGTTCTGCTTCAGCAGATATCTGCCTAGTCTGCGGGGGAGTCAGGCCCAAATATGGTCTCGAGTATGACTTCAGAAATGTGGAAAGTAAGGGTAGAGATGACAAGCTTGGATCATTAGACAACTTTGACAGACGTCAGTTACACCCTAAGAAGTGATTCACAAAAAGCCTACCAATTCCCTCAGTATTTTCATTATCCATTCACCGCCACTTCGTTTCTGTCCATCTGTGATTCCGACTAACGCGAGCTCAGAACAGACACGGAGAAGGGGACGCTGTCGGGAAACTCGGGCAGAGTCCTCCTTCTCGCGCTGTTCAGGAGGCAAAGCGTTGAGGGATGCACGAGAAGGGGCTGCAAGTGCGGTGGACAAGGATGAAGTGAGGGGAGGAGTAAACGCTGCGGGGAAGCGTCTATGGAGAGCTGAAATAACCTAGGATTGTCAAGTGGTCAATATATGCGGCGCTCATGGGAGTTCCTTCTCACCTCAACAGCACTCCAAACATCCTTCTCTGTCTTGCATCTCGCAATTCCTTCTAGGGTAGCCCCTGCTATCTCGTCAATGTACTTTTCCAGCGACAACGAGTCTATGTCCTTGAGGATTTGGTCGCGGTGATCAGTGCCGAGAGACTGGCGCATGCGCTTGATCAAACCAGTGTGACGCTTCAAGGAAGAGTCTAGCCTGGACAACTCCACTGTTGTTTGTAGAATCGTAATTAGATGCCTCCGGGCATGAACAGCGAGTGGGCATGACTCACCGTGGACGTTGGCGGCGTTCAGCTCTCTGAGCTTTACACGCTTAGCATGGCGTGCCCTCTCTTCGTCGACTTTAAGGAGTGCTGAATCCATTGCTTGCCAGGGATATACTGTCAAGGGCGAACCAAGTACAGCACTGAGCGGAAGCAGCAACGAGCTCCTACATGATTGCCTTTTGAGGACAGTAACTTCTTATTGGCTGTTGAAGTTGTTACTTACTACTAGACCACATTGAGGTCGTTGAACGTTGAACACTTACTTCTCGGGCCAGAGCTGCAAAAATGTGCTCATAACATCCAGTAATATTACCCAAGGAACGTTGTAAAGGTACTAGCTGCTAGTACTTCTTTGCTGCATCCTCAAACGAACTTTATGGAGGTCCACCAATAATCAGGTCATGCGGTACTAACATCAATTCTAGAGGCTGCTTTGAGGTGCTAGCGGCGGCCGCAGGCCGCACCGTGATGATGATCAAAAAAATACTAGTCCCTATTTTTTGACTAGGAGCGTCCGCCGCGCGGCCTAATTAACGGAGTACTTATTCATGCCCAACGTGACGTTGACACCGTACATAACTTTCCGAGTCGTACCATCACGGTCAGATCGAAATTCACTGCAATTTCCCGTGGCCTGCAAATACATGGCAATCTTGATACACGACGTTGGAGACTCTGAATCAACAGCTATATGAGTGAAAGCAATGCGAGATACAATGCAACGACAGCAACAGCAACAGCTGGCATAAATACTTGTAGCGAAAAAGGATATCGACGATACGCGAGAGAGGGGGGATTGAATGATGCAATAAATGACACGCAGGGGAAACAACAAATAGTGTTAAAGCATAAAATAACTCGGGGGATATTGGTACAACACGTAATGCGTGGATGAGATCGGGCGATGGATGGCCCATCAGGATGGAGTGAAAGATAACGTACGACACGACTCCGGCGATTTCCATCGTGGTCTGCTCTCCCACCAAAGGTTACCAGCCACCTCCAACGGGGGCGCAAGGCCTTTGAAGGGAGATTAATACCCTGACGCGGTCTCAGCCGGCGCGTGTGGTATCCTCAGCCTCGCCTCCGACAAGGGAGGGGAAAGGAACACTCTCAGCGCCACGTCGACGTCGTCTGTCCTCGCCGGAAACACGGGGTTGTTGGTGTCGTGAGCTAGCATTGCCAACGTTGCCAGCATTGAGATACCTGTAGTGACCTGCACCGGTGCTGACACCAGGGGGGTACAACGTTCCACGGTTGTACGAGCTGCGCTCTTTCCTCCGGATATGCGTGGGCTTTGGGAACTCCTCTGGAAGTCCCTGGCTCGGCCCGGGGTCGGAGTAGAATATCTTTGGACGCCACTCCTCACGTTCATCCATGATGCAGGAATTCTTGAATTTCTCCACGAGGGCTTCCTTTCCCCTATCAAATAAGGCTCGACTTAGTAGCGTTAATGGATGTGGAGCGAGACGCACTGATAATTCGCATAGCTCATCTGAAGCACTTTCTCACTTGAGTAGATGTTCCTGGATGATAAGGTCAGCACATGTCATTCACCGCATGGTACATATCTTACCATTTCTCATTTAGACGCGCCTTCGCGAAACGTAACAAATCTTGGACCGATATGAAATTGACGAAGGCGTAGCCAACGTTGCATCCTGCACCCCACTGTATCAGTACCCGCTGAAATTGTTAAAACCGCAATCGTCGTACCGTTCTGGAAATCCATCCTCAGGTACAGAAAATCAATTCTCCGATGACAGACTTTGTTGATGTACGTGATAAGCTCCTTGTCTGTCATTTTATTCGGAATATTTTTGACCATTACCGTGGTCCGCGTATCGACACCGAGCTCGATTTTTTTGATGTCCAATTGGTTGCCCTCGGGCGGAGCGCGAGACGAGGCATGTGTCAATGATGGTGGGCGCGTGACAACAGTTCCTGGCTGAGGCGGAGCGGAAGACGAAGCATAAGGAAAAGAATACTCCGCTACCGGATGCGATGGTTGCGGATAATAAGGCGGGGACGTGTACATGGTCCATGGTTCTAGAATGTTGGGCGACTGGAAGGTCACCCAACTACCACTCATGGCATCCCAATATACGGGAGGGGACGACATGGGAGATTGGGGTGGGGCGGGATATTGCATCGCCATAGGAATAGAGTTTGGAACTGGGGGCGGTGATACCCAAGGTGGCTGTATCGGGTTGACCTCGAATGGAGCACCATGATAATACTCCGTCGAATAGTACGTTGCCAGATGTGGCGCCGTGCCCGTCGCTGCCACAGTTAAGCCGGAATTATCGCCGGCTTCGTGCTCGTGATCATACATGCTATGCTTTCGATGATGATCTGCATCAAATAGCTTTTGATGAGAATGGCCGCGAGTAGAGTCGAATAACAAGTGATTGGAGCTACGCCTGCCGTACTGTCCCTGAGCGACGGAGTTGTCGATGATGTTGATGTCAGTGGATTCACCGCGGCTATGAGAATGATAGATGGGCTGATTGTCGTGGGGACCTGCTGTGGATCTCCTTCTACCCTTCAACGCCTGACTCCCAGTAGTGCTGTCACGGGAATCGAAAACAGGCGGTTCACGCTCTGGATAATACCCACCTGCACCGACGTCATTCAAGACAGGGAACGGAATTGCAGCTGAATTGGATGTGGCTTGTGACTGCGATAAATAGGTATTCGCCGTGGGTGTTTTCGGCTCCGCGGCGTGTTCGCCCCCGATTTCGCATTCTCTACCAAATGACAAGGGGTCCTTCTGGACTTCTGAGGAATGATCGCGTAAGGATGACTTGCTGAAAAGATGAAGTTTTATGCTATCCACGACGTGACCATCTAGCTCTTCCCAAGCTGCGTCCGCATCCCGGACATCAAAATATTCCACAAGAAAAATCTAGGTTGTTTAAAAGGTTAATAAATTATCAATTACGAAACGTCGGAAGCTGAGTGGTCAAAGGGGAGTGCGGCAGAAGGTCGAAGGTGGACACTATAGGCTAATTGCGAGAAGCGGATAACGGAACACAGACAAAAATGGCAAAAGATGAGAGACTTGCCTGAGTGGAGCTCTCTATGTCTTCGTTAATGCGGTTGAAGACCTTGACGTCCCCATATTTTTCCAATAGACTCCGGATTCTGACCGGGATAGCGAAATGCCTCCGGGTTCGAATGCGAGAAGCATCTCGAGTGGGCGAAGTGTCGTTAACAGATATGCAGAATGCGCCCTCTGTCTGTGTCATAAACACGGGGGACAACGTATCCAGAAGCTTACCACAAGCGTTGTGTTAGTAAGCTGTAGATGTCAATGATGAGATTGCCTTACCTCGGCGCAATGACCAGTTTCAGCAAGACAGCACGTTAACGCCTCTTGCCAAGCGACGCCAGTAGGCGGGATGGCTTTTGTACCATCATCTTGAATCCGTTTACGTGCCCTTGACTCGATAATGTGCTTGGCACGTTCAGCATCGCGTACGTCATAAAACGCGACTATAAAATCGCGATTTTCCGGACTCCTATGGAAGATTTTTTGAATGGACGGAAAACGGCGGTTGGGAGATGACATGGCCCACGCCCTGGGTGTAGTGACGGCAGGAGATGAAAGAGTCTTAAAGTATTGCGTAATGACATCCTCAGATAAATCACTGGGTGCATTTCCGATCTATATGAAACTTGAGTCTGTAAATAAATCTGATTGATAAATGCTTACGATCAGAAACCTGCTGTGCTGATTAGTTTCTGGAGGAGCATCAGCGAGGGTGAGATCAGCAATGGGAATGTTGAGATCTGTTGATTCGTGATCTGTGCTGTCACTTTGAAGAGAGGACGAAGGGGTGAGGGGTGGGGTGAGGTAATGACTTGTTGCGGTTGACTTCCTTGAATAAGTCTTTGAACGACTTGGATCCTTGCTGGTGGAGGGCTGCGGGGGTATTGGAGAAGCTGAATTACGCAAATTCGATTGCGGGGGAGGCACGTGGCGAGATGTAACCATCTCTCGCGGACTTGGACTAGGAAGGGGGGGTGAGTGATATTGAAATAGCTCTGCCCGACTTAGGCTCACCGTAAATTTGGAAGTGAAGGGGATGGTTGGAGTCGCGGGGGTCTAGTTGAGCACTCTCTTGTAGTGCGCTCGAAGAGAGACATGGTGGAAGTGGTGAGAAGGACTGGAAAGGTTGTTTTCGTGTGGAGATAGACGTTTATAAGAAATGTAAAGGAGAAGTTGATTGAAAAGGAAGAATCGGAGAAAGAGTAGCCTGAAAGTGAAATTGATATAAGGAGTTGTTCAGATTGACGTACAGAGAATCATTGTAAGACGTCGAAGGATAAGGCTCGTGGAGTCGCCGTGAAGCTCACGCGGGAGATGATAAAAAACAGTAAGCGCTTGGCCAGACCGGGATCTATCGCGGAACTGCAAGACCGTGCTCTCCACGGGGAAAGAATAATAAGAAAGCGTTGCAACGTTGCAAGCTCTGTATAAGAAGAAGATAGAAAAAAAATAACCAAAGGGATTAATTCAGGATGCAGGGTACCGGTAAAGGCACAGCAAATGAGATGGAACAATCACCAAAAACTCCAAAGATCCTCCAGCGACAGAACTTGAGCCCCTTCTCTGTCAATCAAAAAAAAAGTGCGACACAAGATCCGCTGCGAAGGGGGCTGTTGGCTGTCCATCTTCACTTGATTCATGTTTGAAGCTGAAGTCTAAAAGGTTTGTTGCTCGTCAAGTCCATCCATGACTGCAAATCGTGTGAATTTTCATTAGGATCTCCGGTGGCCAAGCCCACGAAGGGCACTCTACCAAGGGTATATCCGGAGACAACGTTATTCCCTGAAAACTTGTTCAAAACCATATCAATATTTCATCAGTAAGGCAATGATCCTCTCCATCGCCCCATCCGCGAGCGTGAGTTTCAAGTTGCATCCTAGTACTTGTTCAGCTTTGCGGTGACCTACTTGAATATCGCGTTTCAACTTCACCGACATACTTCACCCTAAGGAACGTTCTCTATTCAATGGGCGGCCGGCTCCATGACTTGACTCCCACGAAGCTTAATATCCCTTGGTCAGGAGGTCGTTTGCGACAGAAGCGCTGAGGAACTTTCATCATCAATTCGGAAACACGGCTACAGGCTTCTTCAGAACAACGTACAAGCACGGTCAGATACGGATGTTCACTGAGATCCAGATTTAAATCAATTTCCATTGAAGGTCACCTTCCCGGTGTCGTCTGTCTACGGTGTGATCCGAGACGTTGAAACCCTGTCCTCCACGTTCAAGGTTGCCCTTCGTCCTGAAAAAAAGTACAAAGCGTACATAGTCAGGACTTTCACGCAACACAATATCATCCACGTACATATCTTCAGTCCATATAGCTTCTTTAAATTTGTCCTGCCAAACGTAGAAATTAATCATGAATGTTTACAAGGAACCGTGATCTTGATTTCACTCTGAGCTTGTCTGAGCTCTTTCTGAGTTCAGAACATTTCACAAAACCAGACTCCTTAGCAACCCTACAAACCCTTTTTTCTTCCCATTCATGTTAAAAATCCGAGGGTAACCTTGTCTACCTTCCTTTGGTCCTAGGGGACTTTCGACGTTCCCCAGAGAGTAACCTGTAAGTAACGATGCCTCATTTTACCATTGTTCATCTTCGCCATGTGTCTACGGACGGGATCTTGCGGTGCTCTGACCGTTTCACCTGTGCCTTTGGTACCCAAAATTCCTGCAATTTGGTTTCGCAGCACTGCAGTCTCTCCCTCGGACATTGTTCTCTACCGTGATGCATCCACTGGCCCATCGTGGACGACGTCTCTTGCTTGCTCAGCTCCGGTGTTCTCGATCGGCATTTTCCTATCATTAATCTTCTACCTCCCGGGCGCAAATCAAATCAACGCTGTTCTAACGATATGTGGACGGTGTAGCGAACACCGATATAATCGTGTTAGCACCTCCGATACGTGCGAGCTTCGTGATAAACTTGTCGTATCCACGAATAGCATGGCCACGATGCACTCGTTTGCGTGTCGAGGTAAGCGAGAAACACTGCACATAGCATAGAACTTACGCGTCAGATGACAGTGCTCCTAACTTATATGAGACAGACCCTGACGTACTTCATCCGGTCGCATGTTCAGATTTTCCTTTGTCGCCAATTAGTCGGCGACACTTCGCACTTCATCAATCATGGGATGGGTTTTTGATAAGGTTCCGTGACGGATCAGGTCCTTTCAGTGCTGTGCGTTCCGACACGTACATGGAAGCTCCGAAAGTTCACCATCAATATTTGATTGAGTACGATGAATTATCTATACTAGTAGCCTCGTCGACTTCGCGAACGGGCTATACTAGTATTGCTACTAGTGTATAGATCAGATGGTTCGACAGAGAAGATGATCAGATTGTTCCACGAGAAATAGAACTTCTGGATGTTGTGACGGGTACCTGCACAGTGCACATGATGCCATGTCTCGTCATCTATGTTGCGATCGTTCGGAGAGCTTGATCAAATGATATTCCGCATCTCCCCTCCTCGAGAGAAAAGAAGGAAACGCACTCGTTTTCCCGTGTGATCGATGACTTTTCCACTCAAACCCTGCGGGCTGCTGGAGGTGCACTTTGTAGCAATACTGTAGAGATACGACACTAGGTTCGTCACAGGTCACAGCCATCAACGAATCGAACCTATTTGGTGTGACTGTCACACCAATTTTTTGGGGGCCGAAGCTAATTTGTGACACGTGGTAAAAACATACAGAAAAACATATAAAAAACATTAAAAAAAACATATAAAAAACAACAATGTCTATGTATATTCTACCTGTTGCTTCTCAGCTTTACAATAAGATATGAATCAGACAAGAAGCCTTGACAAGTACAAGGTGCAGCAATCACGATTTGCGAAGCTATTTTTTATGTGGTCACAGGTCACTGGGTCGTTCGAAGCTGTGACACTAAGCGTGACCGTGTCACGTGCTGCACGTGACGAAGCTAGTGTCGTATCTCTACAGTATTCATTTCTTCAGCAGGGCCCCCGGACCGACTCTGAAAAGGTCGTGTGAAATATTTTACCACGGCTGTTCTGTCAAAGTCTCCGCGTTTGACTTGGCAAGAACGGTGAACAGCACGACCGCGCTTCCTGAGACCGTACCCTTTACTATTATCCTAATTCTGGACCTATCTCAACATGCCACTCTACCAAATGTTCTGCATTGCCAGTCATTTTAGGGAATACGTGAGTCACATTCTGCATTTAGTGGAATTTGCGCCTCATGACACGAAACAGAAACACATAAAAGACCTGGTGACTATGTCCGCCACGCATGTAATGAATGAAGGCGGTGTGGTGCGAAATATCCAGTACAATGGAACACAGACGCTTCCCGAACGAATGCGGCGCCATAAGCAGTATTACACCGTTGGAGAGTAAGTCTCGCGTGCTTTGTCCTGGGCTCATGGTGACCTTGTCGTTTTATTAGTTATTGGACGATGCATTTTGACACTTCACCTCGTACGCTACGCACATTGGCTGGAATGATGCGTCGAGATCATCGCGTCATAAGATGGACAATGTTGAAGTTGGGCGAGAAGGCGGAAGATGTGGTCACTTCACCTGAGCAGACGGTGGACCGCCGTTTACCAACATCATCGAGCAAAACCGGCTCTTATTGGTCCTCGTGACGCGTTTCTGATATCTTACTCGCTTTCCGGTCTAGAACATCTTGTAGAGTCGACTTCGTGTTTATTGAAAAAGACTCTAACCCAGCCAACGACGGACATGCTCTCAACAACTTCCTGTGGTTTGTTGTTCTACCCACTTTACAACCCCCCACAGGTCATTCACTACCTGTACACCTTGAAGATCTTCACCCTCCTCCTTGCGTTCACCATCGCCTTCTGGCCCTGCCCTGCGCAACAGCAGGGCATGCATTCCAGCAGCTCGAGCACCGTGATAATCACTAAAAGAAATTCAAATCGACGTGACTTTGTGAATGTTAAGTCGTACCTCTCAAGTTCATCTCCCACGTGAACACCCTGCAGCTTTATCGGATCTAACTGCGTGCCGAATGCTAGACGAAACACTCCGACATCTGGCTTCTCTATTCCCACCTCCTCGCTCAGGAGAATTGGATCGAGGTACGGAGCAATTTCAAGATCCTTCAATACAGATCCTGCGTGACGACTTAGCTAACGCGGAAATGAAGCTTCCAGAAGACATACGCATGCGTGTGTCAGTGTTGCTGATCAGCGCGGTACGAATATTCATTTGATGCAGCCGCCTCACTACGTAGTATGCCGGGTCATAGCCATAAGCACGAGCCATCGAAGAATGGCCCCGAGTATGCACATACGTACTGGGAGGGAATCATGGAAGAGTTTGTAGCCTTCTCGAGAACTGAATCGTTCCATAAGACTGGGAACGATTTGCGGCAATGAAGAGTCTACAGCTAGCAGAAGGTGGGTATTAGACTTCCACAAGGATATTGACCTGGGTCAGGGAAACCTTGTGGGTTGGCACCAGCTCCGATGGCTGTTCGCTTGATAACTTCGGACCACCATCCTTCAGCGCCAGACTCCCCCTGATACGCGGGTTTGTCCTTTTGTACCTGTGTCAGCGCTGAGGGACCTGCGGTCAAGGGCTTGTATTATAGGAGGTCGATGACCTACATACCAACTTTAAAAGACTGTCTGAGCAGCCCTGGCTCGAGGACGCCAAGATATGGAGCAAATGTCTGTGAATACTGGATGTAAATTGGTAACCTAGGCGTTAGGAGCGTATGCAAGGCATCGAATGTCACCAGCCTGATGGTCATCTTGCAGTCGCAGTAGCACAGAACATAAAGCAATGAATTTCAGAATTATTGGAGGAATAAACCTGGCTTTTATGGGGGTGCCAAGTTGGGGTTGCACCGATGTAGCACTGCCTGACTACTGCTGTAGTACATCGGCTGGGAACGCTTACTACGGCTTAGGGCAACTTCCCCGTTCTCTCCTCCACGACTCTTAACTTACTTGATTCCCTCAATACTCTCAATTTCCGGCCTGACTAGAGTTTACATTAACTTGTTATTGGCCAGAGCTGACTCTGAGACGGAGTGTTGGTGGTCTGATAAATCAACACGAGTCGCATTCAGGCTCCATTGCTCATCTAGCCAGTGACACGCGGCAGGCGTCAACATCGAGGCATTACCCTGTTTCTCTTGCACTTCAACGTTCATCATGTCAGAGGCGCTTGCCATCGATGCTCAGTCTCTGAGAAGAACTCAGTCTGCTGGCGATATCCACCAACCGCCCAGGGCCCGCCTGTCAACGTCACATCATCGCTCTGAACAGGACGGGAGGAATTTCCACGCTAGTTCGTCGCCAATTGCTGAAGGAAATACTGAAGAGTAAGTAGTATGCGACTTGGCATGAAAGCTCCTTTGATCGATGTTCATCTGTGTTGTAGTACTCCACGCAGCCCCTGGTTTTCGCCCAACAGAACCTCTACAGGGCAGCAACAAAGCAGAAGATCCTCCACTTCCACTTCTCGACCACGCCTCTCCTTAACTGCCAGATTCAAAGCATTCTTTGGGATTGGTCCTGATGCATCAAGAACACGTAAAGCTCTCGTATCAGTTGTGTGGACGTTGGCATATGGTTTCTTTCAAGTCTGTTGACTTTCTTTCGAATCAAGGGCTACACTGAATTATGGCTTTCAGGTTGCGGCTATTATCGCCGTCCTGGGTGTAGCCTCTGTAACGACCAGCCCGACAAATGCTGGGGTCCAGCAGATCGATGCTTGTGGGCGGCCTCTCGTTGCTTGGGATTGCATTTGGATAGTGAAAGTTTGCTTATCGTCCACCCTGGCGTATTGGAATTTCGTTAGAATTCGAAAGGCGTGAGTAGCATGGGCCCTATCTATACGGTGCCTGATAAAACGGAAACAGGGAGAATACATCGAGACCAGGTGATGCTGAGTCTGGTGATCGCCCCCGAACGGATAATGAGGGGAACCCTCGTCGTAGCGACCCAAGTCGTCGTCGACAGAGAGATCCTCATAGACGGGCGAGGAACACGACTTCAGGCGGTGCTCCAAGTCAAGATGAGCCAACACCGCCATATTCTTATCTTTACGCGCGGTATGCATTGTTTTGTTCTGCAACCCCATGAACATGTAAATAACCTTTGTGGCAGCTTGTCACTCCTTTCATCCATGCTCACCCTGACATGGTTTCTAACCGCGCACATTTTGGAGTACACATCCGTTGACTCATGCCGACTTTCTTCGCCCCTCGTCTGGTGGCTTACTTTTGGAATTTTATGCACGATGTATTTCCTGGTTCTCGAGGTCTTGGTTTTCGGTTTTCTTGTTTTCATGGTTTTGCCTTTCATTATGGTAAGTCCGGTCTTTCCTCGTCCTGTCCACATACTGATAGGCATCCCTCTGCAGCTTTTCTACAGTATTATCCTCCTATGCTTGGGTCGTCACCCACTTCAGAACCCTCACTATATTAAACCCGAAATCGAAAAGCTGCCCAAAGCCATTGTCGAACGTATCCCTCTAGTCATCTACATTCCTCCTCCACCAGAAGACGATGGAAAGGCACAACCGATTTCCTTGCCGAAGCCTGTTCATAGCTATCCACCCAAACCACCAGCCTCGCGGACGCCAAGGAGGCGATTTGCATTCTTCCGCCGTAGGCCAGCCAATAAGTCCGATCAAGGCGTTGAAACCCGTGACGGCAAACCGGGCGCGAAGTCAGACGCCAAAGATGCGGAAACTTGGGAAGATACCTGGGAGCAATGCGAGTATCCCTTTGTCCGATTGGAAGGCAATCGAGCTGCCTGCGCCATCTGCTTGATGGACTTTGAAGAACCAAAGCGACTGTCCACTGCTGCAGAGACAAGCACGACGGAGAAGAGAGAAGAAGAACAAGCTGCAGTTGCGCCCGCCGAAGTGAACCCGTCTCGCCAGCGTGAAGAGGAAGTTGAAATACCGGTGGAACGTATCACTGAAGAAGAAAGAGGCGGGCTCCCTCACCTTGAAGATGCGGGAGTCGGCCCGCAACCTCTTCGACTACTTGCGTGTGGTCACGTCTTTCATGTGCGCACGCTCGGGCTTATATTTACTTCATATGTCATTGACTTTTGATGCTGACAGAAAACATGCATCGACCCTTGGTTAACTGACGTATCCGGCCGGTGTCCGGTGTGTCAGCGACCCGTGGAGCTTGATGAGACGGAACCAAAGAAATCGAGGCGAAGACGTCGCTCATAACCGCTTTCCGCGAATATAGTGGTTTCAGTTGTGGGTGACGAATTACTAGTGTAGGGGCCGATGTACATCATACATTGCATTGCATATTCATTGGACAATATTGATTTCTGTGAGCAGGCAGTCCGATGCATGTTGATGCGACGTTCGTGCCAAGATTTTGATTACTCAGCTGACTGACTCACGCCATATGACAAATGTCCTCCGAGGGACTGTCCGATGTCCATGTCAGGCCTTGCCGACATCACGGTCAATTTAAATAAAAGCTTGAGTCCGCTCTGTGAAATGATCCACGATTCCCTACAACAGCATGGCTGATTCCTACGAAGCTGAGCGCACAATCGAAAAATCTGAGGGTAGCACTTCCACGCATGGTCGTACGGCAGCGTTGGCCACAACCCCTATCGTGCCCGACAAACCATTCTCGCATGGCATCTTTGACAAAGATCCAGAAACAACTGCCGCAAGAAATGGCTGGTTAAAGATCAGCATCCTAGGTGTACTCGTTCTTTTTGTTATGATCTGGGGCGTTCTACCTATCTATTGGGCTGCCCTTGGTCGGTCGTCCAATAATATACACAATCTCTCCGGATTCGTGGTGGTAAGCACTTCTTTCAAATACGATCTTGCGCTTCCTGACGTTCATATCTGCAGGACTTCGATGGAGGCGAAATAGGACAAGCAGTAACACAGGCATTCAAGAACATAACGGGTCCACAACAAATGTCCTGGCTGATATTGGATGCAGCGCAATTTCCTGGTGGACCGGAGGATGTGGCCCAGGCTCTACTTGATCATAAATGCTGGGCAGCCGTTACTAGTGCGTATTTCTAGGTTCAGCGCGTTATTTCTTCACTGAATGCAAACTAAACTACTCTAGTCAATCCCCAAGCTTCAACTAACTTGAATGCGTCGATAAATGCAGCCAATGCATTGTATAACGCGTCCCAAGCTATATCCGCATACGTGACCAGTGGTCGTAATGAGAACATATAGTTAGTCGTGCACTTCATTGCGTTCGTTCCACATCTGATTGCATCATGCTTACAGTCGAGGCACCATCACCCCACAAGTAAGTCGCCAATTCTAGGCATTCCAAGAAAGTTGTTGATAGATGAAATGTTCTAAAAGACCACCTCAATACTGACAACCATTTCGCATACATTTTCACTCTCCCTCTCCCAACGGTTAGCGTTGAGGTCAGATATCTCGACACTGCTTCAAACCGCACCTCAACTTGTAATTCAACCACTGGCTTTCATCATTTATGATATAAGGCCGTTTAATGTCCCTGTGTATGTAATTTGGTTTGTGATGCTCAGCACCCCCAAGTTGATTCGTTTCACAGGGCCTCCGCGGTAGACTATGTTGGATTGATCTACCTCCTGATTTTGGCGGTATGTTCACGACCTTGTTGATGGGAATATGTCTAACTCTCTCATTTTTAGTTCGTGTTGACGGTAAGATCTTAACTATGGTTCCGGGTAATGTCTAAGATGTCGTGATGATTAGAACCAACTTTTGGTGGCCCGCGTTCAACCTGGCTTCGATAGGCGTTTGAAGTTGCGATCTCTCATCCTTGTCCGTCTGTTATGGCCAGTCACACTCTATTTCTTCATATCGGTATGGTTTTTTGTTCATTTCCGAGGATTCATTAACGTGTGGTATTCATAGCTAATGTATTCTCTCTTAAGTTTGGCGTTCGGGGTGCCATTTGGCAGGAAGTGCGTGTCATATTTTCTTAAGGCACTAGAATCGTGATCTGACTTTGGATCTTTCGAAGATTTGGGCACGCAGGTTTTGTCATCTATTGGATGATGTCGTGGAGCGCCATGTCCGCCTTGTGAGTTGTCAACAGTGATGAAGTGGTCCGCATGCTCACCAGTAATTCAGGGGCCTCGCTCTCGAATCTATGATCACCCTCCTTACCATCAAATTCATCCCGGTATTTCTTATCCTGTGGATCATATGTCTGTTTTTTCTCTCTCATCATGACGCTATTCACTGACTTGCGCTGGATGATACAGCGAATGTATCTGTAGCCTTTTATCCGATAGAAGTGCTACCAGCTGTCTTCCGCTATGGTTTTGCGATGCCATTCTATAATGTTTCAAGCACAGTTCGGACGATTATTTTTGACACCAAGAACCAGAGTATGTATCTTCACACTGTCAATGTTGAACGTCCCTAACGAGCGCCTTATCACACAGTCGGACTAAATTTCGGTGTCCAATTCTCATGGATTCTAATCTCTTGTATCACCCTTCCAATATTTCAATGGATCGTCAGGCGACAAGAAGTCAAGGCTTGGGAAGCATCCCAACGAGCTGCACGAGAGAAGGCATAACGCGTGTAACATATTTGCACGTCGTTTTCCAGTGCCGGATGCGACTTAAACAGCTGGGACAGGGGGTTAACACTTGGAGAACACGAGCCTGGAAATATCGTTTCGTAATGTAATTTCATTACACTGGTTTGTTCACACTATGGCACTTAACGCATATCATGAACGCGAGCTTTTGTTCCACCTACTACATATACTGCACCCTAGCTAGCATAATTTATTACCCATTGTTAGTTGAGTACAAGAATATCCTGGTTAGAATATCAACCTTGTCTGTCTCAGGAGAACACAAACGGAAGAAGAATTCCATGTAGAAAAGGAAACGACATACATGCTACAAACCCAATCGTGACGCGTCAGTCACGTGTTTGGAAAGTCAATTTCAGCGCTCAGCGTTGTTCGCCACGTGACTATTACGGTCGAGCGTTTAGATGACGTCATCCGAATTTTGAGACTTCCGCTCTTCCGAGTGCTTTGACATCCGACGTTCCGAACGTATCAGACGAACTATCACAGCCTACAGTTATAAGGACGGCCACTCACATTAATTATGATTCTTTCAACTCTTCTTCTAAACTATTTCCACACACACCAACTCTTTCAATCATAATCGTTCCACTATGCTTCAGAACTTTACAAATAAAGTCGTTAACTCATTGTTGGGCTCAGACGAAGCGGGCTCCGACGAGCTGCTGGATAGGCAAGCGGTGGGTTGTCATATGTTCACCAATCGCAACCTTCTCACCCTCATTTGCGCCTAGGCTCAGATTGAGTCTGGTGACGCCCACATTCGTCCCGAGATTAATAGCCATTGGGCGTCTGCCATGGCAGACACAATTCAAGTTCCAGGCTGTAACTGTATCTGGTGTAGCAGAAATAGCGAATTGGTGAGCTACTTTCATCAACCATGCCTGAGACATATTAATATTTGCGCAGGATGGAGACCCGAGGGTGGAAAGGGGCCAACCGGGTCATCCTCGCAACCGCCCACGCAAGGTGCGCGACTCGCCAATGGCCACGACAACTGGGGTGATGGAAGTGTTGTATCCTCCGTCATATCTTAACACGCCTTCGACTCTCGACCCCGAGGCTCGCCCTCCCGCTTACGAGCTGCGACCCACAGTACCTCCAAATACTCCGCAATCTCCTCGCTCTCGACCATCACCACGGATTGCGCGACAACCAATCACTGGCCTTGGCCTGGAGTTTCCTGAAGAAGCTAATAATGTTGAGCCTCCGGCATATAGTCGGTTTGATTCTTCACGCCCCCGGTTCCCAGCTGCCTCTGACACTCTGGGACCATACCCTCATATCTCGATGCTCTCCCTATAACTTAGGGTTTTTTGACATTACATTACTGCAAAGACTAATGTAATTTCGATGTATCAAATTTTAATTCAATGTATCCATAGATCTCAACTACAATATCTTACTCTTCATCTTGTCTGTATTCGTTGTCTCCTATAAAATGTATCCGCCTCGGCTTAGTCAACTACGTCTAACTGACACGTGTGATACCTTTCAACCTTCACCTAATTTGCGGATTCCGATAGGTTTGCGGAATCGTGTCGCAGGCTCTCCTCTTCATTCTGTAATACCACCAGGATTCCCCTGTACAATGTTTCCTCATCTTGGAAGGACGGCGAGTATTGTTTCACAGTCTGTCAGGCGAATGGCTACGTTGCACAAGCCGCCATTAACAGGGAAAAGGTGTGCTAGTCAAATCGGGCATGATCTAATTAGTTAACGCGACGTTTCAGTCCTACGGGTACGCATTCCCTGCGTTTCCTCTCATTACATGCTTGACGCACGGTTTCTTCAGCCATTGTTATGTTGAACATGGGAGGACCTTCGACGGTACGTGAAATTTCGCTATGTCTGAATTTCTCTCATAGCATGTCACACCACTCTCACAGGTACCCGAGACCTATGACTTCCTCAAAAACCTGTTCATGGATGGCGACCTGATTCCGCTGCCTTTTCAGCGCGTTCTAGCCCCTTTCATTGCCAAGCGGCGGACACCTCAAATTGAGAAGCAGTATGCTGACATTGGTGGTGGTTCTCCCATTCTCAAGTATACGGAGTTGCAGGGTGCTGGTATGTGCGAACTCCTGGACGAGCTGCACCCAGAGACTGCTCCACACAAAAGTTATGTCGCGTTTCGCTATGCGAACCCGCTGACACAGGAGACTGCGCAGAGGATGAAGGCGGATGGTGTGAAGAGGGCAGTTGCATTCACGCAGTATCCGCAGTACAGCTGTAGTACGACTGGAAGCAGTCTGAACGAACTTTTCAGACGAGGGAGGGGAGGCGAGATGGGGGACATCGAATGGAGCGTGATAGACCGCTGGGGTACACACCCAGGATTCATCGAGGCACGTTCATATTCTTGTGTATCTCGCAGGTGCTGATTATTTGTGTCGAGGCCAGGCTGTTGCACAAAACATTGAGGCCGCCCTGGCTAAATTCCAACCGTCAAAACGCTCAGACGTGGTTATTCTGTTTTCAGCTCACTCATTACCTATGTCGGTAGTGAACCGAGGCGACCCATATGTCCTTGAGGTCTCCGCATCCGTTAACGCCGTTATGGACAGACTCGGCCACTCAAATCCCTACCGTCTTGTCTGGCAGTCGCAAGTTGGACCTTCTGCGTGGATGGGAATGCAAACTGGGGAGGCTATCAAGGGTCTCGCTCGTCTTGGACAGAAGGAAGCGGTTCTAGTCCCTATTGCCTTCACGAGCGATCATATCGAGACGCTCTATGAGCTGGATCTCGAGTATATGAAAGAGGGAAAGGAGGTACGTTGGGCCATGAGAGCAAGCTTCTTGACAACTCACCCACTATTCTTTGCAGCTGGGGATGGAGCTGCAGCGCGCGGAATCACTGAATGGATCTCCTGTGTTTATCCGTGCGTTGGCAGATATTACGGCAAAGCATTTGCGTGACTACTCAGCGAGGGCGATTGGACCTACGAGTGTACAGATGGGACTCCGGTGTCCGGGCTGTAAAAATATGACTTGTGGCCAGCAGAAACATTGGTTCGCCCGTGCTGGACGTTCGTAGCAGTTCAAACGTTCATTTTTGGCTTACTATGTAGAGCGAATGAAGGCAACCTTAGACTGCCCGTTTCTAGCATCTGCTGTCAACTTTCTCGCTATTTGCGAATTCACTTTTGCAGCATCGCGTGTTTTTGGTCGATTTTTGGTCGACCAATTAAAGCGTTCCCGAATAACCATCAGACCCGAGTACAGCTGCTGACTCAGCGACAAGCCCTTATACTTAACTGTATGATGCCTCTGAATACGAGAATGACACCATGTCTACTACAACAATCGTATCAGCGCCGGGAAAAGTTCTAGCAGCAGGAGGATATCTTGTCCTCGACCAGCAATATCCAGGGGTAGTGATCTCCACATCTTCGCGATTTTACACCGTTATCCAGGCTTCGTCGGGTTCTGCTAATCAGATTGTGGTCCGATCTCCCCAATTTAATCAGGCCGAGTGGAAATATACTGTGACCTATGATGCTGCGGGAATTCAGGTAAATCCACAAGAGGACAGGTGAGTGGTATGTCTTTGACATATTGATTATGCCTCACGTATCTCCTGATCAGCGTTGGGGGGAAGAATAAATTCGTCCACCTGGCTCTCCAGCACACCCTGAATCTCGTGTCGGAGATTCACTCTGTAGCACAAGTGCAAGAGAGACTCACTCATGGTCTCGATATAGCCGCTGTGGGCGATAATGACTTCTACTCTCAGCGCGCACAGGTAAGCAACTCCTGATACCACAGTAGACAAATGATGTAATCGAATCATTGGCATAGCTGGAGTCCTTAGGTCTACCTCGAACGATCAAATCTCTTTTGCAAATCACGCCATTTTGTCACAACGGCGTGAAACTGACCGACGTGCACAAAACCGGCATGGGCTCCTCCGCGGCGCTCATCACGTCGCTTGTCTCTGCACTGCTTCTCCATTTTGCAGCCATCACTGAGACAGATTTTGCCACTCTAGAAGGGGATGGCAGACGCCTCGCCCACAATGCTGCTCAATTTGTACATTGCCTTGCCCAAGGCAAAGTGGGCAGCGGATTTGACGTGTCTTCTGCGGTATTCGGGAGCCAAATTTACAGGCGGTTCGGCCCCGCTGTTTTGGACCCCCTGATGAAAGGCGATGTATGTTGTGTTTGGCATTTCCGCTTCTGGCGTGCGCTGATTCTTCTTAGTTTGCGACAGGGACGTTGAAGAGTGTTCTGAACTCCAGTGCCTGGGATTACAGTTTCCGGCCGATCCAGCTCCCCCCGTTGACAAGACTGGTTCTGGCAGACGTTGAAGCAGGAAGCGATACTCCTTCTTTGGTCGGTAAGGTGTTAAAATGGAGAGGACACGAAGACAGCTGTGAAATAGGTAACCATTAGATTTGTGAAAGCTAGTCGGATGTCTAATCCTTGTCGTTTCATGCAGCGAAGGAGCTATGGACGCAGATCGACGAATCGAACCAATCTCTAGCACGGCAGTTGGACGCCCTTTCGCAGTCGTATGTTGAGAACAAAGATGCATATGAACAGACCATCAGACAACTTACTTCTCTGCCCGCACACGAAGTAAGTAAGATTCCTTTTTTTGCAATCCTTGTTCCTCATTGTGCATTGCAGTGGGAGACTATCTCCAAGGCGTTTTATGATTTGCATCAAACTACCCAGGTGAGGAATGTTCCTCACCACCGCGCATTGAGTTGAACGCGCCCTTTCTTTTTAGCAAATACGTAACCTCATGCGGAGAATGGGCGACCTTGCTGGCGTTGAGATTGAGCCTGAGCAACAAACACATCTACTTGACCGATCGATCGAGCAGGCAGGCGTGATCGGTGGTGGTGTTCCTGGCGGTCAGTCCTATATTTTTTCAGGAGCTGGACTATATCTTAATCCGAGAGTAACACAGCTGGCGGATATGATGCCATATGGCTACTCATTTGCGACCCTGCAGGTCTTCCGGACGAGCAACAACCTCTGCGTCGTGTTGAATCCGTATGGAGCACCTTTGATGAATCCAACGTAACTCCTCTCCTTGCTCAGGAAAGCGTCGCCAAAGGTGCTCGCGTCGTGCAGCTTGACGAAATACCAGGGCTCAGGGAAGCGGTTCAGCGGCGATAATCAAATTTAAATAAATGTCCGATCCGTGCATTATTTACTACTCTAGATGTATGAATGTGGAAAGCTGTGGGCTGTATTAAAAACGGAGATCATGTCATACACATCTTTGCCTCGCCCATGGGCGTGTACGCTCTTTGGACCACTTGAAGGAGGGATACGGTCATCACAGCCACCCCAAACGCAAGGCAGATTGCGGCTGGAAGCTTCGCACGAGAGTGCCACTTAACATGTGGGTCGCTCAGTTTTAAGTAGCATGCAGCAGGAAATATGTACGCGAGCGCTGTGGCTGAGACACCGCCAGTAATCTCCAGGGTGACGCCTAGATCGCAGGTGATCAATGACACTGGTTCAGGATCCGCGTGAGCTCCAGCTGTGGTGATTGGCATGACGACTTACGAAGCATCGATGAGAAGAGGATAGTGGTGGTGAAGAAGACATGTCGCTGAATATTATAGCTTTCGTGCGAGAAGAAGTACTGTTCGATCACCTGAAACGATTGAGTTAAATGTCGTCCTGAACCTGCATACCATTGATGTACTTCTCTACAGACAAACAGCTCCAAGGGCAATGTCGTAAACATATTCAGCCCGAAGCAGAACCGGGCTACATTGATCAGTGAATCGTTCTGTTCCGCGTTTGTCAGACGTCAAGCATCCAAGAATTAAAGGAAAGCTCACCGCGGAGAAGTTATTCAGTATATTCCCCTCAGTTCTATCTGTAAATACCCAGAAGCCTGATATAGCCAAAGTACAGCACGCCACGAGTGAGATGATCGTCGATATATGCGTCACTTGAGCGAACCGATCTAGGGTGGGGGTCTTCAAGCTTCCGTAGATGAGTAAACTATTGTGATGGCACACAAATGCAAAACTAATAACGCCGATTGCCTGGAAGACCCCCGGGCCAATCACTGTGAGACGTTTCGATGGATCACCTTTGAGATTGGGCGACACGTGCGATCCTTCGATCAGCACCGCTGAAACGATGATGAGCATGCTGAGCAATGCAAGCCCGGATGCACGTGAAAGCTTGTGGATGTCACGGTAGAGCGACAACGGATAGGAAACACAGGTCGTGCACAAGGCAATGATGAATTGGCGGTTTGTGAGGAGTGAGAGAACAGGTATCGTGTACAGAGTGGGAAAAACTGAACGGATGACATGGGGTATCGTGTCTCCTGGTGAAAATGTAAGTTATGAATATGATACACTAAAAACCCTGCACTTGCCAATGATAATGCCGAACGCGCACATGCCTGAAGAAACACTCGATCGTAAATACAGTGATGTAGATATTATGACTCACCACCGAAAGCAAATGAGAACTGGAAGAACGACACAGCTGCACGACCGCTTGGGCCAAAACAACTGTTCATGACTTCGATGTAGGAGGTTCTGCCGCTGAGCTTGGCGTTGATGACAACCAATCGGATAGTCCAATCGGTGACGGCGCAAAGAACGACCAGAAGAACAATGCCAAAAAAGAATCCTGCTTGACTGACCGCGTAAGGCAAACCTACCACGTTATTAGCCAAATCTGTTACTGAAACTGTAACCTGACAAACCGATGATTCCTGTCATTCATTGTCAGTACATTGGGCATACAAGTTACTGGAAGCTTACCAGCTCCAAGGATTGAATTTGCCATATTAGCAACCGAGTTCAGCAGACCTCCACCTGACCACTGTTTTTCAGCGAGGTCGTCAAGGTCCATGTTCCGAAGTCCCTCTCTATTCTCCATATTACCTGCTTCGTACATGGGAATAATTGTGTCTGGCGTTCTCCTTGCGGCAGAAGCATCCATGAGACCGACCAGTAAGGGCATAGTACGTTCTCGGCGTGGGGCCCCACGAGAGCGCCTTTGCTCGCGCTGGATATCAGCTAGTGAAGCATCATCAAAGTCGTCCGAGTCCAGTTCATATTCTGTACAGGCAGTGATAAGGTGCGTTGAACTAAGAGCACAAATATACGCACCCGCCTCTCGACTCTGTATTGTGGACCGTAAAGGTGGACCAATGACCTGCACTTCTTCCTGAAATCTAACACTCGGTTCTGTCCTCTGCACAGCCGTCCAGGGCTCTACACTACTGCTTTCCGAGTCCTCGTCATCCACTGAGAAGACAACGTGGTTGGAATCCGCTGAAACATCCTCGTGTGAAGCATTCAGCAGAGGCTGCCTAGCCTCTCCGTCTGCTGTTGCCTCTCTTGCTCTTGAGTTTGACGCAAACATTTGATACTGTCCATAGACGAACTGAAGAAATCACCGTGAAACGTGTTAGTTTGATGTAAAGTCGAATCTAGCAACAACGAATGGTCTTGAATGATGTGTTTATTTGGCCTACTAATGGCCTCAACCAGTACTTATGGGTCACGAGCACACATTCGCTGTACATGGCAATGCAGATAATAGCATTTTCAACGTTGTCACGGCGAACTTCAACAATATCCAAAACTCACAAAGTCACAGCAAGAATCGAAGTAACGTACTTTGAAATCGACACAGCAAGGGGCGGTCACGTGGTGCGGCTGATACGCGCGGTGGCCAGGCCTACCCTCGGCGACCCTTGTTAGGAACTTTTCTAGCCAGTTGCTTGGAATAGCTTGGAATTTTCCTTCGTCCAGGCCAGAGCCGCCAGACGCAGGTTCACCCATGGACATGTTCACTTTTCTGTTACTTGCACCTTTTTTTCTCTGGGCGTCGGGCACTCATGTCTTAGCGGCTGGCCAGATTCCTCTCGCGTCGGTAGCTGCGTCCTTCTCCTTGACCACAAGTACCGTGATGCCCTATCCTTCTGCTACTCAAAGCGCATCCGATACATCATCGTTCATTGCATCCCAGTGGTCATTAAGCAAAGGACACATTCAGAACGGCGATACCAACGTTGCTTTTGTGAACGACCCCTTCCCAAATTCACCGGCTCCTGGTGCGACCGTGTCAAATACTTCTGGTCCCGTCTTACAAGTCACATATGCTGCTGGTACCTACGGAAGTGCAGATTCTGGTGCTCAATGGTACTCGCTTTGGAATACGACAGACGGGTCTCAATTTCAGAGCATGTTGCTCTCCTACGAGCTTGCATTTGATTCCAATTTCAACTGGGTCCAAGGGGGAAAACTTCCTGGGCTTAGAGGCGGTACCGATGTCAACGATTGCTCTGGCGGAGCGCAGCCGAACGGGACTAATTGTTTTAGCACCAGGCTCATGTGGCGAAAAAAACGCGCAAGGAGAAGGTATAAACGCAGTCATGCTCTCGTATTGGCGTTGACATCTTGCGTGTAGTTTATGCATACATGTTGACTCCTAACAACATGTGTTCAGATAGCAACATAATTTGCAACTCTGATTACGGAGTAAGCATCGACCGAGGATCGTTTGGCTTTGAGACTGGCCAGTGTGTACTTCTTAAGGCTGTTTGTCCTGACATACACGCTAAAGACTGGATGGCAGCTGGTGTCGCATCACTCTTCTTGTGCAACTGAACAATGCTTCCGGCGTTGCGAATGGCAACATTATTTTGTAGTAAGTAGTGTATCATTCGGGTGGCGCAACGTAAAGTTCATCATCGTTGTAGCTTTAACGACGTACAAGTGATATCGCAACAAAACTTATACTTCAGGACTGTCAACGATTTCGCCATTGGGGGATTGTACTTCTCGTAAGTCGTGTTCTTTTGTGGATCACGTTCTACGGCTACTGACTTGGTGAATATGTAGGACGTTCTTCGGAGGTTGGTTCTGATCATACCTGTCATATTCTCATCGAAGCATGACTCTTTTTCACAGGAGACGATTCCAGCTGGGCAACGCCGCAAACCGTACACACTTATTACCGCAATATACAGATGTGGGGCAGCTCCTCTCCATCTTTACTTTCTGGACAAACGATAAATGCTGCGCTATGCTCAAGTTGCAGGTTTGGAAGCATAGTATGGACGTTGTCTACATCCGTTCTTCTCACTCTTTTCATTTATCTATAGACTCGGATGAGACATGGACAAGTACGCACCACACGGACATTTGTATATCACCTTGGTTGTATCATCTCATTTCTAATGTTCTCTCGCTACTACGTGCATTTGGCGCAACCTCAGTACAAGGCTCAAGTTGTCGATATACAATACTCGTCACGACAAACTTAACAGACGACGCGTCAAGTCACGTGTTTGGAAAATCAACATAACGCATGATTTCAGCCATACTGCTAGTATATACTGGCACCCGCAACCACCCAAGAACAGAGTCTTGCGAGCTTCCAGTTAACCTGAGATTTTCCATGGACAACTTGCTCTTAGAAAGCAAAGTCAAAGGTTGTATTTTTGATTCATGATTACGTGATATGTCATACTGCGGTCTACCTCGTGATTTGTCATGAATGATCCTTCGCTCTTCACTCTCTCCGAGTCATCTGAATGGCATTCTCTGGAGCTCTTGTGCGTGTGTTCACCAGAGTTTGAAACTATGCAATCCGTCTGATTTACGCAGAGCAGACCTTGACTGATCTCAATGACTTCATAACCCCATCTCAAGCGTGTATCAAACCCGTTGAGCAGACAAACGCCCCGCAGGAGATCATCGAGCCTGGTGCTGCTTCAGTGTGTTCTAGAGCGATTTGCATTGTGAAGGGTCAGACTAAATATTGATTTCAGACAGAAATTGTGATCGACTCCAGTGGATCATACTACGAGGTCTCAGCAAACGGCGCATCTACCAATGCATCTTCCAAGGGTACAGAGCGAAAGCTCCAGCAGGCCCAGATCAGCTTAAACGATTGCCTGGCTTGCAGGTCTGTCTCCGCATAGTCCTTATCAGCCCTATCGAACGATTGTTGACCATATTCCCGAAATACAGCGGTTGTATAACATCGGCCGAATCTGTATTAATCACGCTACAGTCCCACACGGAGGTCCTCAACTTCTTAGACTCAAATCCTTCTGTTTCCACGCCAGGTCACAAGATTCCCGTGCTCTCCATTGCACCACAGAGCCTTGCGTCACTCGCAGCGTCCCTTTCGTCATCATCTGGTTCCCCTGTGAGTCTCCGTCAAATACTGAGGAGAGTGCGAGCATTCTCTACACGAATACTTGGGTTCGAGCATGTTTACGACACTACGTTTCCTCGACATATTGCTTTACTCGAGCACACGCAAGAATTTCTTGAGCGAAAGAAGGGAGACGGGAAGCTTCCAATGCTAGCGAGTGCCTGTCCCGGATGGATATGCTATGCTGAGAAAGCACACTCAGAAATGCTGCCTTTTATTGCTAGGACGAAGAGTCCACAACAGGTGATGGGAACTTTGGTCAAATCGTGGCTCGGAAATCGCTGGGGAGTGCAGTAAGTGTCATTAGTCGCTTCGATTTTATTGTGCTGATTCATTTGGCGTGATAGACCAGATCAGATTTACCATGTGTCAGTTATGCCGTGCTATGACAAGAAGCTAGAGGCTTCTCGGCAGGACTTCTACAGTGACCTCTATTCGACCCGGGATGTGGACTGCGTAATCACAACTGGGGAGCTCGAGATTATGATGCGCGACAAAGGCTGGGACCTTTCGCAGCCAGTAGAGGACGAAGGTATCCCCGATTTCCACGCTGAAATCCCAGAGCTCCTGTCACACCCTGGGACTAGCTCCGGATCTTACCTGCAGTCTCTCATCAACTTTGTCACCGCAAGTCAGTCATCCCCTGTGGACCTCACTGTGAAATCCATCCGTACTTCTGACTACGAAGAATTCACGCTTCGCGCTCGGGACACCGGCGAGGTGCTTTTTAAAGGCGCAAAATGCTATGGTTTTCGTAATCTCCAGAACGTCGTACGTAAGGTTGGTCGTGAGGCTGGCGTGCAAGTGGGGAGGGGCGCTGCTGGAAGGCTAGCTGGGATGCGTGCGAAGAAACGTGGTGGGGAGGATGAGAAAGGGTATGACTATGTCGAAGTTATGGCGTGTCCGGGTGGGTGCGTCAATGGTGGTGGGCAGTTGAAACCCATTGCACAGGCGGCTTCGCAGAAAGAGGACGAAGAAGGGTTTACGAGGAACTGGCAGGAGAGTGGTGTACAGATGCCAGTGCCAGGGGAGGATGGTACGATGCAGGGCGCAAAATGGGGAAACAAGGAGTGGACCAAAGAAGTTGAAAGGGTGTACTGGCACGACTTGCCTACACCGCCTCCGTCACCAAGACCTCATGATCAGGATCTTGAGACCCCGTTCGATCGCGCAGACCACCTTGCCGCTCAGGTCAAGGTGGATCTTTGTCACCCCACAGATAGAAGCCTGCATGAAACTTGGGCTTCCATCATGGACGAAGAAGCGGAGAAACAACGCCGTGAACTGTTTCGGACTCAGTATCGAGCTGTTGAAAGCGAAATAGTTGGGCTTGCTGTGAAGTGGTGATACGCGTTTTTACACTGCGTGATGTTACAACACAAGGGCGTGGGTAGATAAATAATGCGTAAGTAAAATATGCGACAAGCAAGCCTAGAACTACAAAATGACACAGCAAAGTGGTGTGCAAAGCAAGGCGTGACTAGAGTGATAATTATTAGAATAAGATGGGGATTATAGATGTTTTCTCGATAGATGCGGCAAAGAGCCGAGAAGCGTCGGACCATCAAGGTTAACGACGATGCGAAGCTCCGTCCTTGAACCAATACTGACATGAAACACAGTATTCGGGTGTTCGGAGGGTGATAGTCTCTCTTGCATCGGGACCGAAGTACTGTGTGTTCGATTGAGCGCTGGGGTATGTCATCTAGTTATAGCACTCACCCGTTCGCAATGACAGTCAGGACAGTTCCTTGGATGACAGACAGAATGGATGCAGTACCGGTTGGAGCAATCTATCTTCTTCAGTTTGCGCGTCTTCAAGAAGATCAAAAATAGCTATGGTAGTATGAAACATGGATTGCTCACCACCTTGTAATGCTAAACGAAGCATTAGAACTGAGAAAGTTGATGAGAATAGGGCGTGAGATACTTACCCCGCATCCATATTTTGTTCCTTCGCTAAATAAAACAAAAGGTGTCTGAATTCAGCAAGTTCTTGGGCCTAGACCGACTGGTAGAACCCACGTTTCCAGATTGCACATTTCGAATGGCTAGTTAGTGGAGGGACACCGGTGAAATGATTTGCTGTGTGTGTGAAAAAAGAAAGAAAATTATTCTGGGGGATTAAAATGGATGGACGGAACAGCATACCGGTGTGGCACCGGTGTGGGGTAGGCTTAGTCCGAAGGAGATATAATTCAACTGCGGAGAGGGCAAAATGGTAGGAGAAAGCGGTGGAGCTGAAGAATGGGGGTTCAAGGGGGGGAACTTTATACGAGTTTGAATACCCTGGAGAAAGTAACCGATGACCAGGAGTACTAATCACAAGACCATTAAGAGATCGGGGCACGATGTGATAAGGAACCAGAATAAAGAAGCCGGTCTGTGATGACGCGGGAAGTCAAGCGAGAATCTGATTGATGCGGTGAAGGGGCTCAGTGACAGTCTGAGTTAGCTTGTAGGTTGTTCCTCCAACGGTTCTTTGTGACCCAACTGCGGGGTTACATGCTCCACGGAATCATTACTCCGGATTCCGACAACCATAATCCTCCCTGATCATTTCCGCACTGTCGGATAAAAAATAAAAGGAATTTCTCTTAGCCGCAACGTTCACGACGTGTTCTCATCAGGCGCTCTAGCGGCAATTTAACAACTTTACCACTAACTAAATAGACTTTAAACCTCCGTGCCGGTTTGATGCCGTGTTTATTTATCTCTATTTGTAGAAGAAATGAGAAGTACAAACAACGCCATACACACACTCCCCTCACTCTGGCATGTCGACCGCAGGCTCCTCGTCATTGCCAACAACGCGCTCAAGGACATTGCTCTTTATCTCATTTCGCGATTCAAGAGCACCCTCAACACGTTTCTCTCGCTTACACTCATCCTATTCAGATGATCCATACACCGCTGACGATGAAAATGAAACACTCATACACGCAACCTCCGCCGCACATCTCGCACTTGACGCTGAGTTGCCTCCAAAATGGTTCGCTTTATTCCGTGACATCTCAGACAGCGTTTACTCATTTCAAATACTACGATTTTTACCCCCTTCGTGTTCCCACAGGGTCGATCTTTCAGAACAAGTCGAGGAGATCTTAGGCGGGACGCAAGCTAAAAGTGCGTTCCTGGTCTGGTCTGTTTGTGGCTTCAATGACATCATCTCCGTGATTTTGCCTTAGTTGTCGCTTTGGAGAAGCTTCATGCAAAGCATGTTCTCCCCGGCTTTGCGGACCGGACAGCAGAGGAGCGAGAAATCGAAGCGGCGACCACCGAAATCACCAAAGTACATCCTCCATGGACTTCCTCGTGTCCATATCTTACTTACAGTCGTTCCTTTATTTCCTCTCGTGGATAGGATTTTAGACGATGCCACACTTTGATTCAACGTATTGGTGTTGAACAGGGTCACTCATTTCCCCCTTCTACTCACCAAACTCAGTTTCGGGTCCTCGCGGCCAAAAATGTGCAACGAGGCCTAGCCGCGAGGGTCCAAGAACTCAGTTCATCCTTCCGCAAGAAACAGCGTGTCTATATGGAACGTAAGTATTTCCTCCTTGCCTATCAAGTTGGCGGGAACCGATCATTTCTATGACCGCACTTCCGCCTTCATCAGGTCTACAAGGGCACGCGATTAAGAATCAAGATCTCCTGATTGCGTCAGGGACTATTTCTTCAAGAGGATCCGAGGGCTTGACTGCTGCTGATGAAGATGTAGAAGCTGCGGTGAGCAACAATCAATGAACATGGCCTCTTGTATAGCTAAATTGACATTTCCCTCTGCAGCAAGCACAGATTCTAGATAACACGCAGGATCACGATCACCGTGCCCGTGACCGGGAGTTGGCGGAAATTGCAAACTCGATAGCCTCTCTAGCTGAATTGTTCAAGGATTTGTCCGTCCTCGTGATAGATCAAGGGACCCTTCTTGACAGTATTGAGTATAACATTGAACAGACTTCGGTAGAAACGGCCGAAGCTGTGAAAGAGTTAAATCATGCAACACGGTGAGCCATATGCCCGTGGTCATCGTAGCGCGTTGACACCTCTCTTACAGATACCAGAAGAATACGGGCCGTCGGAAGCTTATTTTCCTTCTCCTATTGATCATTTTTGGGTTAATCGTTGTCCTAATTTTCAAACCTCGTCGGTCATCCTCAGGTTCTCCGCCTACTCAAGATTCAACTACCTTCACGGATACTTTTGTCCCACGTTACTTTCATGCACGGACACCCCTCAGCCTTTACGTACCGAATAATACTTGATTGAGGGTCTACGTTACCCTGAACGGCATGGCTTGTGTGGACAATCAGCATCAACCATTCAACGAAGCATCAAAAGGGCTGCCGGTGCATCCCATTCAGTACTGAGCGTCAAAGGTCAGCTTATATTGAAACTTGCCTCTTTCGTCCAAAGTCAACTGTAACAGCCCTGACGTTTCATTTGGTTAATCCGATGTCTCGCCATTTTGAGCTCCTAGCCCTCATCGATACGAGATCAGTAGCGCTTTTGGTGAGGCGCCGTGCCTTGTCTGGGGAACCCATCTGCTCATCATTGACACCTCTCTCTGGCACGCGGAATTGAATTCTTAATAGGCAACACTGCACCAAGCATCTGGGAAGGCACAGTTGCTCGTGTTCAAACTAACCACCTATTGCCAAGCTGAAGACGTGGCCCTGACCTTTTTTGCTGTATGCAGAATGGAACATGTAAGCTGCATTTTCCATACAGGGATCAATAGGCGAAGCTTGATTACATCGGGCCACAGGGCGTTGTTCTCTTCTCTTGCGACCATCACATATGTCCGATGACAGATCCAGCCTATCTCCCAACCCTCAAACTCAGCAGAGAAACCCGAACTTTTTTTTTGCCACTGCACGAATCGACATACTAGATCATCTCTGACAGGAGTAGCAATTCTTCCTTGCCTCGAGTGCCTTGCAAGAGCATTGATTACCGCCTGTCCTTTGCTCCGATTCGACATGGATAGTTTCTATAATCCCGTCTGCATCGTGAGTACCATGCCACCGGCTTCTGATCTGTGCCGTCGCCCCTCATGCTCCCGATACACAGAATAGGCAGAACGTGATGGAACACAAAGGGAATTACGTGCTACCGATGATTTTGACATCTGATTCTTTGAATGTCCGACATGGTATACTCTTCCGTGACCCAAAAAGAGGTCAAGGCGTCAATAAGAGGGCTGCCAGAGGTGCCTTTGCGACAGGATCCGGGAGAGGGCTCTCGAGCATGTATGCCCTCACCTTGCGTTCTCTGAACAGGATGCTGTACTGCTTGGCTTTATCAGTGTCGCATTCTGTATTCCTCACGTTCATAGCAGCGATTGGAAAACATGCGCCTCCGCCGGTGGTCCGGGGGTGAATTCTCTCAAGAAGTACCGGAACTGATTCCTCGGGATTTGAATGTGGGCACGGAGATGAGTCCAAGCTGTATGAAGAAGTGAGAGCAATTAGTATACTGCTCTCGGAAGCTGAGATTCATGAAGCGCAGGCTGCTCAGATCCATGACGATGACACAGGTTCAGGATGCTTCTTGCTCACTGGGTGCTAAACTGTTTTGTCCAGAAAGATCCGTCCCATTCGTGCATCGCTATCAACTATAGACATCGGATGAGTCTATCCGCAATCATATGACAACGAACAATTCTCATGTTTGTCTAGTGTGCGACAATGCAAATACAGAGCGACACGGGTTCTGCAAACTCGACACAATAGATCCGCGGCAAGTGATAGATAGTTAGGGGCGCACCCTCAACCCAGAGGAGATGAACGACTGTCTGTTGTGGACGCAGTCAACGTTGATATATCATCAACAGCGATCAAGATAAACCAGATCTTACAGTGTCCGAGATGGGCGTAGATCAAGTCACCTGGACCTGCCTGGGGGTAATTGTTGTCACCCACTCAAGACAACGGAAGACTCATCATCCCCTTTACCCCGGTCCTGATGTACCCCCAACTGTTTCAAGTCAAGGATTGCGATAGTGACGACCGTGTCGCCGCTCATTATTTTCAAAGTCCGTCTGGTCATTTCGTAACGTATATTTCACGTGCTATATCATACAGTAATCTGAATACCTCTGAATGAATACACATAGGCAGCATCATGATAGCGAGGCATACCAATAGCTTCAAAGCGGTCGTCGATTCCAGGACTCAAAAGAAATCTCTCTAGGGGATCGGGATGGATCATCGACTTCTTCCGTGCACGACCGGAGCTCTCTCAGCCTGTTTCATAATCTGCGTGCAATTCATTTACTGCTGGGCAATCAAAGTAAGTGGCACGGCGCTTGACGATAACCTTCATAATAACCAAAACTTCTTTCCTGACGGAACATGACATGATTATCAAGAGGCGCTATGGACTGGTGTAGGCCGCGTCGTCTTCTGTGTCAGCACATGACGACGTGCCCTTGCCCGAGCTCCACAGTTCTCCACGGTCCGACGGTCCCATATGTCCTCTAGGCTCGAACCTGCAGGAAAAAAAAACACATCGCGTCTCACGCCACGTGGCAGGTAAACTTGGTAAAGACGAGATGTGCAACGACTTGAACAAAACGCGTCATGGCGCAGAAAACACGTTTCTGTGTAAAGACACGAAGCAGGGGATGGTTCTCACCTCTTCCGGAACGCCTCGGGAGATCATCCATGGAGGAACAATCGTCAGACTCTCCTTTGCGCGTGAGTTGGTGTTCGACTCTATATGAACGGAAATCGACGCGTCGCAACATGCGAAAGGTCGAGGGGCCACTTTGCCACCGCGGAAACAGGCTCACGATGTCCTTCAAAAACGCGGAAGAACCTCAATAAATTACGCTAGTGCTGGCAGTTTGTGGAGTCCTACGAGATGTGGCACCAAAATTAATGGAATGGGACTGGACACCGATAAGTTTTCCAAATGAATATGAAGGCCCGTCCGAGGTGGCGCAAACGGAAAATATATGTTGCTGAAAATTATTTTAAACCAGGTATCAGACCATGTCGTGACGACAATATGATATGCACCGTGCGGGCGTTCAATGAGTGTTGTGGCGGATGCATACTTCCCGGAGAAGCGATCAACAGCCCAGGCCGAGGATAATGCAATGACCAGTCATCGGAAGGCACCGAGGTTGCTCGATCCGCTATTGGAGTTATATCCATTGGGTTCTCCATTAAAGCACCGACCTTCGCTGACGATAATCCAGGGGATAATCCCTTCCTCGTTGCTAACTAACCGTGGCACGAAATGGCGGCTAATAGCGGTGAGTAGTGCAAAATCAAATCCGGTCATCAATAGTTATTCTGTCACATACAGTTTCTACGGAGCACCATAAGTGGTATGTACGGAACAAAAAAAAATCTGTCGGAATCCGACGTCTTTGAGGCTTCGAAATGGGCTGTGCCCTGCGAACTTCGAAGGTATAGTATATATCCTTGCGACACGGTAGTCACATTCCTCCCCATCACGACCATGCAGCTCCCATTTTTCTTCGGCACCGTGGCACTCATGTTCTGTTTCGCTCTTGCCACTCTTACACTAGAAGCCTTTCCAAAACGTTATTGTGAGCATATATGCATTTTCGAACCTGTAGTGAGATGCTGATATGCCATGCAGCTATGGCCAACCGAGAAAAATTTGACAATGAGGCAAATCATGACGATGATATTCGTCAGGATGATCTTGTCTATTTGTATGACTTGTGGCATTCAAAGAGGAGATGACTTTGTCCGACAAAAAGAGAGGTACTACTGTCTCCTAACACATGACTTAACACGTGGCTCGCATGCTTTTCAGCTGCGGTTTCAAGAAGGCCTGGGGCTCGTTCCTACTTATAGAACTTCGTCAGTCACTGGCTGACTTCCCACAGGACCTAGAATCCTAGACTTGATGTCGTCTTGCACTTCATCACAATCCAGAAACGGCTGTCAAACTCGACGCCGCGAAAGCACTTTCGAGAGGATTTGATTGGCTGACTGCGCTAATTTAAATCTTTTGCCCTATTTATTACACAATAGATCTATACTTCCTTGCGTGGCTCCAGTGTGCAAGTAACTCGCTGCCCAGTCTAGCATGAGACGCCGAATAGTGTGGCTCATCCGACGTGTCGAAAGGAGCCGGTCGAGAGGCGCTGATCGCAGTGCTACCGCTACCAACTGGAACGGGCCAGAGCAACAAGCTTCCATCATACATAGGCCAGTCAGGTTTGCCTGGATGCTCAACACTCGACGCTAGACGTCCTTGGTTAGAAGCATCAACAATATCGCGGGCTTTCTGTATGATGCATGTACCGTCTACATAGCACATACAATAAGCCCATGATGCCATCCTGAGCAAACTTTGCCCGAGTCAACTGCAAGATGTGGATGAAATATTCAATGCCCATTGCAAAGGTTGTAGAGATGAGCGATTGTCGAGGCGCATGCAACTGAAGCTATACAGGTCTCAAACGTTGGAGGGAAGTCGTCGCATCGAAAGACAAACCATGTCGCTCACTTCCATTACTCTGGAGCATCAGCAGGCAATCGTGTGTTTCTCCAAAAACAAACCGTGGTCATTTGTACATCAGTGCATTCAAACATCAAGCTTCTATGCTCATAGGTACGCTTCACGATGCGTTATACATATCCGAGTTCAAGTTGAGCCGTCTAGGGGTAGAAACGAGTAGGCTGTAAGATAAATATATCTCATTCTCGATACCAACTCACTCCGTCATATGACTCATATCCCATTCTTTGTGAACCATCTCTCGTCATTCTAGAAAGGCTACCTTATGCCATATTCCAGAGGCAATATCCTTGGTTTTCTTTCATATAATGAAATTATATGCTGCGCGCTCATATGATTATTTTCTCGCTGTCTTAGTATTTGTGACAGTGCTGCCGCGTCAATTTCATTCGACCCATAGCTTGCTGACTCATCAAGGCTATCTTTACATCCGCCATGGCCGACAAGTGTCCTGGCAGTCGACCACGGCAGTCATTCTTCAGACCAGTCCTGTCCTGTCGACCACAAATCTCGTACAACATGGTTCTCTGTCTTGTCAGGGAGCAGCTCTGCGCACCCAGTCAACGCATCTTCGCTCTTGACTGAACGGGAGGTCTCTTCGATACCCCGAGCAGACAATGGTAATTAGGTATACCCGTCAGAGGCTCAGTTTTTTGCTGCCATGGCGCGCAAAAATCATAATCCCCATGCTCCAGATATGAAGACCATCATTCCTATTCATAATGCTGTAAATGAACGCGCTTAGTCGGAGCTAATGAAATGGGAATCTGGGAGGTGGTGAAAAGTGCGGAGGAGTAAAGCTTGTAAACTTCAAGGACAGACCTAATGACCTGACCCCAAAAGCTCGACTCATGACCTTGCTCGGGTATGTTGATTCAGCCACAGCTCGCGCAAAACACGCTGATTTTCGTTTCGTAGGTACTCTGCTCCCTTCGATCGTCACGACTGGGTGGTCGAACGATGCGGAACCCGAATTAGATACGTGATCAACTTCTATGCTGGACGGGGCGCGGGACCAACATCGTCAAATAAAGTTTCTTTCTATCTCGATGTTCGGCCTGCCTTAGACAACTGGGAAGGGGTGAAAATGAGAGCTGAGAACATTTGGCAGGACTGGTTTGGAAGTGTTCACAGTAGCAGCTCCCCATCTCAGTCATGAGTATTATCCATAGACGCATATTCACTCATATTTAATCCCCTACTCGCATGGTTTACTAATTGTGAATACATATAGGACTTATAGCTATGGTATGTGGAACGGCGGCGGTACATTGATCACGACCATTCTCAGTCATCATATATCGATCCAGCTTCCTCTTGACGAAGTACCAAGCCTAATCTAAATAAAGCCCACCTTGGCTTTGGTACGTAGTCTAATCCTATGATGTTGGCGGGGGGATACTTAGGATGTTCATCGCAGTGCCCCGAACTTATATAGGGTTGATTTCTGAACACGTGACTAACGCGTCGCGATCGACTTTGTTGACAATGTGTCGGCGTGCAAATAAGGTTCAAACTGGGAGTATAAGTACTGCGTGTTTGTCGCTGCAATATCCCTCAGTCAGTCCCGCCATTACCGTCATCAGCATATCTTCACGACCCCTCCATTTACTCGCCATTATGATCTCTACTTCTACCATGACCCGCGCCGCGCGCGTTGTTATGCAAGGCTATCTTACAGCCTCGTTTTTCAAAGAAATCGTCATCGACCGCACTATTCAGGTCGTGTCCGAATCAGAGGAGGTCTCCGTTGGCCTTGTTACATTCACTGTCTGCTTCTCGACAGGCGTCCTTCTTCAAGCCTCTGCCAAAGCTGCTCGACAATTCCTCAGCGATGATTTCCAACGCGTCCCCGCTCCCAAGGACCATACCGCTGGGCTCAACGCACCTTTTGCTGGAAGCAACATTTCGGACGCTATCTCAACAACCAAGGCTTTCGGAACGCCAGCTCGGCCATCCTCGTCGCGCGCAGTGATTGAATCAACCGAACCCACCTTTGAGGCTCCCGCCAAAGGCTTATCGACGGCTGATTCTGACACGACACTCATCGCCGACGACGAGGAGTTAGCCAAGGACGTATTCTACTGCGACCGTGTCTCAGACGTCGAGTCTCTTGCTGACGAAGGCACTTTCTACGAGGTAGGAAGCAGCGTGAATTTTCTGACTTTCGTCTACTAATGCTTGGGTCTATAGGACGACTGCCAGGCTACAGCACACTGCCTTGCAGAGGATGAACCGGACCACACCTTGCACGTCGGATACGATCCACAAACTATCGACAACCTAGTCAGAATATTTTCAGCTATTTCTCTCGACGATGTACCCGCTCATTTATCAACTGTTTATCTCGACAATGTATCTCATTTATCATCCACCTCTCTCGACGATGTATCTTCTCATTCATCCACTCTTTCCCTCGATAATGTATCCTCCGATTTATCCATTTCTTCTCTCGACAATATACCGTCTCATTTATCAAGCCTTTCCCCGGACGATGTGTCCTATCATTTATCCATTCCTTCTCTCGACAATGTACCGTCTCAGATCTCCCCGGACAATGTATCCTCTCATTTACCCACTCCTTCTCTCGACAATGTACCTTCTCAATTTTCTCTCGACGATGTACCCTCCCAACCATCAACTATTGGACAACATCACACTCTACAAGACCACGCTATCGACATCCTACCTGATTCATCTCAGCCTCCGAAGCTTCGGCCAACCATACCTGTAATTCTTCCTCTCGACGGTTCCCCTCAGTCATCGATATGTCAGCCCCAACGCACTCTAGTACACGACCACTCTATCGACAATCTAATCAGAAAAATAGCAGCTCTTTCCCTTGATGAGGTCCCTTCTCAATTATCAAAACTTCACCCGCATCACGCTCTACACGACCACGCTATCGACGCTCTACCCAACAACACAAAAGCTCTTGCCCTCGACGACAACCACGCTATCGACGCTCTACTGCCAACATCAGAAGCTCTTACTCTCGACGACCACCACGCTTTCGACGCTCTACTGCAAAAATTAGAAGCTCTTACCCTCGACGACAACCACACTATCGACACGCTCCCCGATAACACAGAAGCTCTGACTCTCGACGACAACCATGATATCAATGCTCTACTGCAAACCCCAGATGTTCTAACTATCCTTCACGACGACACTATCCACGATCTACTCCAAGAGATGGCAGCGCTTACTCTCGATGATACCCCCCTTTATAGTCTCGGTCCCCTACACTTACGCCGCGATGCATCTTACACGACGACACTACCAACACTCATGATGGCTGTTCTTAGCCCTCAGAATTTCAACTACGATACACCCTACACGACGATGCTATCAACGTCATTCTTCGACATGTGGAACCTCTTATTCTCCACAATAGTCCCTCGCAGTCGTCAAAACTTCGACTACTAGCACATTATCGACATCCTACTAGCCGCTAAGCTTCACGCGACGTCTACGAATGGTGAGTAGCCCACCCATATATTCTCACCACCATTACTAATGTTTCGCTGTTACTAGTTAGAGTCCCACATGCTTCAAACATTGTCGCATCACACACGTCTTCGGTGTCAGAGGTCCCCTACGACCAATCCGATGCCACCTACTGATGGCCTCCCTCACTGTCCCCTACGACATGGAGTCATTATCCATGAGGTCGAAGGCCCCCCCGCACATACTACGCACCCAACCCATCGCAAGTCTTCGACGAGTCAAAGGTCCCCTACGACCAAATCTCGACGACGCGCCAAATGAAAAAGCGGCCTCCTTCACTATCTACTGCGACCTGGAAGTCGAAGGCCACCGCCTACTGTCTTAGAGTCCTGCATATAGTCCGTCTAGTTGACCAACTTGGTCCCTTCGGATTTCCTTCACTACTAGTACCCACCAATTACTAATTTACCCATATTACACAGTTTTTTTGATTTGTTTTCTCCTTCATTGGTACGATCATGGACTATACATTTAGTTTATTTCCCTTCATTCATTTTCCTTTATTGAGCCTGTACGCACAGTGAATACAATCTTCTTGATATCCTCTGAAAGCAAGACGCTCTTGAGGCTCAGAACATTCGACCATTACCAAGGCAGTAGCTATCGTATCGCCAGATTGCTCTGCTGCGAGCGAAAGAGATGATTCCCTTGATTCTTCTAGGAAATGCTGCTCTCCAAGCTTACATTGTATTCTCCCACTCGTACTTTTTAAGCGTGGATACATTCCGACACGACGAGAAACCTATTTCACAGTTCATCGTTTCCCTCGTATTCGAACTTTCTTGGTAGGTGGTCGTTCTTCGGGTTCGTCATCACTTTCCTCTTCATCGCTCCCTGGCCGCCACTGGTGCTTCACTGTGCTCGTCGTCGCTGCCACCCACTTCACTTATCTCCTCGTCTCGAGCGTCCTCGCCAGATTCGTCAGCCTCAGAGGCTTCCTCATCAAAATTTTCTTGATTCTTTCGCGACGCTTGTCATCCTCGGAGACACCCTATAATTCCAAGGTCTAATTCGAGGCTTCAAAAGGATGCCTATGTGTCCGGCGAAGGTTATGGCGTGCTCGATATCCATTTTCTAACCGAGAAAAAGCTCTTAGCTCTCACTACACGGTCATATAGAACTTTACAACGTCGAGGACCTGTAGAAGGCACCATATCTCCTTCAGGCAAGATTTATGATGCCTTTTACTGGACAATGCATGCGGCTCAATTTTCCATCGGTTTCCTATAGTGCCTGGAGTTGTGCGCACCTGAAGGCACTAGACAACCGTTGAATTTGGACAACAAATCCTGCAGATGTTTTCCCTCCGTCAATTTTTGTCATATCAGCTCGCCTGTTTTTCAAGGATATACCTGCGACGTGGTTCGGGGCGACCTTGGAAGGTGAAAGTGGTCGTTATGAGGTCCACAGAATTCTCGCTACTTCTCAACGTTAGAGGCGGCCTTTGAATATGGAATAGGAGGACCTCGTGTCATACAAATGGTTCCCCACGTTATTTTAATTTGCTTTGGGTGCATATGGACGACTTCAATCCCTCCACTGTGGCACGCGGCATCGACAAGGTAGTTTTAGAACCTACGGTATCAGCAGGTTTCACGGAGCATGTGGTAACCTACCTTCTTTACGTGGAGGTGGTCAACCCCGCATTATATTGGACGAGAAGTTGGTGGTTTTCCCCGGCCAAATCGACATACTATAACACAATAAGGGTATCCATGCCTGTCGCGCGTCCATATTTGACTAAAGCAGGATATGAATATTGCGGTAGTTGACATGGAGTCGTTGCTACGTGTGTCCCAGGGTGGTCATTACAACGCCCGCCTTGACGAAATGACTCACTCTAACATTAGCACGGCGGTGGATGAAAGGAGGGGATCTGTTATCAGAGTGAGAGTCACGGAATACTTGTACCCTTGTTTGAAGGACGTGGTATAGGGATCGAATGTACATGTGAAATACTCAACAGTTTAACTTTGGCTTGTTCCTTAATTTCGGATGGTGGTTTAATGAGACTCCTTCCTCGTTCTCGCGATTCCGCGAGCACACACGAAGTTAAGGTTGAGTGTGATGGAACACCTTGGTTCTCTGATGGAGAAGCGACATATTTATTGCTTGCTAATCTAGCACCGAGCTGAGCTGGCACTCATCAGTCTGCAAACATAGAAACAAATGGTATAAAAGTGACAGAAAAACATACAAAACACGAAGGTATATCCCTCACTCAAGCCAAAGCGCCCTGGGTAAAACGATCAGTATTTTGCATCTGCAGAATAATACTGTCCTACCATGGGATCCCAAGCAGGTAACACGACCTTCTCCCCCGACTCAAATATCTTTACATGCTCCTTTGTTGCCAAAGACTTGTGTATCACGACCTGGAACACAAACTGGTCGAACCACTTGTCGCTCATCACATTATAACCATTCACGCCACTTTCTTCACCCCAGGAATTCTCCACTTTGAACCGGACGGGGCGACCAGTCTTCTCATCTACGTGCACGGCGGAGATGACCATCGCATGGGTCATGGCGGACTCATTGGTCTGCAGACGCTGGGCCTTGGTAAGTCCCAGCGTGATGTTGAATGCTTGCTGCGAGGAGAAAGAGAGGATTTCAAAAGCTGTTGTTTATTGTACCAGAAACAACTTACTTCGTATTCGAAATAATCAGTGTCCATAATACCGACGCCCTTGCCAGAGTCGGAGAATTGGCCTACATCACAACCGAAGAAGACTGGCTGGCCGGCCTTGATGGACTGCGAACGGGTCAGAATCAAACCAAGAAATTGAAGGATTGATCCAAAACTGCTTACTCGGACTATGGCCTGCTTGAGGTCATCAATCTCAGTGTTCACGTCTGCTAGTTGTCAAGCGCATGTAATGTAGATTTGATGGAATAGCTTACACAGAACAGGTCGTCCGCCCCAAATGTTGCCGAGCTTGTCCACCGTGTACAGCTTACCGTACTCGTTCCGAGGGTCGTTGATGAGGGAGAAAGACTCCGCCGGCTAGAGAACTGTAAGAATGTATATTCGTCAAAATTGGCTCATGCACTGACCGAGAACTTGGTTGTGAAAGCCTTGTAGAACTGTTGAGGAGTACCCTCCCACTTCGCGTACTTGCCATCCTCGGTGTAGTACTCCCAAGTGAAGCTCGCATCAGGTTTAGGAGGAACGCCCAGGGTTGCGCTCATGATTGTATAAATCTCCTGCATAAGTTCTTCCTTCTTCGCGCGAAGGGCCGAGATAGCCGATTCCGGTGAGACGGCGGGGTCAGCCTTCAGTGATGAAGAGAGAGCGCGAAGAGTGAGAGCATGCTCTCGGAGCTTCATCTTCAGGAGGTTATTGATGGGACTTGAAGCGCTTGAATGGTACGACTCGGGGTATATTGGCTGAGGAACGAGACCATATGTCTGGGAGACGTCAAAGACATGCCATACTGTTGTTTGTAAGGGACGCATACCTCAAGCAAATTGACAACCATGTCCCATTGGCCGCCGTCGCTAATAAGGTCATCGGCGAGGAAGTTGACCAGGCGGTCATCAACAGGCCGGTCTGCATTCTCGATAGAAAGCTCGAGGTAATAATTGGACTTGTTCAACTTATCCCAAAAGAAGAGGTATGACTATATGTAGCATTCTGTAAATAAGAAACTCTGGAGAACCGATATGATAAATGGTCACCTGGGAAAGCTGGAATTCCTTGAGCTTGAGCTTCTTCATGACTTCATGTCGGATGACATTTGTAGTTGCGAAGAGCCAGCATCTACCACTGGACTTCTGGTTTGTGACAGGTCCAGATTTGAACTCCACCTCGTGATTGAAAACATGAGGAATTGCAACCACGGCCGGGCGACTGGTAAGGGTCGACTTTATGTTGGTATGGGCAAGAATTGTGCGGGCAAGTTGAATCTTTGGGTCCGCGGCAGCGGCGGACTCCCAGGCATCGACGTTTGACAGGGAAATTGAACCGTCGGTTGCCAAAGGCAGTGAACCCGCTGCCGATGACGTGGAGCTACCAACCCGCTTCTCGTGGAGCGACTCGGATGAAGAAGTTTCGTTCAGAGTGCCCGTAACTTGAGCAGGAACCTTGGATACGGATGAGCCCATCGTTGGAAGTGTAGGAAGAGATAGAAGTACGACGGTTGTAGACCAGATTAAGACCTTTATAGGTCACTTGGTATTATCGCATGATAAGAGCGCGCTGTCCCTTCCCTGGCCAGGCTGTGATTGGTCCGGGTCAGGCAGTGCCTGCTTCACATGAAGTCTCCCGCGATTTAAATATATTGATGTTGATTGCTACGGCCAGCATATGATGCGGCCAGCAGACCCGCGAGAACCGTTTCTGGAAAATCCTCTTCAAGTACTAATATAACTGTCTTATCTATCCGTGATTTGGCGTCGTCTCTCACATTTCCGCCTTTTAGCGTTAGTCTACCTTGCAATAGTCAGACGATAGAGTGCAGGGTCCCGGCTGGACTTACAGCATTACCCTTGGCATACTCAGCGCCGTGCTGAATCATGGCAGACTCATTCACGGCATTGTCCGTGGTCAGCTCAACCGTATCGCCGATAAATATTTGGTGAGCCTGCAGGCATTAACCTTGACACCCTTGTCCCAATTTTCGTTTACCACCTCTACAGGTTCCCCCAAAGGATCTATCAGGCACTTCTTTCCGCCATCATGGATTTAGATCTACTGCAAGTCCGTATTGTTGTCGACTGCTCTCTATCATCACAAACTCGTTTTTGCAGGTGTCCGCGCCAGGCTTGGCGTACATCTGTCTTGGTGGTTTTGTAGTCTTGGTTCGTTCTATCTCCCTCTTAGTATTTTGTTATCTCCACATTGCTGTTGTTCGTGGTGTCTGTTTATGCTGACTCTTGACTGCAGTTCTCGATGGTATCCCTCCTAGTTAAAGAAAAGGTTTGATAGGTATTCCATCTGTCATATTGACCAGTGACCCATGCCTTCTTCAGCTGTATATAAATGAAGTCGTCCTCGGAACCGGCTTCGGGATCATCATAGGTCCTTATGTTGCCAATGTATTCACACCCCGCGAATGGGGCACCTTGCAAAATACCATAACATTAGAGGTCATGCGCATCGTCCTCGCCACTGGCTTGTTCGCGGTCGGAGTCGAATTACCATGCGCATATATGAAAGAGCATGCCAGGAGCTTGCTCATAATGGTCGTGCCTACCATGGCCTTTGGTTGGGTCGTTGTCGCCGGCATGTATATCTTCGCGAAGACAATTTACACTTGTTGACTATCATACCAGGTGTCACACAAGCACTATTTCCTCAGCTCAATTACATCTCATCTCTTTGCATTGCTGCGTGTTTGACCCCTACGGACCCAGTTACATGTGCTGCCATCACACGTTAGTCCTATCAACTATGACATCATAATTAATCAACGTCTAAATGTGTTCTACAGGCGGCAAATTTGCCACTAAACATGTCCCTGTGAATATCCGTCGAATATTGTCTGCGGAATCCGCAGCGAATGATGGTCTTGCATACCCGTTCCTTGCGATATCCATATACCTCACTGTAGAGACGTCCGTTCGAGTTGCTATCGGCAAGTGGTTCTTGGTGGGATGGTTATGTATGTTCTCTCCTTTATTTAAAGCTTCCTAGGGTATTCATCATTTCCTACAATAGACCAGGTCATACTTGGCACCGTTTTGGGCGCCATTCTAGGTTAGCGAAGTCGCTTGATCGTCTGCGTGTGTCGATCTGATTGCATTTACGTTTGTGATCCAGGCCTTCTATTCTCGAAGCTCATGAGGATATCCCATAATAAGGGCTTCATAGATCGTGAATCATATGTCGCACAATACCTGGCTCTGTCCATCTTCACCATCGGAATCGCGAGCACCATCGGTGCAGATGATCTTCTTGCAGCGTTTGCAGCAGGTCTGAGTCCAAACTGAACACATGATCGCTTAGGGTCTGACATCCATTTAGGTTCTGCAATTTCTTGGGACGGTCACTTCAATGTACAGACAGAAGATGACGTATTCTCTTCTGTGATAGACTATGTCTTGAACTGTGGCTGCTTCATCTACATCGGCGCTTGGCTGCCTTTTGACGCCTACAACGATCCCATACTCGGGATCACCCCTTGGAGGCTTCTTCTTCTTGTGATCGCTATTTTGGTCCTGAGGCGAATTCCACCATTATTGGCGCTCTACAAGTTCGTCCCCGAGATTGCTTCCTGGAAGGAAGCGTTATTCTCTGGTCACTTTGGTGAGCAATCGTCTTAGTTATGCTTTCGCTTTCAAGTATCTGAATCGTGTATACAGGTCCAGTAAGTTGATTGGATACCATTTCTCATCATTCACTAATGCCTCTTAGATGGGAGTTAGCGCAGTTTTCGTATCTGCCCTAGCACTTACGCGTTTACCCACTCCGGAACACCCGCCTGCAAATCAAGCACAATACCTTGCCGCAACTATTCAGCCTATCGTTTCCTTTGTCGTCCTTGGTTCTATCCTCGTTCGTAAGTACTGTTGCGGGTAGTGTTTTTGTCCTTGTCCCTGATTTAGAAGGTATACAGATGGCTTGTCTATCCCGTTCTTCAACATTGGCCGTGGCGTGCACTCTCGCACTACTTCATTGACTATGACGTGGACAAGCCGTACTCGTGTTACGGTCCCGGACTGGGTTCTTTGGGCCCGCCGTGCTCCCGATATTGTGGAGTCAACTGCGGATGAAGATGTGGAGCAAGGCTCTGCCAAGACTCCTACAGGTTCCAATGAACCTGCTGTGGAGACTGGTATCCCGGCCGTCGCTGTAACTTTCGATGATGTTCCTGGGGATGCCGAGACAATCGTGACCAGACGTCATTCTCTTGGTATGGACGACCCTTCTCCGGAACTGGTACAGGTCAGTGTCTTATTTTTCAGTCTATTAATACCAAACTAAACTGGCTGCAGGTTGAGGCTATCAACAATCACGACGGACCAGCGAACTTGGATAGTGGTGCTCCAGATGATAATCAGATCAAGAATGTACGCTTCCCGTCCGCTCAATAACAACTACCGAGCGTCTGTGGATTGGCATGTATAAACTGTACTGACTTGCACGATAAACACGACTCGTCATGTTACATACGATACATCACCCTCATTGAACCTCCTGCTCCTTTACCTACTACTTCCTCCTCTGCCCTTTTCCTCCCAACTTCCCCTTATGGTAGGAATAATGATATTATGTTCCCAAACATGTTCCCCCTTGTGCTTCAATTGTCCGTGCAACGGACAGTTAAATGAGGGTGAGGGAAGCAAAATAAGCACAAGCGGGTACGCGACGTGTATGTATGCAGCGAATGGTCCAAACACTATGAAACATCTATTGACTATAGTCAGGACCTATGTGATGGCGCAGATGAGTCCTGGATGCGAACTACTGATAAATTACATGTATGCAGGGGTGGCGGCGGAGGTGTACGTCGTAGGGAGAGGTGAAATCAAAACTGAAGTGGATCATTCGAATGGATTCGTGCGTCCAGCCTGAAGTAAAACTTTTGAGTACAATCAACGACCTGGGTTAGGGTCATTTCCCACCTGGTTATCTCCTCCCCGGTCTGGTCCTTCGCTGCATCCACATAGCCAGTCGTGCCACCATCTCACCTCCTGTTCGGGTTCTATGGGTTCCTGATGCAGCGCTGGTGGAGGTGTGGGTTTCATGGGAGCCATGCGAGGTCTAGTCCCTTTAGGTGGTGGTGTTAAAGGCGGCGGTAACCCCAGAGGCTGTGGAGGAGGAAGCGTTGACGTCGGACGGAGTGTGGGTGGTTGCGATGAGTGCGTATTCGAGTCCGAATCAGAAGGTTCGGTGATTGCGCTAGACTGCTCCTTCGGATCAACGAAGGGGGACAATGCTGGAGAGACAAAACCTGGTTCCGTTTCTGATGGATGTATGAAGGGATTTGCAGATGCGGGCGGACTCTGGTCGATGTCGTCGAGTGGTACTACGTCGATGGAGTCCCTAGATTGAAGAGCTCGATGGTTACCCAACCCTCCTGCAGATGATCTGACTGACTGTCGCTTCGACAGGAGCACGCTTGCCCTGCGTGATACTTCTCCGAGTAAAGACGGACCGCCCCCACCTCCATTGACCTGCGCAGATTCTCGCGCAGCTCTCCGTCGTTCGCGTTCAGCCATCTCCCATCGACGTAGGTTCTGCCAAAATGGGAGCGATATTTCAATTATCCGAGCATGAAATGAAAATTATGGACCGAAAATAGCGCACCTCCTCGACTCGTCGTGTCTCGGCTGCTTCGTCATTTGTAGGTGGATATGACTCTGAGCTGGGGTTCTCTATGATGTCTTCGTCATTATCGTATGCTTCTTCGTCTGTCTGCTTTGCTTTTCCCTTCTCTGTGCTCGAACTTGAACGTGGTGATGACATGCCCTGCGAGTCTAATTGGTTATTATCCTCGGACCACAAGTGTGCATGAGTGAGATCCTCTTCAAGGGTTGGAGGTGAATTAGATGACATGTTGTCGAGGGCAATTGAAGAGGACGGAAAAGAGGACACCATGGATGGCATCCACCTTGCAATTGTCGTGGTGGTCGGGCGGTGTTGAGTGAGAAAATGCTCTTAGCTCCAAAGCCCGCAACTGAAACGTTTTTTAGAATAGCCTATAATTTCTCATATACAAAACTGTAAAAATCTCGTCACAACAAAGAGCTCGTGATAATTAAGCACTAAGCGCTAACCATTCGTCAAGAGCACATCAAGCCAGGATAGACAGTTTGGAACTGAGCTGCGGTTGATTCAGGGCTCTCTCACACACCGCATCACATTAGACTGGCTCAGCCAGCTCAACCCAGCAACCGCTTATTTTTATCCGGTCCTCATAAGCTAGTCTAGTCGAGACGTTGGGCGCAGCCAATGATTAGTGTCCATTCTAAGTATATAAGGGGATGTTATTGGAATGCGTTGGATATATAAGATGGGAAGAGATATACAGTCGTCCATGGTAGAAAAAATAGTCCCCGTCAAGATATAAGAGAATCTTAAAATCTAGCGCCTGCGCGCGACGCCCACACCTACCGCCGGCTCTCTTGCATCATCATCTCATTGTATGCACTCCCGTTATCATCTGACACGTACTGCTGTCTTAGTCCACTTGACTTGTGGACCGAGTACTGGATCATCGGTGTCGACGACTCTTCCGACCCAGCGCGACTGCATACTGTACTCCGGTTACTGTTGTGGCCATTGCCGCCAGGGAGAGACAAAATGGACGTGCGAGCAATTTCCTTCATCTGCATGATGCTCTGACGGAATTGATTCTGCACGACACATTAGAAAGAGGTATCAAAGTCTCGGGGTCCGGAACACTTACCTGTTCACGCCAGTACTGGAGACGCTTTTCGCGTTCCTGATCACGTTGACGGCGATGAATCAGGAACAAGGTGATTAGAGTGACGAACATGCCTGGCAGTCCGACCCTCGGTCAAATAGAGTTCAAATATTCAAAATATAGCAACTTACCTCCGAAAATACCGATCCCAACCACGCTATATACCCAGATCCCAAGGTGGTTTGGCGAGTCGGCACCTGGACCGCAAACACCTTTACTCAAGCAGTTAAAAGTCAAACATCTGGACGTCCAGTCAATACCGAGACACATCCTACATCGAACTCAAGACATACTCTTTATCAGCATCACAGGTTTCTCCTAGCTGTTTTGTTTGCATGCAAACTAGCGATTGCGATTCGCAATACAACCCAACTTGGCAATTGCCTCTGTAAATCGAGATGAGTCCGCTCTCAAAAGGCCCGGAGTACGCTATGATGCTACCCACCGTGACACAATATCGATAAACTCGTCAGTTCCAGCATACGCGATGTAGGCAGTGTTCTCGACTTCACAAGGAAGACCGACTGTGACATTTGCCCACCTAGATGCAAAGTCAACACCCAATCATCCAACACCAGGTTCCGACTCACATGCAGACGTTATTCAGACAAACGGAACCATTTACATTACGGCCGTACTTCGAGGTATCAGTCAAATCCTGCCAATTCGGAGGTGGCTCGCATTGGTCTGTGCGGCGAACACGAAAAAAACTCAGCGGAAACGATCACAAGAAGTTCATCAAGACGCACCATCACGATTCAACTGGCATGCGCTGTCAACAGGTAACCACGGCTGGCACGCATCGCCCTCATCTGGACAAAACTGCCCAGAAGGACACTTTGGTGGTACCCATGCATCTATTGGATAGCCAAATGGATATTGGTCCTTTCTGCAGCCCTTCAGCTCGCAAGTGCCCTGCGATGAGCAATATGTTTGGGTGTCGCAGTCGCTGTGAAATTGGTATGTGCCGATTTGGAGGCGGTTGTTACCGACTGTGCAGTTCTGGCCTTTGGTTTGACTGCCAGCATAAACGGAGGTAAACCATGAAGAAAAAAGGAGTGTAATGGGGAGCAACAGCATAACAACGGAGGAAAATGAGAACAAGGAAGGAGAGACACAAAGCTATTGAGTTACTTAAAGTTCCAAACGTTGTTTCCGCATCCCATTTACATAAAGTCGGGTCTTGAACGGGTCAATCCGAATTCGTCGGTACCGATCTGCTTCCGCAACAGCGAACAATGAACTGCAGCGAACAATGTACACAACATCTAAATTGTATATACTACTTGCCACATCCTGGGCAGCAATGGATAACATCGTGAACAAACACATCACACTCTGTACAGAAATCGTTGTGACAATCCGGGCAGCGATACCGACCCCAGAGACTGATACCCTCGGAAGCTGCTGCAGTTGACGCCGAGGTCGAAAATATCCTAGCGCATGCGTGACAAGCAGTAGTTGGCTCGGGCGCGCCCTCCGTCGATGTTCTGTATTTAAACATGACGATCGTACAAAAATAAATTTGAAACGCCACTTACACAGCTTCATAAGGTTTCACAGGGAACAGATGGTGATAGCTTCGTGCCAGATGAGGAGAGCTCACGATCATAAGTCCGCAGATATCGCAATCGGTCGGGACATCGCACACTTTCGCCATACATCTCGGGCACAAGAAGCCTTCGCTCTTCATGTCCGAATGGCAGGCGCATAAACTTGGTGGTGATGAATCTGGAAGCCGAGTGGGAAACCCCATCATCATCAAGTCGGCAGCTGGGTTTGCTGCCCCTGGCCCTCCTGCGCGAGCGACAGCTCGTTGTGCAGGAGGTGGAACGAGCTCAAACAAAATGTCTTTGAAGTGCCCCTCGTTCATAGCCACGCCAAATTGACCTGCCCTATGCATGAAGCGAGATATCTTAATTAAGAATAGTCTACTTACCACCAGTCTTGTCACATAGATCCCTACAGATTTTCATTTCTGCAGCCAGAGCGACGACGGATATGCGTATTTTATTCTTCACGCATGCATCTAGGGTGTCGTGAATATTTCCAGGGTCGCATGTCGTCAGAGAGCCAAAAATGATGAGGATCTCTCGTGAAGAGTGAGTTGGTAAGTGACTGCAAAGATCAAAAATAAATTCAAAGTGCCAAGGAAATGAGGTACCTCATGCTGCTCCGTGCCATCTCGATGGCATTTTGAAGGCTTGGTTCTCCAGTAGGCTCAAGCCGAGTTCTATCACTGAGACATTTGAGGACATCCTGCGGATTGCCTGATAGAATGAACGTTTGGCTCGATGACCTATTCCGCAGAACTTACCAGACATCTCCCCGATCCTTTCACCAATACCGGCACGCATACCAACCACGCCAATCTGTCCCAGAGGATTCTGGTCGAACCACTCAACTACAAATTCCCTTGCGAACTGAAGCATGAGATCAAAGCGAGTAGGGCGCATGTCGCGGTCCATCATCGCTGCTGAAAGATCGAGTAGGAGAACCAAATGTCGGATGATCGTACGGCGGATGGCAGCAGCAGGTGCAAGCAACCTGGCACACTAGGTCAGAGAAATTCATGAGATACGTGGGTAATAAATGGACCTCCGTCGCCTCCCCCGCGCCATAAGATCCTCCACCGCACCCTGCAGACTTCCACGTTCATCTTCCTGCACAGTATCCCATGAACGCGTGTAGGATGCCTCCCAGGTGTAAGCTTGCTGTAAAAAATATGAACATATAGCAGCGCGACAAAATGCTCCATTGCTGACCTCCTTCGCTTTTGCCTTCCCTTTATCTTTCTTGCGCTTGTCGACTGCTTTGCCCTTTCCCTTTCCTTTCCCGCGGTGTTCAGCATCACCGAGTAAGGAGATGTCGGAATCAGAATCCGCGTCCATGAAAGTATCATCTCGCTTCCTGGGTGCCATGGCTGAAGCTGGAATCTTTCGTGAAGTGGGGAAATGGAGCCTTGCAAGATTCAAGGATCAAGACATGCATGAATAGAAAGAGATGACTCGTCGTCGGAAACATGGGATCATCTTGCGGCTCGGTAGCAATAACTTTCGAAAATCTGACTCCTTCGCATTCATTTAGTAAGTATATCGTGATTCGTGAATATTCGTCTCCTCCAAAGACAGTACAAAAAATGTATTACAGGACCAAGACTCGCTACTGTGACATACAATATTAATTCCAATACACATGATGTACAAGGCCACCGCTTGTATACAAATACACACCCATCAATACAGAACAGACTCATCCAGCATTACAGAACAGAACCAGCTAAACAGATACCCTGATCAAATGCCGCAAGGCCGTGATATCCATGTCCGCATTCCGCGGTGTGATACTGCAAGGGAATTCCTTAGGTCGCCTAACAGTGACAAATCAGTCTGTCATCTCTCCGGAGAAATCCTATCAAACGCAACGCACACAGTAATCCCTCCATGCCACTGCGGCTTGATCTCGATCTCTTTACCACTCTCATCTTTGGCCCTGGAGAAATCAAAAAACCGCAAGCAAGCATACCATGGCAGACCATATAGAAGCTTCGGCGAGATGGCGGCCAGGGCATATCCGCCGCCCAAATCCCCACACGAAACTCACAGTATCGTCTGTCAGAGTACCGTCCTGGTTCAGGAAACGCTCGGGATTGAATTCGGACGCATTTGCATATTTATCCTCGTTGTGGCACATTGCCCTGAGGAAAGTTAGGTGGTAAACACACAGAATGACAATTGTTCGTACCAAACATTTGGGGTGATTGTAGCACCTGTGCTTCGAATGAACATGGACTCGAGGATGAAGAGAAACTCCCACACCTTTGGGTATGTAATAACCTTTGTAAACATCACTTTCGACAGCAGCATGCATGATTGCTGTAATAGATCAATGATCAGTTCCGTTGTGCAGGTGAGCGACGTACCAAGAGGGAAAACTGGGCGCCACCGCAGGCACTCGCGTAAAATGGCGTCAATATAGGGCAAGGATGGACGATCCTGGAAAGTCGGCAGTCTCTTTGCGCCAACCACACTATCAACAAGTTCGTGCGCTTTCTGTTGTATATCTGGGTGGAGAATCATCACCAGGATGAAGTTCATCAACACAGCGGCTGTCTAGTACTTGTCAGCGTTGGACCGAATGACTGGCTGCTGCTTTCTGCCTACCGTCTCAGTGCCAGCTGTTCAGAGACGGTCTCATTCAGCATGGCATGATTACACTGTGAAGTATTTGCTCACCACCAAAAGCGGTTGCCGCAGATTCCTTTATCGCTTTCTTCTTCCAGGCGGAATCGCCGTCGCTGTCATCGAGATCCAGCAAATGATCAGCGACCATGCAAGGAGAAATGGATCCTGTAGCCTTCAAAGCAGTTGAGAACAAAGTGCCTCACGAGATGTAACACTTACCAGGCCACTCTCCGTATGCGCAAATGGATTTTCCAAATTTTCCAAGGACAACTCCTTTGCTAAAGGCGAAACTCTCTTGAGGCGCATACCAGGGAGCCATGAGGGGAGGCGGAGAACTATGAACTAGATGGTGAGAAACTGCTGTATATGATGGACGACCAGGCGTACGTGAAGGGAAAGCACTGAATATGGCAGCTACCTCAGGTCTCATCTCTTTCAGTATGATATCCAGACCCATGGTTGCACGCTCAATCATGTGGTCATTATGGCGTGCTGCATCATACGAATACACGGCAGACATGATAACTGAACCTGAATGGCTGAAGAACTGTTTCAATACCAAGGTAAGTGGGTACGCATAGAAATGCACCCACACTTCAAAATGTTTTGTGTAGTCCAAAGGATCCTCCAGGATGTTCAATAAAAGGTCGTGAGTTTTCGTTACTTGCATGGGTCGAAATTTAGGGACTACATCTTGTCTGAAAGACTGGTGAAGAATTTTGCGGTGAAGCCGCCATCTGGTACCGTAATGCATAAAAGCGGTAGTATAGTCGATACCAAATCTAAAAGAATTGATGACTAATTGAGGAGAATGGTCGATAATTGGAACACGTCATACAGTTCATTGGTCGCAATGTCTGGTCTGTCAGAGTAGTTATTTGAGCGGTGTTCAAGAAGGTCTCTTGCGATTTGCTCAGAGTTGATGATGATGTTATCTTGACCGAAAAGGCGGGTATATACCACATCGCCTAAGGGAAGATTAGTTACTAATGGGGGTCACGGTCTGGATTCTGTGGGGCAACTTGCCGTATTGAATACCCCATGCCTTGTAGGTGAGCCAAGGGGCGGTGACATCGACTGCCAGTGCACTGCCTAGGATTGGGAGTAAAGGGGGACCCAGTGGAAATTGAACGCCGTGAGGCAGTTTCTGTCTTGAAAAGTAACTTTTGAGTGCAAAAGCGATGGCAAAAGAGGCCAAAAGTGCTTCAATCCCACCAGTGAGATGAATCGACATGATAGTTATAATACAGGGAGGGCGCTACTGGGCGCGATAGTGAGTGGGGGGTCTTTATATTGACAAGCGCAAGACAATCTAGCTTAAATGAGTTGCCTACTAGTGGGTGCGCGTGATGACCCGAATCGCATCAATGACAGAACAACTGCTACTTCAAGTTACGTGCCTAGAATCTAACTTGAGTTCGCACGATTCAGTACTCAATTGGAACACTAGAATTTCATACCGGTATTCTGATTGACTATTCCACCTTCCTCTGACGTGTATGTCGACAAGATCTACCGAACAAGCTCGGGTTGGGCGGGCGCTTGGCTTGGAAAAGACCGAGGAAACGCAGTGTGGCACTAGGTGGTGGCACGAGCGGGACTGAGCTCACTACAATGCCGTGTAACGCACTTCCCGCTCAGCTGGACGCGCGGCGCCCACCTCGGATGATGTTTGATACTTGTGGTCCATTTCGTCCTCCCAGCGGCTGATGCATCGACTCGGATAATCTATCTCAGAGTTAACGAGTCAGGCAAGAACCTATAGGAACCTATGTCACGGATTCGTCTAGCTTGTCGTCAATAGTCGCAACGGACTTGAGTGACCTTGCACGAGCTTACCACAGATCCGAATATTTCCAAAAGCGAACCTATCTGTCATCGTCACAGATTTTTCTGCAGTGCACCGTGCACGTACGACGAAACCTCGTCGAAGCTTGAAGCCGAAGAGTGGAACTTCCAACAAGGTCCTGATTTAAATCAGTAAGCCAAGCAGTGCAGGGTGCCCCTGAGTTTGTGTATTTCCCGCCAGGTCGTTATATTCTACAACGCTAGATAACAAGCTCACGATCAACGGCCCCTGCCCGAAGCACATCCTGCCAAACACCTTCCATCCAACTGACGCATTCAGCTACTTTCACAAACACTTCCTTGACGACCTTTCTCAAATACTCATCTTCGAAACCCTGCACCCTGTCAATTACCAGTTGAGGCATTTCCGCATTGAGATCCACATCAAAATCCTCTGGATCTAATACTATCGTCATCCGGGGTCGTTTCTCAGGACGCTTGCCATGATGCCCTGTCTGCATTCTGGGTGGTCCCGTATGTGCTCCAGCTTGTCTAGATTCCGACCGTTGACGTCCAAGTGCGTCAACCAACGCTTTCAGTACCCGTTTCTGTAGTAGCACAAACACAGGGTCGTCATGGTTGAGTGTGCGGGCAGCTGCCGCGCGAAGCCTGGTCTCTTCCTCTCCGGAGAGCACCGTGCCATCCAGCTGGCGGGCACGAACAACCTCATCCGCGAGATGCACAAGCTTTGTGTCGCCTGAACCTGGCTCCTCTATGATTTCTGCTTTAAGCAGGATCCATAACCGCTCCATGAAGCTCATTGTGTCGCTCGCTTGCGCACCTTGAGGCACACGGATTAAGGTGCGCAGAGAAGCAGTAATCACGAGTGCTTGTAGATAATTCTGGATTTCCAGTAGCGCGGGAGTTGAGAAGAAAAAAATTGGTGGAAGGGAGTTGTCGATGGACTGTGGCGTTTTGGTCGGCAATGGACAGGATATAGGGGTCGATGATCCCAGAGCCTGTACAAGTCGTACAATCCACTTGTATTGCAACTCGGCGGCAATGCCGCTAACCTGAAAAGACGGTTGATAGCTCTCAAGCCATATCGACCAGCTACGCTCTATCCGGTCGCAATTCCAAATGTCCAAAATGTCTTTGCGTTCTTTGGTCTTTGCCTGTTTAGATACTGTAGAGTGCAGCTGCTCCTCAGTCATACTTCCCAGCACGAACTGGGAGAGGTGATCTTTCATAATGTCCGAGATCCTGAATATGGATTTCACCGTGTCAACCACCAGCGTGGCTAGTGAGATAGGACGTGACGACCGCGGGGGAGGTTCATCCAGTGAACGAAGAAGGTCATCGAGCTCTTGGTCCAGGACTGGTGCGCAACGCTTGCGCAGAGACGCTACAATCTCACGCAAATGCATGATAGTTGAATCTAATGGGGAAGACGTCGGAGGTAACGGTGAGGAAAGTGTGGTGATGACAGGATTCTGAGGTGGAAGAAGAGGTGTCAGTGCAACGAGGAGGTCTTGGTACAATGATTTAATGCGCGGTAGCTGACGAGAAGGCTCTGGGTTCGAAAGTGATTCTATGGCCTAAAGAGCCCTCAGATGCCAAAATATCCGAAGCACATGAGGCCCGCACCTCGTCCCAAAAAGCTTGATGTACGAGATCCTCAACCTTGTCACGCAAAGTAGGTTTTGCAGTGTCTTTTCCTTCCTTGGGTAAGCCAGACAGCATTGAAACGAGGGATTTTCCGGGAGGAACAACACGCTTTGGATCTGTGGCAAGCAGGTGGTGAAAGTATGTGCGGTTAAGAATTTCTACCAGCTCTAGGGGAAGCATAACTGAAACAGATGTCGGGATGAGGGGTGACGGTGCGGATTTAGAATCCGGATAAACGATTGAAAAAGATCCCTGCGATGCTCTGCCCGCTGGAGAATGCCCGGGTATACTACTGGCGGGTCTACGGTCTAGTTCGTTGGACGGTTGAGTAGTCACGAAACTGCGCAGCGTATGCAAGAGCTTTGTATTATCTTCGGATATGTCCCATAGACCTTCATCCTGTAGCCGTTGAAAATCCCGGATGAGACTATCCCAAGTGATGCGCTGAGCAACTGCTTCGTTGCGGTATAAATCTGTCAGCAATGAGATGGTGTCTCGAAGTAAAGCATTATCTGGAGCAATCTCTGCTTTGGATTTAAGCTTAGATAGAATGGCATCCATGCTGGCCGATGACGAGTTCGACGCCTTGCACGACCTAGATTGTAGTAGTGGTCAATGATCAAACAATTACATCAGACTGTTGCTCGGAAGGAAGCCGCTTTAGGACAATCACACGGCTTTCAATTTGTACGTCACAAGCACACCGACAGGTCCAGCACTCAGCTGACGGTCAGCCTAGCTAGCTATACAAAGCCCACAAATTTAACGAGCTCAAAGAATTCATACTTCGACCGCATTACTGGTGTTCGCCTTTATTTTCAGCGCTTGATGTCCCAGTCAGCAGCAGCTTCTCTAGTGACCACAGATCCCACTCTCACCAGTGCTGTCGTCCAGGCCACAGCAGAGTCATCCACCAGCGACCTCGTTTCTGCTCATAGTGCCAGTCCCGTAGTAGCGTTCATAATCGGTCTAGCGATCATTTTACTTGCTTCTATCCTGAATGCTGCAGGTCTAAATATCACAAAGTTGGATCATGTGAGTTTCAACAACATGCCACGCCTCAACTTTATTCTGATATACTTCATTTACAGGTGCGGACGAGCACCATTCCAAAGTCAGCCCGCAAGCGAGACTGGCTGAGACCGCTATGGCTCCTGGGCATGGTTTTATATATTTTATCTCAGCTCATCGGGAGCACGCTTGCCTTGGATTATATGAGGGCAGGTACGTTGACTTCTTCTCTCGGACAATCCCAAAGTTTCTGATCACTCGCTCAGAATATGTCGCCCCCCTCGGATCTACATCTCTCATCTTTAATTTCCTCTTCGCTAGATTTTTAATTGGTACACCAGTCACACAAACGGATATCTATGTGAGCTCACCCTCAACCCTTTTGCATACTTTGCTCATCAGACTTAGGGTACGATGACCGTAGTACTTGGGGTCATCGGTATCGTTGCCTTCGGAGCTATCAACAGTGGTCTGTCGACGGAAACGGATGTCAACCATCTCACAGCTTTATGGCGACGTGGTGGTTGGCTCGGATTCTTCTTCTGCATGTCGGTTGCGCTCATTCTCGTCCTCATTTTCACAAATTCCCTCGATGATGTCCTCGCTGCACGGTCAGACCTGGACTCAGAACCCTTTGCGGGTATGAGCGCACGGAGGTCACCCACCTCGAGCACTACTTACCTCGGAAAAGCCAAGAACAGCTGGAATGCATGGATGTTATGGGTTAAGGAAAAGTTGGAGATGTGGACTGCGCCTCAGGATGATAAGCAAGTTGCGTGGGTGCTTGGAATTGGCTGGGCGTGCTGTGGAGGTGGACTTGCTGGAGTGTGTCTGGTTTTTGCTAAAGCCACGTCAGTTCCCTTTTGTTTCTTTCCAGTCCTGCGTTATTCTGACCCGGGATTAGCGTGAAGTTACTCACTGGAAGCCTCTCGCATGAAAACCCCGGAAACCAGTTCGGACACGTAGCACCTATATTCACAATCATTTTGCTCGTGATCACGGCTGTACTTCAGATCATTTGTCTCAACCGTGGACTCAAGGTCTTCGACTCCACTCTCGTCGTCCCAGTCTTCTACGGTGTCTACACTGCAACTGGGTATGTTCATTCTTCCTGTGGTCAGTTTCAATTATACTTATTTGTAACCTAGTTTTCTGGACTCGTTGGTATTCAATAACGAAGTTGACGCCTACAAGCCATGGATACTCTTCTTGATCTTCGCCTCCATAATGATTCTCATATCTGGTGTGGTCCTCCTGACGCATAAAAAACCTGAACGATCAACTCGTGCACCTGCTACCACAACACTATCTGGCTTGTCGTCTCGCAAGGCTGCTCGGTCATCTTCCAAGGTCAATCGTATAGTCGAGGAGGACGAAGATGATGATGAAGAGCAAGCCTTGAGACAAACAGAAGAAGGTGAGGAGGACCGGGCGGTACTGTGGCAAGTGGGAGATGATAGCGATGACGAAGACGACCAACTCGGTAAGGGGCATACGCCAAGAGGCGTCCACACAGCTGGCAACACGACCCTTGTTACCGGAGAAGGGTCAAGGTTGATGCGAAATGAAGATGAAGTGGTATTCGAACCAAGACACGAACACGTTCACTCGATTTCCTCAGACACAACGCTGGCTCAGAGCCCGGAGGATCCATTCCACGACGATGACGACGAGTTTGGACAGTGGAAATGATGGATACCGTTCATGATACAACCTCATACCCGTTGGACTGCACATATATGCATTATGGTTTATAATTGCTTCATAGTAGATACTTTACTACCGGAACACTACATTCGCACGCGTCTAATGTATACTTGCTTGCTTTGCGACAGGCCTGGTGGTTGGTGGAATTGATTCCGTTGATCGGTTGCCGGTCACGGTGTGTTTGTTCAATATTGGTAGTTGGCCACTTGGACTTGTGGTTGGTCGGCGCAAGTCCGCCAACTTCATCTTCTTTTTCAAAAACCATGGTCGAGCTGAACGCAGCACAAGAAAAAGATATCGACGAGCTTGAAGACGACTATCAGTCGGACGACGATGACCCTAACGTGTTCAAAGTCAGAGATGCATTGATGCCGCCGTCTGCGATGTCCTATTCTGCGCAAGAGTTACACAGTGCGTCAGCGAACACGCAACTCATGACGTGCCCTCTTACATACTATTGCGTTCAGAATACATACACGAGGGCTTCATTGACCTGAACCCCATTTATCAACGAGGCGAGTGAACAAAAATCTACAAACACTTGACGCGCATTGAACAATAAGCGCGCACAGACGTCGTTTGGCCCGAAACCAAGCAAATTGGTCTCATCGACTCCATCTTTCGAAACTTCTACGTCCCCCCCGTAATATTCGCCGTGACCAAAGATGATGAGGGGGAGCCCATTCGTATTTGCGTGGATGGGAAACAAAGGCTCACGTCAATACAAAAGTTTCTTGACGGCCTGGTGAGTACTTTTGTCCTTATCACGCAGTGTATATTGGTATCTTATGCTACGCGAGCGTTAATAGATTCCTCGTGAGTGTAATCTTTGACGCCACTTAGTATTCGTGTTGAACACTCAAATGCAAAGATCGAGACGTGCGCACGAAGAAGAGCTATTGGTTCGTTCGTTCCGACAAGCAGAAGAATACGCGCTTAGAAATACCAGAAGAGTGGAAACGACGGTTTGCAGAGACCAGAATTACGTGCGGTTTGTGTTTCGACTGTATCACCTCTCTCGGTCATTCACCTTTGTTTCTCTGCAGTCGAATATCATAATCTGACTCCGGAAATCGAGCGCGAAATCTTCCAGCGGGTGCAGCTCGGCGTGCAATTGACTGCTGCAGGTGCTGTGCTTCCTTAATCACGCGATTTACGCTGACCGCCGTGTCCAGAGAAACTTCAAGCGATTTCGTCGCCATGGGCTGATTGGATCTCGGACCTCGAGCTGCGTCACGTGAATGTAGACAACAGAGGACTGGCCAGTGTTCTCGAGTGGGATACTACACGCGGAAGAGACTTCCAATGCATCGCGCAGCTAATCTATTGCTGCGACGGCTACCCAGACCACCCACTTCCCACAGCCCAGAAACTAGAAAAGTGGCTGAAGCGGGTGGATCACCCTTTACCGGCGTTCATGGTGGAGATCAACGACGTACTGTCGGAGTTCTGGAACATCGCGACAAAAGATGACTTGAACGCCGCTTTCACGGAAGTTGACAAGCGCGTTGCGCCTGTTGAATTTGTATTCATTGGTATGTGCCGTATCTTCAGAAGTGAATGATTTGCTAAGCACATGTGCGCTATGCTCCACAGGGGTCGTTCTCTTCGTCCTTAAAAATTGCACACTTCGAGAAAGAGCGAATGCCATCCTACATATGCGTTTACGGATACGAGAACAGTTCCGCGACGTTCGTAATAATGGTCTTGTGGGAAAGGCCTTGTGGAGTTACGTTGATAGTATTACTGGTCCGTCTGGGGTGAGAGTGCTGGACGTGGACGCTCCACTGTTGGCGATTGCGTCCACCTCCACGGGCACGAAGCGGAAGAGGAAAGGTTCGGATGCCGATGAAGACTATCGTCCTTCGCCAATCAAGAGTCTAGGTTCAAAGGCGAAAACGCGCTCATCGGGCAGGAAGTGATCGCCTCCGTGGTCTTGTGATTTATAGAGGAGATACTTTAGCTATACAGAGACTCACAGTAAATACTATAATAGTGTACCCGGTGGATATGCTCTTGTGAATTTCAGCTGTTGTAACTTACTCGCGCAGTGTACCATACCCCCTCGGCGTCTGTCAGTGCTCTAGCATGCTTGAGGAGTAGTTTATCTCGTTCCTTGGAGTTGACGGCAATGTCAAGTAGGAAGTGCTCGATCTCCTCGTTTTTCCATCGTTGGCGAGTCAGAAATAGTTCAACGAATCGTGCGGCTGGATCGACCGGCAATGCGGAGGATGGGTAATAGGTCAACGTCGCTTCTTCCCCAATTGAGGACAGATTTCGAAGGTAGTTTCCCTACAGATCGTGTCGTTGTAGTTCAGCCAATAGTTGGCGGATTAACGCACCGAAAGAAGGGACAGCTTCACGGAAGACTCGAGAGTGTCCCCTACTACGTTTTTCCATTTCTTGAGGAATTCGTGCTCAAAGATAGGGTTGTGCTGGGTCTGGCATCAGATATCGGCATCCAGAATTATTAAAGAACAAACAAACCTTATGGTGGCGGAGAATTCCTACTCCAAGCTCTCTGATCACCATGTCTGCGTCCATTTTCCACAGGCCTTCCTTTACGTCCCCAAACCAGGAGATGACTTGGTTCGATACTGCGCGAGGTATTTCATGTTCATCAGCAAGTACAGACACCAATTCCTCGACCGCTGCAGCTTGGTGTGGGAGGGACAGGGATACCAAATAATTCAACAGGAGTTCGAGAATGGTGCTAAGATGCGCCGGGGCTATAGGCCGTAGCTGCCCTAGAAAGACATTAATTTAATGACTTAGACGGCTATCACGAGGGATATTGCTCCCACCTTCGAGCACGAGGATGCGTCTCTCTTTCAGACCACGGCAAAACTCAGCTTCGCTAGCCTGTATTTCGCTACGAGCCTGCTCATAGCTATATTTTGGCATGGTTGCCTTGTGGACATGGATGAGACGATATGCCCCGTGCACACTGCATGCTGGCCCACCTGCCTGTCCTCATCTCCTTCATCATATTCCATATCCCTCAGCAGGATCGAAAGTTTGTGCAGCTTCGGTACTACAGGCACTAGCTCCAATATTTCGTGCAATTGGTCCCGGATGTGCACGGTCCCATCTGGATCTGATCTGGAGGGTGTCACGACCAACACAGTGTTGGACAGCACAACAGAGCGGATGGCATATGTCTTTTCTGATGTACATAGTACCGCGTCCTCAGTTGGGTGCCCTTTGATGAAGAGGCTGGGTGTTACAGTCTCAAATCAGGTGGTGGACAGTCGAGAAGGAAGACTCGCCTAGGACGTTTTTCAGAGGCAGATTCAATCATTTGGCACAACTCTGGAGGAAGCTCCATAAGCCTAAAAGAACCTGTGTCCTGGGCGGTAGCTGCAGATAATCTGAGATCCAGTTCGCTCATTGTGGTATGGGTTAAATGGGAGGCGCGTCAAACCTTGACGCGATTGTCACAGCGCACGTGCTGCAACAGTCACAGACAAATCGCCATGCACAAAATAACCCAAAAGATAACTACATAGTAGTGTGTAGAAAATACAGAGAACAAATGAATATGTCGATGACACGTCTATTCGTACATACTCGGTCAACTCCGAGGAGCGTGCGTGTCAACAGGGTGGAATTTCACGCGAACTTCTGAGATCTCCTTCCGCGCCTCCTTCAACGTCTGCGAAATCTTTACTTCTAAGTTTGATGTAGCCAAGACTGACATATTGCTCGGCACATCGGCTATTAGGTCCACGTACATCAGCGAGCCTGCACGCTTAGCTCGGAGATGTCGGACGGCGAGTAGTTCAGTAGTTGCATGGAATCCGTTGCCGGTGGCAGAGGATGACGGCGATGGAGAGGAAAGAAGAGGATTTAATGCGTGTACTAGCTTCTGATGCGAGTTCGCAGAGACACCAGCATCTGTAAGCTCAGTAAACGCGCCTCCAAAGAGGTCTAAACCTTGCTTGAGGATAACAAAAGAAACGAGAAGTCCTGGTGAAGGTAATGAGCAGTGTAGAAATAAAAAGGAACTGGTAGAAAATACATACCCCCTATAGGGTCTAAGGGTAACGCAGGGAATAGCCACGATCCTATAATTGCGAAAAGGGCGACGACACTAGAGTATGCGTCACTACGATGATGGATAGCATTTGCATAGAGCACTGGACTATGTTCTTCGTCAGCAACCTTCTTGGTTACTCGATACAACCACTCCTTTGCCACGACACTGACCGCAGCGAACCAGGCTGCATTGGGGTCGAGGACGCCGGTATGACCATGCGAGTGGCCGATGGCAGGAACATTATGAGCAATAGACGTAACTTGCTGGAGGAGGTCATGGAGCGGGCCGGGTGGGACGGTGGAGACAGTTGTCACCAGTGCTTCCACGAGGAGGTGGTAAGAATGGAAGCCGATGCCTAGTGCTCCTCCGATAAGCAGCAGTGACACAGTAGTTGTCCCGAGAGTCTCAAATTTGGCGAATCCATATGGGTAACGTGCTGAGGGTGGCTTCCTTGACAGTTTCCAACAAAACAAAACAACAAAGTCACCGAGCAGATCTGGAAACAATCATGTTAGTGCGAAAGGTCGAACTATTGGTTGGATCCACGGACCACTCATGGAGTGGCCGGCATCTGCTAGCAATGAGGCAGAGTGCATATACCAGCCCGCGAGTCCTTTGGCGCCGGTCAATGCCACGTTGGCAAACAGCCCTACGAGCGTTATTCGACTCCCTCTATCGCCTGATGGATAATCAGCTACGCTTCGACTAACCAGGGATCACAACTCACCAGTAGTTTGAAGCGCCTGTACTATCTGCTCTGCATCATGTCCATGGTCATGTTCATCATGCGAGTGTGAATGAAAGACCGAATGCGAATGTTTGCCATGGGCGTCATTGTGACCGTTTACCCCGTTCTGCGTAATTTTTTCGTCTTGTGAATCTCGCTGAGTCGAGTTTGCCCGTCGGTATGCCATTCCAAGGTACCTTGTAGGCAGATACGTAAATGACCTGGCAACACGTCAGTCTCCGGGACTCTGGATGTACCTTGTTTAGTCTCCACTCGCCTGAGACTATCTGTAAACACGAGAGCGGGGACTTTATGACGCTGTAGGTCTGGATTATATGCACTATTTCGCAGAGACCCCCTTGAAAAATAACGGCGCGAGACAACAGGCAAAATGTATGGAAATGAAGCCAAGGATCCGGTTATCCGAGTCGCGCCTACCGCCGTGTACGGAGCAGTGTGAACAGCCCTGATCAAGCAGCGCTCAAGGTTCACAGGTGGCTTCATGCCCGGGCTTGTCACAAGTGAGACAGCGGAGAGACGATCTTTGAATGATACACATATGAATGTGGACCAGTCATAGGCACTTGAAACACTACCGGTGAACTCTCCGCTTATGGCTGAGTGTTAACCACCATCTCCTATAATATTATATTGCTAGGTAAGAATCCTTCTTTCGCAACAATAATAATGGTCCAAGATCTAGAAGACGGGTCTACCGTTTATGCCTATGCTGAATACCTCTGCAGACCAATCAATATGTGCTACTAGTAACATCAGGCTGGCCCTTCCCATTAGCGCCTGCCTTCCGGATTTTGCCACTGGGTCTTCTGTCGGGACTCCTAGCGCTAATATTCATGCACATCAATTACGCTTCACTGACGCGCCTTTCTATTTCCTTCGACAGAGCTAGATATATCTTCCGTGATGGCTGTGCGAAGTTCTAAACCCAACACAAAAAAACACGCCCACCTACACACAATTTAGCTTGTACGAGGTAAGCGTCGCGAACAATGATTGAGTGGGGGACTGTGGGGTTCATGCATATATTTACACTGACGGCGTCTATTGTACTCAATCACGAGCAGAACTCATTAGTAGATGCTCTCCAAAAGAATCTTCACCTTTGAGAGCAACTCTTCGTCCTCTTGACCAACTGTACGGATTGCGATCTGTTCGATATCGGTCGTTGGTACACCGTATTGGCTCAGCGTCTTCTGCAGCCCAAGCTCTTGTACAAGGCTAGGGAAACTGAGAGCTCATTCTGGATAGATGGGAGAAGACACTTGCCTGTTGATCATGTGCGACAATTTCCTGACATCTCCATCAACAGTCCCAGTTGATGGTTCTCTGAGATAGAATAAGGCTTCAGCAAGGTACTCCTTGTCCTCTTGGCTTGCTATTTCCGCCTGTAGGTTGACGACTGGCGCAAGCGTCAAGCACTAGAAATAGACCGTGGTAAAGAAATCATGTGCGGACTCTGGCAATGTGTACTGACTGAGGTGATGCCATGCGGTATTCCATAGGTTGCTCCAAGCTTGTGACCTAGTGTGTGTGATAATCCTAACGGGCTTCACAAAAAATGATTGATGGCAAGCCACCTCCACGTGAAATAACCTACCTGTGCTGTTCAACCTTCCGCGGCCATAAGCTCATCCACGACGCAACCTGCAGCCTCTGCCTTGCAGCAAGATCTTTGCCGTCTTTCTTCGACAGCATGAGAAAGCGGAAAAGATCGGCGATGGCTGCAAGGCATAGCTTTTTCAACGGTAGGGGTACTCCGGGTCTGTATAGACTCTCTGTTTCCAGATACTTAGAAGCATGCCAAGTCATTGTGAATAACTTCTTACCAACTGCATGGTCCAGCGCACGCATGCCAGTAGAAAGCCTTTGAAATAAAGTGAGCATACATGGGGGTCAACGAATTGATGATCTACCATAGTTGTTCAGGTGTCGAAAGAGTCAACTCTGCGTCCAGTATGATCCCTGCTGGAGCAAGCTCTTGATGAGCGACAGATACCTTGTCACCCTGATTATTGGTATATCCTGCACCAATCTAGCATATCTAGATAAGACAGGGAGTTAACTCGCTTCAAGATCTTACCGAGTATTCAGCTGCACTCAGGGTTGTTGGTATTGCAATTTGCCGCAAGAACTCGGGCTCTTGGCCAGACGTTTCTTGTACTTTTTGTTCATGCAGCCTGAAAATAATAGCCTTCGATGCATCGATGGGAGAGCCTCCGCCAACGGACACTATGATGTCGGCGCCGACTTCACGAAACTCGGAGACGCCGTTCTCGATACCAGCCTCAGGAGTATGCTCCCCGATTTCCGAGAAAGTAGCACCAAATGCATTGGATTTCTTCAAGATGTTCTCGATTCTTTCCACCACGTTAGTCTGCGCGTTCGAGTCAATATTATATTGATCGGTAAGTCTGAAGCATCTACACACCTTGTAACGGAGAGACTTTCCAGTTACGATAAGTGCTCGTTTGGCTCCAAGCGTGTCCAAAAGTTTTGGGAGTGCGGTTTCAACGCAATTGGGTCCATAGAAAACACCCTTGAGTGTGTCAGTATATGCGTAAGATCCGGCTGGCACTGTGTCCTTGTTGGTCGACATCGTAGATATGAACGGAATAATGTTGTTTATGACCTGTGGAGTTTGGTGTCGTTCAGGGGACTGTCAAGATTAATAATCGGTATTATCGGTCACGGACATAGTGCGAGTCTCGTTATCGATTTGCATCCGACCTTTAATTATCAATCACAGGTTTACACGACGTCGACGTGCCCTTCACCAACCGTCCCCGTTACTGGACATGACGCGCTCGAAATCGCCACTAGGCTGTCGCCAGCATCGCTAGGGTTTCCGCCGGGCGAACGTTGAACTGTTGCCGCGGACTTGATGGTGCACCTTGCTGCTCAGGCTCACAGCTCGGTTAACAGTCTATTTATATATGTAAGTCTGATATCAACTTGAAGTGGGCTTTCTTGCACACACGACATTGCATGACAGTACTTGACGACGTGTGACTATTGACCACGATTATTTAATCCAACCATGAGCAACCTAGCCAAGTGTTATCGACTACTCACATCGGCGACACGTCCAGTGGCCTGGAGACGTACTCTCTGCTTCAAAGACGGCTCTTCCAGGATCCGGTTATTCTCGTCCATGAACAGAAGCGACGAAGCCAGCAAGGCGTTCAACTCTGCTGCCTCATTTCGCGTTACCGACCCACCAAACCCCAATTGGCAACCGAGACAAGGCCTCCCAGACCACATCGAACCTGGAAAGTCGTGGAAAGCAGAAGAAGAGAAAGGCTGGAAGACTTGGAACCTCTCAGACATCTCGCCGAGGTACGCGACCGACCTCATGTAGTACTGTACAAGTACTGGTAGCAGAAGTTTTTGCTTATCAAACCTAACCTTATCCCTCGCATATCACTGACTCGGACTGCTTACAGGGAGGTGTACCCTCTGTTGACTTCATGCATCGTGCCTCGCCCCATCGCGCTCGTGTCTAGCATCTCTTCCGATGGGGTGCCTAACCTTGCCCCGTTCAGGTGAGTTTCATGTTCAGCACATTTTTAGCCGGCCAGTGTAACCTAACTTTTGATCGTATAGCTACTTTTCCATGGTGCGTCGGACGTATTCTTCAACGTTTTAAATTTAACTTTTTTCATGCTGCTGGTGCACGAAAAGGTCGCGCACAATCCGCCGTTATTGAGCATTTCCTTCTCTCAGTCTCCGCGGAAGTCCAAAGACACCAAGGAAAACATACTTGCGACGAAACAGTTTACCGTAAGCATTATGAGCGATCCATTCATAGAAGCAGCGAATATCACATGTGTCGACGCCCCTGCTGATGTGGATGAGTGGGACATCAGTGGCCTAACCAGATCGACCAGCGTAAGTTCATTCCGTTTGGCAGCCGCAGCGGTTGCGGCTCACGTGACATTCGCGTGTGTATTGACCGCAATGCTTGCCCATACATAGATAGACGTGCGGCCCCCATGGGTCAAAGAAAGTGCCATCGGTCTTGAATGCGAGGTACGCCTGTGCTTCCATGTTTTTTTTTGCCATAACTCATAAACCTATTAATGTCATTCGCATCACAGTTGTTCTATTCATATGAGATTTGTCCGCCAAATTCGGACGAGGTCACGAATACGTTGGTCTTGGGTCTCATTAAGCGGGCACATGTTAGAGAGTCCGTTTTGACTGCAAGCGGTACCGTTGATCCTGCTAAGCTTCGCGCCGTGTCACGCCTGGGTGGTGACATGTACGCGAGGATCGGGGAAGGTTTCGAACTTTCCAGGCCACCATGGAAAACGATACGAGATCAAGTCATGTCTCGCGCATCTGAATCAGAGTAGGAAGTCTTTTGCACTGTAATGGACACGAGCACGTATTTCACCACTGATAGACGAGTCCGCATGTTCACATCAGTTTGCATTTGGAAGGTTTCAGGTCGAGGGATGTGAACGCTTATGAGATGCCAAGACAACGTTTCTTTGCGGAAGCATCGACCACTGAGAAGGGTTACGGATATAGAATGCCTGTTGATGGACCTGATCTTTGCAGCCAACTTGGCCCGAATAAACGACGATATATTTCTCACCGCATGGAACAAGCCACCCTTCCCCATGGTACAAGGTCGAAATGAAGCAAAGTTTATACCAGGAGACGCACGCTGCTAATAATGGTCGTTCAGGCCTTGAAAGATTAATCAAAAGTTAGAAACACCAGGCATACACGCAGATGAACACAACGTGGAGTGATGTCACGAAAGCGCGGCTACATGCTCCAGAAGATGAGCCATGATGCAGAGCACGATGCGCGTGCCTTATCGATAAAAAAAATTGACAAGGAATGATCTCCAGGAATGCAGATCAACATCCCGGCCGTGTGCGCACATCGACTGGGAAAAGGACACGAATAGCCAACAAACAGGTGACTATTTTGACAGGAACAACATGTGTTAGCTAAAATTACGGCCATGGTCCACTATTCACCGCGTTAACCTCACCAACTGTTGAAGAAGCGCAGTCAATAGTCGCCGTGATTCCTCGAGGCAGCCAATGCTCCGTTGTATAGATAGTTAAGACAGATGATCACTTTGAGTGGGCATATGGGTCCGTATATTATTCCACAGCCTTGTCATCGGAAGCTTTTAGTCACGTGTACAAGGTACTCCGCCACATTCGGTCTCTCTTGCAGTTTAGAGCCTTTCTCTTCGTTTGTTCTCCCTCAACGTTCAGCGCTCAGCGCTCAGTCCAAGTACTAGGTGTGTTTTCAGCTCTCTTTTTTCGTTTACAATACCCTTGATAAGTTCGGAAGACTGTCGTCTACAATAGATATTCTTGCCACTGAGGCATACCCTAACCTTCCGGGTCGGATACGGCCAACAAACTAGGTGAGTTACTTGTAAAATCACATGAGCGTAAAATTTATGTGCACCGATGTTCTGCTTTAGCATCCTGCTCGGGGATGGATAATGACCCAGCATCGGTCGCTGAACAACGCGCCAATGCGGTCGCAAAGCTCAAACGCGCAGCATCTTTACCACGACTGAAAAATGGAAGGCGGCCACAGATGCACAATGAAGTTGTTAGCGAAGGCGAGAAAACCCTGCATGACGACGTTCAGGATCCATCGCAGGACACGCCCCCCGAGTGCGTCTCTAATATTGACTCCAAGCCGAATGTACAGCCCGAAGAGAACCCAGGCACACCTGAGCCGTCGATTGTCACCCGCAAACGCCGCTCACGTTCACGCTCACGTTCTAGGGGCTCTAAGGATCTCAGAAAATTCAAACCTCCCCAGTCTCCCTTGCCACTGTCTATTACGCCGAGCAATGATTCTTCTCCTGACGATTCGCCACCCTCGCGAGCTGAATACCTTCCGCACTCAATTCTCGCACCAATACCCTCCCATCTCCATCCGTTACCCACTTCTCCATTCATCTTACCAGGTTTCTTGACGGCAGAGAACTCTTCTCTACCTTCTGGTGCTTCTTCTCCTGTCCCAAGATTTCCCACACTGGAGGCTCTGGTATCACATCAAGGGCTTCAGCGATCAAATAGCGCAGGTGCAGCCCGCATGTTAACTCTACAGAACACATTACAAAAGCTTACGGGCGGCACGGAACTAATGGAATCGACATTTCCGTCGCCAGCGGTATCCCCACCGCCTTTTGGCAGTAAACTCGGTCGAAACAATACTGTGTCTGGGGGGGAAAGTAGCGAACGTAGCACTGCCCGAAGGGTTATGATGGCACAACTGAACAAGAGGATGATCAAGGAGACGGATATCGAAGAGGAAGATGTTCGACCGTTTAGTCCCTCAAAGCGACGCCAGAGAAGACGATCAAAACGTCAGTCCGCCAATCCTCCTGTGGTGTCAACCACAGATGAGTCCGATCTTGTTTCGACCACCAATCCCACGCCAAACCGTTCCAACACCCCTCAACCTCAACCCGACGAATTAGCCCCCAACATCCAGCGCACATCGTCCACCACACCCATACCACCGATACCAATATATCCTCCGGTAACCCCAAGCATCAACCTCAATGAAACTATCAACTCTAGCCGTCAATCCACTCCTGTGCGAGCTGTGCCACCTACCCACTTTGATCACGCGGCCAAGAAAAGACGAGAGAGTGTTCTGATAGAGGATCCAGATGACGAAGACCGGATCCCCCCGCACTCAACGTATTATGGATTACCGGGCGCTCCGAGTCGGCCCTCTCCTAGCACTTCCCCCCGCCTTCCTCATTCATCGGACATCTCCACTGACTCAGCACCTCCTGATGCTACGAATGTGCCAGTATACCTAGTCCAGCCTCATCTTGAGAGGACTCCATCTCGGCAAGCTAGATTCCCTTCTAGTCCCTTCGCAAGGCCTCACAAGGAGATATCGTTATCATCTGACCAAGAGGAGGAACGCGATCAGGAGGAGGAGGAGTTTTTTCCAACAGAAGCTTTTCGACGGTCTCCATATCATGACGGTCTTAACCGAGAAATCAGTTGGGTGGCAGAGCCGGGTGAGTGTTGGGTGTTTTGGTTGATTGGAATGCCGCTCACACTCTTTGCGGCAGTGCCAGAAACCCCCATGCTTGTGCATGAAGAGACAGAAGAGGAAGAGGACGATGATCCGCTGCAGGAGGAGCCGTCTCAGCAAATCATAGAAGATGAAGATGACCATCCGCCTCCGGAGTCGCCAAGAGAAGAGTTCCATACCCAAATTGAGGAACCATCATCTCGGGCATCTATTGACTCAAAGGAACTTGTTGTGGAATTAGGGACCTCTCCTTTGCCTACCCCCGCACTCACGTCGCCGACGCCCTCGTCATTTGCCAACCTGCCTAATACCGCTTCCATGCTCCGCAACAGTGATGAATCGGATTCCCCCCAATATCCTCAACGGCTTTCGGTAGCTATTCGCATGCATAGCGATAAATCTCCGGTGGCAACTGAGCCTGAGTCGACTGATCCTCAAACGATCCGAGCAGAGACTCCCTCCAGGCGCGAAGGTAGCACATGGAGCAAGATCGTCCACACTCTGACGAGGAGCGCTTCAAGTAGCGGACGCCGCTCTCGGACGAACTCAATTGCGACAAGAGAGAGAAGACAGCACACTGATTCCAGTATTAGCCGGGAGAGTGGAGTGAGCCTTCCAAGCCCGAAAATTGATAAGAACGACAGCATCAGTTCGGCCACATACCCACACGCCCAGCCATCCTCAGCGTCGACTTCGGTACATTCCTTACTCCAAACCGCTCCTCCCAGCAGCGGGGTATCTCCTGTCCCTATGACTCCCTCCACTGATCCTCTGGCGAAGTACACACACGAAAAGCTTATGCCTTTCCCTGGGATCAAGAAGCTGCAAGAGCAATGGAACCACCGTCAACCTCTCTTTTCATCTACTCCTGATATCGTTCTGTCGCATCACGTTGAGGCTGATATACCGCTGCCCTCGAGTTCATCCAGCAATACCCCTTCAAATTCTCCTGAGATCAATGGAGATAGGAAGCTATCACACCAGGCATCAGATACCCATCTGTTACACATCTACAAGGCTCAAGCACCTCAGCTTTCTGCGTCTGCATCTACATCCTCTCATGACCATTATCAGCATTCGCCATCCTCCATTCAGCTGAAATCCCTTCCAACCAACCGAGATGGGGTCCGGAGATGGCTCAGTGCTAGGAAATTATTTCCCCAACCTTCACAGTCGCCGGTAGGCAGCTCGCCTCCGACGCCTGGTCCGGAGCAGAAACCCGCAGTAGCGTCGAAGAAGCCATCGCTCTCTGACCTGTTCCGATTGCGGAAGGAGAATGATTTGTCTACCGAGCTTCACGACGAATGGGTAGATGTTGATCGCGATAAAACACGCTTGCCAATGGGTTCAGTTGGCAATGGGCAGCTGAAGAAGGCGAATGGTGAATTCTCCCCAATCAGTCTCAACGGGAGCTCTATCCACGATGAGCTTCAGAAGACGCCACGAGCCAGTAAGATCGCTAAGCCTAACGGCCAGCCATACTCTGCCACAGACCTTTCTCTAATACCCCTCACTCCGGCCACCCCTTCTCCCCCTGAGCTTCCATCGTCCACCACACCTGAGCCATGGTCTTCACTATCCGACTACCCCCATCCCACAACATCTGAGTCTTCATCATCCAACACTTCTTCACATTATTCAAATTACCCTGCGAAAGGCGGCATACTGTTGGAGCGCTTGAATGAGATGCTGGGCCGAGGTTCGAGAAGCACGGTATGGCTGTCTGCCATTGATGAGCCTCCACGGAAGTTTCTACGATGCTCTCCAGTCTTCCAGGTTGTGAATTCCAATATCTGCAAGGATCGCTTCCTCTTCCTGTTTAACGACATCCTCGTCATTGCCAAACCTCGCCCTGAGGATTCCGATACGTTCCTCGAGGTGACGAAGCCTAATCCTGCTGATCGGAAGTTCACCGTCAAGAATGTGGTTTTGCTGCGACAACTCTTCTTCACCAGCGAGCGTGAGGAGCCGTGTTCAAGAACCATCCCAAGAACCCCTGCAGTGCAAGCATTCGTCGAGCAGTTCTCAACAGACCCGGATAATGCAGTCGCATCGCTCTTCAGCAGCTTGGGCCAGCGTGACGACCCTGCTGCACTTGCGCAGCTCCTGTTCAGAAGTCCACACATTGACAGGGTGCAACTCGGTGATTATCTGTCGCGGCGTTCAAGTCGTGTTGTGCTCAAGCATTACCTTGACGCCTTCGGATTCATTGGACTGAGGGTGGACAAAGCCCTTCGGTTGTTCCTTCAGTCCATTCACATCCCGGAACGGGGCAACCACGGTGTCACTCCTCTCGACGTTCTTATCGAGTCGTTCGCAAATCGGTGGTATGAGGCTAATGCAGTCCATATTTCTTACGACAAAGATTTGGCCTACCGCTTCGCGAGAGCCATCGTGCAGCTGAACGACGTCCTGCACGGTGCCATCTCTCATGAGCCGGGTCAAATGGGGCATCCCAAAAGAAACATTACTGCCAGAGACTTCCTTGAAGCTTTCCGACGTCATGATAATCGCTTGTCGGACGAGTTATTGGGGGATGTCTATGATTCCATTCGTCGCGAGCGTCTGTGCCAAGCGCGCACCCCAACGTCTGGCGGCCCACCAGAGATCACTGTCACCTTCAAACGCCCACTCCCTCCACGGCTTACCTATCGAGTCCAGTCAGAGCCAGTCGTCATCCGTATCCCACAACCAGATCCACATTTCAGTATTGAGTTATTTGGACACGATCTGGTGTTTGACCCACCTGTGCTGTCATTTGCGAAGTCGGCGGAAGCTTCTTTCCGGGTGACAGGGCGCTCTTTTGGACTGAAGACGATGACCATGCTCCGGTCAAGTCCGAATGCCCTACTGTATACCGGCCTAGCTCAGAATTACACTATATCAGTGGAGCGTGCTTTCATGCGCAACACCTTTCAGGTGGCGTTTTTGGATCACAATGGGGCCAAGCGCAAATACATGTTCAGCGTCACTGACCCTGTTGTTCGTCACGAGTGGGCAGTTTCGCTCAAACGGGAAATTGATGCCTCTGTCGCAGCCACTGATCATCCATACAACATAAGCTGGCCGAACCCGCAGACAGCTCGGTTTTATAAAGCATCGTACAACATGTCATTCAAGGTGTTGCAAGATACCCTGCTCAATCCATCTGCATTCCTGGGCAATTCCAATCCCTTTCCTTCTAAGGTTGACCATGCGCTAGAGCGCCTCACATCCGGCCTTCATACCCGCGACCAATCCAAAACTTCTGTTCGACTCGGTGTGGACCGTCCATCGGAGCCAGTGCGCTCGAAGTCTCGGAGCAAGGTGTACCATCGCCATGGACCTGGAAAGATGGAATCAGAAAGCAATAGCCTCAGCTTCCCTCACGAGAGCAGCGATGATGGCGGGGACGATCCTGACACTCAACCCAGATCGGATGACCAATACTGGTCAGGAAAAGATTTGGCGATGTATTGCCAGCAAAACAGCTCTATCGCCCTTTTGCTAGCATACCTACAAGTCAGCACACCAGATGTTAACGGCTCACAATGATTCGGTGAGACTTTTGTTTTGCTATATATGCCGACTATTGAACGTTGTCACAGTGCCTCGTGCTTGCTCTCGGTCTCCCTTCTGATCGCTGCTCTCTCTATATCTCACGCATCCCATTCATGTATATTCAATTGTTCTGCTGTACCGTTCTGCACATTGCTATTGCTATATCGTCCACTATCATTACTACATCTACCCGTCCTTTAGCTACGTTTGAATTCATGATGCATTTCGGAATAAATATTTGAAAGCGCGAACATTGCAAGGAGCACTTTTTAAATGCTGGCTGATAGTTAGGCCTAAGGCTCTAAGGTCCTAATGACATACTAATCTTTGTAAAAGGAACAGCCTATTCCGGCTTCAAAAGCTTCCGCAACCAGAGGGCTGTCCACCCATTCTGAATCTTTTAAGTAGCTAACTAGATGCCCCAGTAGGGCACGACGTATCCACTGCCTCGTGTTAAGTCCCAGTTCTTGTCTTTCCCTTGAGGGACAGGTCATGGCTCGTATCTATGCCGGTGCGAATGCACAACTGGGACGCTCGTGGTATGACTATGGTGAGCAAATTCTGTTTCACCAGTTCTGTCGCCGGTGACCGTGAAATTACGCAGACAATTTCCGCATCGAGTGGAGTTCTCCCGAACGCTATGAGATCGTCGATCGTGTAGGAGGTGGGAAGTATAGCGAGGTGAGAGCATCGTCGACATATTTCATGGATTTTCAGCCAACCGCTTCATAGGTGTTCGAAGGGTTGGATACCGCTAACACCGAAACTTGTATCATCAAAGTACTCAAGCCTGTAGCCCCCAAGAAAATCAACCGTGAAATTAAGATTTTGCGTAACCTCACTGGAGGCCCGAATGTTGTTGCCCTGCTTGACGTCGTTCAAGACCCTTCATCACGATACCATAGCTTGATCATGGAATATGTGGATAATGTGGAGTGGAAAGCCTTATACCCAATACTTGGCGAGGTAGACATCAAGTTCTATGCTTTCCAGCTCCTTAAGGTATGTCCCACGACTTCATAAACCGGCCCCGGGGCTTCTTTTGACGTTGTTTCATGAGGCTTTGGATTTTGTGCACTCGCGAGGAATCATGCATCGTGATGTAAAGCCGGGCAACGTCATGATTGATCATCGACACCGGAAGGTACGTGCCACATGTGTCCCATCTTGACGAGATTGTTGATTAGTTGAACTATAGCTACGGCTCATTGATTGGGGACTAGCTGAATTCTATCATCCTGGAACGGCATATCATATTCGCGTCGGTTCACGGTACTACAAAGCGCCTGAATTGCTCGTGGGGTATAAGTTGTACGATTACAGCCTTGATCTGTGGAGCGTGGGATGCATGCTTGCCTCGATGGTGCGCGGCACTTTCGCGTTTCGCCCATATCCTTCTAATGATTCGACAGCTGTTTCGCAAGGAGCACTTCTTCCGCGGTTCGGACAATAATGACCAACTCTTGAAAATCATGAAAGTTCTAGGATCCGACAGTTTCGACGCATATTTGAAGACATATGACATACCATTTGAAACAGACATGGAGGCTCTTTTGCACTCGTTAGTGGCATGTGCGACCACGCGTTTAAATGCTGATATCTCGTCCCAGTTATCCAAGACAGCCTTGGGCACGTTTTGTTAATGCTGACAACCAGCCGTTTGTGACGTCAGAGGCAGTGGATCTTCTCGACAAATTACTGCGTTATGATCATCAGAAACGGCTAACAGCACGGGAGGCTCAAGCCCATCCATATTTCAGTAAGCACGTTTATTTCCGCTGTGCTTCTCTTCTCAAGCTATCTGCAGATCTGGTCAGACTCGAGGCAACATCAATTAAAGGAGACTCAGCGGAGTACGTTAGCGACTCTGGATTCTGCTCTATGTAAAGAAACTAGGGAGGTCATGCTGTGTAGGTGTAATTTTGGATCTTACACTTGTAGGGAAGCTGTTGTATCGGGCGATGTTGTCACTATTAGGGCCAAGACACTCATGTTCGAGAATGTGATCAGAATTCAAGAACGCGGTGATTGCATCAAATCAGGAAAGGCCAATGAAGTGGCAACGTGTCCAGTCCCGGCGAAAGCAACGAGGCAAACACACGTACTCGGACATGTTCGATTACTCCAGGCTTTCTACACACCCTCGTTCGCGTCTATCGTCAGGTCAAGGCGGTGAGCTGGGAAGATATAACGCACCACCTTCATCTTTACGTTCTTCCAATCTAACCTGCGTCAGATACTTCACTGCGTGATGGACCCAGACTATACACATCACATCCGCCCCAGAGCAATCAGCAGTCCTCACCGTCAGATTCCATTTTCCCAACTTAGGTGCGCCAAAGTAGCTGAGCTACCAGGCTCCCCATCACCAGCATCCCGACTACGCTTCCCGCGACCTGATGATCTGACTTGCCCACATGAATATACGAACCCTCGCCCTCTTCAATGGAAACGCACAAATCCTCACGCACTGGCATGCGTCAAGGAACAGGAGCACTACATACACGGCAGACATGAAAACCCAACGGAGCAATGGGTGAACGATCAGATTCACTTGGCAAGCCGGCCAAGCCAGGGACGCCGCTGGATGAAGCCCACGGAGACGGAGGAGCTTCGGCATAGAATGCGGGATGAATTCATGTACGAGCATGAAGTGGAAGCGCATAGTTGGATGACGTACGAAGAAGAGATGAGACGAAGAATGCGGGAGCGCGAAGAGGAGAAGAACCGCCTGATACAAAGCGAAGTCAGACGAATTCAAGCCCGCGTTCGCCAGCGGAGGGACAGTGAAAGACATATCATTGCTGAAGAGCGAAGGCGGGAAGCCGACAAGGCGAAGGAGAGGGTGATGAGGGAACGAGCGAGGCTGGAACGAGCAACGATAGACGCCTGGAACGTGTACGAGTTGCGATGGGTAGCGCTGTCAGCTGCATATGACGGAATCGTTCTAAAATTCCGTGATATCCCATGGCCACTACTTGTTCCCCCATTGACTCCAGGTGAAATCACTCCCGGGGGAATCGAAGCATTCATTTTATCCCCAGCCCATTCCCCGGGGCAGTCCCAAAAGGAGAGGATACGCGCTGCTCTCCTCCGCTGGCACCCAGATCGATTCTGTCGAGTGCTGGGGAGAGTGCGAGAATCGGAGAGGAATGCTGTTGAGGAAGGCGTAGGGATTGTGGTTCGATGCCTGAACGATCTTCTAACGAAGGACAACAAGGCCTCCCAGGTGGTGAGCATCATCCCTCGTCAAAACCTAACGTTGCGGTCAGCTCACGGTCAGTCCACCGCAGGCTAAACGAGAATCGATGTTATAAGTGGTGTACGACGCTGGTGGAGTCGCAAAGGACTACTCCCAGACATTGGTGCATGTTGCAATATTTCCGTGGTTATGATTCCAGCCATGCTGTATACAAGAGCAAAAGACATTTTTGTTGTAGCAGACTCCACCATTAATTTGGAGTTTTTTTGGGGCCAAGCTGAGGCCACCGATGAGGATCGAAACATATAAGTCGAATCAAATTACGCGTGAATAACTATACATGCTTGGAGAACCTGCTCGCAAGGCACATGTGCTTTTAGAGTACATGACATTGCATGGAAACAACATGGCGCTCGAATATCGAGGGACAGAGAGGTGGAGCAATGATATAGTTAATGAATAGTGAGTCGCGAAGATTATTATTATATACGGTGAAGATCAAAATAAACGTCGAGATATCATGAAAACGTACGAACACAGGACACAGCATCTGCAGCCAGACCACCTAACACACTGGGCCCGCAACATGAGTACGGTTGATCGACCCCTTGGTTAACGAAGTCGTGCGAGAGTGCGCGCTACGACCGACGTTGAAGAACGGGATAGACAAGCCATCTACAGACATTCGAAATCAGCGACGACAAGTACAATACTACCCATAATGATACTTACGAACGATGATAGAACCAAGGACGACGAAGGACACTATAGGCTGAATAGTTGCGGCGAGATACTGTGCTTGATCTGCAGGTGGGTCCTCCGGAGTGGGCAAACGCGTGAGCGCTAGGGCAGACACGAAGACTGCGCTGACTCCCATCTAGGACGCATGAATGAATGATAAGAAATGGTACTTGTCCAACTTACTGGACCTGTATACATGATTCAGATAATTCAAGTGAGAGCGACACCATAAATAAAAGATCTGCTCACCGAAGTGGCCAGAGAATAGAGCTTCCTGCCAGCACGTAATCTCGGGAACAACTTTATATACTGCCAATAAGAACGGAATTCGCCTCAAGACCAAAATAGCGATCAAAAGAACAACAAGCTTCCAACAAGTGATACCATACTCGGGAGAGTTATAGGCGTGAAAAGGCAGCCAAGCACCGATGTAGATGAAGCAGCCACAGTTCAGAACATAATCTATGACAGAAGAGAAACCGTCATCTTTTATCTGTTCATGAAAGTGCCCATCCCAGGATATTGCGCAGCCTGATGGGGATGTCAGACCCTACTAATGGATTAAGCATACTGTGGACGCAAACCTGCTGCAAATGCTGCAAGAAGATCATCCGCACCAATGGTGCTCGCAACTCCCATAGTGAAGATGGACAGAGCCAAGAACTGTGCGATGTACGATTCACGATCTATAAATCCCTGACTATGGGATATTTTCATGAGCTTGGAGAATAGAAGGCCTGAATCACAAAAGCGGTGCTATCAGACACATGGGTTCAGGTGATCAAGCGACAACACTGACCTAGAACGGCTCCCAAAACGGTGCCAAGGATGACCTGGTCTTAAGAGACGGTGAGTGCCATACGAAGCGCGAAAGAATTAAGAACCAAACATAGCCATCCCACCAAAAACCATTTGCCAATAGCAGTCCGAACGGATGTCTCTATGGTGAGGTATATGGATATTGCAAGAAAAGGGTAGGCAAGACCGTCATTGGCTGCGGCCTCAGCCAACAAGATGTGACGGATAGCCTCAGGCACATGTTTAATGGCAAATTTGCCGCCTGTAGAACAGATGTTAAATATATAAAGAGTCCATGATTGATACAACTAACGTGTGATGGCAGCACATGTCACCGGGTCCGTAGGGGTCAAACAAGCCGCGATGCAAAGGGACGAGATGTAATTGAGCTTCGGAAATAAAACGTGTATGATCACTGACAATGGCGATCAGGGTGTGCAATCCCATCTGCAGCGACTTACCAGCTACCGCAACCCAGCCAAACGCCATGGTGGGTACAACCATTACGAGCAAGCTCTTTGCATGCACTTTCATGTATGCACGTGGTAATTCGACTCCAGCTGCGAACAAGCCGATTGCGAGGACGATGCGCATGACCTCTAACGTTATGTGATTGTTCAACGAACCCCATGAACGGGGTGCGAAGATATTAGCACCGAAAGGACCAATTATAATCCCAAAACCGGTTCCGAGGACGACTTCATTGACATAAAGCTGAGGGAGACATGCGTAATTAGCCAGGGGATTTATAGTGGCTGCACACCTTCTCTTTTAATAGGAGGGATACCATCGAGAACTGTGGTCAACAGTCAGCATACCGCGTCATACAGTAGTTGAGTAGAGCAAGCTAGACAACACCCGGTACCGCTCGCAGTCAGCAAGGGTAGTGACGAGCACGTGCATTCATAAGGAGTCAGAACGAACCAACACTGCAAAACCACCAAGACAAATGTACGACGGCCCTGGCGGCGACACCTGAAAGAGAAACGATTTGTTGATGACAAATGACCAGTCATTGACAGTACGGACTTGCAGTAAATCCAAAGCCATGCTGACGGCGCTGTTACAAGATCGTTCAAAAAAACTCTCGTCTGATTCCAGTAGTATTTATCCAGGCAGTCGCAGGATTGCTGTAGTCCAACAGGACCGGAAATTAACCTTGACGGACGTAGATAATGTGACGGTAATGAACTATTCCTGAAAGGTTCATCGCGCTGATCATAACATGTACATTGACAGATGGATCCGCTCACGAGCTCCAACTGAATGGCATCTGTCAGTGACGATGGAAATATGTCCGCTTGTTGCGGTGAAACCAGTATGATGTGTAAGGGTCTTTGAAATGCTGGTCTTTCTCAATCGTGACCCTTGTGCGAGTCAGCAGGGTTTTGCTTTTCCCATCAGAGTAGGTCAAGCTTTCTGACATACCTCGTGACTTCGTGCGGCCACGATTTGAGACCCGGCACTGACAATACCCAGAGCCACCCCATCATGATAGGGTCGCGGGCGTAATGGGGTTGCACCGCTGGAGCAGTACCAACACGGCGCATCGGTGGAGTTACTTACGAGGTTTGTGGAACGTTTATCGACATCGCCTTGGCATATAAATCATAGTTGGAAGCCAAGAGTCCCTGTTGAGGTAACACTACGGTGGGTGGGATTAGGTATCATTGATTGACGACCAATCAGATTTTGTTGCGTGAATGTTAAATGACTCGACCAGCATCAGATCTGACGTTAGGTTCATCGTGTACGCGACATGGGGACTCCGGGTTGCAATGACTGGCGCCTAACGATCTGCGACCGATTACCTTACCATGACAAGCCATTAAAGCAGTGTGGTAATTTGTAGCAATTTGGGCAGAGTTCGCTGCATGCATGCACCATGTAAGATGAACTGCGAGCGTGATGCCACTCTATGGTCGGTACGTGAGGCTGTTTCGCTGGGGATTCTCGCTATTCAGGAGCAAACATCGGCCTCGTGCCAGTGCCCTTGTAGGCTGTTGAACCTGTTGGGCGACTTGCCAGCGATAAGTACGACTGGAGAGATTGAAATATATGGCCCCACTAACATGAAGGTGCTGGCTAGGCCAGGTCTTAGTACCATCTGTCTGCTCTGGAGTCGGAAGAACGCCAGCAACCCTGTAACTTATCCTCGAAGTGTTGGGTATGAGGTTTCATGATATCACTGGCATGCAGGTGGCTCTGTTGGGTCGGATACAGGCTGATCAAGCAATTGCAAGGGAAAGAATTGACAGTCACGGTGTACTCGAGAAAATGTTCGGGGTTACTAAGTAAACGTAACCGGCCGGCGCGTCATCATGAGAAGTGACAAATTCAATTTTTTGTACATTCTTGGTTTTTCTCTGTCCAACTATGCTCCGGACTGTTTCGCGGCTGCCACTGCGCAGATGTGTTCATACGAATGCCGGCTCGTCGAGCACGCGTGTATTCAAAAGTTATTCAACAAGGTCTCGACTTGCACTGGGAGCTACCGTTACGCTTGCTGCGTACATGACTTGGTCACTGAGCTCAGACAATCGGCGGATAGCACTTGACGCTCAACCTGTGTCCGGTATGCATTTATCGAGATCAACAATTAGCGCTATTCTGACGTTCGTAGCACCCAAGAAGCTTCCGGCCTCCGCAGCTCCCTCAGTCGTCGTTGCAGACTCCCCTCCGCTTCCAATACAGGCTGAAGAGACGTCCTTTGAGGAATCAGCGCCCGCGCTGGATGAGGACGCGGATAAAAGACCACAGGCCGCACCAGAAGAAGCACCGAGTGAAGAGGGGTCGTCTGGGGGCGCTTTCAACCCGGTGACAGGTGAAATCAATTGGGACTGCCCGTGCCTCGGTGGGATGGCCCATGGTCCATGTGGCCCAGAGTTCAGAGAGGCCTTTTCATGTTTCGTATACTCTGAAAAGGAGCCAAAAGGCATAGATTGTGTGGAGAAATTCAAGAACATGCAAACATGCTTCCGGGAACACCCCGACGTGTATGGGGATGGTGAGCTTGTTTTTCCGAATAGGAAGTCTCTTTTACTCATTCCGTCACAGAAATTATGGACGATGATGAGGATGATGGTGCAGAATCTCAGGGTCAAGCTACGCCCTCAGATGTCAAGATTTCCGAGGCGGAGTATGCAACTCTGGATAACGTAGCTCAGGATCCGGAACATGCCCAGCCCCAGGATCTCTCGTCACCCGTTTCCACATCATAAATCTAGAGCATTGTTATCTTACTTGGAGTACCATGGTTAATTATCCTTCATATATTCACCACTCAATCCAGCCGCCTACATGACAATACATAGCGCATGGAATTCAATACAAAAAGCTATTCTACAGGTATATGGATCTCGTATCAGTTTGAGAACCGCTTCTCTATGACCTGGTCTTTTAATTTGTAGCCGTTGGCAGCAAAGAGCTTTGAGCGCAGGAAGGTCGATGTGTCATAGATATCATGTTCCTTTGCCTGGAGAACTAGTGAGTTGATGACAACTCTGACAAGGGTACCACTCACCCGTTCATCGAGCTCAGACATCTTAACAGTGATGAGCTCAGGTTGCTCGTGTCTCTGTAGCTGATGGAAACGGGCCTTCTCCTTTACAATCTGGCCAAGAAGGAAAGCCAAGAGCTCTTCATAATCGCGAGCTTGCGTCAGGTATTTTCGGAAGCCCTGTCAAAATCATAAGTGCCATTTCTACCCTGAAGTCATGAGATAACCCCACCCTTTCAAGGGTCTTCTTGATTGACATCTTCTGGGTGCTGACGAAGCTCCCCACCGCAACGGAGATAGCCATATCGATATCATCGGAGCGAACGTACTCCCGCAGGGACATTTTTGCACTGGCTTCAGCCATGCGAATCATGCTCTCCAGGTGTCGGACGGTGATAGGGTATGAACCTGTCGCTAGTGACTCGCGACGAAGATCAGAGAACAAGCGTGCCAGTTTATCCTGGTCCAGGTCATAGAGCTTCGGGCGTATCTTCTCTCGGGCATACATGATGTATTTGCGGAGAATATCTTGGGGTATAATCTGTCCAGACTATGATCAGGGCTACAGCTTCAGGGACTGAATGGAGACTTACATCAGCATCAAGAGTGGTGCCAACATCCATCTCATCCCTATCGGCTTCGAATTTGGGATGACTACGAAGGTGACTTCCAACGACGAATCGCGCTAGTAGTTCGTCTTGCACCGGATCCACATTGTCTTTGACAACACACAGCACATCAAATCGAGACAGGATGGGTTCTGTCAGTTCGACGTTTTGCTGGAAGGGAATTGTTGGGTTGTATCTTCCACGAATAGGGTTAGCCGCAGCAATGATGGCACACCGAGCTTGCAACGTCGTGACAATGCCAGCTTTCGAGATTGAAATGGATTGTTGCTCCATCGCCTCATGGATAGACGTCCGATCCGCGTCGTTCATCTTGTCAAACTCATCAATGAGACAAGTTCCTTTGTCGGCAAGGACAAGAGCGCCTCCCTCCAGCGTCCACTCCTGAGTTACAGGATCCTTGCGGACGCTGGCAGTCAGACCAACAGCCGATGCACCCTGACCAGTCGCGAAAACAGACCGGTGCGCTGTCTTCTCCGCATACTTGAGGAATTGCGACTTCGCCGTTCCTGGGTCACCCAAAAGCAGTACGTTGATATCACCACGGATGCGGTGTTTACGGTTGATATCCTTCGTAACACCACCGAACAGGGAGAGTGCAATGGCTGTTTTGATGTCTTCGTGTCCGTAAATCGAAGGCGCGATAGACTTGACGATACGCTTCCGAATACGTTCGTCCCGTGCGAGGGCACGCATCTCCTTCTCATCTTCTTCAGTAAGACGGAAGGCTGCAAAGAGGTCCTCCTTCTTATTGATGTGGTTGGCCTCAATGATTGTGGAGAAGACTGGGAACCCGTTCTTCGAATTGAGAGAGGCGTCGAAGTTGTTCCGGTATATCCCAGTCACTTCCTGCGCTGACGTGCTTAGCGCGGGTCATTGAAAGCGCCTACGTGACTTACAATTTCCTCTCCAGGCTTTGCCATGTCAATGAGGTCCCAAAGGAGAATGACTTCACGATGCCTTGGTAGACGCCCCGGAGGCACTGACCCAGGGGACTCTTGCAGTGTCATTTTCTGGTAATTGCGATATACCGTCTATCGCGCAGCATTTAGTAGGTACCATCACAATTTCGATGTGACCAACCTGTTCAGAGTTAACAGGGAATGGGCCCTTGCTCTCGCAGTTGGCGCAAAAGCTGACTTTGACCTCCTTTGTTGCATCCTGGTAAAATGGGCCCAGAACAGCGCCGCATTTTCGGCAGTCAAATTTCACGTATTTGAGCTGTGGGAACACACCACTCCGTCGAGTTACAACACCAGTGACTCGCACCAGATTGTTTAGATTGGAGCGTCGGAGATCACGGAGTGACGAGCTCAATGGAAGGTCCGCAATGCGAACATGGACTTCAGAGTGAATCCGTTCGTACGACGGGTAATACACGAGAATAGCATTCAGTGCGACCTCGTCAAAGATCACAAGCATGGCAGACGGGGAGTTTGTCAAGAAGTAAGCCAAGATGGGCTTAGACATCGCTAGATGAAGATAAGATACTTCCAGTGACTCGGCATTTGCTGCAGGAGATCATCAGTAAGTCCGCAAAAGGTACAAACGGATGATACTGACTTTCTCCAAGATTACGAATGCGTTGACCATAGACCGAAGCGCCATTTTCGTCGACGTAGGTCATCAAAAATTGCCGGAAATGTTTGACAATTGATCGGCGAACGCGGTCATTGGCAATCCATTCGACGATAGATTTAGCCTTGATGTCACTCAGTTGCTCAAGGGGTATTTCCTAGAGAAACCTGTGTGAGCACACATCCGACTGATTGCGAGAATGTTCACCAACATCGTCCGTACCATCCACATCATCTATATCACGACGTTCGTCATATTGTCGCCTTGTGCGACGCTTCATTCTCCCAACGCCAAGATCATCGCCAAGAGCATCTTCATCGTCCATGTCATCATCCTCCAAGAACTGTGGTGCACGGCCTCGATTAGCTGCCCGACTTCCTTGCTTCCCTGCGCGCTCAAGTCGATCACGACGATTCATCCTTGCTTCAGCCGCTCGTCGAGCCGCTGCTGACATTTCCTCAAAATCTCCTTCATCATCGATGTCCCGGTCGGAGTAGCGATCGAGTAGATCGTTTGGCGCGTAATCTCTATTTTCAGTTGGACAAGAAGTGAGGTACATAACAAAATGTGGGCTTTGACACGTACGCTTCGACGGTGTCTGCAAACAAATCTTCGCCCTCGCCGTCTTCTGCATCGTCGTCATCTATATCACGCACTCCATCACGATCATCCATGCTATCATCTGTATCCGAGAAGGGTGCCGGAGGCGAAGACGGTGGGAGAGACGATTGAGAATCCCTTCGCCTTGGAGTAGCACGTGGAGCTGGCGATGAGCTGGGAATGGGAGGCGACCTTGGACGCTTCGCGCCTCTAGGAGTCTGGGACTATGATGCGGATATTCAATACAAAATCGATCTGTTATCTATGTCCTCTGTGCTCACCATAGTGTAGCTTAATCAAAAGACAATGCGGGGAGATGGCAAGAACAAAAACACGCGTCGCGACGCGTTCATTTGTCGGGATTTAAAAGCGCGTTCTGTTCCCACGCATGGATTGATAGCAGGCCAACTTCGGGCCAGCCAAATCATTCTTTCCTTTGTGATATGGCTAGCGTCGACCTCGAAGCCGCGATTAAGCAAGAGGAGGAATACCTACGCAAGGTTCATCCTACCGTGGACGATGTTCCTGGGTGCATGACCCTGTTTGATGAATTTCTGCAATGTCATGGTATGCTCTGAAAAAGCTCACGAATGTCGGTGCTTATCAAACTTTCAGTTCTGGGGACTCAGATAAAATCGTTATACAGATACGGTCAAATGTCAGAGTGTGGAGTCAAGAAAGAAGACTTCAAATTTTGCATGAGCTTGAAATTTATGCATCCAGAACAGAAACGAGACGCTTGGATCCGCCGCCGTGCCGAGTGGTGGGCTCACAGACGGCTCGGGAAGAGCAGCGAAAACGTCTGGGATATGAGAAAGTAATGCCGTCCTTTGGAATAATTTCTCCCTTACTGAATTTACTTCAAGGAGCCCGCTCCCAGACTGGCCCCCAGCCCTTTCGGACAAAGTCCCAGAGAATGTTGAAACCATTTCATGAACAATCGGAATGGACTGTCCTGCAAATTCTTTTCAGAGGGGAGTTCGACAATGCTGTTGCCATCTGTGATTCACGCGTGCATGACGACGCTTTCACTTTGTCTTAGGCGGAAGCATCTTTTAGCCTTCAAACACGAATAGCCCTGTTTCCGCACGGGAATAAGCTGCACTCTGTCGAGCTAATGTCGCACTTTGTTGCTTCATTCCCTCATCCTGCGATCGAATCGATACACTAAATTCATCTGCACGAGTGCAATAGTACGTTGACAGTTGAAGCTCTCATGAGCACTGAAAACAACTCTTTGAATGTCAGAAAGACGCACGTTCCTTGAACTATCCCAGAAAAAGAGCACCCGCATCGCTGCTTTCTGTGCGTTTTGATTTCCAGATAAGTTGAAGTACATTAATATGACCGTGCACCTTGACTTCGGCAGCACAATCGCATACACTTTGCGGGAACGGTAGGATTTGTCACGATAAAATGTTGGAAGACGGTCGAAAGGGCTTTGAGATGCCTTGTGAGCTTTCACCCACTATTCGGCAACTCCTTCAGTGAGTCAAGCAAATGCAAGCGACCCTATGGTGTTGTGACGTCTCAGTGAGTTCACTCAGGCTCGCCGCTCCAAGTACCCTTTTGGCGAGTTTCTTTAACATAATTTGTTATCACAATTTCATTTTCGTTGCACGCCTGTCTCGCACGGTGTCCACCAAAACTTGTATAGCATAGTTGTTTCCCACTGTGCTATTGTCATGCATTTATCGGCTTTTTGTCTACTCATCTCTCACATACAACCTTTTAATGCTCGCACAATGTCTCTTGTGCTTATGCGGTCTCTCATTTCTCGTTTTCAGTCGCTTTCTAGCTAGCGATAGCAATGTTTCCATGTGTATGGGTATGCATGATAACGTCCTTCCATGTCAATGTAAGTGTACACATAACTCAAATTTGGCAACAGGGGCCCGGTTCCCCTTCACACTGTCTCTAACTAGCTCCAACGGACCAGCATCAGACCATTTGCTGACTCAAATCGTGGCCCACGTCTTAGTACAACCTGGGAGACTTTAGGCTTATCTATTCGGCCTAACAAAATCCGATTCACTACGCGTCGCCAGCGCTGACCCATCATGCACATGTTTTTACGGCAGCAACGATCAAACGATTCGTGTTCTAGCCTGAGCCAGTATCAAAGGCTAGCCGTCATGCAATATGGCCATCGTTATCTCTCTTTTTATTCCCGCCAATACCTACGATGTATGAATGTGTGCATCAACCCTTCAAAGGGCTCTACCTGTGCTACCAGCTCATTAGCACGATATTCATCAGGGTGCCCATATGGTCATTGTGGTACTTGCTGCCTTCTAACCGCCCAAGATCAACTTGGTCCTGGGGGCATGCAATGATCCTGGGATTAGCCCGCCACGTTGTGTACATCTCATCGTTGTGAGCTTCCCTTCTTGTGCAAGCCTTGGTGGATTCTGACGCGATTACGGTTGGCGTGGCAGTACCGGTAATATCCTCCCGCAGCCAGACCATCGCGCACTTGCACCGACCAAAGAAGCCGAAGGTGTCTGGGTCGATGGAGTGCCTTCTGAACTCATCCTTGATGAGCTGAAGCTGTTAGCTTCCATCTCGGAAGTTGCACCAGAACGCATTCCGGGGTATTGGTACGGTCGGTCAGGAACTCCGCCGAAGCCGACCCACGCTCCTCAGCTTGGAGAGAAAGTTTTCTTCTTCTTTCATGCGGGGGGCTTCACCCACGTTTCTGCACACCCGGACTATTCTGCCAGCATTATGCAAAGTCTTGTAGAACTTGATAGATCAGTTCCGCGTGCCTTTGCTCTGGAATACCGTCTGTCTTCCACACATCCTTCCCCTGAGCATTTCCCATTTCCAGCTGCTCTCCTCGATTGCCTTTCTGGGTACTACTACCTTGTGAAGGAGATCGGGTACGAGCCTTCCGATATCATCTTGGTAGGAGCATCGGCGGGGGGAAATTTGGCATTGGCTCTTTGTCGCTATCTTGTTGAGCACAAGAACTTGCCCAGAACAGAATTTCCGGCCCCCCCGGGCAATCTACTACTCCTATCACCTTGGGCGGATATTGGCAACTCGCACGACTGGCCGGGCTCCTCCAGCCTTGCGTTCGATATGGACTTTCTCGGAGATCTAAACAGTAGAAGTATGCTCTATTCCAAACAGGCTCTTCTCGGCCCCTATGGGTTTGGATTCGCGACGCTGAACCGCTACGTTTCCCCTGCATCTCTGCATCCTTCAGTACACGCTCATTTCCGGGGCTTTCCGCGCACATTCATCGCCGTCGGCACTGCTGAACGGTTCCTTGATCAAATTCGAACACTAAGAAAGAAGATGGACGAGGAGATGGGCGAGGGAGAAGTGACGTTTTTCGAGGCACGAGATGCTGTCCATGATTATCTTCTTTTTAAATGGCATCCGCACCGCCCAGGTACCTTGAAAGCAATTACAATGTGGTTATCAGAATCACCGTAGTTCGAAGAGTAGCCTTCCTCCTTCCGCATATCTTAAGAATCGTGCCATTACTTGTATAGCTAAGATTTGTATATCGCGCTCAAACCACTCGATGATGACATGTACGAGGCGTGCTGTAAATAACGAATTCTATGGATAAATCTGTTCCAAAGCCAGTGTCAACTCGTTCCGACGTTCCAATAACTTCTATGATCGAAGTTCATCAACGGAACGTAACGATTTGAAGAATCGCAGTGAAGAAAAGTATCCGGAGTCCTCCAATTGGGGAGGCAAACTTTCAGATTCTCCCCGGCCTAGCATTGAATATTGAGGCATTCAATTCAGGCCAAAGACCTTCAGGCTAATCAATGGTGCAGGCAACAAATAAATTCCTGTAGAGTACACAAAACATCCAACATTCCGATGTACCACAAGATAAATACTTGCGATACTCGTCCAATACACTATGTTACGATCCCGACCTCGGAGGAGTACATCATCGCCACTCCCGTCCCGTCCGCCTCCCCCTACAACTGTGTACAAAGTAATGTTTCATGAACACATAGACCAACACCCCCTCCTATCCTATAACCCACCCGTGGAGGATCGCCTGAGAATGAATTGAGCGTTTCGTTTCGTTAGTTTACATCGTGCATCATCTCCAGGATTCGTAGATCGTGTCGCCTGGCATGCGTTCTCACCGCAGCCATAAATAGTCGTCCAATGCATGAGAAAATAATAAGTCCAAAGCAGGTGATCTCGTGGAGGTCCGCCTATGCGGTCCTTTCTGAGACGGCTGGGTCCGAGGTTTTACGCTCTATAACACGGGCTTCCTCGGCATCGCGCATGCCGCCGGCGTGCCAGTCACCAAGATAGAAATACACGGCTGGCAAGCCCACGAAGAGTCCTCCAATAATGTTACCGATCAAAGACGCGATTAGCGACCTGAGAAAGTAATCAGCAATCGTTGAGAGGAGCTGAACAAATGACGTGGTGCATACTTGCGAATGTACAGGTCGGTCGAAAGCTGAAAGGTAATTAGAGATGGTCCAAATGCAGGCTATCATGTGAAACACTTACCTCAGAGTGAAGCATGATGCTCAGCGGGAGTGAAAACATATTTGCAACAACTAGTGGAAAGTATTGGTGGGAGTGTGCCTCAAAACGTTCTGCGACTTACCGTGGTCGAATCCGCAAGCCACGAAGATCTAATAAATATAGATGAGTCGGGATCAGCACCTTGGTCGACTTCACTAACCCAGATGGGAAACCATATAGCAATGATTTTCGAGTAAGTTTCTTTGGCCCCCACTCCTTGCTAAATAACACCTGTGTAAGCAACTGGCTCGAAGCAACACTATGATATACGTACCCAAACGGCTACGCAAACGAGCCAGTTACAACCAATGCCGCGAATCAAAATCTGGTACCAGCCAGGCGTGATAGCTTTCGTGCTGGAACAAGGTTGAGACAATGGAATTTCCGATAGTAGGAAGTAACTCACATGGCGAATGATCTTATGTATGAGGCGTAGGGATCAGATGTCATCAGTCCGTCATCTGGATATCCGTGTCAGCCTTTCCGATATAAACCAAGCCCATGAACGCGGACTGACATTTCGAAAGGATTGCTGCAAAGAACAGACTGCCAACAAGATTGCCGAAAAAGACTGATGGGATAGCATATTCAATATCTGAACAAAATTTGGCTTCGGGCGGTACTCACCAACAGTCCAGTTGACGGGAATGCTCCACCAAGGAATCGCTCGTTTCAATACAGCCATGGGAAAGATCTATAAATGGCGTGAAGGGGTGAGAAATAGTCCACGCAAACACTGAACTCTGTTTACCATAAGATTGCTCGTAAGCAGATCGAAACCCTGGAGCACAATCCTATGGAATGAAATAACAATTTAGCCATAGTCTGACGGTACTAAGGCCGCCGGTGCCTACATAACGAGTCCGACGGGGAATACAAAACCGCCGAGAACCTTTACAATTCCTGGGTTCGAAGCTGACAGAGATGGAGAGCCACCACTGATAATGAGATCAAAGAGACCACCGAAGGACAACATAACACCGGCAAGAACCTGAGAGCAAGATTGAGATGTTAAACTAGACATGTGCGCGCTTGTTGCTTACCGCCTTGAAGAAGGTCTTATCAAGGCGGGTGTTGTGCTTGATTACAGCTTGCTCGACCAGAGCAACAGCGACTTCAGCCGGCTTGAGAGTGCTTGAAGTGTCCATTGGAGTACTGGTGGTGTGCGGGCAATGGGGTCCAAGGGGGCTGCGAGAGTTGAAAGGGCGGCATAGCCTGCATTTATATGTTCACAAATGAGGTTCCTGACTGTCACGGTCAGGCGAGTACGAAAATAACTAGATTCTCGTGCGCAGTGGGTCCTGGGATCCTGACCAAATGGATCTGCACATCATGATCGTGAAGCCGCATAGCATCTCCGAATCTGATTGCAGTACATAATTGAATGAATGATTATACTGGGCGCTTAGTTCCCCGCTCTAGTGAGCCTGGATTTTGGCATGGATGCCTGGAGATGAGTTACCAAATATCAGAAGAGAACTGAATAGACGATATTGTGGTTGTTATAGAGGTCAAAATAAGTTTTTCGCTAGGGCGCCAATTTGCTGCCCCAGATTGTCAGGGAGCAGGCCAGTGCATCGCCAGTGCAGTGTATCAGATAATGATGAAGGGGGCAGGTCGCAGGGCCCAGCAGCCCGGAGGATCAAACGATCACGGCAGAAATAGCGGGCATCCAATAGTATAGCCTAGTATAGCCGGTAAGCCCAGGTTAGCCCTTGATAGTTTTAATTGGCCCTGCTGGATTGCACCCTTCACAACCCTCCCCAAAAATAGCGTGTCAACTGTCGTTAGCCTTTTTCGGCTTCCCGTAGGCAACGTTCCGCTACGTTCCCGCAGAGTTAAGTCTGGCACTAGCACCCAATAACAATAATTCAATTGCACTTCTACGTATTGATGGAATGAAGTAGAAGGCATCGATGCAGGCTATAGTAGTGCTATCACACTGTATTTGCATTAATGCGTCGAAGTTCGGATTACACGATCATGATAGTGCAGGAAGCATGCAGCTTCAAATCAGCTCTGTGATTACCGACATGAAGGTGACGGTTCTAATCGGGTGTGTTGATATCGTAGTGAGGCTGTACCAGGCCGTGAAGAATTTCGTGTACACAGACCGATTTGCCTTGGAGATATGACCTCAGGGGTGTGATTACCTTCATGGCATATGTCGATCGAACAATCTGTCCAACAGTCAACTGATTGGCACGTATCAGATCCACTCAGGCCGTAGTCTCCAGTTGCTGATATGATTCAAACATATACAACACTCGAGAACTTCGTTACAGTTAATTGGCAGATTGATTGTCCGTGCCTTCTGAAAACCTTGGTCACGATGTCGTGTTGGTTGCAAGCAGTTACAACCCTCAAACCGGTATCTGCGCTCCCACATGGCAGCTTCGGAATTTTTGATGGAGCCGGCCATCCGTGTGCATGTGTAAGCAAGTACCATTAATATTGGAACCAGTTTGACTTTGATGCCTCCATGGTCCGACTCGTCTGGCGCAATCATAACCACTATTTCGGAAAGAACTCTGACATTCCTTTCCTACCTTTCTGATGTGGCGGTCAACGAGTTAGTGCGCCCATGTCCCAGATTTGAAGCAGTTGGCTGCACCCACATCGGAGTTGTTTCTGGACACCGGGCTCATATTGGCTCATGGGATGAAGAGTGGCGGAACCAACTATCCAATCGCGTATAGCAAGACCTTGCACGCGGGTCGTAATTATCATACTCGTCCAGAGTTTGTGGAGCTACCTGACCACATCGATCAAGTTCTAGCTCGGTGTGCGTGATGGTTTCCCATCGACGCAAACCAAGTCAATCAATGACATCAATTCAAAGTTCATATGAGGGTATCTATTAAATGCGCACGTTACAACCATGTATCTTTTGACGTATATCAATGTGGTTTCACTTCTCTCCATATCGGCGTAATTGCTTGAGCGACTGTATTGGCAGCAACCTCGAGGCAGCCGCGTTCTACATCGTCCCGAATAGCTGACCACACCTTACGGGCACGCCATCTATCCGGGTGGAATCGCCGGTGACTTCTTTCCACGAAGTCTTTGTAATCTTGAGGTCGCATGGAGGTCTTGACGGTTGCAAAGAATTTCTCCACTGCAGACCAGTCGACATCCTCGACAGTCAGACAGGAAGGATGATGTAGCACAGGCCACGGGATGTCAAGAAAAGCGATCGGCTGATCAGGCGTGAACCTCGTAGTGTCAAACTCCTCACTCAGGACCTTGTATCGTTCCAGGGCTCGATGACTTGTCCAAATACCGAACTCCCAGCGTTGTCGTTGCCTGAGCCTTCGCTGTTCTTGCCGTCGCCTTTCCTCTTCTGCAGCACTTCGTTCAGCTTCCGCTCGGACCCGACGTGCCTGACGTTCGGCCTCCTCTCGTTCAAGTTGCTGCCTTTGTATTTCTGCCTCAGCTTTTCTCCGTTGTTCGGCTTTGGACTGGCGCTCCTGCTCTTCAGCACGTTCATGCGCCTCACGTTTTCTTCGCTCTTCTTCCCAAAGAGGTCTATCCCGATCAAGTTCTCGCATTTTGCGAATGGACTCTGCGAGCTCGGCTCGTCGCATTGCCTCTTCATTCAAGTCTTCATCTTCGCTCTTACGGGATTCTGACTGTTCTTGCGAAGCAGCGGGCTGAGGACTCGTCGATGGCCTTTCATGATCACTCGCTAAAGAAAAAATATGAACCGTTGAAAGAGTAGGATGGGAATGGTAACATACGCAGTTGGTCGATGTTGTTTGAATAATAATCGGAATAATAATCGGCAAACCAATGTTTGAATCCCTGTTGATGGCGTTCGTCTATTGCCCTGACTTTTGCTTGTTTTCGCATTTCACGGTGCATTTTTGAGTGATGCATGGCCTGTTTGGCCTGACCTGGTGATGTGGTCCGATGGCGCTTTCGCGCATGGCCATTGGTAGGGGTGCGTGCTTGTGGCAGTTCATCGTCCGTGTCAGCGGCAAATCCATCTTCTATAACCTTTGTCAGACCACTGTAAAGAGCAGAGACTACAACAAACTTTTTCGTTTAGCAGTCTCTTCGGCTTGCGTCCCAGTATTGCTCTGAGATGCAAATTGTTCCGCATCCATGGACATGGGTTGTCCGTTAACTTGCGGCTCTTGACTGTACTTTGTTTGTGTTTCCTTAATCTTCTGCCATCGCTTGTCTCGCTCCTTTTTCAATTCTTCCCTTCCGGGTCGTACGACATTCGACGGGGCCTTGGCCTTGGGACGAGGAAGATCATCGACAATCATTTGTTTTACTTCTTCTTCATCCTCGTCTGATCCGCTGTCGCTGATGTGATCGTCACTGTCTACATGAGCGCGCCGCGAACGCGCTCTTTTGCTCGGAAGCGGCGTATCCGCTTCAGGAGTAGGCGTGCGTGCGCGTGCGCGCTTTGGCCCTGGCGGCGAAGGAGCTCCAGAGCGCCGAGCTTGGTTGTTGACCTTCTCAATGGATGTAAATTTAAAGCCAAATCGGACGATGCACAGATACTCTGGGTCCAGCTTGTAAATCTCCCACTGCTCTTGGTGGCAAAACACGTGTTCGCTGCAAGTCCAACATTCCAATAACTGGGACGACATAAGTTGACAATGTTACTCACCCGCAAATTTCGACTACGCGTGGCCAAAAGCCCTCGTCGCGCGCACCTTCATCCAGACGCGCTTTTGGCACGAACCTCCAAAAGCTCCTGCCTTTGGAGTTTGTTTCGATGACAATACGTTTGGGAGGTGGAAGATCCTCGCCGATAGATAATTTGTGCAGGTCTGGGACATCTTCGCCGGCAAGAGCGGTACGCGGATCGAAGGACGCGAAGGAGAGCCTGGAATCTGGAGAACGCAGGAGACGCGATGGTTGGGTCGGGTCAAGGAGCCCGGGTTCAGTGCCACGGATGATCCGGGGCGCGCGGGACGGGCCCGCAGTGTGCGTTGTAGCTGGCTGGGAGCCCATTCAATGAAGCTAGACTACCAAAAAGGGCTACGGATAAAGGTTGAAATAAAGGATGAAAGAAATTGATGTCACTGTAGTAGCATGCAGAGTTGAATGGGGCTAAAGTCACGGTGCTCAGTGTCACGTGAGAGCACAACAAAGACTGAACCAAGCTCATTCGATCCTTTTTTCCGTCGTGTACAAGCTTTTTAAAGGATGCTAGCAATTCGGGAACCTTTGAATGGTCATTTCCGCTTTCCCGGATGATCATTAGAGTCTTTTGAACGGCTAAACGTTCCTATGCAACGTGGCCCCTGTGTGACAGCATCGAGGGTGACGTGACTCAGGTCGGAATCAGGTCAATTCTGACTCAAACGGACTCTAGCCTCTAACATGCACCCCATAAAGAGCTACTAGAGTTGGACTACAATATTTGCTCACCAACTCACAATGTCTCTAAAGAGCTTTCAATCCGAAATTCAGGAAATCTACGCACGGGAACTCGCTCGCCAACGTGGCCAAGCTAGCGGAACTTCTGCTCCGAGGAATATACATTCAAAGAAGCTACAGGTACTCGAGGAATCTAATGTTGCTGGTGAACCTCCTCCATCTAGGGATGCTGACGTTGAGGATGAAGTCGAAGTTGTCCTTGTACTCTACCTTCCGTTATTATGTTGTGTATTTGCTCATTCGTTCTCAGACATTACTAGCCAGCCATGATTATGACCGAGCACGCACCTCCATAGCACAACTCATCACTGGACGCAAAGGCGAATACATATTCCGCATTGGCTGTCAGCCACCCCACGCGTCACTTTTTGCCGGAGAGAGCGTGGACGAAGCAACAGGATGGTCGGGGGTTCCGCGAACAGATATCGAAGTCACTTCGTTGCAATCATCAGTTAAAAGGGTCGTGGAAGAGTTGGGAGGAAATGTGGGTGGTTTATTTATATGTATATATACAGGCGGCATGAATTCATCTTTAATAGATATCCGTTCTTTTCGAAACTACTGATGGCCACTATCCACGTGCAACTCTACTACTACGATTACCTCCACCCAGCATTGAATTGGTTCCCGAGGTCCGCTGTGCTGTCGTCGGCAACGTTGACTCGGGCAAGTCTACAACACTCGGAGTTCTAACACGCGGTATGATGCATGCACGCATGTATGTATGTTTTATTTATTTACTTATTTCTCCTCAGGTCCTCTGGATGATGGAAGAGGCCGAGCTCGTGTAGCACTATTTCGACATAAACACGAAATTGAGACCGGACGAACATCTAGTGTAGGAATGGAAGTAAGTTGCACGTCCCTGACAGCCTACACCATCCGACATCTTCCCCCCCAGATCCTTGGTTTTTCAACAGCTGGAACCCCAGTCCTTCCAAATATACTGCCGTCCGCTGACGCTGACGTGATTCGACGCGATAAACTGGGCTGGGACGAAATTTCAGCCCAGTCAGCGAAGATAGTTTCTTTCAGCGGTAAGTCCATTCAATGGGACTCTGTGTGTCTCATATACACCTTGGTTTCGTAGACCTTGCCGGCCACGAGCGATATTTGAAAACTACTCTGTACGGGCTAACTTCCGGGGCGCCATCGTGTGTGATTCTTATGGTCGGAGCCAACGCCGGGCTTATTGGCATGTCGAAAGAGCATCTGGCAATAGCTCTGGCTTTAAGCGTTCCCGTCGTCGTCTGCATTACCAAGGTACGGAGTAATCACCTAACCATCCAGCTGAGCTAATATTTACGTAGATTGATATGACCCCACCTAATATTCTTGCTGAGACCACGAAACAGGTGGTGAAGATTCTGAAGAGCCCCGGATGCAGGTGAATCAATGATCATATCCCCACTCCACTTCGATTTCACATCACATACCTTTGCAGGAAAACACCAGTTTTTGTGAATTCGATGGAAGTCGCAGTTGAATCGTCGCAGACATTTGCGCAGCACAAGTCAGTTTGTTCGTCTTCAATTGTGAAATTTGGCACTTATGGTACATAGACTATGTCCTATTTTCCGCATATCTAATGTCACCGGAGAAGGTCTTGACTCTGTCGGTGTTTAAGCACTTTCTGATTCGCGAGGGTACTAACTTGATTAAAGTTTCGCACTTTCTTGAATCTCCTTCCATCCAGCGAAGCGGACACCGAGACATTCACAATTGATCAGCCACTTGAGGTAGCACCAGCCTTTGGCACACACCCAAGCGCCCAACTGATATATTTCACTGCAGTATTCGGTCACTGATGTCTGGTCTGTCCCATACGTGGGGACAGTCGTCAATGGCATTCTAAATAGTGGAAGTGTCAAGACAGGTGACTCCATCCTCTTTGGACCAGACTCCAATGGACATTTTCAGTCGACTGTTGTGAGGAGCATGCAGCGAAAACGGTATTCGAGTTCCTGTTTGCATTTCTTATGGGTGCTTAGCTTTTACAGAGCTGATGTCGTGACCGCCGAGGCTGGTCAATGCGTTGCTCTCGCTCTCAAACGAGTGAAACGCGCGGCCGTCAGAAAAGGTATGGTCATCGTGCACAAAACTGATACACCTCCCAAAGGTGAACATTGTATCTGCCTTTAGTTTTGCGATAACTCACTGGGACACCGCAGCAACACGTCAATTCGAAGGACAGGTCCTCATATTATAGTAAGCTCGAGAAGATCTCTCTCGCAATGTAATGATTCGAGCAGAATTTGCAGTCACAATACTACCATGCAACAAAACTACCAGGTATGCTTTATGACTTGCTCTCACTGCGCACATCCTGATGTAGTGTACGCATAGGCCATGCTTCACTGCGGAGTGAGTGAAGTCTCATCATGTCTACCGTAGTTCTCATCAGTTCTAGGCTGTCCGCCAAACTGTTCGCATCATATCGATGGACAACCCTGAGGGGGTCCTGCGGACCGGAGATCGAGCCACCGTTCAGTTCGAATTCATTTCGCAGCCGGAATTTGTCAAGGTTGGGATGAAGTTGTTGTTCCGTGAGGGTAAGACCAAGGTATGTTGATGACTTCTCCGTACTTGAAGCTGCACCTCTGACTGCGGACACATCCAGGGACTTGGTGTTATCACCCGTCTGCTATGACAGAGGGGAGGCCCGGGATGATCACGGTGCGGTGATCAGTCGATCTTATGTTGACTCCTAGATTTGTATGCTCGAGAAGAGGGCGTCCACGGTCCTTCACATGATCACTAGCCACCCTCTTCGCACATCATCACAATTAATTACACTCAATCTTCCGTGGGGCCTGGAATTGGCGGTAATGACTCCTCATGTATATAGGGTTTTTGGATATTTCATATGTAGTTTGCAGCAATATATCTACAGTGTCCCATCCCTGTCAGTTATGAAGAACGATCCTTCTATTTGATCTACCTATAGCTAGGGGAGATCATATACGTCATGAAAATTACTTGGCAAGTATTGTAGATCTGTGAAGATATAATACGGTAAGTGTTCGACTATGTAGTGAAGGCGAGTACAGCCTCGACTGGTTGCAGACTTCTCACGTTAGAGACGGCGACTAGAACTTGAAGTTGCTGCTCCAACCGATTTTGCGGAAATGCTGAATTGAACCCAAGCGTGCTTTCATCCCATCCTCCGTGTTAGAAAACTCATCTTCGTCACTGTCACACCTTCTGGCGTGCGTTCCCCTTTACCCCTTTTCGCAGGGGGTTTCTTAGCTCCTGTGCTCGCGTTCCTCCTTTTGTGTCGGATGCGCCTGGTAACGCAAAAACTCATCAAACCACTCAGTGCGATATCCAACACATGTCATGACGGTGTAGCCAATTACGAGCCTTCCATCACCGAAGACCATTTTCGGTATACTCGACAAGGCAATTTTCATCCCCCTTGTCTGCGAGTTCGGCATTAGTTCTTTCGACCCAACCCTTTCCCCACTTGGACTTCAGGGTTCCAGCCACCCGATTCTGGGTGACCCGAGGCTGGAGCAGGTCCAGTTGGTGGGGAGTAATTCCGCCCCAAAGGGATGTGTCATAGTACACCCGCTTTCCAGAGACGACGAGGTCAATTGATTCATCAACGGGCGAGTTGTCATTGAAACGCTTGACCCCGCAAAGCACGACACCGGTGATCTCCCGCATGAGTGGGAGGTGTGGATTGTAGGGACGCGTCGTGATCAAGCTGTGAAGCTTGCTTTAGTAGTACTAGCGATAGACTCGAGAGTTGAGATACGCACTATGGATACTTGAATGATTTGGTATGACTTTGTCAGTTGTTGAATGCGTGTCGAAGACTCCACCAAGAGCCTCAAGTGATAGATGGGGGAGCGTCGAGCTCATGTTGCTGATGACGGAGCGCCGAAAGCCGACGTGACACCTATCTTTTACGACAACTGGAGGTCCGAGACGAAGGTGCTTAAAATTCCAGATGTCGGATTTGCCATCTTCGCTTTTCATGAGCGCAACATGTTCAATCAGCTCGGGTACATTCACGTCTTCAGACTTGACAACCACTTTGATCGTCGTGTCTTCCAGTTTGGTCACAGACTTAGATCTTTGGAAGTTGGAGGTCAGGAGCTGCGAGGGCGATGCGTCCGGGGGCATATGAAAGTTGGACGCAAAGCTGTCGAACATGTCTTGGTCATCATTGTCCTGATCATCCCATGTAGCTTCGACGGTAGTCCCATTTGGCTGCCCGCAAAGGTCAGTATAAACCGAAGTGAAAAACGCTCCCGTACAGCATCCGGCTTGAGTCTTATCATTTTGAAATGACCTTTTGAAGATTAATTCAGTAAGGATCCTGAGTGGTGGCTTCCGAGTCGGTGAGGCTATACACGAACGCGTTTGATCATTGAGTTGATGGCAGGACATTTTTTCAGTTCGTCCTGAAGGCCTAAAATCTCAGCATTCTGAACATCTCGTTCGATCTTGAACTGCCTGTTTTCCGTACAGAGTTAATTTAACTCCTTGGCCCATTCCGTGACGAACTTGTTTTTGGCTGTCAGCCGTGCCTTGAGGGCAGCTAGGTGAAATATTTCTTTGGACTCCTTCACTGGGCGAGCACAAGTTCAGCACAAACGAGTATTTAGCAGGTCACCGTCTCACCAGTATGTTAGGCCTTAAATATGGTAGGAAACGCAAAGGACACCCGTGTTAATAGGATTACGAGGACCCAGCTAGATGTACATCACCAAGGCCCAAGGCCATATCTGCGTACCGCAGTCCTAGTGAGGCGAGACTAATCTAAGTAGCAGCAGTGCGATGTGACTGCATCTTCCAGTGCACTTAAGTAGGAAGACTCGATGCTGTTGTTGTTTTCAGGTATCTCATCTTCATGGTGACTTGGTTGCCATTTCGCCCGGGCGTGAGGGCTTGAATCTGGCAGTCAGAATATTGTACACAGTAATGGAGCCTCGACGGTACCTCTACGAGCACGAAGCTGATCCCTTCAGGCAAACCCAAGTTTGAGCACTTGAAGGCCTCCGCTCCCCGTCGAAATAAGTGAAATTCGGGAGGTGGGGGGGCTACTAGGTCTGTCTAGAGGTACTAAAGGTGGTGCGGTTCATCATGATTCAGAATCCAGATAAGCTGGGGAATGCTCTGCAGATCCACAGTTTGTGTCCACTCTTCGAGCGAGTCCACAATTTTTAGTTCTTCAATATGGCTGGGGCATAGAGGATGGTGGTCGATGTCGATGAGCACTAGAGTGTTTATTATGAAACTGTACTAATTATATAAGTGCAACTTTTGTATCATCATTGGTGTTGGTCAGCGTGCCAAACTTTTGTGGAACACTAGATTAGATGAGTCTTGTGCATGTCCTCGACAACATCATACCAAGTGGTTCCTTCTGACGAAGGCAGTTCGCCCGCCAAACCCGCTTCTCGTTTTACATCTCCCAAGTCTCTTTTTCTGTCTGGAATAGTATTCTTCATCCTGGCATTTGCGTCGTACAAAGCGTTCTTCTCGTGGTCTAATATTCAACAGCCATATCCTCAATTAGACTCTCCTGCATCCAGTACTGGCAAAGGCGACCAATCATTAGAATCTCAAACATCTTCATTCATCCCGCCAGCACCGAGCGATACTCCAGAAATGCAAGGTCAAGGAAAATACAGCGTTGGATAGTAAGTGTTGGCCTCTTCCACAACGACCTATTCCTGACTGTTGCTAATTTACCAGCTTCGTAAACTGGTACGTCTTTTCACCGAGAAAATGTTGCACGTCCGCCAACTATTATTCCTACTTATAGGGGAATCTATGCTCGCAAGTTTCCGCCGTCGAACATCCCTGCCCAAGATTTGACGTAAGGCGCTCAGGCTGTCTTCCTCGCATTTCTAATCTCATCATCCATTCAGCCACATCCTTTATGCATTCGCTGATCTGAGACCTGACTCGGGCGAAATTGTTCTCTCTGACGCATGGGCGGACAAAGATATTCATTACCCTGGTGATTCTTGGAATGACGTTGGAAACAACCTCTACGGGAATTTCAAGGCCATCTACAAATTGAAACAGCAAAATAGACACTTGAAAGTCCTTCTCTCAATCGGAGGTTGGACATATTCTCCCAAGTTCCATCCTATCGTCGTCAATCCTGCGCTTCGTGCCAACTTCGTGCGGTCCGCAGTTCGTCTGCTCGAGGATTACGGTCTTGATGGTCTTGACGTGGACTATGAGTATCCATCCAATGAGCATCAAGCTCGTGGCTACGTGGACCTCTTAAGGGAACTCAGAGCAGGCTTAGATCAGCACGCTCAAATGAAGGGAATCTATCATAGGTTCTTGTTGACAGTATGCCATCCAGGTTTAACTACCCTGCCGAGCTTCAAATCTGAAATACTGCTTTTGCCTAGATCGCTGCTCCTTGCGGACCCGACAACTATCAAAAGTTACACGTACGTGAAATGGACCAGTACCTCGATTTTTGGAATATGATGGCCTACGACTTCTGTATGTTCTGAAACGTTCTGTTGCATTACCAATTGACTTACATAGAAAAATGTCTCAGCTGGTTCATGGGATTCTGTTGCAAATCACCAAGCCAACATCTACGGTGGACCTATCAGCGCCTCACAGGCGATCTCGTGGTACAGCGCGAACGGCGTTCCTCGCTCCAAGATGGTCCTCGGGATTCCGCTGTACGGCAGAAGCTTCATGAACACGTCCGGTCCCGGCGCACCGTTTTCCGGCATCGGGCCAGGCAGCTGGGAGCAAGGTGTCTATGACTACCGTGCTCTTCCGCTCCCAGGCACATACGTGTTTCAAGATGACAAGGCCCTGGCGAGCTGGTCCCACGACTATCAGAAGCAAGAGGTGGTAAGCTTTGACAACGAGCAGGTCGGGCATTGGAAAGGCGATTGGATTCGCCGTGAAGGCCTTCGAGGAAGCATGTTCTGGGAGTTAAGCGGAGACAAAGAAAACACGCGAGAGGGAATGGAAGGCGGGTTGGGAAAGGACCCAGCGCCCGGGAGGAGCTTGGTTGCAACCGTCAAGAACGCCATGGGACCATTGGACCTGAGCCATAACTGGCTGAGGTATGAGGGCAGCCAATTTGATAACCTGCGCAGCGGCACTATTTAGGCCTTGCATCACACGACACAGAGGATTCGGACATCTTTTCCAGGACAATCACTGTAACATCACCTTTGTTCAAGCTTTGTATGATAGCAGTCCTTTTAATGTCACGTTGTGTGACTCCTGTGACGGTAATGAGCACTGCAAGAAATTTTAGTGGGCGCATCTCAGGCTGCTGGTCGCCGTCCCCCTCGGCTTTCAACTGTAATTTCTCATTTCACGACCCATAGATTTTGGACAATAATCGGAGACATCCTACACTGAAATCCGACTTGTATCACCTGTGCTCAAGTTCAAGTAGACCGGTCGAGACTCGACTACGATTTTCCTTCTAATCGCACAATATATCCCTAGGACCTAGATCCTGAATTTTTCAGATGTCTCCTGCTGTAATGACCAGTCCTTCGGAGTCGGCATTTGATTCGATCTTGGAGGCTTTGCGCACTGCGCCATCCGGCCCAGGTCTATATCCATGACTTTTTTTGAGAAATAGAACTCATCATAATCTGCGTAGACGCCAAAGCAGCAGCTGACAAGCTTGCCCTTGCTGTTTCTAAAGCAGGTATAGAGAGCTTGGTGTACGTCCATTTTCCCAGCGACATCATAAGATGACCGCATCTAAAGTATAACAGAGACCAAAATGTAATCAGCATCCTTCAAAATTTCGCATCGAACAAGAAGTCTGGATGGGAACGAGAATCTGGTGCTATTGCATTTCAGTCATTACCCGCTGTTCTCGGTCCCCCCTGTGCACCCCTACTTCTCCCAAGCCTTCACATCCTCTTCGATTTGTTTTCCGACAAGGGGGAGGTTGTCCGGACCGCTGCAACAGCCGCAACGAAGGCAATCCTTCAGCTTCTCCCCCCAGAAGCTACACGAACCGTGTTCGGGATTCTAGAAGATATCCTAGAGAAGGGAAAATGGCAAACAAAAGTCGCAGCCCTAGATGCTCTCAAGAGTTTCGTGGCTCGAGCCAAGGACTCCGTAGCTGATGAACTTGGACATATCTTGCCCAAGGTCGAAGTAGCAATGCACGACACAAAAAAGGAGGTGCGTGATGAATGTCCTGTGCTATCTTGCTCCGCCGACCGAATTCCTGCAGGTGGCTTCTGCTGCCGTCAAGTGCGCCACTTCTTTGTGCACGACGCTCGCAAACCCCGATCTCGCTCCCCACATCTCCGCTCTGGTTAAGTGTATGTCTAATCCTGATGCAGCACCTGCTTGCATAAAGGCGCTATCATCAACAACTTTCGTCGCCGAAGTCACGGCACCAGCGTTGGCCGTTCTCGTACCATTACTCCTGCGTGCTTTGAATGATCGTAGCATGGAAGTCCAACGGCGTACGGTTGTCGTCATTGATAACTTAGTCAAACTGGTCAGGAACCCCGTAGTCGCCGCGAGATATCTTAGCCCTCTCGTAATGGGTGTGCAGAAGATTGCCGAGGGTGCCGCGTTTCCGGAGGTTGGCTATACTCTTTTGATGTTGTATTCTTCGCGAATCTCATTCTGCCATTTACTAAGGTTCGTGCCTTTGGCGAGACGGCACTTAATACGTTGCTCAAGGCAGGTGCATCTACGTCGGGGACGCCGCCGACGCGGGATGTCAGCAAGGAGGTGGCTGACATTGTTGCCGTCTTGTTGACGCTGCTTCCGTCAGACCTTGTTATCCCCTCTGCGTCTGGGCCAAATGCTCCGCCGTCTGCAAGTCATCCACTTTTGGACCAATCTTTGCAATTCCAGGGGTCCATGGTTGCTGACCTTGTCTATAATCGGCGTTTCCAAGATATAGAAGTATGGAAACGTTGCGTCGGTGTGTACATGACATTCTGGCTGGGGGCAGAGGGATCTGCTACCTTTGCCGAGTCGGCCCGGGCCCATTTCCGTGCGGTTGATCAAGTATGTGCTCTAGCTCTATTTTGCAAGGAAACTTTTCATCAATAGGCATCATTCAGGCACTAAACAATTCTGCGCATGAGGAGCATAGCGGCGAGGGCGAGCTTCTGTGTGATTCATTGTTTTCTCTCGCTTATGGTGCACTTTTACTGCTCTCGCACACAACTCTCCGTCTGTTCCGCGGGCGCCGTTATGGCATTCTCGGAACCAATGGATCAGGGAAGTCGACCCTTATGCGCCAGCTCCGGGACGGCAAAGTGGAGAATTTTCCGCCTCAGGATCAATTACGTTGCGTTATGGTAGAGCACTCCTTGCAGGGTGAGGACACGTCCACGTCTGTGTTGGACTTTGTGGCGTCAGGTCAGTGCATCCATGAGTTCATGTCATAATCGGTGTCAGTAATGAATTTGCTGCAGACAAGGCTCTGGCCCAAATTCCGCGTTCTAAAATCCGAGACCAATTGCTGGAGGTAGGATTTGATGACGCCCGACAGGCAGACGTAGTCGGCGGGTTGTCCGGTGGTTGGAAGATGAAGCTTGAGTTAGCCCGTGCAATGCTTTACAACGCGGACCTTCTTCTTTTAGATGAGGTACGGAGCAGTTCGATTCTGTTGTTCTAACATCAACTCACCTGCAAATACTTTTGCGATACAGCCCACCAACCACGTTCGTGACCGGATTATCTCCATCACTATCACTATCGCCTGACGTTTTTCTCATAGTTGGACCGGGCTTCCGTTAAATGGCTCGAGAGTTATCTCATCGCCCACAAAAATGTCACTTGCCTAATCATCAGTCACGATTCTGGGTAAGTACGTCTAACCCAATCCACAGATTCAATCGCTAATTCTACTCCACATGACTAGATTTTTAGATAATGTGACTACTGATATAATACATTACGAGTCCAAAAAGGTAAGTCGCATATCGGCCGACGTTGAACGCCGATTGATTTACTCCCCTTTACTGTAGCTTGCCTATTATCCGGGAAACCTTTCGTCGTTTGTGGAAAAACACCCGGAGGCCAAATCATACTATACACTGGCGGCGACATCCGTTAAATTCTCGTTTCCTCCGCCTGGCTCCTTGATGGGTGTTCGTAGTAACACTCGTGCCATTTTGAAGATGTCAAATTGCACGTTCACGTACCCCGGTCGGCCACAACCTTCGCTAATAAATGTGTCTTGTGGTGAGTAATAATTTATGCTTCTAATTGTGATAATGCCTCATTCACTCCACTTCTAAAGCCTTATCACTCTCCAGGTGGGTTTGTGTGCTCCACATGTCTGATTGAGCGTGTTTCATTGTCATGCAGCCGAGTAGGTGTAATCGGCCCCAATGGTGCAGGCAAATCCACATTGATCAAACTTCTGACGGTAAGACTGATGATCTGATCGATGTATCCCCTTAATGACCTATTTATTCCAGGGCGAGACCATTCCTCAAGAAGGATTTGTATACAAGCACCCAGCCCTTCGTGTTGGTTACGTCTCACAGCATGCCACTCACCATATAGGTATACTCTTATCTCCCACTTCAGTGTCAAGTATACTCGACTAACACCGCTTTAGAACGTCATTTGGAAAAGACGCCCATTGGCTATATTCAGTGGCGTTTCCAGGATGGTCACGATCGTACGTCTTTAAACTTAATGCTTCCCTGCCACAGTGTCATTAATATAATTTCCCAATCTTATCAGGTGAATTACTAGAGAAGGCTACCCGTGTTCTGACAGACGAAGAGAAGACTCTCCTCGATCAAGATTGGGTCGGAAGGAATGGCACCAAGCGCAAATTGGAGGTTAGTCTTGCTTTCCATTGTCGATCTGATCTACATCCTAAAATTATACAGATCATCATGGGACGTCAAAAGTTGAAGAAAACGTTCCAGTACGAAGTCAAGTGGCGTGGTCTTGACCACAAGTTCAACACCTGGGTGCCTCGTGATGAATTGATGGCCAAAGGTTTCGTAAAGTTGGTGCAGCAATTTGATGATCTGGAATCCTCGAGAGAAGGTGCAGGTACGCGTGACACGTCTGCCCAGCTTGTACGCAAGCACCTCGAAGATATTGGTCTCGATGGGGACATTGCGCAGTATAATGAAATTTCGGGATTATCGGGAGGTTGTTATGAATTATTGCGTTTGTTTCCAGCCCACTAACCTTCGACGTTGTCAGGGCAAAAAATCAAGTTGGTCATTGCAGCCTGTCTCTGGAACAATCCCCAGGTTCATTGAACGACCGGTTGTCATGATGATCAGTGCTAACGTCACTTTGTAGGTTTGCATCCTTGACGAACCAAGTAACTTCTTAGATCGCGAGGCACTGGGCGGCCTTGCGGTGGCTATCAGGGAATGGGGCGGCGCAGTGGTGAGCGCTATGAAATGAGTTACGAAGTCTGATCCACGAGCTGATCTGGAGCGCCTTAGGTTATCATATCACACAACCACGAGTTTGTCTCGGCCTTGTGTCAGTCTTGTTTCGATCTTGTGTTTCATGGATTCTTCTGATGCATTCTACCAGGTCCCGAAATCTGGCAGATTGAGGCTGGGCGGATGACACATCAAGGAAAAGCCGCCGTTGTGGAGGACGCATTTGCTGATTTGAAGTCCCCGAAGGGCAGCGGTGCTAATACACCAGCTCGCTCGCGAGTGCAAAGTCCGGCTGTTTCGGCTCATGTGACTCCTGCAGGGAGTGGGGCTGAAGATGCTGGCACCTCAAAGGTTGTCAAAAAGAAGAAGAAACTGACGCGGAACCAGGCAAAGGCTCAGGAAGAACGCCGTAGGCTGAGAAAGCTCGCGTGGCTCACGCATGGTGGTCCACGGCCTGAGGACACCGACAGTGACGTTGACCCTTGAGATGGAGGTGCCATGTGAATTTTGGTGCAGTTTTTCAGGGGCCATTTCATTCTGATCCGCGGATGCTTTTTCTTCAAGATCTCGCTTAGATTACCTTCCCTACATGCTGTGAAGTAATAGATTTTCCGTTTTGCCGCAAATTCGTCAATGAGAAGGTCTACTGCCACGTAGTGTAGGCGACAAAAAGCCGACTTGTCACCCCCTCATGCAACGGGGCACTTGCACGCATGAGATAGCCGCGTCCACGCTAGTGATCACACATTCAACGTGTCGAGTGCTGGCGATTGGCATTTCAATGATCGTTGTCAAACTCGCGAGGCTAGTCCGATGGATCGGGGCACATGTGTTCGAGGAGAAATTGACCCATGATGAGTTGGTGCAAAGTCGACTAACTAATAATATTAGATTAACGGATTCAGACATCCAGTGACAATCATTATTCGGCTGTGTCCGGATGAAATTAATATTTGCAAACTTTGAGCTTCGCCTCCATACATACTTATCTCGAATTCCTTCGCTTGGTTTACTTAGTATGTCCTCAAATAGCGTCACGGATTCAGCGCATCAAGCTTCAGCCGCGGACCGTTAGAAGACTTTTTTTTTTTTTCTTCAGAAGGACCTCGTGAGGGGCCCCTGCCCGAGTAACAGTTGATCGACAAAACGGATTACTTCTCGTCCGGCTCTTAAATTGGTTGTTGCACCAATATGTCAAGGGTCCACCCTGACCGTGGAGCTGGAAACAAGTTCTGCGATCGACGCGGCGTGACGAAGGTGCTTGCTGGACGGTTAGCTGCCGCTGATGCGGCGATGAACTTGGTGCAAGCAATCCACTCCAAGTAGCCACATGACATCTTATCGATGGTATCGGAGCTGATGCTGTGGCAGTCTTAGTTATATCTCACGTATCCAATTGAATCGTGAACCGAAGAGGAGCTATGATACTTAAAAAAAGTCCAGTGGCGTGATTCACGGCCTTCTAACCGCGGACATCCGTGATATAATCGAGCAAGAACAACGTTAGAGTTTTCAAAACGTGTACGTGTGATCAGATGCGGACCAAACCTGAGCGAATGGATAAGAACATCATAAGTACATAAAAACTACGGCGACAGTGCATCAAAGAGGCAGGTACATGTGGACGGATTGGAAAGGGCATCAGATTGCGTGAGGGTGATATGGATATAATATGAATGGGAGTATTAAGGGGCTGGCGAGTAAGTTAATACGGTGATAATGAATGATCGAGGTCCTGAATGCAAAAGGATGACGACGCTTCTGTTATGATGAGGAGAGAATGAATCTAGCTGAAATGAAGGCATGGTGCTTTGACAACAATCAAATATTCAGTAGCGACCAGGCTGCTGCTGCCATTTGCGGGGATCTTCCTCGCGCCGATGGGGGATAGGTGACCGACTCTCCTGCGCCACAGACCGGGCGTCCTGACTCGATCGCGGAATGTATGATGAATGTGAAACAGACGTGGGGCTGATGCTGTTCCCACCGAATGAAGTATGCGATACTTCGTCTGTCTGAGAGGACATGTTAAATGGTTGATGGGGCGTCGACACTGATGTCGACGACTGGCGGGTAGTCTGCCTCATTGACTGCCGCTTGTTTTGGAACCTATGGAAAGGGATGAGGATGGATCCTATAAATTGTGTAGATGGATACACCAACCAGATCTGCACGCTCCTGGCTGACATGTCTAGTTTCTTTGCGAGCTCTGCGCGTTCTTCGGTGGAAGGAAACGCAGTGCGAGCGTAAGTCTCATTCAGGACTTTCAGCTGAGCGGCGTCAGCTCTCTTACGCTTTTTCTTGATGACAGGTTCCTCATTGACCATCATTTGAGCAGGCTCTTGTGTTAGCGCAGAGTTTGTGATTGGCCCTCGGGCATATGGAGAAGGACCATGGGCCTCGACTTGGGTAGGCATGCCTCGTTCGGATGGTGGGTACATGCCGATGGACATCTGCTGGGAATGATGCATCGATGGGAGTTGACTTGAATGATGACGTGGATCGGGAACGGGGGGATACGAGTAGGATGTCTGACTTGGGTAAGGAGCATACTCGGTTGGGTAAGTTGCGGTCGGGGAGCGAATATCACCATAGTTAGAGACATGAGGTGCCACTGCGCCGTAAGTGCCCTGATATCTGTCGGGCATGTTTAATGGAGGGAGCTTGCGAGAGCCGTGGGAATCGACCGGGATCGTCGGGGAACTGCGCGAAGGATAAGTTGGGTATTGTTGGGCTTGAGGGTATCGGTCATAGTGTTCATAATAACTGGAGTGCTGTGGGGCAACTGTTACCGCTTGAAGATAGATTGATGAGCGTGCGTTTGTGCGATCGGGATTTAAGTGAAGTGAGACGTACTAGTAGGCCACTGACCATAGCTCGAGGAGCTATGATCACTTTTTCCAGGAGATGAACGTTGCTGGGAATATGAAGGATAGTTGGGAACTATACGCGAGTTGAGCATATTGCATGTACACTAGATAGAAAAACAGACCTGAAGAGGGTGAGGTTGGAAACGCTGAAGAAAGAGGAGGGAGCACAGTTCGCCCACCCTGTCCCGTCTGGAAAAAAACCACTATTTTGAGAATCCCCTCCAGGAGGGCTTTTGCGGGCCTTTGAAAGGGTTGAGAACAAACGATCGTCCCTCGGGTTTGTCATTGTAAGTTAAGCAGATATAGGCAAAAGAGGAAGTGAAGAAAATTATGGTTCAATGAAAAGAAGAAATCGATGTGGATATAAGTATGAAAGAACACGCTGTGAGCATGCCAATTGCCCGACGAGCGAGCGAGAAAAGGCCTGCGGCAGCTGGGAAGGCTGTGAGTTTGGGGACAAATTGATCAGGGCCGTTGAATGAACGAGGTAAACATGAACACCGGCAAAGGTAAGAACACGAGGCGCAGTTGTTCAAACTGGGCAAGGGTGGTAGGATGAAGCGTGTTAGATGGCTTGGGACCTGGGTTAATAAGTAGTTCGGGGAGTTAGCTTTGGGCGTTAAGATGATTTAAGTTATGTATACTATCCCGAAGAGGTTCAACCGAACCTCTTTTATTGTTTTTTATTTTTTTGAATAAACCTCGTAAAGGATGACAATCATTCTTCGCGGTCTTTCATTATTTTCCGTCTTCGAAAAAACCAAACGAGGAGACGGACCGTAAGGGAAGCACTGACGCGTTGGAAAAGCAGTGCTCTTCTCTGTGCAACGCGGAAATTGCATTGTTGACATCAATCCATCGAGATCGGGTTCCAGCCTCGTGGCCATTCCTGGTGCGGACACCTTGCAACTAACGGCATATTCCGAATACCGCTCTTTTTTTTTGATAAGATATCGAGGTTAATCATGTGACAAGTCACGGAAGCAACTCAAGTCAGTACCATCGGGAATCCCATGGAGGAATATCATGAAGATCTCATTCCACGGATATCATATCCGTATGCTACCCCAACTTACCATGAAACCATTCTACCAGTTGGAACTTTACTTCATAAAGGCTTTTATGATCTACTCGCAATAATCACCCCCTCATCCATTGCATCAAATCAAGCTCAAGTTACTCCCCTGAAGAAGGGTAGAAGAGTCAGTAAAGCTATAGTCTCAAAACCCACGGGTTTCCTGTAGGTTATATTTTCCAATTCAGCATTTACATCCCAACAAAGTATTACTAGCCATCTTGTACACGCTTCGGACGCCGGTCAGGCAGAAGCCCTTTTAACTCGCTGGGGCCCAGATGGTTTGGGAAAGCTAGGAGGTCAGCCATCAGCGCATCATATTCTCAGTATTCTAAACTAGCACCTTAGACCCCCGTTGGGCAGATCCAATAAAGTCCCGAGTAAGGCAGACTAACCAAGCAAGAGCAGTTAACGAGGTCATCAATGCACTTAAACCGTCTCAGGACAGCGCAGGGCCCCTTCGCGTCATGAACGGTATGAGCACTACCACTTCGTCTACCATCACCACCGCTGCCCGTGAAAATGTCCACTTTTCTCCCGCGGATGGCTTGCCAGGTCGACCAGGAAATTCAACTATAAAATGGGCAGGAGGGCTCAGGGCTCATCCGGAAGTTGGCGAGTACGACGATGACCTAGCCCTTACCCTTCCTGGCCCTTCACCGCGCTCAATTAATCCATCATTGGCTACCTTAGAAAAGGCGGTGTCCGCCCGGATCTACTTTGAGAACCTCTACTTTCCTCTTCTTCGGCAGCCTCCTTCTCGAGAACAACGACGAATTGCCATGGAAAAGGATATGGTCATCATGCACTTGACCGAAGATCAGAAAGAAGCTTTACGTGCTCAGTGGCGCCAAAACGAGACCGAATATCTTCGCGAACGCCGAAGAAAAGTAGATGCAACAGCTTTCATCAAACTGAAAACCATAGGACACGGTTCGTTGTCCCCTTACGTTCCTGAAAAAGCATTTTCACACAAAATACTATCGATCAGGTGCGTTTGGGGTCGTGTCCCTAGTTAAAGAGCGAGTCACGGGACAGCTATTTGCTATGAAACAGGTTCTTGTTTTCCATTTTAATCTGCCCATATGGTACTGTGTTCAAATTAATTATTCATTTCACTAGCTAAGGAAGAGTGATATGCTTCGCAAAGGGCAAGAAGGCCACGTCCGTGCAGAACGTGATATCCTCAAATCTGCGTCACTCATTACTTCGCCCGGTGGCGCGGAGTGGATTGTGAAGCTGCACTACAGTTTTCAGGACCGCGATAATCTGTACTTGGTCAGTAGCTCTAACCCCGATATCCGCCATCTTTCCAAAAATCAGACCAACACATGAGTCACTGATTTCATTTCGATTTCATATCTTAACAAATAATAATAGGTATTGGAATTCATGGGCGGTGGAGATCTCCTAAATCTTTTGATCGAGAGAGACGTTTTCGAGGAAGACTTCGCTCGTTTCTATGTCGCTGAGGTTGGCATCTTCTTTTTCTCATACTATACTTTGTTGAACGGCAGGCACATTTACCCCAGATGGTTTTAGCCATTGAAACTTGTCATAAACATGGTTTCATTCATCGTGACATTAAACCTGATGTAAGTGCCTAAAAATTGCAAAGATTAAGGTCCGCTGTAGATTGATAACATGGCTATCCATGCGTTTCTGACAGAACTTCCTGTTTGATCCGGAAGGACATATTCGTCTAAGTGACTTCGGACTCGCGTGAGTAGGAGGACCACTAGCGGAACTGGCCCACTTCCCCGTCCTCGTTTTGTATGTACTAAATTTGTAACCGTCTCCACAGAACTGATCTGCACTGGGCCCATGATACGTCCTGTCAGTGCGGAATAGACTAGGTTTACGGAACATGAAACTGATACGGTGGCCGTAGATTACGAACAACAACGGCGTCAGTTGATGCACAAGCATGGGATAGACCTCGAGGACAGTAACGGAATCGGGGATGGAACCAGAACCAAACGAATGGACCGCAAGAACGTCGAATTACTGATGGGCGACGGCAACGGCCAAAGTGGCATATTCACTTGGCGGGAGAAAAATCGTAGGAAGGTATGATCCCTACCAATTAAATTCTATATTACCGCCCTGTGCCTCACCCTGCCTGTCATGCTGTAGCTAGCATACTCTGTGTAAGCAAATACCTTGCAGCCTACTGCGTAATTCTGAACGTTCCTTCTTCGGACCCAAAGCTGCGGGACGAATTCTTACAGTATGTGGTCACCTTTGTCTTTGTGATTACCCCATGTTGCCATGCTTACGCCTTGAATAGTGTCGCCAGAAGTCATCAGAGGCCATGGCTACTCGTTTTCTTGTGACTGGTGGAGCTTAGGCGTCATCATGTTTGAATGCCTGTATGGGTAAGCTTCGGGGCTTCGTATATCCGGTCTAGCACATGTTGAGGAATGGATTTGGTCCAGATACCCCCCGTTTGTTAGCAACTCCGTAAGCACCCACTTTTTAGCACCTACTTTCTCACCCCAGTTCATCTTGTGGCTGACTGCGGGGGGCAGAGGCATGTCACTCGCCAAAAAATTCTCAACTGGAAGCAATCCCTCAAGTTCCCATCTCGCCCTCGTGTCTCGGGTGAGGGCGTGAATCTGATGCAACAGCTCCTTTGCGAGCCTGAGGATCGCCTTGGAAGTCAGGCTCCAACATCTGTGTCGCGGCCAGATTCCCTCGCCGTTCACGCACGACGCAGCGGCTTCATCTTGCCAGGGTCGACATCTGGCAGTGCTGATGGTGCAGATGCAATCAAGGTCTGCGTCACTGGAGCTTGCGTTCGCAGCTGCTAATGTCCAGGCTCGAAGGCGCATCCTTGGTTCAGGGGGATAGACTGGGAAAATATACACCGCTATCCTGCACCATATCGCCCAGATTTGCAAAGCCCAGAAGATACGCGACACTTCGACTCTGATATCCCACCAGTGGTGAGTTGCTCCAAGGTTGTTTCGTCATGTCAGGTGTTAAGGTTGTGCCTAGCCATTGGCTCCCGCAAACGGAGCGCCAGCAGATGCTACGAAAGACCCCCTGCTCAGGGACAGGGTCCACGGGGAAGAGATTCTGAACGTCCGCAAGGCCCTCGCATTTGCGGGGTTCACGCACAGGAGTCCTCGAGCGATCAGTTACGCTCGTGCTGATCGTGCATTTGATGCACAGGCGGACATTCCAGACCAAGAACGGGGCGAACGAGGTCGTCCACGGTTTCGCAGTGTACACGAGGCTGGCACAGGCCGGCCTATATCGCTTTAGTGCGGTGCATGTTCGGGGACCCTGAGAGGGGTGGCTGTGTGTGGCTGAGATGGTGCTGCATTCTTGCCTTGCGGCATCGTCGAGGATATGACGACACATAATCTACGGACATGACGCGCAGACATGCTTTTACTCCATGATGTGACTATTCACTGTACTTGATTACTAGGATCTACGGACATGACTCTGACATGCATTGACTTCACGATGCGACTATCCACTGTACTTGATTACTATGCTATACCCTTGTTTTCTTGCTGTACGCCGCCGCTGCCACCAATAGATCTGCCACTGCCGTTAACGGGTGGAATTCAATCACTCCCTGCCACAATTCGAACTCGAAGAAAATACATTTCAATCCCGGAAACCACTATTAATTAAAATGAAATGGATACACCAGGCGATGAGTACTACTACTAGCGACAATGACTGTATGGAATAAATACGTGAGTGATAAATATAATGGTGATCAAGTGCATGCGATAGATGGAATAAATAATGCGCGTGAACTATAAATAAGCCGCTCATCATGAACGACCGATGCAATGTCCGTGAAAAATGCAACGAAGATCATGAGGACCCGAATAGGAGTGATTGCATGCGCCAAGTGTGCATCCGTGCGGACAACGCATGTTGCTCTAACGCCCGGAACGTGGATGTGCGTCATTTGACTCGTCGCTGTCCTCATGATAGCGCCCTGAGGCATCGGCATGCACGCGAGCATGCCGACGCATGTTGCTGAGCACGCTGAAACTGCGGCCACAGCCTTCAAAAGTGCACGTAAAGGCTAGAGACGGGCGATCAGCATGATGATGAGAAACCCTATGAGCGGACACTCACGCTTTTCGCCGGTGTGGCTATTCAAGTGTATCTTTCAATTGACGGTTGTCTTTAGCCGAAGAACGACATGCAGGATATTGAAGTACACACCTTTAAACTACTGGGGCGATTGAAACCCTTGCCGCAGTAGTCACACTCGTATTTGAGTGATGAAGGGCCAGTCGCATTGGCGTGGGGAGCGGAGTCTTCTAAACTAGATACGGTCTCTTGCGAGTCTCTACGGTAATGCTGAGACCGTACATCGGGGTAGCGTGGAACATAAGATGTTGATCCGGGGGGCTCGATCATGGATTGCCCAGAATATTGCTGCCTTGAATAATCCATATATGAGCTTGACCCTGGATGGGTTGTATAGTCGTAGGCTGGCCGTCCCTGGGCACTGTTAGAGGACGACCGAGAAAATTGGTTCGGTGGGTGTTGAGAATGATACAATGAATGCTGTGGATGTTCATGAGATGGGTGAAGGTGTGTTGCGTGCGTTTCGTGTCGTGAACTACGTGAAGGGTGGTAGGGAGTTGAAGGGTTTCTCTGAGAAAGTGATCATTATCAAGGTTTGATCTAATAATTAAACAACGACTAACCTGCAAGCCTGGCCCTGATAGGGCACCATCTGAGTGGCCCATGTGCGGCGCACAGTATGGGTCATGACTTGCATTGGGGCCCATCCAGGAAGGAGGTGGTATTACGGAAGGTCTTGGAGTACGAGATAATTCTGAAGGCTAAAGGTAAATAAAATGCACGTATGTGTGGAGCTAGAGAAGCTTGACCAACCTGGGAAAAGTTCGCGGACGGAAGGGAGGGTTGGCCGAGCTGCTTCTCGATGGGCATCACTCTCCGGGAATGAGCGGTTAGACATTTCTATGGTATGGGGGGAAAGCTTGAAAGGAGAGGAGGAGGACAAGTTAGAATTGAAGTGGATGTCGGGGAATCTTATATGGTCGGATCGTCTGAAAACCGCGGTAACGGCAGGGATACCGTTGCACGCCGATCGTGATGCGGCGGTTTCGGAAGAGGCTGGAAAGTACTTGCATGAAGAAACGTGACCGGGTCTATTCCATTATACTTGCAGGACAGCACCTCGAGGGCGAACCTCCGTTGACATTCGACATGGTTACCACTCGGTTACCGTATTCAAGGTAGGCAACCGTGGTGATTGTCGCTTTGAAGCTGCTGCGCACTCATTCACAACACATTTTGTGGGAGTATCATCATGGACGAAAGGAGCCGTTTGGACGGTGCCAGGGTTGCAGATAGAGCACCGCAATGTCACACACTAAGGGGCGCGAACGCCGCGCATCATCCACGGGGGATGTGCTGTTAGTATATCTTGAATTATACATGTACCGTCACTTGCCGCATCTCAGATCAACTACAACGGATCACTTTATTGAGTCCACCGTATCTCTCCGAACACAACCCGCTGAAAGATCTGTCACTTCTTGCCGAATACCAATCCTCGTCGGTAACATTTTGGTTCTCAAAATGGCCACACATCGCGAACTTCAATTTTAACATCTTTGCATCGGGAGGCAGTGAGCCGCAACCAGGCTGGACTATGCATCCCTGAATATCGTTCACATCTCACTGTGAAGCTCGCACGTTATTTATGAGCAGCCGTCGCTAATGTTGACGGTTCGGGTCATGAGAGCTTACCACAATCTGTCCCGCTCCCCCATATACACGATAATGTTTTATGTATTCTGTCAGGTTTCAGCTTGGAATCTTTGCGCCTCCTCCGAAGTCTTTGTATTTAGCGATAGTGCGTGCAACCCTTGTGAAAATTCTTCTGAAAGCGTAGAGTAGATCAGGCGATGACGTTGCACCGTGTTCTGTGAAGAAATAAAGTACCAGATACACCCCGAGATTCGATAGCACACGCACCTTCCCTTTGAAAGCATCTGAGATTACTTGCACGGCAAAATCTGCGCCCGGGTCGTCAATGAACAGCGTCCTTTGGGTAGTAGAAAGGATACTTACGTGTTTCTCCATTCCCGCCACCTTGGGAGCGCATTGCGGCGTGATGTCTATGCAACTGCGATTCGTTGGTAATGATTAGTTTAGACGGTTGAAGCAAAGTCGTGAGCTGTGACATAATTTCATGATTGCTCATGAGCCGAATCGATGTGAGTTTGCTAGTTTGTTCCCTTACCTTTTCTCGCATGGCATTTTCTACTGGGCCTGGAGATCCTATTGCGTCTGAAGCCATGGCACGAAAAGGACTCAAGCTCTGCCGCAAAGCAATGCGAAGGCTGCGTGTTGCCCAGAGCATAAACCTGCTGGCTACCATGCTGAGATTGCAATCATAACTGCGCTGATGCTGACGGGCACTTACCACAAGACTCGGAGCAAGCCTTCACAAAAAGGCAGACGATAAAAATGCAGGTGTTCAAATTGGCAATTGGTAGTCCTTGTTGGTCAGCAAGAGTCTGTGTGAACGTGTGAAATGTGACCACCCGTGGTAAGTACGCCTGGCAAGGCTGGTCACGAGCCTACCCGTATACAAACACGTACAGCCCTCACCATGATCTGAGGAGATTGACATTCACCGAATCGCGTCGGGCATTAGCACTTCCAATTGCTAACCGTACCTCTTTTGCATAATGGCAAACACGTATACCGCGGTACACGGGCTAAAAAAGTCTGTCAGCATGACTGTTCGACGACGATCTCACAGCCATTGAACGGCTGCCATCAGTGAACCAGTGAGTCCAAGTGACGACCAGATTTCCCATTAGCTTTCTCAGGAAACGCAAACCCTATAGATGGGTACGCATGCAGAACTAGTGGCGACCGGTCCCTAAAGACTGAGTCAAATTCAAGCAGTGAAAACAAGGTAAAGTTAGCCATAGTTGCATTTGGCAAGCACTCTAGTATAACTTACTGACAGTGCATGTCATGAAAGCAACGATTGGACCTGCATGAACCGCCGCATTCGCTTTTGACTATATTGAATGGTCGTCCTTGTGACAGAAATAATACAGTATTCATCTTTCCACGTAGCAGTTGTTTCAAAGGCCGTGACTCTGCGCCTTAGCGCTGATGGCCATTCCATAGCCCGCTGTGGACATGTACTTGTGTTCTCCGTTCCGTTTCTTGGTGAAACTTGCAAGTCACGTTATCGACGCGTATAGTCACGGTAACGTTACCAATTGTCAGGCGTATTCACTTTACTACGAACACTCACCATGGTGTCGCCCTCCTCCTCGCATCAACACCCTCAAGAATGTGAGATGACACGCAATCAACGTGGTCTAGTAGAAACATGTTTTGAGGAGGGCCAATACGAGTCTGGCATCGCAGTGCTCGAACAGCTAAGGTCCGAAAACTTCAAACCACCCGTGTAAGGTCATTTGGGTTCTCTTTTCTCGAGGAACATTGAAAGTAGTGCTTAGGTCTCTCATACGTCAGCTCTTCTACATTGCATTGTATCCCCCGCCATCATCCCTCGGGTATGTGGAAGAGCGCGATCTCAACCCTGCTTCGCCATCAAAAAGCTCCCCTACAAAACAAAAGCATCAGGCACCGAAAATGACCTTTGCTCCTTCAGTCAATGCATCAGAAGCCGCGCAACGCTTGTTATTATCTTTTGTTAGAACAAATACACCTACATCCCTCTTTCAGGCTTTGCCACAACCGCGCAGGAACAACGAATTGACATTCGAAGGTGATGATCATGACTCTATTGTAGCAAAGGAGTCCCTGTGTATTAAGGACGCGAAGCACTGCTGGGCAATACTCAAGGAGGGTTTCGTGCCGCGAATAAAAATCCCTCCGCCGTCCCTACTAGCAGGGAAGAAGAAGCGCGGCAAACTCATCACTGATACTGAAGAATATGAGGCAGATCGCAGCAATTCAGTTCTCGCTCCTGTTGCAGAGCATGCTTGGCTAGTCTTGCGGTGGCTGGTCGAGCTCTTCCAGCGGGACGAATACTTGACATCTGGGGATGCTTCAGGTGGGAGGCCACCTCATAGCAGCAACCCTTTGACTGAGATAATATGCAGCGAAGCATTCGCCATTATTGTTGTTGCAGATTCCCCCGCCAAGAAGCGGTACTGGTCTTCGGTGGGAAGCTGATGCACCCCTAGACATCGTGTTCTATTGTGTTTCGCAAGACCAGCCGCAGCGACGGCAGCTGGGTCTCGAACTGATGACTCTGGTGAATATGCTTTGCTTGTTATGAACGATTCGCCTGATATTCTTCGCAGCTCATCGGAATTTGTCTAACGGCAGAATTCGACTTCAACATGTTTCTGGAGCAAGTCACGTCACGACTGTATTCAGCCTCCCCAGAAATCATTCAAACTTTCATGTCTGGCTTTCATCTGTCGCAATCAGCACAACTGTTCAAACTGGCCCTGTGCCGCAAGTTCCTTTCCGATGAATCAAGTGGGAAAAACCCTTCCAACCGTCGCCCCAAGCCAACAGCGCGAGCTGTGAGAGCAGCACGAGGCATTGCTGCGAAAGAGGAGAACCTGTCATCCTCCAGTGCAAACGACTCGTCAGCCTCCTTTTCCGCGAGTAAAATTTCCATGCCTCCCGCCAGTGACGTCGTCCACCTCCTTACAGGGTCTGGACGCACTTCCAGTCCTGCGATTCTAACCGTGAAGAAGGAGCTTCTGATTTCGTACGCCTACCTGCAGCAGATTGCGGAACGACGGGACGCGGAATGGCAGCAATTAGTAACAGACGGGCGTCTCGGGGACCGAGTCGTTTCGGTTTTTGGAGAGAGCTATGCTCAGCAAGACAAGGATGCTCTGATTAGTCTTGTGAGAGTCTGGGCCATGAATTAATGAGGCAATATTGTCTTGTGGGACCTTTCTCTACACAGCGTGTTATTGTTGAGTTCTTCCTGCTGTTATGACAATGTGAATTTACTTACCCAAGCCGGTGACAAGATAATGCACACCTCCCATGACGATGGTTAGTGCTGTGGAAGCAGATAAATTCTGGTACAAATGGACCAATTCAACATAGTATCCCTGCGATCGGCGGCCCCAGTCTGATGGAACGGAAGTAATACTCTCCTAATCTTGAGAAACGTCCGGTTACTACATAAAAGTCCTCTGGCACCAATTTTCTCATGGTTATCATTTACCTGTACTTCGTGGCTGAACTTTACTTTGGAGTAATTAAATATGAGGTGGTTATCTGGGCAACTGAATTTCTGCTTGGGTATAGAGTAGATGGTAGAAAGTTCGAAGATCAAAAGCTGGAGCTACACGACAAATTGTGCACATAACATGACATATTTCAAAGCGTTAGGATATGGCACAAGTGGACGATCGTGTGCAAGGCATTTGTACCGAGTATTGGGTCAAATGATAGCTTGAAAGGGCGTGACTATGTGTATTTGGTGAGTATGCCAGTATAGACGTGAAGCGAAAGCACACGACGTTTTCCGGCCCGAGGATTGAGTCATAGCAAAAACGTTAGGGCCCGGCGATGCCAGCCCAATGGATACTCAAATTCTAGGCGCACCTACGAAAACGGGCGGATCTCCACGTCATGACTCCGAGATGAGTTGGCAAACAGTGGGGGGATAGGGGATGATATCAATCCAGCGGATCTGTTCGTGCAGGGCAGGAGCAGGTTGTACGTAAGGCGCCATTATGCGTATCACCGCGAGCAGGAGTGGAATCAGATTTGCACGATGTCGAAAGGCACGTTCCGAAAAAGGTATTCAACGAGGGTGGATCCAATGCGAACACATTGTCCCTGCAAGGGTTGTAACCGACAGCTGCCAGTCACGGAAGTCAGCCTTGCAAGGAATGTTAGCGATCGTCTGTGAGAGTTTTTGTGAAAGGGTAAACGAACACATGCCCAGAGAGGCTCATTGACGCGGCGATAGGCGAGTATCTCCTCCGAGTCGGACTAGCCAGTCAGCTTCGAACTGGCCCAGTACAGCTGGGTGTGGGTTGGGGTGGGAAGGTGAAATTTCTTGGACGTAAGGCTTTGGCAATGTACTAGTGGACACATAGAAGAGATTAGATCAAGTGGGTGTACCAGGTATTTGACAAAGCTTTGCGTCCCACCTATGACCAATAGACAAACGTCGAGCGTGCGTATTGTGAGCAACAACATCCTCTAGCGTTTGCATCCCAGTATATTCTCCTAAATGCGACATGCGTACGTCCAACGGTCACACATACCTCCTAGATCTTAGAAATTGACGCGTATCACGCGGTCAAACGCGAATGCGTAGAGAATTTACCAGTCCACGTGGCAGCACAGAACATGTTAAACATGAATGTTTTCTTGGGGGGAAGAAACTTTGATTCAGAGGGGCACGACTTTCCATGTCGTTTGTAGGACACTACACCGTTGAATGCCATCATCCTGGAGGTGGGATGCCGCTAACGGGTGGGCCTCTTGGATAGCATTGCTGTCGCATTGAAAGCATGCTGCAGACAGCGATTTGACATGGACCCTTCAATGGATAATCAGCCCCACCCACATGGTTACTTCATTACAAGTTGGTAAACTTTGAGGCCTTACGAGACACGGAATGCCGCTTGATAAAGTTCAACACCGTTCGGAGTGTGGAGAACCGCACTGGCGCTGAGCAAACCTAGAAGCACTTGTGCGAAATAAAGTCTCCGGTCGACCGGTGACTATTCAAATTCGTTGGACGGGTGTGTTGGGCGATCTTATCTTATTACGCCACAGTTGCGCCACACAAGCCAAATACAAGCATATTATACCGAAAATGTGCCGAAACTTTAAGTTTGGTAACAGATTGTTGTGCAAGTATTGCAAAGTATTGTCTAACGTAGCATGTTGACGGGCGAACCACCTTTCGACTGATTTGCGTGTTGGAAATGCTTAATGGATGTGTTCAGAACAAAGAATTAGAAGCATATGCTGGCATGGTGCCAAAATTATTTTTCTGAGTTTATTGTCCCATGTCGGACAGCACTGTATGTTGTTTGGGATTTGCCCCGTATATACTCATAGTATCGTATCATTGATGTTTGTATGAGCGTATGTAATGATGACACGTAGTCCGAAGTACTCGAAAGGGGGAACACCCAAAAGCCTTGCTACAAATGAATGTTAACCTAAATTGTTAAGGTTCGAAGTCAACCAACTCTTCCACTCCTCCAGCGATCTCTTCTGGGCCCACCTCTACATCCATTAAATCGTAATCATCAGCGTCCCCCACAGTGGCTTTGGAATTCCCCTGTTGGTCTTTCCACATCTGTGCAAGAAAATCTGTAGTGCTGGCTTGCTCCAGCGATTTATCTTCTCGGGCCTTTATAAATCGCGGGAATCTAAGACTGAGGCCCCTCAAGGAGGAAACCAGGCCCAATGCTGCCAGAGATACGGGGCTCAAAGTGATACTGAAATAATAGTGTGAGTAGATATTCGTCTGCAACACTGACGACTTGTAGTAGACTCACTCTGCCCCTCGTATCTCCCACACCTTATGGGGCCTGAAGTAAACGTCGGGCCTGAAACCTGGAAAACAAATCAGCCATGAACTCTTGTGTTCAAAAATAATATCGGCACCTCCTGTATTGGTTTCCCAAAGGGGTTGTCTAGAGCAATTATCGGACCCCTCTGAGTAATGTGCAACCATCTCCTGATACGAAAGGTACGATGAGTAAGTAGCCCAAAAAGACGTACTGTATTACAAACTTTGTAGAACGCGTCCGAAAATCCTGCGGCAAATAATAGTTCAATATTTTATCATGAGCTACGATAAATATCACTTACCAGACATGCACTTGCAGACGGCAACAAGGCAGTCATTGCTGGGATCTCGGATGGCAAGCAAAACTGGACTCCACCACCCTGCTTTCCTTCCGTTCCCATGCCACGCCCCAATAGGAACCATATCGAGGGTATCCCCGAGGCCCACAACATAGTCCTTTTTCAGCTTCAGCCAAGCAAATGTCCGTTTATCTGTGAAAATTCACCAAAAGAACACTAAGGAATGGCTCATACATACCGGGTTCATAAGTCGCAGACAATTGTTTCCGCTTTCCATTTCCTTTTTGCGTTCCATCTTCTTCCATGGTGCCGCTGCTTAAGAGCTAGTAGCTAAGCGTTAGTAATACCGATAAGCACATCAGACACTGTCTCGCCTTGATCATGAGACCCTCAGAGCGGCTCTCTATAGCTTTCTGCCAAAACTCCTCAATAGCATCTCTGCCCGCATCACTCTCACAACTTTCAACATGGTCAAAACGACCTGCTCCTTTGTCACTTGGTAAGAAAGGCGGAAAGCGAGACCTCAGCAACGAGCGCCTCTCTCGAAAGGGCCGGGCAAGTAAGACCTGCCGAGGGACATAAATGACTTTCGATTGACGTGGTTGGCGTGAAATCGGAAGCACGCACCTCACCATCAAGATACATCAGATCGAAGGCATACACGCAAACAGAAACTTTAATATCGCTCATTTCCACATCCTTCCTTGCCCTATTCGAGAGCTCCTGAAATGACTTCAGGCCGCCGTCAGCTGGATCTATGGCAACAATCTCAGAGTCGATAATAAAAGATTGCAGCCGCGGCTGATCTTTGAAGATGCATTTAACAAGGTGAACGATGTCGGGATACTAGTGTTTGCCAATCAGATGAGGGCGCCGCGTCCACGGAAGTGCACAGCTGACCTTAGTGGTCATATCTTCTAGATGACGGGAGAAAATATGAACGGAAGGATTGCCGTTGTTCCCTCCTCGTACCCCGTGTATTTGGGCGCGTTGACCATCATACTTGAATTCTGCAGCAAAGGGTAGATCCCCCAAACGGTCGTATATTTCATCCAATGATCGAGTGGGAGAGCCCAGAGTCGGGTGCAAGGGAATTCCTATCGATGATTTATGTAGTCGTTCACGGAGGGAGCAAAACACACACCGACAGTCAAAGGAACATGTTCTTCAAGACTATCCAATCCACCATTGAATAGACCAGCTACGATGTGCTCATAGTTCGGATGTTGGACGAACACTTTTTTAACCAACGCTTCAGCCTGGATGAATTTCTCATGGAGTTCATCGCGGGCCGGATCAAAAACTTTCTTTCCTTCTGCTGCGAGGGGTTGAACGGAGGAAATTGATTGTGAGGTGGCATGGTAAGACGAATAATCGCGAACAGGACCTCCCAGACTAGGTTGCAAAGTCAAGACTAAGGCTCTTGCCAGCGCAGTCAGGATGGACGTCCTTACTGCGCCAACGCGTAGATTCTGCGATAGGGTACGGACAAGGTAGCGCGACTCTTCTCCTTTAGCCGCTACAAGGAGTTTCTCGACGAAGTCTTGCTTCTGTTTGGCTGCGCCTTGTCCCTTAGAGTTGGCAATTTTCAACAAAGACTCGTACACAGCCACAATGAATAGTGGAGGATGAGGCACTAAGGTGCGAACATTTGACTTTGCCTCAAATGCAACATCACCGGGGTCACCGGATGAGTTGTAGAGACGCCTAAGAGCAGCTGATGATAGGCCAGAAATATGTTGGATTGCCTTGGATATAATTGAGGAGCCAATACCCAGCTCGACCGGAGAGTACGGAGGAGACAGGCAATTAGAAAGGAGGTATAGCGATGGCAGTAGTGATGGCCGATGCCAATTGAGCAAAGTCCTGAGGGTATTTGTGAGCGTGTTGAGAATGATAATCCTAGAGCGTGTTCCTGATAACGTGACAAGGGCATGAACGAGGAACGAATAAGGCGCCGGCTCGTTGGCTAGCCAGGGATTTTCCTGGACGTCATACACAAAAAGATCAACTCCTAATGGCTGATAATTTGGCAAGGCAGCAACGTCATTTTTCATAAGAACGGGCCGCCAGGAGGGTGTTTGAGGACTATGTTGAACAACCCCTGACGTCAAACCACGAAGATCGACTTGAGGGGGAGCATCAGACCTAGGCTCTGGCTCAGAATCCGACGTCAGGTCAATGACGTCTGGGGTAGCGATCTTCTTTGCGTTCAGTTCTACATTGATTTCCCCCTTCCCCACCCTAGAATTGGCTGGAGAAGTATTAAGCCTCGGAGAAGATCCGAAGAAAGTCTCCAATGATGACTGATCTGAGGCGACCTTTGTTCGCTTAGGCTTCGACGTTGATGGCGACGGTTGGGCGCGTTTAGACATATAGCGGCTGCAGGTTCAAGTTTGTATGACATTCGATTGACATTCGACAAGCAAATTACGGACAAATTTGTTCAAATATGACCAAGTTATGTACCAACTATTCCCACCTCGTGCCGGCCTCGTGCTCCTGTCAATTTCTATCAGTCCTCCCTGCATTCAGTGATGGGCGGCAGGTCCTCCTACGCCCATGTCATCGCTGCTCCCTGACAAGCGCACGATCATCGGTCTTTTGTGAGTTGTATTAACTCAGGATAGTTACTGCATCCCGCCAAATTCAAATACCATGAACACTATGCAACGATCCTTATAGGTACGTACGCAGTCACTTTTGGGTCCAAACAATCAATGATGCCCACATAGTTGGCCCTGCACAGTCCGACCTCTTCGCGCCACCATGTCACCATCCATGCGCTAAATTCGGAGGGTCTTTGCGGTTGGGAGATGAAAGGCCATATTAGCGCATTATTACATCTTTGCGCATGTCTGCTTTCAAACGGGTGCCTGGCCATTATCTCTCTTAATGCAAGCAATCCTGCTGGTGAGAGTATCAAGACGATTTCCGTTGTGCAAATATGGTGCTATGAAACTAAAAACGATGAGTCCATGAACGCGCGGAGTTGAAAATCCAAGCTTCCGGGTCTTGCACTTATCTTGAATTCAGAGCGTTGGAGCCTCCAGAGTACAAAGCATTGGCATCACGAGAGTGGATGTCGCCTTCTCGCACAACACGGTCCGATCAGTAGGAGCTGGGAATATTGTCGAGATTAGAACAAGGCTATGCTATGACATTCCTTAACATCTGATGAGTACTCAAATCAGCGAATCCGAAAACGCGATGGATTGACCAGACCACTCTGTACGGGAGCAAACCCGGGTCTCCCATGAGTCGCCGGTTTCGATGATCAAATAAGGTTGAGGTCATTCAGGCTGCAATTACAACCTTGATAGTCTTTGTGAACGACCTCACGGTTCCGTGGATTGGTCGGTGTATCTGATTGGTCCTGTAAGTCTGCAACAGGTTTTCCTTGCAAATGAAGCTTGGAAAGGCCGGTTGAATCTAAGTTTGGTTAGACAGGCATCATTCAGGCATCTCCGGAGGGTCTGGTTGCCAGCCTGAGAGCCGCTTCAGGACAGTAACCTTACCGTCAGGCACGTAGAGCGTCAATCTTGTCTAGACAGACGTAGCAAGATCTGTGAGGATTACGCCGTTAGGCCACTGTCACCGACGGAGACGCGGCAATGATACCGTACACTCACAGATTTGGGAGGCTCCGAAAATGCATATGAACCCAAGGCTTATTACAACATTTACCCCACATCGATTCCTGCTCAGTCAAGCACAAACATCATGAGCGATCGCCACAACTACACATTCCTCCCCAATCAGCCACCGCGCCTCCCTAATCAGCCACCGCGGGGCAGCCAATGGCTACCCAACAGTCAGCAGCAGCAGCCTCCTCACCAATCATCTTCCTATCAACCAGTTCAGCATGGCTTCCAGGCGGCACCGAGCAACTACATGTCCACGCACCCTGCCTCATCTTCACCTTATGCAATGAATGCCATGGCACCCTCGAGCACGCACTACGCAGCAAATAATTCTGCCGCTGCACCATCACAATCCTACTCCTCAAACCCTGCTGCCAGTGCATACAATCAACAACGACAGATGTATCCACCACAAGAATACCCCATCCGTCAACCAGCTCACTCGCCGAGTCAAACATATCCACCAGCGGCGCCTTCGCGCAGCCATACCTCGCCGCACGTCTCGCAGCCATACGTCATTGATGGGCAGATAGCGCCAACAGTGCAATATCCAGCATCTCCATCGCGACCATTCTCCTGCGACATGTGCGCTCTGTCGTTTAACCGGCAACATGACTTGAAGCGGCACAGAGACACACACTCGGGAGAGAAGCCGTTCTTGTGCAACGGAGGCTGTGGAAAGACATTCACAAGGAAAGATGCGCTGAAAAGGCACCAGGTACCATGCCAGATATTTCCCCTGGAAAATCATGAACTCATTCATTTGGCCAGCTTGTGAAGCATTGCGGATATGACGAAGATGCAAATTGAAATGGAGCTGTTTTGGCATTTTTGTTAGTAACTTGTTGGTGCCGTGTTGCGAAGCTAACTTGACAATATAGAATCATCAATCGCATGATTGCAATTTACTTTCACATACTAATCTTATATTCGATATTTGATGCAGGAGATCTTGGACTAGGATGAATGATGCATAGCGAAACTGCAATGTAACACGTTAACATATTTATGCTCCCGTTGAATGAAAGTTACCATTCACAGTATGGTCAGAGATTGTAGCAGCAGCGGTTGCAATTTCACGATTGAGGAGGCGTCTCCTGGTTCTGCTTGTCTTCCGATTCGATGATCCTCTCTAATATCCACGCGTCGCGTGGCATGATCTTCTTGTAGTAGTCCTCCTTGATGCCCACTTCTTTGAACCCGTGTCTCTCGTAGAACCTCTTGGCGTCACTGTTCGAGACCTGTACGTGAAGGTATATACGTTTGATTTTGGGTTTGGAATGCGAGGCAGCGGCCTTAATGACGCGTTTCAGGGCCTGGGAGCCAAGCTGTTTGGAGCGATAGGGCTTGGAATGGTTTGAACATTTGCCACGACTGACAGCGGGATAACTTACTGCCAGAACGCCCATAGTCATAAGATACAGATCTTTATTTTCTAATCTGCAGCAGATGTTGCCGACTGGAACATCATTGTAGTAGACTTAAAGAGGTTAGTGTAGTCTGTAAACGCTTGAAAGAACAAAACGGACTGAGCTGGCAGAAGTCTTCGACGTCGGGTGCTATGATATCCTGATAGAACTTGTCGCTATACTTGATGGGAAACAAGACCGAATTGAGTTTCTTGACAGTACCAATGTTTCTATGGGTCAAGCACGCAAAAGTGACACGTGAAGGTGAAGATGAAGCAGGTGGATTTGACATGAAAGCGGTAGATTATTTTGGAGGACTACTCAGAAGAAGGAAGGTACCTCAAGGTTGGTGAGTTCGGACAGAGCAACTCATGTAACAATCGTGGGAACATTCCTCATTAGGATCCACTAGGTTATACTTAACTCAAATTTGCTTAGTATCCTTGTCACATTGTGGTCCCCCATTTAACACGTTTCCGAACTGAGAGTCACGCAAGCATTCTGGGCGTATATACAATTCGCCGATAAAAGCTTGAGCCAATTATCATCTCACTTGATTGACACCGGACATTTACGAACACGCCAGGGCTCACCAGGGTCTCATGATCTTGGACCCTCAAAATATAAGCAGTGCAGACTTTCTGGAAACAATCACCCATACACGTCTTGCAGCACTCACCTGAGACATTGAGTCAAGTTCATTCCGTACGTACGTATTGTTAACTAAATATTTTGAACTGATTTGACAAACCACCCCGCATCTAAACACACTTGTGCTTGTTGCAGTCCCTTCATTTTGACGGTAAGTACAACGTTGTCATGGAGTTGGATCAGCTGCGTATTCTCTCCAGATTAGAGAAGTCCAGCCAAAAGAGTGCACGGTCAGATACTTCTACGTTTGGCTACTCATTCAGATAACTCCATGACCCTCGGGATTACTGATCCTCCAAAGCGCAGTATCAGGTTTCCCCTGTTATTATGTCGATTTCAAGTTCCCTTTCTGTTCCGTCACTTTGTCTATCCAGCCAATTGATTGTAGCCATCCATCTCTCCGGTTTCGCTCTCATGCCTTACGTCCACTGAGCCCAGACATAACTTATATTATAAAACAGGCACATTGCCGCCGGCTTATCAGCAGGTGTCATGCTCCGAAAAGCAGGACTAAAACCGTTCAGTAATGGACCCCTCGCATCATTTTACTAGCCATCTCGCGACGAGCGTTCCTTGTAGATCGCAGGAATTTTCGCCACAGAACCCCCTTTTAAAAATATGCCATTTCTTCGCATTTTGCTTTGTGGCGCCCACTAGCTCCCATTGTGTCCACGAGATACTTGAGCATTTGTATTCGCTGGCGTTAACACACTGCCTCGTCCAGGCCCTGATGACAGGTGATTTTACTTATCTCTGAACGCTGGAGATAACTGGGAGTACTAGTCTGTCACTGATAACGCAGTTATTCGGACAACTGTCTTCTGGTTCAGTTTTGCGGTTCTTTGCATGTACTGGCCATGTCCCCCTGTTGCCTAATGAACGTTGGTACCCTCTTACTGAGTGCAGATCAATAAGCCTTTTAGGTATCTGTTTAATCAAATTTTTTTCAAGCGGGTACTATACCTGATAGCAAAAATTATTCATGCAGCCTATAGGAATATTCAAAGATCTAGAATCTGGTTCCTATCGCACGGAACATCGGCATCGGTCAGTCTTCATAATGTAGCAGACCGGGAATGGTATGTGCGATCATGGGCTCAAAATTCGTTTTATGGCTATGTGTGGATCGCGGATCGAGCATAGGTTGGGAAAGGCCACCCACCGACTCAGGACTGTGATTCGCTTGTTTCATTGACGCACACTGACGCCTACACTTCTTATTTCCCTCACAACATGGAGTCCATGAGATGATCGTCATCCTTGAAATTGCACGGTGCGTAATCCGATGGAGTATACGAGATACAGTAGTGGGTGGTACAGATGTAAGATCTAGTATGTGTGTGTGGAGAAGACGTAAAATATCTTTTATTTTGGAAACCTCATGCTAGGAGCGACTTCATTGATGTGACGCTCACATAAATCAGCGAAGATCTATGGGAGAGTCGGGTACGTGTGCGCGACGTTTTCGAGGAGACCGATGTAGTTGATCAATATACACATCATCGTAGCTGCGAAATACGCATGTGCCGTCGTCATGATCGGTCAATGTGGCCCAGACGCAATGCCACATCCGATCTTCAGAGAAGCGAAACGCGACTCCGGAATGATTTTGGTCCCACCGTTGTTCCCTCTCTCTCGACTCGAATGCCTTGTCTGTCAAGGTTATGAGAGCGCAATCTTCAATTGTCCACTCTACGAGCGCTTGCTTGGTAGGTGTATTGAGAAGCTGCTCTAGAGACGAGTCCATTTCAAGTTCTTTTGGGAGACCTCTGCAAGGTATGTTGTTAGGGATTTGTTGCTATGAGGGGATGTGAACATACCTGTGAACAGGGTCATAACCATCAACAAGAATTTGAAACGTAGTGTTGTCCGAGAAGTCAAGGGTCAAAGTGGGATGCTTCGAAGAACGACTGAGTCTCCTTAAAACCTTGCCGACAAGAAGGCTCGGATCAACACCAATTCCTTGTAGCCGTAGCGGCACTGGACGACGGCGACGGGGTTTCGAGGGAGATGGTGGAGTGCATAAGGCTGTACCTTGGTCGGGAGATGATACAAACATAGATACAGATGGTAATAATAATTTAAAAAACGGGCGTCGTGTTGCAAGATTTTATACCGTCGTCGCTGTGGACGTTGACAATGGCACATATGTGTCCACATGTGATGCGTCCACACTGATTGATCGATCAAAGACACAACAACAAATCCCGCCGCGGACGCAAAAATAGCCAAAAAAAAATGACACTGACGAGATTCGAACTCGCGAGGTTTCCCATCACGGATTGGCACTTGACCTAAACGTGACGCCGTAACCACTTGGCTACAGTGCCATGTAAACTTTGTCAACTGCGCCAGATATCATGTCAGAGCATATCAAACAGTTGTGATGGGCATTTTGTTAAGCCTCCTCTTCTCTCACTGACTACGCTTCGTTAGCGCGTCGTTTATCGTCACTCAGCGATGCATCAGACCCATTCTCGTCCTATCGGACCACGCACCCTTCCGCGTTCACAATCGCCACTACCCCCACTCGTCCTACCAGAGACCCGCCCATTAGCAATTCGCAAAATATCCCAAGATCAGTCAGCTTTACACCCTTCATCTGCTGCATCATCTCCTCCCCCAGTGGGCTCTTCTCCAGGCCCATCGCGTCCTCAGCTTCCTGGAGCAGGCCCAAGGGTCAATCAAAGACCCAAGCTTCGTCTGCCAATCGCACCTGATGGTGGTAATGCAGGTTACTATGAAGGTCCTGCAATCATTCCACCTGGATTGGACGGTGAGAACCCAGGCGGCGCAACCGTTCGGCCTTTCTTGACTTTGCAAACTCCACGTCCTCCCGAACCCAATGATGGGAGCGATAACAGCATTGCTCAGTTAATTGCTGAATTTGACAGGAGTACCATCGAGTCCTATACGCCTACGGAAGAGACTTCGACCAATTATAGCTCTAGTAAATGGTCGGACGGTGTTTTAGAAGTCCTTTCCCGACTTGGCGAAGGTCAGGGTGGAGCTGTTCATAAAGTCAGAGACCGACGTAACAACTTCATCTTGGCCCGCAAAACAATCACCACTCGCGAGGCGCCTTTAAAACAGCTCGAACGCGAGTTGTCAATCTCTGCGACGTCTAAACACCACAATATAATCCGTTTCTATGGCGCCTATATGTCACCATCGTCTAGTGAGGTCAAAGTCATGATGGAGTATTGCGCTGGTCGTAGCTTGGAAGCCGTTGGAAAACGAATCAAAGAGAAGAATGCGCGTATCAGCGAAAAAGTAGCTGGACGTATAGCCGAAGGGGTAATTACTGAAGCTTATTTTGATTTTAGTCATATTCATTATTCACCAGGTTTTGCAAGGCCTGAGCTATCTTCATTCGCTCAAAACTATCCATCGGGACATCAAACCATCCAATATCCTGCTTACTGGGGAAGGTGTCGTTCGTCTTTGTGATTTTGGTGTCTCCGGAGAGCTTGTCCGCTCTATGGCCGGAACCTTTACTGGCACCAGTTTCTACATGGCTGTACGTCCGTTACCCGATCACGCATCTATCACTTCTGATGACCACTATAGCCGGAACGCATCAGCGGGCAAGAATATAGCATTCGAGCTGACGTGTGGTCCACCGGAATCACCATCTTGGAACTTGTACAGAATCGATACCCATTCCCCGAGGACCTTACTTCCATCGAACTGATTGTCTATATCACCCAGGGACAGGTTGGCACATGGATCCTCCTGCTTTTGAATCCTGCTTACATCAGAATTGTTCTCCAGCCACCTCAGCTGGCCGATGAAGAAGGTGATAACATTGTATGGAGTGAGGAGATGAAAGATTTCATTCGACAGACGTAAGCTCACGTCCAGTCTCCTATTGCGTATCGTCATATCAATGTTTACCACAGGTTGGTTATTGACCATCTAAATCGCCCTACACCAGGAGGAATGTTATCCCATCCCTGGATCACCACCGTCATGAAGCGAGAAGTGCCTATGGCTCGCTGGATCAGTCAAGTTTGGGACTGGCCCAAACCCACCAGAGAAACGTGAGATTGCTTGACCTGGGTACTGATGACTACTGAAACTGACATATACAAGGAATTCAAGACCGCCTTCAAGCCGCGGTGCTGTTGACAGAACACCATAGATTCATCTGCTTATTTTCAATGTTTCACTCAAAATGATTCGTCGTCATCGTGATATATCTTGTTTCTTCATTGCATCCCCTTTGTTACTGTGCCTTTTTTTGTACACACTCGCACCGCTCTCTGTACATCTTTCCCATCATACAGCTACTATACCATCGCACAGCACAGAAAGGAACGGACTCCGATTACATGCTTGATTGATGTTGTATATCTGTGCTATTAACTCGTTGCACATTGTAGCTTGCTTTCGCAGTTTAACGTGCCACATTGCTAGACCGTAGTAGAACACCTAGTTGAAATGTTAGTAAACAACTTTGAAGAAGCAGTCAAGGATGATCGATGATCGCCGGACCAGAGTGGTCACATGTTATGGAATCTTAAGGTAAGGGACAATGGTGAAGGGTCAACCCAGGGGTGCTGGGAATAAGTCTGGAGTGTAGTTTACTGTGCGAGCCGTTTGGGATGGTGGTGGCAAGTGGCCTCCGTCGACAGACTCAACAGAAGGAAGTCAGTCATTGTTTCTGTATTAGGGCCTGTTTTCACTGGCGAGACCGATACTTACTTTGGCTCGACTTGATCCATCATTTCTTTATAGTCTCCCGTAGAATGAAATCAGGCGTTCCTTATTTTCTTGTCCTGCGTTCGGTATATCTTACTGCGCACTGGCTCAGCGGGCGAGGCTGTCCATTCCCAAAGCAGTTTGAGCGTTGGATTCTTGTTGGACTGTTGAAATAAAGTCGGTGAGTTGAGAACATACCTTCCGTCGGAGGGTACTCAAGTCACCGCTCACCCGTTGGCGGTAGCTGCGCCATTGAAGACGGTGTCGTATTGATCCTCATAATCAATTCATCATATACTGAAGCATACCTTCCGTCGGAGGGTACTCAAATCACCGCTCATGTTCAGCCCGTCGCGTATATTTTGGAGAGTTTATCTTGATGTCGCTGCCCCGTTAGCAGTAGCTGAGCGCTGAGCCATTGTGTACGGTGTCGTATTGATCCTGATAATCAATAAGTAAGTTCGTGCGAGCTAATTGTTTCGTGCAGAAAGAGAGTAGGTCCAGAGAATCCGTGTCTGAGCAGTTTCCTAATTAGGATACTTTCCCCTGAATTGACCACAAGAAACTGCAACTTGCCTTGAAAAGTATTATGTCCCTCACGGTCAATTAAAGTGACACAGACCCCTTCATATACCTTGTTCCTTCCTTCCGGAAACCTTCCAAGCTCCGAGCAATATCGTACTTCCACCATGTCAATGACTCGCAACCGGAGGTAGCTGTTGCAAATTTCTAGTCTGTAAGACGTGATTAACTGGGATGTCAAAAGATAACACCGAGAACCCATTTCTTTGTGTTTGGCTAGCCTCGTCAGGAAACGCGCGGCGTTACAGTTCAAAGCGGTTAATTTTACAGAATTGGGCATGTTGCCCGACGCGCGCTCTTCTCTTTCCTTTTTTGGAGTGGCGCAGATCGCGCCCTCAGGCTTTTCCACCCCGATCGGGCACGGACAACATAAAATTCTATGGAACAAATTTTGCCACTTTCTTTATGATTTAGAACTTTCTTGCGGGCCCATCAGTGGACCTAATAGCGGCTTTGATTTCCCTTTTCAACTTCAAGCTCAGGGAGCACCCCCAATGCACCCTGATCATTTTGCAAATTTATATAGTAGATTTTCAGGGTCTCCTGATGCTTCGCACACCAGTCCAGGTCGAAAACAGTTACAGGTTAGTACGGGAGTTAGACCCACACACCGCGGGCAACTTAAAGCACCCTAGCCACGATGTGATGGAAAACATGCTACTTGGATCACTGAAGACGTCAACATGACACACAATTTGCTCACTTAATATGACCATAAACCCTGCAGAATGAATATCAAGTTCACGAACCTCAGGGTTGTACCACCCGTCAGGTGTTCTGACGCGACTCACGAGCCAGCGTGCATGATTTCGTCATCATATTACAGCCAATCTGACCAGTAATGTGGCTCGCAGGGGGGCTGCTGGAGACAGTGCGAACAATCGTACCACCGTTCAGGTATTTTCGCCTGTAGCAAGGAATTTTGCGGCTTTGATGTGACAAAACCGCGTCACAAGCTCAGCACGAGGTCTATCATGACAATACGCCAGTGTCCGCTCCAGGTAAATCTTGATCTAATCGCTTCTAGACCTTCATGTCAGGATTTCTTATATCATCCTCTTGACAATTGAATTCATACACTCACCCGAAGGACGTTCTCCGGCGATATTGCAGCGTGCAACATCCTTTTAAAAAATTCTGAGCTTTTGCGCAAGGATGATGGTGCGCACATTGGGTCCTGCGATGCGTTTGTTATAAAAGGGCGACTGTGTATTTATCGTACCTGAAAGTTTTGCAATTGCATATCCGTCCGAACAAGTGGAGACATTCAAGAGCCATACGACTCTTTCCACATTCCAACACAAGTCCGTAATAAGATCACAGGCAAAAAACAGCACCAGCCAATCGGTCGGTCATACTTCTGAAACGCCGCGATGCAGGTTCGGAGATAATAACACGAGGACGTTACCACGTATTTGAAAGGTACTAACCTAAGCATCGGATACGCACTAATGCCTATGAGGGTTCACTGTGGAATACCGAGTCCCCCCAATGTTCTGGTAAATGATGTAATTCATGGTTGGTATATCCCGCGCAGAAGATTTAGTGCCCTCATCGCACTTGCGAGATCCATGTAGGGCGCGAGAAATGAACGAGATCACCTGTGTAAAGGTAAATTCGATGACCCTCAAACGTGGGCGACGACCGGGTACATACTCGGGCTAGCAGCGGAACAAACACACACGAGACGCCCCCACATACTCGCTCGGGGAATGTATGAGACTGATTTATCGAGTCTGCTCCCGAAACGCTCACAGCACCGTACAGTGACCCACTCAATCTGAGGAAGCATGCAAGATGGCCATTTCTCCACTGCTGGCGGCTATGCAGGCTGCGGAAGGGTTCAATTCTAGCCAGTTCTAGGCTACCGCGGGGCTCACCTAGGACGTCCCAGAAACTCCAGCAGCAGGTGTTGCCTTCAGTTCCGACCCCATTGAACCTGACTACGATTCATTCCTTGCGAAAGGCACGTCAAAGGTTCTCCTCCAAACTTAGCGAGAATATGTATATATACGTTCAATTTCGCCCTCGGAAAGCATCTATTTCCGAGTTACATAAGACGATCAAACGATTCAACGATGCATCACTCACGTCTAACAGCGACACAGCCAATGGAAGTTCTGCTCTCTACTCCTTGAAGGTTGAAAGCTTGAGAAGATGTACAGGTTTGTGCCTGCACAACAGCTTCGAATTCATGAAACGTGAGTGCGCCAATTTAGGCAAGTCCTCGTTGTGCGTCACACCATGAACATGAACACCGAACAACGCATCAGATCAAATCCTGGAGGTCAGTCCAGACCAAGCAGAACATTAGAAGCGACAACTGGGTTCTCAGAGGGGATGGCCATAATGATGCTCAAATATCAAAAGTCATGACGGATCTTTAAAGAAAAATCAAAGGGAAACATCAATCTTATGGGTATCTAGGGTGATGATCATTAGACGAAGGTGCCACCAAATTCCTCTCCTGGGGGTGTGGGAACTGAACCACCAGTCGGTCAGTATAATAAAGGTAGCAATCTACGGAATACTTACAAATGAATCCATGGGATTTACACTTGACATCATATGAGGCTGGCTCCAGTGCTGAGGGGGTGCTGGTTGGTGGTTCATCGAACGCATATTAACATGGTGCTGAGAGTGATGAGGGGGAATGTGTCGTGAGGGAGCTGAATGCAAATGAGTGGGTGGATTAGCGTAAGCGGAATCGTATCGGTGTGGAGGGTATGGTTGCATCTCGGATATCATAGATAAAACATTGGAATTCTGATTTGGGTGCACGGGATAACCTTGTGGAGCTCTGGATATTTGTTATGACAGAGCGGAGTAAAAAATGACTTTCAAACTCACAACTGGCGTCGCACAGCATCGGGCTCTGGCCCGAGCCTGAGATTCGGGTCTTCCTCGTATTTCACTTGAGGTACTGGAGCAAAAAGATCACTAAAACAAAACAAAAAAACTTCTGGTTAGCAATTAATGTGTATCATGAACGATGGACATGCCTATGCCGACGGGACATTGGAGGTTGGTTGTAGTCGTTAGATACGCGAGGTTTCGGAGGCGTGCTGTCCCGAGTAGGAGGTGTTGAAGTTTCGGACAGTCCTGATGAGTCGGCAGTGGATGGGCGCCCGTCGATACTATCTTTCCGGGGTGTGGATTTCTTGCGGGCAGGAACGCCTTCTGGCCATGTGCACTGCACGACTGTCAGCATTTTTTTTGGATACTACAGGATGAGACCCACGTCTCGCTGCCCATGAGTGCATCGCATGCAATTTGGTTTCGCCTCGTCACACTGAGTTGGGGAATGAATAGATATTCGAGTGGCGGTGTGGAGTGGCATACCTTTATTTTTTTGACTCTACATGTCATGCAACCAGTCTTGCTCCTTGTATACTTGGGACGCTTCCTTTGTTGTGGCTCTTGGCGTGGCTGTGGTGCTACAACATGAGGATGACCGGGAGCATGACTAGGAGGATAATAGGACGCTGGGGGAATGTAAGCGTTAGGGGTGGAGGAGCTGTTAAAAAGGCGTTAGATGTGTATTGAAAGGATGGAGGGTTAACTGACTACGCGATGGTTTCAGCCATACGATGAATTGGAAGTATGGGAGGTAGATTTTCGTGTGGAAGATCCTTCATCGTTGGTTTTATACTGAATCTTGTTCGAAGTAAGAAGCAGAGAAGGTAGAAGGGTGGAAAATGGACGGGGACACCATTGTCACGGACCCGGGAAATCGGCCTAAATCACTAAAATTCTGATCTAAGGGTCGTGGATGCGTCGTAACTGCATTTTGAGACTGCCATAACAAATTTCGTATAGGGAAGGTGGGGATTTTTTAATCAATTTCCACACATCATTGGCGCATCATGTTTCTTTGCGTGTGTAAAAATTAGAAAAAAAAAACGAGGAGGAGATGTTCGGGAGATCAGTTGAATCTAGCATGCTGCTTGCTCAACGTTCCATTCAATGAATTCAGTTCCGAACCTTAGAGGTACCGGTTGGGTACCGGTCTATTCTTTTTTTTTTAAACCCAAATTTGACGATCCAATTTCCTTAATTGTATATTGATGTCAATATTGTTTGAATTTTGATTTGATGCGCTACACCATTTTTAGTAATTTTTCGGGCATCAGATTCCGGTTTATACCTGACATGTGGTCGATCCTTTCCATCAAGGCAGCTATATCCAAGTGACACATCGCGTGGTGATGGGGCGGGGCCTATGGATTGGCCATCAAGTTTGGGTTGGGTCAATTCAACCTACTCCGTACAACATCCTCACCTATACCGTAATCAGCAATTCTACATGTGAATGACAACCCGTCCAACTGCTTTCTATGACCTATAACAGTATGTAAGATTCCACACCTTATACTGTAAACGTCTCCCAGGTCCCCGCAAGTCGACGTTTCTGACCCTTCACGTACATGTGTTGTCTATTCCAGCATTTCCCGTCTCCTTTCTAATCTCCACCGCTCCCGCGGCTTTGATCCATGTGTCCGATGATGTGCAGAACACCGGCGCTCCTCCAACAAATCTTTTATTTCCTTGCAACACTCTTAAGCATACCAGGTGCCAAACTGCGCACTGTGACACTATCTTGACACGGGACGTAAAACGCACCCAGCCCCGTTGCTTTATTACTCAATCAAACTAAAACTTCACAAACGTATCCTGACGGCGTATCCGATCGCTGCTTTTTTCAGCACAACACGTTTCAACAACACATGGCATGATTGACCATCCATGGGACGGGGTGTTAATACATGTGCTTTAACATGTCATATATCAGAAGCATGAATGTGGAATATCATACTCAATCAATGAAGCAAACACCGCTCAATTCCGGCTTGACTGAAAACCAATCGTATAATTCCATGATCTTCTAGGATCCATAATAATAATAAAGGCGCTAGAGCCTACTATCCAATTAAAGACCTTCACATCAAAATGAGGCTGAATACCGATCTCATTCTCAAAATAAGGTACCGAGAAACTCAAGTCGAAGGTGCTGTTACTGCGCCTCCAAGTCTCCGCACCAGTCACGACGTGGAATGACAGTTGCCAAAGAACAGCTCTGGATAGCCAGCTCCTTCAGATTCTCAGGCAAGGGACAGTGTTGTACCATCCCTTCTCATAGGTATACAGATCACGTACAATTAATGATCATTTGTTTCCTCCTATTGCCCACACTGTCACTTAGAGTCCGCTCAAAAAGACTCGGCGGTCCGTACAGGTTCTGTCTCCCAGGCTCTCGACGTTGATGGATAGGAAGATCGAGTATTATTAGACACTTGATCAACAACAAAGACTCACGTCGAACATAAAGTTGTGTAAGCTGGAGATCCCGGCGGTGACAACGGCGTGGGGGAACGGGCGTACGAAAGAAGGTTGCGCCCATCGAAGCGGTTTGATGGTCCTTGGGCATAAACACATGATATTCATATTTTCGCGTAAGGAATGCGATTGACTTGATCCTGCGTCCACAGAAAGCACACAAAAAATTTCGTATACACGTGCACAACGGCATAGTCTCTTTGGTGAGTTCCTGCACAGGCTGGAAATACGATCCACTATTATATAAGTATTGGGCGTTAACGCTAGGAGCCTAGAAGAGCCCTGAAAGAATCATATGTGAGCATTTTCAGTCACACGATATGAGATGATAGAAGAGAGTAGTAACTGCGGATCATTCTTTACCTGCTTGGATTTCCGTACGCTCTCCGTAAAAATGATGCGTGGAACCATCATCATTTGCGCTGGGTCTGGGAGAGCTGGTAAGATCTTTCACACCACCACTGATGTTTCTCTATAACTCCGCGGTCACGTCAGCGTCGTTGAGGGAGGAAGATGGGTCCTGGCGATCCGACAGGAACCGTCCCCTTCTCGATTCGCCAAGACAATAAATACCGACAGTAAGCAAGATTCATTCGTCATTACTGATTTTATAGTTGAAATTGCGAGAAGTAGCGTTATTGCCGTCACCGATGACCTGAGGGTGTCGAATGAGGAGCGACAGATTGGTAATTTTTGACAGGGGTATTGCATGGAGGTCGCGGATAAGGCGGGACAGTTTAAAAATGTCGTTGAAGTTCAGTGCTGGGACACTGATCCAGAAACGGGTTGTGCCATCAAGACGGCAGACGCCGAATGACTAGAGGCTATATCCCGATTCCCGACAAGCAATGTCATATGGCCGACTCCATGGTCACACCTGATGAAACATCCTCTTCGCGTTTGCGTCAGAGCACGAGTGAACCTAGTAGCCTGTGATGTAACATCATGATTTGAGTTTGCATTAGGAGGAATATTCGTACCTTGGAGTAATAAGTACTGTGACAGTATTACATACCTTGGGGGTTACTAGGGAAGATCCCTGACAAGGCTGACATTGGCGCTACACAACGATCATGTTCGCCACAATGGATTGGATTGTGTCCAGCACAGTGTCTGGTGGCGGTGGATGCTTTCAAATCCCAGCGGAGTTTTAAACTTAACCTTTTACTGGAGGCAGGAGCCGCCCGAAGCGGGAGCAAATTTATCTAACTAACTCCTGATGGTGAGTATCTCTGCAACTTCGCCGAGCTTCAGAACTCAAATTTCAAACTTTAGTGCTAGCGCTTATAAGACTTGTACGACAATGTCACGACGTTTATAATGTTTCTTATCTTATCGAATTCGCACGACATGGGAAACTCTCTTAGGTATCCTTGCAACTGTAAGCTTTGTTTTCTACCGTTATGCACCATGATCTCAGCATTTGCTCGCAGACTGACAAATGCATCAAGAGTCAGCGATTTATCTGTTATTTGACGTTTGGTGAGAGTTTTAAACACCCGCTTGAAATTTACACCGTCGGTTCCTTGTTTTTCCTTAGAACTGTTGTCCTTACTTTCTGTGGCAAAAGGACTATACTTTACCAAGACCGAGACTGATAAACAAGTCATTGATCTCGTAAATGAATAGATCCTTGCCGTCCTTGGCATCAAATCCGAGAACGAGAACTTCGACCCTTGGTCGTTCGACTTGACTTTCGTATTGAACCCATCATGATTTTACCTCAGCGGCTCTTCAGGCCAATACCGCGATACTTGCCACACGGCAAGTCCGTTTTGGAAAGCCCTCACAAGACTTATCAGAAGCCTACACTCGTGTTTTGCAGGGCCACGCACGTCAACGGCATTCATGTCGCCCTACGTAGAGTACTTCTCTTAATGGATAAAATGGGACCCCCCCGAGAAAACGGCATTCATGCCAGTCGCCGCACTGTCTCAAATCACAATATCAGATCTCCGTCGACAGCGCAGTATTCCCAGAGAGCACTATGGGGTCCTGGTTTGACCCTCGCACTAGAGCCTTGGGCTCGGTTCCCTCGCACACCAATTGCCTCCGCTACCGACCACTCTCGTTTCAGTCAAGAGCCTTCCTCATTACATGTAGACGAGAGATCTTTCTCCCGTGTCGCCCTGCTTCGCAGTATATTCATCTCGCTGGGATGTTACGTCTTAAGTTTAAAGGTATCGAAGCTACCTCGGCGAGCATTTCAACGTGTGCTACGTACCATCTGGTGGGAGAACCGTCGACCCTATAGATGTGTGTTGTTCGCCCGGGTCACTCAAACGGACTTACATATGAGATCGTGACGTCTTAATTGAGCGGCTGGCCAGCGCGCGCATGCAGGCACCTAGCATGGGTTTTCGTTGCCTCGCGGTCGTCCTCCAAAGCTGGCCAATTGAAAAAAATTGTTCTATTGTGTTTCTTTGGATTCCTTGCATCCACTCGCAATTCGTTCAAAGAAGGAGGACTCGTCGTACGGGCAGCTTTTGTCTTGAAGCTTGCTTTTCAAGTTTATTGACTCGACCCTCCCTCCCCTGATTTGTATTATCACCCAAAAGACACGATCGACGGCCCCTGACCATATATTATCCCCTTCCACTAGGTGAGATCATTATGGACAACGCTGCACGGACACAGGCGGAGATGTTCCCTTCCGACGACGAGTATGTGATTGTATGTGCCTGTAGCCGCAGTGTAACCAAGTTATTGACTCTAGGGTATTCGACGAACTCCTTCCGCTCACTTTTAAAATAAAAACTGAACTGGACTGTACATCACGACCTCGACAGCGGGATTCTCAAGTTCATTATCAAACTCTAGAGCATTCTCTGGGTAATGTGGTGCGTCGTCTTCACAGGAGCGCCCATTTAACTCAAATCATTGACAATTCCGTAGTGTCAGAAGATTTGGAACCACCGAGGGTGGTCTCCCATTTCTAGAAAAGGAAGTGATTATCCCCGCTATACTGGAGATTGGCTGACTACCTGGATGGCTTAATTATAGCATTTATTCCTTCGTTCTCGGGTAGATTTCCTCAACTTGAAGCGTCCGAGGAGCTGAAATCCTCGACAATTCCCCGGTGAGAGACGACCCTGTAACTTGGCAGGGGGCGTATCAGGGCACTGCAGACTTGTACCAGGATGTTGTGTTCTACTGCGCATGGTATCCTATGTTATCTGATAAGACTTGATGGTATTGGGATGGAGATTGATGACAGATGCGATAAAGCACCAATACCTTTGACAGTTCGTGGCATTGGACTCTTTCTCTCAAGCGGTTATCAGTCGGCTGCTTCATCCATCACGGGTCCACGATGATTCCAGGAGAAGATCGCGGTTTCTTGCAGTGCAGATGAATACCTCCGAACGATGCAACCTTGAAAGGTTGAACATGACGCTCTTGGGAGCGCGCCCAGGCATTGATCCCCGTCCTTCAATACTAGCACCACCTGATTTAACCCTATATTTAAGATACAATGAACAGGACATTATACCTAAAGTCCCCGAACAATCCAACGTCGAACTGCCCACACGTTACACACGACATCCTTTGCTATGGCATATACTACTAGTACTAGTACTAAAACGACAATCCGGCGAACTCCGGACGTGAAGGTGGTCTAAAACCGTACTCCGTCTCGTGGGAATAATGTTGGACCAGTGCAGTTTGGCAGTTTGCAGCAAATTTGCAGTGCACCCCTTTTGTTGTTCTATTGGCTGTTTCCTGTGATGGGTAGATCAACTGAATATCAAGCATTGAATGATCTTACAATTATTCTTCAGCTTCGGAAGAACAAATCTTTCTGGATGATGCCCACGCCCCTGGCGAGGACGCGCAAAACGCCTTTGATGAAGTAGCCGAGGCGATCAAAGAGTCGATCAAGAAGTCGCGCCGGTCGTGGAAAGTCCACCATGAGTCTTCAATGTGGGCTAGAGCAGCGGGGCTGAGCGACGATGAGCTCACGAGCTTCTCTCGAGATGATCTCGTACAAGTCCGAAATGGACAGGCAAGCTACGGACACATTATCTTCGGGAAATTGAGGCTTCCTGCTGTTAATGATAAGCTGGGCGAGGGATATGTTCACGTTAGGTGCGGTTCTTTTGTTCTACTGCTGCGGGGCCTTGGGGTTTGTGTCGTATTGACTTATGACTTCCGTTGTGGCAGGATTCACCACGAGGTGAGTATTCCGTCCGCTTGATTCATTATTACTACTCTCATGTTAATCGTCAGGGAACATCCGGATGGAAACTACATGCTATCCACCACCTCACGGCATCTTTTGACGCTGATGGTCATCCCCATTCGTGGCGTGCCATTCATCCTGATGGCTATCCCTTGGAGTTTTTTGAGTACCACTCCGAGCTTCACGAGGCCCCACCGCGTTCCTCCTATCGGTGAATGTCGGAATTAAGGAACAAGAGAAAGAAATGTGTAATGATATGTTGTACGATATGTCGTTGTAACGTCCGCGGAGCCATGTCGTGTCTCGTAGCATCTCCCTGCAATAGTTACGTGTGATTGATTTGATTGCTCGTAGCCCACAGGGGGCGTTCACCCTCAAGTAACTTGTCCCTGTTGTGTTATCGCCGAATGGGTAAAGTACCTACTATAATCTGTCTGTCACATTAATATTGCCTGGTACTACTAGTACATGCGATAGATGAAGCAAAATAACGAGATGCATGTCCGACACATGGTCAATGACCCCAGAGGAACACTGAAAAAAATTGCCAGATTCCGCTAGTGCCTGTTGATGCTCAAAGCAAGTCTATTGGGTATGGTTATAGTAGTACACAAGAAGACAAAATGAAAAAGTCGGGATTGTTCATAGTTAATCAGATGCCGCTGCACTCCCAAACCAACAAGACATAGGCACATACTCGGACACGCAACAGATAAACTATATGTACAAAAGTAATATGAAACAAACCAAAAAGATAGAGACGCATAGGCATAGGAAGCATCAACCAAATTGGTTAGCGCGGTAAACAAGTGGGCGTCCATGGGCGATACCAGTCAGAAAGCATATACTGAAGACCAGGATTCGTTATTCGGCGCCGACAGACCCGCTGCAAAATAAGGCTGATCCCCATTGTGACTCTGATACACATCGTTCGGCATCGAGTACATGAACGGAATCGGTACCGGCTGCAACATCTTGTCGTTCTGCACGCTCGAGAAAGCGGCGAACTGGCAGGATGGCGGCGGCGGCGGCGTCGAAATGTCCATGAAACTCGTCATCTGAATAGTGCGATCCCCAAGTGATGACTCTGTGGGCGTAGGCGAGTAACTGAGACCAGGCGTCGGTGGACTGATCTCGGAGTTGGCTGGACTGCTATCCATTCCCAGACTAGCTTCAGTTGGCATCCATAGCGAAGTCTCCACGGCGGACGAAAACGTCGCCGAATATGAGTCTTCACGGTAGGAGGTGCGTGTAGGTAACGTGGCGTGCCGCCTGAGACCCACACGAGGCCTTGCCACCAAAGGTGAGCCTGCTGTGGAAGATGTCGGTGAAGCATCGGGGCTAGTCTCTATAACGGACTGCGATCTCGGACTGCTCCTAAGCAATATATTGCTTTCACTCTTGCATTTGGTGAGGGCGCGTCCGGAAGCGGCCGGCGCTGAGGGCAACTTGCCAACCCAGAGGCGCCACTCAAGCGCTTCACCCAGCGCACGTTCGCAACGACCGATCTCCCGTGGCGGAAGGCCAGAAAGTTTCGCCCATGCACGATTTGAGTAACAACGATCTTGCGTGAACTTCGACGCAAGAATGAGTGACGCGAGGAAAGTGCGGCGAGGACACAGAAGCGGCGAGGGAAGTGGAGGAAGCGGCGTTAAACAGCCACTACTCTGCTTAGGCTTGTGCGAAGACGCCTTTGCATCAAATACTGGCTCTGCAAATGCAGAGTCAACCTCAAGTGTAATGGGATTGATGCGGATGGTATCCAGCAAAGCATTGCCTGTCGATGTTTCCGTGGAAGATATAGGTCCGTCAAGGCCAGCGCTAGGAGCGCTGACCTCACCTTGAACGATGCGTTCAACCGATTCCTTTTCGCAAGTAGACCCAGGATGCACCTTCTCCTGCGTGACCAGCTCTGGGACCTTGGCGCGGATAGCTTCCAGGTAACAAAGGGCTGTCTGTAGAACGCTGCCTGACGTGCGAGAGCGACGAAGAACCTCGTGGACAAACCCTTTCATCGGCGCGACGTCGCACCGTAGGGCCTGGTCGTTCAAGCAGGGCGTCAGGGAAACCTCGGGCGAATGAAGGGAGTACGTATGTGGGATGCATTGGGCGGGCGTGGGAGATGGCTGTGTCGTTGGAGATATGGGAGAGGGGAGTTGAGTATTACGCCCGTGGAGTGAAATGCTGGGAATTGATGCAATAATGGAGTCGTTGGAGGAGGCAGCCACAGTCGGACGAGATGATGTCAGAAAAGCGAACGGGATGTCCTGAGGATTCCATATTTCGCATATTGATTTTACAGCTTGATCTATTGGCGGGTACGGTACCAAAATTCAGATTAGAAAAACGGCGGCTAGTATTAAACATACCGACTAAACCAGTTACATATTTTGATTTCTGGGAGTCGCGAAGCTGACATTCTCGCGGGTGAAATTGAGGATTTCGCTGCCGTTCTGGGTCATAGACTGATAGAGGTGAAGGGGAAATGGATGATACAGATGAGGCGGGAGTAATGAGATATGAAGGAGATGGACGTGAGGAAACTGAGGAAAGGGTGGCATAATAGGGTTGCCAGCGAACCCGAGTGTGCGAATGTGACGTTGTGGTTGGTGGCCCTCGATGGGCCAATGAGTGAGCAGCGGAGCGAACCATAGAATTGAGCAGTGTGAAAAAATACGGAGAGTTGAGACGAGAGCGTAAATATTAAGAACACCAGATAGGACGAGCTTGAGCGGATTATCTAGAAAGACTTGACGAATGCATTAATGGAGTTTACGGTGGTTACTTTGGAGCAGAAGGTAAGTTTGGAGGCTTTTTGAGAGACGGGCTTGGAGATCGGGCTGGAAAAACGGGGAATGACTAGGGAACACATCGTGACTCCTTTGAAGTCAGGAGGATGAGTCCAAAGTCTTGAGACTCTAGACTATCCTAATAGTTATATAGCCTTGACGAAAAGGCTACACAACAAGAAAAAATGAGCTGAGCGGAGGTGATTCCGAGAGACTTGGAAGGTAAGCGCAGATATAGGGCTTCTTGTAAGGCAGTACCTGGCAGTACTCAGGCTCAGAGGGATGAATGGTTTGAGCTGAGCCGGGCGTTATATAACTGAGTGAAGGAGTCACTGGGTATATCAGGACCCTGATCACCCAAATGCGGGGTCCTTGGATATTCCAGTATACCCGACCCCCGACTCCATTCCCCGACTCTCCCCCGACCCACATCATTCTCCAATCATGACTCATTGCCTCCATTACCGAGTCACCTTGTTCTGAAGCTACAAGTGCTCGTCACCGAATATCGGACGAGCCTCTCTGCATCTCCTAGCTGATCTAAATTTGCTCAAACATGTGTTCATGATGTCCATCAATGTTATCCGCAAGTATCCGCCAAAGTTTTACACCGCTTCCGACATACGGTCTGTACATCTTGTTCCAGTGTATTCATCCTAGATGATCAGTGTGATAAGATTTCTCACTCCATGGGCAACCTACTTAGGTAGACCTGTGTGCACCACCTCCCATTAACGATTGTCTTCTTTCCCTGTACCTTGAGAACTCACTATCTGTGTCGTTCCCACGATGCTGTTTATGGTCTCACCTTCCCGCCTTTCCTCATCGTCGGGATTGCGCCATCCCCAATGGAGTCATCGGGACGGTGGCAGTGTGTCCCCTTCTTCATACTAGTACTGCTGCGCACAGGCAGTACTGCCTCTACTAGCTCCTTGGGTGCGCTTCCATAATTCATGCGCACTAGCATTCTGTCAAATTCGCCGTTCTTCCTCAGTCAACCCCTTGTTCGCCCACTCCGCCCGTTTTGTTATGCCACGTCAAAGAATTCACACTCAACTGATGATCACAGGGTTATTCTTGATAATATGAAACGCCTATTCGTCTCCGAATTATTTTATCGGATCTCGAGCAACGCAGCTGCCTCCTATAGCCCCCTATGTGTCGTTTTGTTCATCCTAAATTCTGATCTCAAAGCAGCAAATTTTAATCATCTCTGTGACTCTCCTTGACTCTGAGACTGCACAATTACAACTCGTGCCACTTTGGCCTGATGGCCTGTGACGTCCCATCGGGGAAGCCTTCCGAGGAACACAATCATCATTCCCAACAGTCAGCCCGTGTTGTTGCTCGAAATTGCCAAATCACCCTTCCGTGAATGCCCATTTGCCTTCCGGATGTCTGAGTAGATCTCGAACGTAATCCTTGAATCATCCGCCATGTGTTTTCTGACTCCAGCAACTAATCACGAGCATTAAATTGGTACATCGATGACTCGTACTAGCTGTACATGTTGTTTGCAATACACGTGGAGGCGGCGTGCTAGAATCTTGATTATTTTCCGACTTTATCGTAGTCAACAGCTTGTCCCGCGGCTATCGCAGTGCTCCATTATCCTGTAGCGGTGGTGCTCCAAGTACGTGGTTATAGTCGATGGCAAGTCGATGGAGCTGTATATATACGTGATAGGCTTCTACAGGTAGACAATTCCTATCGTTGCACATCCTTTGCAATTGATCAAACAGGTACTGCGTATACATATCCTAATGTGTAGAACGTTACCTCAGAGCGAGCTGACACCTCACGACATCATATTCACACCTCCACCGCTCTCCACCGACGGAGAGCGCAGTCTCCCGTCTTCACGGACAGTGCGTTTAAAACGGCCGGCGAGAACGTCGGACAAACGGCAATTTCCCTCACGTCGGGTCATTCGCAATCTCAGGGGTGTGGCAGGCCCCTTTGACTAGATAGAATCGCCCTACATAGGGTGCACTACTGTACAGAAATTAGATCTAGGGCAAAGTCACCGCCTGGACCTGGGCTTGCACAAAAGACTTGTCGGGTTGCCAGGTCAGTTGTTTACCCAATGCATACGAACCTGGAAGCCTCTAAGCCCTCGAGCTCAAGGGTTCGGGGCCTGGTTGTTATGAGTAAGACTTGGCGCTGACTTGCGCCTGTCAAATTGTAATACGTAGTACACGTACGAGAAACATCTCTGCAAGGTCAGACGACTTTCTGGCGTCAGAATCGGTCAGATTTTAAATTTCTGGCATCAGCGCCCAGTAATTGTCAATTATTTAGCAAAGGTATTGTCACTTGCCTTGGTAGGCGTCTGCTTCATCTCCTCTGGGCGATGTCCGTTTTAAAACCCCTCGGCTTTGGTATTGGTTTGGATATTCGTCGAGCGTCTGCGCCCGAAGTTCCGAGTTGCTTGAAATAGTCTCCGCTGAGGCAGCATACTTGTAGCGCCAGGAAATCTCCGAGGCTTTGACAGCGCGTGGGGTCTAGTTCAAGATAGTTTGGAGCACTACACCACTTGTGTCAAAAGCAGGCAAAGGTGTGGTGTGCTTGAGGAGCTAATACGATACGTGTACTATGTCCGACAGTGAACGTTCTCTGACAGATTCTGACTAACAACCTCAACCGGACAGAAAATAACCCAACCCGGGAGCCGCTTGTGATACAGAGTAAGAACTCACTGCCAAGGGGTAGTCTGATGAGAAGAAAGGCCCCACTTGAGCGGTATGCCACGTGAGCCCACATGGAAGACAGTAGAATATTGCAAAACATCACTAGGAACACACCTGAATCAAAACAGCTCTCATCGAGTCGCACCGACCAATGTCTGACCCGACATAAGCTGTGAGATCTCTGACACACAGAATGACGCAGAAAACGGTCTGTGCAGATGAGAAATAGGGTGCATAGGGATGCACCCGATCACTACCCTTTACTACCGAGTAGGTCCCAGGACGAGTCAGATCGGCTCGGACCTATCTGCGAAGAATAAATAAAGTGGCACTGAATGGTTACACGGAAAGAGAAGCTCAACCTCGCCATAGGCACCCGAACAAGTAGCAACTGTCAGACGGTCGAAACTGGTCCCGTTGGCAAGCAGGAACCTGCAGGAACGTTGTTAGTAGCATGTTGCGCAAAAAAAAACACTCCAGTCGAGACTCGATACTATGCCGATGACCGTATCTAAGAAGAATTCAGACAACTTGAGAGGGATTTTCCACGAATCTGCGCACATGGTGGTATCGTGACGACTAGCAGAATCCCTCTTACCAAGGTTGTGCCAAGGTAACGAAAGCCGGGCAGTAGTAAGTTACAATTGAATACCCGCCAATTCAAGTTGTCTTACCTACTCATTATCACTACAAGCAAAATTACACTTGCCAAAGCAACAAAAGCTGTCTAGCTGCCATGGCGGCACTGTTATTCCGGCTCGACAGTTTCGACTTGTCTTGAAGCCGCCTTGCACCTCCAAGTTGCATGTTCTAATTCGCAACCAGATGGAGCGCATTGATATCATTAGAGCTTCCATTCCATTGTTCTGAACCCCTTCCAAGTCATCCAAGACGACGTGGGCTTCAAGTGAGAGTCTTGTCTCATACCTAGGATGTGAGTGCTTGTTACATTCGGGCCGACTCATGTCGGGCTGACACGGAATAATAGGGTGTCGCGGAGAACATGTCAAGAAAGTACGCAACTTCAGTGGCAGAACGCACAATTGTCAAGTTTTGCACAAGAACGACGATGGTGGTAGGGGTCACCCGCTCACCCGAGCAACATTGTGGACCTACGCCAGAAACGATCTAGCAATCCGCTTGCCGGGCTGTATGTAATAATATGTGACCCACCAACCAACGTAGTCACATATTTTGCCAAGCACTGAAGTTGGTCTCGTTCTTCTTGGTTCTGCCTCTCGTTTCAAACAGTCCGCTCATTTACATATTTGTTTCACTCTGCGTTATTTGCTGTGATGAAGCTCACTGCGTCGCTTCTTGCTGTGCTTACCACTGTCGCCGTTGTCGTCCAAGCCGGACATAGCTTTGAAAAGCTTCCTGCGCCGGGTAGGCATGCTGCTGTATCCGCTCGAAACAAGGGTTTGTTTGGCAATGGCACACCCAAGCTGCGGAGGAGCAAAACCTGCAAACAGAGACCGGTCAGTCGTGTTTCGAATTTGAATGCTGACTGCAAAGAAGCTTATTAAGAATTCTATGGTCCTGTGTAACTGCGCGCTGTATAGGTCAGCTCGGAAAGTCCTGCGCTGTCAGCTCCGGGTGTGCTTGCAAATTCACCCTCGGCTTCAGTTTCAACTACAGCATCAACTCCAACTCCAACTGCAGCATCGTCATCGGCTCCCACTCCTCCTGCAACTTCACCAGCTCCTCAGCCCCCGACATCGGACAATGGACCCAGCAAAAACAACTCTGGAGGTGGACCAACTCAGGGATTCGTGAAAGTCATCTCCTCCAACGGCTGCGGGTCTAGTGGTGCAACAAGTGCGACTTTCCCGAATTGTAAGCTAAGGGAGGATAATTACTGATGCGCATATCTTTACCAGCGGAAATTACTGCATTGAGCGGTCCTAATGGTCATATTGATTTCCTGACCTGCGGCATCAACGAGGGCGGATGGAACCCACCTCTCCTCAAAATCGAGAATATCGTTACTGCTGACCTGTCAGGAGTCGCGTACCGAGATGGTTCTGCATTCGCAAACTGCAAGGACTTTGTTCCAACATTCGAGAAATATGGTAACCAGTATCAAAGTCGGTATTGTTCGTCAAGTCTTGCTTCGTTCCTCACTGACGCTGGGCGACAGTCCCTGCTATTCTCCTTGCGTCTTTTGCCATGCAGGAGAGTTCATGTAAACCGAGCACCGTTGGTGGAGCTGGTGAGCAAGGGTTGATGCAGCTCACCAGCGATAAATGCGTCGGTGCTCCAAATGGTGATTGCAAGGACGTTGTAAGTCATGTTGTCTTCGCGTCGGATGCATCATCTTGATCATATACATATTCCTGCCCAGGATTTCAACATCGGTGCTGGCGCCAAGTTCTTTTCGCAGCTGCTCAGTGACAATAACGGCGACCTTCTCGCCTGCATTGGTCATTACAATGGCTGGTTCAAGGGGATGACCTATGTATTTGTTTTGTTGCCATACTTCATAGATCCTGGTGTTGATGGTATATGTACAGGGGGACGCAACCGCTGCTGCCCACGGCGGCAACTGCAGAGAGCAAAACAACCTCGACTAGTATGTCTCTATGAATCTCGGGGTTGAGCGATTTAATCTAACATGTTAAAATAGTTTACACCAGTTCTTGAACGGTTGGTGCCAGGACGTCAACGCCTATCAGCACAACCCTCCTCTTGGCAAGTACTTCAACCTGAATGTCTGCAACTAAGCAACGTTTGCCCTCATCGCGACTGTCTATGTCGCTGGCACATGGTAGGACATTTATTAGCATTAAGCAAGAGTTTGGAAATCCTATACCACATACCCTTATACCTGCTTTATGGTGGCGCCATCTGCGCTGCCCCGTTATTGCACTTATTTTCTCTCGTTAATACGAAGCTTCTTTGTGCGCGAATGTCTGACAATCCTCATCCCTAAGCTCGACCCTAGTTAATGTAAAGCCACCGATGTGAATTTCCTTTCTCAGAAAATTTCAGGTCGGGGTGATTAATGAACTGGCCAGTAGTTGCAGATCGCGACACACTTCCTAGCTAGTGAGCGTCTTTCAAAGCATGAGTGATTCATCGTCAACGTTGTCTTCCGCGTCTCCTTCTCAGGCATCAACCGCGTTATCATCTCTGCCCTCTCCGGAGATCCAATCACTGAGTCTAGGAGATGTGACAGACGAGGATCGGGCGCAGGCCGCTAAGATCAAGACACAGGCAAATCAAGCGTTTGCAAGTGCGTGTTGAACATTGTCATTACATTCGCGCTGATGTTGAAGTCGGGACGATCTGCTCAATAGGTCATAACTTCGTGGAGGCCGTCAGACTCTACTCTCAGGCCATAGAGCTGAACCCGATAGATGCAACGTATTGGTGCAATCGTGCCGCAGCTCGGACAAAATTAGAAGAATATGGTTTCGCGCTCACGGATGCTTGTAAGTTGCTAGATAAGTCGATCAAAATGTTTTAGCATCTCACGCGACTGCAGCAAAGGCCATCGAAGTCGATCCTAAATATGCCAAGGCTTATTACCGGTATGTGACAGGTTGTGGGTACAGGTCCGAAGCTAAGCGCTCGTATCAGCCGCGCGACATGCTATCTACAGATTGCGAAACCTCAGCTAGCGATCGCGGATTTCAAGAAAGTCGTCGTGCTAGAGCCTAGAAATACGGTCGTCCAGTCACAGCTCACAGCTACCCAAAAGCTCGTGCGCAGGATAGAATTCGAGAAGGTATGTTCTGTGCTACATGTTAGTGTCGTGGCTGATCTTCTGGGCAGGCAATTGAAGTAGAAGGGGAGAAAGACGCCGTAGAAAGATGTCATGAGATCATCGCAGAAGGTCAGTTGTTCGAATTTCCATAGATTCTTTGTTTTCATCACTTTCAGGCGGCTGTGAGGTCGAAAAAGCATATGCTGGTCCACATTTGAGTACCGGGGAGGATGGAAAATATGCGATGACGGAGGAGTTTATCAAAGGAATGATCGAATGGTTCAAGTTGGGCAAAAATCTTCCAAGACGCTACGCATGGGAGATTATTCTTAGGGCATGTTCGCATTTTATGAAAGAAGAAAGTCTTGTAAACTTGGACCTGCAAGAAGGCATGACGTGCGATGTTATCGGAGATGTCCACGGTCAGTCTGGCGCTGCAGCGCTTGATATTGGGTTTCAAAAGATTGCTAACTGTGTTTATTTTAGGGCAATTCTACGATTTATTGCATCTATACTCGTTGACGGGTACACCCACCGAGAAGCATTGTCTTCTTATGAATGGCGATCTTGTTGATCGAGGATCATGGTCTATTGAGGTTATTCTTACCGCTTTCGCGTACAAATGTGAGCACATGAACTATATGAAGGGCCTTAATACTGAAATCACGCAAGGGTTATACCCCGCACGCATGTTCATCAATAGAGGTAATCACGAAGCAAAAGACATGAACCGAACATATGGCTTTGAAGGCGAGGCAAAGCACAAACACGGAGAGCAAACTTACAAAGTTCATTCCCTCCGTTCTTCTTTATTTAATGCGCTTACAACTTCCTCAACAGTTATTCGCTCACGTTTTCACCACTTGTAAGTGTGCAAGATTCTGCTAAGTTCAGCTGAATGATCGCTGGCTCTTCAGTACCATTGGCCACGCTTGTGAGCGCCACGAAAGCACCTACCAAAAAAAGCGATACAACGATTCTGTCACCAGAAGGACTCAAGAGATACTTTGTCGTGCATGGTGGGCTATTTAGTAAAGATGGTGTCACCCTCGATGAAGTTCGCAAAATTCCTCGAATTGGACGGCAGCCAGGTCAAGAGGGTTTAATGTGTGCGTACCCCCTCCCCCCCGCTCTTCCAACTAGTTCTTGCTGACACGCTTCCAGCCGATGTGTGTATTGATGCTGTGCTCATGCGTGCAAGCACTCAAAATTAATTTTAGCTCCTCTGGACTGATCCTCAAACACTTCCTGGTCGCGGGCCAAGCAAACGCGTATGTGTTAATTAGCTTCCCAATCGCTTTGAGACTCACAATTCCCCTTCCAGGGTGTCGGCATCGCTTTTGGTCCTGACGTCACGAAGAGGTGGTGTACATTAAATGGCGTTACTTCTATTATTCGGAGCCATGAAGTCCGCCAGGGTGAGTGTGTTTCGTCGCTTTTCTAGAGAATATAACTCCAATTCTGGTTTCGCAGACGGGTATGCCATAGAGCACGATGGCCTCTGCACAACCGTCTTTTCAGCTCCAAATTATGTGGACCAAGTGGGAAACAAGGGGGCGTTTGTATGTCTATGCACTACTGTTCATCAACGTTTCGAATACTCACACCTTGCTAGATACGAATAGATGCAGAAGGAGAACAAAAGTACACCCAATTCGAGGCCACACCTCATCCGACAATGAAACCGATGGCATACGCACAAGGGGGTCTGGCGAACTTGATGATGTAGATCCTCAGGCGAATCTTTCACTGTGCATGATTTAGGTGTATGAGAATAGAGTCACGTAGAATCACGTAATGGGCATGGGCGCGTGGGAATCTTGCTACTTGTAGTCACCAGTTGCTCGTTTGGACGCTTAACATATTCAAAACTCTTCCACTTGACTTTTGGATTTGTGAAGTGCAATGGACAAGACGAAATCAAGACTTGCCGCGTTCTTCGACGACGACGAAGATTCTTCGTTCCCAGTGCGACGAATAGACATTATTTATGTCCTTGAAACACTTACCAACCACTTCGTACATTAGCAAAAGACCCTCGATGACATGAAGTTATCGCAGTACGCGCAAGGCACTGTTCGCAAGTCCCGCCGAGAAAAGGAGAAGGATGCTGCGGATGCCAAAAAACGAGAGGAGGAAGAGAGTGCTGCTAAGGCATATGCCGACTTCATTGACGCGTTTGAGGGGGAAAGTGTGGACAAGCGGAAGGCCGGTTCAGGATTTGTTCGCGCATCGGACGGCGCGAAAGTGTCTTATCAACCGCAAGCCAAAGGTTCTGCGGAGTCTTCGTCGCGCACCAGGCCAGTTTTCTCTAATGAAGATGAAGTATGTGAACCGCTTCATGCGAGCAATATCTGCTTGTGCTTATATTCTTGACCAGTCCACTGCATCAGGTATTGCACCGAAACCGAAAGGAAAACGAGCCATGGATTCATTCCTCGAAGAGATCAAGAGGTAGCTAAGTTCTTACTTCCAAGCACGTTAATTCATCATTCCTCCAGGGAGCAGGCAATGCGAGAGGCTAGGTATTCCCGCTCTTCCCATGGGCGGTCAGTGACTGCTTTAGCAGGTGGGTTTTCATCTGCTGTTGTCACCATGAACCTCAAATGTGTTGCATTGTAGCATACGAAGGACAGAGTGGTAGCAAGGACCGCGGTGATCCCGAGGTGAGTGTGAACAATTTTTTGTTTCTTCGGTTTTTGATGATTTCTTTCGCAGACTTCCAACCTTTTTGTTGCCAATCTACCATCCAATGTCACCGAACAATCACTTGGGACCTTTTTTGCCCGTCACGGTCCTGTTGGCTCCGTGAAAATCATGTGGCCCCGAGGAGATGTTGTTTCTGGTCCGGGTGGTGACATGACTGCTTCGCGCCGCAACAGAAATGCCGGATTGAGCGGCTTTGTATCCTTTATGAAGCGTAAAGATGCAGAAGCTGCTCTGAGGGAAGTCGATGGCCTTGACTGGGGAGGCTCGATTCTTCGTGTGGGATGGAGCAAAGCTGTGCCTATGGCTGCAAAAGCTCTCTATGGTAGAGATCACATCAGTTGCTCGAAGCGTTTTTTTTTTATGCATTTTACAGTACCGAGCAGGACATCCAGATCGAGATCGAGATCGCGAGGACAGGAACGTAGGGGAAGGAGCGAGTCACATTCACCAAGGCGTCACTCCCGGTCTCGCTCCACGGGACGCTATCGGTCTTCTAGACGTTCCCGCAGTCGTTCCCTGAATGATAGTCGCTCACCTCGGCGGCGGCGGTCGTACAGTCGTTCACGCTATGACAGCCGCAGTCCGCGCAGGCGGTCACCAAGCCCTTCGAGGAGGCACGATTCGGAAGATGAGGCTGCTGCCGTCACCGACACATTTATTCGCGCTGTAGCCGCCGAGGTCAAAGGCCATGGTTCCGAGTACGAAGAAAATCTCCGTGAATGGGAGCGGAGCAACCCCAGGTACTCTTTTATGACGCAGCGCAAGGTATGCCAAGCTATCTCATCCGTGAGGACGTTGACAGACTGCAAAAGCACCGACGACACGCATTCTACAAAGGTCTAGTTGAACGAGACGATTTTACGGGCGCAGAATTTGACGACGAGGTGTGCGCATACTTTTTGCGTACTGAACCATGTTAAACATCTGCCAGGGATATAACTCAACCTACTCTACCGATTCTGCGGAGGAGTCGGAGCAAGAACGAACTCGCAAAACTGTTCTAGGCAAGCTAGCTCGCAAACGGTTCGAGGCAATGCTTCGTGGTGTCACTGGCAAGAGAGGCGAGCTCGCTCGCTGTATGACATTCAGCTTGGAGCATGCGGAAGCCGCTCGTGAGGTATAGTCACAATTTCTAAAGAGTGCTCCGGTTCTGACTATGTCAGGTATCGGATATCATCATCTCCTCACTCTTGGTGGATGGCACACCTGTGCCACGCAAGATTGCTCGGTTACATCTCATCTGTGATATTTTACACAACTCAGCAGCCCCAGTACCAAGCGCATGGAAGTTTCGCCAGGAATTCCAGTCTCGCTTGGGAATAGTGTTCGATCATTTTGCCGCCATCTATCATTCTTTTCCTGGTCGGATTACCGCAGAAACGTTCAAGAAGCAGATCACAGCTGTAGTCGACATCTGGGAAGACTGGATAGTCTTCGCTCCAGACTTTACTGCGGAACTGCGTGCCAGGCTGGACGGCACCACGCAGGCTGATTTGAACGAGCCGAAGGCAGACGACGACCCTAGTGTTGCTGCAGCCGAGGCACAATCTTCATATGTTTCCAAGTTCAAAGCGAAGTCTTTCCAACCTGCGCAGGAATTAAGCAAGGCAGCCCCTAGCCTCACAAACGACGCCGATGATCTCGATGGTGCACCGATCGAAGATATGGATGTGGATGGAGAGCCATTAGATGTGGATGGTACATCTGTTGATGATGACGTTGATGGCGTTCCTCTTGATCACGGCGAGGATCCTGACGTCGACGGCGAGCCTATGGAAGACATTGATGGATTGCCTATGGATACAGATGACGTTGATGGTGTCCCTCTGTGAGGGATTGAGTATTCCAATATCCGTCCCATTGTATTGCAGAGAGTATCATAACGAAATAGCGTGTGGTCTGTCAATGATTTTAACACAACAGCATGATGTACACCTAAAACCCAACAACATCGGTGGACATGATTAACATCTCAATGGCGTGCATGACGGCCAGACATTGATATTTGCTTCAAGATTGCTTCTTTGGCAGCATCAACAGCAGATTCAGAACCTGAAGTACGACGTTAAACCAGTGATCTCGCATGGATGAACCGACTTACCGATGATGATGATGGTACTGTTCTCTCTGCCGACTGTAATGTCAGCGCCGGTCTCGTTTCGAAGGCGAGTGACGTTAGACCCCTTTGAACCCACGATTCTCGGGAATGCAGAGCGATCAGGGAGACTCAAAAAGCCCACACAGGTCATAGCTGCAGCTTGCGCAATAGCGTCCTGGATAAGGCTTTGGGCCCGCTCCAGTCCAGCAGCGTCACTGCCCTTCAAAGTCCACTCCGAGTCACCTTCCTCAGCGTCCAAGTAGTTTTCAGCGACCTGCCAGTCAATTTCGATGGATGGGACATCCTCAGCATCATCAATGCGGGCGGTCGTAGAGCCATTTTGAGGGGGAGCAGTAGGGACTGCTGGCTTCTGAGGCTTGCCAGATTGCTCGACGGAAACCCCGAAGTTGCGCAAAGTACGGAAGAATTGGCCCTGCTGTGAAATGACGTGGTGGTACTTCAGTGGTACCGAGACAATGGCTGTCACGCCCTCAGGAGCAGCAGGCTTCACGTGGGTCTGTATGGCACATAAGAACTAGAAAATGGTGAAAGAGGGGCTTCATACCTTGAGCTCTTCAACTGCTGCCTCGCAGGCTTTGCGAGGACCAGAAACCTTGACGATGTTGGCCGGATCAGCGTCTGCCATCTCACTTGCATTTTCGGGGTCGCCAAATTGATTGTACGAGCGAGATCCAGGGAACTGTACTTGAACTCCAGTTCGATTTTGAAGGTCATTCAGATGTTGGCCACCTCTGCCGATCAAATTACGGTGCTGGGACGCAGGGATCTCTACAGCCAGAACAACACGGTCACGCAACGTGGCCACTATTTTCTCGAGTTCCTCTTTGACCTTGTTAACCAACTTGGGCTCTCCGCGGAGGCGAACATCATCAGAGGATTCACCCTGGCGAGGGCTGGCAAAAATGTTGGTAAAACAGCAAGAAACAAGTGGAACAAACATACAACCGGACAAGCCCAGCTTGAAGCTTAGGGTCAGAAGGACCGCCACACCTGTTGATGAGATCTTTTAAACCCTGGCCACCAGCACCGATGATGGTGCGGTGGAACTTGGGCTCGATAACCAGGGATGCTGTGATTTCCTCGCCGACTTGATCAGCTATAGCCAGGATGGCGCTCTTCGCGGCATTGATTGCCTCCTTTGTACCACGAACCGTAATTTGGGTAACAGAACTGCTCCCATCGCCGGTTTTATCGACATCAATTTGAGCACCGGTGTCGTCCTTGATCTCGTGGATGCTGGCACCACCTTTGCCAAGGATACGGGAGACGGAACGAGAGGGAACGTCGAATGTGAGTACTTTATTGTTTTCCTTCTCAAACTCCAGAGCTTCAAGCAACTCGGACTTTGCGCTAGCAACACCCCGCTTGCCACCCTTGATGAGAACCTCATCAGGCTTGAGTTGCTCCCTTGTCTTGCCCTCCCCGTTCTCGCCGGATGAACGAGGGAATGTGATCTTGACACCGTAATTCTCCTCCAACCGAATGGCGTACTTGCCACTCTGACCAATGAGCTGAGCGTGGTACTGGTTGGGGATTTTCAAGACTTCAGAGGTCTCATCGGCCTGAGGGAGTGTCAGAAACGGGACAGCCGAACTACGCCATGACTTACGAGCCTCTCGACTTGCGACAAGATTCGTTTTTTGGCTTCCTCTACGTTTTCCTTGCGACCTGTAATCTGTTTGCAAATGCAGTGAGAAATAGGGTGAAAAAAGAAAAGCAAGTCCTGAGCTACCTTGACCTTGGATTTTTGATGAGTGACCGCCGCCTTCTTCTTCTTGCCTGCGTCTTTTTCCTTCTCATCAGCTTCGTCCGAGAAATCGACCTTAACACCAAGAGCATCGCGAAGTCTATTGACACCTGAGCCCTGTGCGCCGACGACGCGACCAACATACTCCCGATCAATGTCAAATTCAATTGACTAGGTTACGGGATCAGCCAGAGCGACAACTACAGCATCTTAAACTCACATAGCTGCTGACAATGGCGTCATTCTTGGCATCCTCGACGACCTGAAGGATCTCTTTGACCGCACGATCGACGTCGATGATAGCCCCTCGGACAAGGATGACATCTTCGTCGGATGCGTCGCCGGCTTGTGCACCAACCTTGATAGAGAGCGTGGTATCCTCACCAATGATACTGCAACACGTTCGTTAATGCACTCGCCCTATGAAATGACGAACTCACGCATTCAAAGTGGTGCCTTCTTGACCGACAACAGCTTCATGCCAGCGCTTCTCAACCGGGACAAGCTGGCTTTTCACTTCCCCAGCTTCCTTGACCATCGTGAGCAGCTCTTCCACAACAATATTCAAATGCTTCTCTTTCTCCACAGGCGAAGGCGACGCTGATGGAGAAAGGGGATCGTAAACCAATAGAACTTGGGATTGCTCGGCAGATTCTGGCGGGAAGAAGACTTGGACATTGTGCGCCTCGTGGAACTGCTTCAATCTAGTCATATCGTATGAGCTTCGTACTTCAGCGGTATTACAGATCGTACGCACTTTTTAGCATTTTTGCCCTGGACAATGCGATGGACGAGCCATTCGACCGAAACTTCCCTCGTTGCACCGATAAGTTTGCCGATCAACTCAGAGATCTGCCTAACCACCGCGTCCACCACAGATTTCTCACCAGCTATGTCAATGTTTAGAACCGATGCTTGAGCGATGGCGGCCGGAGATGGTGTAAAGATCAAGGCATCAGGATGAGCACTAGCCAAGGTTCCTTCGTAGTCGATCCGTGTCATATACGTGAGAATTTGCTTCGAAACCGCCAAAGGGCCAGGAAGAGGGAACTCGTGGATGAATTGAGAATTTGCCTTGGCCATGACAGCACCTAAACCAGTGGGAAGATTATCCGCCAAGCCCCACACCGTGACATCGTCGCCAAGATCCTCGGGGGAAGCAACTTCAACCAAACATTTGCTCTCCACTAAAATCTCGTCGACCGCTTTGCCAGCAAGAAGACGATGCTGGCGCTTGGGCAAAGAAATTTTGAGGCTAGTTAGGCTCGTCCTGAATGCTTCAACGGTAGCTTTGATGGTCTCGACGACACGAACGACGCCCTCGCGATCTCCACTGACAGTAATCTCCCGCTCAGCTTGGTTCAAAGCGAGATTAACGTAGGATTCTTGCGCTACCTCAATAAAGTGGTTGCGACGATTAAGGACGAAAGGTAGAATATGAGCCGGAATGTCTCGAATTTTTTGGGTGAGTTGTGAAGTCCGAGAAGTGATGATCTCATTGAGCATTGCCTGAGCTTCCAGGGCAAGCGGGCGCGAGCCAGTGATAGTAACGGGTACCATAACCTCCTCTTCCTCGTCGCCTGGGAGGGGGGTAGAAGTTCCGTTCGTTCCGCTTGCCTGTCCGTTGGGGGCACCATCCTTGGGAGGAATATCGACCTTAACACCTGTAGCCTCGCGAACCTTCTTGAGAGTAGCGCCTATAAGTATGAAAGGTAAATGCATGGAATGTTACTGGATGTGAAACCTTACCCTTGGGTCCGATTAGAGCAGCGATGGTAGACGCAGGGGCATTCAAAATCAAAGTAACCTAGTGAAGCAGTTCAGACACAAAAATAAGTAGTTCAAACATCTGTCATGTACCACAGGGCTCAAGGTGGCCAACAAGTGACGCTTAGCCTTGTCAAGGTCCTTTTGAGTCTCGCCCTTCAAGTGGAAGGTAGTCTGCCGACTCTGATTTGTCGATGCCTCTATTTTGACCCTGTACTTTATCATGACCTGCTTCATGATTTCACCGAGCGAAGTTTGTCTACCATCCTTGACGGGAGTTTCGACCTGAGTGACCGTGAGATAATCTGTGATGACTGGTGTAGACTTGACAGTAGCCTTGATGCGAGGGCCAGCATCAGAGCCCCAGGCAGACTTTCCAGGTGTAGCAGCGACAGGCGTGGAAGTGGCGAGAGTGGGGAAATCCGCTTGCGAGTCAGCGTCGGCAGGGACCTGGACGGCACGTCTGGGCTTAACGGCTGTCGTCTCCCCAAGAGAGGGAAATGGGTCAGGAGCTCCTTCGAGTTCGTGTCTCTTCTAAATATACAGATACCATTCATCAGGCCAACATGTCGGTGCGTATGAAGAAACTGACTGACCTGGAGTTCAGCTGCAGTGAGTTGCATGTTTCGAGGATTACGGGTGTCCAAAGCGAGGAACCTGTGACGAGAAATACCTGCGTTGATCTAAACTCAACGCGAAATCCAAAAATCCAAAAAATTAAGAGGGTAGGAAAGAAGTAGAAAGGTGTTGGATAAACCGGAAAACGACGGACAACGTGTCGAAACCCGAATAGGTTTTCGCCTAATAGGAGGCTATATACGTGCGAAACATCACATCACCATTGATAGTAGTTAAGTAAAAGGACTGAAGTTAGGGAATTGACCGAGGCCTCGCACCGCAGAAGTGACAAACGATCATCCCCACGCAAGGAGGGCGCCGTGTTGACATTGACATCAATTCAATGGTATACACCGTAGTAGCGGTAGAGTAAAATCAGCCAGTGATAAGCACGTACAATCACAGGGTATACAATGTTTGGACAGAGCGTCAGAGCATATAACAAACCAGAACATCACATTACGACAAACAATCCTACCATTTAAAGTCTTCCTCTTGCACCAGTCGAACATTGAGTGGGACCTGAGGTGTTACCCCATCTCCCGCTGGTAGCTTAACGACAGGGGTATGAAACACCTTCAACTTCCACTGAATTTCTTTGATATGCCCATTGGCATCCGGATCAGTTGGGAGCACAAAATGCAGACGAAGCATAAGCGCAGCGAGGATTTCCTCTGATATCAAGACTAGTTAGAATTGACAGTCATACGGAGCATGCTGGGGCTTACTCATTTCCATTTCGGCAAATTTGAACCCGCTGTGAGATATGACGTTAGTATACAGATGGACGTGTCGTGTATTTTACTAACATGCAGGAACGACTACCGCCGAGGAAAGTCATCCTACGCGTGGTCAGCGAACATAACATGACATAACAGGTAAGGACTAACATGTTGGAGTAAACACCAGGGTACCTGATGCCATCTTTGACCCCGAGGATGGGTGCGGCGGCATCAGAAGAAAGCCATCGCTCAGGTTTCCACTCATTCGCGTCATCACCCCATATAGTTCGATTGCGGTTTGCAGCCAAAATGGAGATGACAATGAACGCTTTCTCGTGCACTGCAATAGTAGATATTTCTGCTCCAGATGACGAACGAACAGGGAATTGAAGAGGAAGAGTAGTTGCCTTGGTCACTCTGTCGATATGTTCAATTAGCAATTCTGGAGATGATGAACGACATACTTTCGGCCCATGTGTGGGAGAGAAGGATAAAGCCGCAATGTCTCTCTGACCACTCCATCAAGGAATGGGAGATTCATCAGCGTATCGTAGGACAGATTAAGAAGTGGATTTTCATGCTCGAAAACCGTAGCACCATCCTGTGAGAGAGACGTAGGGCTAATGGCATCACGAATTTCGCTTCTCAATCGAGCTTGGGCGAGTGGATTCTTGGCAAGCAGATAAACGCAACGAGACAGAGCAGAAGTAGTCGTATCTAAGCCAGCAAATACCATAACACTACAATGAAACGAATTAGAACAATTCCATGTTTATGATGAATGGGTGGCTTACTTCATTTGTCCCAACAGCTCGGCATCGGTGAGTCGCTCTGAACTGGAAGACGCGGTATTTGCCTTGACTGCATATACCTCAGTAACAGGCGGACCATAAAATCATGGAACTGACGCATGATGTCCATCATATCTTTCCCCCCACTCGGTTTGTGATCATCGACTTCGGACTGCGCATCAGTGGGGGGTAAAGTGGCTGCAGTCTCCAGTGCTGCCTTTTTCTCTGCGAAAGCTTTCTTGCTGCCGTTGTCCATGATTTCAATGATTCGTCGCATCTCTCGCACATCTTTCATCCTTTCTGTGGGGATCCAAGGCATCGTGACTACATCCACAAGTTTCTTTATCCAATATGATGAGAAGTAGCGCATAGCCATTGGCACAAGTGGCCGGAAATACATGAGACTTGATATCAGGGGGCTACAACATCAAGTGAACAATTACATCATGAGTGGTTGCTGTAATTCATATGACGTACCTTATCTTCCTGAGTGCTTCAGTATACTCGTCGTTTTCTGCAGCATCTAGAGTATTGCTTGGATAACCAAGAATTGCCTGGCAAACGCCATCAAGTGCACTGCGAGATAGTAAAGGCAGCATATCGATCTCTTTGTATGCTGTTTCAAAAGCGTTTAATAAAACCGTCTATGTCGGTATGTGTTTTTGAGTGTGAGACAACTTACACCCATCATCCGGAAGTTTGGATGCGACAATAGAGGTCAGCTTGTGCGCAATGGGCTGCAATGTTGGTAGTAATTCTCGCATGTTTGTAGTCGAGAAGACAGGGTTGAGGAGCTTGCGTTGCTTTCGGTGCTGCTCTCCTGGATATGTTGTCAGACACTTTTTGTGAACCCCTATCGTGATGCTTCGCACCGATAGTGGCTATTAGACCATCTCCGAACGTTGCCTTGTTGTTCCTTTGTAACGTGGAGTCAATATATGCGGCCATTCAAAAACAATAAAATACCGACATGATGAAAACGTCGGGTTCTTCAAAGATGTGCTGGTCTTTGACAATAACATGATACAACGCCAGTGGATCAGATAGATATACTACTTCCTAAGAAAGCAGCATTCGCAAGGATGGCTTTAGAGTTATGGCAAATGAACTTACTCCATATAGACTTTGTAACTTGACCGCTCCACCATACTGTTCGGCTAGTTTTACACAGTAGTCGAGGCCGCCTTCGAACACTTTCCGGACATTGCCTGGTATATTCGTGTCAGAGGTATGATAGAACGAGTGTCACTTTTGTCAACAACCTGTCAACCAGTGGACCTCCTTAGGGCCGTCAAGGTCAACTGTGGGTTGTCTCGATGTTGCCCAAAACATCTTGCAAAGAGCGGCCAGCGAGAGGATTCCGATTCCACATACTTGTGACAGCGACATGGTGATGATGCATGAAGTATGGGTGTGCCAGTGAAAGCTGTGCAAACAGCTTTTTGGGTAACTATGCGCATGTGTCGACACAGGCAGGCAGCCGCTGGCAGCGACCTCATCGGAGTCCGAGTCCTCGCTCATATTAATGAAGGGTCACGGGTCGTTCCAAACATTTTAGAAGCAGTACTAGTCCTTGTCCTAGAGCTCGAGCAAGTACGACCAGACATCGTGAACTGTAGCAGAAGACCGACAGGAGGAGGATACAAGAATTCAATATGACTTGAGTGGCTGGGTTAACCGCATTGGCCAACTACTTGAAGTGACAAAGCAGGGCCTCAGCTGAGGCACATACTATTTGATCAAGAGTCGCGTTACGTTCTGCTACATCATTCATCCCTTCTCTCTGGAAACGAGCAAGCTCTTTAAAGTGCTATCTCAAACACTTACGTATCATCATAGTAGGACAAATTCCAGCGCACCGTAAATATTAAGTACTAGAGCGGCACAACACAGTTTGATCAAAGCGTCGAAACTAACAGCTAGGAGAGCTGCATAATGCCAGGACAATAATCGGCACACTTGAACCTCCTCGGTCACGGTTCCGTTCAAGTCTCTGCCGTACCATGGATTTCGAGTACACCATTATATGTGCGATGATGTCCAAAGGCAATCCAAAAGATGCCAACTTGTAAGTTTGTACGCTGGAAGCAATGCAACGTAAAACCACGCCTATATAAACGAAAACAATTTCCTTCTCGAGGGGTCCCTGGAATCTATCGCCGACAGGTAAGTTTGTTGGCATACTGAAAAGATCCAGGAGAAATCTTCGTACCAATTTTTGCAAGATGATTCTGAACAAGATCTCACACATCCCAAAGAAAGACCCTCCCACCCGGGTCATGCCCTCGACTGATGATATAGAGACCATCAGCAGACAATTTGCTTATGAGTTCGCATATACCACCCAAAATCCAAATTTCGATCAGGGGAGCATGGTACGGGTTGGTTGTCGTCGCGCTCAATGCACATGCGACCCCATAATGGTGACCCGTTATTGGCTACGCCAGGCCTGGCTCAAAAGGTCTGCCTGTGTACCGATGTCCCAGACGTGGATAGCATTATTATTCGAGGCAATCAGGATATTCTGTCCATCTAGAGAGTGTGATACTGAGCGGACCTGACTGAAATGTAAATGTGCTTGAAATGAAGATGTAGGTACGAGTACTCTCCCCCGCGCTATGTCACAAACGATGACAGCGCGGTCATTCGAGCGACCTGCAAGTCGCTTCCTGTCAGGGGAAAAGCGCAACCAGTTGGCCTGGCCGGTTGACCCAGCTACTGTGCCCCTTCATTGGCCAACAGATACCAAATTATCAGCCCGCCGACGAAGGGGCACAGCAGCTATCAGATGACCACTTTTGAGATAGTGCCCCCTCCGGTGAAACCACCACAGCGGCATGTAGCTGTTATGCTCAACCAGAGGCTCCCCCAACAAAAAACCCTTCTCGATATTCCGGATCCTCTGAGTCCTGCCCGATGACGCGGTGAAAGCTCTCTTTGATATCCCGCGAGAATGTTGGTGACGTGAACGAACATTACTATGGTGTCTTGTAAATACTCGGGGTGGAGGCAAACACCATTCCAGTGCAGTAGAAGAGCCTGAGGTGCCTGTTGTAACCATACAGGCCGCACATTGTCAAGCTGGGTAGCAGTAATCACAATGTGGTGTAGATGTCCTCTTGCCGTAGGCATACAAGACGGGCACTTGTAGCTCTTTTGGGGTGTGAGGAATCAGGATCGCATGGTAAGTGAAGTACCACTTTTTTCGCCTATGGGTCAGGCTATTTTTTATAACAACTTGGACAGGAGATGAGTTGGGTGTAGGCTTGGGAGTGGTTACCTTTAGGGTTCAGGGAATTTGTGGTCACCGGGCTAATTTGCCCAGCTAATTTGCCTTTGCTAATTTGCCGTGAATGATTTTCCTGTTCACGTGACCAATCGGGATATGCGACGTGGAACTTTCAGATTATCGCAATTACTTATTGATTCATAAAGCATCACTCTTAGAGCAGCCCCAACGAACAACCGCAGACTTCAAACCACACACACCACGTTCTTTATCAGCCTTTTTGGCCCCACCATAGGTTCTTAGACTCCTGACTCTTCACATGTTCTGTCTTTGGCGCAGAGCATATTTAGCTCTTGCATTCCCCGCCCTGTCCGTTGTAGGCGTCAGCCCGAGTTCGTTCCTCGGGGACAGCCTTATACGACACAATCCAGTTCAGAATGTTCTTGAACACGAATCTGTTCGAGGAGAACCACTCTGTCAACATTCGGTATGTAGTGCTTATGTGTACGACTGGATTCATCATTCATCCACGTGTTTCCGTTAACTAGACAACTGGTCCAATAGAAACCACCTTATGCGATTACGAGACGATAGAGAGTGTGAATGGGGAGTTATATAACGCGCTCAGTGAATTAGTGAAGATGCCATTCTTTAAATATTTCCAGGTACGTTCCTGGCCCAGACAGCTTCGAAGATATCGCTGAGTCGTTTATCAGGTGGATCTCTATCGTGAATGCCCTTTCTGGCAAGAGAATGGGTTCTGTATGAATAGGGAGTGTGGCATCACTACCGTAGATGAGGTATACCCAATGAGTAATCTCGTTCAAGTTGGCCAAACTGAAATTCCATTCTAGAGTGAGATACCAGAAAAGTGGAGAGCGGCAGCTCTGAGCAAGATAGAATTGCCACCCTTGGAAGAGGTCGGTTCGGTTCCATGCATTCTGTTGCCTGACGTATTCATGACTTTTACAGCGCGTCCCTCTTCCTGGATGCTATTATCGCGATTCTGATTTTTGTTTCCTCGATGACATGACAGGTGCGCATTTCGTGACATTCTGGTTCTTGCGTGTGATGATGTTTCTTTTGTAGAGGGCGAATACGTCGACCTGACCCTGGTCCCTGAGCGTTACACGGGTTACTCAGGTCCCTCAGCGCATCGGGTCTGGAAGTCGATATACGAGGAAAATTGCTTCGGCCTCTCAGAGCTGAACCTGTTAACTACTCGTTCTCCCGCACAAGTCACTCTTCCTGATACCCTTACCGATGTCTTGCGAGAGCCCATGGCAGGAGAAGACTCGGATGGCGAATGTCTCGAGAAGAGGGTGTACTACAAGATTATATCAGGGTTGCATGCTTCTATCTCAACTCATATTTGCTTGGAATATCTTAATCAAACAACCGGAGATTTGGTTTGTAGTCTGGTTGAACTTCACTACTCCTAACTAATCTTATATGACAGAGCCCGAACCTTGAGTGCTTCGTCACCCGCGTCGCCTCTCACCCTGAGAGACTTCAGTATATCTATTTCAACACTGTGCTCCTCCTGCGTGCTGTATCACGCATTGGTCCATACCTACGTGACTACGACTACTGTTCAACGTCCATATCCACGCCTCACTCCCACGTGCTCGCTGAGGACCTCCAGGAGGAAGCCAAAACACTTGCGACTCTCAACAAGGTTATTGATATCGCAGAGCATGTCGGTAAGTTTGACGAGCGAGTATTGTTCAGAGGCGAGAACGCGAATGTGAGTAACATCTTAAAATTCACCATGCGCTAAAATTTAGTCCATCTTTCTAGATCTTGAAAGAAGAGTTCAAAGTGCATTTCCGAAACGTTTCAAGGATCATGGACTGCGTTGGATGTGACAAGTGCCGTTTATGGGGCAAAGTGCAAACTACTGGACTCGCAACCGCGCTTAAAATTCTCTTTGAGATGGACGAGACTGCCCTTGAGTAGGTAGTCAACATACATCTCTGGCATGAGCTAACCTCCTACAAATCAGTCCGCACAAAAATCAGAACCTTCTCCAACGATCAGAAGTCGTTGCCCTTATTAATACGCTACATCGCTTCAGCGAGAGCTTGCAGGCTGTGGAGACCTTCCGAGATATGTGGAAGAAGACTGGCGAATCTGATGCCAACCACCTTATTGAAGAGGCTGCAAAGGCTGTTGTTGGCAATGTATGTTCTTCGTCATATTATTATTGCGACGCTCACAAGCTGCCCAGCCACGAAAGTCACCTCCGCGTGAACCCACATCATCCACTGAGGCATCCGCACCTGCAAAAAAGCTGCAACACCCTCTTCCACCCTCTCCTTCACCCTCTCATACAGTGCCCCTGGAGACAATACAGAGCTACTTCCGACAATTAATACGGACGTGCAAGAAACACACCCTGTCTTGCTTTGGCTCACTCTCGCAGGTATGGCAGCAATTACACGATACTATGTTTCCGTTGCGGACAGAACTATGACCTACCCAGACCTACTTGTTTAATCTAATGCAGTGTCACCATGGACTTAAGCAATTTCACGTATTCCTTCGCTTTCATTTAGTTGGGGATGGTACTTCCTAATATCCTCATAGTGTGTACGAGATGCCAGGCAACTTGCCCTTTGATATCGATGCTCAGTAACCACCTACTCGTGGCAACTGCGTCTACTGGCGCGGAATCGTGCTCGACGCGATATGGACAGATGGGCCATCGGCCATGCTGATAAGACCTTGCGAGTCGAATGCAGTCTACGGATGCTTATATCAGTGAGTGGTTCTGTTTAATACCCTGTTGCTGGCCAAAGTAGGGGCTTCATCAACACCTGTGGACCAATAGCCAATGTGACTCCACTTTGAACCAATGCAGAGTCAAGACGTGCAGTTGGCAAGAGAACTGTGGGACATGTCGCGATGGAGTAACCTTGCGTTCCATGGAACTCGCATCCTGCATCCCTGAGCGAATAGTGTCATGAACGTGGTGAAGTGGCGAGTCACGCGCCAGTATGGGTGCCACCCAAAACATGCATAACATTGGTGACCCTGCACAAAAGAAAGATACCTCCCATCGAAGACTCTATTGCTGGTGAATGAAGATGGTGCGTTCGCGAATAACGTTAAGAGAGCGCTGAGCCTTGAAAGTTGAAACGTGCGCTGAGCCCGGGCATGGTGACAGTACTAGTAGTGCATGACAATATGTCCCTATAATTATCATCGTTAACGTGTCAAACAAATAGAATTCGAGTTGCCTTCTGATCGGATAGTACTAGTCTCCTCCAGTCTTGCGCCTACGCTGCTCCGAGGGTTTACGCGTGTCCGTAATAATTGGCAACGTTGGTGGGCAGCTGCAGTGAGTACTGAATTACTTAAACCATAATATGTACAGGGTATTGTACTAGAACAACTTCGACTCCAAGACACATGTTTCTATCGCCGTTGATCGAACTGATGCGGCAAACCAAGATAAAACGTACAAGATCTGCTGTTCCCCCAAACGATTCAAAGATAACGCTTAAGTGCTGCTGTCATTCGGGGTCAATGAGTTCTTTGACTGCAATATATTTCAGGTTTGTCCGGGTCCCTTACCCTTTTTTTCTTTAGCTCTACCAACTTGCTCCGAGGGTCGCTTGTGCTCATATAACCCCATTTTTGCCTATATAAACCCCAACCATCCACTCACATATTCTCCAGCATTTTCAGCTCTAACCTTCCACACAGTCGTCTTCATCCTAGTCCTTCGGGTGTCAGTCACCTTCATACTCAGAGTTTTCCGAGCTCTTTGCATGTACTCGAACCAACTCGGTAGTCCCCACAACCCCCACAGAGGCTCCAAGCACTCCTGCGCAGGCTTTCTAGCTGCTCATTGAACTCGTCTTCATCATCTTTTGGTCAAATTTTACTCGTATATACTTACCGCAATGTCTCCTCAACCTCCCGCCACAAACTCTTCGGGTTACAACACCCCCGACTCTGAATTGGAGTCAATCGTTCCAGTTCATCCGACCGCCGTTCGTCGTCCCAACTACATCACCGTCCAGTCCGAAAATACCGTCTACACCGACGATCATATCACCGCCAAGTACCTCAACCGTGGTGCTGATGTCGTGGTCTCAGATGGCCAGTTCACTATTTTGCCTACTGTCAAGCCTTATGAGTTCCAAACAACCCGCAAGGTTGGCAAGACTGGGTATGTTATCTATCAGTTTCGAAATGTACTACCATCTGACATGGACGCCCGACAGACTTATGATGATTGGTTTAGGTGGCAACAATGGTTCCACTCTCTGCGCGACTATCATCGCAAACAGGCACCAGATGTCCTGGCACACCAAGGAGGGAGTTCAGCAGCCCAACTACATTGGCTCTGTCCTCCGTGCGTCCACTGTTCGCATTGGCACTGAGCCGGGCACCGGTAAGGAAGTCCACGTCCCCATCTCTGACGTGCTTCCCATGGTACACCCCAATGACCTTGTTCTTGGTGGCTGGGACATTTCCAGTCTGCCTATGGACAAGGCGATGGAACGTGCCAAGGTGCTCGACTACGATCTTCAGCGCCAGGTCAAGCCGCATATGGCCCTACTTGGTCGTCCTCTTCCTTCCATCTACTATCCCGATTTCATTGCTGCCAACCAGGAAGCGCGTGCGGACAATATCGTCCCTGGCACCGACAAGCAGGCTCATCTCGAACACATTCGGGCTGACATTCGCCGTTTTAAGGCCGAGAACCAGCTTGATCGAGTCGTTGTATTCTGGACTGCGAACACGGAACGCTACAGTGACATCATCCCTGGTGTTAACGACACGCCTGACAATGTCCTTGCTGCGATCAAGAACTCGCACTCGGAGGTGTCTCCCTCGACTCTCTTCGCTGTTGCTGCCATTCTCGAGGGCGAGCCATTCGTTAACGGTGCTCCTCAGAACACGTTCGTGCCGGGTGTCATTGCCTTGGCTGAGCGTGAGAAGTCTTTCATTGGTGGTGACGACCTGAAGTCTGGTCAGACGAAGCTGAAATCCGTGCTTGCCGAGTTCCTCGTGAACGCCGGTATCAAACCGCTCTCTATCGCGTCGTACAACCATCTTGGCAACAATGATGGACACAACTTGAGCGCGGAACCCCAGTTCAAGAGCAAGGAAATCAGCAAGAGCAGCGTTGTGGACGATATGGTGGATGCCAACCGCTTGCTCTACAAGCCTCCTGTTCCTGGAGCAAAGGGCAAAGCGGCCAAAGGCGAGCACCCTGATCACATTGTTGTGATCAAGTACGTGCCTGCTGTCGGCGACTCGAAGAGGGCAATTGATGAATACTACTCTGAGATCTTCTGTGGCGGGAGACAAACCATCAACATCTTCAACGAGTGCGAGGTATGTAACGCGTTTTCAATATGTCACTGGATGCTCAATATTTTTGCAGGACTCTTTGCTTGCGACCCCGTTGATTCTTGACTTGACCATCCTTACTGAGCTGCTTACTCGAGTCAAGTACCGCGGGGAGGGCCAGACTGATTTTGCGCCCCTCCACGCTGTCTTGTCGCTCCTTTCATACATGTGCAAGGCGCCTCTCGTCAAACCTGGTCAGTTACTGTTTTGACTTGTAGCCCATCATCACGCTAATGTACGCTCCCAGGTACCGATGTCGTCAACAGCCTCGGCAGGCAGCGTAACGCGCTTGAGAGCTTCCTGAAAGCCTGTATTGGTCTCGAAGGCAACAGCGACCTTCTCTTGGAGACTCGTATCTGGTAAATGCCGACCGATTTTTCTTTGCTATCATTGAGCAGTACGCCTGGTTTCAACAACCGAGACATGAATTTGATCTATAAAGGTCTTCAACTGACCTCTTACCTTTTGGATACTAGTACTTTTTCACGAGCGGTGTAGAATCTGTAGATACTCCATACCGTTGCGATCCATATATGATCTTTGCATTTTATTTGCCGATGTGGGACTCGTGACGTGGATGAGTGGTATTGTGTGAATACAAGGTTACCAGCGACTTGTGATTGGAGCCTTCGGACACGTGAACTCGTTAAGCGCTGAACTTCGTGATCACAACAAACTCATCAATCGACATGCGCGACTGTGAACTAGACTTGATCAGGCTGGCTCAGCTCTCCGGACCGCTTTGTTGACATATCTATGTTTTGGGGGTGCGACTAGGTTTTTGAACATATAATATATGACAGATCGATTACGATCAAGCTATCAAATCTCCAGTGATGTCGCCGATATTAGTCTGGTTCAAGGGGGCTGAAAGATATCGCCCTGAGATAGGGCAGTGCCATTACGTAATAATAGTAATTGGCGGTGTGGCGTTACGAACTCCCACGTTCAAGGAAGGTTACCACTCATCGTCTACCATCGCCGTTCGCCGTTCTTTTAGTCGCCTTCGTCGATGTCATATGTGAATTCGAAGGGATGATAATACTGGACGAAGACGACCACCTAAAGTCAAAGGATCCTCCCGTCGCAACTCCCGCTCTTCGTTACCCAGAGCGCGCGGCAGGCCGTCGTCCGTTCAGTCCTTTGCCTGACTATGAAACGTCGCAGGCCTTGGCTCTCAATGACTTAAACAACGACTCCTTGATAACCTTTCACAAACCCCCTCCAAAACGTCGCTTTATCGACTCCAGGTCCTGGAGAGCTGGCATCACCGCTTTGGGCATTTATATTATTCTTTCAATCGTCATTGGCATCCCTCTCATCGTCAAGGTTAGTATGCCTATCGCATCCATTACCTGTCTGCTCAAACTACGTTTTAGAAATCCCAGGAAGACGAGAAACCATCCTTCTACTCATCTAACTATGTTGCTCCTTGGCTAGTAAAGACCACTACATCCCACTACGTCACGAGTATCAACAACCTGTCCGCCTCCCTATTGGACGGAGTTCCACCTGATTGCAACGTATGGGCAACCACCACACAGCTTGACGACGCGCAAAATTCCATGGTTGGACAGTATGTCTACGTTCAATCCTTGGGGAACAATCATAACTTACTTTCCCTAGGGTTCTAAATACCGTATCATCTGATGGTCGCTTCAGCATCACATCAAATGCATCGTACATTAGTAGCATGAACGTAGTCATGGGAGATTTGTTCGTCGGCATAAATTCCGACAGCTCCGTGACGGATACGACTATATCCATCACGATGCAAGCATCCAATGTTGACCTCTTCGACCGGACACTCGTTTGCTTTGCCTTATCAAATAACGCCACTGGTCTCGCTATCTATGTGCGTAGCATTGTTTTGTTGCGAATCTCATGTTGACATGGAACAGATTCCCGACAACATGACTTGGAACGATCAACTGCTTTTCAACGTCACCCTTTTGTACCCCCGATCGTCTGTAACTTCTCGAGTCGACTCTTTTGCTACCTACCTTCCTTTGTTCACCCAAACATTTGGCGATTTTGGCGACTATGTCAATTTCGAGAAGGTTTCTATAGAAGGCCCTGTTTCCAAAATATTTGTTGATGTAAGTGGTCATGCTTAGACCCCGTTCATTGATCTTTATCTGCTTTGAAGTCCCTCGAAGCCCACCAAATACTAGTAGAAACATCCCTGGAGCCAATTTTCGGTCAGTTTTCCGCATCACGCTCCCTCTTTGTGAGCACTATACAAGCGTATGTATTCTCCTTATTTTGAAAGTGCGCGACTGATATGTTTTTTAGTCCTATTAATGTTAACATCTCGCTCTTCAATGATCCGGACTCGTATTTGCCAACGTATGTTGAAGTTAGTACTGGCAGCAGGTTCGTGGCCCACAGATTCAAAGTCTTTCTCGACCAAACATGATATTTTAGCAACCTGACGGCCAATGTTACGTTGAACGCGCCCAACAGAAGTCCTCCCCAACGTCCGAACTTCCTTGCAAATATGCGTACCTTTTATGGTGAAGCCACAGCGAGTTTCGTACACGCTCCCACATCACCACCAGCGGTTTTAAAGTTGCGACTGGAGAATGACCTGGGTCCAGCCAATGTCATGTTCGATCAGTACTTTCAGGGCGTTTTCCAAGCCAGTACAAAACTAGGTGTCGTGTCAGTGACGCAGGGCGCTGCCTCTTCTATGGATCCGTACGATGCAACTTTGATCCGGGGCTTCTCAGAGGACTTCGTTTCCAATACACGGACTTATGGCTGGATAGGCTGGGGATCACGCTCAGGGAACTTCCTCGGTGGACAAATGGGTGAGGTGGTCGTAGAGACCTCGATCGCAAACTGCACTCTGTATTTTGACGGTTGAGGTTCGCACCCCTTCCTGTTATCATCGAGGGTTCACTTGGGTTTTGTGGTTTACATACACACAGACTACTCACTGATCTACCATACTTATCCGCCGCTCGTTTGGGATGCTGTGATCTTCTGCTGGCATAGCATGTGTATTTGCACTTATTTGCACTTCAGTGTACTATCATTTGATTATCATACCTGGCAACATACATAATAGAAGCAGCCGAAAGTGGCTGAACCACTCATTCAAGTTGTTCAAATCCGAATCATCCTTATGGCGGTTGTTCCTTTGAGTCATCGGCCTCGGGCACGAGTTTTCAGGGTCACTTGCATTGGTTCTCGACTGTGCTTTTGATTTACGGATGTATTACGAGAGGTACAACCATCACGTCTTCGTCATTCTTGGGAGGACCCATTGTGCGCCAGCAAGGTGCACACAAGAGGCACGGACTTTCACCGAGACGCATGTCGCCCACGATCGAATGTACAGCTGGGACTTTGCCACAGGCACGACAGAGATCCTGAAGCGTTGGGGTGAGGTGAAGCATCAATGGATAGCCTGATGGCGGGTCTGACGGGTGGGCCAGTCTGCATATCACATTTAGGGTTGTTATGGAGTTAAAATGGAACAACCCATGCCTGATCTGGTCAATAACGAAAAAGTGTTCGCAATTGCCCTGATGTAGAATCCAGTAAGGTTGATGTATTCTCAGCGTGAGCGCGCTGAAGGCGGTTTCACTGGCAGAGGTCGATGCTTTTGTAATTTTCGGCCGTTTCCCCTCTGGCAGTTTTTGAAAATGAGCTATCAGCTTTCTAGAAAATGGAGTGAGGGATCTGTCAACGGAGGCGCTGTCGTAACGTACTCTGCGTAATCGGTATTTTCGCTCCTATCCCCGTAAACGAGGCCCTCGATGCAGAACAAACTCCCGGAATGTTCCCCTGTTTGATCGGGGAGGTTGTAGCCAGATATGTCTCCTTCGGCATCTAGATGTTCTATCGGCATATTGCTGGAGGCGCATGGTATGACGCGCAATAGATCATCTAATGTTTGCGTGGATAGTACAGCGTGTTGTGAGGAGCGCGTCAGGCAGCTCGGAAGATAAGTGATGCGGTTGTATACTGTTAGCGAAATGACTGCGTTCAGATATGAGGTTGCATTGGGGCTGGGGCTCCTGAGAGAGTCTGGCGTCGAGTTACGCGTCGCACCAACGTCTCCGTGATTTATAGTACGGAGAACGCCTGTTCCCGTCTTCTTGGGCGCATCGAGCGCGTTATAATCGGAATTTTTAGCAGCACGCATACAAAGCGCTGACTCCACGGTTAATCTGCACAAAGGTAAGAGAAGAGTGATATGCAAGCGGAGATACATACCCCCAACATTTGAGGTTGACAGCGTCAAGCTTCTCTTGCAGCTGCAGCACTTCTGGGGCAGATTCGCTACCCTCTGGAGCAACATAGCGTTTGCGCTTTCTTCCTTTCGGTGCCGGTGCATCTGCTTGGCCGCGCACGGCCGCTACAGTAGACTCATGCTGGCGCAGCACGTGGGCTGACAATACAGGGTTGTCCCATACTTGTTCAAGAGATGATTTGAGCTCTGAAATGCTACGCTGATATGCAATGAGCGCTACTAAGGGTGTGGGGGAGAGGAGCACCTTCCGCTGATCTCTGCTTCGGCAGCATTATCGTACTCGGGAGTTAACTGCTCCCATGAGGCATTGGTAAGAGATCCTGACAGCAGTGCAGAATTTGCTTCCTGTAGAAACTCTGCGACACTGATGGGCTGCGACGGTGGTCCAAAGTGAGAGTCAAAACCGCGACTCATGACATTTGATATGATGACGGCGCAGTAGAGGAAGACACTTTCAAGCTGGCTGCATATGGAAATTTCCTTTTAGGAAACTTATCGTTTCATAGATTTTGACAATTGACATTAACCAGCAACTAGGACGCGCCCAAAAATTACAATACATGATATTTCGACATAAATTAAGCACCCATGAGCCAGAGCCACCAGCGCGGGTGCAGCGTCGTCCACCCTATAACGCTGCGCTGCCTTCGAAAAAAGGTCTGGGAATAGCTTTTCGTTCTCAACAATGATCTCTCGACTTGGCATCCAGACACAAAATTCAATACCAGGCTACCAATGGTGAGAGGAAATAGCGGACTGTACGCCGACTCTGGTAGTAAGGACGACAAGGCTGCGGTCGTCGTCCCGGGAGGGAGTGGAGAAAATGTCGGTGTCAGCAGTCTTGTGCAGGTTAAGCATGAGCCGAGACATGAGAGTGGCAGATATGCTGGAGGTCATATTTAAAATCGATCGGTATTTGGTGCACCAAACACTCACCAGGTAGTGAAGTTGCACAGACTGCCTCTGGTAGCAACCTTGGCAATCGTCAGGAAATAGTCAATATAAGGCGCGAGTTTGTATGCTCACTGAACCAGACTGATTCAAATTGTGAGCACGTTATGACTCCATCAATATCAATTCGTCGACTCACGTAGTACGTCCAGATGTTCGGTATATTTATCAGTGCCATCGCTCTGAAGGAATGCAGATCAAACTCAGTTGAAGCATGTGTTCACTAGCGAATTCACCCAAAATACATCGCACCTATATTCCATTGTTAATTAAGCGTTCGCCATGAAGATGCAACAAAAAAATTACCGTCGTGAAATATGATGTCAATAATGTTTCCCCTAGTGACCAGAGATAACCGCAGCAAACCCCTGGTTTTGCAAAATTTGCACAGTGTGAGGACGAAGATAAGTAAATCGAAGACAAATAGGGCCACCCATGCCAACCCAATTCCTGAAATTGGATAAAGTGATGACATTGAGTTGTATGAAATGGGGTCAAGAATCCACTGACGGGCAGCTCTGCAGTAACTTTTAAGTAGGTGTGGCAGAACGGCGAAGAGGGCGACGTACATCTCTGCTGTATACGTTTCATAGCAGCCAACTCCAGGAAAGATTGCTGCATCGCCTGAAATTCGTGCAAAGGTGACTGCCTAGAACCGATCAGTAGACTCCAGAGCTCGAAGTTTTATGCGAATATGTACACAAGCTACTCCTGCAAGGGCAATGATGATGATGGTCATACACGTAAGCAGGCGTTTGCTACAGTCGTAGAGAGCATAAGTGCGAATGGCCATTATAACTGAAAATTTCAGTACGTGAACCCCCCGCAACAGACATCTACTCACTGCAAATGATGATTCCTTGGAAGAAAATGTACAATTGTCTGCAAAGCGTATATTTCGAACAACTGAGTCTTTATTGAGAAAAACAACAGAAATTCAAGAACCAGAAGGAAACAAACCCCTACAAGTACAGAACTAAGCTGTAAGCCCGCATATTGAGTACATTGCATGACAAATAACAGAACCTCATCTGAAACGAGGAGGAGATCCATGACTGAGCTGCTAATAAAGCCGAAAAGAGCGACATAGCGATTGAGCAGAAATAACGTTGCAGACAGTGCTTTCGGGCGACGCCAAATAAAATCGATTTCTTCTAGTAGGGTCACCATATGGTCGTATATCAGGATACCTAAGATATCATGTTACCGCCAAGGATTCAAAGCACTGGAACTTACTGTTCCCCGCCAGAACGACGTAAGTGCACAACAACCTGGAAATATTCAGTCGCCATTAGGATACATGGTCAATATATGCGTGTATCACTCACATCTGCCGTGCTTCAGTAGTAGTATACATATGTTGAGAATGTGTGTCAAGCCGTGATTCACGGTCTTTCCTGTAATCTTCAGCTATGTGTACAAGCCTGAAAGTCAAACACACGCGGTTAACTTTGTGGAAACAGGCGAAGCCATGACTCCAAAACATTTTGAACGTAGTTATACTTATAGTGCTGCGCAAATTGCAATGCGCGTATATGTTCCCAGTTGGTCCATCACTGGCACTGGTCTCTGTGCGTTACTATGTAGCGTCACATATCATGATCAGTACACATATATGTTAAATGTAATTCCTGGTCGGCCGTTACGAGGCTTGTGTGCAATTCTTTACTGAATGACACAGGATCAGACATGGGGCTCGGATCAGTTTGAGGTTCGCGACGTTGATGTCGGACATGTAATCAATTTACGTAAATAAAGGTTAAAAATATTATATATATAAGTTAGCCTATAATATTAGGTTGTATGCTCTGCTTGCTACTTGAACAACCTCGGTCGCCCCTAGGCAGACGCAGCCTCTTCGTGATTCTGAATCATGGGATATCTGAAGGAGTATGTTGACCAAGGAGTGCAAACCACTTGTTCCCTGCAATCAGCAACAGTATCAGACTCGCCAGCGGTTCATGTTCTTCAAGCTCCCCTCGACGACTCTGACCGGCTTTTACATGAAATCACAATCGAGTTGCCATCAGTCGACCCCGAACAGGCCGAACTGCCTCCCTCACCTTCATCTGTTGATGATAAAAGCGCATATAGTCGGTCCAATATCCAAAATAGTCCCGTTAGCCCCATGTGTGCATCCTTGATATCTCGTCGCGTTTCTAGGCGCAAACTATTCCTAGTCGAGCGTCGCCCAGAAGGAAACACCGTCGAAAGACGCGTGATTTCTATGCCGGACAGCATGTCAGCGCAACATGTCAAAATGGACTCTCAAAATGGCATGCGGGTGGTTTCCATGCCAGAGTATCTCGCGGCTGCTGTTGACTTGTCTCTGGACTCGATCGAGTCTCCGTCCGCAGGAGCATCATTCGAATCGTCATACATCGAGAAACGTCATCGAGTCAGAGTTTGTCCCCCACCCTCAGATGTTCCGCACACGCCTTCTCCACCGTCGTCTCCCGAGTCGATCCTCATTATCGACAGTCATGCGCAGCTTCCTGATGGATTCCTTCGACGAAAATATTTCAAAAAGACGGCCTCGCCCGGAAACGGTTGGTGTTAAATAACAATTGCAAGGCTGAGGTTCATTTACCCTACGTAGGTTGGACGACGTGGGCGAGTTCTCCTCCCCGCCCTATCCCGGCACTTCATGGCCCGCTTTCCCTCCCATATGCACGCTGTCCATCGTAAGTCGGATACGCAACGAACGTAAAGAAGCTTAACATTTCTAGGGGAGCTGAAGGAACGATCATCGAGGAGCCAGGCAACGTATCTCGAATGATATGGGGTTTAGGTCAAGACGAATCTGGTCAATATCGTGGCGATAGTGAGCATACGGATGACGAAACACGTCATAAAGCCTTCCCTCACTCCCAGGTTCCACCACAAACGCAAAAGAAACATGTGGTTCAGAAATCTCATCAGGTACGAGCGGCCGTGAATAACAAGAAAACGTTCAAAGGCGCTGGCGGAGGGACTTCCACGGCTCATCGTCACCCTGACCATGAACGTCGAATTCATGGATACTCGCAAGCACCTCATCTACCGGAGCCACAAGCTGAACCAGCCATCCGCGGTCTTCCTTTCTCAGGTTCTTGGCGGTCAGAAACCGGTATCCCAGCTGTTCGCGAATTGGACGTCCACGAAAGAAGCTTTGGCTCATCGTTCAATGATCAGAAACTTCTCTTGGATTTGCAGCTCGCATTCGCCCAACAGTCGCTTCAAAATACTGCGCTCAATCAAGCTTACCCTGAAGGCCTTAAGCCAGTTTTTCCGGTTTCGAATCATCCTCGCGCCACCCCGGCTTACCCGAGAATCTTTGTGGAACCGCGTCTCAATGAGGTGGTCAATGCAGCACAGCGTCAGTCTGCCATGGAGATTGCCCAGCAGTATCGTCAACGTCAGGAGTTCCGTCTCAAGCAACAGGCTGGCCTACCTACTCCGCCAAATTCTTCCTCTCCTCAGTGGTCATCAAACTTCTCGCCCTATCAGTATCCTTCTGTATCTCCTGAGATGGACATTCAAAACACATTAGGTCTGCCCCATCACATCCAGCAAGCACAACGCCCCTTCTTAGGTGCATCCCATCAAGCCAGGCTCTTGTATGATAACAATGTCGAGACTCGTTTCTTCGATGGAAACGGTGTCTGTGGTTCTATGCTCTCGCGTCATGAGAGGGCCGTCCCTTCTGCGGCTACTCGGCATCCTTCGGATGTTTCTGGCGGTCTTGCCGACTATCTGCGCGATTTGCATGTATTGTCTTCTCAACAGCCTCGTTTTGCTGGCACCACTGAACCTCATCTGGTGGAAGCGGCCCGCCACCCCGTCAGTACCAATCGTACCGCTGTCTCCGTTGCTCCTCCCTCACCTGAGTCTCCCGGGTCGCGATCTCGCAGTGTCTCCTATCAGCAACCCAGGTCTGTTCCTCTTGCGCGGTTAATGCAACGCCGACTGTCTTCTGTGCCGGAAGAGGAGCTCATCGGTCTTCCGGACACCTCATCTACATCTACTTACAGGTCTACCGATTGTCACCAGCGCAGTCTCTCCTCACGTGACTACTCTGACGACAATGCAACACCTCGCAGGTACCACCAAGAACAACACCTTGGCGTCCCTAGCCCCGACGCAGTTGACGAGTATGAAGCACAGCCGTACTCGTTCCCTCATGGAGCATCACCCGCAAAAGTTCGTCTCCCCTCGGTGCAAGAACAGGAAGAGTTCCTTCATCAAAACCGCGTGCAGTCGCGGTCCAGGGGAGGGAGAATTGTGGACGCGTCTCAACAGCTCAAGAAGAAACCGCGCGGGAGGAAAACAAGAAGCGACACATGACCACAATTTCTTCTGGACTGTCGCTTTCCGTTTGTTCTGTTAAACACGATCTTTCTCTCCTTCAAAAATCGGTTTTCATGTCGTCGTTTTTCGCGGATTATCCAGGGACAGTTTATCATAATTGCACGCATATTGTAGATGGATGGACTCTCCGGGACAGATTGACATATCCTTGTACGCATGTATTCATTTCGCAAAATTTCATTTCCCAACTGTTATCGAATAGCAGTTCCTGTAACAAGTACCATTTCACGGCTTAACGAACAAATCAGTGAATTTGTCTACCGGCAACTTGGACAGCGACTGCGCGTCAGTCACGGTTGCCAGGATCCTTGTGACGAATATCAGCGCTCAGTACTAAACTGCAAAAATAACGCTGACTCACTTCTGTTGGTGGGCCTCATCGAAATGTGTGGAGATGTGCCTCTTGAACTTCTCCATGAGAAGAGGAATACCCTCCTCGCGGCGACGCTTGTGTCCAACAGGGTACTCGACCTCGACCTCATCAAGAACCGTGCCGTCGTTCAACTCGACGAGGAGGGCGTTTCCAATGGAGCGCTTTGACGGTTCATGGTAGTTCACTGAGAATGCCTGTTCCTCCACACAGTGAATTTTGGCGCGTAGTACATCGATACGGGGATCGGCAGCAGAGGCGTCGGTGTACGAGTTCGAGGTGAGCTCACCAAAGATGAGAGGGTATGCAACCATGTAGCTAATCGCATGGCTTTGGTGGGACCCCGTAAGTGAGTTTACCATCATAAATAGTTCAGGATGCTTACTCTCGGTCAGCGAAGTTGTCCAAGGGACCTTGCTTGTCGATGATGCGAATGGCAGCCTCTTGCGTGCGGATGCGCACGCTCTTGATGTCGTCTGAGGATTTGCCGACTGCCTTGAGCTGCTTGTGGATGGTATGTGCGGCCTCGACTGCGGTTTGGGCGTGGAATTCGGCGGGGTACGAGATCTTGAAGAGAACGTTTTCCATGATGTATGAGCCGAAAGGCATTTGGAACTCGAATGGCTTCCCCTAGAGGTCTAGTTTAGCGGGCGGAACTGTTGCGCTTTTGGGGTATCTTACCTTGAAGAGGACGTCGTAGAAACCCCAAGTCTTGGCGGTGAGGACCGAGGGGAGACCGAGCTCGCCCTTCTTGACGAGAAGGGCGAGGTTGACGGCACGGGAACAGGCGTCACCTGCTGCCCACGACTTGCGAGGGCCAGTGTTTGGTGCGTGACGGTAAGTACGGAGGGATTGACCATCGACCCACGCCTGCGAGACGGCGTCGATCGTTTGAGAGTGTGAAAGACCGCTGCATGTACCATCTCAGTTGTTACATTCGACTCCAAAGTGAGGTGCACTTACAGGAGTTTGGAGACAACAGCGGTACTGGCAACTTTGACGAGCACGACGTGATCGAGACCAACGCGGTTGAAAGAGTTGAGCAGGGCAAGGCCACCTTGAATCTCGTGGGCCTTGATCATGCCCTCGAGGATGTCGCGAACGGTCAGAGGTTGTCCCTGGCGAGCGAGGTGGTCCGCAACCGCGAGAATGGCACCCAAGTTGTCTGATGGATGACCCCCTAGAATGCGGAGTGAGCTCATGAGCAAGATTTATAGCCCGTTCGCACTGCTCGACACGAGGCGGTCATGTACCGATCCATGCGTCTGCCTTGATAGCGAACTCTTCGTTATTGTTTTACTCACATTCAGCAGCGAGGAAGCAGTCATTGAAGTCCAACCAGCGGATGATAGTGCCAATATTGAAAGCGCCACGGATAGGATCCAGCTGGTAATTCGTTCCGGGAACCTTGGTGCCTGCATCCAACAGTTCAGCATTTTATCGTTCATTCATGTCAGGACGTCGCACCATTAGGCACAACTGTCCCTTCTACAACGGGACCAAGGAGCTTGGTGCACTCCGGGAAATTCAAACCCTCCAGTCCGCATCCAATAGTGTCGATGAGACAGAGTCGTGCAGTTTCGAACGCAAGGTCTGAAGTGACCTGGTAGTTGTGAACATAGTCTGCAATGTCCTTCAGGACCTTGTCCGGCTCTGGTCGAACGGTGGATTCTCCGTGGTGAACAGACATGGCGCGTGCGGCAGCTCGAAGGATCAGGTTACTTGGGACCCCAAGTGATGATCGATAAGAGATGGAAGCACTGATCGACCGGTTAACAGACCGTGGCACACGCCGAAACACAGACAACATTGCTGAGCAAGGGAGAAAGGACGGTTGTGGGTCGGGTGCACAATTTTGAGTGCTCGCTTCCCGTGGGCAATAGATTCGGCTATACCTTGCGACTGAAACACATGTTTATCCCAGGCGCTTTCAACATCGTCGCTTTTTGTCTCTAAAGCGAACGGACCAACGTTAACATTCTTTCTTGAATATTCAGAAATCCTCGTCGTGATCATTCATATCAATGATGCGGGCCCGGGCGCTACTATCATCTCGACCCGCTCACGCTGCTGCACATCTCACAAACGGACTCTTGTAAGGTAACATCATCACAGACGTACTGACTAGAGATCCAACTTCAATAGAACAGCCTACTCATCTGAAGTGTGCAGGTCTTCCTTGATCTTGATGTCACTTTAGCAGCCTGCTTGCTCTCAGCCTGTTATGGGCAATAGGGCTGTTTCTTCGTGGACATGCGCAATTGACTATTTCTTCGCCGAGCTTGGAACTTCATCCGAAGGAATGACTGTCTTCCTGGTCTACCTTCTACTAGGGGAGACTAACAAGGCCGCACCGTCTCCATCCAATCACAATATTTCTCGCTACCTGACTTTGGCGAGTTCGTCACGGACCATTGACGTTCACACAACTTTAATTCGAGATCTCCGCGTTTAATTGAATCTCACAAACGGGAGATATTCGGGGAACCGCACAGCATTGGGGGATGATCATCTCCTGCTGGTAAGTACACGTGTTCTGCCAGCAATATTGCCGCGTATGTTGTACAACATAGTGGTATGAAAATCGCATTCGCGGACCGCGTATGCGGATGATAGTGTTTGTGTCAATGTGCCATGCTTATATTGTAGGGCTGCTTGGATATGTTCAACCTTCTCCACTTCTTGCTCCCAGCTGCATTTTCGCTTTCAGCACTAATTGAATCCTGCAACAATAATATTTATTTATGTCATTCTCTGGATCGTCCGCTGTCGCTCTCGAGCACCAACGCATACAATCATCTCCCACTTCCCCGACCAACCCGCAAACCCTTTCAAATGTGCGTGATGAGGCTGCCCAGAGCACCGCACTCCGTATAATTACCAATGCCTGCATCGTCGACGGTGTCCGCATTGGTGTCCACTTTTCGAAGGAAGATGACAACGACTTTCTTCGACTTGTCGCTTCCTATATATTCGCCCGCCTACCTTCGTCTCCATATCTCTTCGCCATAGCCACCACTGGTGCATTGCCAACCAATGGTGGTACAGGGCGTGGTGCCTGCATTTCAGACGCACTCATCATCTGCGGGTCAGATGAAGATGATATGCAGCGAGCTGTGCTCCTCGCGTCCTCCAGATTTCCAGGACGTGTCGATGCAGTTGACAACACAGGTACACTCATTGCTCAGGCTGCCTCCATACGACATATGGGCTCCTCGTCATACGACGAGGCCGCCTTGTGGGACGTGTTGTTCAACTCCGTGCGCAATCTCGTCAATCCTCATCTTCCTCCCCCTGGATCTCGTAGCATCGACCAAATTCTCTCCGACGCCCGGTCCAAGCTTGAACGAATGACGCCTCAACAAGCTCACGACGCATTTCACGATCCCACATACCCAGTGCCGGTCTTTCTCGTGGATATTCGCCCAGCTTCACAGCGTGATCGTGAAGGCGAGATCCACGGATCTCTCATCATTGAGCGAAACGTGCTGGAGTGGCGTTTTGACCCACGCTGCGAAGCGCGATTAACCATCGCAGATCGCTATGATTCGAAGATTATAATATTTTGCCATGAAGGGTACACCAGCTCATTGGCTGCGGCGTCCCTGCACGAGCTTGGGTTGTTTAATGCGACTGATATAGTGGGCGGTTATGCTGCGTGGATCGCAGCTGGTCTGCCATGTCAATAGGGGCTATTGATGAGGAAAGCTATCAAGTCAGTCGACCATCGTTTTTGTGTAGAGATGCAATTGATGGGACATGCATCAGCAGATGGATTTTATCAATTGTACCAACAGAGATGACACCTCACAGGTGGCAAGCTTGGCAGGAAATGCGATATACGGGGTAGCGCGGGGATATGTGCATAACCGATATCCTTTCTTGATGTGAACTTAGGATAGAAAGACTGTTCCTTTGCTGCAATTTTGCTGTGTGGGTAGTACGACGTCTCGTATTTGATCGAGTGACGAATGAAACTTGTGTATATGTTCCAAAATAATGCTAGACATAATCTATAAGGTGTTTTTGTAGCAGCAATGTACACCCAAGAATGATGATCTTGTAATGTGATGCTATACTCTAGTCGTTATCAAAGGTATTTTGAGCACTTATAACAGCGAAGTTGTCTCAAGCAAGAGAACGATACCTAAAAACATGGTGAGCACGGTCAAGATGGAGAATCAAGTTGGACTCACTGTGCACGATGGAAGGTATACTCTGTGTGGTCACGTCCACAACTAGGTCTGCTTTCTTTGGTACCTCATACTCGGTGTCAACACCAACGAAGCCCCTTATTTCTCCGCGACGCGCTTGGGCGTAAACGCCTTTGCGGTCAGTGCTCTCGCAATGTTCGAGAGGCGTTGCGACATGAATCAGGAAGAAGTTCCCTCCTGCACCACCATTTTGGAGAACAGTATCCTTCACCAACGCTCGTGACCGCTCTTCAGGGGCTATAGGTGAAGCAATGACAGCCGCCCCCGCACGAGCGAGTTCGCCAGCGACAAAGGATATGCGTTGCAAGTTCTCGTGACGCTCTTCTTGTGTGAAGCCCAGCTTGACGTTGACATCATCTCGCACGGTCTCGCCCAGGAGAAGGGATACGCTGCGACCACCTTGTTCGTTGAGTGCGACTTGGAGGGCCTTTGCAATGATGTCCTTTCCAGAGTTGTAGAGGCCAGTAAGACACAGAACAAAGCCCTGCTTGTTCCTTGGTGGGTAACTTTCTCGCAACCTCGTCACTACAGCCCTGACGCGCTTGTCAGATTGATGCGTATGATACAGAGAATGGGAACGTACTCGTAACTGAACCAGTCAGGGATATGCGCCCCTGATTTTAGTCGTCTCCGCAGCTCCGTGCCAGAGATATCCAGAGTTTGCGATCCAGCAGGGATTTCGTCAACTGGTTGATACTCATCGGTGGAGGGGAGGTATGTCATCTGTTGGAATGGAACCATCTCTATCTCTAGCTCATCTTTGTACTTCTCAACAAGTTCTTGTGCGTCATATGGGCCGTAGAAATCTTTGCCTTGTGAGTTCTTTCCTGGTCCAGCATGGTCGCGACCGACAATGAAATGCGTTGCACCAAAGTTCTTTCGGATAATTGCATGCCACACTGCCTCACGGGGACCTGCCATGCGCATTGCGAGAGGGAGGAGCGCAAGGTGACCCATTCCATTTGGGTACTTTGCCATGATGGCTTCGTATACGCGAACACGAGTATAGTGATCGACATCTCCCGGCTTCGTAAGACCGACGACAGGGTGGATTAGAACGTTCGCCTGACGTTGGCGAGCAGCACGAATGGTGAGCTCACGATGAGCACGGTGCATCGGATTCCGGGTCTGAAAAGCGACGACTCTGCGCCATGCAAGTTTTTTAAAGTGGGCACGGAGTTCAGTAGGGGTGTCTGTCGATGCTTTTTAGTGATGTATGTCACCCTAGAAACTGGTGCGACTTACATCGGAGAGCAACATAATCGAAATGTGATGGCGCCTGTATAGCTTGTACCTTTCCTCCTACATAGAAAGGCTTGACGCGGTTGCGGAGGTACGCGACAGAAGGGTGTGCTGGATCATCGGCACCAAAAACGTGAATAGATTCCTTGGCGCGGTCATAAGTGTAGATATCATCAACAGTGATGATTGCAAGTGCTTCGTCGTCACGAGGGTCACGGAGAGCAATGCGAGCGCCGGGTGCTATGCTGAGACGCTCGATATCTGCAGAAGACACGTCAAGGGTGACAGGCATGGCAAAGAGTGTGCCATCAGACAGTCGTAGTGTATCGACGACGCTGACAGAACATTTCAGCGTTACTTTCTTGTGACTTAATAATCTCTGCTACCTTGTATAATCAGCTTCGTTCATGAACCCTTCCAAAGGACTAAAGCCGCCGTTGATGATAAGCTCGAGATCACAGAGCTGACGCTATTTAAGATCCATATTCAGCTAAGCGTCAAGGTTTTTGTCACTCGGGAGACAAACCTCGGTGAGCACAATGTCCTTGAGCTTTGCAGCCTCGCCCTTGAGCTGCACGGATATGGGTTCATCTCGTGCAACAAGGTCCTAAATAACCCACACGATGTTAGATAAGGTGAAACATAAAACCCAAAAACATACTTTCAAAATTCCGCCATGAGGTGTGCTGGCCATTTCTAATATGTATCTCAGAGGGTATGCAGGGAGTCAAGGACAATTTCCTAACCCAGTGAGTGTTTAAGAGGATATCTGAGCGAAAACCTCGGTGATTACTTATGCAGCATCGTGACATTGCGATCCCGGATGAGACGATATCACGCAATCGTGAGCAAGGCATATGACGAATATAGGGCAAAAGAGCTCATACGAATTCTGAATACGCAACAGCTTGCAAAGAGCACTGACCGGCGAGGCATTCTGCTGGTCATATGACGGACTGAGTAGCTTTTCCAGGAGCAGCCTGTGACTTTGCTCGTCGCTGCACCCTGCCGCGGCACTGCACGTCCATGATATCACCTGCCAAAATGAAGTTCACTCACCAAATTTGGTACCAATCCTTTGTACCTGTTACATAAGCCAAGATTTACCAACTTGAACTTTGTTGATATTGCGTTGCTTGGACACGCCCCGAGTCAGACGCCAGATAGGAGTTGGGGACTGTGCCACACCCTGCCACACCCTGTCGCCGCTGCAGGCGCGCGCAACTCTGGCAAGCCTTCTTACTCATTTGCCGCTGCGGGCGCGCAACTCTGGCGAGGACCTGCAAGTCTGACTCGTGGCAATTGAATGCGCGAAATATCATTCTCATGCCATCCCATGCTCGTCACTCGTCCACGTCGAACGGATCAGCACCCGCGGGTCACTAGGCAAGCCTATCGCCTTACTTAGGTTTTCTGATAGAATAGAGGGGCAAACGTTAACACGCCTGGTCTGTTCTGGTTAGCACTTTCGTGTGCATTATGACAATTGCATCCTATGTTTGAAATGTTCTACAGGCTCGGGGACGACCAACCGCACTGCTCCACTTCCCAATGTCATAATTAGATTCAGAGCATTGTCATATCTCCTTTCTGCACGTGTATTCCCTGATTTTCGTTTTTTTCCGCTCTCAATTGACACTGCTGAGTGCGGTCACTGTATTGTTTCGAACACAGTGTTACTAACAACTTGTAAGGTGGGGATTTACATATTTCCAAGAGCGTTCCCGAATATTAATAGTAAGTGTCAGTAGACTCAGTGAGAATATGTCCAAAATATGGTATTGCGGAGTCTGCATGGAAGGTCATGAGACCGGACAATGACCGGATGAAAAAAAAAACATCTTATCTTCCTGAGCTAACAGGTCGAACAAGTGTGCCTGTAAAAGGGCCAAAGCATGGGGTCGTCGTAAGGCGCATGACTCGAAGTTGCAATTATCCAGTTTTCTTCGTGAAAAACGTGGACAATTTTGACATTCCTGCCACGCTGGCCTTCTTCAGCTGCTCCACGCCATGTGACGACTTTGCGTCTTTCTTCTTCTTCTTATCTCCATCGCCAGCTGCATCGGCGTCAGTATTCTTGGCGTCCTTTTTCCTCTTCTGATTTTTATCGCCAGCCGCAACAGCTTTCGTAGCCTTGGTTCTCTTCCTGGTATCGGGAGCTACAGCGAGTAAAGCGAGTTCTTCGTCCCTGATCGTTTTTAAATGGGCATCCAGTTTGGAAAAACTGATGGCCTATCAGTTTCTGTTAGCCGTAGTAAACAGGACACATACTCGTAAGACGCAATCAAATCCTGCAATACATCCCGGGGCAGATATTGCGATAGCAACTCGCAGGCTAACTTGATCCGTCCCGCTGGAGAAAAAAATGTACGAGGTTAGGAAGAGATAAGCGATGAAAAATGACGTACATTCAAGCAGTTCTTCTTTTCCATCGTCCATCAGACCATCCTTTGCAAGGTTCCGTACCAAAGTGCGAGACATCTCTGCGACCCTAGGGTCGGATAAGCGTCCCACCTTCCGCTTAAGATTTTCTAGCACAATGTCATGAGAGTATCTGTATACTGTAATCTCCTCCGTAACAACTGAGCGCAGGCATGTGAATAAATGATTATACGACACTTGAAACACTTACCTTTAATGTCGCAGACACGCTTTATAGAAGATTGGACAAAATCCAGAGACAGAAAGGAAATAATGTCGTCTGCAGAGATCTTTAATGACGGGTCTTTCTGAGCTTCTTTCTCGGATGCATCAGCAATCGTTGCAGAGACTTCTTCTATAATATCCTGCAGAGGTCGGAAGTTGCCTTTCGAGCCGTCGCGCTGTTAAACAAACATTGTATGGGGAAATAGCACTGCGTGAACGATAACATACCGCTTGTGGAACGCGCAAAAGATACATGAGCAAGAACATGGGGTCCATGGGTGTCATCACCATAAGTTTTCCATCTGAATACCTGTGCGTCAGAAGTACGTACGACTGGGAACGAGATCTGCGTTACGCACCAGCGATGACTTCCTCTCCTATGAACCAGGTCCGCGCATTGGCCGGGGATATAGCTTGCACCTCCGATATGGAACTCGTCTTTATGGTATCATCCTGCGCATGTTGATCATGAAGAAGAAACAGCGATGCGAGACCTTGTCATTGTAAGCGCTGAGAACGGCAGTAGTCGTATATCAACTGACCTGTACGCGGGTGTGGAAGTCTTAGAAATCGAGTCGCATAGTCGGCATGACAGTTTTCTTGATTTAGCCGCGCAGTCAGTGCGTCAATAATGTCTGTACGGAATGGCCAGCCAAGTTGACATGGACGCTGGCGTGGACAAGGCGAAGAGCTTACCAAGTGGCAGTATCGCAAGGTGAGTCGACATCCTTCGTGGAGTTTTCGAGGCACTGATATTGTACCAGTAAGGCCAGGGTATATGTGCTACTAGTACTTGCTAGTATAAATTTAAGCTGCAGTACTTGGTGATTCAGAATGTTGTTCGCGTTGTTTGCGCGTTGTTTTGCACTTCCATTTAGGGACACCCCCTTATTCGCGGTTGTAGTGGTAAGAAACACATCTGCATTACAATGCTACAGGAACTTATACGTTATCACAAGTCGCCGCGCCGGCTGGATCGGCAGATGCAACACCCGCAGCGTTCAAGAAATCACTTGGGCAAGCAGAACCTATACTCGTGCCAGCAGCGTTAGGAGAATTGGCCGATGCTGGAGGGGTAGACGTCGCTGGGCTGGTAGGAGCGGCCGTACCACTGTCGACGCCGCCAGGGGTAGTCTGGGTCGTCGGATCTGAGTTTACTGTCACGTCCGCGTTGGTGAGGTTGTCCGTTGCGCCGATGTCCTCAGGGGGGGTGGTGGCGTCGATAGTTATCAACGGGGGTGTCGTAGTGGAGGAATCATCAGACGCAGGTGGGGCGGACTGTGGTGGGGGGGACTGTGGTGGAGGAGAATGTGGTTGGGGGGACTGTGGTGGAGGGGACTGTGGTGGGGGGGACTGTGGTGTGGCGGATGCACTCCCGTTATCAGGCGTGTTGCTACCCGCGGGACTAGTTGTCCCAGTTATGTCTCCAGAGGGACTGTTTCCCGCAGGGTTGGCAGGAGTCCCGGAAGCATCGTTATTGGCGGGGCTGCCGGCTGACGTTCCAGATGTCGTAGGCCCGTTTGCACTTCCAGGCGTCTCCGAAGGTGTGCCCCCTGGAGAGTCGGCGGATGCGGAGGGAGCTACAGAGTTGGCAGGCGAAGCGGCAGGTGCGGGATTCGTCGAAGGCCCGGCGGAAGAGCCTGCACCCTGATCACCTGACGCTGCAGAATTATCTGGGGCGCCTCCTGAATTGGTTGTGCCAGCCGCGTTCTCACTCCCTGCCGGATCCCCGAAAGCTCCTGAAGAGCAGCCACCTTCCTGACGAGCTACGAGCAAGCCAGAGGATGAACGACCGAACTCGTGGCACCAGACTAGGAGGTCAGTGAAAGTGCGTTCAGATAGTCCGGTGGGAGGGCTAAGTTCTCGTCTGCCAAGGAGAATGAGGGAGTGCCGAGGGTGTGGATAAGCGACGTCTGCGATGATGCAGGAGGAAGGCGACTGGCAGGGGCGGGCGAGTCGAATCAACTGTGCACTTAGATAGATAATTAGGGACTTACATATTGATGATGAGTGGTGACTTCAAGAGGCACGGCGAGCACGGCGGGGAGCACGAGGGCGAGCGTTGAGAAGGAGCGCATTATGAACGAATGTGGGGTAGCAAATGCAAGCAAAATGTGCAAGAAAAGAAGTTAAGTCGAAGTGGAAGTGGAAGGATAAAAACGGGATGAATCGGAGACTGCAAAGAGCGAGCTTTTATATGTCTCGAGCTCAGTGGCTGACATAAATGCTCGATGAGCGTTGGCTGACAGAGTTCCCAGCACCCGGAGTATATTATATTCATTGGCGGTATAGATCTTAGAAGTCTAATGTTCGGCGCTCGACGCCAACATCAATCTGCTTACTGAATGTTGAATATGCAACATATAGCTGACAGAGCAGCTTTGGAATTCAATCTGTATGAATCACCGATTGGCATACCAAGTTCCCAAATCGACTCATCGGGCGGTATCAGTGGTAGGGACTATGCCTTCAATTTAACCCAAGGACGTACTGACAGCGCGAACACGAGAACATGACATTGAGCTCATCCATCCCAAAACTCATCGGTTGCTCCAAGGATACCCTGCGATCACAGGTTTTTACTATTTTGGGTCCGGGGGACGGGACGGACGCCTTGCATGTCGTTCAACTAGCAATTCCTTGCTACATCAAGACATTGTAAGGCAGAACAACCGACTAAATGCGGGAACTCACTGGCACCAACCAGCACTTGTAACATACGAGGTATTGTTTTAAACAGTACGTGGCCTCGCACTGACGACAACCTAAGCCTTCGTATGATAGTAAAGGGGTTGACCCAACCTTCGCATGTTTTTGATGCAACAAGGGTGATAAGACTCGATGATTAGGCGGGGTTCATCGATCATCATTCTGTAACAGGGAAGCGCACACTCGTGAGCAGTATCTTTGAAAAAACTTCTAAGAACACTCAACACGAGTGTGCACTCGAGCTCGGTTGATGACGGTCTCTTCAGTGGAAGTAACAGTCATTCAACGCAATCACTTGCGTGAGACACTACTTCCATAAGAATTGTGAAATGTTGACGTAAGTCAACAAGCACTTGCAGTTCTCCCTCGCGAACCGTCAAAAGGTCACAACAAAATGGCTTCGTCTTCAGGTGCGCAAACTCTTCGAGAAACGGTTTCGTCTCGGACTAATCAGTTGCAGCTGTTGGAAAACTTTCCCGTGAGGAGTTTCGGCGCCAAAAGGATCTCGATGCTGCCAGAAAAGCTGGAACTGCTCCTGCAGCTCTAGACGAGGAGGGACGGCCTATCAACCCTCATATTCCTCGTGAGTTTGTATTATTTAGAATTATCAATTCTGTAATCTCATCCTCCACTACAGAATACATCTCACAGGCCCCGTGGTATCTTGATACCGGCGCACCATCACTAAGCCATCAACGTCGGCCATTTGACGATCGCTCCTCAGACAAACTTGACAACTGGTATGACCGTGGTGCGAAGGCAGGACCTGCTGCGAAGAAATACAGAAAAGGTGCATGCGAAAATTGCGGCGCAATGACACACAAGAAGCAGGATTGTCTGGAGCGTCCACGGAAGAAGGGGGGCGAAGTTCACGAACAAGAATATCCAAGCGGATGAGATCATACACGACGTAGCGACGGGATTTGATGCGAAGAGGGATAGGTGGAACGGGTATGATCCTGCAGAGCACAAGAAAATCTATGACGAGTACGAGGCTATTGATGCAGCACGTCAGAAACTGAGGGAGGAAGAGATTGATAACCAAACAACAACGGATTTGGCTGCGGTGCGGAAGGTGGCGAAAGCTGGCAAGAAGGAAGGAAAGGAAGCTGATCCTGACTTTGGTTCGAGCGATGAAGAAGACGCCGACGACGACAAATATGCCGACGCTGCAGATGCTGTCGGACAAAAACTCGACACGAAGACTCGCATTACAGTTCGGAATCTGCGCATCCGAGAAGATACTGCCAAATATCTCATGAACTTGGACCCGGAGAGCGCATACTACGATCCAAAAACCCGTTCAATGCGTGACGCTCCCATGAAGAATGTGCCTGCGGAGGATGTATGTCTTCACGCTTCCTTCCTCGATTCGGTCCTAAATGACATCCATGATAGGCGAAATTTGCCGGGGATAATTTCTTTCGGTTCTCTGGTGAGGCCCCTGAAGTTCAAGAACTGCAGCTTTTCGCGTGGCAAGCCGCAGCTCGAGGGAATGATGTCCACCTCAATGCCAATCCCACGCAAGGTCAACTGCTTCACCATGAATTCAAGGAGAAGAAGGAAATGATGAAGGATGTTAACAAAGTCAGCATTCTGGCAAAGTATGGTGGCGAGGAGTACCTCGAACACGTACCAAGGGAGCTGGTAAATGGGCAAACGGAGGACTATGTCGAATATTCGCGGACTGGCCACATCATTAAAGGGAAAGAACGCGCTAAAGCACGGTCAAAGTATCCAGAGGATGGTGAGCTTCTACTTTTACTTTCTGATAGATGTGAGATATGGTATTGACACGAGTTCTAGTTTACGTTAATAATCATACAGATGTATGGGGCTCATGGTACGACGTTTCAAGCGGTACCTGGGGCTATGCATGCTGCCATTCAACCATCCACATTTCATATTGTGCTGGTGAAGTGGGCAAGGAAGCCGCACAAGCTTCGACGGCCCAAGCCTTGCTTGCATCATCAAAGGCTCAATCAGAACCTTCTGCCCAGGACAACGAGGCTAGAGCCCGAATAGAGCAGAATTACTCCAAGAAGCGTGTAGGCGAAGGTGATGTTTCTCTCGATAAGGACCGGTTAGCAGAGGCCATCAGTGAGGAGAAGAAGCGGAAAGCTAGAGGAGACAAGGATGATGACCGATATAGCAAGAAGGCGAAAGGACTGCAGAGTGGTAGCCACGATGTTACTGAGGAGGAGTTGGGTATGTGTTTAATATTTCATACTTTCCGATTGGACGCCTTCTGATGCTGGCCTATCATCTTGCAGAGGCTTATCGAATGACGCGCCGGAATGCAGAAGATCCTATGGCAAACTACGTGGACAGCGAAGATGTATATACGCGATGATGTATTTTACCTTGCTTTTCCCTGCTCTGTATATTCTTTGCATCCTGGACGTGCAGAAAGGCTAACACCTGTTTTGTATTTGTTGCACAACGTTGTTTGGGTCTACCATTCGGTTCACACGAAGTTCAACAATTGAATAAGCGGATGTTTACTAAAGCTGTCGGGACACCACCATGCATATGACCGTTTGAGTCTTTCCCATGACATTCTCAACAGCACCTGCTCTACTATTTGGTCTGGGCGTACGCGTTGCCCTCAACAAGTTCTCGAGCACTGCTGACGCCAGTGCTGACGAGGGTGTCATCAGCGATGTCATTCTTCTCGGGGTCGTCCAAGGCGTCGCGCTATATTACGCTCTCATGGAATACCCTGATTTCGCGTTCGCCGTTGCATTCGGCATCGCCGCCAGACTCGCTATCGAGTTCATGATGCTCCAGGACGTCCCCAGGTGCGCGACCACCTTGCTCGGTGTCGCCCTTGGCGTCCTGGTCACCGACGTCCTATCACAACTTATCGAGGACGGTTACTTTTATGACTTTCACGGAGACTCAGCTCGTGACAAAGAGAGCACGTATACCCCAAAACGAAAACGTCTCGTTAAATTCCAGTCTACTACAGAGTATCAAGTGATACCCCCCAGCCGACCCCCGCGCTCCCGCAAAAATGAGCCAGATCAGCGATGGCGTACGCCACCTTCAATGACTTCAACCAGTAGCATCGATCCCAACCACACCATGAGCCCGCTAGAACGTGAATTAGCGGCGCTACGTGCAAAGGCGTCGCTGGCAGATAGTGAGAGAAGGCGGTTCAAGGAGGAAAAGAAGTGGGCCGAGTCACAGGGGAACGTCGCGCGGGTATCCCAAATGAGTTGGCAGGTGAAAAGGTACACTGCCCTGACGCAGAGTTTCACTCGGGAAGCAGATGCTAGACTCCTTGAAGGTGGGACGTCCAGTGATTCATCTGTTTGATCACATGTTCAACGTAGTGGCTTTTAGTGACTGCGATGAAGCAGCAGCAACAGACTACTGCTGGCGCAATTGCTCCACAGCCCTCAGACAGACATCGGGTCGATCGGCATACGAATCACTCTCGACAAACAACCCAGGAGGTTGTGATTGATAGACAGTCCACTGTAACAGTGGATGTTCCAGGGAGGCATCGGAGGCAGAGCTCCGGGAACTTGAAGTCTGCGATGCGTCTTCAAGTACGATAATGACATGATGAGTACGAGTAAGTAATATACCCCTCCTCCGATACTAGACCTGACACTGTGAAGAGATCATCTACATTACGACCCTGCAACTGTCGCCGCCTATTTTGCTTCATTTCCTTGGGAGCTTTTCTAGGACTTATGTGTATCATTAGATGTGTCCCCGTTGGCATAGTGGAGAGCCGTCAATTCCGAGTCAAATATACCATCTTGGTCAAAATAGCAATTATATTTCATCTGTATGTACACAGAAAATAGATTCCGTTAGCGTGACTAAATGTAGACGTTGGGTAGGCGGACGCCACCACCGACAGGAGAGAACACGAATATTGTTTCTCAGACAGTGACTTCAAGAGGAAGGCCCCGGTGTGGTGATGCGCGCCTGATCGAGGAAAATATTCGGGTGGAATTGAATTGCGTCTTGTCAGTGTTGTATGCTGACAGGCTGGAGTATAGATACTTCAATGACGATAAAGTAGCCAAGCGAAGAAGTGTTTGTGTTGAGAACCGCTGAGTCAAAATGGATGAACTCCTGCGAGCCACATAGAGCTTCGCATACTGCATCTGAACTTTCTTCAGAATCTCCGCCATATACGCAGTCGAGTTCCCGAATGGATGGAGATTTAGCAAAAGAGGTGGACATTGAACTCAAGCTCAGCGAACCGACGCAATAGTTGACCCAAGGAGGGTGCACAACAACAGAAAGAAGCATTCGCGTTCATCGCACCAATGCAAAATACGAAGGTTGGGCAAGAGCTGTGATGGTGCGTAAATGAGGGCTTGGACGACCCGGTCGTCTACGATATCTAGATCATCGGAGTAAACAAAAACGTGGTGGCATGAACCCGTGTATGGTTTCCAAAGGGTATCAAGTGCAGGCTCCTTGAATGTCGTACAGGATCTCGCAAGAGCAGCAAGTAACACAAGAGCACATTGGAAGCAATTCATGTTGTTTAAGATCACAAATAGAGAAAATGTGGAGTAGAATTTGTGAAGGTAAGAGACTGAGGGTTAGAGACAGACGTGCATGATTGCAAGAGAAACCAAATCCAACTTGACAAGCGATATGGTGCTTAGTCACCCCCGCCGAGACACGTCGCGACCGAGCAATTTACTGTCTAGGAGCACTGCGTATCATCAGACCTCCATGTGTGTAGCGGAGCCCGTCTGAAGTTTGTCAGAAGATTAAAATTTCATCCGGGAATGCAATTGATACATGTCAACAAATATAAAAGAGTTGTGGAATATTGCAACCTGACTTAAAAAAGTTAAGTGTGATAGCCAGAGAGCGTGAAAGCAAGAACGGGGTAAGATCCAAAGCACAAGAGTGAGTATGAGCAAAATATTAAAGTGAGGTACTATCGATGCGTTTTGCCATTGGTCTTCGTTGCGACGCTCGATGGTGTGCCATTGCTCTTGCCGCCTGTACTGGGGCGAGGCTTCTTGGCAGAGGTCGATGCTTCCGCCGACGCTCGTGGCGCAGCTTCCTTCATCACCATCTTCGCATGAATATCCTCTAATTTGGAGGCCTTGACTTTCTTAGGCCAAAAAAGCGTCACGAAGCTGCGGTCAAAAAATAAATATCCATAAAATTTGTCCAGATTTTCGTACTCACGCCCATAGATGTCGACGCCATCGTTCTCGATCCTCTCCAGCGGCTTGTTTATTTTGAAGAACAATTTCAATGCGTCGCCCAATGGCAGCTAGCGAGTCCTTCAGAATCGCAACCTTGTCATCGCGAGGCATGTCCTCGCCAGACAACTTCAATTGTTTCTACAGAGAGGAGTTAATATTGGCTCGGATATCACACAAAAATACTTACTAGCTGCTTCTTGACTGGTCTCAACTCTTCCTTCGTCGCAGCTTCATCCATGGATGGACTAAAAATTATATCAGTATATTATACTTATAGTCTAGCACAGGACGTACCATTCGTCCGACGATTCAGAGTCCGTAAATGTAGGAGTAGGCCGTCTCTTGCGTCGTTTCGCCCCACCATCATCGATGGATGCAACGGCCTCGCTCTCCGCGCGGCGTTTCCGGCCGATCGGAGGCGACGACGACGACGACGCCACAGCTGTTGGGGGAGGAGTGGCAGAACCCTTCAATTGACCCTTATTCCGCAAAGAGCTCTCGTACGAACGTAGCTTCTCGTCATGCTCACGAAGTAGGCCAAGGAGGAAGTCACCACGCCGGACGAGGTGAATGGCATTGGGAATCGGCCGAGTAGTTGCATCTTCCCCCTTCTTGCCTTCCTCCAAGAAGAATTTGCCTTGAAGGCCTAGCCGCGCATCCTTCGCCATAGCCTCCCAGTTGCCAAACCCATATATGAAGGCGCCAACAAGGAGCATCGCATCCTCTTGCGGTCCCCACCGCCCAGACCAATTGAGAGTCGGTCTGATGTTTTCGATCGGAATGGTCCAATTGTAGAGCTCTTCCGTAGTAAAGTCGCCCAAGATGTTGTTCAGGATGCGAAGGTCGCGATACCGCGATAACACGGTCTCCGCGTTGATGTTACCGACATTGCGGAAAGTCACAAGGACAGCCTTGCTCTTCTGGGCATTAGTCAAAGTCTCCCCTGCCGCCATACGTTCCCGCTTTTCCTGGTTGTTCTGCTCAACAGCTTGCGTGCAAACCTCGATGATCTCGTCGGAGACGTCCATGATCATGCCCTTGTGCTTGTCGCCAAGTTTAGATTCGTTGACCTACAGGGGTCATTAGATCCGGTTAATGAGGAAACCATAATCTACTCACAATGACATCGTAACGCTGACGGATGTCGCCCCAACGCTGCAAACTCCGAATAAGAACACGTACGTCTCGTTCTTTGAGCTCCATGGCCTTTTGACTAGCAGTCTTTCTCTGGGGTCCTGGAATTTTGGGTTTCTTTGGAGCAGGTGCCGGTGCCGGATGATCGACATCCATGCCCTCATAGGACACAGGTGCATGGGTGCGCTTGCGATCTCTAAGTTCTGCCGCAACCGTCTCCTCAGCCTTCCGCTCATCCTCCTCTTTCTCGAACTTGTGCCGCTCCTCTGCAGGAATAATGTCTTCCCAATTCATGTCATTCTTCACGTCGCTCACGGCAGCGAATTGAGCGAGGAAGCCTTCACCACCAAGCGAGGCACCACCATCGCCGCCAGCGGCCATTGTCTCATGGTCCTCGGCGCGGTTTAGAATGTCGTCCAAGTCCATCTCGTCAAGCTTCTGGTTCTGTTGCGAGTCATCCTTGTCGAACCTGGAAATAAGGTGAGCGGAGAGTGTCTGATCAGGAAACATCGTTACTTGCATCTTCTGAGCCCCGTATTTCAAGACTGCAGTGAGCTCATCTTTGCTGAGATTGTCAGGTTTCGTGGAATCCTTGACCTTTTCTCCTTTGGGGTTGGAGCTCAGATGCGCCTGTGAAGTATCCATTTGATTGATGACTAACATGATCAATGAGATCAGGTGTGAATCGGATGAAGGCATTACTACTCACTGGCATACTCCAACACCATCTTTTTCTTGGCCCTCTCGAGAACATCCTCCTCCATCGTATCTTTACTGACGAAACGGTAGACGCTGACATGAGACTTCTGCCCTATGCGATGTGCACGTGCCATGGCTTGCAAGTCGTTTTGAGGATTCCAGTCGCTCTGCAAAGACGTCAGTCATACATGCCATGACATACGAACGGCCCACGCACGTCAAAAATAATGACAGTATCGGCAGTCTCCAGATTGATGCCAAGACCACCTGCACGGGTCGACAACAGAAAGGCGAAGTCAGGCGATCCAGGTGAGTTGAAATGTGCAATCGATCTCTTCCTCGCATCTGACGCGACCATGCCATCCAGGCGTTGATGTTGGTATCCACGAAGACTCATGTAATCACTCAAGATGTCTAACATCCGGACCATTTGACTGAAGATGAGCACGCGATGACCATCTTGCCGAAGGCGTACGAGGAGCTTGTCGAGGAGAACCATCTTTCCGCTGTTCATGACAAGGCCCTTGAGAGTGTCGTCGTTGATATCAGTGCGCACTTCAGCACCGTCGAAGAGATAAGGGTGGTTCGCAGCTTTCTTCAGCTCCATCGCAATGTTCAGGAGACTGATGTTGTTGTTCCCATTTGCGCTCTTCACCAAACCTTGGAAGTTCTAAGCAAGGATTAGCTAGGGTTAATCGCCAGCGGCCATAAGCCTACCTTTGTCAAGATGTTCTTGTAGAAATGCGTCTGCATGGCAGACATTTCTACTCGAAGGATGCGCTCACTCTTCGTAGGCAAGGAGGTAAGGACATCGCGCTTCAGCCGGCGGAGCATGAGCGACTCAAGTTGTTCATGCAGCTCCTTGATCTTGGCTTCGTGGTCCGCGTCGTTAAGGTCAAATTCGTTTGTTAAGGCAACTATAGACAATGTCTCCTCAGCCACAGCCACATCGGCAGGAACAAGACACAGAACGTACACTTCTCAGGCATCAGGAAGTGCATCAATGAAAGCAACTCTGCACGCGGTATGGCGTCAGCAACAATCGGCAAACCCTAGTCATAGCAACACGCACCCCTGACATTGTTTTGCAGTGGCGTACCGGTGATCAATAGCTTCGACGCAGCAGGGAAAGACCTCAGAGCCTCGTACAGCTGGCTTTCCGAGTTCTTGAGTCGATGAGCCTGAAGCGGCTATCAGTGGCTTTTCTAGACGTCCCGCGCTTGTCTCACCTCGTCAACGGCAAGCGCCTGCCACTTGATATCCGCAAGCTCCTTTGCGTCCCTGAGAGTGAGCTCGTACGTGGTCAGCAGGACATTCATCTTCAGTCGTTTGTTGGAGGGGCCAAATTCATACGTCCGAATGACCTCACGTGCAGGAGCGGTTCCTATGTAGGTGATGACGTTCAGATCAGGTGCCCACGCCGCAAACTGCGATTGCCAGGCGGTGATGGTGGAAAGCGGAACGATGACAAGGAATGGACCATATTGGTGCTTTTCATGGAAAAGGTAGGACAGAAAAGAAACTGTCTGTACGGTCTGCGCATAACATTTCAGCATTCTGAAAGACGAAAATAATAAGAATGTACCTTTCCGAGACCCATTTCATCAGCAAGAATGCCATTCTCGCCTTTACTCCACAAATATGCCAACCAGTTCAGTCCGGTAACCTGGAAGTCCTTCAACTCACCACCCGTCGAGGTGATGTAATCAGGATCCTTCTCAATCTTCGAAAACGATGGCCGCTGGTTACGCGCATAATTCATGCTCTTGTAAGGGAACTTTGCCTCGACCTCTCGTTGACGATACGCCTCAATTTGGGCTTTGGCGATAGGACGCACTTCCTCCTGCGATTCCCATGTGCAGTGCTCGTAATTGAGCCCAGTCCATTTGCAGAAGTACTCTGTCATGCCCTCTGCACCATCGCGATGCGAGACAATGCGTTCAACAACCTTATAGGTCTCGAGCTCCTCCTTCTCGCGCTCCTTGTCAAGAAGCAACGCCTCAGCATCTTCCTGGGAGATGCCTGGCGCACTGAGGCGAGACTGATACATCTTGTAAGCTTTGATATAGTTGTCGACACGCTTGAGGCCCTTGAAGCGTTTGAGGAATTCGTAGGTCTCATCGGTATTATGCAAATGCGAGAAATTTTTCCACTTAATGTGGAAACGCTGTAAGACGTGTCAACAACACCCTGCTTGCTCACATTTTGACACTCACAACATTATCAAACCAGATATCGTCAGGATCGTCTTCACGACCCTCATCTCTACAATGACTCAAAACAGACTCGATCTCATCTTCCTCCTTGAACTGCGCTGTAGGATCGACGTAGTACCCTTGATCGACATCCTCTTCTGATAGCTCAGCAAGAGCTTGAACATCATCGGTATAATTGGGAATCTTGCCGCCTCGGCTGGAGACACGGATTTCGTCTCCAGAAACACGAGGCCGTTTCTTCTTCTTCGATCTAGACCCATATTCCGAGTCAGAATCTGAGTCGTTGTTCCGGGAGATGGCTGTACAAAAGCTGAGCGCGAGTTCCACAAAGGAAACAGAGTACATACCTTTGGGTCTTGGTGCTGACGATGACGGCTGTGATTTCTTTTTTCTCTTCTTGGGAGCTTTCTTTTTGCCGTATTCGTCGTCTGCATAAGAGCCATCGTCCTCGTCCTCCTCCTCGTCCTCCTCAACGTTATCTTCGTACCCCTTGTGTACAATGGTCAACGATCTCGGAAGGAAAAGATATGATAGATAGATAACATACCGACTCTTCAACATCCTTTGAACAAACATTGAATTAAATTGTAACGACTAACATATAACACATGAGACTTACGGAGCCTTTTGGGGTGTAAGAAGATGGCCCAGCAATAGCGACAGAGGTAGTGTCATCGACATCCTCTGCATCACCATCGGCATCGGCATCTGCGTCTAGGTCCTGAACATTATCGGCAGCAGTGTGGTGATTGTTGACTTGTTCATTTTCAGAGTCAACCTGCATAGAGTCATCACTGTCATAATTGAGATTAAGAGCGTCGGGATTGAGCGCCATGGTGTCGACGCTGTGATGGACAGTGGAGGGAGAGGATGTGGTTGGGGGTAGAGAGGGGAGGGAAGAGGTCGTCAAGGATCTTGTTGACGAAAATGTTCACACGTGTGGCCATCGCTACGGACAACGCCGGGCAAGGCCCCATCGTCACCGCTCATGGCATTGGTGAAATCCGGGTTGGGGCATAACATTTTGGAGTAATTTTGCGAAAAACCTAAATTGTGTAATATTTTATATTAAACCTCTATTGTTCTAGACATATTTTTGGTTATTTTTATGGATAGTTTATGGTTAAATTTATGCGCCATTCTCATCGCCATTAATCGTTGTTGAGCCTGGCGGTCTTCGGATAAGTAACGCCCATCGAATACAGCATCATCCCACCCAGTTCACGGCTCCCATAAACCGCATCAAGCACACCAATAACAGCATCCTTGTTATCTACCGCAGCCTAACCTGTCCAGTATATGTATCGGCTGCCGCTCAACCAGCGATTCTACCTCGTCACAAATACCAACATTGGACCGCCATATGATCTCAGCGTGATCGTTGATTGTGCAGTTTCTCAGCTTGATTCGCCTGATCAGTGATGATGAACTCTACCTTGTGGACGTCACCAGAAATATCCATGGCCAAGCCATCATTCTCACCTTTCGCTCTAAATCTCCGCCAAATCCACGCTCCTCGGCTTAGTGCTCGCCGCCGAGCCCAATGTCCCCGAAAGTCTAGTCAGTAATTGCATAGTACCCACGTCACGTCATGATCGCTACAGGGCCTGTTGACCGCGGCCATTTTATAGTAAATAATTTGTATAATACGTTGCTCCCCACACCATGCCTTTCTCAGGCAGGCACTTGTTCGTTCGTCGAAGCACGTATTCCAGTGCCAAGTCATCCAATGAACGATCATCTCGCCTTTTGCGCATGCCCCTTCATCGCCGCGCTGCGGAACCTATACCTCATCTTGGGTCAAACATCACCAGCGCTCATCACATAATATACACATGCTGCTCGCTGTATGGTGACCAAGCCAATGGCCTTCCCTCGAATGCCCGCATCAAGAAGGCCCAGCCTTGCTACTAGATCCGGGAACATCGTATCGAATGTTCCACCAGGGCCGACTTTCGATGGGACTGCGCACTGATCTGCAACCGCCTCTTTTGGTCCTTCACGGCCGTCCGCCAGCGTTGATGAACTATTTGTAATTCAAGTCCCGGTCACGTGCTGTCGCCGATTTAGCTTGCTCACTGACCCCAACGATGAACACACGAACTTTTAAGTTTTTCTCGCCCCTTTAGCTAGAGGACCCTCTAACACCCATGATACGAAGAATGTTTGTACGCCCAGCTAATTTTGCGACGATACCCCTTCAGGTCGTCTATATTGTCACGAAGCTGGGGCTATCGCGTTAACGACGTGGCATGTTCAGCACCGCACTCTATCCCATTCCCAGATAGCCCGATATCACCTCCTTTGAGAGCCTTGATCATCGGTTCCATTCTTCCATCATACCCCCTTCGCGCGAATATGGTGGCACTGTCTGTCGAGCTCTGCGACCCTGGATGATTGATCATGAACCACGCATGCTCTACGCGAGATCCGAAATCTTCATGCTCCACAAAACAGATCCGATAACGTTGATTTCAAATCAATGCCCCTCTCACGAGATCGTGATCAAGCGCTAGTTGTACGAGAAAGTAATATACCGCAAGATAAAGTAAGTTCGTCTGGTCATTGGCTAAGGTCACAAATGTGGCATGCGAGAGTCAGCAGACTCGCTGAGAGCCACCGTGATACTTACAGCGAGTCCGCTGACTCTCAGGAATGTGACATGGTGACGTCGACATGTCGTGCTCGCTTCTCACTATCTGTATCTGACGGACAGACGTAATCTGCGCCTGCTTTTCGCCTCTTGCATAAACTCTCGGTTTAACCCTAAATTACACGATGGAATCAAGCTTCCAGCAAACTCATGTTCAGCAAAGTAGAGGATCCGTGACAAACAACAACGCTGTTAACGGCTTCACCGGCTCTGTGGGAAACACCCCATTGGTGAGGAGATCCATCCGCGAAGACAGTGAATCGCCTCTCTAACAGCGACTCTACATGCTCAGATCTATCTTAAGACACTCTCAGAGCAGACAGGATGCAAAATATACGGGAAGGCTGAATTCCAAAACCCCGGAGGCAGCGTCAAAGACCGTGCTGCTGTCAGCATAATTCGGGATGCGGAGGAGAAGGGTCGGTGAGTGGGCATAATTGTGCTTTATGCCGCATTAAGTGTTGAGAATGAATCTAGCATAAAACCCGGTGGAACTGTTGTTGAGGGTACTGCAGGCAACACTGGTATTGGCCTTGCCCATGTTTGTAGAGCTAGGGGCTACAAATGTGTGATATTCATGCCTAACACTCAGGTAAAGACGAACACCTGGCTAGTATCCTCTTCGCTAACGCTTTAGTACTCAGAGCCAAGAGAAGATTGACCTTCTCCGAATGCTCGGTGCTGAAGTGTACCCAGTGCCCGCAGTACCCTACGAGAATCCGTTGAACTATAATCACCAGGCGAAGGAATACGCCGACACGCTCGAGAATGCCATTTGGACAGACCAATTCGACAACACTGCCAATGCGTATGCCCATTATATCTCTACTGGGCCTGAAATATGGGAACAGACGAAGGGTGAGATCGACGGCTTCGTTTGCGCAACTGGCACTGGTGGCACTCTGGCTGGAGTTGGCAAGTATCTGAAGGAAAGGAGCAACGGCAGGACGCAAATATGGCTCGCCGATCCGCCTGGCAGTGTCCTATACGAATACGTCACTTCTGGTGGAAATCTCATCGAGCGTTCTGGAAGTTCCGTCACAGAAGGTTATAGTTTTCCTGCCTATCATTGTGATCGTGATGGATGAGCGTTCCCTTTTATATTCATACAGGGGTTGGTCAGGGCCGTGTCACAAGTAATTTGGGTACTTTTGTCAATGACCTCACGGGAGCATTGCACATACCGGACGAGAAGGCGATATCCATGTTATATCAGCTTCTTGATACCGAAGGCTTGTACGTAGGTGCTTCCTCGGCGCTGAATGTCGTTGCAGCTGTAGAGCTTGCACGAAAGTTAGGGAAGGGTAAGGACACTAATCAACTACATCTCAATGCTCAAGCCAAAACTCAATTTTGTCTACCAGGCTCTAAAGTTGTGACAATATTGTGCGATGGCGCCTACCGATACCAGAGCCGTTTATTTTCGAAGAAATGGCTAGAATCGAATGGGCTAGGGCATGCCATACCAGAAAGCCTAAGGAAGTACGCAATTCTAGATTGATTCAGTTTATAGTTTACACATCAGCGGAATATTATTGATTATACTTCAACGTGGTGGCGGCCGTCCGAGCCAAAATTAAGCTATCGTTGTTCAACTCTGATTCATTGATGAACACTGGACAGTCGATCATCCCCTTCGCATTGGCTTGAAATCCTTGATACCTGTAGCTAGGTATGTCATAATGTTTTGAACCTAGATAATTAGCTATAGTAGAATTCAACCTGCATGCGGCAGTGCACGGCCGGCCATAAGCGATTCGGACGTGATGAGTCACGTGAACAAATATGACTCGGATAAGTCGTTGCTTTGGCTGCTCCCGGGGTCGAGTTCTTGAAAGTTGAGAACGCTTCATGCTCCACCGTGACTAGTGCTGTTGTTTTCGGCTATGGAGAAAGCATCACACTTGTCCGTGATAGTAGACCTATCGCCAACGCAATGGCACCTCTCTGCACAAGCATCAAACCAGTATCCACTCTCCATCGAGACGTTCCTCTCGCAGCTCCTCGCATTTCTGAACGCGCATATCGCGTCTAAGCATGAGAACTCACTTGTAGTGTTTGGCGCACTTCCCGGGAAGAGGTGAGAGATGTCCTCAGGAGTGAGCAGTTTATAAACTACTGACGAACAGTGTGATGCTTTATTCATCGACGGAGCTGCTCACGGATGACGTGCCCTCTTTGGATGCTAATTCGTATCTGCCTTTCAAGCTTGTGGACTCAGTAGTCGTACAGAGGATCATGAATGAGTTCGATGCTATTGGAAAGCTTGAGGAGGAACGTGAGTGACGGCCATTTGGCCTCCCTTGTGTCATCTCATTTGCATCACAGCTCCATGTGCATTGGTAGGCGCTGTGACGAAGGCCCTATGCTGTGAGTGAATGGAAACACGTCACTTCCAGCGACCTAACTCACAGACAGACATCAACCGTATCACCCATCCCTCATCTTCGGCGGCCGGTGTCGCAGAGGACCCGTCGATCGCCCACGACCCTCGCATTTTAATCCTATCAGTCTCCCCTGACTTGTCTTCTTCATACATCCCGATTATGAACGCTATATTCTCCGCTCAAAAACTGGCATGTCTCACTCCCTTCAGCAGCATACCATTTGGCTGACTAGTATGGAGCAGAAGGTGACAATAGACGTGTGCAAGGTTTATGGGCCCGACACAGTATTCTTGCAGCAAGCAGCCCACCTGACGAATGGGTCGTACATCTACCTCGAACGCAGAGACGCATTTCTGCAATACCTGATTGTAATTTTATATCGTAGCCTGCCATATCATGTTGCTAATCAAATATCGTTATCGCAGATGTCCTTCCTGTCACCACCATCCATCCGCAAGATTCTGGCTGTACCAAAGCAAGACAAGATTGACTTCCGCGCTGCATGCTTCTGCCACAAGAACATTGTAGACGTCGGTTTTGTCTGTTCCGTCTGTTTATCTAGTGCGTATTATATTTACTGTTTTATGACCGAATTCTAAGGAGCCTGCGATCTTGCAGTTTTCTGTCAACCACTCCCAGTGTGCTCTACGTGCCGGTTAGTTACTTCGTTCCCTAACTACCCACTTTAGCCCTGACGGACACACAGAACAAAGTTTCCCATCAATACACTCAAGCGACTCAATGCTGCTCGCCCTACCATCACTCCTGTAAATTCACGCACGGGGCTTCCGCTGGCCAACTTGAATAATTCAGCAACGCCTCGTCCAAGTCCTACCCCACCGAATGGGATGTCTAGTCTCCGATGACGATGGGGTGTAACCGGTAACCCTCGGATCATGGCGCACCGCGTGAAGTGTTATCTACATAGATGAAGACAGTGTCCATTGACACAATTACTACCCCCCGCATGAAGGCTGCATGAGGTTACCGGTGAATGGGCAGTGCAGTTATGTACACCGACAGCTTGTCTGCATCTACGGTGGAGCCAGTCGACGCTGGCCGACGCAAAATGGACACCTGCATGTTATCATAATCAGTAACCCAAACATTTTTGTATTAGCTTTGCGAGTACCTTTGGTGAGGGTTGGGTGGTGCTTGCGTACGCGACCGCCATACTTTCTGTAGTGAACGCGCACCATAACCTTGCTGTGCAATAAATATGTCCCTAATGAATAAATAAGATGGTATGGAGATGACTTACGCACTGCTTCAACTTCATCGTCGCCATTTTCTTTTGTCAACAGCAAAACTCCTGCGTTTGGCATCCGATCCCCTCGTTGACGCAATGGTTCTATGACGACCACCCAAACCTATTGAGCACAAAAATATGAATAGCTGCAGTATGCCACCTTACCAGCAAATTGCTGATTCAGTATTCGAAGCAACAAGTGGTGTGTATCAAGTTCGCTGTCGTCTGAATGCGGTGACTGTAGCGCTTCGCCCAACACACGGGCCAGTCCGCCTCGCATTATGTGCTCCCCTGCTCCAGAGATGCTGCAAGCCATCCCAGAACGTTCGTTAAGGGATTGCTGCGCCCAGCACCCGGTTCCAAAAGTAGCTGCCTGCCCAGGTCACTCAGTTTGTCTTGAAGATTATCTCTCGGCTGGTTGTCTGTGCTTACTTCACCAATACGACCTGAGTATTTGAGCAGCAACCCACCACTACACCATTCGTGACTTTTCATCTAAAAGCTTTTCTGAGGACACACCTTGAAACACCAGCAGCGAGATTGCCTTCGTCATCCCAGGCCACCGCGCCAACTGTGTCTTGCATGGCATCATGAGGCAAGCTCTCTTGATTACCGTGACCATCAGCAGGGTGATCCAGTCGCGATTTCCATTTTTGCCACTCTTGTGTCGCTCGTGGTGATATCATTTCATTTGGAGCAACGGTCCGGATACCTTGCGACGATGCAAACGAGTGTGCACCGGACGCGACAAGAGTCCTCGCAAGGACTCAGTACTCTCATTCCACAACAGTGGCACCTTCACTCACATGGGGCGGATGCGCCCAAGAGAGTCGGGTTCTCTGGAGTGCCTCAACACTGCCGATGCCAGTTTTATTGGATTTTTTACTCCTACCTTTCCGATGTCAACCAGCAAGATAAGTCGTCACGAAGATCGCCAAACCTGGTACGGCACCAACGCTGCCGAAATCTCCTGACAAGCCGTCCATGACAGCTGCATCACATTCGACATTGCCGTCCACGGTCAGATTGGAACCATATCCTGATAAAAGGTTGGAGAAGATCGGAAATACAGTGAATGTGATTGAGATTCAGGTACTAATTACCACGACGTGCCGTACCTGCGTTGAGGTATTCATCATCCTCAAGAACGGATATGGCTCGCTCTACAACAGAAAGGGCAGAGGAGTTGTCTGATGGTGATCCCCGCAAAGCTCGAGCACAAGCACTAGCGTAGTTACGATGAGTTCGACATAATCATATAGTGGAGATTTCTGGCATTACCGTTTCAAAGCACTCTTGACACTTTGTTCTGACACAACCCCATGATATCCTGCTCCTCCGTGCACTGCGACATATACGCGGCGTTCGTTCGTCGGCGCCTGCATCACTGCACGATTGTAAGTGTTTACATAAATTTAAAGGCCGCATAGTATCGTATATCTGTGTTCTGCGTGTCACGACAGCGCATGACATTGTCACATCGTGCATACGCGTGGCACTCCATCATGTTCCTGCACTACACGCCTGCTTCTCAGTCCCGTCGGTTGATGTTGATATACCACACTAGGGGGTCTAGTAGGGGCCCTTGAGACTGGCCCATGGATACCTTCAGGTGATTGCCAATTGGACAAGTGAAATTGGACACAAGTTTCATCACGATCCGTGAGATAGTGCCAGTGTTGACACAGTTTATTCTGCCAGCCGTCCTAGGAATAAACTGTCTGTCCACAAACTACGCCGGAGTGTGAAAAGACATGCATATATGGCAGGCGGGCGCCGCCTGACATATGAGACTGGTGCCGGTGAACTGCCTTGCTAGACGAAGAAGCTGATCAGCACTTACTGGACCAAAAGCAACAGCTACGTGACAGAGCACGACTATCGTCAAGAGTGCAGTGGAAGACAGTCGGCACTGCGTACATAACGTCCACTATCAGGTCTCTGCCACTGCCACCATACAACCAGACCAGTAGTAGGATATTACATATTGTGAATGGCAGGTTACCCTCCGTGCAACGATCAAAGCTTTACTTGGAGCGCATAGCATGATATAAGATGGAAGCCCTACCGGGAAGGAGCGTGTGTAAACTTGGATGGGCCGACTTTGAATTCAAGTAGGCTCGTGAGGAACGACGTCTTCCTTCTATCAGCGGTCTGCCTACTAGTACAGACCGCTAGCTCGGAGAAGGCTCTCGACTACTTATCTTTTGACAATTTGCAAGCTCTTAAGCTCCTCGACGAACGTGTTCCGAACCAGTGTCGTGCTCAGCGGCCGTACAACAACTATATACCGACGTTGCCGGATGTCCTTCCCTCAACTTATTGGATACAGTGTGCTTACCCTTACAGTATGGAAGCTCCTTCAGAGATGGGCTTCCAGAAAGGCAAACACCATAAATGTTGCAGGCCCAGAAAAAGAGCACTGGTGGAAAGGTTGGCTGGCCGTCAGTCCCACATATTGAATGCTCACGTTCATCGTTGCAGGCAACTTGGAGTCAATGTTCGTGGACGGTTTTCAGCGCTGCTTAGAGGTCGCCGCAGATTATGGTGGAGCTGTTAAGATCCATGCATTGTTTGGAGTGAGTGGTATATGCATTATCCTGCATAAGACATGATTATTGATGTGAGGCCCCCAGGAAGAATGGCTATATGTATCAGACCCACGCGCGCTCCATCATATCCTTGTCAAGGAGCCGCATATCTTTGAGGAAAGTGACAGCTTTATATCGTAAGCGTCAAGTATTGCTCGAAGGTTCTTCATTGACACTCCTCGAGTTGCAATAAGCTCATCTTCGGAGATGGTCTTATTTCGACGCTAGGTAAATACTGCTGGTAATCATCGTAGATTTTTTGTCACCGCTGCACAGGGGAACAACACCGAAAGCAGCGTAAGATGCTCAGTCCAGTATTCTCGACATCCAATATGCGGGAGCTCCTGCCCATCATTCAAACCGTTTCCTATGAGCTGAAATCCATCCTCGTGTCAAATCTTCCTACCCACAGTGAGCTTTATCATACACGCCGTTATTCATAAATTCATCATTGTCATGCACAGACTCTGTAGAACTCGACGTCTTACCTTGGCTCTCTCGCAGTTCATTGGATTGTGTTTGCGAGGGCGTGCTGGGCTATCATTCAGCTGCGCTAGACATACGAAATGAGGACGAGTACACAGATGCTCTACGAATGATAGGGTGCGTACGCTAGTCCGCTGGTGAAATCATCCCTTAACATGGTCTGTCTCACAGTCCATCCATCACTAAAACATTGTTGTTTCGACCCCTTGTTCCGATAGTTACGCGCATTTTCTCTCTTTACTGGCGCAAAAAGATAGTAGACTGGCTCACGATAAGTTGGTTGCCGACGCAAGCCATGCGAGATTTTAGAGAGCTACGTCGCATAATCGAAATCATGGACTCAGGCAGTAGAGCCATCTTGCAGGAGAAAAAGGCCGCGCTGGAATCACCCTCCGCTATCCTATCACAAACCCATGACACGCCAGGAGGAACAAGGGCAAAAGATATGATGTCTATCATGCGTACGTAATTACTAGCCAAGGAGTATCTATGCTCACGTAGGACACGTACAGTCAGGGCAAATGCCTCATCTTCTGAGCCAGACAGACTAAGTGATACCGAGCTTCTTGGACAGATGAAGTCAGTCCTGGTTGCTTCCCTGCTGCGGAAACTAATTTCTCGATCAAACAGCGTCATGATCTTTGCTGGTCTCGAGACAACGACGGCAGCAGTGGCTCGTGCACTGTACATGCTTGCCAAGCACCCTCATATCCAGGAACAACTGAGAGCGGAGATTTGTGATGCCATGGCTGAAGTCCCTGACGTCCATTCGCACGCCAAAGATGAAAGCGAATCTACCAGACTGTCATACGATGCATTGACGAATCTTCCTTTACTGGATGCAGTTGTTCGAGAGACGTTTAGGCTTTATCCGTCGCTGCCTGTTCTCAGTCGAAAGTTAGTTTATTGACAAAGGACGGCGCCTGCTGACTCTTCCGAAGAACTACAGAAGCAACATCATTCCCATTGCAATTCCCGGTTCGGTCTGCATATGGCGAAGAGATCAATACAGTCCCTGTGGCCAAAAAACAAAAACTGATCATATCCATCATTGCTGCGAATCACAATCAAGCTATCTGGGGCGAAGATGCGTCAGAATGGAAACCCAGTAGATGGCTTGACTCTTCTCAAGGTTACATTTTGTGCATGCCACGAGACATGGTTATTCATCAAGATTCTTTTAGGGGATGAAAACGCAGTGAGATATCCGGGCGTTTATTCGTCTATGTGTGTCACACGCAATTGTTTTGTCATATACGTCTCACTAAACGACCTTCAGGATGACCTTCCTTGCAGGCAATCGCTCTTGCATGTATGATGTCAATTTTTCTGATCCTGAATATGTTCTCACTTCACACTGACCTCACAGAGGCTTCAAGTTTGCCGAAATGGAAATAAGTGAGATATATGACTTGTCAGTAATTGGATCCTCACACTGAAGAACTTGCGTTCCAGAGGACGTATTGGCGACTCTTCTGCCAGACATCCGTTTTGCCCTCCCGTCAGCACCGGACAACAACGGGAATGTGAAGGAGATATACTGGAAAATGGGTGGCTTCCACATACCAGTAGTCAAGGCGCCTGCAGGAGATGGTCAAACTCCTCAATTGCCTTTGAGCATGCAGCTCATTCGAGAATGATTTTATTGCCAACCGATCGATCATTTGAATAGTTGGTCTCATGAGTGATTTGGACATAATGGCTCAGAGCATCGCAGTTTTGGGTGGTATAACTTAAGAGGAGACCACGTGAGGTTAAGGGGCATGGGAGTATTATGATGATCGGTCGTTTGATCGCTCATTGCCACGTTTATTCCATGACCTCTGCGGTATCATTTATACCTGGGTTCGGCACTGTGCTTGACAGTTCCGAGACGAGCATGTATGAGTCTCACAGACATACACATCGTAGATAGATTACATGGTGCAAACATATATTGTATATATTATATCAGCTCATCCAACGTCATATCTCCTGGTATGTGTTCCAGAACGGTTGCATCTGACGCAACACAAGGCGGGATGGAGGTCGCTACCACGATGTTCATGCTCTGGCTCGTGAGAGGCAGTCGTGTAACACGGGTTAAATTCGTCCGAGGCTTGCTGTCTTCCGGTACCACGACGGACTTGTACATCATGACTTCATGCTGTAAATCTTCGTTCGCTGCAGACATGGCATCCCGGTCGCGGGTGCACATGAGTAGTTTCTGATAGCTATGAGTTCAAGGGAGATCCGAGGCGATGAAAATGCTTACCTGCTTGACCTCGGAGAGCTCCCGACGAATCCTATCCACGTATAAAATCCTCTGAGCGGGATTGTTATGGCCAAGAATTTCAGCATTAAATTTGCTGATATTATCGGCTTCTTCCTCTGCGAGGTTGTTTCTCGCCACTAGTGCTTCAGTTTCATCCACCAGATTATAGTATGCCTCCTGGAAGCGTGACAAATCTGCCAACTCTGCCTGCAACCTGTGCAGGTTTTCTAGGTCAGTTATCTGTGGTTCATGTAAAGGCGGCGGGAGACCCACTGCTCGATATCGGCATTGAGAGCGCCCTCGGCTGTTTTACTCATGTGAAGCGCAGCAGACAGCTTCTGGGAAATATCGCGTTCCTTTTGTAAAGCTTGTTTGTGACTTGCTGCTGTGTCCCGTATAACATTCTCGAATTCTTCCACTCGGTGCTGCAACATATGTTGTTCTTCACGACATTCCGTCAAAGAAGTTTGGGCATCAGCCAGCGCGTGCTGTCCAGTAGTGATCTCAACCTGTGCTTTCGTGAGCTCGACCTGTAGAACATCCCGTTCGGCCGAGTTACGAGCAAGTTGATCGATGAGTACACGGTCAATTTTGTGCTGCTTCGCGAGAATTCCTTCAAGAAGAGAACACTCTGAAAGTAGCTCGTCATTGTAGGAGTGATAGAAGTCGGATATAGTCCCAGTGCACGCCAGAGCACTTTCCTGGACCGCGGTGGTTTCTCTAGATGTATCTCTTTCGCTCTGGTGGATGTCTCCCTCCAGACAATGGAATTCATGAAGCTCAGTGCAATGGGAGCAGCCTTCGAGGGCAGCTCGGTACTCCTGCAAGGTTTGTGAATGGAAAGTTGCCTCTTCATGAATGTCGTGCAATTCTTGACGCAAGAGCGCATTTTCTTCCTGGGTGTGGCGGATAAGGTTTGCGAGTTCAACGACTTGGCCTTCCGAGTTTGCCAGCTTTCGTTCCAATCGGAATGAACGTAATTGAATTGAAGTATGGTCCTTCACGAGTGTGGCGTGGTTAGATGCAGCAACGGTTGTCGTAGCCAAGCGGCCATACTCCTCCGCGACGCGAGAAAGGACGGAACGGTATTGGTCCAGTCGGGCTGCAAAATCGATATCTTGGTTCTCGGCTTGCCCTCGCAGAGATGTGAGCTCTCGGCATGCATCTTGGGAGTCCTTGTTAGCCGCGTCAAGCTTTTCTTGGATGATCTTCATCATGTCGCGTGATTTCCGAGCTTCATCATCCGCCTTTCCTTTCACCTCGCTGACGCAGCTTTCCAACGATTCCTTCTTCTTCTTCTCTGCAGATACAGCCTTTTCTAATTCTGCGATCTTTCTGTCACGTTCCCGTACTTCGTCTTTCCTCCTTGCCTCGAGACTCTGTAGTGCTTTCTTCGCCTCGCTGCTCTCCCCCTGTTTACTGGCGAGCTGTGTGCGCTCATGTTCTGACATGCGAAGTTTGACACGTAGCTCCTTCAGCTCGCTTTGGTCGGTGATATTGCTCTTCTTGTACTCCTGTATTCGTGATTCAAGCAGCTCGTTATGTTTCTTGAGTTTGTCCAATCTCTCCCCTTGCTCCAAGTGAGTCTTTGAAAGACGGGCGACTTCAAATTTATAGCGCTCAATTTCGGTTTGGTGCTGTAACACAGTGCTTGAGGTCCAGACTGCGGAAAGCAATCAAAATACCCTCTTACCGTTTTCTTACCATCAGCGTGTACTTTTTCCAACTCTTCTATTTTCTTCAATAATATCGCATACCGATCGTCGCTTGCATGTTTAGCGGCGGATAATTTGAGTGCAGCTTTCGGCGCAGAATTGTACGTCCCTGGTCCTGTAAATAAATTAAACGTTGTGCTGTTACAAAATCGTCGAGCTTACCTGGGACATCGGACACCTTTTCCTTTGAGAAACGATCAGTTTTCTCCAGAAATGCACCTCGTTTGTAGGGATCTTATCGTAGCATTGATGTTGAATGAATGATACAAACGTGTTAATTATGCTACGTACCTTCTGGGATGGTGTTTGGCCCCGGAACGTCGGAAACTGCAAGAGTTGAAATCATGAGCTGAGTGCTGGCTCAAGAACCGACCTAAGGCAACGCACTTTTCTCTGGCGCAAAACGTGAACCTTTTGGAAATGACATATGTCGTCGACTTGATGATACGCCTGCTAATAGCTGAGTCAGTTGGGTATGTCACGGTGAACACAGTTCAGTTCAATGTAGTCAAACATGGATCAACAAACGCGTCGCGGGTCCACGCTCACGTGATGAAAAGCAGTCGCGTCCCACATGAACTTGAAAGAGACCTTAGTCGTCATTTTTGCCATCCCGCTCCTTTCGCATGTATGCTCAACGCCATCATTTTCAATATTACAACCACGGCTACAACACTAATGGTTCCGACTATAAAAGTAATATCTGATGTGTGCATTCTCGGTCCTGCCTCTTTTATACACCTCGCACTGGCACTTAAGTCTCACCGTCGTGCATCAGCGCCTTTTTTGCTGTGATGCAATGTGCGTGACAATCAATAATTGCTATCCAGCCCCTCCACCCATATTACTATTACCCAATTTCATTATAATATACTACAGTAAATGCAATGAAATCAATTGTCCATCTCATTCGTGCCGCATCCACACTCTGACACCACGCCTGATGTAATGAGCCTCTGAATGAACGGACCCAGACAACCATATAAGTTGAAAATCAAATTGAACCACTGTTGGAAGGCGGTGGGCGCGCTTAGCCAGCATGAATCGTGAAAGCACAAAGTCAATGTCAGCAGAGGCCAGAGGCCAACTGCAGGCAGGGCACTGGTGGAAAGTCGTCGATAGAACATTGCGCGATCGACGACAGTCAATGCGGCGCGCTGATAGAATGATGGCTTGAATTTTACTATGCAATTATGTATTTGTTTGATTTGACGCTTTGTCCAATAGTGATTTTTGACGACAAGAATTGCTGGAAACGACCGACGTTGTAGTACGAATGGGTCCAAGACTGGAAATCACAGCCTAGAACTAGACGTCAGTATGACATTCTAGAGACCATCACAGGACAACGCACCATGAAGTTAAACTCGCGAGGCCAAGCAGTCGCAGCTTACCGTTCTCTTGTATACTTTTTCCTAAAATACTATACACCATCACACATACAGATAGCCATCCAAAACCCCGCGAACGTCTCTCACGCCGCCAAGGTCCGCAAGGAAAGGACAAAGATCAATGAGCTCCGTGTCATGTGGGTCATTGAACCAAGATGAAACAGGGACCGCGTTCTTGGGGTGGAAAATATATGATGCCGGAGAGTTGTCCAGAATAATGGTACCTGCGAGCGGACGACCTAACTGGGAGAGATCCTAGATAGGGTAAGCCAACAATGAAACATACAGGAAAGATGCGTCTGTTACCTTGACATAGTCCCCATTGTGGTTATAGCAACTTTCTCTGAATAGCCGATGCGACACAGCTTGATGAACGTCCAGCTTGTCTAGAACAGGGTCCGCAAACTGCAATGATAAAAATCAGTGACGACGCTAAGGTACATGGAAGAACGCTTCCTCAGACCTTGCTCACGCTGGCGGTGAAAACCACCACCTCGTAAATTTCGCCCATCTTCTTCAGGAAGTCGTCCACACCCGGGCGCTTGATGACGTTCACATCGTGCCAAAGACACTCGATCTCCACTGGTACGATATAATCTGCGTGTTGAAGAGACTAAAAACCCAAAGGAATGTGTCAGAAACAACACCAAATCTAGTAGCGGAATACTTACCCCAAAGCTGCTATGAACAAGAGTCTCGTCGAGGTCAAGAACGAGACATTTGCGCCCCTTGTGTCGGGAAGATATTGGGGGTAAAAGCGGTTGTGGTTCGCCATCCTGATGGTTAAACATTATCAGCTATAGTCTATAAAAAATGATATGAGGCTCACGGGCCCTATAGGGATTCCCGTACCTCCATTCAGGATAAGAGCATCTCCGTCATCCTCTGTTGGTTCTACTTCCATTTCAAGTTCTTCCGTTTCTCCATAGCCCTCTCCAAGTTCTGTGAAGTTATCTTCAGAATCTGTCACTCCGTGTTATTGGGTACCCCTAGATGGTGTGTGTGAAGCATCACCATGAGAAGATTGTGAAGGCGAGAAGATAGTATCTAGCCCGGTCGATCCTGGAGGTTGGACTGCTCCGCTGGTCATTCCCTCTGTTTCAGATATTGGAAGGAGGGCCTTGGTTGGCAAAGGGGGAACAATAAAATCTTCTATGTTGTTGGTTTGCGTAGAGGGAGGGGACGTTTCGATTGCCACTGGTGGTTCCGTCTCCTTGATTTCACCCTGCTCTTCGCCGGAGATACTGACGTCGACCGTGGGCGAGGCTGAGACACTGGCCGGTTCAGTCGTCTTCTCTCGCATGACATCATAAGTATCGATGTCAATCGCATGCGCGTGATCGCTGATGGCAACGCATGACATGAGCTTGCAGACAAGTTTCCGAGTCATAAATGGATTCCTTCATGCACTTGTTCTCGTCACTGGATTGATTGGTAGAACAAGCAATCTGATCAATGATTATAGGCTTGGATGCACTGGCAAGACTCAGCTGTTGAAAGCAAGAGACAGGAGTGTACAGGACAAGCCATAATGTAGGGCCCGGGGCCGGCCGCGTATCGGGCCGGCAGTCGACTACTATTCGGCCTCTTCGACCGTATTCAGTTCCTTCAACAACCTGGGAGGTCGTCCTTATCATTAATGCCATAGTATTTTACCCAGTATTGTCAGATGCGCATTCCAGCGTAGATGACACCAAATTGGCACTATGTCCTCCAGTCTATTTTTCCAGAGCGGCCTTACCAGCAGATAATCAAGGCATTCCACCGGTTGACAACGAGTGTTGGGGCGAACTTTCTGGTACAGGTGAAGGAATCCACGTCAAAACAGATAACGCATAAGGTATGAATGCATGTTTGCAAGAGGGGCGACTGTTGTGCGAGGGGGTGATCGGTGATCGTATGACAGTATCCATGCCATTCTGTAGAACTCGGTCAATGGCCACAATCCGTGAACCTGCTATCTTGTCACCGGGACTATACTTGTCTATGAGTCTAGACGTCCGATATCTCCATTTGCTTGCAGATCCCGTCTTGCCGATTATCTCTCTCATGCTGTCTTAGCCTCCACCTCATCGGTCCGTCGTCTCTTTCCCATCCCTGTCACTGTCACCATCTAGTCTTCTGTAGACCTCATTGATGACGCCCTCGAACTCCTTGTACACCCGTGGTCTCAAAATGCTGCCCTTATCAGCACGAGGAATCACTGTGCCGTAAGGGAGAAACACAAGGGCTTCCATCGCAAGCTGTGAATGTGAGGGAGCTTCGGCATTAACAAGAGCGACGATAGGCGCTACAAGCTTTACGAGCTCCGAAGGAGAACAGTCTTTTCCGATTTCAGTTGGAAGAATCAGAGCTCCAATTTGAGTGCGACCAGCACCGAAGATAACGGCATCTGCAATATAGGGCGACGAGCGAAGTGTGAGCTCTATCGGAACAGGGTTCGTCTGACCGTTGGCCTGGGTATGTGGTTAAATGAAAGTTATGCTGATATAGGATAATATACACACCATGATCAGGGTATCGTCGATTCGCCCGATGAACTTGTATGCGTCAGGGATGGTGGGATGCTTGATAAATAGGTCTTTCGTAGCGTACGACCCATCGGGTTGGTTAGTCATAATCTTCGCCGCCGGTAATTGAGGTGATATATTTCAACAGCAGAAGAAATACTTGCCTTTGTGGGCCAGCCATCTAAAACGAACAATTCATAGGTATCCCCGCCCCTAGGTTCGAATCGCAGGTAGTCGTTCACGTTCGTTGTCACATACGGCCCTTTAGCACGCGACCAGTTCCAATCCTTGTCAGTCTCGAAGTCCCGGAAAGACGACATGAGTTGACCCATTTCAGCTAAATTAAAAAGAAGTATGCTGAATGTCAAGTTTCTCTTAGCCCCGTCACATAACACTCACTAAGACCATAACGGCCAACCAGGCGCACACCCTCGTTGACAAGGAAGTCGCCGAGCTCGTCAGGACATGCACTACCACCATACACGACAACCTTGAGGCTCTTGAGGACCTGCAGACCTTCAGGGGTCTCGGCCAAGAGTTTCAATGCAAGAGGAACGCAAAACAGAGCCTCCACGTCCGGAGCTTGCTTGAGGAGCTTGATAACGTTGGCGGACGTCAGGGATAATAATCCAGTTGGGAAGATGTACAGTGGTTTCGCAGCATACATTGCACGGTAAAGATTGGAGTGGCCGTGTCCCTGTTCCAGGCAAAATGAGTGAATTCCGGGTAATACGAACTAGCAACATACATGAAACACAGGCAAGGTCGTCATACTCGTGTAACCGAAATTCACGACGCAGTTACCGACAGCTACTTTGTTGGTTGAAACGATCGTCTTTGGGAGACCAGTGGACCCGCTCGAGTGAACGATCGTGACTGGCAGAAGAAACTCGTCTTCCCAGTTCAATATAGGGTCCCATCGCGTCTTCTCTGGGTACAAAGAGCGAGCAGCTAACCCGAAGACTTCAGATGAAGGCTGGTTGACTATCGTCACGGAACTGGGGTCACTGAGATGGGTGAGAGCAGCTGTTGCGGAAGGTAATAGCACGTCTTGCACTATCACGTGGGTTGCATTTGTCACAGTCAACAGGTGAGCAGTCGCGGAAGGGGTGTTATTCGGCGACAAGAAGAGTACGCCTATAGAATGATTAGCAGAGAGTCAAAAGCAAGAATACCATACATTGTGTACTAACAATAGCCTAACCGATAAAGCGCCATCTCAGTGACTACATAACTGATGTTGCTGACGCCTAGGAGTCCAACAGTCATCCTACTGGTGGCATCCCCTTTGGATCGTCCATTCAGCAGTCCATTATCCCGTAAATGGTGAGCGATTAAGGACGCTGAGACATCAAGCTCAGCCAAAGTATACTTGATGTACTTCGTGGATGTTATGAGTTTCCCCCGCCGAATTTAACCTGCACGTCGAACTTACATTGAAGTCCTTATCCGTTATTCCCAAGACCTCAAGGTTTGGGTATTCGCGAGTACGTTCGGCTATGAGGTGGTTGAACGAGTAGTACGTCGCAGACATGGTACTTGGGCCGTTCGGTCACGTAGTACTGAAGCTTGAAGGGTATCAGGATTCTGAAGGGTACATATTGCCATGAACTTCGGGACCTGTTTTAAACCGTAGTAACCCTGCCTCCATCTGCCTCTATGCGGCTTCGGTTCGTTGAAAGTGATTCGAGAGCTGGAAGTTGACCCAATAGAACGGATCCAGACGCTGAGGACCACGTAGCAACAATTTCATTTTCAATTTTCCATAGTGGGCACTTTTGCCTTTGACATTCCGCATCATGATGCGTCCAGCGGTTCCAGCCTGGCCAGCTCATATACGCACAACAATCGAAGGCTACGATCAAAGGTTACACGGTCACTGTATCTGTCTGACCACGAAATGGTTCCGTTGCATTGGAAGATACTGGCCAGCGACGTCCCGGAAGATTTTGCAGAAACAGGCACATCTGGAAAAGTTTGAACGTTTTGACCTAGGCTGAGTCGGCTCTATAGTGCGCTTTGATAGCCTCCGACGGAATGGCAAGGTAGACAAGATGACGGACCGCTTTCGTAATCATATCAAAGCGCATTCCTTGAGCCCAAACACCTCTCATACACCGCCAGCAGCCGCCAGCGAGCAAGTTATTCACTGGGAGTCAGCATGACTGATCTCAGTTTCCATGCGCGGCGCATGGCACCGTGGTGCCAGCTGATCGATGACAGTCGATAAGTAGTACCTGTGGACAACGATGAGTCAATGAAGCGATTGTATCGATCACGGTGCGTGTTTGTGAATGTGGACCAAAAGTGTCAGGATAAGAAATAATATTTGCTGTGTCCAATGCTTTAAGGTCCTTCTTTGTAGCAAGTTGCTTCTATATCATGGAATGGTACATGCTCTTGCTACTCCTGCAATGCCATAGCTGCCACTAGCTGGAGTCATACTCAGAGCTCGCGTAGACAACCTCATCTACAGAGTCGAAATTTGTGCTCGTGTCGTCATACGAAGCGCTGTTGGGTGCTCGTCAATATGGCATAGCCAAATTCTACTAGGAGGAAGTTTGTCACATTTTGGGATTAATCCGCTGCAAGATGTCGATACCCGTCCCGCCCACATGCTCCTCCCCCGATCACGTCTCGTACATATGTATGACGGAAGCCTGCGGCACCTCGCTCGATGAGGCTATAGACTCTAGATGACTGTACCTTCGCAGCTCAAATATATCTTAGGGCAAATGTGGTCTGTCAAGTTACGAACTCTACATACATACAATCTGTGATATTAGGAGGCCCATACCGTGAAACGTACTTCATGTCGCCCCCGACCGCACCTTCGATGACACTGCTCAATTCATCGAGCATCACAAAGTCCTCATGCCAGTGCTATTCTGCACTCCAACATTTACGGACGAGATGTGCTCTCCGTTTCACCTTGACGTGAAGGTTTTACCGCATGTTGACCTGCTACCCCGAAACATCATAGTATGACGGTTCGACTATCACTGAGATCGTGGACCGGGAACTAGGAGGGTTTTAAGAATATTTGGATATTACCAAATGACTTATGACGCCGAAATGGCACTGTCATTCAGCGTTACCAGCATGTGCACATAGTCAAGTTGACACCAATTGTTTGGCAAACTGTTCTGGAACAGAAAGCATAAATATGTTTTTCAAGAGGAGCAGCTGTTGTGGGACTGGGATCATTTGACGGTGAGTGTAGAACAAAATCCGGCCACAATTCACTACCATGATGTGGGTTCTAGATATTTAAACGTCTAATATCTACTTACATCTGGATGGTCGACCGACGAGTGTGTTTTGTTGCTGTCAGGGGCAGATATATTCAGCAGTAGATATATTTGTGGCGTATCAACTAGTGTCAGTAACGCAAGGGCCGATTATTAGCACCAACGGAGCCTGAACAAACAGTTTTCAAGCCAAAAAACCTGTCTCTCTCCATGCAGCTACCCACTTTCCCACCAGTCCAACATCAGCAATAGGTGCACTCCTAAGGCTCTCGCTTGCTTTCTCAGTTTGCACTGTCAACAATGGGTACCGCGTAGCCAGTTCCTCTTGTCCGTATTTGTTCTCGAAAAAGGTCAGCAGCTTCCGGCTTGGGTTGCTGACTTCATCGACAGGGCTAGCACGTAAAGCCTTGATCCACTCGTGCCTCGGGAGGGCTTTGAATTTCAGACCGGAATGCTGGAGAGATGAGAGGATAGATGACCACGGCACAAGCTTTGGATGAATCACGTTCCAAACTGGGCATTCTCCCAAGGGCAAACGTTGAGGGGGAACATTGACCAAATCGACGATAGTCTTTGCTGCGTAGTCCACTGGGAGCCACGAAACTGACTCTTCAAGGTTGGGAAGAATTCCGATTGTGTCGGTGCACTGCCAGGGAATATAATGGTCAGATGTACCATCGATAACGAATTTTTATACCTTGATAATGAGCGAAATAGCCTCTGTCTCGTTCCACACACCATTCTGGGAGTCTCCCACCATTTGACCAATTCCTGTATGCGTTTCAATGACTATTTTTCCTGTGGTGAAAAGAATATGTCTCACGCAGCACGCCCGCACGAATAGGTGTCTGCTGAGAGGCAACTTGACAGAGCTTCTCGGTAACCCACTTCGACTGCGCACTAAATAAAGTCAGAAATCCAAGTGTAAAGTGTGCGAGCTGCTCACTAGCCTAACCCCTGAGCGACAGAGGGATCATCCGTAATGGCCTCTGGGATCGATTCAGGTCCACGCCATGCAGCGACAGCACTAATTGAAGATGCGAAGTAAAAGTCTGCTGGTCGGGGATGAGGCGATGCAAGGGCGAGATTTATTAGATTGACAGCTCCACGAATATGTGGTTCGAAGCTATTGCTCTGTCAGTTAGTATTCATCGAATTGAGGTTGACTTACCTGGAAATGCCAAGGTTGAAGTTGACCGCCCAGGCATTCTGCACATAAGGTTGAAGGGAATGAAATGAGTAGTGTTTTTTCGATGCTTACGTGAATGATCAGGGTTGCCCGTCTTGCGATTTCATTGTAAACGTCTGACTGAAGTCCAAGCTTGTCCATAGGCAGGTCGGAAGCGAGAGCTTTGACGCGCGATTGAGCTTGCTCATAGCGAGATGATAGCTTCCTTGTCTTCATAGAAGACATTATGCGACTGGACGCATCTGCATCGTCCTTTGCTCTGCACAGACAGTAAACAGTGGCCACAGAAGGGTCCGAAAGTAGTTCATCTAGAATATATGCTCCCAACGATCCAGTCGCCCCAGTCAATACAACCTATATCAATATCGCAATCAGACGTAGATTTTTGGCAAGTACAACAATGAGCTCACAACACGAGGAGTAACTGAGCTACTTGCAGCTCCGGTTGTCCCTTTAACGTGGGTCTCATTCACATAAGCGAAAGAGCTGTATTTCTTAACAAGTTCCAGCACGATCTCGCGCGGACTTTGTTGTGCTAAAGCACCTTCTTTGCCAGAGGACATTGCAACCAGGAGTCGAGCAATCCTACATGTTTACTTCAGACGAGACTGCCTACACATGTGGGGATGGACGTACTGCATGATAGAAGGATGTTCAAAAACGGCGTTGGGCGACAGCTTCTTGCCACCTAGGTCGATCTCCTGCACCGTTATTCAGCTTACAAGCAGAAATAAGTAGAGCGTTTGAACTGACTCTCTGAATGGTGTTTCGTATTCTACTAGACTGTAAGGAGTCCAGCCCGAAATCGAAGAGGTCAGTGTCATCTTCTAGGCTGTCGATGGGTCTATCGACCGTCATGCCGATTATATCTCTAATGGCTGTCCTAGCCTCCGCCTCATCGGTCAGTCGTCTCTTCCCATCCCCATCGATGTCACCCTCTAGTCGTTTGTAGACCTCATTGATGACGCCCTCGAACTCCTTGTACACCCGTGGTCTCAAAATGCTGCCCTTGTCAGCACGAGGAATCACTGTGCCGTAAGGGAGAAACACAAGGGCTTCCGTCGCAAGCTGTGAGTGCGAAGGAGCTTCGGCATTGGCGAGAGCGACGATAGGCGCTACAAGCTTTACGAGCTCCGAAGGAGAGCGGTCTTTTACGATTTCGGTTGGAAGAATCAGAGCTCCGATTTGAATGCGGCCAGCACCGAAGATAACGGCATCTGCAATATAGGGTGACGAGCGAAGTGTGAGCTCCATCGGGACAGGATTCGTCTTCTCGCCATTGACCTGAAAATGTTGTTAAATGAAAATTATTCTGATCTGGGTTGTTATCCGCACCATGACCAGGGTGTCGTCGATTCGCCCGATGAACTTGTATGCATCTGGGATGGTGGGATGCTTGATAAATAGATCTTTCGTAGCGTACGACCCATCGGGTTGGTTGGTCATAACCTTCACCGGTAATTGAGGCAATATAATACAATGGCAGTAGAAATACTTGCCTTCATGGGCCAGCCGTCTAACACGAACAATTCATAGATATCCCCGCCCCTAGGTTCGAATCGCAGGTAGTCGTTCACGTTCGTCTTCACATACGGCCCTTTAGCGCGCGGCCAATTCCAGTCCTTGTCAGTCTCGAAGTTGCGGAAAGACGTCATGAGTTGCCCCATTTCAGCTAAATTAAAAAGAATTTTGCTGAATGTCAAGTTTCTCTCAACCCGTCAACATATCACTCACTAAGACCATAATGGCCAACCAGACGCACACCCTCGTTGACAAGGAAGTCGCCGAGCTCGTCAGGACATGCACTTCCGCCGAACATGACAAGCTTGAGGCCTTTGAGGACCTGCAGACCTTCAGGGGTCTCAGCCAGAAGTTTCAATGCAAGAGGAACGCCATATAGAGCCTCCACATCTGGAGCCTGTTTGAGGAGCTTGATAACGTTGGCGGACGTCAATGGTATTGATCCAGTTGGGAAGAGGTACAGTGGTTTCGCAGAATATATTGCACGGTAAAGATTGGAGTGGCCGTGTCCCTATTCCAGGCAAAATGAGTGACTTCAGGTAATACGAACTGGCAACAAACATGATACAAGGGCAACGTCGTTAAACTCGTAAGACCGAAATTCATGATGCAGTTGCCGACAGCTGCTTTGTTGGTTGCAACGATCGGCTTTGGGAAACCAGTGGACCCGCTCGAATGGATCATCGTGACTGGCAGAAGAAACTCGTCTTCCCAGTTTAATACAGGGTCCCAATGCGTCTTCTCTGGGTACAAAGAGCGAGCTACTGACCCGAAGACTTCAGATGAAGGCTGGTTGATGATTGTCACGGAACTGGGGTCACTGAGGTGGGTGAGAGCAGCTGTTGCGGAAGGTAAATGCACGTCTTGCACTATAAAGTGGGTTGCATTTGTCACGGTCAACAGGTGAGCAATCGCGGGAGGGGAGTTATTCGGCGACAAGAAGAGTACGCCTGTAGAAAGATTAGCAAAGTTAGAATACCATGCGTTGTGCACTAACAATAGCCCATTCGATAAAGCGCCATCTCGGTGACTACGTAACTGATGTTGCTGATGCCCAGCAGTCCAACAGTCATCCTACTGGTGACATCCCCTTTGGATCGTCCATTCAGCAGTCCATTGTCCCGTAAATGGTGAGAAACTAAGGACGCTGAGGCATCAAGCTCAGCCAAAGTATACTTGATGTACTTCATGACCGCCGTCAGTTTCCCCACGGAATTTGATCAGGACGTCGTACTTACATTGAAATCTTTATCTGGTATGCCCAGGATCTCAAGGTTTGGGTAAGCGCGAGTACGTTCAGCTATGAGGTGGTTGAACGAGTATATCGTGGACATGGTGCTTGGGTCGTTCGGTCACTGTTGAAGGGTATCTGAAGGGAGTTTAAAACAGTTCAGTAGTCAGCTCAATAGATTAGTTGAGAACTATTTTGACCGACGATATCCGATGCTCTACTATTAGCACCTCAGCATTATGAACATGGGTCATATGTCAGTTGGAGGTGGGCCGGGCTAGCGGTCCGGCAGGGCGAGGGCAAACGCTTGCGGACCGCACCCAGCACTTGACCCATAGATGTCAACTACCAGGTCCGGTTCTCTAGCATTATCTGTGCGAGTGTCATGCGCTCTCACAGCAGCAGTTAAGACGTACAAAGTCGTGCCTCTATGGAAGACTAGCAGGCACTCATACAAACGGTGACCCTGCGGGTGTTCCATCCAACCACACCTGCGGACCTAGGCCACTGTCGCTGTGACAATGGCACACGACCACTCCTTCTCCTAGCCGATGAAGACTTGTGGTACGATTACATCTTCGTAAACACGAGACGCGATCGAGTTAATCCACACTGGTCATGTACGCCACAGACTCACTCACTAATTTCAATGCAACTCTTTGAGTGATACTTCGGATTTGAGTTATCTTGCAAATATTTGACCAATAGCTTCTCCTCACGAACGGCACTGAAGCCGATAAGCTCCTCTCATTTTAAAAGTTGGTGCCCAATGAACTAACCAAGGCGATCAAATTCTCAAGCTCAGCGGGGGACTTCCGATTGAACCTGGCAGAGAACTGACAAACCATTAGCGACCTTGGATCGATGAAGGGGTTCAATAGATGGGTGATGTCCCCACATCTTGCGGGAGAAATAGCGGGGAGGCATCCATGGTGTCCAATTCTGTCCGACCCGCCGCCATTCACTGGCAAGGATTGACACATCTGTGAGGTTGATACGGTCGACTTAAATCGTCAGAGGGAGTCATTGGAGGAGCTGGATAGACCCGGTAAAATCGTAATGCACAAGTTGCTTCCTTGGCATGTTAGGAAGAGGAATAACTGAGATAGCAAGAACAACTTGAAAACGTTGATGTGACTGTCGAAGTCGAAGCACTGCATCAATATTCCCAATATGGGTCAATGATTACCAGCCACTACATCCCCGCTGTACAAAGTTGGGTTTAGTTAGTGTCTGCAGGGGTCTTGCAATAATGGTGTCACATTTTCTCTTCCCCCCAAAGACGAAGGTTTGGTCGCGGCTGTGAACATTGAAATGGATTGGTGGTTGAGACCCTCACGCAAGCCCTTCCTCTGGTCAGCTGCTGCAACATCCATGACGTTAAGTACGTATGTCTTGGCCAAGGGCTGACAGCCTATTTTCCACCGTTATTTACGGTCGGAGTCAAGTCGGAGTCGTGACATGAGCGCTGTGAAGTTCGTCCCTCGGAGCACTTTGTGGCATATGGTTTAACACAGCCGGTCACGGTCGATCTAACACAGCTTCAAGCTTTTGAATAACTTCAATCTTCCTCGACGACGGTGATGCAGTGTGCACGTCCATGACTACTCCGGACATATTCATCTCTCTCCAGCTTGCTCTCCACATTGTATTATCTTGTATCCTCACTTTCACTGTCGCGCAGAACCCGGTCGATACATATGCTCCGACAGTCAATGTCAATTGTCCAGAGACATCCGGCTCGCTCGTGCGAACTTTCACACCACAGACTCAGGTCTTGAACACATCAGAAGCAGAGTACATTGCGTCCAGAGAGTCCAATGTGATCTCAAACGCATGGTCCAACTGGCTTGGAAATGCGTCGGATATTGGATACAATTTCGAAGATTTGCAGGGCAAATTTCCCAGAATTGGCATCGCCGTCGGGGGCGAGGGATATCGCACAGCACAATATGGCGCAGGAGTGTTATTGGGGTTGGATTGGAGAAACACCACCGCCAGAGACGAGGGGACCGGCGGTCTGCTGCAAGTCGCCTCTTACCTTTCAGCTTCATCTGGTAAGTGTTCCATCAAACAAACGCTCGCTGTAAGCTTTAATGAAGTTGACCAATGGCATCTTACTAGGTGGTTCGTGGCTGCTTGGGTCACTTCTTATGAATGATTGGCCGTCGCTCCTGGAACTAGTTTATGGAAATGGAGGAAATCTTTCGTCATGGTTGTTAGACCTTGACTTGATTGTGCCATCGTCGCCATTAGTCAGTGATGGCGGTAATCAGGCATATTGGGGCAGTATCCTGGCGAGTGTTGAATCAAAGGCAACGACTGGAGTGTACGTTTCTTCACAGACCCACGGCGCATCAAATATTTAGCTGACCTCTGCCACTTCAGTCCTACTAGTGTGACTGACCTGTGGGGTCGGATGGTTGCATATCACTTCTTGAATCAAACAACGCGAGGCAACTTCTATACCAATCAGACTAGCCACGGCGCTGGTCAACTATGGTCTCAGATGTCTCACCTGCCGAACTTTCAGAATCACACAATACCGTTCCCGATAGTGACTGCTGACTCACGATACGCGGGCTCAGGGATAACAACGAATGTGCCTCTCAATTCAACTGTTTATGAGGTGAGTACCTGACTTATAGGCGAAGGAACACATTTAGACATAGAATGGTGTAGATTACGCCCTTTGAGTTTGGCTCATGGGATCCTGGCCTTTCAGCGATGCTACCAATGCACTTTGCTGGGACATATTTGACGAACGGTCTGCCAGCTAACCCATCGGCTTGCGTCACTGGTTTCGATCAAGCGAGCTTTGTTATGGGTACAAGCTCCAGTTTCTTCAATGTATGTTATGTTAATATCTGGGAATTCCTCCAGTTTCGAGCTGACTTGTTGTTGCAGGCGGTCTTGAATGTTACCGAAGGGACCTTCGGGTTCAATACTGACGATGGGGATGAAGACGGCATGAAATTTATTTTCGATCAGTTGTTGTCACATACGCCGTCGTCCAATGTCATGGATGCGGCCAATTGGCCTAATGTTCGTATTGTCGTTTCAACATACGACACCACCAACCTGACAGTGTCTACAGCCATTTAAAGGCGTCAATTCTGTGACTTTTCAAGACTCGTCTTCAGACCGGCTCGAACTCCTCGATGGAGGTTCAAACCTGGAGAAAACTCCCCTCAGCAGCCTACTTGTCAAGGCTAGGGGATTGGATGTCGTAGTCGTCATCGACGGTAGTGCGGATGATGGGAACCTTTGGCCAAAGTGAGCACCTGTCGGCAATCTACAAGTAACCAATACTAACTCCCGTCAGTGGTACATCACTGATAACTTCTTTTGAGCGAATATCATCAGTACTCTCGTCTTCGCATCAACCAATGCCGCCCATACCTGGAACTGCCGCTCAGTTTGTTTCCACAGGCGTCAATATGCGCCCAACGTTCTTTGGCTGCAATCTCACTCAGGGTCAACCAGCATACCCTATCGTCGTATACCTTCCTAATGCGCCTCCGCTGGATGGAAGCGCGCCAGCTACGAAGTGCGCCAAGTGTCTCGCATCTTCCAAAGATAATACTGACGTCATTTTGCAGCACTGGCAACACACAATTTTCCTACACATCCATGTTCACGGCAGTGTTCATAAACCAAGCGTTCTGGAATACATTAGGTGGCTTCAAACCAAACACAACTTCACCGGATCCGAATTGGGGAAAATGCTTGCAATGTGTCGCAATCGATCGCGCAGTTACGCTGCGATCAGATTTCTGCTCGCAATGTTTTGCACAGTATTGCTACGATCCAAACAATCCTCCAAGTCAATCGGAACTCCCAGGTAGACAGTTTGCGTTCGTGAATCCTGATCTGGGGGGTCTGCAGAAAGTGACACAATGGTTAGAAGAGAACAAGGGCAGATTGGCAGGGATCATTGTCACCGTCATATTGGTCATTGCAGGGATTGTTGGTTTCATGTGAGTGAATACACAGCTATATGGACGTGATGACTCAGTGATCGCACATAGTTTCTGGTGGCGGAAGAGGAGAGCACGCAGGTCGAGGTATTCTCGTGTCGATGAGCTTCGGGACGATGATGAACCTTGGAGGTATTACGAAAATCGCTCGTTGGAATTGACGCGTCGAATGTCCATCACATGATCCCCTGTTTCAAAATCTTTGACTGTCAGATTACACTCTAGGGGTCATCGAAATCATCGCTGTCTACACCTTTCCTACATCACACACTATGGTTCATATCGTATTACGGGACACTGGTGGCTATCATGTTGGACTCGGATTGCTACTGTCATTATATATCCCGGAGTCGCACTAATATATTTACATGCTCTCAGCAACTCGCGATCAATGCAGTCGATATAAAACATCGTGGACAGATACACGTATCGGCCCAAAGACTATGCATCGTGACAGCAACATGGCCAGTTCGTGATTCCAAATCATAAAATGACTTCACGCACAGACCAAATGCTGTTACAAGGATGCATGGTAATGCACTTTTGCTCCGGCTTGAATCTTGCCTTGCAATTGAGGAATCCGTGGTCTGTGAACAGGGTGGAATTCGAACAAGTTGATCAAAGAACGCTGAGATTCAGAATCATTTTCCTGTTTGCACTTGGTTTCAAGTCGCGCCCATATGTATGGCAAACATGAATCAAACGCGTCGCGGGTCTCACGTGATAAAAACCAGTCGCGTCCCCCAACTTCAACTCAGAGCGGAGGAAATATGATATATAATCGTGAATATGTAACATCATCATAGTAGTTCGTCAGGATATCGTGCTTTTGTGTGCAAAGGAGATAGAAAGAGAGAGAGCGGGAGAAAGGAAGAGAAGGAAAGAAGGAAAGTGGTGCGTCGCCGAGTGCAATAAAAAGTCAATAAAACAAGGAAAATGCTAAGCTACGGCGACGCAGGTAAAAGAAATGAGACGTATGTATCGCGATGGTTACTTTTAGTCGCAAAATGGAGATTGCCAGTGACGATCGACGTGTATGAATGCATCCAAGAATGGGAGAAACCTGCCTGGAGCTAGTCAGAAACTTGGTCGAGAACTATGTTTAGCAAAGCGACGCACCATCAAGGCATGCGACCATACCGCGGAGGAATAAATGGGAAGAGTGTGAGGAAAATGCGAGCGTGGCTGCTTCATATAGGGTCGTCCACATTGGAGCAGGGGGTAATAGAGCGAGGCAATAATGTCAAATTGTAACACAAAAGCGATTACGTAGAAAAACTTCGATGCAAGAAACATACGTGGAGTGAGATGGAAGGCAGAAGGGTATCGTCATCAAAGTTTGGCCAATACACTTGAGCGTTGAAAGTCATGTTAGATATGTAGGGTATATCGGGCATGGGAAAGCGTAACAGATGCAGAATGGATGAAGGGGGTCATGATGAGGGCAATGCGGAGAGGGCGGAAAGATAAGAGATCGCATAATCGGCCAAAGGCGCCATCGAGACGTAGAGCAAGGATGCGACAGAACTTGTGGGGTAGCGCAAAACATTGGGATATGAAGTGCGTTGCATTGACCTGTAATAAAAAAACAGGAGAGCTTGACCAGCATCACAACACTCAGAGAATTTGTGCTCGCAAGCCTACTGCTCTCCCGTAATGTTCCTTTTCCTCATATCCCATGTACCCGCTACCCCTACAGACCGCCATCCAAGACGCCCCGAACATCTCTCACTTCTGCAAGGTCCGCAAGGAAAGGACAAAGATCGGTGAGCTCTGTGTCATGTGGGTCATTGAACCACGACGAGACAGGGACTGCATTGTTGGGATGAAAGATGTATGATGCTGGAGAGTTGTCCAGAATAATGGTATCTGCAATAGGACGGCCCAGTTGGGAGAGATCCTACATAAGCCCGGTCAGCGACGAAACATACACGCAAGATGCGACCATTACCTTGACATAGTTCCCCTTGTGATTATAGCAACTCTCTCTAAATAGTCGATGCGACACCACTTGATGAATGTCCAGCTTATCTAGAACTGGGTCGGCGTACTGAACACGAAGAAAATCAGTCGACGATATCAAGGCCATAAAAATAGCTCCCTCGGACCTTGCTCAAACTAGCGGTAAAGACCACCACCTCATAAATTTCGCCCATCTTCTTCAGGAAGTTGTCGACCCCCGGGCGCTTGATGACGTATACATTGTGCCAATGGTACTCAATTTCCACTGGAACAACGTAATCCGCTTGCTGAATGGACTGTAGAACGGCCGAAAGCGTCAGAAACGGCATTAAATCGAGAAGCCGAAAATTTTACCTTGAAACTGCTGTGGACAAGGGTTTCGTCCAAGTCGAGAACGAGACATTTGCGCCCCACGTGGTGGGGCGCGATCGGTGGCAGGAGCGGACGCAATTCACCATCCTTATTATGAAACCGAATCAGTGACTAGCGTCATCAACGGAGAGGTCTTAAAAAAACTCACGGGCCCTATAGGAATACCCGCACCTCCATTGAGGATCAGAGTATCTTCGTCGTCTTCCTCAATCGGTTCTCCTTCTTCTACTTCAGGTTCCTCCGATTCTCCGTGACCCTCTTCATCCGTGAAGCTACCTTCGGAATCTGTTGCTGTATGTGAGGTGTCTCCAGCATGTGATGGGGTACTCCCAGATGGTGTATGCGATACATCTACAGGAGATGATGCTGAGGAGAAGATGTCCGCGCCAGTCGATCCTGGAGGTTGGACAGCTCCGCTGGTCACCCCCTCTGTTTCGGATATTGGGAGGAGGGCCTTGGTTGGCGTGGGGGGAACAATAATCTCAATTTCTGCAGTGTTGGTTTCCACTGCGGGAGGGGATACCTCTACCACAAGATTTGGCTTTTCCCGTTCCTGCTCCTTGACTTCAACCGGCTTTTCGCTGGGTGCACTGGTGTCGGCTACGGGCGCTGGGGCACCGTTGGCCGCGTCAGTGGCCTTGTGTCGCGTAGCGTCGTCGACATCCACCTCAATCGCATGTGTACGATCGCTAGGAGCGACACATGGCACGAGTTTACGCACGAGTTTGACGATGAATGATTCCTTCTTCAGAGAACCTCCCAAAGACTTGTTCTCATCTCTGGAATGATTGTTGGAAGCAGTCTTCTCTCGTGCAGAGCTAGACGAAGCAGTCGAAGACTTGGTAGTCTTGGACGCCGGTTTAACCTTTCTGGAAAATCGACGAGCGGTGCTAGACGTAGCGCCGGTAGAGTTTGTGTTCGGTTGAGTCTGGGTTGTTGTAGCTAAAGAACCCTTGTCCTTGTCTTTCTCCTTCTCGCTAGGCTTTACGTTTTCGCGTTCGCCTGGTAAAACGAAGGTGGAAACGGTGTTAGAAGGGTTTGGGTTGACATCCTTGTCCGCTTCTGAAGACGACGTGGGTGATTGGTCATGCGCTTGCACATGAGTGTCTACGCCAGTTGAACCATTCCCGATGGCTGGCGTTTGAGAAATGTTTTGAGACGCCTGCTCGCGCGTCTGAACGTCCTTGTCGTCCGCTGGTGGCGAGTCTTGGGATGCCATGGGAGCTAGAACAAGCTGTAAAAATAATTGGTAACTTTTCGAAGCGAACAGCAGTAATGGTGCTTGCGGTATTGGAAAAGCTTTTGGGTATGCTGGGGAAAAGGAAAGAGAGGAAGGATGAAGGATGAAGGCGAGGGAGAAGACGGCCAAGCAACACACCACAACAACATGCGGATACTGACTTGCTTGTACGTTATCCAGGTTCACACGCGGTAAAACGCACGGTCTATACAATGTTGCATCAAATCTATATTATATCGTAAGTCACTCCGCGGGTCAGCGACTGGTGAGGGAGAGGGCTGTCGCAATATGATGGCCCATCATCCAAGATTTGACAGGAGGACTTCAGGGCTAGGGTACACCTCGGTTGCACAGGAAACGCCTAACTGTACAGCTATCCTTGACTTTAAACAGCATGGTTTGACTACGCTGACTCCGATCACCCCGCGCGCGTCAGGGATCCGAGCAGAGATAAAATCAGAATACTACAAGCCGAGGTGATCACACATAGGAGCGAGATCATGACCTTCAATAATAAATCAGAAATTAAATCTCTCGTTAGTTGGATCTAGACCACTTTTCAGTTTGATGGTCACGCATGCGTCCATCCAGTCGTAATTTAGGTAGCTTGAGTCGGCCTTGAGTATGTACACGAACCAGAACAATGCAAAGAACTTTACAAACACCTCACAGTCCATCATTGATCATCCTCGTCATCAAACCCGGATTCAAACAGATAGTTGGCTGCGAGTTCCTCGTTCTTATCACACGCCAGATATGCTTCAGCAGCTTTCTGGCGCGAGAAACCCAAAGCCTCCAACTATAGCCACACACATGAGCGCAAGTCCAGGATGCGAGTTGACCAACTTACCCGAGCAATCGCAGCCTGTTCCTCCGGCGTAATATGTATTACTTGTGCGCCAGGGGGCACGGCACCATCGCCTTCGAGATCGTCTCCCCCATTGAGTAATTGCATCAATGCTTCAGGGTTACTCTCAAACAGCTGCCCAAGGTGTGGGTTTTGCTCCATAATTTGCTGAACCAATGGCGCAAGGAGATTTGGGTTGGTTTGCACCAACTGGCGCAATTGCTGAAATTGTGGGTGGTTTCGAAGGGCCTCTAGATCAATTTCACCAGCTCCAGCTCCCGCACCAGCGGCTGCTGTACCTCTGGAACCAGGCTGTTGTTGTTGTTGCTGTGCAAGCTACACAATCATTGATGCACGTCCAATTGAAAAGGGAATCACGGTACTAACTTGGAACAAATTCTGGGGTTGGCCAGTTGGGGCAACTGGGGCAGGCTGGGCCGCAGATGCGGGTGCAGGTGCGGATGCGGCGGGAGCAGTAGGTGCTGCACCCCCCGTCTGCGCTGGTCGCGCAGCAGGGCCTGCTGCCTCGTGCATGAGGTGCGCAGGAATGCCCTGTGGCTTCCAATCAGTAAAAGACGACAACACAAGTAATTTCGGAGTACCGTCATCAAATATTCGACGGCACGGTCAGGGTTATTAAAACTGGCTCTCAGCGCGCGAATGACTTGTTCGCGTTCAAAGCCCATCTCGACCATATTACTGATTGTCGACTGGAGCGCTTCTCCAGTCACAAAGCTGCCGTCAGCCGTTACAGGTGCTGCTGCGGGAGCAGCAGAAGGGGTAGATGATACAACAGGTACTGGCGCTGCAGGAGCTGGGACTGAAACTTGAGGTGCTACCGGGGCAGGTACGGGGGCGGGGGCAGGGGCGGCTACCTCGGGCTGTGGAGTCGACGTTGATGCAATTACTGGGGGAAGTTGAGCCGGTGGCGGTTTAGACTGAAGATAACGGTGAACTTGGCATCTCAGAGAGATGTATATTGATACAGACCTTTGAAACCATCAATACCAAAAAGTCCTTTTCCTTGATCTCGCACGACGCAACCGACTTGTCATCTGAAAGAATCTTGCCTGTGATACCGGATGAACACTGTGATGCTGTGAAATGACTGTATGACCATACCGGAGAAGATGAGCTTTTGGCTCTCTACAGAGTGACCCTGTGTGTTGGATATCTTCTGCTTTAAATCCGCGATGGTCTCTGACCCCTCAGCTTCGAGCTTTTGATCACATAAGGGATGGTTGAAGGCAATAGGTAACGTTACTCACCTGAAACATCTTCTGCTGGAGCGTCTTTATCGTTAACTTCATGGCGGGTAATAATCTGATACGACTACGATCAAGATTTGATTGTCGAGTTTGTCGATGTCTTACCGATGGCGATGAGCTTCAAGAGCGGACTGACGCGTTTCAATCTTGTCACGCTCCGTGACGAAGTCGTTACTGCGTTATGTCACATCAGGGCTTGCCAGTGTACGGGGTCCTTGCCGGTTAGCTGTTGCCTCCTGGCTCCGTGCAAGTTCCACTTGTGGTCAGACTGTGGTACATAATAAGCTTGAGCTGCCTGGCTGCCTGCAGGCCTATTTTCTATTCACTGCCCCAACCTAATAGTCATCATGGAACCAGAGCCAGGCGATGATTATCTGCGCAGAATTGCGACGTTCATCAGAAACAATGAGATGGGCCTCGCGGAAGCTGGCTTTGTCCGACGAAGGGGTATACAGCGTCGGCATTCTACCAATAACACCTCTGTCTTCAATCTCGCTGGTTGGTTTTCCTATGATTCACAAACGCCGTCACCTGCTCCTCCTCCGAAACCTGTCACGTTCGGCATCGATACGCACAGGCTCTTTTACGTGCTTATGCGCTTAGAGGCGCTTGGAATTGACATTGGCACATTAGACGTTAGGGTGGACAATCCCTCGAAGCCAATGCATTACACGCATATCGATTTGTACCCTAATTCCGACAAATCCGACACGCTATCTCTCGCGTCATTTCGCTCGTCACTTTCAGCCGTATCTGGTTTGTCCCTTGGAGTAGGGTGGTGGGGAAGACAGGAACCGCAAAGCATCGACACGGAGCTCAAGTACATTTACAGCTCTTTTACAAAGGTCCCTGCACTATCCATCAGGGCACCGGGTCCCAAAGTCATCGCGGAGCTTGCAGACGAACCACCTAATCAGAATGCACTCCCACTGGATGCATTCAAGAATCTTCAGACTCTGGAGTGCGTTGACATAGACCCACGGACATTGCTTGGGTGGGATAGGCTGGCAGAAAGTCTGCGGAGTTTAACAGTCCAGCGCAGTGGGCTGGAGGACGTCACTGATATCTTCATTGGTGCCGTGTTAGATGACCAGGCTCGGAGAGATGGAACCTCGAGCGACCTAAGAAGCAGACGCATACCTCGTAGACAACGCTCCTTCCAGAGTACTCGCCTACCTGAGTCTGTTCCAGAGGACGATGAAGACGATTTAACGCCTCCAACGCCTTCACCTGCCGCTCCCCTCTCGCCCTATAAATGGTCATTATTGAAGCATTTGTCGCTGGCAGATAATGCCCTCACATTTCTTCCCACCGACCCATTACCATACCTCACTTCCCTCATTCATCTCGACCTATCGTCTAATCTTCTCGTGTCTGTCCCGCATGGTATCGCCATACTCCACAACCTCGTCTCCCTAAATCTCTCCGATAACATGATTGATTCAGTCCTTGGTATCTACACGCACCTTGGCCAAGTTCTCAACATCAATCTCTCCCGCAATCGACTTGATTCTATCTGTGGCTTAGAGCGTCTTATGGCGCTGGAACGCGTCGACTTGCGTTCAAACCACATAGAGGAGAGCGCTGAAATTGGGCGATTGGCCACACTACCTAACATTGCGGAGGTATGGATTGAAGGAAACCCGCTCACAGAATACGAGGACAACTATCGCACCACATGCTTTGATCTCTTTCGGAAGGAGGACAAGAACATCAGGCTCGATGGGGCATCACCAGGGTTTTACGAGAAACGCAGTCTCACTGCACCACTGCCTGATCAGCCACTATCAGCAAACCCCGTCGAGCCCCTCCCCTCTCCACCTGTCGTACCAGTCAGTCCAAAGGCGAAGGCACCCTCTTCGACAGGGACGCATGACGTCACGGGCACTTCACGATCGGGACCATCATCGCCGTCTCCTGGTTCACCTCTGCTACCAGGTGCTGTTACAGGGAAGGCGAGAAAGCGGAAGGTCAAGCGCATCGTCGACCTGACCACCGTGGATGGAACAGGTGAGGCTTATTATTCAACACTTGCCATTCAAGTGATTGACGGCGCTTTAGATGGACGATCTCATTCCTCGAATAAAGGAGGCACTGCAGTAGCAACAATGCCAGGGATCTCCGTTCGCCCTGCAAGCCCGCTGCGCTCGCCGTCTGCCACTGTTCGTATACCACGTCCACATTCAACGAATGGCAAGTCGGGACACCGAAGAGTGAGCACGGTATTCGAACCAGATGAGGGTCAGAGCCAGAGTCAGATACGGGATGCTGAGCTCTATCGAGCGCGGATGCAAGCCCTGCGTTCTGATATGGGAGATGGGTGGCTGAAGGTGTTCAGCCAGAGTCAAACTCCATCACCGGGAGTTGCTGCGGGTTAGACTATAGGTATGCTGGTGATTTAGTAGGATATACCCATCTTGTATGTATTCATCAGTCTGGACTCTGCATTAATATTGTATTTCGATAATCCCATTACATACACTGGCCGTGGTCCCATGGCTAACTCTTATTTTAAGTTCTTCCGGCTAGGAAGCACGATTAAAACAAGAAATATAGTCTGTATCAGAAGCGGTTTTGATTTCATCACTTGAAGCGAAGTGAAAGGCAAGGACCGGTGTTTGGGGTCCCCAATGGCGTGTGTTTACTAGTCGAGCCGTTCCTTTTCCTGGCTTGCCTACTTTCAGTCTCTCAATATCATTGCTTGTGGCACTAAACCCGCCTCCGTCGTTCTTTACCTTCGAATCTATATATCATCATGGGAGCTAACTTGTCAAAGGCGCTCGGTGAGTGTTTCGTGCTGGGCGTCGTCAAAATGTTGTTTATCATGTGTAATTCCGCTGAACGGCATGTCTAACAGGCAGATTGTTCGGCAACAAGGAGATGAGGTTGCTGATGCTGGGTCTTGACGCCGCCGGGAAGACAAGTGAGCTGATTTCATTGTTATTCGCTTGCCGTGTTGAACATTTTGCCGCAGCTATTCTTTATAAACTCAAATTGAACCAGTCCGTGACCACCATTCCTACAGGTAGGTGTCCATGCGCTTTGGTGTCTTTGAAAACTCATGGTTTGCGTTTAGTCGGCTTCAACGTGGAAACCGTCACCTACAAGAATGTGAAGTTCAATGTCTGGGATGTTGGAGGCCAGGACAAGATCCGACCGCTGTGGAGACACTATTACACGGGTACTCAAGGGCTTGTGTTCGTCGTCGACAGCCAAGACCGAGAAAGAATCGATGAAGCAAAACAGGAATTGCATCGCATATTGAGTGATAGAGAGATGAAGGAATGTCTACTGCTCGTGTTTTCGAACAAACAGGATCTTCCGGGAGGTACAGCAAGTCATTTCTATGCTTTTGGATAAGAGCTCACATGCTTCTTTTTTCTAGCTATGTCACCTGCTGAGGTGACAGAAAAATTGGGTCTCCACCGCATGCGGGATCGCTCTTGGTATGTCCACCCAAGGTAAGTATTCCGTTCACTCCAAGAGAACGTTACTGACCTCGTATGCCACAGCTGTGCGACGACGGGTGAAGGATTATTCGAGGGTCTTCAATGGCTGAACCAGAACGTGAAGAAACGCCAGCCATGAACGATGCAGCACACTACGCCAAGGCCTTGATACCCTCGTCCATACGACCCTACTCGTCTTCGCCTCGTTGACATCCACGTTATGCTCTCTATTATGGCCTGCACGACTCCGCATGTATGACAGACTACCTATTCTATGTCTGAGCTCGTCTTCTTCATTCAACTTTGCGCTTTTTTCTTGCTCGTTGGCACTAGATACATCTGAGCGTTTTTCTATTCTTTTGGTGTCTTTATCTCTGCATCTTAATGGATGGTTTTGCTCCTTGATGTGACGATACATTCCTCTTCATACATGATTACCGTATAATTCGCCATATGGGCATAGCGAACATTGAGGATATCGATAACCTGGATATAATTGGATTCACTTGCCGAGTGAGTCTGCGATTACGGGGCCCAGGAACATCGACACATGATGACCTCTAAATGTCGTGCTCGCTCCAACTCCAAGTCCGTTCCAGCCTTCCGTCATTAAGAGCGTGAGCTCATTCTCCATCCCTTGCTCAATTGTTGAATTACACCATGCTATCGGTCTTGCGACGGACTCTTGTCCAGCAAACTAGAGGATTTGCGACGAGCAACATCGCTGTTGCCGGCTTCACTGGCGCAGTGGGAAACACACCATTGGTGAGGAGTATACGCGCGAAGACAGTGAAATCCCTCTCTAACAGTATGGTCAGATCTATCTCAAGACACTCTCAGAGCAGACGGGATGCAAAATATATGGAAAGGCCGAATTCCAGAACCCTGGAGGCAGCATCAAAGACCGTGCTGCTGTCGGCATAGTTCTGGATGCGGAGGAGAAGGGCCGGTGGGTGGGAGTAACACGTTTCATGGTGCACTGAATATTAATGTTGAGGATGTACGCAGCATACAACCCGGTGGAACCGTTGTTGAGGGTACTGCAGGCAACACCGGTATTGGCCTTGCCCATGTCTGTAGAGCCAGAGGCTACAAATGTGTTATATTCATGCCTAACACTCAGGTGAGGTCAAGGCAACACCGCCTGGCTACTGTCCGCTAACGATTTGGTACTCAGAGCCAAGAGAAGATTGACCTTCTCAGCATGCTCGGTGCCGAAGTGCACCCAGTGCCCGCGGTTCCATATGAGAATCCATTGAATTATAACCACCAGGCGAAGGAGTACGCTGAAAAGCTCGAGAATGCCATATGGACAGACCAATTCGATAATACCGCCAATGCGTACGCGCATTATATCTCTACTGGACCCGAAATATGGGAACAGACGCTGGGTGACATTGACGGGTTTATTTGCTCAACTGGCACAGGTGGTACTCTTGCTGGAGTAGGCAAGTATCTGAAGGAAAAGAACGCGAAGACGCAGATATGGCTCGCCGATCCGCCTGGCAGTGTCTTGTACAAATATATCTCTTCCGGTGGAAAGCTCATAGAGCGTGGCGGAAGTTCCATCACAGAAGGTTAGACTTCTTCTGCCTACCACAAGTCGTCATGGCTGAACATCCTATTTCACATCCATTCAGGTATCGGTCAGGGCCGTGTAACAAATAACTTGGGCACTTTTATCAATGACTTGTCGGGAGCCTTGCACATACCGGACGAGAAGTCGATAGCCATGGTGTATCAGCTTCTTGATAGCGAAGGCTTGTATCTAGGCGCTTCCTCGGCGCTGAATGTCGTTGCAGCTGTAGAACTTGCTCAAAAGCTAGGCAAGGGTAAGCATAGCATCAACAACCCTTTCATTGCCCATGCCAAAGCTCAATTGTATCCAGGCTCTAAAGTTGTGACTGTACTGTGCGATGGCGCATACCGATACCAGAGCCGTTTATTCTCCAAGAAATGGCTAGAGTCGAAAGGGCTAGGAGATGCTATACCAGAGAATCTGAGGAAGTACGCAGTTCTAGATTGATCTGAATTGTCGGTATTGCATTAATCTATTATGCTCCACGATCTTGTCACGACTCTGAGCATGCCGAGGCCGCTCGGAGATCATCTCAAATTCAACGGAAACGCACATTGGAAAGATTTCCAGCCGCGCCGTTGACGACATTCTAGACTCTGCAAGGTTATCACGGGTGCCACTCCGTTCGTGAGATCCTCATTGCAAAGAATGATGGATGCACTAGTACTCACCTTATGTCCCCTGCTGCAAAATCAGTAGCTATCATGTACACAAGCCATGCATTCATGCAGTACGTCTTTATTATACATGACCAAGGGCAAATTGGCAGAGCATTCTAAAGAATCTAAACAACGATGGGTGGTGGAGCAGAATTGGCATGTAATACTGAATGATTGTGTTTATGTTCACTTCCAGTTGGACAACGTGAATTCTTATGAAGGAGGCATACTGCATGGGCCAGCCTTGAAGCTTGAGGCTTTGAAGGCATATATCCATGTGCATAGCCACCTTATTTCTCGCGTTTCCCGTATTACAGCGCGGAAAGTATCATAACGCAATATTTCATTGCACTGTGTATCCAAGTCACTGACTACTGACATGGTACGCCAAGCCTAACATGTGTATGCCCTTGTTATCATCATCTATCGCAGTCTGTACATCGTGTCTGTTATTGTATTGTATTGTAGTCTATGTATGGTATTTATTTCATTTTCTTGATGGTGTGACTGTCGTAGTCTGTTGTATAGTGTCCTGATCCTTATCCTAGTCTGATCGGGATGATATTGATTTTCTTGATTTTTGGTGCGGTGGTAAAGCATCGTATTCTTCCTCATTGCATTGTCTTGCTTGACTGGGGGGATGTGTAGGCTGAGGTCGGAATCTGTGTCCGAGTGTGACTTTTTCCATCTAATATTTGTTAATGGTGTAAGATTTAGGCTGGTGGCAACCTATCATTACAATCCCATGGTTCACGGTTGGCACTTGTGCCCTGAGGAATCTGTGACCCATCAGCGCTTCAGCAGCGGACGCCCTGCAGGCCACTTGCCTATCGCTTATTTGCTGGTGTTCAGGACGCACTTTCCAGCAAAGTACCAGTGTCCGGTCACCATTGGAGGGAAAAAAAACCTTTTGAGCTGGACGTATGGAGCACGCAGCAAAACAGCACGACCTGATCGAATTTGCGTTGTTCCGTTAATGTCTTGGTCGTGATGGAAAGAACAGCTATAATTCGTACAAGTTGCCAGTACTACCTAGCCAGAAGCACTCTCTCTCTGTCAGATGTCTTCCTTCTCTTCAGTGGTATTTGACTCGTTATTTCTCGACTCGACATCATCTCCTGCTTCTGAGAAATGAACCGCTACCTCATCCCCAAACCTCATGTTGATCTCTTCAAGTGAAAGCCCCTTCGTCTATTTCAATGCCGTCAAGCAATTCAATGATAACGAAAAAAGAAGCGCGATAAATTTACCTCGGGAAAATATCGCCATAGAATTGTGACGTGGACCGCAGTCAAGCAGATAAACATCACGTAGTAGTACCATCTGATGATGGAGAGTGCAGTTGGCCCTGCTTCAAGGAATACCACAGTCGAAAGGAACGTGCCAATCATTGAGAACGCCATTCCCTGCGAACGGATGTGTGTGGGGAAGATCTCAGAGCAGTACACGTATGAAGTCGCATCGATGCCTCCCGCATAAAAGAAGATGAAGCAAAATATGAAGAACACGCCAAGAGAATTTCCTGTGCGATTATTGGTGCCCATGTATTCGGCCTCCATAGCACATTCCAGGCTGAGGGTGACCATGCATCCAATCATACCGATGACTGCACCAGCGTATAAGAAAACGACAAGTAAGAGAGAAACAAACGTACTGAGGAGGCGCACTCGTCCGACGTAATCCATGACGATGGATGCGAGGAAATTCGCTATCGTTGCAACAGTGACATATAGTGCACCGAGGATCAAGACCAGTCCCCCGTTAAAGCCCAAGTCATTATACAAATTGACCATGTAGTCTGTTCCGCGGTGATCAGTGTGCTGCAACGACGAAAAAAGAGCATTGGAGGTACTTGAGACAACCATTGCACCGGTAGCTTGCGCAGCATACTGTGTGAAGAACCCAATCATCATCCTTTTACGGTATGATGGCTTGCTATACATCTGGCGGGCACCACCTCCAGCGATCCATGCATGGGAGTCCATTTCTACTTGTTTTACCATCTGATGGAATTCTTTTTGGGCATATGAAAGCTTGTTGGCGTCCACAATATTTCCGTCGACATGAAGGCGAGAGATAATATTCCAACTTTCTGCATGGCGCCCTTGCATGAGTACTTGATGAATTCATGAGCTGAGGAATTCTAAAAACATAAAGGTTGAGCTTACACCAACGCGGGGACTCGGGGACCCATGGACTACAGCAGAACAGGCCAAGAGGAAAGATACATTGAAGGGCAAGAGGGAAGCGCCACTGAAAACTGAGATTGGAAGAATAGAAAGTCCCTACACCAACCCAGCTTGCAATTGCATAACCGAGAACGATCCAAGCCCCTTGTATGACTGTCAGACAATTGGTTCAGGTAATGAATTAATAAATACCATGTTGGCCGACAAGGAGACCTCGGGAGGAGGGAGGCGATATCTCTGCCTGGAAAATAGGTATGAGAACTACCATCATTCCAATCCCCCATCCGGTGATGAAGCGTGCTACGAGAAGCATGGCGACATCAATTGAGCCTGCTTGAAGGGCTCCGCCAATGATGCAAATCAGAGCAGCGGTGTTCATAGTAATCTTGCGACCGTGCTTGTCGCACATGTAACCAACTGTGAGGGCTCCAAGAATGCCTCCAGCAGAGAATAAGCCGCTTATTGAGCCTTCGATTTTGTTCGCATATGAGACATTGTCAAAGAGATCGAAGTACTCAAGGAAACCAGGCTGTCCGAAGGTATTGGAGATAACACTGAAAGCATAGCCGTACGTGAGGCTTCCGAGGGTCAAAACCAAAATAATCCGGATATTAAAGGCAGAGTAATGACCACCGTGCATGGTGAACGTGGCCGGGGAAAAGTAGTGATGAAGGCACTCACTCACGGTGACTCGCTTCTTATGCTCTAAAAAAAAGCCCATTTCATGGCATGCCAGCAGAACTAGTCGGTATCAACAAGATCAGCTGAACAGCGGCGAAAGGTATTCTTGGATTGGTGGATTCTGTTAGACGCTCGGAAAGAAGGACTGTCAGTCTCCGGGTGACCGCTGAGAAATTTGCGGCATTCGTGCCTCACAAGGAAGGTCATAAGATCCATGTTATCTACCATAGAACCACAGATCGGAGGGTTCGGCGTACAAAGGAAAAGGTATCAGAGACCGAAGTACTTACCAACAAGAATAAGGTCGAAGATTAGTGGTCAACTGGTCACTGTGGGTGGACACGCGACGTGACCAAAATGAGAAGGTGACAACACGCGTGACATATCGCGTTTGTGTTGTTCAGTCAATTTCCCCTAGGAGGCCCAAGGACGTCCGTCGCTTTCGTCTTTCGCGCCGTGATGTCCGACTCTCTTCACCCATGGATATCGCAGTACCTCATCACAGTCGCAGAAACATCTGGAAAGTCGTTTGCTGATCTCCCTATCGAAGCCATTTCACCTAGCAAGAAGAAGAGAGTTCAAATAATCGAGGTACGTACTTCTACTCATTTCTACTCTCGGCACTGACTGCTGCAGTTTCTGACATTCAACGGAGATGCAGCAATATGGGGGAGAGTGTCCGACAAGGAATCCATGATTCCCGTGTGTTTCACTAAAGATGCTGTATCGCAATATACGAAGTGAGTTTCATGCTTGGCCCTTGCAAACCTCTGTTTGACATTGTGTTTCAGAGATTCACAAGGTCGCAGGATTACAGAAGCAAAACACGCCATTTTTTCCATTGGGCAATTTCGCCCAATCTTCGTACGAATTCCCGTTGGGAACAATCGTTCAAAATTGAGCGAGGATCCTCATATAGCTCTAGAAGCTGGTGTTGTTAAATTTGTTGGCGCTGGCACAGGCGTTTTCGGTCCCCCGCAGGACGTTGAGATGAACTCTCAAGTGAGGGCATGGGTCCGCGGACTCCGACAAGGTGGCGATGGTGGGTGAGTGTCAATGAATATTTACACGAGCACTCCCTGAATTTCAACAGGGATGTCATAAAGCGTGATAAACACAATGCAGCAGATTTACGACTCCAGGAAATCCGTTCAGTTACCAACCATGTGGAAGCACCTCCCATGCCTCAGGCTCGGGAGCCAGAATGCAATTCACTTCGCATTGCGCCGGAACCTCCTGTCCGAAGTATCATTTTGGGGAGGGAATATAGAAAGCGCTGGATAGTAAGCATGTACAATACGTGAAGATTCGTTCATTGAACTGTGTTTATCAGGATGCCCAGAATGACTTCCGGTTATGCGCAATCAAGCCTCATGTTGATGGCAAAGTACAAACGCTTGTCAGTGGTACGTGTGCAGTTTGATAGATTTCTCATAAACTTTATATACTTGTAGAACAACCTCAAATGGGCCAACTGCCTGTCGAAGAAGGTGCATTTCTAGATACGGTGATCGTTGGTAAGCCCCATATCCCCACCAAAGTACATCACCCGGAGCGTTGACTTCAATCAAAATACAGTCGCGAGGCAACCCCGTACCCCGCCGCGCACGCCTGGGCGAGATATAAATGAGCAGACTACCCCCAGAATTTCAGAATGGCCTTCATCTGCGCCCGGAAGCCCTGCTGGAGCACTGCCATCCTCAGCTCACGACGGAGACGACGAGCTTCCAAATGACCACGTGACCGCAGAAGCTTCGACGGAGGAAAACGGTTCCATCCATGAACCATCCACACCCCCTACTACCTCGCCCCTTCGCCCACCCACACCCGCGCAGCGCATCAGACGGACAATCGTTCCTACATCCCCTTTAGATTCATCCCCCATACCTGCGTCACTTTCATCTGTGGCCATTCGTAGAAACATAAAGCGAAAAGTTCCTCACCCAGGTGTGCCGCCGTCATTTGCCGATCACTCAGGTCCAACCCAGATTCTCGTCCCTAATTCTGATACTTCGGGCACCCAATCTCAGTCTCAGTCTCAATCTCAATCACAGTCACATCGACTTCCGTTTCCATCCCAGCTGACGCAAGAATTCAAGCCAGGACCAACGTCGACACCCGCTGCTGCCAACCACACCCTTTTCGTCACAGGTCGTGGAGCTTCGTTGACGCTTCCAAGTGACCAACCCGAGAGTCATTGGGGCGGTGGTCGTTCTTCTCCGGGTCTCACCCACTGGGACGTTCATGAGAGACTCGATAGTGACGATCATCAACCGTCTAGCACTAATGCAGATACCCACCAAGTCTTGGAACCATCGACGGCTGAAGGTCCTGACACGATGAATGTCGATGCGGTCGATGGTGCCGATATTTCTGCTGTCTTGCATACCACTTCTTCACAGGCACTTGAAGAGCCATTGGACGAACACAAACCCATAAGGGACACTTCACCGCAACCCTCCTCCTCGTCTATGCACTCCTTGTTCTCTGCTTCCCCTAGTCTTTCGGTATCCCAGTCTGAAGTCCTACACTCCATTATACCTCAAGCAATCTCCCCACGTCCGGCTGAACCAACAAGCCGAACCCCTTCACACGACGCAGAGGCTTGGAAGGCACCTAGTTTCATGAACTCTCGGAAGGGTAAAGGCAAGGCTGCGGACCCGCTTGATAAGACTTCTGAAACGCACAAAAGAAGAAGGACATCGCCCACATCTTCGTCGCCACTCGCTTCTCACAAGCGCCGAAAAGTTGTGGCAGACGAAACGCTGGAACTTGGGCCTGCACAACTTGCCAATGAAGACGAAAGACCAATTTCCACCGTCCCAAACGGCAAGAGGAACCACACTGCCAAATCGTTTATTAAGGAGTCACACAAAGAGAGCCCAAGCATCAAGCAATCGTCTTCACGTAGGATGTCTAAAGATCTAAGCCAAGTACGAGACGCGTCTCTCTCCCAGAGCATTGACAAGAAGTGCAAGACACCTTTATTGGGCTATCAGGTCGACTTCGAGCATATTCCCGTCGAATCTTCGAGTCCATTAATGAGCATGAGCCTTTTGCGTACAATTTTGCTACGAACGGGAAGAATCCGGACGCTTGGCGACTTAGTGACCAGAGATGGGAGTATTTATATTACGTCTGATTAATTTACCGTCGATGATGCTGTCCTGTTCATGTTTATTAGGCAATACTATGGGGAGTGGTATGGAGTTGGATTGAAGTAACCTAGCTTTGATGCTAATGACTATCTTGTGACTGGTTCGCATCGTGCTTGTACTAAGTAGTACCGATAGTGGCGCCGCCACTGCTTCAAGGTAGTGTAGACTTTGAGGCTGACCAAGATGAACGGAACATGATATTCGAGCATTGGACTTCTGCTTCAATCATTTTTCACATTGTCGAGTAGACGTTCAACGGTACCAGTGACTACCAGTGACCGCTGGCGACCATCAATAACATTCACTGGCTTGCCCTATTTCGACAACATCAATGCACACATGACTGACGATACCCACTGTCATAAACTTTGCTCCTGGATCTGAGAGACACCTGCGGTTGTTAGATGACGAGCGGCCCGTGCCTGCATCACCAACCTAGGTCCTGGGAGGAGGTTTATGTCACACTTACACCTCTTGGAACGGAGATGCTTGATCGCCTGATATCAAGGCACTTGTAGGAAATAGGAAAAGTGAGCGCCGCTGGACTGATGATACAGCTGACGTGTGCACATGTGGCCGTCACATTTCTGTGGTGGTAGAAATAGTAGGCTATTAGTTGTACTTGATACACGAATGGATCGTCCTGCACTTCAGCGCGACCTTAAAATATGGCGCGTTTGGGGCAGAGGACAGACTCGGATGATGAGTGTATCCCACACTCAGGACTTCGCGACTGCTCCTTTTATATCGTCGACAACAACCGCAGATGATTTAAGGTAACGAAGATGGCTGTTGACCTTGTCCCATACATTATAGAAGATCATACCGGCATCCCAGGTATCCCGCTGGTTTACGTGGTCGACGCAAGGGAGGACGGAGAAGATAATGCGAGCGACAGCTTTAGCATCCGCTACATCAGACCGGCTGAATTCCAATGTGTGTAGGGTGGTATGTTGAAACGACTCGGTTGTAGGATCAATATCAATATCCACAAGGTCCATGAATATGCGCAGCGTATGCAAGTGGGGGCATAGACGGAGCGCTGCGAATAGTCCGCGGAATGTAATGGTAGTTGGCATCCGCGAGTCTATTAATTCCAGCGAGAGGATGTGCGGCCAACTCGCTATAGCTTCCAAAAGAAGGTCGTTGTCGATGTGGATGCAATAATGCAGATTGAGCCGCAGAGTTCGGAGCTGCGAGAAACAAAAGAGTTGTGTAACCGCTGCCAAAGATTCGCCCGAGGGCTCCTGATCTTTTGCAATACGGGAGGCTATATTGATGTGCTGAAGGGTCTGCTTTGCATTGCATTTGGATAGAGCCCGAAGGAGTTTCTCAGCCTCCGAGCAAGGCAAAACATCGGCAACCATCTCGAACTCTTTAAGCGAGGGGAATTCTGAGTGTTGCATGGCTGTGATAGCGTATGCAGCCGTGTTTACGTTGAAAGAAAGAGTCGTGATGTTGCGGAAAGGCGTGAAATTGGTAATATCCCAGTCCGTTGACCAACGAGAGGCACTGCGCGGTTCACAGACTGACACTTTGAGAAGGCTGGGGAGGTCGGAGAGGTGTTTCCATGATGCCCAGTCGAGAGGTAGACAGGACAGAGTTACGAGCCGCTTGCATAAACGGACGCTGTCGCACAGCAGGGTCCGATCATCCGCTGACTGCCGCTCCCATTCAGGAATCTTGAAAGATAAGTGCTCCAAAGCGGCACAACGCGTTGCAAGAGATTTCAATTCCGGATGAATGATTGATAGAGAACAATGGCGCAGCGTAGGGGACATAAAGAGATGCAGGTATTTATGTTGATGACGTGAAATTATAAAAGTCAATGACAGCAGTCTCGGGAAGATGCATGTCTCGATGGGGAGGGCTGAGAAAAAATGAAATTGCTGGCTGCATGACAGACACAATGAGCGCACACGGGCGGCGTGATGCAGAAATTGGTGGGCTTCATGCTCAGATAATGGCTCGACGCCTTCAGACCAGTTTGGCTATTTCAGTACTCAGTGAGCCAATGAACAGGAAGAAGCACGACTAGTCCGGACTGACCTTTGATCCGTCAGAATATATCAATTGATGTAACCTCGGTACACAGCCTAGCAGTGGTGTTAACCCCGGGCCATTCAAATTAGCCCAAAGCAAATCCATTGCGGGCTCATGGAAAGCTTTGCATGTAATGGCAAGCGCTCTAAGGGATGCTTTTTTGCTAGCAGACCGTGGGCCCAGATTTTCAACCACATGCGCAAATATCTCCGAGAGGACTTCGGAAACAAGCAGAGCCTGATGCATTAGTTGTGGGTCGAATCGATGGTCAATCGATGGTGCCACTGAGTTTGCACTGCGGAGTCTCCAATATATTAGTGTCCTACAAAACATATACAAATAATCTTGAAGGGTAACCGGTAACCGGTAACCTACGGGATGAGACGGAAACAAATCTGATGCTTACTTGCGAGCACGTGACTCAGACGCGACACGAACCCGTCACAGCCACGTTATATCTTGTCACATCATCCTTGAACATCTGCACCGCAGCACGCATTTTGGTTTAACGGCTCAACGATTATTTAAGACTCCAGGAATGAAGCGCGCATTCTCGCGTAGAAAACCAGTACCAAGCGTATCAGATGGCGTCAGCAGGGATGCTGAATATCAGCAACCATTCATAAGTCCAAACAGCTCGTGAGTGCATTTGGAACAAACGAAGAAGCTTTCGGCACTCATATTGGTTTATGTGCTTTCATACGCATCCATTAGTCGACAAGATGAAACGCCCAATCACCATTCAGTCGGTTCGCATGAATCTGCAAACAGGTAATGTCCTGTCGTCGTAACCCCAAGTCACGTTCTGATCGTGCGCGAAATCAGTGAAGCATACTTTGAGCAAAGTGTAGCAACAAAGAGACCTCTTTCTTCTGATTCTCGTCAGCCGCCAGAAAGGTATCAACCGGGGCAGCTTCTTCCAACGATAATGACCGGAGAAACGTTGGATCTTGAGGACTCGTACACAACTGATGAGCCTACTTCTTCGCAGGGTCATGACCCTTTCTCAGACCATAACACTCCCACATACCCTTACCAGCAAACCCCGTACACTCAACAGTCCCCCACACGAGTGCTACCTCAACCACAATCGAATTCATCACACGAACACCTCGTCACCACTCCTTTCAGTTCCACACCCACCATTTACTCAAATTATGGCACGGGAACATCTCCTGGATTGGGCAGCTCTGTTGATCATTTCCAGCACGACACAGAGGCATATGCATCGGGCAACTTCACCCGCTCTTCCTATCACCCCCCAAGATCACGGTCACCCACTCCGTTCATGGATGAAGACTACAAACTCGACTCCAACAACGTTACTCATTACACAGGATATTCTCAAGCTCGCGAGTTTAACCCTTACGAAGATGAGAAGGCGGCACACAATGACGAGTATGATATCTCGCAATATGCTGACGTTCCCGGCACCGAAGAGTACTATGACGACGGCGAAAAGACGCCTGGTGCTTCAGTCGGGTATGCAGAGCCAGAGACGCCTGTCGAGACCCGTCACTTTGGACCTGCACCCGTTGGGCGTGTTCGTAGACGCCTGAAAAAGAAACGGGTGCAGCTGACAAACGGCAATCTCGTCGTAGACCTTAATGTGCCTCCAAAGCTCGTCCTACCTTACAGGGGGGAGCCAGAGATGATCAAGACGCGGTACACAGCAGTCACTTGTGACCCCGATGATTTCGAGAGAGAGAAGTTCTTTCTCCGACAGAACGAGAATGGACGCACAACCGAATTATTTATTGTTATCACTATGTATAACGTGAGTTCAAGTATGGTTTAGACATCTACTTCTAAAACTTGTTATTGTAGGAAGATGAGGTCCTCTTTTGCAGGACCTTGTATGGAGTGATGCGCAATATCGCGCATCTTTGTTCACGCAAGAATTCCCAAACATGGGGACCTGACGCCTGGAAAAAGGTGATCGCTCCTCTGTCCCATGCTGCTTTACCCTTCTCATACCCTCCAGGTTGTTATTTGTATTGTAGCGGATGGTCGCAAGAAGGTTCACCCTCGTGTGCTCGACTGCTTGACACTCCTTGGAGTCTACCAGCCTGGAGATCACATGAAGAACAAAGTTAACGACAAGGAGGTCACAGCACATCTATTCGAGTACACGACTTCCTTTGCACTGGATCCAAACCTTCACTTTAAGTATCCAGATAAGGGCATCGTGCCAACGCAAATCATGTTTTGCATGAAGGAGAAGAATCAAAAGAAGATTAACAGCCATCGATGGTTCTTCAATGCCTTTGCACCCATGTTACAGGTAGGCGATGAGGTCGCCGAAAATAGTGCAACACTTACTACATCTTCAGCCTAATATTTGCGTGTTGCTTGATGTTGGAACACGCCCAGGCAATAATAGCATATATCGGCTGTGGAAAACATTCGACGTAAACTCAAACGTTGGTGGCGCGTGTGGTGAGATCGCAGTATACAAGGGCAAGAACTGGCAGTACCTGCTGAATCCTCTAGGTTCGACATTTCTTTCCTCTGACGATGATGTTTCTTGACATCTAGTGTCTTCCTAGTTGCAGCTCAAAATTTTGAGTACAAACTTAGCAATATTCTGGATAAGCCTATGGAAAGCATGTTCGGTTACATCAGTGTCCTGGTATGCTGCCGCGCTGATTCTACCGCAACTAATGTAACTAATAACAACAGCCTGGCGCTTTCTCTGCTTATAGGTACGCTGGAGTCACCAGTTATCGGCGACGCTGACGATATGGCTTTACATAGGTATATCGCATTGGCAAATAACAAGGACGGAACAGGTCCTTTAGCTTCTTATTTCAAGGGCGAAGTTCTCCATGGCCACGATACTGACATATTTACATCAAACATGTGTATGTCCTTGCATCAGGCTCCTTTTGCAACTTCTCTGATGTTCGAACGCAGATCTTGCAGAAGATGTATGCTTCCCTGCTTCCGGATGATGCCGTGTGCTGAGATTTTTCAACCCCCAGCGCATCCTTTGTTTTGAGCTCATAGCGAAAGCAAATTCGAACTGGTAATACTCAATCTGTCATTGCTTTACACTCCTAACTGTTTCAACAGGGTGTTGAAGTATGTCAAGGGCGCCATTGGTGAAACAGACGTCCCAGATGCGCTACCAGAGTTCATCAGCCAGCGTCGGCGATGGCTGAATGGCTCATTTTTTGCAGCCGTGTATGCTGTGGCACACGTAGGGCAAATTATGCGGTCTGGCCACAGTTTCAGTCGAAAAGTGACCCTTATGGTCGAGACCGTTTATAATATCATCAACATGATATTTTCATGGTTCGGGATTGTGAGTGTCTCGCAGTTGCCTGGATGAAACGTTGACTGATAAATTTTCAGGGGAACTTTTACCTGTTTTTCGTCAGTTTCAAGGCCATTTATAATCGGTGCAGAGATTGAGTGATTTTCACAGGTCGTCCTGAGTTCGTCATTAGAAGACAAGTCATTTGGTGTGCCCTCCATCAAATATTTCAATGCCATAGTTCAGTACTTTTTGGCTTCGATAATCATCGCCTGTTTCCTCCTGTCTATGGGGAACAAGCCTAAAGCGTAGATGTTTCCTTCGACGTCCAAGCTATGTTGATGTTGACATCTAAACAGGGCTCATCGCAAATACCTTCTAGCCTCACTGTTCCTGGCAGTCCTGATGGTATACCTCATCATTGCATCTGTGCTATGTGGTGTAGCCGCATACAGTCAAGCCGGTGGAGGTGTGGTCCTTCTGAGCGTGGCGATAACTTATGGAGGTGAGTATTATTTATCACGATGTCCTTTTGCTTGTCACCCATTTCGATCTGGATAGTGTATGTGCTCAGCAGCCTCCTGGCGTTCGACCCATGGCATATGTTGACCAGCTTCGTGCAATACATTCTACTGAGTCCGACATACATGAACATCTTGAGCATGTATGTCGTATTTTATTGACTCGATTGTGAGAGCGATAACCACTGACCCGTTCAAAAGATACGCGTTCTCGAACCTCGATGATGTAGGTTAGAGTCTGTGCTAGTAGGGCATATTATCTGACAGCGCCCTAGATATCGTGGGGCACAAAACAAGATGCGGTTCCAGATGCAGACCTCGGCGCCGCAGTACAAGACTCTCATTCTCAGGTCGATATCGCCATGCTCGCCGAAGCTGCAGACGTGAACGGTATCTATGAGGAGTCGATCGATAACCTGAAATACCGGAAACCTGCAAATAAAGACAAGGGTAAGGTAACTACGGAACGAGAGCGAGAGATGGCGGCTATCGACTACTACGCCAATGTTAGAACTAATGTGCGATGTTTTCGTTGAGATATAGACCGGAAGCTAACATTCAATACTAATACTCAGGTACTGTTGGCTTGGGTGTTGTCGAATGTGAGTCAGTTCAACCGAAATTCAGACCATGTGCCGATCAGACGCCTTTCTGGCAGGGCGTGCTCTTGCTCATGATTCTCTCCGGTTCCGATTCATCAAGTACTTTCAATCCTGACGCAGGCGTATCACGGACGAAGGCGTATCTGATATTCATCCTTTCGTTTGCGGCAATCACTAATTCAGTGGTGTGTATTCCATGTTCGCTTGACTAGACAAGGACTTATTGGATTGCAGCGCCTCGTCGGTTCAACCTTATATCTGTTGACGAGAATATTCACTGCGTAACGACGAGGACCTTGTAGAGACATATTATTATTTTCGAGCAGTAAGCTCTTGCTTCCAAGCCTGTGTCCAGATTACATAGTAGCGATGGTGGATGCATCCGAGTCGGTTTGTCACGTGGTGTCACACAGTTTCACTTCTCGACCGCGATGTCGGAATACTGGGTGTCGCATAAACGTTATCACTGCAAGTACTGCAACATTTATATAGCAGACGATGTTCCATCTAGGCAGCACCACGAGAATGGAATGCGCCATAAAGGCAGTGTCGAACGTTTCGTCCGTGGGCTGTACAAGGCTGGCGAGAAAGCCGTGAAGGATAGGGACGAGGAGAAACGTGAGATGGAGAGGATTAGCAAGGTGCGTTAATACGCAGTGTTCCAAACTATGTGCTAACTTATACTTCAGGCCGCAGCCGCAGCATATGCTCAAGACGTCGGCGCTGGACTTGGGGGAGCTGGATCATCTTCACGTGAGGCACCCGCTGCAGCACCTGCGCCGAAGAAACCTCCAACGAAACCAAGCAATCCATACGCCAACTACTCAACGGCTGCGTCACTAGGATATGTAGACCCTGATGCGGAGCGAGCGAAGGCCGAGGCAGAGATGAGGCAGATGATGGGTGTCGCAGGAGAGTGGCAGTTCGTTCAGCATTATTCATCGGCGTCTCCTGCACCGACACGGGGTGAAGTTCCAAGCACGTCCGAAGATGCGAACGGGGAGACGGCAGGGTCTTCTGAGGGTGACAGGAAACGTGTGGCACCAATGGACGATGTTGAGGACGAGCGTGAACTCAAGCTGAGGAAGAAGACGGTCGACATTGGCTTGGGAGGATTCCACGACCTGGGACTCATACCTATCAAGCTCAAAGTGAAGAAAGAGGAGTCAACGGAACCGCAGCCTGATCCATCGAAGGCTGCTGTAGACGATATCAAAGCAGACGCGTTACCTGCCGATGGGAAGGTGAAGATAGCATGGAAACGCGCAGCGTTTCAACCGGCATCCGACGAACCTGCCCCTGACAGCGTGAAGGCAGACTCTGGCGGGGAAGGCGCTCCAAAGGTGAAACCGGAGGAGTCTGTAGCTGCCAAAGAAGAGGTCGTACATGCCAAAATTGAAGCAGAACCTCAAATACCACCAGAACCTGTTAAAAAGGAAGAGGTGATTCCCTCTTCTCTAGAGGCTCCTGCGCCCACAAGCCTCTTTCGCAAACGCAAGCTACCTACGAGACGTTGAATCGTTGATTTTAGAGGATCAGTCCGTAGAGGATGCTCGCCTTCAAGGTCTGTAATGTAGCTTCATTTTGTATATATGTTAACTCTTTACAAATGTAGAAAAGGAACCAGGTCAGGGCATCATATATTGATCTAACATTGCTTGTTGTCACCATGGATGTATGGCTTTTCCTTGGTACAAGTCGACTGACTTACATCAACCTCACTAACATTGATTTCATGCACAGAAACGACGAGGAGTCGCTCGAAGCTCCTGGGTGTCGTCACTCAACTGCGACCCACGGTTAAGACGATATATCACAATTTGTGTCGGGGTAAATTGGCCCGGTGGTTCCTCCTGGATCCTTCTACTGACGAACAACTGGTCTCTTACCTAGCCATTGTCATGGGTTGGCGTAATGACAATTGCAGCGGCTTGTAGTGCTTGAGCAGGCGAGGGCCCAGTCGGCACTTGACGTTGACTTGAAGTCAATGAATGTCGTATGTAGTATCGCATTGTTGTACTCAGTGTGCAATTGCATCCGAGGCTGTATATTACGTTCGCGGATGTGACGCTGTTTGACTCCTCGCTACATACGGCCAGGTACGGTCCCGTTGCACTTGACTCGTTCGATTCTTCGAAGTCACAGATAGTGAGTTTTAGACGAATATCATGCTCTAGCGTATATATATCTGCAGGCTCAGTTCATAACCCGACCCACTGCAGTACTGTCAGTATGGCTCAAGCAAGCATTGCAGTCCTGCTCCCTATCGTAGAGGACTCGGAACCTGCGGCTGCAGCGTCACTCCTTCCATCGATGATCGCATCATCACCTGCACTACCAGGTGCAAAGCCAATCGACGACGACATTCCATCTCAGAAGCCTCCTGGGAAAACTGAGACTCAGGTGCCAAATGACAGCCCCGTTCCGCTCTCGTTTCCTGCGATCTTGCGCAACCCGAAGCTCGCAGACCGATATGCCTACCTCCGCGAGCGTCCGCCAGCTACACCACCCAAGACCTCGATCTCGAAAGCGCGCCGGGACGAACATGAGGGGAAGCGGTGGATACGGAGGAGGGAAAACGGTACGTCGCGTTACTATTCACGGAATGTTCATACAATGCATAGTTTGACATTTTTCTCGTTGTTCACAGCTAAGTTTGCGGATAACCCTCATATTGCGCCACCCTCGCGCGGTGATCACGCGGTGCCAGTCCCTTCGAAGCTCTCCACCTTTCCCATACCGTTACCTCCTTATCTTCCTCGGTCATCCGTGCTGCCTCCTAGTGTTCCTGGTTCTCGTGACCCCACGAGTGCTACTGCTGGATTGTTTTCACTCTCACTAAAGGGCGCCCGGCGAGCATTGAGAACCAGACCAGGCGCCCGGAATATAGTAGAAGCGATTGAGGGTCATTTGTGCGCCTGGCTTGAGGGAGGGACGTACCCGGGAGAGGATGAGGGTATGATCTTTCCTGGGGAGAAGGTAGGAGGGAGGGAAGATGTGCTGGAGGTGAGCAGGCGGGCGGTCGGTCTTGTGTGGGTTGTTGGGAAGGATGGTGCGGATGGTGCGTTTGAAAGGTATGTGGTACATTGTCTGGCTCGGTGGTATGGGGTTGTTAGCTTCAGTAAGTGACTGACTGTGCTCCGAATACTTTTGGCAAGCTGAATTATTTTTTTTTTACGTAGGTAAAGAGGTCGATGGTACACGCTTGACATATCTTCTGCGACCCCAAGTCGCGCAAGCCGTGGGCTCAACACTCGACACGCCTCCTGCGACAGACATTTCCCAAGTTGATACCGAATCAGATTTCGTATCTGATATTCACACGTCTGACCTGGACTCGGACTTTGCATCCGAGATAGAACATGAAGCACACGCCGGAGAACTCTCAGCAATTTCGGAGGCACCCTCATCCCCCACGGCGTGGTCTGTGATCGGTGGATCAGACCTCGAGTTTGATGAAGGGTTCGCAGCGTCCGTAGAGTCGCTCTCCCTAGATGCGGAAGCTAATGATTTGGAGAGGACACCACGCGCAGCTGGCGTGCGAGGGAGCGGCGGTGTGTACGTGCGGAATGCGCGTACCCGATTTAGTGCGTGGAATGAGCCTCGGAGTGGGTCATCACCATCAAGGTCCCCTGCGAGAAGACCACCACCTATGCGACGGGCGATAAAGCAACAGGGGATGAAGAAGGCGGGGAAGAAGGCAGTGAAGGGGACGTTTTATGATTATTTATTTGCCTGACGCAAGTTGTGTTTCCTTTGTGCCTTTTAACTAATTCAGTATCTTTTTACTGATGTCAGCTGGGATACTTTTGAAATCCTCGGTACCGGTAGGGTTTCAAGAGCATGTGAGAAGGCCTGCCATGTATCTAAGTATACAATGATAGATAACTATGAGGCTCTGCTGAGGGATTCCGGCAAACAAGGCGGTATTAGGGGTCCCGGTCACTTATTCCTTGATTTGCTTCCCTTTGCAGGGCTGAGACACTTTGTAAGGGGACTCAGTTCACTGGCCCTGACACCGAGACCGGATATATAAACTCGGAGCTAAACACTGCTTTCGAGACCGGTTCCTAGCTGAATTTAGGATTAGATCCTAGTGGGAGACCGAAGCTTGGGACCGTCATTTAAATTGCCATGTCATAGGACTGTCATAGATACCACTGATCAATATTCGGTTCAAAATATTAATAGTGGCGTCGTGTTTCACTCTAGGCTAGCTCTAGTTCGGGTCTACAATACAGGTTTCAAGTTCCCCTTGTCGATTGTCACTGACTGTCATACCCACTGGGATCCCCCTTGTAGTCCTTGGTATATTAGCACGCCGCCGACTATTCAACTCCACTGCCAGGGCCTCCACCATCATGGTCCCGCAGGATTTTGTTTCATCTTCGCAACCGCACGGTCCAATGTCTATCTCAAGCGTACAATCTGAATTATACCCCGATACCAAAATCGCTCATGATACCAATCACTGTACTCGGCACATCAGCATCACTCATGTCGAAGAACCGAATCAGGAGGACAACTTAGATCAACTCCCCATTTACCGCCTATATAGACGCCGCTTCACTGGCCTGTTTGGTTTCGTGAGTCTACTCACCACCTCATGTTGTAGGTGCTCATCGCACCATAGATTCTACTGGCTCTCGTGACTGGCATGCCTTGGGCATGGTTTGGGCCCATATCGAATGATGGTGTGTACTCACCCTCAGCCCTAATATTTTTAATTGATAGTCTTGAATAGCTGCCGCGGCCTTTGACATCTCTCTCGACCAGGTGAACTGGCTCGGCAACATCATATCTTGCGTCTACCTCCCTGTCTCCCTCCTAGTTCCTGTCTTTTGTACGCGCTTCGGCATTCGCCGCTGTGTGAGTCCCTTCCGCCTCTTGTGCTCCATCTAATATAGAATTTTCCCAAAGGCTGAAGCAGGTGTATTGACACTCCTCATATCAGGCTGGGTGCGCTATGCGGGTAGCATCACCACCTTGTCCTCTGAGAGCGCTTACACGCTCCTCATCCTCGGACAGGTGCGCACATCTTTCTCATTCATTTCCATTTTCATGTCACTTATCCACTCCTATCTACATCGGGTCTTCATCACATACAGTTCTTCTCGGCAATATCACAACCTATCTTTCAAGTTCTCGGTCCGAAATATTCCGAGACGTGGTTTGACCTTAAGGGGCGAACGACAGCAACAATGGTGATCGCCGTTGGTGAGCCTCCTTCCTCATTTTCTGAAAACCGTAGTCTTCAATTAGCACCCGACAGCCAACCCTGTAGGTGGCGCGATTGGCCAGTTGCTTAGTCCCCTAGTCGGTACCGCAAGGCAATCTGTGCGTTCCCTCAAACTTCTATTGTTGTGTGTCTTACGGTGTTCTGGTGCAGATACTGGTCCTAGCGATTATATCTACCATAGCTACTCCTGCCTTATTTCTCATAGAGAGTGAACCACCAACCCCACCCAGTACGTCTTGCGTGCCTCACAATTTCCACTTGTACGTTACTGACTTTCCCGAACAGCATATGCAGGCTCCAAGGCTCCACAATCGCTCCACTCACTCCTACGTGCGATGGTCGGGAAAGTTCACATCCACGACCCTGCTTATATGGCTCCTCGCGAACGGCTGGACTTTCTCATCAATACGCTACTGTTTGGTGTACTCGTTGGCGCGTGAGTGTTTTTACCTCACGTATGAGCGCATATTTGAAATTCGTGCAGGGCAAACGCACTTAGCATCCTCTCAGCGCAATATTTCGTAAGTCTCTCTTCTCATCACCAAATATCATTGCCAAACATGACATCCACAGGAACCTGAGGGGTACAGTGACGCCATTTCAGGCCTCTTTGGCGCAACCCTCCTACTTAGTGGAGTCATTGCCAGTGTGATATCTGCTCCACTATTCGATCGGGTATTGACCCATCATCTGGGCATAACTCTAAAAATTCTTGTCCCAATTGCTGCAGGAGGATGGTTGAGTTTGATCTGGGCAGGTGAGCATCATGGGTCCATTTCACTTGGTACACAATGCCTTTCTTGTACATTAGTCCGCATTCGTTCGATGACGTGGCAGATTTTTCGTGATTCATGGTCGATCATCTTCTGATGATCGCGCCGATCTCCATCCCCATCCCGTCTTCGATGTACGTGATCTGATCCTCCTCCAGTAAAACCAAATAACACCGGCGGCCTCTTCGCGATCATGGTCATCATCGGAATATGCTCCCTGATCATGCTCCCAGTTGGCCTCGAGCTAGGAGTTGAGGTTACCCGAAATGCAGATGGCAGTGCCGCCATCTTGTGGTGCGTGTAAGTCTCATTTCCTTATCTATTATGCCCTATGTCTTCATGCTCACTCGACGTTCTTCACAAGAGGAAATGCATTTGGCACCGTATTCATTCTCGGTATGTCCCACCCTTCCCTATTCAACGACGAGTATCATTCCTGATATCCGTTTCGTGTAGCGGAAGGCGCCCTCCGTGCATCTTCGACTGCCTCCCCGCCATACAACATGCACGCAGCGTTCGTGCTGCATGGCGTGTTAGTGATGGTGGTGGGCTCGACCGTGGCGTTTGTACGCGCAAAACAGGTGCGGCGGGAGATGGACGAACGCATGGCGCAGAACCTGCATTCAAGCCGGCATGTGGAGGCGGTGCCGATGGATAAAATGGGCATGTCCTGCTCGGGTCAGTCCGTCAGATCAATAGAGAAGAGCGGGTCGATACGGGAAAGAGTGGACTCGATACCGTCGCCTGACAAAAAAGATGATATTAGCGTGGTGGAGATTGAGACCATTATGCGACCAATGCGATCACATTCATGACATCTGCTCCTTCCTTGGGTGTTTCGACCTACATTGTTACTGTTGTCCTGGTATTGTAGAATCAGTTGTGTGTTTACTTGCCTATACGACACAGCCTGTAATCATTCGTTGGCGGTTTGAACTTGTGCAGAACTGAAATTCTATAGACCTTGCTTCAGGCTTGATCAAGTCGCGAGATAGATCTTGTATTGCTGACTTGCATTAGTAGCAGTTGTTTGATGGACTTGAATCGAGTGAATTGAAATGTGTAAAGCTCATCTCTCGCTGTCCTTCTTGAAACCCTGGAAATATTTCTCTCTAAAATCTTTGTGCGCAGGAACGTATGCGTCACTGCTCTCCTCTGCTTCCATCACGGAATCAAAAGATGGAGGTAGATACTCGGCATGCGCGGTCTTCTTTATCGTGATCAGCTATTCAAGCACATCAATACCACAGGCATCCTGAACATATCGAGGCCAGCAACTTACCCTCCGCCCCCAGCTACCAAAATCCTGCAAACTATTTGCTACAAGCTCCATCCCCTCACACAATACCGCGTGGATATCGGGTGGGGCATACTCGTCGCTTACCGTAGGCAGGAAGAACACGAGACGTCCGCCTGGTCGGAGGAGATACCGCGCAAGGAGAACGAGATCTGTGACGAGCTGAGAAAGCTCGTAGGGCTTCGTTGGGGGTATGTAAGGCTCATCTCTACATCAGAAGTTCCAGATGAAACCAAGGAATAATTGAGGTCAAGAACTTACGGTCGTGGGCTGGTGGGTTGGAGCCGCTCTTCACGGATTTTTTTGCGCCCGAGGCGTTTCGCTCCTGCACGAACACCATCTGCAATATGCTGTCATTAGAGGAACCGATACTGTCGATAAGGAAGGCGCATACATGGTGGGTCGGTTATGATGGCGTCAAAGAAGCTGCCACAACGCCACGGGTGGTTTGTGACGTCAAACGTGCAGAGATCCATGATACGGGAGGCCACGCCGTATTGTGCAGCAGCCCGAAGGATGCCTGGAGTTTTATCTGTAGGACAGTGTTGGTACACAAAGACACATGCAACGATAAATTATATACCCTTTCCACGCATTTGTCTCCCGTCGATATCCGAACCGTATACGAAAGCGCCGAAGTAGGCTGTAGTCTGTTAAAATTGTCAGAGCTGAGTTGGGTAAAGTATAGTCGACCAACATATGCCATGCTACCGGTGCCAATGAATGGGTCGTAAATCAGTTTGCCAGGGGATGCCTTGTGTCCGCGTAAGCTCGATGCTATTATAAGCAAGCACAGGGCAAACATACTAGCGTCTGATTCGCCATCAAGAGGGAAATCTCTGCCTCCATGCTGGTGTTCCCGAAGTACTGGCGTTTCTTGACATCGAAGGTTCCCATTAGTGAACGCGCAGTTCCATCTACGACCTAAAGATGAGTGATAATTCAGCTAATGAACAGGTAGAAAGTGTACGAAACGCACCAACCTGCCGAAGTAGACTTGCGTGAATTCCCCATATTTGTGCAGTCCACCATCGGGTGCTCGACCATTCTCGTCTGGTGGTTGTGCACAAAATTTAGTTTAGATTGTACGAGAAAAGTATCAAGAACACACAAGCTTCAAAAACCGTGAGAGTAACTTCTGGGTTCTTCATGTCAATCTTACCCAAGAAGTCCATATATGCGAAGCTTTCGATGATCTCACGCTGGCGACGTTGGCTGATGGTAAAATTGTAACCTAGAACACAAAATTTAAACGAGGTGTCTGGAATGTACCGCTCCCATTGTAGGCGAGCTCGGCTGTTTTGCTCATGTAGCGCCTCGTAGGAGGTGCCTTCGGCGTAGAACTCATGTATAGACCTGATTAGACATCATTTGAGTAGACAATTAGTGAGTATTATGGACACACACTTTATCATGATACATCTCTGAGCCAAAATATGTGCATGCTCTTCCTTGTCCAGCGTCAGGATCATGAATGGTAGTTTGATGGCCTTCTCGAGGACGTTGGCGTAGCGATCAAAGCCTATCGTAAAGCCATGAAGCTCAGATATAGAGAGGAGCTCTGGGACGCGGAATTCTTCATGCGATTGAGCGAATACGAAGAGATACTCCATTGAAGGCATTGGATGATCTCTTTAGATCTGAAGGGCGTCATTTCCAAAAAGGGTTAATCATCAAAAATTGAGGTGTTATTTGGCAAAAGCTTTTGATCCAAACATGCAGTCACTGATCCAAACATTGAGCAAAATCATTTATGTAACCGCCGCGTTGTTTGGTAAAGGCTTTGGATCCAAACAACCACTTGAGTATATCAAGTTATATGGATTACTCCAGTCAATCATGTCCGTTGAAGTAATTCAAGACCCACTGCACCTTAGGCATGTCCTACAAGCGAGCATTCGGGCGTTCGACTCGGACGACGAGAGTTGTATGCCCTCTCAGGTCCCTCCTCTCTCACAACATGGCGCTCATAAACCCCGCGTATAGTCGAAGAAGGCATTGAAATGCTTCGCGCTGTCCTCCCGGATGCGATGATTGTAGCTGCTTTGGACATTATTGATCGCGAAGGTGGTGAGTGATACTTCCAATGATACACTATCAGACTTTGCAGCTGAATGATGGGCCTTCAGTCATGAAATACAAGACCTCGTGGGGTCGGCATCATTACGAAGTTCTGGGCACCACTTCCACATACACCGTCTTTCCGCACCTCGATGCTGGATCTGCAGCCGTGTCTAGTTATTGCACCTGCCCATCATTCGCATACGCGGTGTTAATATCCGAGAACCACCTTATGGTACGAACCTACATCTCAATGGTACATAATAGCTTGGTGAATGACGCTGCTGGTAGTGCAAACACGTCTTGGCAGTGTGCCTTGCAGATAGGTTGTCTCGTTGTGTCGTGCGCCCCATCGAAGATGATGACTTACTGTTAAAAATCACGGGACATGTCTCTCCCTAGACATTCCTCGATCGCAAGTATCTCTTGATACTATCAGTTTGTGGTTTTTGAAACATGGGGCACCTGATTGAACAACGTATCAGACTGCCCGAGTTCTCTTCTAGATCACATTGTGAAGACCTCTTTCACCACAAAAGACAATATGAGCGTGCAATTCTTTGAATTACGCCTACGTGACACCCACTGCTAGCCACTGCTTCCGTAAACGAGAAATATCAACATGTTTTCGACCGTGTGGTGCAGGAACACAATGATGGAGTGACCATGATACCAAGCACAGCTGGTGGGACTCGGATGCATCATAAATAGAATATGCATTGTGGCTATATATAGTCCATAATCGCACTATACATGTGGGCGGACGAACACATGAGCTAGGCAGTGTCTCTGGTTCTCTCATGTATCAAATACATATCCAGGCAGCGGCATCACAGCACATTTACGTCCTTCACTTGCAATGCGACTCGGAGGGGCGTCGACGTATAAATGTCATTGGAACACAAGCTGGACCAAACCGTTCTCTCAAACGATTAACGGAGACGACAACTTGAACGCATATAATTCGAGGGTGCTTGCAAAGTTTCTCCGAATGTGTCCGAGTCAGCCGAGGGTTATGATTGAGATTTCAGATCTCAGGCCCAGGCCGCCCACTGGCAGGGTGGCACATGCGGCTGTGTGCGGCTGTATCACAACTCTGTTCAACGTGTAAAACGTACGTCCCTCAACAGTCAATTATGTGTGAGCTCAGTCAATTGCTTAAGCACTGCAAGCCCAGCTTGGCCAGCGACATCCTATAGCGATACTCTCTTGGTTACCACACTGCGATTCCCGTTACACATACAGAAAAGAGTTTACTATCTTTGTCCATCAATCATTGTCTGTTGAGTCATGTGGGTAATGTTCCTTGATTGATTTTGGACTATCCACTGGTACTATGCACTGCCTACGAGCTTTGAACAACTCAAAAGCCATCTCTGCTGACTGGCAGTGTTGAGGACATTCAATTCATCCCCCCGCCCCTCCCCCCTTCTGCTTACCTTTGAAGCATTCATCATGGACGGTGTGATCAACGCTTCTGAGCTCCCGATGCTCTACAGCTATCAGGCCTTGACTGTAAGTAACTTTCGTGACGCCTCTTCTCACTTGTTAACATCCTTGTCAGTATTGTTATGGTACGCCTCCTCGTCATGTCACGATTACACGACTTTATTGTTATGTGAAGCTGCAATAGCTTTTCTATTTGTGAGTAGCGCGAAGGAATGCTAGGTCCGGTCCCTCATTAATTGGCATGCGTTTATTACTTCATAGCTGTACGATTACAGCCTGATGTTTAGTGATGAAGTGCGCTTGCACGTCAAATTTGTTCAACCTTAAACTCTGACCACACTTTCTAGCTCTTATTCCTCCGCGAATCAAAGCGTGGAGCGACGAAAGCTTTGTTCATAACTGCCCGCTACTCGCCTTTCGTAGTTTTCGTTGTTCGGGTCTATAGTGAGCGTTAGGCATGATTTTTCTCCAATCATTCTGAATTCTTTTTGCAGTGGACTCTGTGTCTGATCCTGATATCAATGTAAGTCAGCTTGATTTTTATTGTAGGCACTGTCCCTTAGAGGCTACTAAAAAAAACTAGAAATGTCACTCGTTCGATCTCGTCGTGAGAGGTACGCATCTCAGGATATCGTTTTGTCTCCTGAAATAATTCGAGCCAGTGTTTACCCTTTTTGCCATTGAGTGTTCGGAGGGTAGGTCATTTCCCCTGGTGCTTTCATGTGCATGTATTGGACATAATTGTGAAACGCGTCTTAGGGTTGTTTATCATCAGAGCATATGCATTATGGCGAAAAAGCAAGCGAATCCTTGCGCTCATTCTCGTCACATTTCTCGTTAGTCACTCTATCCATATTGACATGAGCACATCGCTGAATCTGGGCAGACGTCCATCATTATCGCGGTGGCTGTAGCCTTAACGTCGGGCGGGGGTGTTACGTGTTTGTATCTTCATTTTGTTGCAGTGTGCAAACTCTCAGATTTCAGTGCTAATCAGCTTGAATTAGTCTCGAAACCACCGGTCTCTACGTTTACAGGATGCTATCTGGTCTCTCAGGGCCATTTATTGTACATAGCCTTCATCGTACTCATTGTGTTCGAGCTAGGTAAGTGTCCATCTCGAAACGTTTAGTCTTCATTGATGTACCATGACATTAGAACTTGTTATCCTTGTTGGAATTCAAGTTTTTAAATCATATCGCGAAAGCGGTAGCCGTCTGCTCAAAATTCTCGTTCGACAAAGTGCGATTTACTATGCTTGCGGCCTTTGTGAGCCATGATTGCCAATTTATCAACCGAATGCTCAAACTCGCCCACAGTTTGGTCAGCTGTGAATATTTTCACCCTGCTACTCCTGAAGGTAGCCGATGATCATCTGCAGCTTTAGTATCCACTGAAACATGTTAACAGGATGATTACAACAGCAGTTTGGAATAGTAAGTCCTCCCTCAATAGTGCGTCTACACCCTGACGGTCCCATCACATCGAATTCAGTTTCCAGATCGGTGTGCACACCATTCTCGCAACGCGCATGCACATGTCCTTGTGGAAGGCAGATCGTCGCGATGAAATCGTGGAGACGCCGTCAATAGCGATTAGCACAATACAGTTCGCTGGTGGTGCCTAGCGGTAGCGCTAAACTGATCACCATAAAGTTCTTGTGAAATTGGCATCTTCCTCCCCACGGCTCACTTACAGGTTCTTCTTCTTGGACATAACCTAGTCCTTCTTAGCATATTGTAACGCATACACTCATGTATTTTCACACCCGAAATACCTATAGGCCTAGACGAGACATGCAGCATTCATCTGATCTTCCCGTCGTCTTACTATCACGGTTGAATGATGAGGGCTCGCAGTGTGGTGCATGAGACTCGGCTCTGTTGCGCTCGTGCCTCGCACAGAAATCCCACACAAAGCGGCAGCACCCTATCCCCAAAGATGCATGATATAATATTAATCGACAGCGAACCGAGAAGCAGCGTGCATGTAGTGTAAGAACACATAGTGATATCAATGTGATGCCATGTGGCAAAATGTAGACGGATAGATGATTGTGATGGCGTGGTTATAGCTAGATCTATGGTGCATCACACACTGGCACGGCTAGCTGAAGAGAGAGATGTATCATGATATAACTAGTGCTACCGTGACAAGACTGCACAAACAGACGACCCTTGAGTGTTAAATACGCCTTGTTTCGGAACTGGTGCTGCTAGTAAGTATGTATGCGAAGAATAAAAAAACTGTCTCAGTACTACCGTACAAAATTTGAGGAGGCGATTCTGAACTTTTGCCATGCATGGCTGAGAGTTTAATTTTGCACCTCTTCTTGTTGGTTCCAATGTAATGGCACAATTTTGCGACATCGCATCTGAATGACACCACTCCAGTTCAATCCTACACAACTTGTATGTACATATTAACATATGGGAACGCGGGCTGCCATCATATTTCGCAACTTCCCTCTCGATCAATCATTGCTCGCCATCTTTCTGGGTACTAGTGCCCTCTTCGGCATAACGCATGCTTGCATCTTCATTCTTTGGCTTCGTCGCTCCAGTCTGCGCCATATTGTTCTGTCTCGAGGTTTCCTCCTCTTGTATAGAGAGTGACGTCTCGGCGATTGTACTACCGGGCACCTGTGACAGGATGATGCTTGTGAAGACTTGATTGGATGTGAATGATTGGTCAAGATCGAACGTTTCCTTTGAGCACATGCGGTATAAGAAGGTCACGATCACCAGGAGGTTGCAGACGATGAGACTGAGGGCAGCCTAATTTCTGTCGGATTTCACAGAGTAGCCTGAATACGGGAGCGTGCTTACCTTGACGTGTGCCAAGGTGAGCACAGTTGCTGTTTGGCCCATGGAGAGGCCTATAGAGTGGGGGATTGTGATGGCGGTGATTAGAATAGATGCGCCGAACGCAGATAGGACTAATATTTTTCTGCTACGCGAGAGCCCTACGTTGTTCCAGAGATACAACGGCGCAACAACAAGGGAGACGTCCGCGATGACAGCCGCTGCAAAAACCCAAACTTGAGGACCATCCTAGCCACAGAAAGCACAAAGAGGTACTGACTGATCAGTTGTGAGAGCGCCACTGACTCCGGCATTAGGCACCCGCTGATTTTGCATGTGCTCATCTTTTGGGCAATCAGCGCGGCCCACATGCACGCGAAGGATACTGCAATAAGATACGTAATCCGTTTGTAGATCTTGCACCCTGAGTGGTTGGCGATGCGGATTATGGAGAAAATGATGCTCATGCGCGCAGCCCTAGACCAGTGAGCGAGATTGATCTTTCATTGAGTGAGCTGTGATGCGTACCAGATGACGGAGGTGAGTGTGACTGAGAGGATCCAGGCTGGGAGTGACTGAACAGGCGATTAATCTTGGAGTGCGAAGTAAAGTACTCACAAGTTATTCTTGCGTCGAGCCAGATGCTTGCCAGGCAAAGAGCTGGGGGGCGTGGTTGGTTTACTGAGCAAGCCAGCGCACAATAAAAATTCTACCGTCTGTGATCAGTGCAACTGCCGCCCATGCATCTTCCCACCAGAAGTGACGCGTCCAGGTTCTGTAAATAAGCCTGGCGATGGTGCAGAGTATAGCAATGGTATGTGACACCGACCCCGCGACTTTGTATGTGATGATAAACATAAGAACACAAGATATGTAAATGGGTGCTTTCCACTCACTGATCAGGCCAGACGAGTAGTAGAATAACGCCGCCATCAGATACCTAGGGTGGACAAGGAAAGGGTGAGCTGCAGACGCAAATTGTAACGACTGGCCTTATATGTGACGCGTGGAGATACATGTCTCCATGACAGACCTTTGCATAATATTTCTAGCCAATGACGACAACCTACAGGGTTACACAGAGCGGAGCGCTTTGACTGATAACCTGTTTGGTGCCATGTGGTGCCTGTGCCATCATGCCACTGACTTGGCCTCCATAGGGCCACAGGATTTCGTGAACCTGCGCTGACGATTGAATATTGATTGAGTACTCAATTGATGATCCTAGAAAATGAACTAATAGCCTGTCAAGTTGTATAGATTGTAGGTGTAGATGGTCCCTGTCAAGCCTGAAGTAGGTTTGACACCAACAATGGGATTGTCATACGTGGGAAGGCCCTAGAGTCGTGCTTACCAGACACTGGCATCGATGAGTGAGTCAAGAGGGTAAGACCCGGAAGGGTGACTACTCACGATACCACTGTGATGCTCTTTGTATCCCCATAAGTTATTCGCAGAACATAACCTTGGCAAAGTGGAAGCTCCGCGAGCAATCCGTGAGTCACCTGTCTTTCTACTGTCAAGTGCCAACAAGTATTCAGCGCGTAGTTTGGGGGTATGCGTTGCGTTTAGCCTTTTGGTCATAACGTACATCCGATCAGCGTACTGACCGCCGCCGACCTGGTATGTATGTCACTATGTGTCTTGCAAGGTTATGCCAAGCTATATCTGCTGTCTGGAAAGGGGGGGGGGGACGTGCGGACTTGCAAAACTTTGATGGCGGAGGACGGCGCGCGAGGACGAGTCGCGTTCTAAACGCTGCAGGAAATTATCCAATTAGGCTTTTTTTCGTTAATGCGACATAAGTACTAATTGGTTCCTGGACCCCTATAGGTGTGAGTCTAATCTCTCCACCCCTGAGTATTGTCTAGGTCGGTTGGCCGCTGTAGTTCTGGGGCTGATTATAGCCATCCGTCCCGCCGTGCTGCGTCACCGGACCCACAGACTGTCCTCGAGACGATGTCTGGCTTCCAGAGAACGGCGTCGGAGTCCGACCTAGGTGCGGTGTAGCCATCTGTGGAGTTGCTGCAGCTCGGTAGGGATACAGCGGTATCATCCCCATCTCGGGTGAACTCGACTGCGAAGGGCCCGGGTTTGGGTGGACATCCTGCTGGTGATGCTGAAAGGATCCAGGCGCAGGCTATATGTTCGCAAGTAAGTTTTTATCGAGTTGTGTTACTATTGGACTAATTACTGTTTGTGTAACAGGTCCGTCCTGTTGTCCCCCCATCCCAGCACTAAAAAAATCGTCACGCCGGGGCAAGCGGTGGTTCAAAAGGCCGAGGGAGGAACCCCTGTAAGGCTCTGGCTCAGTTCCGTGGTGTGTCGCTGGACTAAATTGGTTTGGCAGGTCATTGGGAGCCCTACTAGGCTGTCGCTGTCCTTGGCCAGGATACATGGCGTTACTGGTGGGCAGCATCGAGCCGTGGGGAGGAAGCAAAAGAAAATCTGGAGCTGCATGGAGGATCCCTAGGAAGCACGAGTAGCGCATGCATGATAGTATTAATCAGATAATAATCAGACTTGTTTCCTATTCTAATCGGAAGTAAACTCGACTGTTTCCTATTCTAATCAGAAGTAAACTCGACGTGCAAATCCCTAAATTCTGATGTCGGATTAGACTGTAGTGCGCTTATGGAGAGCCCGCAAATCCACTGTTTCCGGCGTCGAGTTTGTGTACCGCAAATGTACCTTTCCTGACCCTAATATTTGGAGAAACATCTATTTTCATACATCGTATTACTATCCTATTATAGGTTCTATTCCTTCTCTAATCTGGCCCAATTATTTTCTCGTTTCTGCGGTGAATGGGATTGTCATACGTGGGAAGGCCCTAGAGTCGTGCTTACCAGACACTGGCATCGATGAGTGAGTCAAGAGGGTAAGACCCGGAAGGGTGACTACTCGCGATACCACTGTGATGCTCTTTGTATCCCCATAAGTTATTCGCAGAACATAACCTTGGCAAAGTGGAAGCTCCGCGAGCAATCCGTGAGTCACCTGTCTTTCTACTGTCAAGTGCCAACAAGTATTCAGCGCGTAGTTTGGGGGTATGCGTTGCGTTTAGCCTTTTTGTCATACACGTACATCCGATCAGCGTACTGACCGCCGCCGACCTGGTATGTATGTCACTATGTGTCTTGCAAGGTTATGCCAAGCTATATCTGCTGTCTGGAAAGGGGGGGGGACGTGCGGACGTGCGGACTTGCAAAACTTTGACGGCGGAGGACGGCGCGCGAGGACGAGTCGCGTTCTAAACGCTGCAGGAAATTATCCAATTAGGCTTTTTTTCGTTAATGCGACATAAGTACTAATTGGTTCCTGGACCCCAATAGGTGTGAGTCTAATCTCTCCACCCCTGAGCATTGTCTAGGTATAAATATTCTATGTCTAAACGTGAATATGGAAGTCTGTGCAATATAAATCATTAGGTATACCGCTGGAGGCGATGCAAAGTCAGTTGACAAGATGGCGGTGAAAAGCGCGCAGCATTGAATATGAAGTTCCGAAACCTCGTAATATATGACGAATGGGACAAATGGTTGAGCAACGCAACGAACAGTCAATTAGCTCCAAGGGAATAAGGGTAAGGCATCGACCAATTATGGGACGGAAATAAATGGAGCATGTTACGAAGCGATGGTGAATGCGCCAAGTCAGTTGGAGGCGACGCAGGAGAACGCGCGTGAAACAGTGCGTGGGTCGATGGCCTACGCATAGCTTCCACCTAAGCTCGTTTCTTCAACAACGCAGCATACGTGCGAAGTTCACGGACGAGTGACTGGAGCTGGGGCGTGTCATCAAAGTCCATGTGTGAATCCACATCCATGTCATCATCCCGCTTGTCACCACCATCCTCGCTTTGGTCTTCATCGCTGAACTCAGACTCGTCGGTCTCAAATGACGAAACCATTTGAACATCAGCTAAGTGCGAGGAGGCAAATTTCGAGGCTTTGCTGAGTTTACTGGGAAGCGAATTGAAGGATGAAGCTGCACGGGAAATGGACGCCGACGTGTGGGTATTTGAAGACGAGACCACATGGGACGTCGACGAGGATGCCGTGCGGGAAGGTAAGGCTGTTACAGGTTGAGGTTTTGACTTTTCCGAGGAACTGGAACGCGACTTAAGGCCAGCTTTCCCCTCGACCCATTCCGCAAGCTTGAAGATTTCTGCGGGGTCTGAGAAAGCATACCATCTGGGACGTTCGGTCTTCATCTTCCGTGGCTTCTTGCCATTGTCTTCGTCTTCGTCCTCGCCCGACCCAGAATCAAGTTCGGACTCAGACTCGTCTTCTGAGTAATCCTCATCCTTTGGTGGATCTATTCTCTCTTCAACACCCGGCCGCACACCCCACACAGCTACGAACCAGCTCCAGCGTTTGTGCGACGCACGTTCTGGAAGGGAGGGAGGAGTCCATGGTGATCTCGACTTGGCTTTATGGCTCTTCGTCGCGGCCCCCTCCGCCAGTTCTCCCACTTCGATATTGGAGGCAAGGTACTCGCGTGCATAGTCTCTCTCTCCTCGCCCTGGCATCAGAGCCCAGTACACCCTGCCTTCTGAGTCCCGACCGAGTGGTGCGATGCGCTGGGCGCAGGACGATAAGGCAAGGGTCAGGGCCGTTTGGGGCGTCAAAGTATGCGTTGGTTCGGCCTCCAAGTCCTTCGCACCTGCATCCTTCTCCTTGGCAGTGGCGCCAGCTTTACCCTTCGCCTTCTTGTCTTTGCCCTGCCCTTTTGCATCCTTAGCCTTCTGCTCCTTCTCTGCTTTCTCCTTCTCCTTTCGTTCCTTCTCAGCCCGATCCAAAGCTCTCTTCACCTCAATACTTTCCCTCGTCAATTCCTTTACATCCTTTGCACCCTCCTCTATCGCATCCCTCACTGCCTGTCCTTGTGTTGCATGGTCTACAAGGACGCTGACCACAGGTATAAGCTGTGAGGTGCGGACTACTTCGGGCCAGTCTGTCTCCTTGCTCTTTCCATTCGCGTTCTGATGGTGAGACAACATGCGGGCGGAACGGGTTCTAATAGTCGGTACAGACTGAAGGAGGTGCTCTGGGGCGGGCGTAGGAGATGGAAGAGCGAGGGAAGGGAGGGTACCCAAGGTGCTCAGGGTATTGACAATCTTAAAGAGGAATGATTGCTGGTGGAGCGCGCTGGCTGTTGTGGAGAGGACCTGTTGGGGACCAGAATAATGAGAGGAACGAGGGGATTGAGGAGACTGAAACGCACCTCTGAGTCTACTTCTATCATGCCTAACAATGCAATCAGTAGTGCTTTCACGCATCCCTCTGAGATCCAGGGTTCTAAATCTCCATCCTCATCCTCTTCCTCGTCAAAATCTCGGCGAGAGCGGGACAAAAATTCGAGCTCGTCATGGTGTGAACGTGATAGGGGGAGGAAACGAAGTGCAAATTCACGGATGTAGATGCGGGCTTCCGCTCCGTGCAGGGAGAGGTGAGTGCGGACCGGTGTCCAAAGAGCTTTGGGAAGCGGTTTCGGGGCTGGAAGCGGTGCAGGAGTGTGTATATGCGCGAGGTTCTTGGTGGATCTGGACTTGGATTTACTGATTGCACTTGTAGTAGGTTGGGGCGCGGACTTGGTTGTTCTCATCTTCTTCTCAGCGACAGGTTTGCCTGACATCGGGCCCTGCGCATGTGTCAGCGTTAGAAGGTCAGCACTGATTTGGATACATACGGCCGCAGTTGGATCTTGCAGGAGAAGTTCTGCAGCTGACTGGAGCCCTGATTTGCGCGCTGCGAAGGTGAGATTCCTATGTGGGCGATAAAATTAGTGAAGTCGTGGCGAAACGCACTGTACGCACCCCGTGGGCTGAAGGCCCTTTGCCTTTCTGCAGTGAACGCAATTACAGGTCTCCTCGCATCGGGGGCACCTAAGCGAGTGCAAGCACAGGCAGAAAATCACGCATATAGTCAGTGCTAAACGAATATTCAAGCATTACAGATACGACGTACTTGAAAAAGTACCCCTCGCCCGATACATGATGTTTTTTCTCAGCTGCCGGGACAGTGCTGGTGGACAAGACGTCCTGAAGTGAAAGCCCATAGCGGTTCTTGAGACAGGGGCCGCAGTACTTGCTGATGCACCTTCGGTTAGATTTCGCGTCTGCACGCGTACATTGAACGGCGAGAGCCGCGTCACGCTTCTTGTTACATTGGTGACAGTAAAGAAAGCCGTTTGGGAAGTCGGGGGTAGCGTTCGCGAGGGGACGACGCGTAGTGTTTAGCTTGATTGCGACAGTTTCAAGCTTTGGTTTCTTGAGCGGCTTGTCATTCGATTCATCTGCTTTGCGTTTGGACGACTTGTTTATGATAGTGTTTTGAGATATGGATGCGCGCAGGGGGTTTTGTTTGCGGCTGGACACAGCGTGCGTGGCGCTGCTAGTAGTTGGTATACTATTGTTGTTAGATTTATGCAACGCAGAAGAAGGAATTTCGACAAAGACTTGAGATAGACGCCTTACAATGGACTTTGGCTGGCCTGCCATTGATGATGCTGATGATGATCGTGGTTCTATCTGAAAAGACGCGTACAATAAACAAATGTCTTTATTACTTTGGTCACATGATTACACTCCACACGCGTTTTTTCAATCAACTGACTTATTTTAACCAACGTCATCACGGAGACGGATCATGGTAGAAATATTTACCCGTACTCCGCAGCGCAAGAACTTAGGTACGCATACACTGGATGGACATTGGAGTCGCTAGCTTGCTCCTCGAAGTTCGACTTTGATAGGCTGCGGAAACAACATGATACAATCTAACTCGTAAAAGTACGCTCAAGCTCACCTGGGACGTATACGTAGGTGATTGTCAGTGATATCATCAAGTGATCTTCCGGAGTCTGGTAGTGTTGATCAGGGTCCGATATTATATTAGGGTCAAGCGGTGGGCACCCTACATAGATCTGCTCTTGACTGCTGCGTAGTGCGGGCCACATAAAGATAACTCCGAGTGACGACCTGATCCTATCGCTTGGTTATTCCACTCTCGTGGCCTGACGGGGTGAAATCGGCGCCTGCAGTAAGACATCACATCCAAAGATGTCGTTCAAGTCACCATCACTGGATAAGCTGGCTTATCGCGTTGTACACAGCAACGAGATCAGGAGATCGATGAGAGGCGCACTACGAAAAGGTGGAGGGGGAAGATAGACAAAAATATGAGAGCACCGTGAAGAGATGAGGGATGCGAGTGGGAAGGAGAAAAGAGACGTACGAGGCGAATCTTTGAAACAGAGCCTTTATAAGGCGGCTCATATGCATGGGCTTCTCAACCATAGAAGCACAGAAGGAGTCTCCGCGTGCACGCTCACAAAAGGCCCTATCTAGACGTGTCAACTTGGAGTCAATGATACAAATCACCTAGTGGCGTCTCATCCTGAAGTGAACCAAGGCTCAAAGCATGACAAGATATATATTTCACCTACAATGAGTTGGGTTTACACGTTAATCAAATAATAAAAATGCACTCTAGTTCCTTCGATCTTTTGCAGCATTGATCCATGAAATTTTACGCCTCCAACCAGTCCAAGAAGTCCGGTGTGAAGTAAGATAGAATCAGGGTAGCGCCTTTATAAAATCATGTCAGAGCACCGAAAAGCTAATACTGACATACTTACCTGCCCGGACCATGCTCTCTGTAGTCTCGAATGCCATAGTTTTGAGATCGTAGACGCCTGCAGCAGCACCAGCATGAACCATCGCGAATTCACCACTGACTTGGTAGCAAGCCAGAGGATGGTCCGGTGCGAGCTGTGCAGCATCCGAGATGATGTCGAGATAAGGAAGCGCGGGTTTCACCATGATGATGTCTGCGCCTTCTGCGGTGTCTCGTTGCTAAGAAATGATATGATGAATGTCATATCTTGCGATAGAGGAGATATAACTCACTATTGCGCGCCGCGCGAGTCCTTTGGCAGTAGGAGGGAGTTGGTAGCACTTGCGGTCGCCAAACGATGGTGCACTTCCGGCGGCATCGCGGAAGGGGCCATACAATGCGCTCGCGAACTTGGCTGAATAGCTCATAAGGGTGCATTTGCTGGCCAAGTCAGCGTCAATGAGAGCTTGTTTGATGGCCTTGATGCGCCCGTCCATCATGTCGCTCGGAGCTACACAATGGGCACCAGCTTTGGCGTAGTTAACGGACACTTCTGCGAGACGTAGGACGGAGGGCTTGGTGTTGATGGTGCCGTCAGCATGCAGCAGACCGCAGTGCCCGTGTGAGGTGTACTCGCATAGACATACATCGCAGGCGATGTACAATGACGGGAATAATAGTCTGATCTTTTTGATAGCTTGGATGACGGGGCCAGATGGATCGTCTGCTGGGGTGCCACGGCCATCCTGGATGATCGATAAGGCCATTGCGGGTAGTCTCACCGGTTTGAAGCTCACCTTTTCACAATTGAAAGGTACACCAAAGAGGATGACACTTTTCAGTCCTTTCTTCACCAATGGGCCGAGGAAGGACTCGAGCTTGTTGACACCCCAGCGGCGTTGAACAGGCAGTGAGGAGATGAGGACGCTGGCATCTGGATCATCAGTGATGAAGATGGGGTACATGAACATGGACTTTGTGAGCTGCCTGCGGCCCTGCCATGAGCGTGACAGGGGGTGCTGGTATCCACCCTGGAGGATTGAGCTGAGCAGAGTCGGCTTTTGAGGGATGATGTGAGATGTAGATCGAGTGTACTCACGAGATATCCATGGCGTTCTAGTCAAGGACTCAAGGTCGACAACGGGGCTGAGGTGGCAGGGATACGTATACGTCCGCTGTCTATGTCGTACCACAATATTTGATTCACAGCCTTTCGAATTCACAGCTGGGATAGGTATCCACGCCGCCGCGGTGTATAGCAATTTTGATCCACAACAGCTTCAGCGCTTGCACATGACGATGGTTAGATCTGCGCGTGCATTCACTACATGTAATGTATTGGACTATAGTACTGTCAATAATATGGGCCTTCCTTGTCTTGCACCAAGTCACGGGCATACAAACGATGTGTCTGCGTACACGGCTACCTTCGCCCTCAACGCCATAGAGTTACTCTTACTTTCTGTCGAAAGTCACAGTTCGAATTTCGACGGATAGTGGGAGTAAATTGTGCAAGACGCGCGCGTGAGTAGCTGCCCCCCAGCATGGAAGGTGTAAATGGACAACCAAGTTGGAACCAAGTCAGTTGATGGTGGCGGTGACTAATGTCGTGGGAATGAAATTTATCCTGACGAGCTGTCCTCCCCCCTCAGCCAGCTCACTAATTACTTCCATTTATTCCCTTCCTCCTCCCCCGTCCTCTTGACCCTTCACCATGTCTCATGCTGACCACACCAGAGATCCATGGTGTGTAATAAACCATTCATTTGGCCAGTTCAGATACTGATAAATTTCTTTCGGGCTTAAGTCCATGGGTCATATTGAATGACTTTGGAGGCGCATTTGCTATGGGCGCTGTTGGTGGCGGTATATGGCACGGTATCAAGGGTGCACGAAACTCCCCTAGGGTTAGTTCTCCGTCTTGCTCCACATTTTGCCCTTTTCCTAGTCCTGGCGGAGCAAACGTCACTTACGTGGACACTCACAGGGTGACCGTTGGGTTGGTGCCATATCTACTATCAAAGCACGCGCCCCAGTCACAGGTGGCAACTTCGGCGTCTGGGGAGGCATGTTCTCCACTTTTGATTGTGCCGTGAAAGGTTGGCGGCAAAAAGAGGATGCATGGAATGCCATAATTTCGGGGTTCATGACGGGTGGATGTTTGGCCGCAAGAAGTCAGTTTCCCCTCGTATTTTTCCTTTCTTTATTTCTGACTCCAATCCGTCGCATGCCAGGTGGCCCAAAATCAGCACTAGGATCTGCAATTGCGTGTGGTATCCTGTTGGGTGTGTTTGAGGGTGTCGGTGTCCTTCTTTCTCGTGTGTTCAGCGAAGGTACACGACCACAGCTTCCACAACGTGAGTTATATCACTCAATGTACTTCGTATGACTGACTGTTTTCACTTGCATCTCTCGTCTTTCGCTTCCTTCCCGTACCCTCCTCGCTTCCCATGCGCCGTGTCCACAGTGCCGGACACTATCCAGCCTCAACCCTCAGGACACTAGCTCCATACCTGCCTCTCCGCAATCTATATTACAATGGATGCCTCCCTCCGCCCTACAGCCCACTTACCCTCATTGTATATTCGCGCTGCAATGCAATGCATAGTATTGAATCTACTGATCGTCAGACTTGTTGACTTCGGGTTCTTTTGCGCCCGACGTTTTTTGAATCTTCCCACCGCTCGCCACATGGCATCAGAAACATACAAAATGCAGTGATTGGAATGATTCACGGTGCATGTTGTCCTTATACCTATTTTGGATCAAGGTGATTATGAAACGGCCTGGGTTCTGGTCCCAGTTATGGCCATCACTTGTTCCGTCACTTTTGCAATGCCTAATACTTGTTGCGGCGCCCTCTCAAATCCTCGATGCACATGCAAGCAGTGACTGGCACTAGCATCATTATGGAGTCTACAAAGTCGGCGCGAAGCTTTGGGACGACCGTCGCTGGTCCAAGGAGAATGGACGCAGGCAGCCGGCCCGTTCTCAATTACGACCAATCACACCGCGCCGATGCAGAACCACATTACTTCTCTATTTATCATGACAATCCGACTGTCCTACGACGTCAGTCAGCCAAGCAACTCATCAACAGATATGAGTCCATTTCGCGGGAGGAACCTCCAACTCCTCGTGGGCCACCCAGCGCAGCCCGTTTTAATGGTGTATTGTATCGCCCCCCTGGCAAGGGTAAGAGGAGGTCTCTGAGTGCCTCGCTACGTGATTTCCTGTCTGTCTTCCAGAAGGGAAGAAAAGGAAAGGACGGAGATGACAGAGAAGAAGTCGTCCCTACTGTTGTGGTCGACGCACCGAGTATGGCTCAGATCCCTTCAATGTACACCCAGAACGCCCACCTCCCTCATGATGCAGGTGCCGTGGTTTCGTCAGCCGGTAAAGTCTCTGCACTTCATTGTGGTGCGCTGTTATATCTTTCCATGTCATCATCATCCATTACTTCGGCTATCCTGCCCGTCTGGACGTCCTGCAACGTTACCTTGCATACCCTACATATACTCATAACATGGCACACCGCTCACGGTAATCCTTCGACTCGCGTCATTCCACTGGATGGCTGCACTGATGTCCGTTCTATTTCTATGAATCGACTGGATCTTGATGAGAAGGCCCTTCTTCCGACCTCAACAGGCCAGTCCGAGCCGAAGGTATTCGAGCTTCTTTTCGAAGGCCGCCGAAGAGAAAAATTTGCTGCATCATCAAGTCAAGAACGGGCACGATGGGTCAGCGCCATATGGTATGATGATGATACATCCTTAGCAATGCAGATGATGCGACAGTTCTCGCAGGGATATGTTACTTCAAAGACAGTCGCAGGGAACAACTCGAGTAAAGACATTAACGATTCAGACAAACTTGCAACGCAATGGACAAGACTATCTGCAGCCTCCGTCAGCATCAGAGTATACTTCCTCCGAATACGCGTCTTCTAGTGTTGTTGAATCTGACACCTCGCTTACGACGGAGCAGTCTCTCCCTCCAACGCCGAGCACAAAATCACCCTTATCCATTCAGTCTCCGGCTCGTTTCAGCCTGCACGACTCGCCACAGAATTGTTCTCCCATGTCGCTCTTACCTCCACAACCTCCGTCACAAATATCACCACGGAGCCCTGGTCCTAAGAGTCCTTCCATCGCCAAACTTGGAAACCTTTCCGTAGTCACCCAACGGTTAACACAGATCGAGCAAACGAGTTCGCCAGGATCTGCGAGTAGTGCTTCTATTGCGCCGCACTTACGGGGTGCTCAGACCATCCGGCCTATGCGTGCTCGCCGAGCGTTTGCAGAAATCCATAGGATCAAAGATGAAGGCTTTTCGAGCGACTCACCGTTGAGCAGTGGTGGACCCAGCCCGCTACCGAGATCGCCGGCATCGATTGAAACATATTCTTCTAGGTCAAGGAGTGCTTTCGCCCGTAGTAGGACATCTGCTCCGACTCTTCCTGGAACACCGCGAGTTATCAGGGAAGGTTTACCGCCTCGATCTACCTCGTCATCTCCAGCAGATAAGAGTCTGCAGCTGGTGCCCATTACGGACCTGATCAAAGAGAGCGCGACAATGACTTTCGATCAAACGGCAGGCATCAACAAACAAATTGTTGCGTTACAGCACGATATTCAGGACCTTCCCAGCGAGCTGGCACCCTTGTTGGCTGACACCGCACGAAAGTCTTCTACTGAGGCTAAGGAGGCTATTCTCTCTACGATACAAGCATTGGTTGCCAGAGTAGAGGAGATCCAGCAGCAGGGCTCCTCCAGCACTGTCCAGCTGCAGGTAAACTCCATTATGAAGATCCTGGACGTCATGCAAACTCAGTTGAAATCGAGTTTTCCTCGTGTTCTCGAAAAACTCGATGCGATCCATGACAATCAAGAGCGGGAGATGTCGACATCACGTGCGAGCATCACCATGAACAATCTGAGACCTCCTTTCTCTACACCGACTTCGCCTGCGGAAGGTTCAGCACCCTGTCTAAACGTGGATCTCTTGGACATATATGCGAAGCTGGACGAGCTTGCCTCGCTTTACAAGACTAGTAACACCCCGCCGAGCCCCACTGCAGGAAGCCCCCACGAAAATGCAGACACTCCAGAGAAACCAGCACATGAGCTTTTAGACGACAAGGTTCGTTTTTTTCTCAATCACGCGGTTTCATCAACTGGACTTTCACTAGCTAAAAGCCGTCCTGGATTATCTGAATGCGGATGAAGAACAAAAAAAAGTGCAGCTCGAACAGCAGGCCGACAGCGTACGCTACCTGAACGAACTAAACTCGGTAAGCTCAGGAGCGCAATTCGTACATTGCTACTGACAACTTTTTAGTGGCTGGACGCGTTCGTCAATAACGGCACCACGCAGATACAGGCTGTCGCAACTGGTGTTGAACATATTTGTAAACAGCTGGGTATCAACACATCCGAAGAACTTTCAAGCGCCAACCTGACTGGACAGGTGCAACAACTGTTGGAGGTGGCGCAGAGTCAAGCCCACAATGAAGAGGATTTGCGATCAACAGTCCATGAGTTGATCCAGGTCGTTCAAGAACATCTCAATCATGGAGATGAGCAACGCAGAGCCCTTGGTTTGTTTGTCGGCTTTTCTATGTGTAGCATCAGTGGTTCTATGACGATATGTCTCAGTGACGGACTCGGTGATGGAAATTATCGATCGCCAGAGAGCAGACCAGGAGCAAATGCTGCGGGTGTTGTCGAGCGGTAAGGGGTTTCTTTACCAGAAGAACTCGTCTGACAACCTGTCAGAGCTGACGGAGGAGATTCGAGGAGAACGACTGCGATTCGTGGAGGCGATGAAAGAGGCCACAGCAATTAACGTGCAAGGTGCGTTTACCCCATGTCTTCACGGTCCTTCATTGACGATGTTCTGGCGAGCAGCTCATGTTGAACATTTTAAGGCTGAGTTAGGTCGTGAAGTCGCAGTGATGACACAAGATGTTGGGAGGCTACACAAAGAGAAGCAAGCGATCGAACAGCAAATTGCGGACCTATTCGCATTCTACTCTAAGCAAAAGCAGGAAGCTGAGGTGTGTCCTACTGATCTCCTTTTGGCCAAGTAAAATATTTGTTTTGAAATTGTAGGCCGCTTATCGGCGTGCACCTCCACGGTCTTCAGGTCACCAAAATATAGCTGCCTCAAAGCTACCACAACGTCGTCCGTTACCCAGCCCTAGAAACCACGGTGCTGATGACGTTGGGTTCCAAAGGCGTGATCCTCGGAGTAGAACCAGAGACGATTAACTGGAGCATTATGTAAGATGGATATGCGAGTGGAGAATATATCTACCTAGTGACAAGCGAGCATTTGATGGACACGAAATATTATTAAATAATTGTGTTTAATCCTCACCTGACACGATTATTGGATCACGACCGCGCGCGCGAAAGAGCGACCAATGACTGAGCCTCGTCCCAGCCCATTCTCTCCCGCTCCTTTCCCAGGGCTTCGCCCCTGCGAACTTCCTCAGCGTTAATGACTTTCCAGTCATCATATTGGGTGACAATGCCGTCTGTAATTCCACGATCGATTTCTGATGGTAACGCATCAAGATCTGGATGAGGATTGAGCATCTCATCGGGTGCCATTTCCATTACCGGCGGGGGTGGTGCGGTAGTTGTTGCCGCTTCTGAGAACGGTACTATGTCAGAGAGAATGGTGCCTGCGACCGCATATGCATCGATCATAGTTGACGCAAGCACACCCTTAGCACCATTGGCTGCCCATCCAGAAGCATACATATTTTTCAAGACTGAACCCTCGGAAGAAGTAATACGTCCTGCGGACGAACGAAGGTGACGCATAGCAGGATCATAGAAAGTCGTCTCTGGATCTGCATGAAATCCAAGGGAGGTGACGACGAGAGAAGTAGGAAGAGTCGATGTCTCGCCAGTGGGCACTGCACGAGAAGTGGCAGGATCGAGACGGGTGTGAGCAAGGGTAAGATTCGCCATGTCTAATGCTGAGGCAGTAGATGGAGGAGTAAGACTGGTGGGAGAGCGGTAAAAATGGAGCGACCAGGATTTGGGCGTCGATCCTGGTGGATTCTTGGACCCATTCCGGAGTAGCTCGAGCGTACGCCGCTGCTGGCGTGTTGGCGTGACGCCTGGCGGGGGTTCGAGCAAAGTGGGTTCGATAGGAACCATCGACGCCTCCGGGAGGTTGATCATCTCCCGAAGCTCTTTGGTAGTGAAAGCAACCTCCAGAGGCCCCCGCCTTCCAACTATGGAGACGTGCTTGACGGTAGAACGGGATAGAACTTCGACAACATGCTCTGGTACATCATATTGACGAAGTACAGAGGGGGAAGTCAGAAGAATACGTGCAATGTCCAGTGACACATTTCCTTGTCCAATTAATGTGAGGTGTGATATCTTGTCAAGCGCGGGGGGTGGCGGCCGAGATGGGTGTTGTGTGTACCAATGAACCAGGGACAAAGCAGGCATGCAGTAGATAGACGGAGGGATTGCGGGGTGCAGGGTAGGAATAGTACATCCCGTTGCGAACAATAAGTGAGAGTAATTGTTGAGTATGGAGGTCAGGGGTAAATGAAGCGCGTGGGGAATAGAATGAAGAACCTTGCTTCCGACATTCACGTTTCCGAAGAAACGGAAACGTGGGTCAGTTGCAGTCGCGTCGAATTTGTTCGTGCAATTCTGAAAGTGTCCTTAGTGATTAGTGGGACATGAAGAAATTCAAAGCTCACCTTGACCTCTGGATGGTCTGGTGCAACGCCATAGCGGACGAGACCATGAGGTGCCCAGAGTCGGTCGTACATGTGCACCCTTAGTAGTGGAGACATTGGATCCTTCAATGGAAGAAGAGAGAGCAGGCGGGAGGCCACATAGAATGCAGATGGTCCTCCACCGATTATAGCTAGTTTCACGGGAGGTGGCATGGCTCGAAAGACCAGAAAGGCCTAACCAAGTGCCGAGCAGCTCTTGAGCAGCTCGCAAACTTATAAAATGATGATGAGCGTGAGTGTGAAATGACTGGCCACCCGGCCGACGCGCGTGACGCAACGCGTCGAATTGGCTGTCGTGACTTCTTGACATCGGCTGCCGTGGTTCATGCAGGCGACGCTCAGTGTTGTCGCTCTCAAACGTTTGCTCCAACCATAATATTGCATTTTTACAGAACTCACTCGGTTCCAGCATTCATTAGGGCTCTGACATGTCTGTCAAGATATGGCGACGATGTTGTCATATGTGCAAACCCGGAGCACCTCACTTTGAGCGCGACTAATTCCTCACTCTCTGCATATTGTCACTTCCAGTACGGGCGCAGGTTCTTTTCCAGATATAAATTCAGAGATGGCGTGGCACAAGACGGTGTTCAGGACGTCAAAGGACAGTTACTCGCTAAGGTATGCCTGCTGTGTTACCTTCGTGTGTGTCGTGACAGATTGTTTGGAAAGACGTTTCTTTCCATACTTAAACACAAAATGACGGAGAAGACGGTGGAACGCTGCGAATTCACACTCGTTGAAGCAACGGATCTATACGACCAGGATGAGCCAGACGAGGACCAGGACACATTAGAGAGCAGATTGATCATTCGACTGCACTGTAAACATGGTATGCACGATACTCACTCCATGTGAACAGACATGTAAAAGTCTCCATAGGCATCGTCAAGACTCACCGACTGACTCTCTTGATCCCTACATCATCGCTTTCACCAGGTATCCAAGACCCTTTTAGTGTATCCCGTCTTACAATAGGTCCACGTGCAATAAAAGACATAACGGAGCATTTCCCGAATGCTCGAGGGGCGAAAAGTGATCCTCGACTTATATGGACCTTTGGAGACACGGAGGTTGAGGTTAAGACCCTCGAGTCTTCTATCGACACTAGAGGTGGGAATGCCTGATTCAGACAGTGGACAGCTAATATCTGTCCCCCAAACCAGGCAAAGCTCAACTATCAACAGAGCTGAACATCAGCGCGGATGAGTTCGATGTCTATGATGTCTATGCATCTCCAACTACCATCGCTTTCCACTTGCGCGAGTTCAATGTTTGTCACCAACCGCTAATGTCCACTCCCCACATCCTCTGACTTCTTTTATCTGATAGGCCACAATTGCTTTTGCGGAATCTATGGGTCTCTGCCTAGATTTACGCTTCACGGTTCCTGCGGCCCCTCTCTTTATCGACGTCGATGGCGACGAGTCAGAATGTCGCTTTGTCATATCTACCTCGCAAAACGGCGGTTCAGCTGCACCCGCTCCCTCAAACTCTGCTCAACTCAACGCACGCAAGCGTCCTTCTCCGAGCGACGAAGGCGAGGGCAGTTCGAGACAGCGAAGCGAAACACCCAGGATAATGAAACCAATGAAAGCCGTGCAGCGTATGGATGTCCATACACCTTCTGCTTCAAAAGCCCGAAGCGACGCACGATCAATGCCTCCACCCTCATATATTCCTCAGCACACGCCGGGCTCTGAACAAAATCAAGGGCCGCCTCTTCCCTCACCGTCTTGGAATCTCCCACCAGATCTATCCCGTGAAATTCCTGTGGAACCCGAGCCTCTTTTCTACCCTCAGTTTTCTCAATTGTTATCGGATGGACCAAGCGGGAGTCCTGAAGTGGGACGAGCTAAACCACAGGATCGAACCCCGTTATTTTATCCTCTTTCACAACTCTCTCAGGCAGACAAGGAAGTGATACGCGCATCTGGTCTGGGCATCGAGAACATGAGCCAGAATGAACTAAAGGAAATGCTCGAGGGAGAAGGCGAAGAAGTTGACTTTGAGTTTGCGGCGTCTCAGAATCTTATCAACGTCGAAGATGGGGATTCAGCTATACTTTCCGCTTATGATGATCCAGAAAGCTTGGAACTCGTTGAAGATACTGGCACCGAGTTTGGGCCAACGCAAGACAACGTTGGAGGCAGGAAGAAGGTAGGGTTTGTCATCTTATGGAGGTCTGAGTGCTAATTCATTCATGTCTACCTCAGGCGTTTCGGCCTCTGTTCGAAGACTGATCTGGACGTACATAACATAAACACCATGCCAGGATTTTGTAACTTGTTCATTACGTTCATCCTCTGCTATGACTTTTAAGTAGTAGTACACTTACGTAACCAATAAGCTATGTAACAGGGGAACCGAACGTAATTGCGAAAGTTTTATCAGTGCCCGAGCCCGATCATGCTGCCGCTAGACCATCAACATGCACATCATGCTGAAATTTCGTGGTCCACCTAGCTGGCATGGCTCACGCTCTTTCCTTCGCTCTCAAAAGTCATCTATTCGTTATGATGTCAACCTAAATAAGCGCCTGGCCTCGTTCGATGCGCCCCAAGCTCTACCCAAGCGTCCTCGGGGAAAGTCGTGGTTTTGGTATCCAGCAACGTTTCTAGCGCTCACCGGTGCAGGGTACTATGCATACGAGAATCACCAGCCAACCCGACATGCTGTATTGGCGACTTTAAGGTGCTCTCAACTTGCGCGTAAGGTTTTGCGGCGATAAATTGATGTTTTAAAATACTCAATAGTCCCCCGCAGAGGCTGCAATCTCTGGAGCAATTGATTACAAGCGTACTTTTGCGCGCACGTATGCTTCCGAGGATGACAGGCTCGAAGCAGTATCACAATGTCATGTTCGGAGTGCTACGAAGGTGCTGAATGCTCTGTTGGCCAATGGAGGTTTGTACCAGTATGCAGCTGGTTGCCTAATGAACCTCATAACTGAAATGATGCATTTCAGGCATCTACATCAAATTGGGACAGCATATTGCGTCGCTGTACGTTCGTCTTTACGTTGATATGCCTTGCGAATGTTAATCATTTTGAGGAAAGAATTGTACTACCAAGGGAATGGACGAGTACCATGGCCCCACTTCAAGACAAGTGTGATGCCACTCCGTACGAGGGTATTGCGGCACTGTTCCTATCAGATATGGGACAGCCTATAAATGAGCTTTTTGACGATTTTGACCCGGTTCCTATTGGTGTTGCAAGTTTGGCTCAGGTTCATGTCGGATTTCATAAGGCATCAGGAAAAAAGGTCGCAGTGAAGGTATGTACTGAAAAGTTGTGCTGGTGTCAGGCGCTTACTTGGGTTGAAGGTTCAACATCCTCACCTAGTTGAATTCTTCAACATTGATATCAACATGGTCCAGTCTACTTTGGGTATGTGCGTTTGGTCACCGAAGCCCAGCGTCACTCACAATTTTAGGTTGGATCAAGTACTGGTTCCCGGAGTTCGAATTCACTTGGTTAGGTGAGGAAATGCGGGAGAACCTTCCGAGAGAGATGGATTTTGTGCACGAAGCCCGCAATACGGCTCATGCGGTTGCTGATTTTGAAAATATCAAGACGTCATTATACATACCCGAGGTCATATCCGCGAACAAACGAGTTCTCGTCATGGAGTATATCCAAGGTGGTCGCGTAGACGACCTTGCATACCTTGCAAAGCACAACATTGACAGGAATAAAGTCGCACTAGAGCTTACGCGAATCTTTAATCGAATGGTGTTTATGAATGGGTGGTTCCATGCGGTAAGGTATTTACAAAACGTTGTGCCAGGTCTGACTCCGGTTCCCTACAGGACCCTCACCCTGGTAAATGTGTTTCCTTCTATACTTTGAGCTCCACTGATGTGGCGCAGGTAACCTGTTGATACGGCCTGCCTCTAAATCATCCAAATCACCCTATAACTTTGAGATCGCACTATTGGACCATGGTTTATACTTCGATCTTGAACGGGAACTACGTGTGAACTACAGCAGGTTATGGCTGTCGCTCATTGCTCGCTCGTCGCCGACAGTCGACGCTGATCGTCGGAAATATGCAGAGCTGGTCGGGAACATCACATCTGATTTGGTAAGGGTTTGGTTTTTTTGTGGAGCAAAGCGTGTCGTAATGTGTTTATCAACAGTATCCTGTTTTCGAGGCAGCAATTACTGGTAAGCCCTCCGCGCGGGTGGACGTTCCTCTATTGACTGTTTTCCATTAGGCCGGCTGGCACCCGATGGTATAATTGAAGCAGATGACGAACCCAAGAGCGACATCCGCCGAGCCACGGGCATGCTCGACATGGCTTCTCAGACTGAGGAGGAAATGGAACTCATTCGAAATACTGTTGCCCAAGGAGACATATTGGTATCCGTGCTCGATGTCCTGCGCCGACTGCCCAGGCGCGTGCTGATGGTCATGAAACTCAATGACCTGGCAAGGTAGGCTCTATCACCATTCTCGAAAATTACGACCAATCAACCACCCTTGCAGGCACTTGGATCATTCACTGGCAACCACTCATTCGAGCGTTGGTATTGATTTCTAACTCCTTGACTTAATCTCAACGCGTGGATTAATAGGTCAGAATATTCCTCATCACGTCAAAGTACTGCATGAAGGCGGTATGGCAAGATGAGAAATGCCGCTTCCGCGAGGGTGGAGTCGGGTTCGGATCCTTATTGGGCAGTGCTTGGTGCGTTGAATCCTCCACTTTTAACTACGTGCTTGACCACACACACCTACAGGGCGTTTGCAACTGCATATTCCAAAATCACATTCATTGAGCTCATGATGGACTGGCAAGCTTCGCTGGTCAAGTCGAGTGCGTGGTTACGTGGATTTTATTTGAAAGGATTAGCGGGAGCGCACGATGCGGCCGCTGGTCTCTACTAGTTACACTGTATGATACACATGATTAGGTCGTTGCATTCGGTAGATATAGAGTTCTATATGTCATTTCTTGCAGTCTGCAAAGAAAGAATCGATGGTGCTGATGCTCTTTTTCAGACAAGCCCACTGATAAGGTTGTTACTGGGGATACCTTAGAGCATAAATCGGTAGACTAACCTGATCTGGATTCAAAGAAATTCCTTTCTTTCCCGGCTTTTCATCCTCCCTGTCCTTGCCATAAAATTCACGAATATCGACAAGAATTTTGCCTGCTTTTGTCAGCGACAAGTTTGTGTGTTCACGTAATGTTGAGGTTCACCTTTGAACTCGCGGACGGTTACGCGTTTCTTTTGGCCCAGCTGAACATATCGTTCACCATCGGGACTGGTGAAGACCTTCACGTCGTTGTCATCGGTCGACTTTTTGTTCGAGTCTGATGGAGACTGATGACCAGTAGTGGCACTAGAATCAGGGGTTAAGAATCAGTGGGTGCAAACAAAACGCGCACTTGGCTGCCTGAAGAAAATATTTTTGGCTTCTTGATGGTCAAATGTTGCTCGGTTGCCTTTGAAGTCTGTGTTGAAACCGTCGATGAGCATGATATCACAGACACGGTACTTGGCTTGCCTTGGTCTTCAATTTTGGCTGGTCGTCCTCAGAGTGTTCATAGTCTTCGTCTTCATCGTCGCTTGTGCTCTTGCGCTTGGGCATGAACGTGTTAGATGGTGTCAAGTGGTAGACTAATGATTCTGCTTGACTACTAGCTCAAGGGAACGCGTCGATTGAACTTGTAATGAGTAGGCTGATTCAAGAATCAAGACGCATTCGTGGGAAATACCTTCCTAATATATTGTTGGACATGTTACGTCGTCAACTCCCCTCCATTGAGTTTCCTATCTTCTACAGTCGAGTCTTTAATTCAGAACTGAAGCCTCGATTTCATCTTCCCCGCATTGTTGCGGATCAATGAAGATATCTCAGAAAGCGAAGAGGGCGGTATCGCCGGTTAGTAGTCTGGATCTCATTCTCACGCAAAACAACTGGTATCTGACTAGGGCCGTGGCGTTTTCAGCATCCTCAAGTAGCAGAGCTTGTCACAAAGCTCATAAACACTCCAAACGATGATCTCGCCGACGTTTTGGCTGATATTGACTCCTGGAAATGGCCGCGATCCGATCTCAATGCCTGGACTAAGGTCCTCGACAAGTTCGATGTCATTCTGGAGGAAGCCATCCGGGATTACGATGTGGACAAGTTACAGATAAACGTGTTCACTCCAGCGACGAAGAAAACCATCAGCTATATTCTTAGGTTCGAAAGGCTTTTGTTGGAGAACTCCACCAATCGCAAAACCTTCAGCTCCTATGATGTGCGTATTTTCCATCTAATCATCGGCCTGCGTTTAATCATTGTTTTAATGCTCTCGATTTCAGAGGCTTAATTCCTTATTGTTCACGTCAGATCTTGACGTGCTTACACTAGCACTGAACCTTCTCCTTCGCCCCGCACAACAATACTCCGCTCAGCCCGCAGTATCAACAGCCCTTAACATCTCCACACCCCGTTTGCTCTCCCTCTCCAAGCGGTGGCCTCATATCCATGAACACGGCATAAGCTTGCTGGATCTTGTCAGTACAAACGGCCCACAGCAGGTCGATGCTCTGCCTGCCGGAGCTCGTGATGTAAGTTTCGTTTATTATCGAACTGACCAGAAGGAGAAGGGACAGGGAAAGGAAACCGATCATATTGAAGCTATGCCGTCCAGCCCTAACAAACTCTCCGTTCCACCCTCCACTTCGCATTCATACGCGTCTACTATTCACATTGATGAAGAGACTCTGAAGAACAAGGCAGTCATGGACATCATGGCGGATGTATTGGAAACGCATCCACTGAATAACGATGACAAGTTCGAACTGCTTTGTCGCGTTCGATCCTCCAAGGCACTTGCCACCGGCAACGACATTATGAGAGAGGAGCTTGTCGCCATACGACTAATTTGTATCGCCATCTATGGCCATACGCACAGCGAGACTCAAGCGTCATCAACACTTTTCCTGTATGAGCCCGATCTCACTACCCACATCGCTGAACTTCTCCAGTTGGATCGCGGGGTTTCGATATCTGTGCAGACAGCGGCTATCTCGGCGCTAGACTCGATCGCCAGGTACCGAGGGAAAGTAACCGAGGTGCTGGGCGCCGTCAATGCTGCTGTCAACCACGGAATCATCATGGCCCTTTTGCGAAAGACTATCCTGGAGGTTAATAGTCCGGACAGCAGAATTTCAGCTACATTCGTCGAGTCTCTTCTTTCATTCGTAACCTACCTTGCACAGCACATCAACGGGGGAAATATGCTTGTCAGCGCAGGATTAGTTCCCTTGCTGGTTCAGATCATGGAGAATAGGCTAGCTCAGAGACTCCCGATGGTCTCGAAGGCTATGCAATTGGTGGATAACATCCTCTACGCCTTTTCAAATGCGTTCCAGGTGTTTTCAAACTCTCGTGGGGTCGAAGTTTTGGTGGCACGAATCCAGGTAAGCATATCATTGCATCACCCTTCTGATCATTGACTCACTAAAATCTAACCAGCACGAGGTCGACTTTGATATCACGATGTACGGCAACGAGCGCTCCAAGGACCTGTTTGGTTCGTACGGTGAGTGACTATTGTGAGTTTGGAGTAGAACAAAGCTTGATCATAGCTGCAGGACAACTTCCGGTTCCAAGGGCCGCCGTGCTTAAACACACGTTACGCTCCATACATCGCATGATGCAGTCTACGGGAACATCTGAAGGGTTGCGCGGCCTGATTGATTCCACCCTGCCACAATCAATCAAGAAGATCATGGAGTATCGTGGCCTGTTTGGTCCCAACCTCCTTCCTCTTGGTGAGTGCATTGCATCCTATGCAGGATCTTTGATTTATTGATGATGAAAGCCATGAACATAATGGCAACTTTTATTCATAATGAGCCGACGTCTCTTGCGACGATTCAGGAAGCAGGTTTGCCTCAGGTGTTCTACAGGGTGATCGAAGCAGGTTTGGAACCTGTCATTGAAGTGGGTACGATTTCTCTACCAACTTGCACTGACTTACGCTCCCCTCAGCTCATCCAAGCCATTCCCAATGCAATTGGGGCGCTCTGCCTCAACCAGGTTGGTCAGGATCAGCTTGCAACTCGCCCAAGCGTGATACCTGGCATCATTTCGATCTTCACTTCTGAGAGCCATATCAAAGTCCTTCGTGAAAAGGAGAATGCTGTTCTAATGGGTACCGCCATTGACGAATTGATCCGCCACCACCCAACGCTGAAAACTCCTATTTTTGATGCCGTCAAGTCCGCTCTGAGTAAAATCGAGGATCTTGGAAATACTTTTGTAGTTCCTAAGGACAAGAAAGAATGGTATTGCCTCATGCTTGCCTCCCAAACTATGGACAAGGACGACGTCATCCCGATGGATGTGGTGGAAAGTGACGTTAATAGTTCTGACGCTCAGGAGGACACGTCTGACGACGACTCGCTGAGGAGTCATGACAACAACGTAGTTCTTTATATTGATGTCTTGTGCCGAGTGAGTTGCGTACACTTCTTCCCGATACTAGTATTAACGGTACTCTTTTCTCGGCAGTTTCTTGAGGGTCTGTTCCAACATACGCAACATTGCAGAGATTTCATCAGAAATGTTGAGGGTCTCGAGCGTATCGGCAGGCTCACTGCCTTGCCATGCCTTCCATATGATTATGCGAACAGCGTTGCCTCAGACTCGCTAGTACAAGTTATTCGGACGATGGCGGACGTAGGACCCAACGAGGCACTTCACCATCTTTCAAAACTTGTGGAAAATTCACTCTCTGACTCCCAAAGTTTCTGGGCGGCTCCTCAGTCTCACTCCAAGCTGGCGCCGTTCCTTGATCTTTCAGGTAATCATTTCCCCCAGACATAATTGCGAGAGCTTGCTCAGACATATTTTACAGAGGATCAGGAAAGTGCAGCAAATCAACAATTCCGGAGCCTTGTGACCCTTCACATCCGCATCACTATCTTGGCTGACGTTTTTTCTACTGCTGGCTATGCACATGGAAGGTCTGCAATTGGACTTCTTCAGACTCTCATGAGTGATCCGCCGAAAGTCGTCAAAGAGCTAGGCGCTCTCCATCGCGCATCGGTGTGGGAGAACATCTTGTTTAAAGCCAACATGGTGGCAAAGGGGATGGAGGTTGGTCCGAGCAGTCAGGGATCTCCCCTTGGGAGATCACCTAGCCATGGTTCGGTGTCTCTCCCAGAGTCGAATGTTGGCGTTACTCCCAACGGTGTTCAATCGGGATCGGCGTCGATACCTGCGCAGTCATCGTCGCTTACATCGCCGAAAATAGACACCACGCGAGAGAAGAATGCCAAGGCACTCAAACATCTAACGCATGGTCTTCCAAGCGCTTTGGCCCCTTTTTTCCAGGGTTCGTTTTATGGTTTTGCATACCTTTCAATGCGATTGACTGGATGCATTTATTAAGCCATCGTAAAGCTGTTCTATGCGAGGCGAAATCCTGATGCAACTCAGAAGAAGCAAATTCTATCTGCATCAGCCACTATTGCAGAAATCATGGTGGAGCATCTCAAGTACGAGGTCGAAGGTATAAATTTGCTCTTAAAGTTGGTTGTCTGCTCACTGTAACCTTCGCAGGCGATCAAGTCTGTTGCTTAGATTATCACAGCGTCATGTTAGGACTTGTGACGATCCTAGTTGTGGACGGTATGTATTCATTACTTCTCTTCCTGTACTTGTACGTGAACTGATGCACTACAGAGCGGACGATGAATCCCACTCTTCATACCGTGTTGCTCCTTGCTTTTCAGCGTGCAAAGGGCTTGGAAGCCATTTTCAGAATCTGCAAATGCTTCACTGACTTAATCGACGGCGTAACGGCAGTGAAACCTGAAGATCGAACAGAGACTATGCAGCAAGAACTCGCTCATGCGCAGGGAGGACTGAAGGTTGCGTTGAACCTCGTGCATCCATTACTTTCTTCAAAGCCGCTCATCGAGTCCGGCCAAACGTCACTAGTCACAACTCGGGACAAGAAGGATACAGAACCCGGTTATTTCGAGCCTCATCATTTCCTTGTCGGGCTTCGCCTCGAGAGCATACCCTTGCTGCGTAGTATCTGGGAGGCTTCCTGGCTTCGTTCATCCCCTTTGACCCTGGTCAAGTCGGTTGTTCAGATCATGCTCGAGGTCACGGCGGGTGAGAATGAAGAGTTCAAGGGGGATCCTTCCCAAGAGGGCCCCAATGGCGGAACTGGCCCTCCTACCGGCAGCGGCTTTCATATTAGAGCTGCCGGGCCAGATGAAAATCGCATTCGCCAGCTCACGGATATGGGATTCCCTCGCTCTGCCGCTGAACGTGCTCTCGCCCGCACTCATAATAATGTCAATGCTGCGACCGAGTTACTCCTGAGCCAGCCATATCCATTTCCCCCTGATCCGCAGCCAAACGGATCTACTGCGGAGCAAGACGAGACAGGTGATGCCCTTGCGGATGGAGGTGACGAGGATCCCTCTGATGAGGAGATGGATGTTGAGGATTCTGCCCCGCCCGCTCCTCCAGCTGAGTCCACCCCGCCTCCTCAATCGACTAGCGAAGAGCAAGGGAAGGGTCTTGAAGAATTACGGAAAGATCTCGACGAAGCAAGAGAGATTTTGAAGAAAGAGCTGCCTCGAAAGGCCTTGCAACTGGTTGATGAACACCCTTCGTTGATATTCGAGGTTCATCGGGCATTCATGCACCCGACTGATGAGCTCCAGGAGCAGTCGATCCGCACATTGATTGACGATATACAATCATTCTCTCCTGCGGTTTATGACTCTCATGAACAGCCACTGGCTGCTAGATGTCGGTTACTTGCAATAGTTCTCTCTGAATCCCCAACGCTCCCGCAAGCCCTTGGACAAAGCTTGATGGACACCCTATCAGCTCTGCTCCTGTCGAATTCTGTCCGCGGAGATTCATCCCATCCAAAGTGGCTGGCTTCCCACCTCCTTGTGACGGAGGCTTTGTTCACTATCGGCGAACAGCCCTCTATTGTCGTTTTGCCGAAAGAGAATGAACCTGTGACCACTCCTGACATTTCTGTTGGCCCAGCATATGCTGATGCACGACCCATTATATTCAATTTCTGCCTCCGGTTACTAGCTGACCCGGACCTCCAAAAGGATGAGCTATTGTCCACACTTCGTCTGCTGGTCTTGCTCACAAGGGACCATGGAACAGCATCTGAACTCATCAAGCGTGATGGACTCCCGCGTCTCTTCTCACATCTCAAAGGCTCTACTGTTCCTGGCGGTCAATCGTATGCGATGATCATACTTCGCCACATCGCTGAAGGGCTATCTGTGCTTCGACATATCATGAAGCAAGAAGTAAAGCGACTGTTCTCTCAGCCACGCACAAGGATAATCGATGTTTCGGGATACATGCGCAATTGCAGTGCAATGGCTCTCAGAGATCCGTCTGCATTTATCCATGTGACTCAGGACCTGTGCCAGCTTCAACAACCTTTCTCCGCTGTCCAGCATATTACCCTCAAGCCTGGGACTCCGCAGTCGAGCGCGAACACTGGCATTGTAGAGCGTAATGATATGCAGATTGACCAACCAGCACCGCCGGAGGTTCATGGGCCCGACGCGGAGGCTTTGGAGACAATGGTACATTTTCTCATCAGCGAGTTGATGAAGAATGCGCGCCCTTCCTTCGATAATGATGTCACGACGAAGCGCGAAGATGCGACACAGAGCGCCCCCGAGAGCGTCGATGCGAGCAAGGATGATCTCAACGATCAAGATCGGCATTCGTACTGCTGTTTCATTATGCAGTGCCTCACAGAACTGCTATTTTCCTATGATGCCTGCAAACTCGCGTTTTTGTCTTACTCTCCGAAGAAGAAAATGTCAACTCCTGCTAAAGATCCCACTACCAAACATCGCGCAGCTGTCCTCCAGTTCTTCCTTTCCGACCTCATAACCTTCAGAACCATTGCTTCCCAGCCATATGCGAAGGTGAACCAAGCCTTCTCTCTGTGTACTTGTGCGATGTCCGTACTTGTGGCTCTCTGCGTCGACAGCTCTGCAGGGGTAGAATCGAAGGATGTCTCCGCGGACTTGATCTCGGTCCGCAAATTTACCCTAGAGGCCATTAGTCGCGCCATCAAGGAGTACACGTTGCAAGACAATGTGGATGCGAGATACGGGCGCCTTCTCGCTTTGGCGGATCTATGCAACCGACTTCTTACTGTACGCTTCAACAACGGCAGCCGCAAATCGCAGGACGAGAGTACCACACACATTGCGAAGATCATGCTGGAAAAGAATTTCGTCTCAATCTTAACCAGCGCTCTGGCTGAAGTTGACCTGAACTACCCCAATGTCCGTGGTCTCGTGGCGTCGATCCTTAGGCCAATGGAAAATCTGTGAGTGTAATCGTGCCGTTACGATCAGGCGCTCATTATTTCAACAAAGTACACGGATTGCTATCAAGATGAGTCGCGCGACTGAAAAGGCCAAAGACGGTGGCGATGGAAAGGCCTCTCAAAGCGTAGTCTCCGAGGACGAGGATGAAGACGAAAATATTGACGTGGATGACGACGATCGAGAAGAGACTCCCGATCTATACAGAACTTCTGCTCTGGGAATGTAAGTCCAAATTCTTATTCACCGCACACCTCTACTGACTTTGGTCATGTGGCCGATAGGTTCGGAGGCGTAAGTAAGTTCTAGGCCATTTTTGACATCCAATAACGGTAATTACAGGAGATGGAAGATATCAATTATGGACCAGAGGATGAGATGGCCGAAGGAGACGAGGATGAGGACGAGGATGTTGAGATGGAGTATGGCGATGAAACTGATAGCGCAGCAACGTCGGATTCCGAGGATGAATTGGAAGGTGGCGGGGATGATGACGACGATGAAGACAGCAACGGAGGTGAATGGCATGATGAAGACGAAGAGTACGAGGAAGATGACTTGGTCGAGAATGAGGATGATGAGGACAACGATGACGATGAACCTGCGGTTGGTGAAGAGGTAGATGAAGAAGAGATCATGTGGCAGGTATGTTTACAACTTTTCGAGACGTTTTCGCTTCCCTGACGGATTTTGTAGGATATTCGGGGAGGAGATGATGAAGGTGACGAAGTCGCTGATGAAGAGGAGGAAGAAGAAGAAGAGGAGGACGAGGAAGAGGACGAACACGGAGGTAAATCAACGATGCTTCTTGACAACCTCTTGCTGAGTATCATCGGTAGAACCAGTTGCCGTCATTCATGCAGATCAAGGAGAGGAACCTGATATATTATCTGATGACGAAGAGCAAGTCACCTTGCATCGCTATGATGCTGTCGCTTACCCATCATTCAGTTTCCATGATGAAATGGGTGTCATCGATGTGCAAGGCATTATCCAAGACGGGGGATTCAGGTTCACCGGTGCTGTTGACCTGGATGGCGAAGAGCTCGATGGCCGAGACCCCTTCATTCGCAGGCGCCGTAACAGTAAGTCAAGGAACTTTTTTTTCCATTCGCAACTGAAGTTTATCCTTAAAGCGGGCGAGGATGTGCAAGTATTCGGCCGCCCCCGGCATGTGCCAGCTGCGCCACCAGAAGCTACTGTTCACCCCCTTCTTTTGGACGCTTCCGCTGCGACGAATCGACCTGTTGGTTTAACTCGCGTGGCTCGCCGCTCCCACAGGGGTGCAGGTGGGGGCGTTCAGCACGACCTCATACATTCCATCGAAGACATCATTGGAGGTGATGCAGGCAATATCTTCCAAACCATCATAGACCGTCATGGTACTGAAGCCATACGAGTGGATGTCGCTCCTGGTGCTATGGTGGACGGCCGAGGATTCCTTGGCCGAAGGGGTGCTGCTCTATTCACTGGGGTTAGAGTCGACGGTGTGCGGGTGGATCGTGTTTCTCGACCAAGCGATTCCCGTGGCGATTCCCGCGCGTTCGATCCGTTATTGACAATCCAAAGGTGGACGGAAGAAGCTAAGACGTTGAATGGCAAGCACGTTTCCGAAAGAGCAAATAGGCTGGGCAACCATGTCACTATAGCATTGCTCCCAGCCGCCATCGAGGCCCTGCAACAGAGGGAGCAACAGAAGCGTCAAGCTCAGATCAAGGCAGAGGAAGCAGAAGCACATCAGCTGGAGGCTGATCGCACTGGGGCTCTGGAGGCTACAAGTTCTAGCGTGGTGGCCTCTCATGCAAGTCCGGAAAATATTGCGAATACACTACCCGATCCTCCCACATCCAATCCAACCGCCATTGCTTCAAACTCTGATGTAGAGATGGATGATGTACACGTGCCCGCTCCGCATTCTGACGAACATGTCGCAGCGCCAGAAGCCTCTTCTACAGTAGAAGAAGTGCCCGCTGCGGAAGAAGCGCCAGGGCCTTCTCAACCTCCTCCCTCCGAGCGTGTCACTGTGATGATCCATGGTAGCGAGGTGGATATCACTGACATGGGCATTGATCCAACTTTCCTTGAAGCCTTACCTGACGATATCCGGGAAGAGGTCATCAATCAACACGTACGGGATCAGCGCGCAGCCAGGGTCGAACGCCCTGCCGACTCCCAGATCAGTCCAGAGTTTCTTGATGCATTGCCACCGGAAATCAGAGCTGAACTTATTCAACAAGAAAGGATAGAGCAATCCAGACATGCTCCAGTGCCTGCGCCCGCACCAGGCCCTCCGGGAGTTGCAGCGGATATTGATCCGGCAAGCTTTATTGCTAGTTTAGATCCACAGCTCCGACAAGTCGTTCTGATGGACTCTGATGATGGTTTGTTGCAAACTCTGCCGTCTTACATGATTGCAGAGGCTGGAGTATACCGTGACGAGGTAAATGGATCTCGAGGCGGTATTGCTGCTCGGGCTCTCAGAACTGCTGCTGCTCAACGCCCTCTCCCACCTCGTAAGGTCCCTCCCCCCCGCGATGCCATTCAGCTCCTCGATAAGGCTGGGGTAGCCACTCTCGTTCGCCTACTCTTCTTCCCTCACGTTCTAAAGAAGAATCTCCTCTTCAAAATCTTGGTCAATATCTGCGAAAACAGCAAGACCCGCTCTGAGCTTTTCAATCTTCTTCTCAGTATTCTTCAAAGTGGCCCAGGGGACCTAGCTGCTGTGGACAAGAGCTTCGCGCAAATGACGACTCGTACTCCAAAATCTGCGGTGCTTCAAACACCTAAAACCGCTGCTAAGGTGAAAACAGCATCGGACCTTAGCACACCAGTGGCGATTGGCGGCTTTCAGATTGAAACAGTTCCAGACCTCGTCGTGCAGCGTTGCCTAGAAGCTATGACTTACATCGTCAGTGCAAATGAACCGTCCTCGTTATTCTTCTTGACCGAACATGAACTCCCGGCCGGTTTGAGGAAGATGCCCTCCAGGAAGGGTAAAGGCAAAGAGAAACCGATGCCCCAGACACATTTCCCAATTGTACTACTCCTTGGCCTTCTTGATCGACAATCCCTCCTCAAAACACCCTCGACGATGGACTCCGTCGTGACGCTCTTGTCGACGGTCACCAAACCTCTGACAAGTCTTAAATCTGATAAGAAGGAGCAGTCAAATGACGTTGCGCCCGAGACTTCCACTTCTGCGGCACCTGCTGGTGCACCTGTACCGACTACCTCTGAGGATGCTGGGGCGCAGGAATCAACTGGTCAGTTTTCAATTATGGCTCCACATTAAAGTCTGATGCCTCTTGACAGCAGCGTCAGTTGAACCCTCCAAGCCTGATATCCCAGCAGAAGCTCAGACAGATGTGAAACCCTTACTTGCTGTTCCCCCGCAAATTCCTCATTCGGTGTTACGTTTGATCGTGAACATTCTTGCGGTTGGAGAATGTTCGTCACGCACCTTCCAGCAGTCTCTTGCCTTGATACAAAATCTCTCTCACATTCCTGACGCACGCGATATTATCGCACAGGAGCTTAAAACAAAGGCGCAGGACTGTGGACACGCCATTCTTAGTGATCTCGGCGATCTCGTGAATGCTTTGACGAGTTCACGCGATGATGTCTTGGCATCCTCCGTTGCACCGAAATTCTCGTCACCATCATCAGACCAGACGAAGCTTCTACGTGTCCTCAAGACCATTGACTATATGTATACGCCTCGGATGGTTGGTCCCGTGACGGACGAGACTCGGAAAAGTGAAGATGCTGAGAAGGTACAGACTATCTACGAATCCTTCCATTTCGCACCTCTTTGGAAACGCCTAGGAGATTGTCTGTCTACCATTGAAGAGAAACCGGAGCTGGAGCACATGGCGATCGTACTGCTCCCTCTGATCGAGGCGCTGATGGTGGTGTGCAAATACGTAGGATCGAAGTCGGCCTCAGCTCGTGCCCTTCGAGCAGCAGCATCCCCTCGCTCTCCAACGACTTCTCGGGAGAGTATGGAAGATCTCTTCGTGTCCTTTACGGATGCTCATCGCAAGGTGCTGAATCTCATGGTCCGCAACAACCCGTCTTTGATGAGCGGCTCATTCTCCCTGTTGGTCCATAATCCCCGTGTCCTTGACTTCGACAACAAGCGAAATTATTTCACTCAGCAACTTCACCGTCGCCCGCATCCCCGCGAACACCAGGGCACACTCCAGCTTAACGTACGCCGAGCAAGAGTGTTCGAGGATAGTTTCCAGTACCTCCAGCGCAAGACAGGAGAACAAATCAAACATGGCAAACTCAGCGTCCGCTTCTATGACGAAGAGGGTGTGGATGCTGGCGGTGTTACTCGAGAATGGTTCCAGATCCTCGCACGTCAGATGTTCGATCCTAATAACGCTCTCTTCCAACCTTGTGCGGCCGACCGTCTCACCTACCAGCCCAACAAAAACTCATGGGTCAATCCTGAGCATTTGTCTTTCTTCAAATTTGTAGGACGCATCATTGGGAAAGCGATTTATGACGGTCGTCTCCTAGACGCATACTTTGCGAAGAGCATATACAGACAGCTTTTGGGAAAACCCGTGGACTATCGGGACGTCGAGTGGGTTGATCCAGAGTACTATAATTCGTTGTGCTGGATTTTGGATAATGATCCAACACCCCTGGATTTGACATTCAGCGTGGAAGCGGATGAGGTTTGCCTAGCTTTTGTTATATCTTATCCGTCACTAAATCTTCTGAACAGTTTGGTGTGAATCGTATTTTTGCTCTGAAGGACGGTGGGGAGTCAATACCCGTGACACAGGAGAACAAGCGAGAGTTCGTACAGCTCTCTGCAAACTTCCGACTATATTCCTCAATCAGCAAACAAATTGAGAATCTCGTGGCGGGTTTCCAGGAGATCATTCCAAATGATCTTATCACAATTGTAAGTGTATTTCATGACTAACTATGGTATGCATCCTCACGCATCTTCTCAGTTCAATGAGCAAGAGCTTGAGTTGCTCATCTCCGGCACTCCTGATATCGACGTGGACGAATGGCGCGCAGCTACTGAGTACAGCGGTTACACAAGCTCTGACCCCGTGATAGTTTGGTGGTGGAGAGCTCTGAAATCCTTCAATCGGGAAGAGCGAGCCAAGGTTCTCAGTTTCGCTACTGGTACCTCGCGGGTACCGCTTGGTGGATTTGTGGATCTGCAGGGTGTTCAGGGTGTTCAGAGATTCTCCATTCATCGTGCATATGGAGATCCAGATCGATTGCCACAGGCTCACACTTGTAAGACTACGCAATTCATGACTTTCATCATCTCACAATGTCTTCCAGGCTTCAATCAGATCGACTTGCCGCAGTATTCTTCGTACGAGATGTTGCGACAACAATTGCTACTTGCCATAAACGAGGGTGGGGAAGGATTTGGATTTGCATGATGCAGAGTATCTTGATGGAAAAATAGACCATTGATATTGATCACCGACATGTAGAAACACGCATTGTATATATAAGCATCCGCATATTCCTCAGCGCTCAGTACTTGTACTGTTGGCTTTTGCCCACTAAATTTGCTTCCGTCCTGCTTACAGTCATGAACTGGACGGATCAGGACCGTCGGGCTCAGCCGGGCGGACGGTACTCCCACCGTGTGGAACCCCCGGTACATCGGTTATGTCAGTTCCCGTAACCTCGACTTGACTCGGACTCAATGCCTTGAATTCACGAGTCTTTGTCTGATTGTCTTCACACCTTAGTTAACCATGAGAGCATATGTGGTGAACAAGTGGGTCCATCCGTCTGAGCTCAAGCTTGTCGACGACGCGCCAGAGCCAGAAGCCACAGGGGACGAAATACTCGTGGATGTGTTCTCGTCAGCTCTGAATTTCTTCGATGTGAGATGCATTGCTTGAATTCGAATGTCAGTTGAATTCTAATGCAATTTCTATCCCGTTTCAGATATTGCAAGTTCAAGGAAAATATCAAGTTAAACCTCCATTTCCTTTCATCCTTGGTGCGGAGTTCGCTGGCGAGGTTGCCCAAGGCTCCCCGATCCCAGAAGGTTGTCCCTATAAGCCTGGCGATAGAGTATTCGGCACTGCACAGGGATGCTTTGCAGACAAATTGGTTGTCAAATGGCAAGCTGTGGTTCGGCTTCCGGACAACCTGACTTTTGATCAGGGTGCAGGTATGTCGAGCTATGAACTACAGTCGCTCAACAAGACTTTCGCATGTGCTAGGACTACACATTACATGGCCGACCAGCTATGAGGCTCTGTTTGGTCGTGCACAGCTCAAGCCAGGTGGATCCAGTCACCCAGCATGTCTCGCTCATGTGTTGACGATCTGTTACAGGCGAATCTATCCTCGTCCATGCGGCTGCCGGCGGTGTAGGCATTGTTGCTGTTCAATTGGCCAAAGGTTTGTCCCCTTTGAAATTGTCTCTCCGTCCTTGAATTCATTATATACATCAGCACTGGGTGCCACAGTTATTGCAGCAGCAGGATCACAGTCTAAACTTGATATTTGTAAGACGTACGGGGGAGCTGATTATACGGTAAACTACTTGGAAAAGGACTGGCAGAAAGAAGTCTTGAGGATCACGAGTGGTAAAGGCGTAGATGTTGTCTATGATCCAGTCGGGCGAATTGCTGGCGAGTGCTATTTTCACGGGTAGAATAAGGAGCTATAACTCTGATTTCCGCCAGAATCACTAAAATGCATCGCCTTCAAAGGGAGAGCCGTCGTAATTGGCTTCACCGGGGGCCAGATCGAGAAGGTATGCGTTGTCTGTCATACATTTATGACTGCTTTTCAACCGCGTCTGCAGCTTCCGCTAAACATAGTACTGCTCAAGAATGTTACTATCATGGGCCTCCACTGGGGCCTATATACCCGTACGTTTTACATTGCCTTAGTTTTAAACAGCGACTGACACCTGTGCAGACAAGGAACCATCTCGTATTGCAATAGTATGGGAGGAACTGTTAAGGTGAGTAACATGTTTGTTGTTTGAAGTCGCTCGCCTGTTAATGACATTGATTTGAGGCTATTCGCTTCTGGTCGCATGAAACCTATATTATATGACAAGATTTTCTCCCTAGACGAGGTCGTAGTAGGGTTGGATGCACTAGAGAAACGGCGGACATGGGGGAAGGCAATTGTGCGCATCAAGGATGAGAATCAGCGGATCGTAGCAAAGCTTTAACACCTGCTAGCAATCCGTTTCTGCCACCAGCGGCTGGTTATCTTTTTGGAATAATATTTACTTTGTTGGGTGCACGGGGTCCTCTTTCCTCAAATGACCACTACTGACTAAGCATTGGATTTTGCTCAGACCTCCGAGTCGCTTACCCTCAATCCACGACTTGTAATACTTGATTGAAGACCGTCCATTCTACAACCGATCATGCAGACATATGAGGACAATGAACCCATTGTTCGAATACGCGATTACAAGCAGGATCGAGTGAATTTTATGCTTGAGAATGTCGACCTTGCGTACGCGTAGCAGCTGTATGTGATGAACCCTGCTGAACAAACGCACAGGTTCGCAAATTCTTTTCGACGCGTAGTACAGGCAGACATACCAACCGTCGGTCGGTGTCCTTAAATACGCGATACTGGATGTCTTAACTAATTCCCCCTAGCCGTCGACATGGTCGAGGTAGAAGCAAATACAACAGTGTTACCCGATGAATTCATAGCCCATCGTATTGGAATGGTCCCGTTGGTGAGCGCAAACTGCGATGAAGGCATAAGATACACTCGAGTACGTTATATGCTTTCACTTTTAGTCAACCTCACGATTCTTGTGCAGGACTGCCTGTGTCTGTCTGGTTGTCAGTATTGCTCAATAGAGCTAAGATTGGACGTCTCGTGTAATGATAATCGCACAATGGACGTCACTAGCAATCATCTTGAGGTCATACCGCCCACCTATACTGATGGCGAAAATCCTGGCGACGAGCTTACGAAGAGGGGAGAAGATTTTGGGCAACCGGTTGGGAAAAGTACGAGCTGGCTCTTTTTGTGGATTCATATGCTTACTTTGGCGGCTACTCAGACAAGGCGGATGTACCACCAGTCCTCATTTGCAAAATACGGAAGGGCCAAGAGCTTAAATTACGATGTGTTGCCAAGAAGGTGCGCGGCCACCTTTAGGTAGTTCTCATGATCTCACAGTTATAACAGGGTATAGCAAAGGAGCACGCGAAGTGGTCGCCATGCTCAGCTGTTGCATTTGAGTACGATCCCTACAATAAATTGCGACACACGACATATTGGCACGAGGGAGATCCACGGACCGAGTGGCCCGTCGGTGAAAATGCCAAGGAAGAAGAGGCACCAAGAGATGACGAAGTTTTTGACTTCAACGCGAAGCCACAGAAATTTTATTTTGAGGTTGAGACGGACGGGAGCCTTGGGCCCCAGGAAGTGATTATGAAGGTGCGGGACCCGTAATCTGTCTTTCGGCACAGTCAGCAAGCTCACGCCTTTGCTCTTCCCCCGCTCCTCACAATCACCATGGTACAGGGTCTTGCAGAGCTGCAGACAAAACTTGCAAATCTAATACTCGGATTGAAGGAAGGAGTGGAGCTGCCGACTGGCGGAGACACGGCACAGGCTGGGGTGAACGGTCATGTTTCCACTGCAGGTGGTTGGGTGCCACAATCAGGCGGTGGCGGATGGGGTCAGAATTCCGCCTCTGGGGCCGGGTATGCAAGTCCCGCTGGTGGTGGCGGCTGGAGCAATAATAGTGGCGGTGGCTGGAGCACTAGTCCAGCACAAAACACTGGGGGGAATACCAGTGCATGGGCAACAAGTCCTACCCAAAACGCGGGAGGAGCTCCCGGTGCCAGCTGGGGGACGAGTCCAGCTCAAGCCTGGGGAGCTTCAAGTCCGAATGCAGCAGGATCCGGCAGCGGTTGGGGGTCATCTGCTCAACAGGGCTGGGGTAGTCCTGCCCAACAAGCCAGTGGATGGAACCTATGATGGGTGTTCGCCTTACGTATGCTTTCCTCTGTCAATCACACGCTTTTGATTGATATCTGTGAATGGCTTCAAGACAATGTTAGCCATATTTGCCCGCCGCCTGAACTGCACAAATAATTATTCCATTGTCTCTATGTGCGTCTTGAGATCTGCTCTCCTTCGCCCATCAGTTATTTCACTTCGCCTACTATTGTTCCCAGTTCGCTGTAATCGGACTGGGTCCAGTGGGCAAATGTTCGGGACGTCCCGGATTTCCCTCATCCACAAGTATTTTTGCAGATTGACTTATTTAATCATCACTCTAAATACACTTCCGCTGACAGTGCCTGAGAGTATGTCACGTTTGGCCATCGGTTCCGACTCCCGGCTACCTTAACATTAAATTGACTGTGGAGCTGCAAGCAAGTCCACTTTGGCCAACAGGCACACCGCCGCGGCTCCTTGCGCAAAGAGTTGTTGTTAGCGATTATTCTCTGGGGAATTCTACCGCTTCTGTTCTAGTGTCCTTTCCTCTATATTCTAGAAATCTCCAGCGAGAAGCTGATTTTTCTTCGAGTAGGTTCTTGAGAAAGGTTGTTGTGAACGGCCATGCTCTGTTAAACTTTGAACAGACTCAACTTCTGGTGTGACTTAGTAAGTGAGGGCTCATTGCAGCGTTCAAGACCTACAGATTAACTGCCGCCTTAATGGCCGTGAAGTTATGGAGTCAATTGCGCTATCGGTAAACCCCTGTGAGCACTCTAGATTATCATCAGAACTTCTCGCTCTCAGATACGATCAGATTGATGGGTCAAAGATAACGATCGTGCGCACTCGAGGCACTAATTCGAAAACGATGTTAGTACGCAAGACTTCGGTTGGAAATGACTACTTATATGTAAATACAACCATTAGGAAAGTATGCCAAGGCAAAGAGCACGCATGAGAAGGAAGTGGAGAGGAGCCAGACAAATGGGATTTGGGAAGCGATGGGAGTTTGCTACTTACTATTAACTATAGTGCCTGCTACGGGTTCCTGCGTGAAACCTACAATGGACCGGCGGCGGCGGCCACATTGATTGCTTGATTAAACAGTGATTGACGCAGTCACCAGCAGCTGATCCACATATATGACAGTGGATAATAGCCACCAAGTCGTCGATACCGTGTGATAAGGGTCTGCTCCGAATTTAGCTGCATGCAGGAAGGCCGGTTCGGTAACAATATTATGCATTAAAAAATCAAGTAAAGCTGAGCGGGGAGCTGCATTCGGCGGAAGACAGGCCCCTTCCCACCGCTTCTTCGCAGTGTGCATGTGAGGACTGTGTGCATAATTTGTGATATCTGATTAATAGTAAAACCTTATTCCCCAGCCTGCGGACTTGGCATCGGAAGACGAAAGGTCAAATACCGATTCAGGGTTCCTAGGTCTTCCTAGGTATACGAGGCCAAGCTTTTCTAATTTAATGAATTCGAGTGCCAATAATCGAGCGCGCGTCCACAATGACAATGGAAAAAACAATGAGATGAATATTGTTGCGCGATTTCTTTATAACTGCAGTACGATCTACGAGTCATAGATACAGATAGCACTGGCAGGCTGTTTTTCCTTGGAGTGGGCCTGAGAGTGTGAGGGGGATTTAGATGTTCGAAAACTAGCGCAAAAACCACACTCCCTCACAAGCGTGGTGGGAAGGAGCTTGGCAGAAGTATTGTTTTCAAATTTGCATCCAATACCCCTGCTAAATAATCCATTGTACCAGGACAGGTGTTACAGTTCCAGGCAGGTGCAACCTACATATAGGTAAGTGCAAACAGTGACGGTGCATTACCCAGCGGTGGTTTTCATCCTGATTTCGAAGACGGCGATCAAAATTGTGCGGATGGTCGTAAACGTTCGCCTCGAACGGATGCCAAGCGCGCCATAACGGTTCTGCATTATTCACGGAAGCACAGACACGGGTAAAGCAGGACACAACTACTGTGAGCCATCCAGAGATGTTTATGATCAATGCAATTGCAGTTTATGATATAAGAAGTAGGACGTACAACTAGTACTTTCCAGTGATAGCAGACTTGCGCCCGAGCGACATCGATATGCCAAGATGGTACTACTCACGGCATGAACCATAAAATAAGCACCCGATATGTGCGGAATCGGTGGCCTTGGTGCCCCGCAGGACTTCACGTCCATGCGGTACTAGTGTTCTCGTATCAATGCGAATTTGTGAAACGTCTATACAGTCCTTCTCTCAAATGGAATGGATCAGTTCTTTTAACCTCCTGGCAACGCAGATAGAACAGAAGAAATCACCTGTAATATGGCACTTCGTGTTGACGTAGCGCGCTGGAACATGGCACAACCATCCCATCTCTAAATTCGTCTGTATGCTAGCCTTCAAAGCGGTGTACCAGCACCACGACGACATTCGCATTCTGGAATTTCTGGTCTGCAGTCTACGTAACCGTGCGCTGAAAAAAAATTGGCGAGTAAGCGGCTGGTAAGTCTTACATGACCTGAGTCAGGCATATATTTCTCAATTGTGGGCAACCCGCGATTGGCGCGTAATGAAGAAAATTTGCAATGATTACTGGCTTACGTGAGAGTAGACCAATGTACGAGTGGCCGGACGGTAGAACCGGGAATTGCACTAACATTGATTATTTTCCTTTTCTTAATTCAGTACCTGCTAAGTCCAATCATGTGTCCGGATGTCGGGTGCTCACCTAAAAGCCTCTTCATTGACTCGGACGCACGCGGTGCCTTCAAAGCAAGGGCAACGCACAAACGTCTCCGCGGACGCAAATTCCAAATCCATTTTAGCCCCAAGGCGGCCGCTGTGATGGAAAGAGCTCATAGAGTGGGGTAGCCCGATGATCTGGGTGAACACGTAGCAATGGAGTCATTGTCAATCAAAACAAGTTGCGACGTCGACGAGTTTGGATGTCGAATAGTACAAGGTAAAATAAGGTACTGATGTCGGAGGAACGCAATCCAGCGTTATCACAACCACTTGATTGGGTTGTGTCGCCTGTTGCAATTTGAAAAAGCCTCCGCTCCGAGAAGGCACACTCTATATACTTTGACACGTGATCTGCAAGTGTCCCCACCCAATAGCAATGGCAGTAATCATTCGATGATCATGATCGATCATGATCGATATCATCCAACTCGTCATACGGGAAAGCTGGGTAAGCCCATACAACGGTTCCCCTGTGGGTCCTTTGTCTGAGCCTCTAGAACAATTCTCTCAACAAGTTGAAGTAAGGCGCCGTATCCAACTTAAAAAGTCGTGCGCACCGTAATCATGTTGCATAGATACCAAAACACAACGCTCAGGGTACCGCGTGGTTATTGGCTGGCGCACATGGTCTTGAAAGCAAGGATTAAGACTCTGGATATGATTGCTTGAGAACATTCAACCAATCAACGTTACAACAATGACAAAAATATAGGCGCTGGACTGGGCGCACCTCGGACCCTACACTGAACTTTTAGGTAGAGTTGTTCCCACCAAACATCCCAATCTTGGGCCTATTAGGTTTTGTTGGTGTTAAACAAAGCCCGGTGATCGGAGAACATGGTGACCCAAGTCAATGCCTGTCAAAGCGGCTCATCAGGCCATCAGTGATCGTATTTGGTCGAGCGGACAAGTCGCGCGAATTAATGATTATCAGCACTGTTCGACGTTAGCTGGAAACCCATTACATAGTTAGTTTCGTGGTCGGGGGCTCGGGCTCCTGTGATGTGATCGTACCGTCACCATTACCACCTGTTGATAAGGGTGTATTTTTTCAACTATGTAAAATATTAATATGGTTAACAATAAGCACCCGGGCCGGTCATCGGGGACCCTCAAAGTGAGCCAACATGCCGAGTCTTACTAGTCTACCAACATGTATCAGTAAGCAGTGAGTACCAACTTGAAACATATCCTCGGTGACCCTCAACGAGAGCTGATATACCGAGCCTTACCGACAGGAGAAGTCGGCAACTAGTAGAGTGTCACGGCCATACGCTGTGTAAAAACCCGTCGCTAACCCTGCTGAGCGCTGAAGCAGGTACTAAGTGAACAAGCTTGCAATCGACCTTACTAATACTAGGATCTTAACGGCGAAGCCGTATAGGGTTAACATGTCCTGGGTATTAATGACTTGACATATGAATTGTCAGTTCCGAAAGTTAGGTCTTCGGAGCGGACTTAGGCCTTTCCAATCTGCTCAAAACAGCAACGAGTGGTTAACGTTACACGATACACAACCGTATACTGCATGCAGTCATTCTTAGCTCTCACGTCCTTTTGTGGTTCGTGTTCTGATCTTTCCATCTTGATGGGAAGATTAGCGCGGCGCCGATTCCCTTCCTCTCGTTTGTTTTCCCTGACTAAGACTGACCTTATCAGATTTAGCGTCCTTAATCCTCGCCCCGTATCATTGTGCCGGTTTTCTATTACGATTCGCGTCAACGGTTAAGTTTTTCGGGATGCCAAGCCAAGGCGGTGATGGGCGACTACAAATATCTCCCATCTCATCACCTTCATGGAGCTAGAACCACCCCCCAACTTCTACAATGACCACAGAACTCAAGGCTATTCGAAAAAAGCGGACCACCTCAGATGCCAACCCCGCTTCTGAGGGTGACCATCGCAAGCGTCGACGCAATCGCACAACTCAGTCATGCCTTAATTGCCACACATCCAAGAGAATGGTACGTACGAAACCTGGTACGTCGACCCAGGAGAAATTCTGAAGTACATTGTACAACAGTGCGACCGGAAACGTCCTTGTGGCCGCTGCACACAGCTAGGTCTTGTAAGTGCCTTTACATTAAGGCGTGCTCCCTTTGTCTAATGGCAAATTTTCAAACAGACCGGCCTTTGTGTCTACGAAGTGGACGATCCTTCCCAACGAACTGACGTTCAAGACGAAAGCTCGCACCTTCGTCAGCGAGTTGCCGAGCTCGAGGGAGTGATACGCGAGGTTTGTTTGATCATACCGCAAGCAAGACTTGCGCTCTAATATACATAACAGTTGAAGAATAAGCCCCATCCTCGCTGGGTTCAAGCGGGCTCGACACCAGAAGTAGAATTTGAGAAGTGGCATGCCCGCTCTCAGTCTCGCTTGGCTGCTGAGCAGCAACAAGCTGAACAACAAACCGAGATAAAACATACCTCTACATCAACCGCCTCTCCATCTCGCACAGCTTGTTCGAATACAGGCACTGGTGATGAGTCACATTCGTCCCCTCAGCTTCCAGCTCCCACACATGCACACTCTTCCTTGACTTTTTCCCAACCACCTGCCGACTTGACACACACATCTGCGACATACTCTCCTTACTTCGGTGGCATATCATCTCCCTTGAGCACACCCTCACCTTCTATAATGACGCCGACTGATGAATATGCACAAACTCGGGCTCTTATTGCCGGAGAACAACCGCTCCCCGGAGGATTCGACTTTGCTTCTATGTTCATGTCCTATCCGGGTTTGATAGGATGTGAAGATGGTCTGGGACACAACGCTATTGCCGATCATCTCGACGATACCTGCAGGTCTAAACACCGCTACGATGCTTCTGCACACAGTCATTGTGGCTGTTTGACCGAAGGATCGAGCTACAATGTAGTTCTCGAACTTTCTCTCCGCTTGCGTAAAGCTGCGGACATCCTGAGCCGGTCGGCATATCACCATCTTGGATCCAGTGACTGCTCTCTTAACCAACGAATTATGGAACTTGACGCTCTTGCGACGTGAGTTTACCCATAGTTACTTTCTACATCGACTTACCATTATTCAACAGGACGACACTGGGCAATATTACTACACCACCTAACGATATCAATCAGATATCTCCTCAACAACGTCCGCTCTCTCATAAATTCATTCCACCATTGTCTACTTTTGGTACGGCATCGAGCCGCACTATGCCTGCTTCGACAGTCTCTCCACAGACTCTCCAAGGAATTCGCTCCTGGGACATTATGTCATCCGTGTCGGATTCGTCATCTGTTTGTGAAGATTCCTTCATGTCATGGGAGCCTTCACGACGTGGCTGATTTGAACGGACTTTTCCTCATTTAAATTGTAGTTACAATTATTTGATCTTTTCAGCTATTCTTGCTTGCGTTTAGAATCACGAACCGCTCCCTACGTAGTGCGACGAATGCTAGTAGAGGGCATTGTACAACATACTGACGAGCGATATGATCTCTGTAATTATATTGCATTTCTTCCATATCAAAGCTGTCACACTGTAGATGCGCATGTTGTTCCATAGGAGCTATATACATCTCACGCGCTCGTCCCCTCCCTACCAATAAACCAAACCGAACACAGGATTTTCAGAGCCTCCCAATAAATGATTTAATTGTGATCTATTAACAGCAATTTTAACTTTTGACGTTGTTCTAAAGGGGCAGCTGTCAGCTACATATTTTTTAAACAACGACTACAGTATTGATTTGCTTGTTGACTGTTCAAACTTCACTCCCACACATCAATTATTCACGTCGCGGGCCGCAAGGAAGCTGCGAAACCCCGCACTTCTTCTCGAGTTGGAATGGTCTTACAAACAGCTATGAGGTCGTGCGAGAAGACGCCGATGTCAATCATCTTTCTTGGAGACAGGTTTGAAATTCTGGTTGGTATTTTCTGATATCAGAATCTCTTTCATTGGGCCTGAGATCACTTGGAGCTCCAATCAATAAGGATCTTCCATCAGCCAGGCATATGTTAAGGAAGACTACTTTGATCTCGAAGCTCCATAAGTCCCTTGGACTCGGAGGGCGTAGGTTCCAATCAGAAAAGATGAAAGGGGTGTGCTAGAATTAGAACAGGTATGAAATATTAATTGAGGTGAACTGGCTATTGAGTCTGACGCAGACTATTGGTGGAAATCATCGGATGCGTTGAATAACACAAACAGCCGAAGCGGAAAAAAAGATTACACCTTCACCTTCTTGAGCCGCAAATTCGCCCGGAAAAGTCTGGAGGAACAAGATAAAAGAAATACTGACGCATTTACGCACTCACAATAAAAGTTGCAGTTAGCCGAAAGGGAGGACAACATATTGCACGGGTTGAGCACAAATGCGAGCGGGAATTAACATGTCTTGTGCTGCATTGGTTTTCCTGGTATTTACTTGTAGTCTGACCGTACACACTTAAAAGTTAGTTACTAAGTTAGTTACTCTGAATATCATAATGCTTACTCATTCAAGAAGTTTTGGGACTCCGCGATCTTCCTTTGTCTCTGTTGTTGCCGTCGTCAAAAGTTCCTTCCAACGAACTAAGTAGCACATTGTTCGCGGCTCGGAAGCGTATCATCGAACATGGCATCTCACTTGGTGAGCGTCAATAATTTATTGTTGCTAGTTATCTCATTGAACGTTGTCTACCAGGCAAACATCTTCGGAACAGAGCAAGATCGCGTAAATTGTTCTTTCTACTACAAGGTACGTTATGATTTGCTGTCGCTCACAAGTCGTGCTGTTCACAATCAATGATTAGATTGGTGCTTGCAGACACGGCGACAGATGCTCAAGGAAGCATATAAGGCCACCCTTTTCGCAAACAATCTTACTTCCAAACGTGTACCATAATCCCGCCCATGATCCTGTTTGCAAGCTCACCGAGGCCGAGCTCCAAGAAGGATTTGATGCCGTTTATGAAGATTTGTATTGTGAATTAGCAAAGTTCGGACATTTGTTGGAGTTACATGTAAGTAACTATCCTTGGTTTAACACTATCATGATACTTCAACTCCATTAGGTTTGCGACAATGTCGGGGACCATTTAATTGGGAATGTTTACGCTCGGTACGAATGGGAAACCGAGGCACAAGCAGCTGTAGACAATCTCAATGATCGGTGGTATGCAGGTTGGTCTTAAAATTATTTATGATCCGGGTATCCATCTAACTTTCGCCTATCAGGACGCCCGTTGTATGCGGAACTTTCTCCTGTGACGGACTTCCGGGAAGCCTGTTGTCGCCAAAATGAGAACGGTGAATGTAATCGTGGTGGTTTTTGTAATTTCATGCATCTCCGACTCGCTTCGAAAGAACTCGTATCGTCTCTCCGCGCGGGACAAAGACTAGAGAGGAGACTCCATCCTGCCAAAATGGAAGGTGGGGGTGGTGGGTGGGAACCGAGCAAAAGGGATGGGGGCCGTGGCAGGAGTGCCAGCCCATCCAGAAGAGGCGGAAGTAATGGGGAAGATCGTTGGACAAGAAAGTAGAAGTTTCTACTCGCAACACCCCTGCTTGCCCACACGCTTCGAAATGGCTCAGCTTGGCGTAGCTTAATTGTTCATCTTGTGGACACGATGTGAATATAGTTTTACTCCATTTCATCATTGTGGCACCCAAGACTTCTCACAGAAACGCCTCGAAGGTCAACGTGGTCTCATGAACCGAACACCCGAATCCCAAGTGAGCAATAGATATTAATGACACGTGTGTCTATCGACGCTGCCAAGCAAGCTGGGAAGCGATAATGTTCTTCGGTGGCGGCTCACAAGAATTGAAGTTGCACACGACATAAAAAATCCTGTGCTTGAGGACGTCATAATGTCACAAACTGGTCTTAGCCTCAAAGTCGAGTAGTCAGTACTAAGTAGTTGGCAACGACGTCGTGTAACAACAACTGAATGCAAACGAGTCTCGTCAATTAAATAACAATTATTGGGCTCCGTGTAAAAATCATACAAGACATCCGCGGTAATCTTCTCGACCGCCGGGCTGCACAAGATCTGGCCACTGAACCACGAAACTAGAAGGCGGATAAGTCAATTTCTCCGTAGATAACACGACAATCTCACCGATCGGCAAAATGATAGAGCAGTTTTCCAGAAAGTGAGAGAGACTTGACACGGGCGAAAGACTCAACGTACATCACCCGTGGGCTAGGTAGTCCGATAAGCTGATTTGGATCGATGTTGCCAAATCACGAATCAAAATTATGCGAGCATGCCTCGAAAGAAATCTAGAACTTACCCTATTCAGAAGAACCGCTGCGCATAGAATGACACATGTTCCCGGGCCATTGAGGATCAGAAGATCCGCTAATGGTTGCCGGAAAGTTCCTTTCGTGAACAATGGGCGAACTGAGACAAGATACATGCAAGCTAGTAGTGATTTGACCGCATCTGGCGGTGTGCTAAGCAGTGACTGATGGACGCGACGCGCACGGGGGATAGTCAAGAGCTTATACTGCGGTTGATCCTATTTAAAGCGAGTCAGATGGAAATTTTGAACATCAGATAGATTTCGTACGTCGGAAAAACTATGGTCAGTAGTAGCCTTAATGTGCTCCAAGGCGAGAGCCTTCTGTGCGCTAAATGCGTCCCCTTCGCTGATTATATAAATCCGGGGAGAATAGCGGCTAAAATCAAGTGCAGAAGCCATCTTCAGTGCTTCACTAGTATGCCCCCCTAGCATTGACAGGGTCAAGGTATCCTGGCGGACCGGTAAACAAATGCTCGAATTTACCTGAACCAAGAAAAATAGCAATACTGCAGGTCTGTCGAGCCGTGGGGTTCGCCGGGGGGAGCCTGAGACATCTGGAAGAGAATATGACAGAAAATAACCTGACACAGAAGAGCAAGAGGATTAACAAGAGGACTGTTGTGCAGCCGGACATGGTGAACGTTCAATTTCGAACTGGAAGAAGATTCGAGGCAATTTCCGTCAGAATAACCAGCAAATTCTTTGCACTCTCATACACAGTTGAGCCTGGAGTAAGAAGGATCGGGCTTGCCAGGTGTTGGCACGTAAGTTACAATACAAGAATACTTCTAAGTTTCTTGCTTACCAAAAGCGTGGGAGAAACACGGTATGTCGTACAAGTACTTGAACTGGAGTAGACTTAACAAGTCACGTTGAGTCTTGACTATGCCACAAGTAGGAGCAGGAAGGCCATATTTCATTGATATCTGATCCTTCAACGTTCTTGCCTTCGCATTCCAGAAACCTCCCTCCCGCGCTCCAATTAGCTCCAACTTGCATTTGAGTTTGCTCTTGGCTTTTCTTTCAGATTTTCTCGAACCTTCATCCGTGCATATACGTTCCGTAAGGAGCTAAAAACTTGCTCCTTCCCTGCCTTCTTACTGCCAGTCAGTTTCGGCTCAGGTATCTATCATTCTTCACGTCCTCTAACCGAGTCGACGTCGGCCGGCGGCATCATGACGACATCCCCAGTACCTCTTATGGACGCTAGACTTGTCGCTGACTTGCGGCAATCGATCCAAGATTGCGCGGAAAGAGGACTATCAGTTGCATCCAAATGGTATTTTTTCAAGTCCACAGTTAGGTGGCTGAACTTCAGAATGTTCTATTTCTCAGGTCTTCTGAACTGTATTACGCCATACCTTCAAACAAACGTGACACTTTGATTTCTGAAGAATTTGTCACTTTCTCAACATCTACGCCTGCGCGCTCTCGGTCTCCTAGACCATCATTGCCTTTTGTGGATCCATCGCCTGCTCCCGCTGCACTATGTATCCCTGTTACTCCTGGAAATCAGTCCCATCTTCTGTCACATTCGCCTGACGTCCGTGCCCAAGAAACTGAGTTGGAAACACAGGATGAAGCCGCCTTATTTGCTGCTCGAGCTTTTATGGCAGCGAAAGAGTTCACAAGAGTTGAATTCACCGTAAAGCATTGCAAGAGTGCCAAAGCACAATTTATCTACGTTTATAGTTGCTTTTTGGTTTGTCACGCAAGCCCATGACCTCCAACAACAGCTGACATATTTATTGAAGGCTGCAGAACGAAAAGCGCAGCGAGACTGGTACAGACAAAATAGTGGGTCTATATTCATGGTGCCCTTTATTGCATTTCGAAACATTATTGGTAGATACTCGGGGTCAACCACCCGTTCCCATAAATCGTCTGCTTACAACCCTTCTGGACATGGTCAAGAACGCTACAGATCCCTGGCTTCTTTTCCTGTAAGTTGACGACCATAGGCTCCTTGTGCCATTTCCATAGAATTTTCGTTTTCATTTTTCTAGGAAAGCTGTTTTCTTATCACGGCTCAACCGTCGAGAAGAAGCCATCGAAAGTATCATACGGTCCATCAGTGGCTATCACTGGAACTGGTCGGTATGGACCCTCTTGTGCAGCTGTGTGGGCGATGGTGATGAGGTTGGTTGAGAGCACGTCAAACCCTTGCCTTTTTTTGATGACTATTAGTTGTCAGCGCTTCTTCCGCTATTGCCCCTCCCTGCAACTCATCCCCTCGTTCTAATGTTTCAAATTCGAACGATGAACGAGCTTCACAGTCCATCAGAAAATGAGCTGGCCATGTGCGATCGTCTTCTTGGGGATGACTGTTTCCGCGACAGTGCTTGGGCCATGAGTCTACGGGCATGTGCCTTATATCATTTACATGGTCGGTCCTTTGCCTATGAACCAGCGCTCTATGTGATTATGATAAAAAAGACTTTGGACAGGCAGAAAAACAATTTGAAAAAATCCTGGCTATTGCTCCGCACCGTATCGACGATATTGACGTCTACTCCAACATACTCTATGTTACCGACAATCGGCTGAAGCTTTCTAGGCTAGCGCACGAATTTCTCGAACTCGACAAAGATCGGCCGGAAGTGTGCTGCTTGGTCGGTTAGTCGTGATATGAAGCTGCAAGTATTTGTGTATGTTGACCTTTGGAACGCAGGAAATCATTACTCCCTTCGCGCAGAGCACGAGAAAGCGGTCAAATATTTTAGACGGGCGACCGAGCTGGACCGAACTTATTTGTCTGCGTGGACGTTGATGGGCCATGAGTACGTTGAGATGAAGAACTCACACGCTGCCATCGAAGCCTATCGTCGAGCAGTTGGTATGTGTCCTCCCATGTTTAAAATGTAGAACTAGTTGAATACTAATCACATGTCGTCTTTGAGATGTGAATCGGAAGGATTACAGGGCGTGGTATGGTCTTGGCCAAGCTTATGAATTGCTAAGCATGCACCGATATGCGCTTTATTATTATCAGCATGCAACTGCTCTCAGGTTCGTTTTAAGAATCTGCCCTATTTATTTTGTACGAAATCAACATTTTATCCAGGCCATATGATGTCCGTCTGTGGCAAGCACAAGGTGCTTGTTACGAAGAAATCGGCAGGTTTGTTTTGTTCCCTTCCTTGAAAAAGGGCCGCTGACAGAGCTACCGTACTCACAGGCTCAAGGAGGCCGTTGACTGTCTGAAGCGTGCTTTACTTGGTGCCGATTCCCGTGAGACTACCATCCACTTGAAACTGGCCAAGTTACACGAGGAGCTTGAGGAGCAAGCGCAGGCCGCGGCCTACCATCGACGAGTCGTGGAAATATGTCGCATTGAAGGTTCGTTTTTCTTCTCCAAGTTTCTGCCAAGTCGCCTGAGTGTCCTGTAGAACGGCCTGTCCAAGACTATGCCAAGTCAAGTATATTCGTCGCTCGCCATCACATGCTGATTACGGGAGGGGATCTATTGCTTGCCAAGGATTACCTGGAACGTGTTGCAAATAGCAATGCTGAGGAAGTTGCTCAGGCGTCTGATTGGCTAAAGAAACTCAAATCTGTCCTCATCACACGGCCGGTCATCCCGACTGCTGAAAAAACTTCTGACCGCTGACCGCTGAACCACCAACGACCAAGTAGTGTACCTACACTGTAATTGTTAATTTTACAAACAAAAAGGATCGCCCCTCGGAGAGGCTTGCCCTAAATTCTCCTGTTCGCGCGGTCACGAGGATTGTCACAAGGCAAAGCATCACAAACACGACAAAGTCAAGAAAATGTTGAATGCGCAGAGCTCTTTTTCTGCGCATAGCTTCTCTCTGAAACCTGTTGAGCAGTCGTCCAGTGCGGCTACTTGGTCAAATGATCCGTCACCTCAAAGTTTTTCCTCCTCTTCATCGCAGGACCCCGTCGCAGCTCTATCATCGCTCCGCACTCACACTGTAAACGGATCTACCAGTAATGCAGCATCCGGTATTGTAAACTATTTGCACAATCGAACAGCCGAGGACCTGCATATAATCAGGGAAACCGCGGAGGGGTATGTCTCGCAGATTTATACATGGCCTTTACTCATGCTCTGGACAGTTTTGCGTCTTGCCTTGCTGCTGATCATGCAGCAGTACTGAATCCTGACGTGGATTCTCCTTTTGTTGACGCAGTGGACGTTGTTCATCGGCTTCTTCCATATCACGTCTTCCAACAACCTCAAGAAGACTTGAGGACCATCACAGAAAGGAGACGTGCGAAAGGGAAGGGGAAGGCCGACGATGTGATCCGGGATGAGATTGAAGGTAGGAAAACACTGTATCTTACTTCATGGCGGCAGAAATTCTTATTTTGCTCGCCATAGACACTAAATTCGCTTTAGAATGTCACCGCCGACTGAGAAAACTCGAGGCACGATTTCGACGCGCCAAAATGAAGTCCGGCGTGGTTTGTTCTTTCCGTCTCACGGTTTTTCTTTCGCTAACTCTTTACTACGTGATCCTTAGCGGCCTTCTCCAGATGATCAAGCATACGTGCTGACTCAAGCTGTGGTGGAGTACGAACGGGCAGAAACTTCTTCTGTCAGCACAGAGTTACGGAACGCACGGAACGAACTAGACGTGTTACAGCGTGAAAAACGCGTCGCAGCTAATGTCACCGTCAGTTCCTTTCGTCCAACTTATTATCCTCAAGCTTCGCAAGCCCAATACTATCGCACGTACCCATACGCATTCACTCAACCATATACCAATACCTCTCAAGGGACTACAACTTCGAGTTTTTACTCGACGCCCTCATCAGCTCCTTCAGCCACTCCCGCTACAACATCGGCTTCTGGTGCAATTCCTGTACAGCTACCTGTTAGTTCGTTGTCTGCCCTACATGCCCTCGGAATAGTGCCGATTCCCGCTGCTTCCCTCCCGCCTTCAGATCAGCCGCAGCCGCCAGCTGTGCTACGAGGGTCTACTTCCAATGGAACAATTCTGAGTCTCGAGATAAATGTGTCGCTGCTACAGTCGCCGCAAGTGAGCGGGTTGGCATATTTATTGAATACTATGATGTCGAGAGGTGCGACTTCTGGGCAAGGGAACACTAGTTCGATAACAGGGGGGCAGCCGTCGTCTGTTGCTACGGCAGACACCGCAACTTCATCACATACGGATGGCCTGTAATCGAGCAGGGAGTTGGGTCATGATGATGGTGGGACACTTATTCCTGTCGCACCTACGGGGTAATGCGAATTATAGTAGTAGTTCATTGTACGCTATGTCGGCGAAGTCTCTGGCCTACGTAATTCGACTTGAAGCAGTATCATACCAGATTGTATTGATCACTTTCTGTGTGAATGGGTTGACGCCAAATTCAAGGTAACCGAGAGGAATGTTGACAGCCGTGGAAAGGGGTGGGTGGTACATGTTTACGCTTGGAGCGCCTAGTGACGCACACAGATTCCGTTGTAATGATTCGATAATTCTTCTCCATTCGCTGTTCAGTGCTCAGTCGACCACTGTGTCCGCAAGAGATCAGTCAGACCATGCTGCACCCATGTAATACGCGAAGTATGATGCGGGCAGCTGTCATGAAATTAACGAGGGGCGGCCAAGTACAACGGTAATACAATGCATAGTATGTCTCCCATTCGAAAGCCGTCTTCGCGGATCGAGATACGCTCCATTGGGGGTTCGGTATGGACCAGAAAATGAAATTCTTTATGAGAATGCGCCGCTCAGGCTGCCTAATGTCGTCAACCACCATGCACGATACAACGCGCCCCAGCCTTCCTCTTCGATAATCCTCTTCGCGCAATCAACCAAGCCAATATAGGGCTCCCTCTCGGTTCTCAGGCTACATTGCGAATTGTTATCTCGAGAAACAAAAACAAAAAAGACAAATTTACATACCCAATAACATCCTCATCAGCACCAGCGTACTCTGTTGCTTCATCAGCGTCGCCGTCCTCCTCCTGTGAGATGGAGTTGAATTCAGGGGCTGCGTGGTTCCGTTGGATAGAAAGTCTAATAGCAATAACTTCCAAAGGGGTGAGAACGACTGTGCTCAGAAGCGCGATGACGAGGAAGATGACGAGCTTGACGGGGGAAATCTCCTCTCTGCGAGGCATGCCCGGGTTCGCAAGTTCTGGGAGAAGGAGCTGCCGGATGGTCCGCAGACCGAGAACGACGTAGGCTATGTGCGCGACTTGAGCGGCAAGGAGACCGGGCGTGAGATAGAGAACCCAAGGTCTCCGACGTTCAGTGGGTGTCAGGAGAATACGGAGTGAGTAAATTGGGTTCAAGTACGGCAGCTTATGCGGTGTTGTAATTGCACTAAGAACCAAGTTCATTGTAGGTTAGTTCAACAGGCTGTCAAATGAGCCGAATGGAATAAACTAACCGGTTCGTGATGATTACTTGAGGAAGAGATACAAGCATGGCAAAAATACTATAGACGAGTATTCCGACGGCGCCTGCATCAGGCGCGCTGTATGTTCCATGGCGAAGGTTACTGTCGGTCAAGAAGATCATCAAGAAGAATGTGATGACGAGAGTTGACAGCAACGAGGGCACTAGGCAACATGTGTCAGATGAGTCGCATAATAATTTTATTGTAGTGAACGTACTCAATCCCTTGTATAGTCCTGGCCAACCCTACACAATGTCAGAGCGCTCATTATTGTTTGAATATGCGGAAATGCCTACCTCGATTCTGTGTACCCTTCTTAGCATGGAAAAGAAGGATGTGATGACTGGGCCAGTGTGGGGCTGCACACCGCCCTCTGAATCAAGTTGCAAGCCCTTTGGGTTGTAGTGCGCTCTGAAGCGCACCAATGCGCCAGCTAATGGCACTAAGATAGCCAGCGACAAGGCCAATGACCCTAACACAATCATGATATCGAAAAATCCAAGCATGATGGCTGCGGTAAAGAGGGAAACAAAGAAAGAAACGTTTGGGTGCAGTACTGCAGTGCTAGTGCGGCGTGCGCAGTCCCAGGCGGCCAGGCCCTGTGCAAGTTCGGCAAGTGCCTTGACACTGCCAAAGTGGTAATTTGGGCGATAACCATCTTGAACTCAAACCACCACCATCTCTCACGTCGTCCTTCTGACTTTAATCCAGGCATCCACGGATTGCTGGTACTTGTCTAGTTTTAGCGATTTCGTTCTTCTTTTAAATGTTTTTAGTGGCTCATGTCAACTTCTGCTGCTGACCTTTATCAAATTTCCAGACACTTTCTTCAACGAGTTCCGTTGAAAACTCGTTTTCTATGTCGTCCGGTTTTCTCCGGAAGTTCCCAGGTTTTGTTGCCGCTGCTGCAACCTCTGAATGCCTGGTTTCATGATATGACGGCTACATGAGGACTTCTCTGCGCTCGTGGGCTTTTCACAATATCCTGCATGGTCGATCATAGTTTGTCTGGACTTCTCATGACTGCTAACCCTCCTTCATCTGTATATCGAATTTTCGTCTCGCTAGATCCCATTTCTTTATAATTGCTCGTTTGGATGTGACCATTCGATATTCAATGTTGATTCGCATCATTATACCTCTACTGAAGTGAGTAGATAGATCCTTTGTTTCCTTCACTTAATCTCATTTCTCTTTTGAGCAGATATTCGCTAGCTTTCCTTGGGAACTTGGCATGACCGTGTCCATAGTTAATTCGACACTTGGTATCCGGGACATCTACTTGTGCGATCTTGATCTGCTGATCGACAGATCATTTCGGCGTCTTGTGATGCGCATCACTACGTGCTAGACTATTCTCTACGTGCGTTGTCACCTCTACGTCCAAGCTCATACATATTCCTATATAGTTCACATCTGACAATAAATCTTTCAATCCTGGTTTCCGCTGTCGACGTCTAGCATCCGATTACTAGAGACGACCGTGCTTTTCTTCCTCCGCGCGCCCATCTGTCAAGAGGCCAGTGTGCACACGGTGTCGCCACATCTTACTTAAGTCCTTTTGACAGAATCGATAGTGGACACGTTTACTCCCTATGCACGCACCTTCTTCCGACGCACTATGTGTTGCGTGACCATGCAAGTCTTTACTCCCCATCCACACGACGACCTATGTGTCCTTACATACCATGCACCTATCTATTATACAGCCTTACGCTCTTCGTGTCTATTATCTAGTGAAATATAGTTTTCTTGTGCCACATTCATTGACTCTCCGACGCTACGGGTAATTGGCGTACATCCATTTTGCCTCCCACCAACTTGTAGGCAACAACTTACAAGTCCTTTGGGTCCTTCTCATCCTCTCTCGAAATTTTAACTTAGTATGTCGTCGTCGATGTCTGTCGACGACGTCGCAAGCAGTAGAGTTAGTTGAGAAGTCAGTTTTTTGTATCGTTTTCTCACAAAGCGCCCGTCGTTTCTACAGAAAACGACTACAGTTGGCGGACTAAGGTTCCAGAAGAAGCCCAACAAAGATGGATCTGAAGCTATTAACTCTTCAGCAGCGACCAGCAACGTTGCTTTCCCGTCCTTTGTCCCTCCTCCTCAATCCCGAGATGCCACGGCACCAGCGCGATACCATCCCCCAGCGACTCCGTCACGAGGCACAGTCCTCGTCCCCAATTCCAGCCCTCTACTTCAAGATGCAGGTTATCATCAGCCTTATCAACCACATCATCTCCAGTACGCCCAAGGTAGCTCCTCAGCGACTGGCCCTAGTCACCACAATCTGTGGAGTCAGTCCGGTCCTTCAACCGTGCCCGACATCCTGTCATCATCAAGCGAATTTGTCCACGGTGGTGTTCCTGCTCACGCGTCATTCACGCGTCAGTCGCGTCCATGGGCTGGAGATGTAAGACCGTTATCGGAAGTTGATGGTTTGGGGGAAGAAGGTCCACCGAGGAAGCGTATGAATCGCGGAACATCCTCCGACGCTCTACCACTCGGGATGGTAACCCCTGGCTCTCCAGACATCCAACGCCCAGGACAAAGGCGGAAACAGAATATGAACGCAGAAAGGCAGTCGCATTCGTCAGATGAATCGATGCTGGATGTCAGGTCGTCGCTGGAAGGACCCTCGAAGCGAATCGTTCGTGGCCAACGCCCAGACCACCCTGACTCATATGTGTTCACTGTATTCCAGCTTTCGCACCCTGGGTATGATCTAGCGACCCTTAAGGCTGCTTGGAACGAAGCCAGCGGGAATGACAACAAGGCGTCTTTGCTCCTCTCTGATTCGTCGTGGAAGCCCCAACCCACATCGACGCCATCTAATTCTGATGCCGTTAATAAAGCACCATCTACGCCAGCACCAGAACTTCCTACTATCGAGACTGGGAGAGTGGAAGAGGTCGATGAAGCTACCAAAGTCCAGCGTGCTGCTCTCCGGGAGAAGGCCAAGAAATCATACATCTATGCTAACAGAGCTACATTGGATACCACACGGTCCCCTGCGGTTACTAATATCCCTATACCCAGAGCTATGTCGCCTACATCCCCATCCACACCTGCCATCATAGCCCCACGCCGCAAGCGACCAAAGAAGTTGATCCTCTCCGACGACGAGGCTGAAGCCAGTGAAAGCGAAGAGGAGCTCCCACGAAGCCGGCAGAATGGAGAAATTTCTCGGGAAAGAGCAGCGTTTGAGTATTTCAACCAGGCCAGCCCAGATGCTATCCAGGAATTGACTGGTATGAATTCCCTGCTACTATCTCTATCAAGCGCAGCTGCTAAGATCACAACAGGTTGCACCCCAGAGCAAGCGCAGAAAATCATCGAGCTTCGGCCTTACTTTTCAATAGCGGACCTCAATACCAAACTTAACCAAGGCAAGAAAAAGGCAGGACCATCCGGAATCAGTCCCCGTATGTTCGAAGACTGCCAGGAGATTCTTCAAGGCTATGACACTGTCGATGGCATCCTTGAAGAGTGCGAGAAAATTGGTACAACTCTGCGCGCTGCTATTGCGACTTGGACTACAGAAGGTTCATCAAGCAAAGGCAAAGGAAAGGAAGCGTCGCTAGCCCCGGATCAAATTGAGGAAGACTCATTGAGCCTACGTTCATTGAAAATTTCAAATGATGCTGCATCCAAGGGCTACATCTCATCTCAACCCTCGATAATTGCGGAAGGCATAACGCTTAAGGACTACCAGCTTCTTGGTATCAATTGGCTGTTTTTGCTCTACCGGAAAAGACACAGCTGTATTCTAGCCGACGAAATGGGTTTGTCCTCCCTCGGTTTGAAAAGCAAGGACGCTCACGGGAGTACCCAGGTCTTGGAAAGACCATACAAGTCATCAGTTTCTTCGCTCTGCTCAAGGAACGCGGAAACTTTGGTCCACATCTTGTCATTGTGCCGTATGCTTGACTGTTCCTTGGTTGTGTGTTTGCCTTGAAGAAAATGTTTCTTGCAGATCATCAACACTGGAAAACTGGTGTCGAGAGTTTGCTCGGTTCGCACCTTCAATATCAGTGCAGACTTTCTATGCTGGCAAAGAGGAACGAACAAACTTGCGACAGACGCTGATAGACACACAGCGCAGATCAAGCAAGACAGGGGCGGGGTGGGAGGTGTTAATCACCACGTACAACCTTGCTCAAGGTGACGACAGAGATCGCAAGTTTTTCAGAAAAATGGAGTGGGACGTAAGTCAAAATATGCGCCCTATATTGTTCCAGTTTTTCACATGTGGCCCAGACTATTGTCTTCGACGAGGGACATGTCTTGAAGAACTTCCAGTCCCAGCGTTATCAGGCATTACTCAAATTCGAGGCAAAATGGCGACTCCTTTTAACGGGCACACCTTTGCAAAACAACCTTCAAGAACTAGTGGTGAGCCTAGTTTTTCGACCTGCTCATCTCGATTTTCACGCCAAATCAATGTCCTCCAGTCTTTGATGAACTTCATCCTGCCGAATATGCTCTCGGCCAAGCTGGAGACCTTGCGAGCGATCTTCAAAACAAAAGGCGATGCCAAAGTTACATTGCTGTCTCAGGAGCGTATTTCAAGAGCCAAGAAGATGATGACGCCGTTTGTCCTCCGACGACGCAAGGATCAGGCAAGTCTTTGACGCTATTACGCAAATTACGCTTGTTGTGTGACCTTCTATTATCACAGGTTCTGAAGGACCTTCCACTTAAAACCGAGCGGATAGAATGGTGTGATATGACTGACATACAACGATCGATATACAACGACGCTCTGCAACGATCACGAAAAACGATATTGGATGCAGAAGGTACTACTCCCGACGCATCAGGTACAACGACACCAGTCACGAATGGGAAAGCTGCCAAAAAGAAGACGAAAGCCAATCCTCGTGCCAAGGATAAATACCTGGAAAATAGCTCCAACGTGCTCATGGATTTGCGAAAAGCGGCTTCACATCCTATGTTATTCCGCAAGCTGTTCGATGATCAGGCATTGAATTCGATAGCAAAACACCTGCTCAAGGAGCCGGAATTCAAGAAGCGAGGCGCAGTCTTTGAGTACGTCAAGGAGGATATGGAAGTTATGACCGACGCAGAGCTTCAGTTCTTCTGCCAGGGCTATAAGGTTAGGGCTGACCTACTTTGTTGATGTGGTGTACTCACGCTGCACAGTCGACGCGAAAATTTCTCCAGGATCAAAGCTGCTATCTCAACGCTGGAAAGATATCGGTTTTGTTGCGGTTGCTTGAGGACTATAGGAAGGCGGGACGAAAGATCCTAATATTCTCTCAGGTTCGTGCCCCCTGTTGCTTGAATACAGAGCCAACCTTACAATCCCCGTATAGTTCACACAGATACTAGACATTCTTCAAGCGATTTTAAAGCTGAAGGACATCAAATATCTAATTCTGACTGGCTCCACTGCCGTAGATGTGCGGCAAACGCTTGTGGATGAGTTCACCGAAGATGCGTCAATACCTGTGTTCCTCCTGTCGACGAAGGCAGGCGGGATGGGCATCAATTTGACAGCTGCAAGCGTCGTCGTCATGTAAGTGATCTAAATTATCAGTGTACAAGCAATCAGTTTTTCATCCTCCACAAGGTTCGACCAGGATTTCAATCCTCACAATGATCGGCAAGCACAAGACCGTGCTTATCGCATTGGCCAGAAGCGAGATGTAGATGTTGTGAAGCTAATCAGTCGCGGGACGATTGAAGAAGATATGCTCAGACTTGGGGAGACTAAACTGGCCCTCGACGAAGCAGTGGCAGGAGAGAGCGAGGAAGTCGACGGCGACAAGGGGGCCAGCAGACAGGAAAAAGAGGTTAAGAAGTCACTTATGGGCCAGTTGAGGAAGCAATTGGAACGGCAAGATGGAGCTTCCACCCAACCTACACAAATACCCACGCCGTCCTCATGAATATCAATATGCTCTGTTTCCATTCGTTGATGCTTTTGCTTGTTATTTGCCATCTTGATTATGGTATGTTATGTAGATATTGGTAAATTTTTCAAATAATCAATTGAAAACTGAGAGTCCGCGAACAAGACGGTCAATACTAGCACGGAAATAATCGTTGTCGATGCCCTGAGAACGAGAATCCATCGGGACGAGAGGGTTGCGGACAACGAAGTCGAGGAAAGGGCCGTTATAGATTTGACGAAGTATGAAGCGAAGACCGTCAGTAGCCGCATCGCTCAACATGATGAACTTGTAGCCAGATACGGTTTCATACAAGTGAAGCCTGTACGTCGATGTGCGATAGCTGGTGAATTGCTCGTCTCTTTATATGCTATCAGGTGAGGATAAGATGGGATAAGCAGGTAAATGCACACCTTCCCGAGATTTTTTTGACCATATTCCTGAGTGACAAGACAACACCATACACTAGCTTCGCCTCTTCATCAAAGGGAAGGGCATTTGACCTTGCATGCTCAGCTAGATTTGGTAGAGGTGTTACAGGATCCTCGCCCACAGCGACAACCAATCCTGATGTCGAAGACAGCGTGTTTCTGGGGCTGCTAAATCCTGATGGAGTAGGAGCTGCACTGTCTGTTGCAAGCGGAGAGACAGCTTGGGAGACAGCGTTCAAAATGCCTCCTCCTTCTCCAGCTCGCTTTGGTTGCTTGGTTCGGTGCCAATCCTGATAGTAAACACATGCGCAGTGTCTGGGTCGACGGTTGGACAACACGATCCACTGAACCGACCAGCCAATGCACTCACCTATCGTAGATATAAAGACTATAGATCGTCATTGTGCGAGCTGCTCTCGCTTGAATTAAAGATCTCCCGGAATACATTATCATATTTCCCACGATCCGTTTCATCCAGAATGACCTGCATTCTATTGTACAAGTTTTATGACGCCTAGCTACCGTATCTCTTGTGGTTATCGATATTCTACGCCGCAATCTCCTTGGCGTCATCGTAAAGTGGGATCTCGCCAAATTTACCATCCCCCTGGAGACCCGAGAACCGTTTGGTAGCCTCATAGGACGGTGCAGCATCAGTGGGAGGCGCAATATACTAGTACATCGTCAGACATATATCATGAACAAATAACATGCATTCTTACCGGAGGTAAGAAGGAATCAAGTTCAAAGCTGCTAGGTGGCGCAGGGAAGGAGACAACCAGGACCTAAAGGTATGAAACTGACGTTAAGCAATGAGCCTGTAGTTGAAAGGTAAGACCTACAATCCCGTCCCTAAACATGCCGGGCATGGTGACTTTCCAGGTGGGAATAGTCGCATAGGACGAAGCAGATCGGACGTCATCCTTGGTCCAGCGATCAATCATCTTGTTTGCTCGCACGCGTCCCTTTTCCAGAGTTCGTTTCAGTACACTGAAGTTATAAAGAAACAAATCTAAACTCACCATGTATTTCCAGATGGCAATTGGCAAATACATAACGAACCAAAGACCCATTATGACAAGAAGGGCTATGAGCCTAGCCTGCCACACGATCTGATTTTGACGATCCTCTTCAATTTGTTCATCGTCGAAATGATGGATATAGTCGTAGTAAGCCACGATCGGGGCGATAAATGACAAGCTAAGCAAGAGATCAGAAAAAAAAAATAGGGACAAAGAAGAGACGAATTTACATTAAGGCTACGAGCATCCAGGATCTTTCCAGCATTGGCTTGGAATACTGGGAAGCCAAGCGTGTGATAGCACGTACACGAGTCTCCCAGGTATGGGGAGAAACCTAGTTGCAAGTGATGAGCGCTTGCGAAGTTTCTATGTACATATGAAAGCACTCACATAGTTTTGCAACTCGATAGGAAATAGCGGAGGAGGCTGAGTACGCGATAGGTCCTAGTAAAGACGCCTTAACTACATTTGAGAGCAGAGAGTAAACTACACACCACCACCACCTCATTCTTCCTGGTCTTGGGGCTGGACCAAAGCGGCAATGCAGGTCGCATCATACCATCATACTTGGGAGGACTGGATGTCATTTCAAAGGAAGTCGGGACGAATGAACAAGAGCGATGTTTGAGTAAATGGAGGCAATAGATGGTCCCGCAACAACTTGAATCAAACTAGAGCACGATAAATGAGACAAGGGATCAAAAGCAAGACTGAGCCTGTCAATCCTGTTACAAGGCCTGCTTGTGAGTGAGAAAGGGAGATAAAGGAGTCAGATCCAGCTCTGGGGGTTAGAGTGAGTTTTGTAGGGCTGCGCAGCAGCTGGTCAAATGTAATTATAAGGCAGTGTACGTCGTGATGGAGCAGGAGCAGTGCCGCAACGGGGGTGCGCTGTCTCGTCACAAGTTAGAGGACCTATCTTTCTGGCATAGCAACGATGTCAACAAGACAATCATCCATAACCATGGCTTGCCTGTCACATCATGCTATATGTGACAGGCCCCTAACTCACATCACAGCTCTAGTGCACTGGCGGTCTGTCTTTGAGCTTACTATAGGCAGTAACAGTCATCAATAACTCGCATTGACTACCTTTTACTACAACATCAAAGGATAGAAAGGATGTTCTCATGTTTTAGAGATTTGCTTTGGCTTCGCTATCGGTAAACGGTAAATTGGCAAAGAGAAGTAGTTTCGTGTTTCACCCCATCTCTCTTCATCCTTTTGAGCGCTAACATCCACATCACTCCAGACAACATCTGCGCCGGCATCGGCAAGGTGCATTTCCGACAACCGAGTATACACATCGTAAAAGAGCGCATCTGCAGTTACTATGTTAAGTCCACAGTAATAAAAAATTCGAGCACAAACGCACTGGTTGCGCCGAGGCCATTGAAGAAGCTGAACCTCGATTCAGGACTCGCCAGAAGCTCTCGTAAATGTTTGAAAAAACTGCGGAGTTCTTAAACAAGAAATCATCAACATTGATGGCCCGTTTTCTAGTGATTGTAAGTAAAAACTCACCACTATAGTTTTCTGAGAAAGTATCCGTGTAGATGACATCAAACTTTCCAAATCCCTGGAGGGCCTCGCTAGCAATGCAGTCTTGCCACTTGCCCTCCAATATGCTCACTCCCTTCTTGTCATACCACCCTTGTTCTTTCATATGAGCGAGAACGTCACGGTGAGGCTCTACAATCACATGCAATGCAGGGGGTGTGCTAAGATTTTGGAAGAAATTGTCGATCTACGTCATCGTCAGAAGATTGCGCTGCTAACTCAACGTGGTCCTTACTATGCCAAGACCAAACCCGACATTAAGAACTTTCAACCCTCGGTCCCGCTTTGCGTGATCGACGCATAAATTCTCCACAGTTTTCTGCACTGGGAAACCACCTCATTCGACGCCATACAAAACTCAAAAGGCTGCACTTACTGATCTCCCGTTCCCATCCCATCATAACGCCCACTTCTTGGCCATCATCAAGTTCAAGCAGGCAGATGTCCTGGCCATGGGCATCTTGAGTGTAGCGCAGCTTAGACGACAGAAAAGCGTCTGTGGATGCAACTGCGGAGTTGTCCACATCCCGAAGCACAAGTGATGATGGGGTGGGATTCAATGATGTCTGTGACGAGAGCAAGGTCAAAAGCAACTCTGGGACTCCATATATGAGCACTCGTTAAAAGTGAAGCCCACAATACTTAGTACCTGATCGGATGCCTGCGTCGCGGATTAAGTTGTAACACGCTACGTTGTTGAGGGACAATGCAATATCACCAGCAGTATTCTGCAAATTGTCGACTGTAGCCTCTATTTTGTCAACGGGGGCATTTCTTGATTAACATCTGCCGCACCTGCGTTCCAGATGGCACCTTCCTCGATGAGTAACTTCACGAGCTGCTCGTTTTCGACGTAGGCAGCAGCATGCAGAGCTGAAGTACCTTCATCGTCTTGATACCATAGTGGTGCTCCTGCGTCTATCAAATCTTGCACGTTTGAGATAGGTTCTTTCTCCAGGATAGCCTGGATGAGAGTCGTCCCCAACTCAGTCAGCGCGATGATCTCGGGGTCGTCGACATCGTCAATGATCTCAAAGTCGTCCTCGAACGTCTCACTCATCGAAGTCAAGTACGCTTGCGCGGTAAGACTCAGAGAAGCCAAGGAAGTCAAACCGCTTGCAAGACGATGGTGTAGCAAAGCAGTCAGGTCAGTATTAACGCAAATGCTCCATGGAACGATCAAATATTTAGAGATGAAGATAAGATTAATATTGATCAGGACAATCAGAAGCAAATACTTGAATTTACATAATGCCATTATGCGATTAAGGAGGTTGATTGACTCTGGACCCGAATCTCTACTTATCAGATAGACTCATGCATTAACTCTCGCGTTGCTCTTGCACTGATCAAACCTGTAGACTGCCAGACTTCGCCTCCGCCGCCACAAAAGTCTTTATCCCGCCCCAACGGTCGAGCACCCGATCAAGGCTTCACGCCTTGTGCCATCAACCATACTGCGCCGATGTGAAAGCAGAAACACGCACACTAGAGGCAAAAAAAGGCTAACTGCCACGCCAGTGAGTCATGCGACTAAATCCAGGATGCAAGTTGCTCAAACTCACGCAGGAGCCACAGCCATTGCAGTCGCTAGTCGTTACGCAAAAGATAGGACATGATTTCTCAGTGTCAGCGTCTCTGGCAGATATCGATGCTGTCAAAGCAGCAACAACGGCGAGGACAAAGGAGAAACGCATCGTTTGTGAGGATGTGATCAAATAAATCTGAAGAGGGAAGTAGGAAGGCGCCCTGCTTTTATGTGCTGAATATTCTTATTCATGGCAATGTAGGAAAACACCTGAAAACACCTTTCAAACAGATAATATCTGCGATGCCAGCAGATTGCCACATAAGATCTACCATGTGAAGCAAACGACACGTCGCCACAGATGGTGGGCGGAATGAGTGGTAGCCCCAGAAGGAGGATAAGTATATTTGAGTTGGAATAGATGATAAAGTTCAATTGTCACGATAGACGCTAGTCCTTAATAGCCACTAGTAGCATCGTGGGCTGATTATGAGGAATTAGCGCCAGCATGTTTGAATAGTGCTTGATCAACTCCCTCCGATATTGCAGTATTCCTATACTCTTAAATCGCTCTGGAAAATGATTGCGAACATTTCATCACTCCTTTGATGGCTCATGTCACATGAGACCCTGGTAGCAGGTAAGACAGAGCAATGAATAGGAAGTTGGTGGGATATTGGTTGGGAACTATTTCATGGATCTTTAACAAGACCTATGTAGTAAAGGGAGCTTGCGTACATACTGCAGTGTGTCATTATTGTACCCATACTCGACAATATCTTGATCTTGTCGGCTGCGGGAGTACGCAGCGGAAGTACTGGACAAATATCAAGGACTAGCGTTGAGCAGGAACCAAACTTGAGGACATGGGTGAGTGAAAGCGAGCCTAGTCATCCTCGTGAAAGATTATCCGTTGCTCCTGTGCAACTCGGGGTGCTTCCTCGGGTGGGACCTGCTCCGCCTCGAGGACATCTTGTAAACCAACTTTGTCATGATCTGCGGGGGCGTCCACCTCTTCCTCGTCGCTCTCCTCCCCAGGTTTCCTAAACACGAGCTCCTTTCCATTTACCAATCGTCTTTTCTTTAATGGAGCTTCTTGTGCGCCATCCTTACCCTCGCCTTTCTCTGATGGTTTTACTTTTGCTCTTTCCTTCTTCTTTTGGCGTTTCGCTCGGTTTTTAGCCGTCTTGGCTTCAGCCACATCATCCGCTTCTTTCCGCTTTTTCTCAAACTCTGCCGTTTCAGATTCCTGCCAAACCTTCAGGACATGTTATCTTTATAGAACTGAACCACATACTATTCTCGCTTCATCCTCCATCATCTTCAGCCGCTCATATTCTCTGCGTCTACTGGCCTTGTATACATGAAACTCGCCACTTCCAGCGCCAGCACTTGATCCCTGGACATTCTTCATCATTTCGCGAGCCGGGCGAATAGTCTTCTCCTTCGGTGCAGGAGGTACATAGGCAGGCTTCGAGGGATCCTTGAGGAGTCGATCAAGTTGCGAGCGCTGGCGCTCGACGGCGGTGAGTACATGACGCCTCCCAGCCTGATCAGGAGCGGGCGAGGCGGAATGTGAAGCCGATGCGGGAGTGTTTGAGGTTGACATGGACGACTAGGCAAGAGCAGTTGTAAACAGACCACAACAACGCCTCGCTTGAAATCAGTTTCATTCAATGCAGCACAACTAACGTTATTTAACCTCAGATACCAGGTGACTGGAGACTTTTTCGACTTAAACAGACATTGAGACCGACTTTCATGAGGACCGCAAGGCTTTTTTCACATAACGTCGCGCTTTGACGCGCATGGATGGTGACCTGAACAAACGTTTGCACCTTCTGCGTACATGTAATAGTGGATTGAAACTCTACTTTTGAAACATTGAAGAGATGCCTTCTCGATAGATTCGAACACAACATATTGCAATTGTCACTGGTCATACAACTACAAAATTCGAATCAGGGCGACGGACTTGCAACCGAGTGGAAGAACTTACGAAGAACAGCGTTTATGCACCCATCGTTCTCAGGATTGTTGGTAATCTGAGCATACTTCCCAAATACTACCTTGCCACCTGTCGTAACCATTCCAAGTTCTGAAACGTTGATCTCGATTACAGTGCCTTTAGTCAAAACCCCAAGTTGAGTATACATCGGCGACTGTGGATTTTTTTTGACCCCAAGAATTTGAAGCTGGAAAGTGGCCTTCAAGTCCGCTGCAAGACGGTCAGATCCAAGGTTGGTATACAACAAAATATCGAGACTTACGATGGGTAACATTGGCCTTCTTATATCGAAGTGCCATAGGCCGAACAAATCTCTCCATCTTGACAGGTTTTCTTGTGAATCCCTCCCCAACGAACGTCGCTTTTGTAACCATCCGCTTCCATGACTTGCTCTTGCTCTTTCCTGTCTTCATCACCTTGAACATCTCATCCTCCGCAATCCCCCGGACTTTGGGTAACGGAACCGCAAATTTAGCTGCCTTATCCTTTCTCTTCTGCTTGATTGCGGATGAAAGAGCTTTGGCATCCTTCTGGCCTTCACGATCAAGCAAGTACGTGGGTAATGCACCATCTGGAACGGCAGATGTATCGGCCTGCTTGACATTGCGCTCATCGTGAGCTTTGAGGGTCTTTTTGAGTTGAACCTTTTCTGCGTGACGTTTCGCGTGCAGGATCTTAGCCTTAAGACCGAAGGCTTTCTGGGCTACTGCTGATGATTTATGGGCAGCACGAGCCTCCTTTTTACGTCTGTACTTGAAGGTGTTAGCACGGAAATACAAGGCCACAATAACAACGAATCACGCACTTGCGTTCGTAGTAATCTAATCGTCTACCATGTCGCTTGATGTGTTCCTCGATATACTCGTTCTAGAATTGGACATTGGCACACAAAAGCCAGATAATGTATACAAAAAATGGGTTACCTGCGGCTGTTATCAGAACAGGAGGATGTTAGCAGAGTCTGGAATGAGAAATTGAAGAAACTTGCCATGACTGTGATAGACGAAAGGAACTTTGGGACAGGCCGGCAATTGCCGTCGCGTCCGCAGGCAGACAACACGAGTGACAAGCAAAAACGCTACCGCGAACGTGGCACGTCATTTCCTTCCAGTCTTTTTGATCTTCCATTTTTCTCTAAGACTTAAATTCTTCATGTGGCAGGACACTACAAGTCAGTACGGCGCGTCGTCATCGCATAGCCAATACTATGGTCAAACTCCCCAACAAGGCGTACCCCTTCAATTCTACGCGCCTGGACCAGACCAAGGGCAATTCTATCCGGGATCTCGTTCCAGTCTGGAGGGGAACATGGGTCCACAAGTGCCAATAGGGCAAGGAGGTGCCGCTCCGGCATTTGGAGGGAATATTCAGCAACAACCGGGAGGTTGGTGGACCGCTTTCGGAACTGGTGGTTTTGAAGGAGAGCCACCGTTGCTGGAGGGTAAGCAATTTCCATGTAGACATCTTGTCGAGTGACAGAACCATGCGCACGACAGAACTGGGGATTAACTTCTCTCACATACGTGCCAAGTCTATGACAGTTCTCAATCCCCTCCGACGTGTTGATGAGCGGATAATGGATGATGCTGACCTTGCTGGTCCACTTTTGTTCTTTTTCTGTTTTGGACTCCTTCTGCTGCTGGTGAGTTTTATCCTTTGACGTAGTGGCAATGCGTCTCATCTGGCACCGATAGTCAGGGAAGCCTCAATTTGGATACATATATGGCTTCGGATTGCTTGGCTCCATCTCAATTTACACGTTACTAAATCTCATGTCGGAAAACGGTATCGATGCATACCGCGTAGTATCTGTGCTAGGCTATTGCTTACTGCCAATGGTGGGCGTCGGTGCAATCAGCGTCATTGTCACGTTAGAGTGCGTGATCCATTGCTTTGTTCCCAGTCTTCAATTGCCTCACAAGTACCTATTTCGTTGTAGCGGCATCCTTGGCTATGTCCTGTCCTTGTTGTCCATCATATGGTGCACGTTTGCTGCTTCCGGAATATTTGTAGCTGTGTTGAGGATGTCGGACCAACGTCTTCTTGTTGCATATCCAGTTGCGCTTCTCTACGGGTGCTTTGGCTTACTGAGTGTATTTAATGTTGGCGCAGAGAGTTCAGCCAGATAGATAGTTGCACCACTTTTGTCACTCCCTCCCATAATCATGATGTTCTTGGAAAACCCAGATGGGCCAGTCGCACGATGAAGTAAATGAGAGAATTAGTGCTGGTCTTAGAGTACGGTAAGTAGATTTACAGCATGTCCCCAACTATGCGTCACTATTATAACCTAATTTAATTTTGACCTATCCCTTGATCGGTTCTTAGCTGTTTCGAATACAACTTCAGCAGGGCCTCCATGATTTCCTCCAGAGGAATCGTAGCGTATTCATGAACGTATTGCGGAAGAGAATCCTCGAGGTTGAAACCAGCTGTCTTCATGAAGAATGGGTGCATGACATCCGGAGTCGCTTCGCCAAGCTGTCGCATGGTCAGTCGCTCTATAACACGATCACGAGCCCTGTACACCATGGCTACAGTTTTCGCGACGCTAGGGGGTGGAAGCGGCGCAGAAGTATCGAATGAGTCTGGTAAGGAACGGGCTTGGGAAGTTGGCAGCAATGGGTGTGCGGAAAGTTCTGAGGGTAGCTGAGGCGAAACGGCAGATGGTTTGAAGCCTGGCGATGGGGCCTTTTCGGGCACTGATGGGCTAGATGCGGTGCTAGTTGGACTTGATGCATCCATGTGAGCAACATCCATGCCCGGAGGTGGCTCTGTATTCCCTGCTCTTTTACGCGATGATGGACCCGCTGTCGCGTTGCGCGAGTCTTGAGATCCCTGGACCTGTTCCAGTTCTCGGGTCAAATTCTTGCGAAGACCGGTAAGCCACGAATACAGCGCCACATTGAGCGTGATGTAGATATCTTCGTGCTCCTTGGTACCCTTGCCTCGCACGAATGAACTATAGAACCTGTAGTCGATATATTTGACGAGTTCTTCGACTACCTCATCGGTGAACATCAGCATATTCATCGTGGGCAGACCCACAATGTTTGCCTCTGTGGGGTGCTTGAACAAATGATCCACCCAAGCTTTGCCGTCAGACACCACCGTAGTCGGAGAGAGGAGTGGCTGAGGCTGGCTGAACTTAGAAATAGTCAAAGCAGTGAACGATAAACGGATCTCCCTATGAGGTGGATTTTCGTCTATTACCACACGCTCCAGGCTCGCATGTACATCACGTCCGATGAACTGTGCAAGCTCGGTGTCACCCATTGTGCGGGGGAAAAGGACAAGCCGAAGGGTTTCCAAGCGGAAGCTCAACTGCTGGCGAATTCTGTGGGACAGTTCCGCGTCCGCTTCCTTGAACCGATTACGAGCAGAGTGGAAGAAAGCCGAAGCAACCTCAGTGAGCGGATTGTCAGGCTTGGGCGATTGCGTAGCACGGAAAGCGGCTGATTCATGGCTTGCGCCGTCACGCTGCGCGGCAATATTAGCCTGGAACTTGTTGACATACATCAACAGCTTCGGTATGGTAGCGATGGTAGCAAGAACGATGATCTCCTCGCCATTGACTGTGAATGTAAGCAGCAAAGGCCGGTCTTGCCCTCTGTCTGCGGAGGAGACCAGTGACCAATCATCGTGGATATCCACTTGCACGGGATCAGCCCTGAAAATAGTCCAGGGTCAGACTGAGACAAGGCGTAACATAACAATGATAATTACCTGTAGATTAACAGCCGTTGGTGGTCTGACTCGAGTTCGGCACTTAAGGGACCACTAGTCATGCTGAGTTCAAGCATCCTAGCTGTCCTTGAATCATCGGACAAGGAACCTTCATTCCTGCGGATCGTCTGAAAGACACAGTCCGGCACATTCATGTGACCCGCGACGTTTCCCCTGGCAAGGATGGAGACATTTGCCACTGAGAGCGACACCTCCGTTGACATCTCAGAGAAGCGCATCCGAGTAACTGCACTCTGAAGGTCCAAAGTCACACTGCTGATGGACTGTCCCAAATCTACATCCAAGTGGATTTGGCGAATGCGAATGATGAGCGTAGTGGTGACCTCTTGTTTCACCACAGGAGTGGTAACCGAGGATGAAGAGGCTGTTGGCGGGCGTGATCTGTCAGAGCTTGCATGCTCTGCAACAAACAGAGGAATACGATCGAGCCAAACCGCCTTGAAACATAAAACATCCTGCAGACGGGAGAAACGCACGCCACCAGAAATATCTGTATCCACCACCAGTGAAACCGTGCTGTCGATATTGCCCATACGGTCCTCGTTCTTGGCAAAAGCAAGGAAAAACGCAAGATTGCGAGCTGCGATATTGACGCAGTCGTCGCTCAAAAACCCGTGCTTGAGGCCAATCGTGAGACCGTCCACAGTGCCCGTCAAGGTTACGTTGTGAGCACCTGGTGAGATGTTCATAAGGAAACCACCACTTTCCCAGCGTAAAGCTGCCACTACATTGACATCCGGCTGACAAGTCAATTCGAGCGTTGACTTGTCTATGCGGAGATTGAAGCTGATTTGCAAACTCGATGATGCCTCAGATAAATTCTCCATACGGCTTGAGGTCAGCAGCGGGGACGGTTCGTCCTCTGCAGGAGATGGTGCAATGAGTAGCGTGTTTCCTCGGCTAGTCTTGCGCAAGCGCAACTGCACGTAATTGACGATTTCGGTCATGAAAGGCAGAAGACTCGGTCTCAAGATGTTTTGGCTAGAATGAATGGTGCTTTTGAATATCAGGGCTGCAGGACCAGCTCGTATGCCTGAAGCACGATATTCAACCCAAGCAGAGATCACAGGAAGCCTTAGTGTCTCCTGCTCTGGACGCAACTGACCGTCCGACGATTGGTAGGTACCCAGAGGCCGGGCCTGTGTACTTTTTGCATCGGTATGAACGCGCACTTCTCCACTCTGGAAAACCAGATTTGCAAAGATACTCGACGCCGGAACATTTTGTTGCCCGCCTCGCAATGAGACATCGTCCCTCGCAAGGTCAGCATGTGACGTAGTAGCACGGGGAAGACTTGCAGCGATGCGGATCATTCGTTCTCTTCCTTGACGGTACACATCAATGAGCGAGAATATGTAATCAGGGATGTTTGAGTCCAAGTCGAGGATAAATCCACTGATGATTCCAGAGAACCAGATATGACGACTGAGCAAAGAAGTGTCGGATCGTAGCCGCGCAGTCATGTGGGGGTACACCAATCGGTTTCGGCTTCTATGCTTGTCTGCTGCAAAGTCTTCGGATGAAGATTGCCTGAAACTAAGACGCCATAATAAGGGATAAGTGTGATGAACCCGCTGGAGCGCCGCCAAGTCTTACCTGGGCACAAATTGGAAGGATAAGTCTCTAGTCGACATCTCGCCCGCTTCTCCTCTCTGTGCACTAAACTTGATGCGCCGAACAGCGAACAGGAAAGCCCTCACCGAAGGGCTGTCACGGGAACTCGTCCGGGGAAGCTCCAGTGTTTGTTCAAGACTGAGAGGGAAGGCCACTCCAATCTTCTGAATGACTACGTCTATGGTACGTTCGCTAAGCCAAGAGGGCTTTTGATCACGAATGGCCTCGCTCGTTCTGATATCGAACGTTTTCAAAACACTACGAGTCTTTTCCTTGAACGCTGCTAACTCCGCAGCTCGCTGATCTCTCCGAATAAGTAGTTCAGCCTAGAAAAAGTTGAGAAGTAAGACCAATGCCCAAAGATGATGTCGTACTTGTTGATGGTCTAAGAAATCACCAACTTCTCCTATAGAACTGGGTTGCATCACGGCATGGATCTTTGGGACGCGAAAATCCAATTTGTGGGTATCTCCCCTAGCACGAAGATCCACGATAAGAAACGCAGATCTGTGGTTCCGATTGAAGGTGGTTTCTCGTGACACAACACCTGCTCTGGGAGCAAGCGATAAAGCCAGGTCACGAAGCCTGATTCGCCATGCAATACCCGAATCACTGCTGGATATATCTCCACCAACATCTTCACATTCTAGATAGGAGGTGGATGAGCGGCCTTCAAGCCCAAGCCTGAAGCCCTTCACGTTGACATGCCCACTGAATGATAGAGAAGATCGCGATGCAATTGATGTAGATCCAGACGGATTGGACGTTCGTTGGCGAGTTTGTTGTATGAGGTCCATCAAGTCAGAAAAATCTTGGCCGAACTTTTGTTGGACGACGAGAAGTGTATCCCAATGTGAAGGCTTGATTAAAACATCGAAGAAGTCCACAGAAGCAAGAATTCTGACAAAAGCGCGGCCATAACGCCCTGTTAACGAGAGCGAAGGGAGCTTGACCTTGATGTGCGGTGTATCCGTATGGTCATCAGTGGACTGTAGTTTGTATGAAACGCCCAACGTTTGCGAGCCAAATTGGATGCCAAAGGACGTGGATGGCCTGGATCCTGTTCCGCCTGGCGAGGAAAGGAATACAGTCAGATCATGTATGTTCCATGATAGCCACGTCCCTCGCATGACCTGAAGAGACACGCCAAGTTCTGATATACGTCCGGTAACATGGGCCGCTAATGCGTTCCTCTTAACAGCGCGAGGGTGCATCAGTGCTGTCTGCTGAACACTATCTCCTTCCTTCAACTCTGCTAGAAAGGCTCGTGTGGCGGCTTCAATGCCTGGAAAGAAGTCCGCTTGCCACTCTTCCACGAAGCGATAAAGACGAAGGGCGCTGCGAGGTACGGAAAAAGAAGTACTGGATAAGAGGAATGCGAGACGGATAGTACTCGCGGATAATTCCTGGCGCCAAAGTACGTTGAGCTTGCCAGAGGAAAAGGTCAAGGAAGCAAGAATATCCTGATCCCGGGCCCAGATTCCTGGTCCAATACTGGTAGCCCTCGCACGTATGAAAGCGTTGGTGAAGCCAGCAGTATAGCTAACAGAGTGGACCTCGGTGCGCATCAACGGATCAACTCGTTTGAGTGATGTGAGAAAGATGTCCATGTCTGTAGCTCCGATCTCAAATGCAAGTTTTTCAGCAGCAGCACGGATGTTAACGCGGCGAATGGCGACCGTGAAAATAAGGTGAGACAGCCCAGAGTTTGGAAGTGCTTGGTTCGAGACTGGTACCCATTTCCTTGATACCCTGCGCAGGCGAAGTACAGATTGTGCGAAGACCATCAAGTGAGGGGAGACGGTGACATTAACGTCACCAATGGAGAGAGTGCATGCAGTCTGCGGAATGGCAGTAGTATCATGGTTTGCAAGGGAAGGGCTTTGGGACTGTAATTGGATTCCTTCCAAGGGGACCAGCTTTGAAGAGCGGAGCCGAAGAGCACAGGAGCTGATATCCAGGCGACTTGTGGATGCTAACAACTCGTCTGCAATGATGACGCTGACAAGGTCGGCAGTGAAGTTGACGGAGTCAACGATAAGTCGCGCGCTAATCGTGGACTTGGGCGAGGTACGAGGGTGAATCATTTCCAACGGACTGGGTATACCTTCCTTGGAGGAGTCTAGGTCCAGCATAAGCTCTGCGACACACGCGTTCACCAATGCATTCACATCATGTGCTGCAATGGATTGGCCCGTGCTATTTGCGCCAATGTCCCCTTGAAGACGGGCGAACTGCAGTGCAGTTCGTAGGTGAAATATAAACTTGTAGGTAGCATGTGTCCGGAGAGCTTGAGGATGACCCCGTTGGACGAGGAAAGAAGGTTGAATGGTTGAAAGTGGATCGACGGCTGCCCTGCCCTGAGTGAGATCCAGAGTATGGTAGACAATCTCAGCAAGTCGTGTAGTTGGGCCAAACTTCACAGAGGGGTCGAGTGAGAGGTCTTGCAAATCCTGTTCCAACGCCTGAAACGTGGCGACAGCACACTCAAGGCTAGCGGGTTGAAGTTCTACCGCAAAGCGCCCAGCAGAGATGCTGGCATGGTTCTGCGTGGCATCCAGTTGAAGGCGACGAAGAGATAATATAGGGCTATGTCCAAGCGAACGCTTGGAACCCAGAGCAACTCCCGAGTCATCCGTTACTCTTATTGACGTTTCGGATATTTCTAGATGGCAAGCCAATTTCTGAGCCCCTTGGGACATCGCGAGGTGGCATCCGGAAACCAAGCAGTTAATAGTAACCATGGAGTCTCTTTGAGCTGATGTTTCCTTGTAGGAGGAACTTGGGTAGGATATGTGTTCCAGTACCTGGAGACGAGCGGATCGTATGCAGATGTCGAAAGCCGTCGAGAGAGGGGGACCTGGCGAGTCACCGAACTTTACTATGTGGCTCGCCATCACTAAGTCCAATGTCAATTCTGGACTGAGCCGCTGTGGGAAACCATTAAGGTAAAGCGACGCATTCAAAAAATAATGCGAACTCGCGATTGCAGGTCTTCAATTATATCTCTGACTCCCAAGAGAACCAAGGGGGTAATACGAACCGTGATCTCCCTTTTACATTGTACGCGGAAAGTTGTGGAATGCACATAGCTGACTCTTTCGTTGGCTTGTACGGCCGGGCGTATTCCGGATGAATTCTTGTCCTTTTGGGCGGTAATTCTAGGTTCCTGGTTTCTAATTGACGAATATTCGGAAAAAGGGGGTTTGCTTATTACCTTAGTCACAACGAATGGTGAGTCCTCCCAGCCGTTGATGTCATCGAGGTTGATACTCTGGTACCATCTAGTGACACGACGGTAGCGCTTGATCAGCGAGTGCCTTCGAGTCCCGGCTGTTTAAACTCAGCAGTTGCAACGCTCGCATTTGGAAACGTCTCACATCTAGTCGAGGACCAGCCGCTTATTGAAGATTCAGTATCTGTCAGGTCCTCATTATCCGACTCCTCCCCTGACACAGACATGTCGTCGTCGACGGTGGTCGGTGGCGCAAGTCGACTCCTCCTGCAAAAAGTGTTATATCTAGTAGAATAGACTGTAGAATGGACAACATACGCCAGACGTGCATCGCGATCGGCTTCGGATATATTCTCTTCTCCGTCGGATTCTGAAAGATAGGAAAGGCGAGGCCACCATGCAGTCGTGTTCTTGGAGTGTGGAACGCTCGTGGGGGGTACTAGAGGATGTGGTTTTGCTCTGCAGAAATATGGGAGGCGCGGAGGAGGAAGGTAAAACCCGTTGCGATGGTGACCAGAACGCGTACGTTGTGGCAACTGCCAGTTATCAGGAAGAGAGGCACTTCGTGCCCTCTCTACTTCATCAAGCAAGTATTGTGCCCGATGTGTCAGCTCATCTTGCCCCTTTATGAAATCCATCTGTGATGGATTGCGGGTCTTTGGAGATCTGTATATATCCAGATTGATGTCTGTGGACAGGTCAGCCGCCTCACACCAGATTGTCTTTGAATCCCTTGATGACAGCAGAATCTTCAGCGACGCAATGGGCAGTCTAACGCTCGTGAGCTTGCCGCAAAATTGGCCTTCTAGATCATTGGTATGCACACTGAGGCCCGAAGGAAGTGAAAGATTTACGGCTGTTGCACCAGCAGACCAAGTGGCGTCGATGTGGCTAGTCGAGAATCTGATGAAAGTGGCTGAATAATTGTGTCAGTGGATACTCTCATCAAGGACAATTCCCTCACCATCTGGATCGACAGGCACTCCAAACTCGGTCGCGGGAGCATTGGCAAGGTCCGTGTAGTTAAGACGGACAGCGTTCAAAGATGCCAGCAAGATTTGACCATCATGAGATGTCAATAGGGCCTTCACTGGTCCAACTCCAATTTCCCAAACACATACATATGTACGAGTACGTGGTTGTGGCCCAAATAGTCTGTTAGCAGTGATATTCAGGCCTTGGTATAGAATATGAGTTTTGGCTAGGAAGAACAAGCGTAATCGACAGTACCATCGATTAAGATTGAGTCCTCGTAGCGTAGATGTCCCTGGCCGAAGAAAGCGTGCTCGGAACAAGCGTCAAGTACAGAACCTCTGATTGCGTGCAGATTCAGGGACGCATCTGTCGCACGGTTCAATAGTTATGATTCAATCATCTGGCGCTGACTTACCCATGAAATAATCATGTAGTCGTAAATCCAGTTGAAGCACTGAACACGCCAAGACCGTGGATGCGCCAATATCATCGAATGATCTGTCGCTTGCAACGCGCACCTCGTAACCAGGCAAACCCGCAGGTAAAAGCATTGACCCAGACTGCAACTGTATCGATACCTGAACCTGTAATGAGTTTGACTATATCTCGTCTGTTAGGCAACTTCAAGATGCACAACCTGGTTCACTGACTTTGCCTGGCCGATGCTTCATCTCCAGTGGATCTCCAGTCAAACCAAACCTGCTCCGCTTGTCAAGGTACTCCACGAGCGTAGAAAAGTGGGTGAAAGATCCAAAATAATTGTCCCGAAGTACCATTAAGCACCTGGCAGACCATCCGAGGGCCTTGTACGTGACTCTACTAGTCTTAGTGACAATGAGCAAGGGATACGATCAGTAAATACTAGACATACCTCGACGGTGAGCTTTAGCTGATCAATATTGTCAGCTTGAACATCGGCCCAGAAGTAATACGAGGACGTTATATGGAATGCTGCTGCATGGATTATACGATGTTCTTTCCCTGAGTTGTAGAGGTACTGCGTATTCCACCGCGGCAAGGAGAGAAAAACGGTTACATCTGGAATATCAATAACGAATGGAATGGATGTCGCCTCGGGTCGATATTTGTTTGACGGGAAGGTTACTTGAGTATTTAAACGCGGTGCACGGATCGTCACCAATGCTGAATTCCCATAAATAAGGGTGTTTCAAGGAGGCAGTAGCATCCACTTACTGTTCTCTCCCTTGACCAGAGGCTTATCGATGATGTTCTGGTCGTTGGCATAGAGATTGAGCTCAAAGTGGTGCAGATCAAGTTCGAGTGTATAGACAGTCGGCACAAAAATATTACATTCGGTAGGCGGCCCAAAGGTCCAGTCCCGCGCCAAATCGGTGAACATGTTGACGTGGTCTCGCAAGAAATATATGACCGGTTGACGAAGAGAGATGGAAAATGACCAACGACGCTCAGCGTTCCATACAAGGGGTGATGGAAATGACGCGTGAACCTGAGCGATTTTTAGCATGATGGCTATGAGATAAGATAGGTACGGACGCGACATGACTCAGCCGCGATGAGCTTGATGTCATTAAGGCTCGATGTTACAGAAACTGTATCGAGATGGACCTCCAAACGAGGTTCATATCCATCGGGCCCTGTAACCATAGGCAGAAGGTAGCTGATTGAGGAGCTGTCACCTGCAGTGCAATGAAGAGCAGCATGGTCGCGCTTCCTCGGACGCGAATACTCGCTGATACCATCCCATTGCCAGTTCTAAGAGAGGATGAACAAAGCGATACGAGCCTCTTCTCATGTATTCACCTTTGAAGGCTCTCGGAAAGGAACATAGAGAACTGTCTTATCACGAAGTTCGAAAAATACTTTCATTGCAGTCCAAGTACGTTTATCTCCTGGCCTAAGGTGTTTTGACACCTCCAAGTCGTGATACGTTGGCGGGAAGAATGTCCGTTGCAGATGGACGCTGCAAATATAATTCGAATGATGAGCACGCTTTCTCCTTCCTGAATAAGAAAATAACCGTTACCGTTGACGATCAGCCCACGGTCCGTAACGGATGGTTCCGTTTCTTATTACCAGATCTACACCCCACTCAGGAGGTAGGTCACCGTTGCCGATGTCATAGGATTCCAATCCCATGCCCTTAGGACCATCCTGTGCATCAGACACATCGCCGACGATATCTGTATAATATGATAGCTCCAGAATGGGGGCTTCAATAATTCGCCGTTCAATGGCGTACTCTAGAGTAGCAAAGTCAGCGCCAACGGGGGTGTCTTCGTCAATGCTCTTCGTTGATTTTCTGCTTGGCATAGGTCCAGGACACTTCTCAGCTGCACGGCGATCGTGAACGGACGAGCCATGACCAGATGAATATAACTTCAGTCCTTTCCAAATCCTGGAGAATGCCCGGAATGGGAGATAACCTAACGGAACAAGTTCTAGGAACCGACTTGAATACGGTACAGCAATAACGTTAGTCGAAGCCATTAAGCACAAACGCGACGAACCTCGATGTCTCTGCTTTCTCGCGAATACGATGGCCTATTGTGGGCATGTTACCTTGGAAGTTGTCGTTCTCCACGAGTTGCACGAGCACGTTCTGGAACTTCAGATTCAAAAGCTGCTTATAGAGGTCGCACTTTGACCTCGCCTGTCCACAGCGTCGGTATCAATATGCAAACCCCAAAGATGAACATGCCGACCTGCACAATCCCGAAGGTGCCTTCTGCTCTATGACATTCTGCGACCAACAGACTTGGTGTTGAAGGATTACCGCAAGTGATGGCAACCTTGGACAGCTCAAGTGCGATGGGCAAAATGTCATTCGGGTCCAGGTAGGGCGTCTGACGCTTAATCCATGCCAACGCAGCATGGATGAGGGGAGGCGCTTTAATATTTGCTAGTGCAGGAGGAGGGTAGAAACCCAGCCCTGTGATCAAATAAGTAGAGTTAGATGGACAACAAGTAGATGGAATGGCATACCTTCAGCTGCTGAAGTACGAGAAAACATTCTGCGCGGTTCTGATGGCTCTGGACGTGGGGATGTCTTGGTTTGCATTTGGGAGATGATGTGGTCGTACGCTGCAGTCTTGTTGTATAGAAACCACTCAAATCCTTGGACAGAGACTTTGATCCGGCAAGAAGGGAATGACGACGCATGGTTAACTGTCAGAGCGCATAATTGTTACTAAAAGCACAGAGGCCGAATAAGCGTCAATCTTACAGTCTTCCCCACCAACATGGGCATGATTCAGATCATCCTCAGTAGCTGGCACGCGCAACCAATATCTCCAAGATATTTGAGCTGTCACAATTTTGACGGTCATATTGCTCGAATAGTATTTGACATCTTTGAGCAGTATGCGTCCCGCGAGGATGGAGAAATGTATGGATCCTAGACAATACCTTAAGTGGTGCCAATGGGTCGAGTTTAATAGAAAACTGACCGATGTGCACCCATATACTCGAGCCTCCTTGTCGCCAGTACTTGACCCGCAAGAGAAGACTAATAAATCCAGAGATAATGCGGTTCCAGTAGAAGGTATAGAAGACTGCGGCTATGAGCACACAAATGCAAGAAACCAGGAGGTAAATTCGGAGCATGTTGCAGTAACTCTCACAGGTCTAGGTTCGACAACGGTGCAACCAAAACTTTGAAAACTATCATATACCGCGCTTTCCGCGTCAGATGATTCTTCGTGCTAGTGGTGGTGTATGGGTTAGAGCTGCATCATGTATTCGGGTCTAGAAGTTCGCTGTTTAAGCAATTTGCGGCGTTCAAAAATGCGTCACTGATTACATCAGCAATTTAATTTGCCGGGTATAGCCAACACGTATTCCTCCGGGACAGCCAGTCGGCGTCAGTCATGCAGACAGCAAAGACGAGCACGCCTCTCAGACGGTTAGCACTACATTCGACCACCACATGCTCGTCGCACGCAACGGAATATGGAAAATGCATATTTTCTGCTTACACAGATGTTCGCAAAGATTCTTGCAAACAGGAATTTGAAAAGTTTGGGCAGTGTTTGCGTGAAGCTGTATGTTTTCATTGTGGCGATAAAGAAAATATCTTCTGACCATGTTGATGTCTCAAGATGAAACGCAAATGGTGATTCCTGGTCAAATGCATGCGAAAATGAGACATCTAGGAGATGATATAGATTTGGGTCCTTTTGGAATGCCGTGCCATTAAAAATACATACAATTAAACTAGTCGACGTCCTCTGTTGCCATGCTCCCTGGTAGCCTCTGCTCCGTTTCAGTATGTTCCTGTCCATTTGAAGCTGTAGAACCATGTTGGGGCTGCGAAGGATGTCCTCTCGTCCTCATAAATGCCTGTATACGGAGGGGTATCACGGGAATGTTGGTGGTATTAGGAAGTGGAAGTGCCTCGATAGGCTGCTCTACTACCTCTGGAGCCGGCCGTCGTATGCGGTTTATCAAGGGCGCGAGGCGCAGGTCCACTATGTATGTTCGCTCACTACGGGACGGTTTCGGCTGTTCATCCTCGATCGAGTATGAGAGTGGCAGTGTGGGGACGAGAGGATGTCGAAGGAGTACCTCGGAGATGATAGAGGACGACTGCTGTAGCGACTTCTCGTATGTGAGCGTTTCCAACAGCAATAGGAAGAGCAAGATGAGGACGTCGAGCAGAAGGAGGTGCATTTTCGAGGGTGCATGCTCTGTGAGGTCATCGTTTTCGTTTTCATGAGAGCTGGTAGAATAAAATGAACGCACCCATTCCGACAAAATCCAGCACGACCGTCCGCCCCTCAACCGTGCCTTCTCGCGCGTGTAACCAGAAGGTTGGGAGATTGAGGAAGAAAGTGAGCAGGAACCACGATCGCAGAGAGACTTTGGGGTCGATCTCCCTCGGCTTGTAACACAGGAATTGACAACACATGGCTCTGGTAACCAGTGGTACGAGTGAGGGCGCGAGGAAGAAGGATACGGCATGCAAGTGGAACAAGAGGTCATGCAACTATGTGACCCAGCGTGAGTATCATGAACAACGTTCATTGGCACGAAACTTACGGAGTCGATGATGTGCTGGCGTTGGGCGTCATGGCGCTTGTGCATGTCATCTAGTATGTTTCGCCGTGTAGATATAGTCGTTATAGTCGTCCCTGCCAAGTACTGTCTCTGCTGTCAAGTCTCTGTAGAGGGTTGGCATCAAGGTCGGTGTTTGGACCTGTTGTCCAACAGCCTCAAAACAGCTTTTGGCAGGCGGAGTGTCTTACGTTCATGGAGGTTCTGGTATCACTTGGGTATCATTGTCCATATAGATAAATCTACATTGGCCTAAGAGTCCGTCGAAACAGAACAAAACTACAGTGTGTCGTAGCGATAAAAGCATTAATAACAAAAGTCCGAGTAGATCGAGGAATTATTCCATCGAGTCCATGCTATCTCCGAGACTGACGATACGGTGGTGGCAACTCTGGAACTGGAGGAGCACTAGATGGTGGAGAGAATCTTGGCAACATCACCGAAGCATGTTCTATCAATGCTAAATGTGCGTTTGTGGAAACAGAATATGTTGAGCGTTGATCAACGTCACCATTCGGTTGCGTTGATGGATCACGGCTCTCGTACAAGAAGCTCGACGGGGAGTCAGAGGCTTTCGTAGTACGTGGCGTCCGATCCGACACTTGTGGTATACGTGTGGGTGGGATTCCAGTAACTACATTATTTGACGGTCGAGGGGGGAGTGCACGGAAGCTTCGCGAAGGTGAAGAAGTACTGGATGAAGGATATGCGCTTGACTGAGAGGGCAGCTGATTATGGGTGGGAGTGCTTGACGACTGTGATGGCTGTTGGCTATGGGAATTCATATCGGGGTTATGTGTCGGAACAGGCTCGTAGCTTGTAGGTGGATGGGTTATGTCGAGAACGTCATCACCATAGTCATAGGGCCCTCCAAGTGACGAAAAATTAGTGCCAGAACTGTCTCGGGGACGAAGCAATTCTATGTCATCAGACATGCCGCGAGAATGACTGGAGGGGACGTTGGCAACAGCGTGGTATAATCCCAGTCTGCGACTGTGCTCAACCTTCTTCTGCTTTGTGAGTATGTTCAGGTAACGAGTGGCGATGAGAGCACCATCTAAAATATACATGGAAGTCCATCAGTATTGAGCAGAGGGACATGCATAGGACGTACATAATTCAAGGAGCAATACAAATGATACCACAGCAATGAAAACGTATGTTGAGATATTCTGAAGGCCTTGGCAGTTGGATTGGGATGGATTGCCGGAGAACACGACGTAGCATTCCTCAACTATTTGTTCTCGGTTACTTTGGCGGATGGTAACGAGGAAGTAGATGCCGACAACGACATTGAGAAAAAGATGGATATATAGGAAGTACGCGTAGATCCTGACAAACCGTTGCTTTCGAGCAACCGCACCAATGAATCTATGTGAAGATCACAAGTAAGTAAGAATGAGTCAGTCAAGAACACGTAGGTATGACACGCACCCAATGACGGACGCAGCAAGCAATATGGTTTCAACAATACCCACAGCCCAAAACGAACCTTTCTCCTTACTAGTTAATGAATACGAATCTAACGACACGATCAGTGTTATATCATGATAGTGTGACAGACTTGAGCACACGCACGAGACAGCTCAAACCACAACAAAACGGATAGTACACCAGAAAACAGGAAGGAGAGACAGGTCAATAGCACGAATCCGAATCGCACTGGTATGCAGCAACAGAAATATGGGGAATACAACAAGTAGTTTTTGAGGTTGAAGGCCATGGGGCTAACGCGGTGGGTTGAGTAATGAAAACCGGTGCGTCAGGAAAAAGAAAATAAGATGCCAGATCTAGCGAGATCTGAGAAACAACATTGTAAGTAGGTAATGGTGTGCGGGGAAGATTGAAAAAAAAAACATAATGCTGACCTTGAAGCGTAGTACTGCGTGGCGGTAACCTGGTACTCAATTCATTAGCGAATTCAACGGATATCTGTGCAAAGCTCGGAGCTGGTAAGAATGCATATATGAGCTTAAGCCGTTCGTATCGCTATGGTGACATCCAAGCCAAAAAAATCTCACCTGTGCTCTCAGCGCTTGCTTGGTCCTGGGATCTTGAGAGGGAAAATCAGATTAATAGCGGTGGTCGGCGTGCACAGTGACATGTGAGCGCTAGTTTGTACTACCAGTCATATGCCTCGAGTGTTGATACCTTTTTGGTCACGGGTAGTTTACCGGTGTTTGGCCCTGCTTTGTTCTCTTGCCCTCCTTGTCTATGAACTAAGGTTTTGGATCTACTGACTTTATCTCCTTCATTCTTCTTCCAAACAAGTCTCCGAGCTCTATTGAGCGCGGCTGGCACTGAGCTCACCATGGACGGTCAAGTTGCAGGTGCTTCAATGGACGTGGATGGAGAGGAATATCACCAAAATCAAGTATCCATTCAACGTTCATTCAGTCCTGTCCAACGCGCCTCCTCCGTGCCGCATCGTCTGCCGCATTTCACGGTCGGTTATGTCTATTCCCCGGACATGATGCTCCATTCATCAGCAACTGGGGAGCACCCGGAGCAGCCAGAACGAATATCAAGAATTCGCATGGCAATTCGCGACGCGAATTTATTGCAGAAAATGAAACAAATCCCGATTCGACCTGTAAAGCGAGATGAAGCCCTTCTTGTCCATTCTCAAGAACACTGGCACAAGATCCTTGCGATACAATGTGAGTGGCGGCTCGTAAATCATGTCCGCACTGGTGTTTTACGCATAAGATACATTGCTTACTTCGAGAATTTACCTGCTTCTTCAGCAATGACACCGTCCGAAATTTTTGAATCAGAAGCTTATTATGAGTCCCTATCTCTGTATGTTACCAGTGGTACCACTCGAGCTGCGCGCTTGAGTTGTGGAGGCGTGATTGAGGCCTGCCTCGCTGTGGCTCGTGGTGAGCTGAAGAAGACCTTTGCAATAGTGCGACCCCCGGGGCACCATGCTGAGCCTGAGGAGCACATGGGTTTTTGTTTTTTTAACAATGTCGCCGTCGCCGCAAAGGTGACACAGTTTCTGACTCCAGTCAAAAAAATTTTGATACTCGACTGGTAGGTCTTCACGATTTTTCCTTTATTCGTAATCTCACTCCTTGTGAAGGGATGTACATCATGGTACGTCAATCACTAGTCGAATTTCATCATACAAATATCCGTGTAGGTAATGGAACACAGCGTGCTTTCAATGATGATCCCTCCGTTCTGTACATCTCATTGCATCGCTACGAGCGAGGGCAATTCTATCCGTGTGGACCATTTGGCAGCATGGAGTCTTGCGGTGAAGGGGCTGGTCTTGGCTAGTAAGTGAACACCCCATCCAGCTTTACGGAGATTGATGAATGCAGCTCTGTCAATGTACCTTGGCCGCGGAAGGGCATGACAGATGCGGATTACATCCACGCCTTCCAACAAATCGTCATGCCAATAGGAATGGAATTTTCTCCAGACCTAGTGATTAGTGTGTTTCCTTGTTTTTCACGCCACCTATGGGCTAATGGCGCGAAGTCTCTGCTGGCTTTGATGCTGCTGTAGGGGATGATCTTGGCGAATGTTTTGTTTCTCCAGCGGGGTATGCGCACATGACGCATATGTTAGCGGGACTCGCCGGTGGAAACTTAGTTGTCGCCTTAGAGGTAGGATGGACTAGCTTAATCCGTGACATTCTGAGTTTCCGATTTCAATTTTAACAGGGTGGCTATAACCTCGAATCAATATCTAAATCTTCCCTCGCAGTTGCTCGCATACTTCTCGGCGAGGCTCCTCCTGAGCTCCCCCCTATGGTTGCATCGGAGGCAGGGACTGAAACGGTTTGGCAGGTCGCTATGGAGCAAAGCAAATACTGGAAGAGTGTGAATCCCAAGGCTTGTGAACCACGCGAAGGTTTGCTTACTTATAATCTAGTTGGAAACAATCAAGTACTCATACAAACTTACTTCCAGAGGTCGAGGAAATATCATTCTCAATCCCAGGTGAGCATTTTATTCTATGTCGTACATTACGCTTTTTATCAATTCCTTGCAGAAATTCTCAAGGGCCACAGACAGCACTTTCTCTACACGCAATACCAAATGCTCCAGGTTCCTTTGATGACCAAGATGTTTGAAGAGCGTTTCGGCTCTCAAGTTATGTGCACGTGCGTAGTCTGATTTTTACCATTTTGTTACGCTGAGCAAAACGCAGGAGTGACTTCTTAGAGAATCCTACAATTATTGTGTTCGTCCATGAATTGTGAACATTCCTCGAGTAGTCCCGTTGTTCAGTGCTGACTTTATTGCAGCGGGAATCTGCGCATAGAACTAGATGGAAAACCTACGTGCGACGTGCACATGGAGAACTCATACCTAGTCAGCTGCCCGTCATTAACGGCATATTTATCCAACTCATCTACTGACATGTCCCAGATCGACTTTTCGAAGGAACTCATCTCATGGGTCAGGAAGGAAAAATATGCCCTGCTCGATGTCAATGTCTTCCCGAGACCATTTGCCTCGCCTTTGCCGGTACGTATGCTGCTGATCGTTTTGTAGTACTGATCTTTATGAACTGTTAGCGCGGTCACAAACATGTAGACTCGTGGTCGCGGGACGTTCTTACATACCTATGGGATAACTATATACAGTTGGCCGTCTCCGCGAATTTCCTAGTTCTAAATGCTAAGTATTCTTCAGGCTTTCGGGGGCGAAAAACATGATCTTCATTGGCCATGGCCCCGGTTGTCATGCACTTATGGAGCTTATCGAGAGCCGTCGTATGTATCTCGCACTATGAGCGTACTTGAAAACAACTCACTTCTGCCGCAGCGGTCGGCATGATTCGCTATGTCAATGCAGTGATACAAGTTGTGGGAAACATAAATATCCCATTGATACCCAAGGACGCCGATGAACTCCGAGCGTGGTATTCCAAGGTTTGCATCGGTTTTAGTTGCAGCTGGCGTATCTGATCACGTCACAAAGAACTCGGTCGTGATTGTCCATCCAGAGCACCCGGCCTTTGCTCCCGAAGCGAGAATTCTCAAGAGACATGGCAGAGTCCTTCAGATCGGTTTGTGTCTCTTAGAAGTGACTACGTTCATATCTGATTCGATCAACATAGAGGAGAGCAAACCCATCAAGCTCATTATGAAAGCGCTCCCTTTGATAAAGGAGCATGTCAAACAGTCCCTCGTAGGAAGACCGCAGTAGGCACTTTTCATAAGTATCAAAGTCGCGTCACGCCGGGCCTCGTGGTGTCATCCTCGCCCTGTATTGCTATCTCGAATGCTGTCATGCTGCTATCCTATCCCTATCTAGATTAGGTCTACGAGGCCCCTACGAGCTGAGATGATGCCGATGACTTTCGCTTCGGGGTCGAAGATTGTACCGCCACGGGTTGCAACCAAGTCGCCGAGTCCTCCAGAGGGCTTGACTCCCAACAGCTTCTCAAGATTGACTGATGCAAGTGCGAGAGCTTGTTCCCTTGAGATCTTGTCATCGCTCTCGAGAGCAGCCTGACAACCATACGATGAGCCAGAGATCTGATAGAAAAGAACCAACACACCCATGCTATGTCGAAGCGCGTGTTGCGAGCACTCCACTGCTCCACGATACCGATACCAACAGTGACACCATGAGCTAAGAGGGTGGTAATAGCGCTCTCCTTGGTCAATGGCGGACCAGGCAGTCTGTGGTAGAGAATGAGTTTGTTGATACGGTCTAATGCATAATCACTGACATCCTCTTCGACTCCCAATCATCAGGGAAGGGACGGGACGGTGTAAGGATGACACCGACGCCCGCCTCACCAAGTTCCTTCGCAAGGAGATGGGCCTCAGCAGCACCTGCAACAGTGAGCCGAATATCGGTGCCGGTGCGCGTCTTGACCTCTTTCTTCAGTTCAATAAGTGAGGCAATGATATCTGCGTTCTGAACTTGCACGACCAGGGGTATTGCGCCCTATGCGATGTACTTTAACATGCACCATAATGCATAGAAAGACGTATGGAACACACCTTTGCAACCTCAGAAAACCTAGTACTGCTGCTCTCATCATTCAGCAGAATATTCCTTAGCGCCGCGATTTGCGTGCTGACGCTCGGTCCTCGGTTTGAGTGACCAATTTGCACATGCAGTGCTGCAACATCTTGGACGACGGCCCCATCCTCGAGTCTGTGTGATGCACCAGTGCCGAACGCCGTACTTAGCCCCGCAATGAGTCCATTCGAGCTTGGCGCGGTGACGCCTACTGTGACACCTGCGCGATAGGCGAGCCTTTGGCGTGGATTGTAAGCTAGAGTAGACATATGGCCAAGTCGAGAGACAGCTTACAGTGTGTCACGCCCAGCGAACTGGAGACCATCCGCAGCCTTAATGAGCTCGCTCCCGGCGAGAATGCTTGGGATAGAGCCGGTGAGAGGGTCGAAAACAGTGCCATCGTGTGTGGACCTCTCGCCCTGAATCTCTTCCAAACCAAGCGGGGAGCCGTAAGAGATAAGGCCAGGACTACGTGGGTCGCGTTAAAATGGGAGAATAGACAAGACGACCGAACGCACGCGATGGATCCGCCCTCCAGGTCGATCCATTCAGTATCTTCAGAGGCAAATATGTTCGCACAAGCAGCTGCAGCACCCCGGCATCGCACCACACCCTTCCTGAGGACTACCACACTCCCCTCTCCTACATTAGCCACACTCATCACACCACCCATTCTATCCGGCACAAACATGGTGCTTATATTAGCAAACACCACTACATCTTTTGCCTTATTTGGCATCAGGGGTGGGAGTCCCTCATACTTGAGGGCCGCTTCAGCCTCGAGATCGAAGTTTGGTGCACGCGGGACTTGTTGGAAAGACGCGGGTTTAGAGGCGATGGCGGGCTCAGATAATTGAGGAATGCCATCAATCCAGACCTGTTGGGGCGTTGCACCCAGCGCGAGAGGGTGGCTATCCCATACGACAAGATCTGGATGTGGTATCTGGAATCAGTCATGATTCGCGGGATGCAGTAAGTGGACTGACCGGCATCATACCCTGGTATTGGAAATAGGTCAGCGTGTGCTCTATCTTGAAAAGGTAGCAACAAACCTTCACGCACGAATCCAATCCGATGGTCTTGCCCCATGATGCGCGCGGGTGTCGACGTGACAGCTGCAAGAGCGAGGTTCGCCTGAAGGCCGTACATGAACGCTTGCTGCGCCTCATATAATAGGAAGCGGGAGTTGAGAACAGGGTGATCACTCTATGTTAAATCAGCTCAGGAACCAGGGGGACATAAAGGTGCAAACCTTCATCACGACGTCGATCCCGTTCTCAGCCAGAATACGCGGAGCGAATTCGGACCCGCGGTACGCCTCACGCTTGTACCGAGCGTTTGTAGCAAACAAAGCTGCTGCAGGGGTGTGACCTGCAGAAGACATCAACACAAAGACGAGGTCAGCAAAGTGAGATCACTATACCATACGCCTGCTTGAGAGTTCCTGGGACGAGGTATGTCTCATGAGCGTGGTGGAACGCAGCGATGGGGAATTGGAATTCGTTGGTAAGCTGTTATTCAAACCTCATCAGCACCCCACAGCACAATCACAACCGCTTCGACGTTACGCACACGGACAAAATCATCCAGATCAACCGCCTCGTAGCAATGCGTGTGAATCTTATTTCAAGGAGAGACATATCAGCATGTCCTCTTGCACAATAGGAAAGACTGAAACATACCTTGACACGTCCGCGCAACACATCAACAAGCGCTTCCCACTGTAGGTTGTCCGGGAATTCTCCAAGGTCTTCCCATTCGCCTGCCAGCGCACGGGTACAATACACGTCCTGTTGCTCTTTAAGCTGCCGAGCAGTGTCATATCTGTGTGCATGAGTGTTTTTTCGTGGGAAGGATGTTTAGGAAATGGGCTATAGGACGCACGCCTGTCGGAAAGCCCAGAAAGTGTCCATACGTGTATTACCGTATACACGACCTCCATATTCGTATTTGATAAGGACATGTGAGATAAGGAAAAATGGAAGCTTACTGGGATTTTCGCCGCACGCGTGTCTGATTAAAATACATGAGGACATGTGCTCGAGGAAATAAATAAAAAGAGACGCACTTCATTTGTCTCCATCGTGGAGGCAAGCTCGGATCAACGTGCGTGCCATTGAGGGCATAGGGTGGTTCCAGGAGCATTGCCGAGGGAGAACGTTCTGCAGTGGGGCGAAGCTTGATAACGAAAGCTTGGCCGCCTGTAGGAAGTGTTAATAGCACCTTACAGAGGAAGCAAGGTGAGCGTACCAATGGCATTAGCAGAGCCAGGGAGGACATTTGCGGTGGTTACGCCACCGGAGATGCTGAGTCTGTAGGCATCGTCGTGCGTATTGAGCCCATCGAGACTGCGGAGCCAGGGTAAGACAGGACCTGCAAAAAATATGGATCTTATGCAACATTGAGACACGAGATGATACAATATTTACCCTTCAATGAGTTGGTGTCGTCTGCGCCATAGAGGGCCGGGGCACTGTCTACGCCTAGGTGGGAATGAAGGTCGACTATACTGCGTGTAGTATTAGAGAAGAGCAAGAGACGTTGAATCATGTGCGCGCGTACCCAGGTGTTACCCAACTTCCACCTACATCCAATGTGACCAAGTCCTTGAACTTGTTGAACATATTTGGGCTTGCATGTCCAACAAATTTGATGATACCCTTGTCGAGCAAGATATCACCCTGCGTGATCTCATGATCTCCAGTCCAAATGGACGCGTTTCTAATGAGAGTTGCGCGGGTTCCTTCGACGAAACGATCAGATTTTGTGCGTTGGTGAAAGTTGGAAGGTGGGCCAGGCTTTGCGTGTAGCATGTGACATTTCTGCAGTATCTGCTCAGCATGGAGGGGGAGCTGAACGGATTGTTTTCCTAGTAATGCGAGCTGGGGCAGAGATAAAAGTAAGCTGCCTGCAGATAATAAACACAGTGCGAGAGCCATCCTGTGCTTCAACCTCCATCTTGCCAGCCGAGGGAGGTCGACTGGCGGGGACTCGGAGTATGTAGGTAGCTTGTCCATTCCGGCCAAGGAGACGAACAAGAGCGAGGTAACGACAGACGCTGGTTCTTATATACTGCAATGGTAGCCTATAGCGAAATAAGATTAGCTGAGAATTCAATGCCTGTGAGTGGTCATACGGACGAGAAGCACGCGTTAACATCGGTTGACCAACTTGGTTATGTGTCACGAGTCCTTGACGGGTCCCTCAGGCCCAGGCTCATGGCATATGATCCTACGCGACGTGTCCTCTTTCGTCAACTTGAAGTTGCTGATCATTGATTATAGGTCTTAAGTCGTTCGACTGTCACTTATGACGAGCGTATCAGCAGGGGGATCTGCTGCTCAAAAAGCCAAACCTCCCGTAGTACAGCCTGGCACAGGCAACAACATTGTCATAAATCCCAACCAGGTCAGCACCCCCTTCTACTCTCCCGACTCATTTTTTAATGTACACATCTTCAGCGCTTGAATCCCGTTCTCGAGTGCATTCGAAATGTTGGCAAAGAATTTAGCGATATTGTCCCAGACTTCCAGGTGGGGCGCACTACCTGCGTGCTCTTCCTCAGGTGCGTTTTGTTTCGCTTTACCTATCATCGAGACGCATCATTGACATTAAAATAAAGTTTGAAATACCACCGCCTGCACCCGGAGTACATTCATACTCGCATAGAGAAACTCGGGCATGCATATAATCTCAGGGTATTGCTTATCATGTGTGACGTTGTGAGCAGCTTTCGAACTTCCACCCAGAGCTCTCTAAATTCCTTCACTTGCAGAGCGAGCATCAGGAGCCAATCCGGGAGCTTACCAAGGTTTGCTCCCTCCCATGACCACCAATTCTCAGCTTCACGACTACGCATGTAGGTCTGTCTCATCAATAACGTCACCATCATCGTCGCATGGAGGTATCCGTTCGCTGTTCTCTTACTCAGACGACTAAATGACTCGCTCCTGCAGCATCGAAGAAGCAGGGCAGTACATCTCTACATTTAAGCAGTTTGAGCACAAGCCACCAGATCTCATCAAGGAGCGCGTAGACAAGGACTACAATGCGCTCCTCCGCACTGCACTCACCAGCATCAATAAAGTGAACAAAACAGACGTCGAGACGTTGCGCTCGTCACTTGGAGTATGTCATCTTTACACTATTTGACTTTAAAGCATACTTAGCTGACGGGCCAGAGCTTCGCCGACATAGCCTGCTCCCCATCTGATCGCCTCCAGACCTTACCAGGCTTTGGCCCTGTGAAAGTTCGTCGCATCAAAGACGCCTTCGACAAGCCATTTCGAAATCGTGCCACCAGTGCTGTATTTTCTGTGGGCTCGCAAGTCCCACGGGGTGCCGGCGACGAGGTTGTGGCTACGTCCAATGGAGAGAAAGTCCTGGAGGTGGCAGAACCTGCCTCAAGCTCGAAAACAATATTGAACTCGGTACCTGCATCAAGCGGAGTCAAGGGCAAAGGAACAGGAAAAGGCAAAGAACCAGCCCAGCTCAGCCAGAGTCCAGTATGGGATATAGAACTTGACCTCAACAGTCCTGCGCCCACCGCGTCTTCCCGGCCTCCGCCTCCACGCGAGCCGTCACCAGTATGGGATATAGAGCTTGACCTCAACGACGACTCGGACGATCTGTATGCGGATGTGGATCCGCGGCTGGCTGCTAAGAAGGGGTTCGGACAGGCTGGGAACTCATTGAGCTCAGATGAATGAGTCTCATCATGAAAAAGGTGGTGGCAACGATTCAGTTTGACATGCACATTGACTACCCATACGGGAATGGACCATCAAATGATTAACACGTCGCATGAAAACCGATACTTACTACGTGGCGAGATACTACTATCATACAACCGTCGAGGACAATCAAATGTAAAGCATTAAGAGCGAACTACAAATACGAAGGAAGGTAAAGGGTGCAGAGCATACACGATGTAAGGCTGGTTGACAGCAGAGTCATCTACAATAGGCATGCTATAATGGACATAATATGTTACTGCAGCGGGCGAGGAGACGGGAGTAGCATTGTCGGTAGCTCATAGAGTAGAAAGAAAGCATCATCTGAGCGGAAAACATGACAACGAAAGCGACATTGTGAAGAAGCGTAGAATGTTAACTAACATTCACAAATGAAGTCGCATGGCGGAAAAGCGAGGCATGCATTAAACAAAGAGAAAAGCAGAGAGAAGGAAAAGAAGAGAAGAAGCCCATGTGTGACTTGGGTATACTTGAGGCTACTTGGGACCAAAGTAATGCTGGATAGTGGCCGGCTTTATATACCCTCCTGAGGGCTTGAGGGCTTGGCGCTGATAATGCACGCGCATCTGGAGGCGATGCATCTCCGCCTTTGTGCGTGAGCGATCCAGGTGTGCCGCACGCGTGTCGACTGCGCCAAATCACCGTCAATACCGAACCAAATCGACATACATGCAGAAGGTACTGACCAATGCGCCCCTGCGTGACCTCCAACACACGCAGGAGTAGCTCAAGTGGAGCAAGAGGCTTCTGACTTTTCCGGGGGCTGTCGTCCGCCATGGATGATTGACGAGAAAGCGACTGGGAAGACGAGTTCTCTTCATGGACGTAGGAATCGATGTTTGAGAGCGCGACGCTGATGATAGCGAAGTGATGCCCGAGGTCCTCAAAGTCCGCCTTGAGGCTAGTGACGTCGAAGAGCTCATCCGAGCCAGGTGCAGGTGAAAGCAGAAGGATGAGCGGGTCGAGTGCGGGAAGCGCATCCTGTGAGTTACGCCGGTTAGTGATACATAACCCAGACATAGTTGGAGAGATACGTACAGAAGGTCTACTGTTTGGAAGGAAGAGCGCGTATGCAAGCCACTGTGCGATGTGACGTGTGCGACCACTGCCGCTGCTGAAGAACGAAATGAAATGGGCTTGATTGGCCGGCGTAAGCGTAGATGCATAACCGAGAAGTCGTTGATGGATGGAAACGTGCTACGAGATGCTTAAATAAAAAACGCGCTGAATTGTCGAAAGGTGAACTCACAGTTGATGTATCAATAGTTTGGCAAATGTTGTCGATGGCGAGATTTAAGTCAGCCCTCAGCTCGTTAGAAGTGGTTTTGTCAAGGCCAATAAGCACGAGGCTCAACAGCACGTCAGGAGCATCATCTGCCACAATATTTCCCGTTCTGTGATCCATAAGTACATTTCTGTCTATGAAAGAATGATCGATACCCACCGACCGGCAATGCCCACCAGCGTCACCAGCTTACTCAAAACACGCGAACGGTCTTCAGCGGTGATATGAGACGGACGTTCGTCCTTAGGAATTGTCCAGTGGAGGTCTTCTGCCACTTGGTGGCATGCGCCAAGGTTGACGAGCACAGCAGCGACGTCCGTAAAGCGGAGCGTAGATTTGGATGTGGAGGATGCTGCACTCCACAAACTATGCAGAGCACTGTATGCTGCGCCAGAGAGGCAGGATTCCGTGTGACTGATGGCTAGAAATATACAACGTGAGCAAACAAAGACGTGAATCATGTTTAAACAGTGTTGGTACGTACCCAGCGCAAAAAGAGGCGAAACAACAATTGATTTCTCCTCAGGGCCTAGAACGCCGAGCACTCCTGAAGACAGAGTCAAAGCCAGCTGATCGGCAGCTGTCTAGAAAGTGAGTCTCCGAGACCGTCTTCGATATACACACGTACCTCCAATCCCACCCAGGTGTTGCAAAAGTGCCAATACAGGATGATTACTGCCATCTCCGAAGCTCACATTGCACTCTTTATCGATATCCATTCCATCATCACCTGCGCCCTCCTGCCAGAGCTGCACACCCAAAGCTTTCCCCTTCGGCCTTTTGCTTTCGCTGTTCTTGTCGCTGACGAGGATCTTTTCGATCTTTTCACCTGCCTCACGACCAAGCAGTTTGGTCTCACGTTCGCCCATAAACACATCATCTTCCAGTGGTCCAAGCATGGGGCTACTCGACTTGCGCTGAGCGTGTTCCTGAATAGCCTGCCACGCGGCACCCTCGTCTGCCAAGTTCATGTCATCTTCCAGACCCACACCCAAGGAGACGTGGGCCTGCAAAGCGTCCTCAGCGCGCAGGAATGCGGCACTCCCATTCCCGCGCTTCTCCGCTGCTTTTTTCTCACGGAGGAGCGCTTCAAGCGGGTTGAAGGACTTCTTGAGCTTCGAAGGTCCAGGCGCATTCTTGGTGACGACGATGGTAGGAAGGCGTAGGGGCAGCGCAGGCTTGCTTGTACGACCAGAGCGCGTGTGTATCTGAGTTCGGGACATCTTGTGGGTGTTAAGAGGGGGACGCGTGGGGGAGGCAGAAGGAGAACGGCGGTTGCGGAGATTATATGAAGTGGAAGGTTTGGGTGGCGAGGATGGGACACTGGATAGGGGCGAGTCGAATACGCCATCCATACCATTCAGGACAGGAAGATGTGAGCTAGAGAGTATTCGGATTCAAAATATGGCACACGGAGGTGTAAAGAATGAGACAGACCTCTTGCCCTTGCCCTTCTTATCGGGAAGGAGAGTCATGTTTTCTAGGTCATCGTCGCTGCTCTCATCGAGCTCACGGAACGTGTAGTTTTTCTCCTCGTCGCTCAGGGGGCTGTCAGCGAATGCTTTTGCTTTGATACTTGCAATGAGCTCAGCAGTCTTGTGTGCTTTATCAGACGTGGGTGTGGCGGGAAGTGGCAAGGCGCCTGCGGTGTCAGGCGGGGAGGGCAGTGAAGCAGAGGGTTGAAGGGGTGTCTCAGGAGGTGCACTTGGCAAGGACGTTGCAGAGCGCGAGCGCGCGTCGTCATTGAACGGGGAGGTGACAAGTTCTGGCAGGCCTGCATTCGTTGTACCTACATCACAGGGGCTACTGTCATGAATGACAGACGACGACGGTGATGCCAAAGTATTTTGGCGCCAACTGTGGACTTGTTCCTTGACTTGACTGAGGGAGGAGGTGTCTGGTACAGGGAGGACGAGTTCCATCTCGTCAGATTGGCTACTGAATATGAGATGCTTACTGGGTGAAGGTGTGTGAGGCACTGTGGGTGGAAGGGCTAGTGTGGACGGCTTCAAAGGAGAGCCTGGTCTCTGGACATAGATGACAGTGCTTGGACGTTCACTCTCAGAATCGCTGTCGAATTTCTTCTTACGCTTGAGGGGTGTTCTGGCCTTGGCGGACAAAGACGAGCTCAGGAGGTGAGAAGTGCCGAGACACTGGTCTGGGGAACGAGGACGCTTTCGAGAGACCGCCCTAGGGGTGTTCTGTACTGCGTGGTTGCGTGTAATACGAGGCGATACCATAGGACCTGTCGGTGTTTGACAGGTAGAAGATCGAGTCCTAGATGCTGTGTGCGGTGGAGAAAGAAGAGTAGTAGAACCACTGGAGGTAGAGGTGCGAGAAACAGAGAGTGGAGTGGTAGTCATAGTCATAGTCTGCCTGTGAGAGGCTGAGACAGATGTCTCAGATGACTTTGAAGCGTTGCTCTGACGCGAACGTGTGGCCAACGCGACTGGGCCAGGCTGAGACGACACAACCGACGAAGTCGACGCTTGTGCTGGTCTTCGGGCAAAAAAGTCGGTTACCCTTAAATTTCTATCGGGAATCTTCGCTTTCGCGGCTTTTTTCGATGAATTTTTTGGGCTCATTGTTGTCGTGTCGCGGCGAAACTGTAAACGTTGTTTATTGCAATACAAAACTCGTACGTACCAGTCACGTGATCTGTACATATCTTTTGACCCTCAGTACTCAGTTGATGCGGCCCCTTGAAACTCTCCTGGACCCGAACAAGCATTTAGGTACGCGTGTAACGCGCGAGAAACGATAACTGTGGACGCGTGTTTCCATCCAGAACGCGTTTTGAGAGAAACCTCGCACCCGAACGGCGGCAGCTGCCAGACCTTCCCGTTCATAGTAGTTCGCTGCAAATGAATTGCTCGTCCCCTATCCAACTTTCGTAGTCCTACTGCTGGATTCCCCCGCCCATGATCTCATCCATGCCATTATGTATATGGACCAGCAGGTTCAATGGCAAGCGAGGTGATACAACACTTGACAGGGGCTATTATGTCAGTCTTTCATGTGCAACAGGATAAAGATCACCTGCGCATGCGGCAAACACTGGGATTGCCCCCTGGCATATTGGTCGACACGCACACCCAGCTCGCCGTCATGCCGGCTCCCGCCCGCAAAGGCGCCTCGATGTCAACTTACACAAGGAACCTCCTGAGGCTTGGTTGCGCTGTTGATCCACTGAATAATCATCATGACCCGTCGCCAGCGGGGCCATTGCCACCCTTGTCCTTTCTTGTGGTGGTAACGTACTGGCTGAATTTGGGGAAATGGACCGTGCTTTGCTTGGCATTAATTTGGATGTCAGGTGAGCAAGCATTCACAGGGTGAACGTCCTGTATATTTCATATACTTGACGGCCTAACTTCATTGACAGGCGTCGCGCCCCTCTTGAAGCCGACGTCATCACAATTCTCATTCTATTCATGTGCCTAATGGAAGTTGAAGCGCTAGGTTCTCTTCGGTCCCACGATGAAGCTGTCGATCAGCGACATATAGTCACCTATGCAGGCGTAACTCCTTGCGGAAGACTTCGGGGCAGCCAACGTTGGCGTCATCGTGACATGGTAGAAACGCAGGGTATACGTTTATATTGTAGAATTGTGCTGATCAGGCAGCGGGGCCATCGTGTTGGCCTTCCTGGGTCACACTGCACGAAGGACACGTCGGTTTCGATTTCGAAACTCATTGCCCATAAAGACATGGTAGGTATTGGCGTAATAGAGTGGGACAAGCGCAATATGCGGTTCGAGCTTGCCTGGGTGAGTGGAAAGAAGGCCCGTCTGATCAATCACGTTCTAATAGAATTGATGCTGCGTTACTCTGCAGCCGAACAAAATATCTCGAGAGAAAAAGAACCTTGGTGCTGACTTTCACAAATATCAAGAAACTGTTTACCAGACTTACTGGCTGCGGAGGTGCGTTGAAGTTCTTGCTGTAATCTCAGCGCGTCGATATCGGTCGGTTTTCGAATCTCCGCCCTATGATATATATTATAGAGCCGAGACTCCGAATGCATACCGTCCAATTACATGTATAGAAGGAACAACTATCTTCATTCAAACACTGTAGAGATACGCACTTCGTCACGACTTTCAGTTGGTCACACTTGGATCGTGTCGAAGGTAAGTGCGTATCTCTACATGTACAGTATGGTCTTTCTAAGACTAAATTACATGGACACGTATTACTTAGGTTACCACAGACACCAAATATTCGCCCAGAAGACAATAACAAAAGCGACATTAAAAAAATAAGGATAAGGCGACCCATCATCATATCATGATGAGATATTTACATGCATTACCAGATTTCCATTGTCCGAATGAGTGTGAGTGAATGCGAGTGAAACAAGATGAAGAATGAAACATGCAATGCAAGAAGGCGAAGGTGCTTTAACTCTATGGAATGTGATTTAAGAAAATAAGGAACGTCTACGGAAATGCAGGGTGCTCGTCTATAGTGGGCTGTCTGCTGTGCGATGGTGATTGCGTGCGTAGCGGTGAAGGCGGGACGGATTGCCGCGGTGATGATGCGTTTGACACATAATTTGAACGAGAGGGCGAATAGTTTGATTGACTCGGTGAGTACTGTGATTGAGAGTTGGACCGCGAGTGGCTTGAGGGTTGAGATGGTTGGATTGACCACCGCCGTGGAAGTAGTGAGCCTAGAGTTGTTGAACCCGACTCCTCTGAATCGAGACTGTGATGGTCCGTCAAAGTCTGGGAAGGACTGTCGGGATATGGTTGATTGACATCCGGATCGAGGGGGATATTCCGCTCTGGCGTGGGATTTCGCGGCCGCCGGTCTTTCTCATCAATTTCAGCGCCCTTCTCTACATCCATACCACCGGGTAGGGCATCCCGGCGCCGTCTATAACGTGCCGGGATGAGTCTCAGGATGCCCATATTCAGCAGCGTATTGATAAACATGACGACGACCGCAACCGAAATGATAACAGCTATCACGATGCCGATCACAACGCGAGGTATTGCCCCTAGATTTAGGCTCTCCAAAAAAGCGATCATGAGACCAGTGCAAACCACTCTGGTAATCGCAAGGTACGTTGCAAGGACATCAGCACCTCTCGATTTGTGTGGCCGAAGGGCTAGTAGAGAGGCGAGGACCATGCATTCAACGAGGAGAATCGCGACGACTTGCACGACACCGTTGGCTTGAGAAAAGGCGATGAAGAGGGCCTTGATGAAAATAGCCAAAATCAAGGGAGGAGTCGCATAAAATCGCTCCGAGCGGTATATTGCGTACAGAGGGCCATGAGAAGCTAGGAAATCAGGTCGTGTATACAGTTCAGAGGGGGTTGAACGAAGGGCCAGACGATGTGTGAAGACGATAGAATATAGGAGGAAGCCAACCACCGCAAGGAGCAAAATTACTGAAAGGAGGATAGACAGCCATGAATCCTTGAGCGTCCACTGATAGAGCGCAAATATTGTCACTGGAGTGAATACGATCAGGCACTAGGGCAATGAGTGAGTGGATATGATTAACGGATGCCGAGCCATACTCACGATGCGCAGTAGCCAGGCGTGAGCAAATAAAGGATATCGAGAACGCCAATCAGCGCCGTAACCTTCTTTCCGTTGTCCATACCAGGATTTTGCGGCTAGGACGCAATAGCCGACGGAGAGAACTGTAAGCAATATTGCGGCGATCATCAAGACGACCAAGAAGACCGTCATGAAAGAGTTAGCCGTGGCGATACCAACAGAGTTGACATAGATAGGTACGCCAGCCTGGAGAACATTGGAAGATGACGGTGTAACAAGCTGCACATCGCCAGCAGTGGAGAGTTCTTTAACAGCGGCGAACGAGGTATCCGAGAAATTATTGGCCGAAGTTACATTGGAAAACGCCAGAAGGCTCTCCACGCCGGTGCCCGCATATTGGTTAGAAGAGGCAAGAAAAGTTGACGACGCCATGGCATTGTATGGGCTAAGTTTGCGGTTCACGAGAGCGACTGCAGAATCTCCAGTGGCATCGGCCATATTGCCTCCGGTGAGGTGGCGCATGTTGTTGACGGAGATCTGGATGGGAGAGGTTGCTGATGCGGAGAACAAACCCATCGTCCATGCAAAGTTGGTTGTAAATGCCCGATAGACTGAGGAATAATTAAGATCAAGAAGTGCTGTTGATGCAGCCCATTGATATAGGTAGAGAAGATCGAAAAGACGGAAGGGTGCCAGGGTGTCTGGTGTAAACGAGTAACAAACCGCGGAAAGAAGTGCAAGTAGGGCAAGTCCGCCAGTTGCCCATTCTACGGCTACTTGATGTGCTGACCAGCCGTTAGAAAGGGTTGCCTGAACACAAGCCTTAAGAACTCCAGTGTTCACTTCCGTGAGGGACAATTGTGCTAACAAGACATGAGCGCAACGACCAGTCTAATATGGCGAGAACATACCATATGCCTCAAGGTCCGGTATTTGGAAAGCGATGCTAGGAATCTTGCCGGAAACACCGAGGGAGGATGGTAGAGGGATGGAGTCGGAGCCGGTAAAGTTGTACATCGGCAATGGGCACAGGGCGCCATTGAACAGCGAGCACAAATCGATGGTGAAGTTCACGGGATGCATTCCATAAACATTCAGCATTACGTTGGCGGTCACACTAACGTTGGGGTCCTTGAGAGAGAAGTGAGGAGAATGTCTGCTGAAGGAAAGAGCCACGTACGACACTTGCTGCGGATATGTTAAACCATATGGACTCATTCTTTGCGAAGTATGCAATGTCAAACTGTTGAATGAGGAGAGTCTCTGGTGGTGAGCAATAAGTCACGGAAGATGTGACTGTATAAATCATGAGTATATTATAGTTACAATGGGTGGAAGAAGACATACATAAAGAATCATCTCTAGCAGTTGCCAATGAAGAGGATATAAGAAGAAGGGGTGCAAGGTAGCGCAACCTGGCGATACGGGAGAACATGAGAAACGATGAAGGCACCAACCAGTGGTGGTAGAAGAGGTTGAAGTGAGGATAGATACACGGGTTGTCGATCCTGTTGAGTCTGAATCTGGATTTTCACCTGTGAATCATGATAAAGGATGCTCCAAATGAGATGCACGTCCAAGGCGTGTTGTTTATTGTTCCATTGTACTGACCGTGCCTATTGTTGTTGCTGAAAGCTGTGGTTACGAATTCGCCTCCTTGTTCTCCGAATGGGTCAAAACAGTGCAGCAAGACACCTATAAGCTGGAAGCTGCAGACCTTAGCTGATGAAAGACAGTGAGAGGTGCTGAGGCGAAGAATGTTGAAGCCGTTGCAGCCATGAATATTTTAATTGAAATGAATCAACTTGCACAAGGGTCCAATGGCACTCGTTGAGTGAGTTTAGGCAACCGGGATCCTCCAGCTTGAAGCTCGGAGGACCCGCAATCAATTTTTAACACTAGGAATAAGACCGACAGCTCGTCGTACATGAAGAGAGGCTTCAAAACGTATATCGTACACAGACACGACAAAACTCGCGAGGCAAGAACGATTCGTACACGGACACGACCTCGCGAGGCAAGAAAACGAGCTTGATTTGTCAAGCTCGACAAAACCGCTAATTAGGGAGGCTAGAGGAGGGTAAATAAATTAAAGGCGCAGTGGGTGCGCAAGCAGTGAGTGCTCAACGCTAGATGATGGTTAAGCTCAAGGACCAAAGTCGCAGGATTCAGCCACTCATCAGCGTTTAGGAGACTCAGTCAAGAGCATGAGTCAGATGATGACGCGTGTACGCACAGACCCGAAACTCGGCCTGAGCCGAGTGCGACCGTAGATTCAACTTGTTTAAACCAATTAAAACTCGATGAATCAACTTGCACAAGGGTCCAATGGCACTCGTTGAGTGAGTTTAGGCAACCGGGATCCTCCAGCTTGAAGCTCGGAGGACCCGCAATCAATTTTTAACACTAGGAATAAGACCGACAGCTCGTCGTACATGAAGAGAGGCTTCAAAACGTATATCGTACACAGACACGACAAAACTCGCGAGGCAAGAACGATTCGTACACGGACACGACCTCGCGAGGCAAGAAAACGAGCTTGATTTGTCAAGCTCGACAAAACCGCTATAAGGCTATTAATTTTTTTTTTTTTTTTATATAATTTTGAATTTTGTTTTGAACGTAGTTATGATTGAGTCGTTGGGATGGGGTGCGTGCGTTGAATACAATTTGGGTTATGAGTCGTTGGGACGGAGAGGTGATTGAGCCTTTGGGAGACTTTTTAGCGAAAAACGATGCAGTGAGTCTGAGCTGTCGATCCTAATGAGTTACGGAAGGTGTGAACCATGAATAAGAAGGTTAAGCAGAAAAGGGTGCTTGCGAATATATTTCTGGAACTCGTCTGAAGACCAGCGTCCCGCTGCCTGAATCAGCGCAGGGGCAACGCCGCTTGCAGCAAGAGCTGTTGCTCCTCCAGCTCGCATGGAGTGCCCAGAAATACTTGGCGGGAAGAAACGCCGTAGATAGCGCATGAACCACACACGTGTGGGAATAGTTCCAGCTGAAGTGAGCCAGAGCTGTGGATGGTGTGGAAATTTTTCGTCACGAGCACAAACGTACCGATGGAATAGCTTCAATGGATCTACCCTAGCGTGAGGTTCACCGAGAAGCAAGATCTCACAACCGACACCCAAACTACTACTTTTGTGGTGCGGGAGAGTGTAGCTCGCTGAGCCATTTGTGAATGATAGAGAGTGCCGCAGAGGGACTTTGCGATAGGATTGATGTTTAACGGCGTTGGGCCAGCACAGTTCGGCTAAGCGTTGCAAAGTCTTGAAACCGGTAACGAGTAGCGTTTGGAACAAGATGTCGTTGTACTCGACAGAAGAGGTGAAAGCGTCAGCCACGAGGGAGAGATCATCGAGGCTAAGTGGTTGTTTTCGCTGGACAGGCTTGGATAAGCGGCGTTTGCAACCTTTGAGCGTGCGCGTGACGAGCAAGGAAGTTCGTGCTTCTCGTACGCCTGAAAAATGCGATTCGAGACGATTGACGATGCCAGACAGATAGGAATCGACCGAACGTGGTTCAATGTAATGGGATAACCAGACGACGTAGTAAGAGAGAGTGTCGTCTGTTGGTTGGACTGGGCGATTGTGCAGCCGACAAAAGTTAAGATAGGAATTCAAATGAGAATCGTACGCGGACGCAGTGGTCGATTCGATAGCGAAACCAAGGGCCAAAGAACGCTCGAATTGCAAGCGTTCAAGTGTCCAGGCTTCCCGTACGGGTTGCCTGGACTGGGTTGCGCATGGGATCATTTTTTCGACGCCCCCAACGCATCCCGAGGGGGTTCGAAGTCAAAGATTAGAGCGGTAGGCACGAGATCTTTGACAAGCTCGTTATGAAAGCGGGACAACGCATCTGCTATCACATTCTGCTGACCGGGGATATGTTCCACGCGCAGGTCAACACTGTAGGTGATTAAAATATCCATAGCGGAGCGCAGGAGTGAATTGTAGACGGGTTTCGCGCGGAGTGAATCAAACATAGCGACTGTGTTCATATTGTCAGTGTATATGAGCAGTTGTGATGGGGTTTCGTCCATGTTGACAACAGCATGAATAGCGGAGCAAACGGCAAGTGCCTCAAAGAAGAAAATTGTGTCGTGAGGGGTGTCGGTGGGCAAGTGACATTGGCATGCGAAATTATCGTCTGGAAACCACAATCCCATGCCAACGCTGGAAGCATCAGTATAGGCGACAACGACTTCATCACTCCTCGGATCAAAATCCACGCATTTGAAGAGGTGCAAACCATCAGAACGTTCAATATGGTCGGCGAGCCAAAGTAGCTCGTCGATGAGAGCGTTATTGACGTGAATGAGTGCCAATGCATTGTTCTTTCCCCTGATTTTGTCGTATAGAACCGACAGACCAGGTTTCAGGAGTGGGAAAACGTTAAAGCTCCACTCGCACCACCCTGCGAGTCGTTGGAACTCCCGAAGCGACCAACGACTGTTCTTGCGTGCGAAACGGCGCAATTCTGCAACCAATTCGCCCTTTTTGTCGACGGGAAGGGATACTTGCATGGAATTAGGGTCGACGTCGAAGCCAATGACAGTCAATGGTGCACCGAACACCTGCTTGGGGCGTTCATGCGGAAGTCGGAGTTCGTCCCATAATTGTAGTAAACGCGTCTGTTTAGCGGGAAAATAGCAGTCGTATGGAGGATAATATAGCAGACAGCCCGCGACCTCAAAGGAGAATGAGTCGTCCATGTAAGTTTTCAGCGCGTCGATGAGGGCACGATGTATAGCAATCCATGCTACGAGGGACATGAACGAAATCCATACTTTTGGCGAACCCCTACCACCAAAATTGTTGTTACGATCGACGTGTCGTTGACCGTGGACTGTCAGAATTTGTTTGACCTGCCATAGCGGGTGCATCGGCAAACGTCGGAAAGCCTGCGACACGTCAGATTTGAACATTACCAGCTGGACATTTGGGTGTTGTTCACGGAAGCGAAGCAGCGAAGCTCCGAGCGAGTGCAATCCATCCAGCTTGGTACCTTTGATGGCATCTCTGTCAATCATGGAGTTCAGTGAGTACTCGCCCGCAGTGTGATCAACGATCAAGCGAAGTTTATCAGAATGCGGCTTGGGTACAGTGTGCATCGGCACACTATACATACCGGGGTAAAGCTCGGTACCGAAACTCTCTGATACTCGTTCCAAACGTATCTCCTCACGCAATTGATCCTCGATGAATTGTTGTTGCTCGTTAGATTTGGAGCATGTATGCGCGGAATTGTCGTTAGTGGATGGGTACGAGTCGTCTGAGGTATCGGCCCATGGCCAGAAACCCCGACGTAAAGAGTCGCAGACGGATTTGACGAAAGGTTGGTTTGGATGGTCCAAGAGAAGGTCTTCGAACCGATCAACGTTTATAGGCGTAACGATACGAAACAAGTCCGGTCTGCGTGCAATAGTCTGAGCTGCATCACTGCCCGAAAGTTCGTTTAGTGGAGGTGAGGGGACAGGATCAGCATATTCAGTTGACCGCGCAGTTGGACTGAAAGAAACATCCGTTGGTGACCATATAAGGCCCCGTCTATGACGCGGGCGCTTAAATGGCCGTTCAAGTGGGTTTGGGCTTAGACTCCTCGAAATGCTTCGTTTCCGTGTGTCGTCTTGCACATAGTCTGCCGTCTTGCTCATGTGAGCAGACATGTGCGTAACGGCAGGTTCCCGCACTGCGAGCACAGTCTCCGGCGTTCCATTTGCGACAGGGCTCACGTCGACTGAAGGTAGTTTTGTCCCGCGTAGATGCGCTGGGCTTGGTCTGCTTTTCATCGTCGTGGTGTCTACCATCTGACTGGAAATGAGATTCGTAGATGTCAATGAAGGAGGCGAGGTCTGAGAGTTCAACCCTGCGCGAGTTTGCGGCTTTATTCCTGATGGCTTTGTCATACCTGATAATTCTTTCGTGTGACCGTTCGAGCGTACGGTCGAATCTGGTGGTAATATATTCTCCATAGGTAGCGAGCTCATCCTCTCGATGAGGGAACGCGAATTTGATGGCTCTGGCAGCCCTATTCCAGGCTGCGGTCCATTGCATTGCGGTGGTGATTTTCTTCGCGACTGCTTCTGATGTTCCTGCGTACTTGATCTCAATGTCGCCGATAGTCTCGGTACATTTGTCAATGGTGCGTGACGAGGAGATGATGGAGTGTACGGCGTCAAGATTGACACATTTGCCTGCGACGATTTCTGCCCATCCAGCTTCATGGAATTCCGGGCTGCATCGGTGATACATGAGTCGGCGTCGAACTTCTTTGGGGTCTTGCGACCAATTGAGGAGGATTTCGTTAGTTCTTGTAAGGTTTGCGGAGAGCTGACCTCCTGTACTTGATTGCTCGGCTCGAACGAGACAGGCGAGGTCAAGTTTGCCTCGCTTTCGAGCCGGTTCACCTCGCTGGATACTAACTTCTCTCTCAAGTTCAATCTCTCTAGGAGGGAGAGTTTCCCTGTCTTCGGATTGGCGTCTAACATCTGGCTCGTGCTCACCAAACCCTCTGGTGTCATCCTGCCGCTTGGACCAGTCTTCAAGCATGCTGAAGTATGGATTCGCGATAAAAGACTCCGCTTCGTCTGTGGCTTCTGAGGTGCAGGCAGTGACAGTCTTTGCGATAGAGATAAATGCCTCAGATTTTGTGATGAGGCTGTGCTTGTAGTCTTCAACGATGTTAAGACATTTCTCCGCCAGGTCTTGTTGGGATGAAGACGTTCTGCCAACGTCGGTTTGAGTTGAAGACCCTGCGACTCCGGGTCCCGTAAGTGATGTTCCGACTGGGGCATCGCTCGTCATGGAGGTACGACGGAAGTGGAGTGTAACACGTCAGTTCAACAATAAATAAATTAAAGGCGCAGTGGGTGCGCAAGCAGTGAGTGCTCAACGCTAGATGATGGTTAAGCTCAAGGACCAAAGTCGCAGGATTCAGCCACTCATCAGCGTTTAGGAGACTCAGTCAAGAGCATGAGTCAGATGATGACGCGTGTACGCACAGACCCGAAACTCGGCCTGAGCCGAGTGCGACCGTAGATTCAACTTGTTTAAACCAATTAAAACTCGATAAAATAAAATAAAGTGATTCGGAGCAAGTGGCGCGGCCTAATGGTAATAGGGCCTCCTCTCTCAGCCGATTTCGGATGAGAAACTGGTGGCAGTGCAACATTTCACGCAAGGCTAGCGGCTGCTAGCGGCCTCATGTTTCCGCAGGCCGCACTGGCACGGCCCATTAGGCGTTTTCCTGTGCGCTCACTACGTAGTTGAAAACATGGAAAGCGTGCGTGCACCGTCCACATGTACAGCACATTTCCTCATATATAATCAATTTACTTACATACAATGGAGCCACATAGTAGTAATAAAACGTGCGATAAGCCCCACCGTCACCCAACGATTAATTAACTCAGGTCAACCTGGCACAGTGGTCATAATTGCCTGCTTGGTTCGCGCCCCACCATGCAGCGAACAAATGAGAGGTACCACCAGCACCTTGCACTGCAAACGAGAGGATGAACACCATGACTTGAGTGCCTCCATCAAGGGCTACATCACTTAATGAGTCCAGGGTCCCCAATAGTGTTCGAGAATACTCACCAGCTCCGATGATGTAGTTGTATTTGGCAAACCAGCGAGGGTAGCGCGTGCGCAGCCACCATTGCGAGACGAATGCGACTGTGAAGTAGGAGAGAATAGACGAATTAATCCCAACACAAAGCCATCCCATGAAGTAGCTGTGGAATATTGTGAGCATGCTGTTGACGAGTTATTCAAGCAACCTTTAACATACCATATAATCGGAGTGTACAGGTAGTCGGCACGAAGCTTTGGCCAGTACCTGTGAATGAGCCAGAACGGAACGGGTACGAAAAGTCCAACTAGATACGCCCAGGGAACCCATTGGTATCTTTGGCCGGCGGAAAAGAGCTCGTGGCTGAGCCCACCCCACGCAATTGCTTGCGAGTTGTATTGCTGTGGCTGTTGGCCAGACCAGATATTGGTTCCCTGAACAGATAACAAGATGTCACGTTGGTTATCGATGATTGAATTCATCATGACTAATTTGCAAGGTCAGTTGGTTTTTATAACCATGCCACAAGTGACGCGCGCACTGAAGTTCAAGATGGCGCCAAGCAGCGTGCCAATAATCTGGGCGGTAAATGCAGCGCGAGGTGGCAGCTTGGCATCTATACATGGCGGTTAACACAAATTGCGCTGCTCTCATACGCGCTTGAAATATACGCACACTGAGCAATCTTGAGGTCGCGGAGTAGCAGTTGGGCTTGAGTGACAGTGTCTGGAACATTGGATTAGTCGACCTGCTCATGGATCGCAAGGCTGAAACATACTGTATCCGTATAGAACGAAATACATATTTGCCACTGTCGCATTCACCAGATAAGCACATTTTAAGTCAATGACGAGCAAGGCAATCACCTGGCTTGCCGCTGTGGAGGTAACCACCAATCATCTGGACAAACCTGAATGCAAATTGAGGTATCGAAGATCGAAACTGAATTCAAGGACCTACGGCTGGATGATGAATTGTAATCCTGTAATCGCGTAGAGTGTACCGAAGAATAGAATGGAAACTGTCGCCAACAAGAGCGAGATGACAAAACCCCACCTTTACCGCTCGTCAGCCTGGACCACATTTTCAATCACAGCTACTCACCATGGCAAAGTCGAGTTGTTCTTGTATATAACGACCAGGGAGGTGATGAAGGACAGGATGAAAACGAGGAAGTACCAGCTATTGGGGGCGTCAGGGTACTGTTACAGAAATGTTCATGTTGGTAAGATGTATACACAAAAATGCGAAACTAACCTTCAGCATCTGCTTGTAGTGTGGATCCATATTCTCATCATCGACGTCTTGCTTCCGCATTCCATCGGCTTTCCAGACCTTCCAGTCGAAATTCGCCCACCATTGTTTGATGCTCGACGGACTCGTCCAACTCCATGCAGAGCGCAAGTCGTCCCAGTTCCACAAGAGGAGATGGGTAAACGTAGCCGCCAAACCCTTAGATTTTAAACTGTCAATCCGCAGAGTCTCACTAACATTTGGCGAACTTACCAAATTTGAGGTGAGCAAGTAAACTATCCAAGTGCTGGAATAGTAAGGTACGCCTTGTTCAGCAAGGAGTGTGGGATCGACTTCGTAGTTGGAATTGAGAATGAGCGTTTGATTGTACTGTGTGCCGTTCTCATAGAACAAGAGTTGAGAAAGCTGTGGTGAGTTGGCGTCAATGTTCTGTGGTTAAATTTGGTTGTAGACTAACGAATGGGAAATTCTGGGCCTTCCAGATGTTGTTGTAATACACGCCCACGAATACGACCCTAGACGAAAGTCAATGGAAGGTCTCGAATCGGAGTGGAGCGATCGCACATGCAAAGAAGGTAGCCCAAGAAATTAGAGAACTGTTAAAAAAAACGTGAGGCTTCTGGCCTGTGAACTTGATAATTGGCCATACCTGTGCTTTGAGCGGGATAACCATTGGGTTCACCCCGCCAGAAATATACTGTCGCAAATCCGGTCAGCAACGCGATTCACGGCGAAGTTCAAATTCACACTCACTTGCCAGTCAAAGCAGATAGACAGGAGCCCTAGACCCTCATTACCGTTGCTGCCACCAAATACTCGCGAGACGGCAGCATTATTGGGAGCTGCAAGACAGATAATCGAAAAACCGGTCAGAAGCGGGAAAATCCACTCTGGGAAAAGCTCCCAAATAAAGATACTGCGTCAATCAGCATATCTGTTTCATCGCCAGTCTTAATTGAGGGACTTACACAGAAAACACAATGTAAAACACTCTGAGTTTCTTCCGTGCTGCTATCCCGCCCTCGTAGAGAGCGTCGAACATGGATAACAATGGTAGTACACCGGGGTACAACATCTTTGATGGATATAACAGGATGCCTGGTAGAGGTATATGAATATCGGTGTCTGTATAACAGATTCAAAGGCGGACATACTTCTCATCATGCCACCGATCCCATATCTAAAAAATTTGTCAGCGTCCGCTGGAATTTTAACGAAAAATTCACGTACCCAAGAAGTTGGGAAGAAAAGAGCAGGAATATTGAAGCACCAGGATTGGGCGTGATATTGTAGTACAATCTTTGGCAGATATCAGTATTTTCCGTCGATATGATAAGTAATGCTCACTGACCGCTGGACAGCAAGAACTTCGGTACCCAAGGCGGAGTTGGCTGAGGCACTTGCCATGATGACAATGAAAGCATTCTCTTTCTTGTTGAACGGTCCCTGCGAAATATACTTAGAATGAAACAATGGAGGTAGACAAATTGGTTTACAGGGTTCAGATAGCGCAAGAATCCGCGGCGAGGAATAAATGTCTCCATAAAGATGCCTATAACATAAGAAATAACCGCAAGGAACATCAACGACACTAGAATGGTTTGCTGCGGCAATGATCTAAGCACTAAAAGTTGTTATGCTTATTCTGCTACGCACAGGCTTGAAGTAATAAATTTCCGCTACAAATCGAGGTCAATGAGTACGCTGGCTAAAAACGAACTCAGAGAAGCTCACCGAGTACTCCACCAAAGGCTGAGAGGCCAAGACCAATGAAGAATGCACGGAATGTCCATGGGCTCAGAGAAGGGTCGTCGTCCACCGAGATGACATGGGTAGCAATGTCACGTTCATTGGAGAGGACGCCTTCCTCGCTGTCAGCATCAACCGTTGCAGTTTCAAGGTCGCCTTTCCCATCGAAGGATTTGTCACTAGTGCTGGGAGCTTTCTCGTTAAGCACATCGCGCCCGTGCGCAGGGTTTTCGCCAATCGCTCCTGGAGCGGTCAGACTCATCGCAACAAGACAGGACTGCAAAATAAGCAAGATGCTTTCTCCAAACTATATGTATACCCACATGAATACCACAAACACTGATAAGCAACTATTCTCGTAAAGGGAAGACCAGTTATTCGGTAAGGGCCTGTGGCACCAGTGCATGGACTCCGTGGTTTCGTGAGCATATGCATGTGGCTTGTGTCCATGAGATAAGAATTTCGTACCTTGGAACCATGCTAACGAGGCTGAAAATAGACGGTGACGGCATCTGAAAGTCCAGGAAAATCGGTGGGGAACGTTTACTTTGGTAACCGTTTAGTTGAAAACTTGCTACATTGAGCATCCGTGCACTTAGATCGTCTGATACTATGTCGGTCCATTGATGCGGTTGGAGTTTGCCTATCAGACTGTCACGTGTTCATGGCGGTGTTTCCCGAACGTGGGTCACGGTGGGTGTTGTGGCGGCCGGCAAAACAGGCGATTCTTGACCGGATTATGTAGGACTCGGATGCACACATGCGCCGCCCGAAGTGAGAACAGGTACTGCATTTGTCATTCAGTATGTAAACCGCGTGCCTCGAAATTCCACCCAAACCTTTCTCTTGCTGTTTCTCCACTTCAACCGCCATTATGATACCTGAACTGTTTAGCCAAAAATAATATCCACCTTCACATATATACCACGTAGCACATGGACAGATATATCCAATAGCACCATGTAGTGCGCTGAGGAATTTCAATTGCAATGTTACTCACAATACGGGTAGCGTGACAGATCGGCATCAGCCAGACTAGCGACCTTCCCACGGCCGTCCCCCATTTTCTTCTTGCTCCCAACGTAACAACTCCTGTTCATTCCACTCCTTGTCTGACAGGTCTCCAGATTCCTTTAAAAATTTATCCCCACGGAACGGAATTGGGAGGTAGTCATTGTGCACGGGATGTCTGCGTGCAGGCGAATTAAGCAAGGCTTCAGTGAGCATCCCGAAAGTGTTGGCGCACCGAAAATTTGGGTTATAATTGTAGCCTTCTGAATAGCCAAGCTCTTTCATGAGGGCTGTCGGAGCATTACGGACCGCCATGGGCACAGGCATTGTCAGATCTAACTTTGCCGCTTTCTCTGCCCGGTTGTATGCCTCGTAAGCGCGAGTACATTTCGGCGCCTCCGATAGATAACCTACACAATGTGCTAGATTGATTCGGCACTCTGGCATGCCAATAACTTGGCAAGCTTGAAGAGCCGCCATTGCCTAGAAACGCTCGATTTTAATTTGACTTGAGTCATTGGGTGACATACCAAAGGGAGGGCGTGCGTGTCAGCCAACCCGATATCTTCGCTTGCACAGACTACCAATCTTCTCGCGATGTACAACGGGTCTTCTCCTGCTGTCAGCATCCGTGCTAGCCAGTACATCGCAGCACTACCCTGACTACCGCGGATGCTCTTGTGGAGCGCTGAGATCGTGTTGTAATGGCTCTCCCCTAAACGATCATAAGAAGCCGACACACTTCGCCGTAATGATGCGAGGAGGGTATCTTCATCTCTATCTGGTTTAGTAGCCAGAACAAGCTCTAGTAAAGATAACGCAGTCCGTGCATCCCCCGTAGAAAGAGATACAATGGAAGATATGACGCGGTCTGTGAGTTGGGGGTACGGCAGAAATGAACGATCACAACTGATAGACGCCTGCGAGGATTGAGACTGAGACAGCGAAGTTTGCGACATCGTGGGTTCCGCACCCGCCGGTGGGCTAATCGCTCTTTCGGATTCTGGTTGTTCACGAGGAGCAGATGCCAAGACTCGCTCTACAGCACTGGAGATGATATCTCGAATATCTTCGTTTGTCAAGCGCTCGAGTACTAATACTCTGCAAAAGTTAATGCTTGAAATAAAAAATTACATTTTTACTCACCTGCAACGACTCAGCAAGGCGCCTGTGAGCCTGAACGACGGATTCTCGGTCGTCGCTCCAATCATCTTCCATTTTGTTAATAGTACAGGACTCTTCATTGAATCACATACCTGGATTTGACCTTGCTCAATAAATGGAAGGAAGATGTCCTATTCATTCGCTTCAGAAATTGTTGCAAATGTGGTCAAAGGAATCGTACCTGTTGCGCCTTGTTGAAACGATGTACCTCGTCCAAGAACAGTATCGTTTTTCTGGCATAAGTGAAGTCGACGCAGTAAAATGCTAGAACGTCGTGATTCCTTACCTTCCTGTCAATGAAAGGATTGCTTTCGCCTCTTCGATCACTGCGCGAACATCGTTCGTACCAGAAGAAGTCGCGCTTAGCTCCCTGAAATTGCAGTCCACGTGCCGTGCTAGTAATCTTGCCAAAGTGGTCTTTCCACAGCTCGAAGTGTGTCAACAATGAATCTGATTGTAACATAATCGAATTCCCTCACCCAGGTGGTCCCCATAATATAAGACTGCCAATTATACCACTATCCAGCATATTCATTAGAAGAGACCCGGGGCCAGTCAAGTGCTTCTGCCCGAAGAATTCATCCAGGCATTGTGGGCGAAGCCTTTCTGCAAGAGGGATGGCAGACTTGAAATTAGAAGGCGTGCCTTTGAAGTGTTTGTTCGACATTCGAGAGAGTGATGACACCTCATGCTTGCGTTTCTTGGAGGTAGGTGTGTCTTGGGTCATCGATGGAGGTGGTGAAGAGCCGTCAGCCAAGGTGCCGGTGTGTTTGTCACGGGTCTTGTTGAAAATAGGTGCCAACTTCTTGGGCGCTGTGTTTTTGGGTTGAGAAGAGGATTCTCCTAGAGATGCCACATGAATACTGCAGCCGCTGTCTAAATGTTTATTGATGTTCTCCTCCAAAACAGGCTGCAGGCATATTGGACTTGTAACAAAGTGTCAGCAGCGTGATGTTTTAAGGTAAATCAAATGACTGACCAAGACACTGTGGAGAACATTAATCCTCGGTATAAGTGAGAATACGGTAACGCACCTGCCAGTGAAGGCATCACGGACCTGGTCGTTCAGAGCGGAAACTGGTAATGAAGCTCTGCAAATCGTTAATGTTGATTTCAAACTTGAGTTCAAACGTTCAAGCTTAAGCCCAATGTCAAGATCTTGTCACTGGTGTTGTTAGTCAAAGAGGTTGAAAAAGGTTCCGTTCGACTGGGTCACCATAGTAGGGCCTAGGCCATCTGACGGTGTCCCGGGTCCCACTCTTGAGTTAAGGATCGCTCTCGATCACGGGTTCTGCAACTCACCCTTGTCGTTTCGCATATCTCGAGCTAACGATGCCAGCTATCGATGTAAACGGTCTCCCTGCGTCAGAAGTGCGACCTTTTAATGTTCTTATAACTGGCTTTGGTGTGAGTTGCCTCGGAGCCTTGCTCGTTCCCACCCTTTCAAACGCGCGCCTAACTGTCAGTGAGCTTAGCCGTTCTCTCGCTATTCGGTCAATCCATCATGGCTGGCTGTGAAGCCACTTCACAATACCATTTTGACCATCGACCCGCTTGATGAACCTGTTACAGTCGACGATCAAACCTCCTTGTCTGAAGCACACAGCTTTACCCAGGACTCACGCGACATTCATCTATCGACCCTTCAAGTCCCCGTAACCTATGAAGATGTTCTTGCAATTGTCCCCGGGCTACACGCGAGGCCGCCTGTCCTCCCTCCTTCTGCAGATCCTGACCTGCCGGACATCATGCCGCCAACAGATGGATTCGATCTCATCTTTCACGTTGGCGTTGCTGGGAGAGGACCACTGCGAATGGAGAGGGTTGGTCATAAATTTGGTTACAACATGAAGGATGCCACTGGTAGTCATGCGCCAATCGTACGCGTGACGCGTGAAGAAAACTCTAATTCCAATCGTGGACAATCAGAACCTTCGGAGATGGAGAGGATGGAAAGAGCACGTTTAAGTGAATACCTCATTGAAGCACCTGTAGATGGCACAGAACCACCTAAGCGTGGATTTGGAAAGGGATACGAGTTGTTCCCCGAAGAGATTTTCACAGAAATTGATGTTGAAAAGCTTGTGCATCACCTCAAAAAATCGGGCATCGAGGTGAGAGAGATCTGCGTGTACCTTGTCAGGAATACTAACATGGTTTGGGAAGCAAATATATTCGTCCCTGGACGCAGGACACTACCTTTGCGACTTCATCTATTATTGTTCACTAGCCGAGAGCAAACGGACAGGTGGAAAGGCCGATAAGTCGACCACTAAAGTCATTTTCCTGCATTGTCCACCTGTTGATCAGCCGCTGAGCACAGAAGAGGTAACGGAAGCCATTAAGAAGTCTGTGATCTGGTGTTGTGGGGCTGCAGCAAAGTCCGCGATTCCATCTACTTAATTACCATACCGTGACGGAAGTAGGGGCTGAGGGGCTCGGCATAGTTGATGTTGACATGGGACTTTGGAGTACTAAAGAGCAAATACCGAGGATATATACATGATTTCTGTAGTACTTAGGAAATGATCTGGGGTGCGGGGGCAATCAGTATTTTGAAATGTTGACTACATGGAGATCTCCTTAATCTCCGTTTGTTTGTGGAGCACCATTGACTGTACAAATGATCCCGCAATCTCCAATTACAAAACTGCTGCATGCATATGCAGCCATGTTCATCATGCCATGCACGTATTCGGTCAACAGGGTTTCGCGCTTCACGTGACGTCTAGGCAACTGAGGGTCGATGATCCTCTAAGCTCTTTCGTTGACGACCTCGTGAAATCAACACTTGGCCGCCTGGGCTCAAGGGTATGAACAAGATTCTGCAATCGGCATCTTCGGGGGATATCCAGGACCCGGGTGACTCGTGACGGTTCAGCGATTCTAAAGTCCATCCAGCTCGACAATCTAGCAGCCAAGGTCCTCGTCAACATCTCAAAAGTCCAAGACGACAAAGTCGGAGATGGAAAGGATAGGCTTGTGTGTGCTAGCAGCAGAGCTGCTGAGTGAAGTAGAGAGGTTGATTTCAATGAAGATACGTCCTCAGACGATTGCGGAGGGATACCGGCGGGTCGCGAGCATTGCTGCGTTTGCGGCACTGGAGAAGGAAGTGATCGATCACTCGTATGTCTTCGCGTTATTGCATCGCTCTAATTTTTCTTCCGGACACGACTTGGTTATGCTCTCAAATAGCTCCGATGCTGTCCAATTCTGTCAAAATATTTTCACGGCCACCACTCGTCGCTGATAGTGACATTGCAAGCATGTTCAACAGACCAGATCTGATAAAACATGGGAAGTGCGATTTAATCGAGGAAATCATCATTGGGGAGGATAAGGTTGGTGTCATCATTCACTTGCTGATTTTGAGCTCATCAGAAGTCACAACTCATAAAATTCTATGGTGTTTGTGCGGGCGAAGCCTGTACTGTTGTGGTTCGTGGTTCAACCAATCAGATGGTTGAGGAGGCCGAGCGCTCATTGCATGATGCGCTTTATCACAAACAGTCAAAGAGATACTTATTCTCTTGGGAGGTGTATGGTCCGAGATGTTGATGAGCTGCGCCGCGGAGGAGGACGCGCGAAAGGTCAAGGGCAAGAAGTCGATAGCTCAGCTGAGGCATTTATTTAGCCATGCGCTGAGACAAATCCCAACTATCTTCGCGGACAACGCTGGCTATGACTCAAGGGACCTCGTTATCAGACTTAAAGAAGCACATTATAAGGGACAGTCAGATTCCAGACTCGGTATGATTGTATACTTTTTCAGGCTTGGATGCCGAACTAATAGGATCTCGAGATACGAACCAAGGCGCCATTGGGTGTCACGGAAAGCTATTAGCTGAAGCCGCAGATTGTGCTTAGTGCAAGCGAGGCAAGGGGGATGCTAATAAGGTATGCAGCTGTACAGTGCACCTTCCAGATCAAGATCTTTCCTTAGACCCTGGGGTGGATGATATTCTACGTGCAATGCCTCGGAGGCGTGAAAAAGTACTTGGCTAGCATAATATTCATGTCATGTTTGATAACTGCAATGGCCTCTACAGTGGTATATAGATACACTTGTAGAACACTCTGCCAGCCTAAGAGACAGTGAACTTTGAACTCGGCGAACCCCGGCAACTATATGTAGCCCATTACCATGTGATACGGGTGATACATCGTCATACAAAGGCTAGATTGCGACATTATCAGGTCCCCAAACCATCGTGCACATGGGGAAATGGGAGCCGGGGCTGGATATAACACAGCGAGTCACTGAAGATATTCTACTTACTCCCCCACTAGTACTGAGATGTCAACCAACATTACTTTTCATCCAGGTGTGTCCCTAGAACCGCTTTGATCCACAAATAAAATATCAATGTGAATAGGATCTGTTGACGCCCAGGAACGCGTTAGCTTGCTCAAACAGACGGGTGTTACGGTCTGGCTGACTGGACTCAGTGCTAGTGGCAAGGTCTGTTACTCGTTCATCTTGCCACTGGGCGCTGATTCCCTCACAGTCAACGATAGCGTGTGCTCTAGAACAACATCTGCTTCATTTGCACAAATTCACCTACCGGCTCGACGGAGACAACGTTCGCTTAGGGCTCAATAAAGACCTTGGTTTCGACGAGAAGTCCCGAGTAGAAAATATCAGGCGCATAGGCGAGGTACCATGCACCAGGACTACAAGCAGTCGCGTGCTTACATTTCTTTGAAGGTCTCCAAATTATTCGCGGACTCTGCTTGCATCGCGGTCACAGCTTTTATATCACCCTACAAAGCAGATCGACAAGTAGCCCGTGAACTGCACGAGAAAGGAGGCCTCGGGTTCATCGAAGTGTTTGTTGATGCCCCTCTCAGTGTAGTTGAACAGCGTGATCCAAAAGGGCTCTATAAAGCAGCTCGTGCTGGAAAAATCAAGGGTAAATTTCATCACGACATCCATCACAAGACGGGGCACTCAAAATTTACATGTAGAATTCACTGGCATATCTGCGCCGTACGAAGCTCCCGAGAATCCTGATATACACATTAGAACAGACGAATGTGATGTGACCATGGCAGTCGAGATTATCATCGAATACCTCACCAAGCATAATTATATTTCGTAGTTACCAAGGACGGCGAAAAAGGAATTTATAGTCTATATACCTACTTTTTACCGGCTAGGATCTCGGGAGAGTAGAATGCGATTAAGACATCAGGATGATCAAAGTTCAACTAGCTGGACTCCAGCACGATATCAGTCACAGAATCCCATTTCCACGCGTCCGTGTCTTCCGTCAAAGAATCCCCTTCAATAGCGCTTTCTTCCTGCTCTTCCGCTATAGAATCTCCTGCGGCTTGGTCGAGCATTGTTGTAAAACCAACTTCGATTACAGCCAGCCATTTTGTCAAATCATTGACGGACCGTACCAGCTGCGCATTTGTGGCGTCATGGCTCATTAGACTACAGAGATCCAGCGGCAAAACTTGAGGTCCGACAGTTGACATTTGTGCTGATGGACCTGAGTGAGATAATGAAGCAGAGTGAGATAGGTTCGAAGGCCCAGAGGGAGAATGGCTCCGTGCAAGCGTAAGTGAAGCACTGGAAGTATTCGCTGCAGGAAGGGAACCAAGAACGGAGGCCCTTTCGCTTGTCGTCATGGGTGACCCAAGTCCGCTAGGAGAATGGACATAAGAGCTTTTATTGTGTACAAGGGCCAAAGGTGAAGGCGGGAGTAAATCTGTTAGACCCAGCTGGTGTTCCGACGTAATGGTAGGCACCTAGAATGGCATGAGTTAACAATTCGATCACATGTCGTCGCTTCCTACCTTCACTGCGTCTTTGAGTCCTGGCAGGATTAAGCTTGCTGCAGGGCTGCTGGCGTCACTGCCTTTGCTTGATGAGCTGCCACTCCTCTCCCGGGTCGCAAAAGGCCTAACAGGTGGCAAAAGAGGAGAAATCGGAGTAGTCTCTATGACGGCAACCGAAACTTGTGAAAAGAATAAGTTGGCAACAGCTGGAGATCAATCACAACGTATATACCTTCGGCCCTCTCCTCTGAAGGCATATTTTCCTCTTTCATTTCGATATCCATTGAAGCTGGGACATTGGTGGAGAGTTTCGATTTCGCTCGAGAAACTGTCCTGGGAGGAAAGGCGAAATCGTTGTATTTAACCATCTGAACATCATCTGTGCTGTCTGGGGTGGCTAATGTACGTTTAAACGGAGTGCGTGATGGTGATGAAGAGGAAGGCGCTAGAGGTGTCGGGCTCGGAGTATCACGCAGTGGTGGAGGGGGTGGCATCGGAGCTCGTAGAGTTTCGAATCCAAGATGCGCGGAGTCATCATCAAAAAGGCCACGCAATGATGTAGGTAATCGTGCTGAAGGTTTAACAGTAGGAACTGCTAGTGATGAGTCATTCGGGAAGGTATCAGGCAGTATATCTTCCTTTAATGCAGCTTGAAACGTTCGACGTCTTATTGTGTCAAATTCCCAGAGGTCTGTCTCTTCATCTACCACTCCTTGCAAGCTAAGAAAACAACTTTAATTAGCAAGGAGCGCAGGACGAATGGCACTCACTCTTTTTTCTCCTCGTTCTCCCAGTCGAGTGGTTCCACTAAGCTATTGCGAGTACCCCCGTTTTGCATCCAAGCATCGTATCGGAGAATCAGCTCCCGTAGAGCAGATACGTTAGCCTTTGACACCGATTTCATCCACTTCGTTCTTATTAATTCATCAGCGGAAAACCGCTTGTCCCACGAATTAATAATGTCATCAATCAAGACAACGTCAAAAGCCAAAAACTCACCTCACTTGGAGAGGCTTTAAGACAGTGCGATACGAACTCTCGCATTTCTTTGCTACCATCCGCTTCGGCTAATTGTGGGGGTTGTACTTTGGTTATTAATTGCATAACCTTGATCGCGTCCCTCAAATCTGAGTGAGGAGGTGCACCCTTCACCATCTCGTAAATCATGATGCCCAAACTCCAAATATCGGCCTTGCTATCGTACGCTGGAACGGGTTGTGCCACCTCGGGAGCCATCCAATTTGGGGTGCCCATCAGAGTGTTTCGCTTGCTCGTGGTCGTGGCAGAGAGGGCGGAGACACCGAAGTCGCAAATCATAACTTTACCAGTGGCAGTGATGAGGATGTTAGCGGCTTTGATATCTCTATGAATGATGGCAGATTTATGCAGGTAATTGAGCCCAATGACGACCTCACGGGTGATGAGTACAATGAACCGCTCCTCAAGAACACGGTCTTTAGAAGTCTGCATGAGAGTGCGAACACTTCCACCCTGGGCGAATTCCATGGCGATCCAAACGCGTGGGCCGTCAAGATAACAACCGTAATACTTTGTGACGTTGGGGGCATCGCGAAGCTGGGTCAATAGAGCTACCTCGCGTTGAATGGCTTCTACATCGTCGTCAGCAGTATCCAAGTTGATGATTTTTAGGGCCACAATATTTCCTGTGGGTATATGAACGCCTTTATGGACGGAACCGTAGGCACCCCTGCCTACAGTTTCCAGGCGTCTGAATAGTTGATGCACGGTTGGCTGAGAAGCCATTGCAGCAAGCACAACGTTGACACTGAGGTGTCCTGCAGATAATCGATGATCGATGAGGGAGGCTTGGTTGAACGTTGAACGTTGAAGGTCAAACGTTCTGAACCCGGGGGTTTGTTCAATCAGCGTGACTGTCACGCTGTCACAGTAGGAGGAGGTGATCATCATCATAATATGGATCGAGCGAGTCAGAAACCTTCGTTTCGCACCCCTGCGCGCCATGATGAACTTTGACGTCGCTCCAGTCGAAGTAGTCACTCGTGAATTCGTAGCAGTCATCCTCGCTGGATTCGGAAATGAGTAAGTCTTGAAACCCATGAATTATGGATCGACTATATCATCATTGGCTTGCAGACTGCTCCCTTTGACCGGTGAACATGGTGATGAGCCCTGTCCAAAGGCGTTACTTCCGATTTCAAACAAACCTATGCTCGACTATCCTTTGTCATGGGTGGAGCAGTCTGGCATCAAAGGTAGACTTATTAACTTCATACAAATTGCTCGGATCAACGATGGCTTATCAAGTCTCAGATGTTCTTTTGATTTGTCCTTCATCCCATCGCCCTGCAATATCACACTATATTCACTCACAGTCTTCATCTGCATCCTTCTCTTCCGTTCATATTGACCTCCAGACGTTCGATGAATCACAGGAACTGAGTGCAGGGACATGCTCCGTACTTCGCCATTTCGCTAATCGCATCAAGGAAGACTTCATTCTCATCCCTTGCGACTTCATACCACCGCCTTCCCTACCCTTATCAAAGCTGCTCAACAAGTTCCGCACAGACACGATGTCAGACGGTTCCATTGTGACTTCGTGCTGGTATGAACACAAATCAGACAAGCAAGCCACTCCAGATGAATGGGGTTCTCCAGCACAACCGACCCCGATTGTATGGGATCACCTCAGCGGCACCCTGTTATATGTAGATAGTCCTCATGAAGCTGATAAAAACAGCGATGAACTGGAGCTGCGGATGACCTTACTCTCAAGGTGACTCATATCGCCCGGCAGCTGTATGTGATGACTCAATTCCTTAGATATCCACAGGCAAAGCTGTCTTCGAGGCTGCTAGACTCACATGTTTACGTTTGTAAACGCGCTGTGCTCGACTTGTTGGCCCAGAAAACTCGGTTTGACTCTCTTAGAGAAGATTTCTTTCCTTGGTTATGCAAATTGCAGTACCAATCAACTAAGCGGGAAAAATATGCTACGAGCATTCGAATAGGAATTATAATTCATCGAGCGGATGACGGGTTTGCTATTCGCGTTAACAATCTACCAGCATACCTCGAAGCAAATCGTCATGTTTGTCTTCTTCCTGTCTTACGGATCAGATCCTCACTGAAAATGAATTACACCAGTTCGTAGCTGACACTTCCATTGGAGACTTCACACGTGTCGAAGAGAAGTCAACCATTAAAAAATCTACCATCGGAAAACATTGTGTTATTGGAAAAATGGTGAAGATTGTGGGATGCGTTCTCCTGGATCATTGTGTGATTTCTGATGGGTGAGGAATTCTCAACTTGGTATCTGATATTGACAAAACCTATCCCAGGGCGAAGCTGGATGGATGCATTTTGGGCAACAGTACTATTGTAGGATCGAAAGCAGAGTTGATAAAATGCGTTACGCAGGCTGGGTACGAAGTAGAAGACAACGGTGAACCGACCATCCTTGCTTGCGTACCTCAACAACACAGCTGAACATTGTTGACAGAATCAGTGCGAAACGAAAAGCTTGACATTTCGGACTGGGCCGCGCAGCCGGAAGACAGCGAGGGCAACGTTGAAGACAGTACAGAGGAAGAAAGCGATGAAAGCGAAGACTAACCAGCTAGGACCACGTAGTTTCGGTGGAAGACATGTATTCAGTGCGGAGACAACACGAGATAGAAGTATACCGTACACTCAAAGGCAGAGTCGGCACAACGCGAAGATCATGCTGTCGCAGTGGTTTTCAAGACTCTGTGCAGATCGAGATCCACGCACAGGCTTTCTCGTGTCCTATCTCCCCTTCAACGTCCTGGGTTGGTTCACCACGCTTCTCACCTTGTTACTAGCCATCACCCCAATCTACCACTTAGCTTGATACCATGGAACTTCCAGTTCTGCTTTGTGTGCAATATGAAACGATACGTGAACAATCCTTAAGTTCGCTCTTGAATGAATCTTGAATACATTTTTACTCAGTGGTCACTTGCAAGAGCGATGTGTAGAAATATCTCAAGTGTCCACCAGTAAACATACCTGTCGCTGAGTAAAGACTTCATCATCGAATCAGATTGACATAGTGTACAGGTGCTCTTCCAAACCGCAGCTACGGCTTCTTGACATCACTGCCCCCGCCGTTCTGCACGATAGCGCTCTACAAGATATCTGCAGGTAAATCTTGGCATCAGCAGCAAGGCGAGGCAGCACTATCATGCTCACCCTTCGCCACCCCAAAGCGTGAGCAGGCCGAATGAGACAGCAGTGACGACATCCCGGTTCCACTTGGGTTTGTGCCAGGTTGTGTAGCCATAATACCCAACTGCACCAAGAATCACTGTATTTACTGAAGGGGAAGTGAGCATTTTAAGAGATCGCAGATGGGTTTGTCGCTGACCTAGTCCGACTAAACCGCCCAAGACACCCGGACGAAAGACGTGTTCTCGAAGTTGCTTGTAGATGAGGGTGCCCTCCTCGCGCGCGCGTCGTTCCTCCCGGCGGCCTATAGAGGTCTTTCGATACTTCTCTACTGCGTAGCCTTCAGTCCCGATTAATAACAGGGCTCCTGCCGCCGCCGAACCGATGGAAGTGAAATTCCGACGAAGGCTAGGTTTCGTATAGAATACGTAGCCCACGCTAGACAAAAGGCCAATATTTACTTTGGGATAAAATCGTTAACCAACACAGAAATCCGAAAAACATCGACCATACCCAAGCCAATGAGACCACCGGCAACACCTGGGCGAAACAAAATGTGTTTTGTGACCTCCCACAAATAGGTCCCTTCTGCCCGAGCCTCCTGAAGGCGCCTGTTCCCTTTACTCTTTCCCACTTTCCTGCCTGGGTCGATGAGATCATCATCGATGTCTTTTGGAACATATGTTTCGGATGTACGTGTAGCAAGTTTATCTTTAAAATCGCTGGAAACAATATTCACTTTGGAAGTATCGTCGATTACATTACTTGCAGAGGAGTGTTCGGTTGTTAGGAGCGCAGGATCCGGACGAGGCTGAGGGACATAGTGAGCATGACTCGATAACATCCTAAATCTCGCAAGTGCATACCTGCTCAGACGTGGGGGGAGCATCGCGAGCAGCAATGGAGGCGTAGCTAGACATATTATACAACTCAACGGTGTTTTCAGAAACTAACGAAGTCCTTTTTGTCGACTCATGTTTTTGTATGGCAGGAGGCACTATGACATCACTTCATTGCGTCATAGGAGACACTTGCCTTTCTTGTCATTTTGGGGGTATATGGCAGATTATGTGCTACTTAGGTAACGGAAAATACGTTGTGTAGGTGTTTCATCCTGGCACGGAAGCGACAGTGGGTGGTGCAAAAAAGGCTCCACAAAATTCAGAAAACATCCAGTGAGTGTGGGCAATCAGCAGCTACATGTCCGTGTCCTTCGCAGTCAACGCAAAACAAGTCTGACGGATCTCTGTTCGTCTTCTTGACTGTGTTGTCACGAGCAGTGGGTGTTTCGTCCCGCAAGAGATCGCAAGTGAAGATATCGTGCCCAGGTCTCTTACAGAGCTCACAGATGTCTTCGCTAGAACTTTGTTGAAAGTTGTTGTTTGGGGTGGATGAACGTCGAGGAGATAGATCTGTTGGCTCGAGACTGTTCTTTGACGACTTCTTGTGATTCCGCGTCAGCTTCTCTTTAAGGCGCTCGAGTTCTTGCTCAAGTTCATCCTGCAGGAAGTTAAATGAGCACAACAGCACACTTTTACGTTGTAGGACGAAATTTACTTCGCGATAAATCTATCGAGTTGAATTAGACTTTGCTCCACATGCAGTCACAACACGTACCTTTGACTCCACGAGCGCCTCTAGCTCACCAATCTCTTTATTCAGCTGGACCGAACACCGGTTAGAAAAGTATGACAGGAGCGACTGGCACGTACATCGTGTGTGACACGGGCAGTCTTCATCTCAGCTTCAGCTAAGCGCTTGCGTAATTGTTCCAGTTCGTTCTGTGACAAGAGTCAGTTCGACACCCTGAGTACCCTACGCATTGACATACTTCCAACCTAGCCATCTGCTCGTCACCAGATGCCAGTGTGTTGTGATTTCCAAGAGCAGCCTCTTCGCGCAACAAAGTCTGTTCGATGTTCTCCTCGAGTAATTTCAGTTCCTGCAATCAAAGTTAGAGAGGATTCGCCGATTACTCCACACAAGCCGTACCTGGCGAAGTTGATCGGTCTCTGACATTAGGAGTCTGTTCTCAGACTCTAGTAACTTATTTCGCTGAGTCACTGCAGAAGTCTCTTTTTGTAAGTCTTGAACGATGTGCCTGTTGTGAAATATAAGCGCCAGTAAGAAGGATGAAAGCACATAACCGACTTCAGGCCCATTACTTCAGCAGATTCCTGCTTAGACGAGGTTGGTGTCCTTGGCGATTCTTGGATGCCGTTGATAGGAATGTCACGATTAAGTCTCTTCTTCGCAGCGTCGAGCTCCGAAGCACGCTCCTCGAGATTCTTGCGCAAAAGAAGCACCTCCTTTTGCACTTGCTCGTACTTCACTTGCCAATTGGCGCCGTCCTACACTCAAGATTGTCAATGACTAGATGCAAAACCGGGGCGGCCTCTTACTTCGACTGTCGGGGAGGCTGATGCAAATTCTGCGGCAGATGATCGTAATTGATCAAGTTCCTCACGCAGCGCCTGAATCTCCTCCGTGAGGCGCGTGCGCTCCTCAACTTTGAGTTTCTGCGAGTCGAGAACGCCGTCCGTTTCCAGCCCAGCCACCTGATGGACTAGATTAAGATGTGAAGCGGCTCCAGGTAAGCCACTCACAGCAACATCGGATCTCAAATTTTCGATTTCGGCCTGAGCATTTTCGAGGGCAAGAGTACTTTCTCGTAAGGCCTCCTCGACCTCTTCAACACGACTTTTAGCGAGAGCCTCAGCTTTGAGGACCTGTTCAACAGTCTTGCGCCCCTCGCTGAGTTCGCTTCGCATAACATCTTCCTTGTCCTTGAACCGTTTGATTCGATCACGCACGGCAGCTTCCTCCCGTTCAGATACTGCACGAGCATCTTCCAGAGAGTCCTCCAGTGTGGCAAGCTTGCGTTGCAAGTGCTGCACTTGTTCGCGAAGATTCTCGTTGTCAATTTCAGCAGCAGAAGTGGCGCGCTGGAGGACGGCGCTGGGAGAGAGAGGAGTAGAGGCCTTCTTGACTTGGTCCTCGAGAAACACGATCCGGTCCTCAAGCTCGTATCGACGCGAATCTGCGGTGCTGAGACGTTCTTCATAAAGCGCAATTGTTTCCTAAGACAATCATCAAGTTCAAGTCAGTTCAGGTGCGAAATAGCTGACCTGGCCAGCTTGACGAAGTTCATCAATCTGCGCATTTAATTCTTTTCTGTCAGACTCTAATTCGCCCGACACCTTCTCCAATCGACCTTCTAAAAGCCCAATTTCGTCATTCTTAGCCTTGAGTAGCGCATCCCTATCATGCTCGACACCCTCTTTCACCGCGATTGCCTCTTTGAGACTCTTGACGAGTAACTCACTCGTATCAAGTTTGGCTTGGAAGTCTGCGACACGAGCCTCGTTCTCGTTCTTGACGCGTTCTAGTTCAGACGTTGTTTTTAGCGCAGCGCGATCAAGCAATTCAATTTTTGACTCTCGTTCGGTGACTTTGCGCTCGAGCGTGCGGAGCTGGTTCTCTGTAGAGGAAACAGAGGCGAGAGCTGCATCACGTTCAGATTCGAGTGCTTGGACTAGCGCGATGTCTGCACGAGCTGTGTCGGCGGCGTCACGAAGAGAAGCATTCTCGCGCTCGAGAGATTCTAGGCGAGAATGCAGAACGTCCTTTTGCGCGTCATTGTCGGGGAAAGCAGATCGAAGGGAGGCGACTGAGGATGGCCGAGATGGACTGGGAGCGCTAGTCTTGGGAGGTGAATTAGACTGTCCCGAGAGGAGCCGATTAATCTTATCCTGCAAAGCCTGTGAAGAAGCAGTGAGATCCATCGAAGAACGCAGGTGATTGCGCGACGTTAGGTCTTCATGGGCGAGATCGGGGCCATCATTCAAAAAATAAGTAGACGTAAAGGATGCTGATCGGGCAGGTGAGGCTGGAGGTGGCATAGCAACTGCGCTGGGTATCCTTGGGCGTGGGGTGTTTAGAGATGGGCGACCTTTGAGGCCAGGGGTGAGTGCGCCGGAGTACAAATTTGGGGCACGAGGAGCAGCACCAGCCTTTGGTGTAGTAAATGGAGAATCTGAAGGGTGTATATTCGAATCTAGAGCTGGGGGTCCGTATGATGGCGAAGACGGAGAGCGAAGAGTATGCTCGGAGGTCCCGTCGCCATTAGCCTTCAACTGCTTGGCTGTGAGACCGATATACTTGGAAGCCCTCGAACCTGAGGTAATTTGAGTATCCAGTCCAGGTCTTCTTTGCGACGGTGACAGGCCTAACTGTGGAGTTGGCTTGGTTTTACGAGCTGCAGGAGTTGTGCCAGCGTTGGGGCGGCTATATAAGTTAGACGGAGTGATGCGTCCGCTTCCAAACGAAAGTGAATGTGAAGGAGTGACTCTGCCGGAAAAGGATGGCGTTATGCGACCACCGCGAGAGGAGGCGACTGAGGGAGGCCGATAGCTAGAAGGGATTGTGGGGGCAGAGAGTTTCGTAGTAGCGACGAATACACCACAACTCGGAGGACACACAAAGTACTGTTTCCTGCAAAAATACTCTCAGCAAGATAATCTGAAGCTGGTACTGTGTACGGACACTGCTAGCAGTTAACAGTAAACAGAGAACTCACCCCCCAACAGATCCATCATTTTTGCCTTTGCCTGAAAAACCTCCACTGAGTTCAACCCCTGCCCACAGGCCCGATTTACCGTCGATCTCTCCAATAAACTTTAGGCAGCCCTCGTACCCCAAAGACTCTATCCTGACATTGTCTCCGACTTCGAATGTTTTCCCAGCTCGACTTACGCTACGGGTAAAAACATCTGATTGTCTACTTGGAGCGCGTGGAGCGGGTGTCTTTGTTCTACTCTGTGCAAAGGTAGAGGTTGAAGCGACCGAGGAAGGGCGACCAGCTACAGAACGACGGCCTGATTGAAGTGTCGCCAAACTTGACTTTGGTGAAGAGGATGAAGGGGAAGTACTCGAAGTAGTGCTGGTACGATGCTGTGCGGGGTCATTGGCCTTGATTGCATTTGCGAATGCCCGGGACATAAACTCCACATCGGAATCAAAGGCAGGTTGAGAATTGGCAGAAGAGGATGAACGAAATCTGCCTGGAGTAGGTATTCCACTAGACTTTCCAGGTGTCGGAATACCTGATATTCTGGGTTTGCCTGGCGTTATCGACATTCTGAAGGAATTCCAAAGCACTTGTCCAGAGCACAACCCTGAACTACTAAATGATCATGTGACTTGGATGAGCATGATCACCCCGTTGAGTCTAAATTTTAGCACTTCAACATGTTACTTCAACTTCTTGGAGCAATTCGTAGACCGTTGCTCAGTTTACCATCGTTCACCGCGGTGAATTCAATCATCCCGGCGTCACGCTCTATCCTAATAAATCGCGCGTCACTTCTCCCACAAACACTCTCGCTACCTTCCCTATGTGATGCGCTGGGCCAAAAGCGTTTTGCCTCCCGTGGTACCGAGTACCAACCTTCACAACGAAAACGCAAAAGAAAGCACGGATTTCTTGCTCGGAAAAAGACTGCAACTGGTAGAAAGACTCTAGCCAGAAGACTACTGAAGGGACGCAGATTCTTGAGTCACTGAGAAATGGGCATGTCTTTCGCTTCTAGTCTGACACACTGATTGACTATTTGACCAAGTTAGCGCACCAGGGAACTTGCAGGATTTGTAGTGGTCTCCTGTAGGCAGACTCAATAGAAAGGGACACGGTCGTTCCTTTCCTTCTGTATTACGGATAATGCTTCCAAAGTTCCACACCGTGCTTTTAGTATATGGATATATCATTGATCCAAAGTCAATTAACTACGAAAGTTCATATGATCTAGTTGACATCCATCATCTCCAATACCTGTCGTGCCGCACTGTCCTGAACGACACCGACGCAGGCTATATCCTTGTGAGTCGTCGGGCTGTTCGGACGGTATGTCTGAGCAATGATTTGAGTTACATAAGCTTGGGGAGGTGAGAGCGGCGATGAAGGCGTAAATAGGAATCCACGTTGAATAGATGAAAGGAGGGCAGTTATAGGTGTTTTGGAGGGGGACTCCTGAAAGCCAACGTTGCGTGAAGGCGTAGTTTCAATGAAGGTGGAGGGAAGGCGAACATCTCCCGTGATATGTCGGTCGGCGGCAGTGACTTGTGCGGATTGCTCTCCTGACGCTGGTAGCTCAAGCTGGGGTGACTGACGGGGACTACAGGCTGGGGAAGATGGCAGAGGTACTGCAGTAGGACATACAGTGGGACTGGGAGGTAATGGTACATGTTCCGGCACGGGTTTGCTAGTATCAGAACTCTTCACCACGCCAGGTTTAGGACGTATCGAAAGGGCCTTGACAGCGGGCTTGGACGCTTTGCCCGAAGACCGTCCTCCCCACACTGGCTTTTTCTGGCCTACAGCTTGCTGGCTGGAACGACTTGATTCGATAACATGTTTGCGGGAAGTCTGCGACGACGTTTGTTGTTCGACTTCCGTGGTTGGTGGCCTTGACCGGCTAAGCTGAGAGCTCGTAGCTTTTGTCGGATGGTCTGACCTCATTATTGGCCGTGGTCCCGTTCGGGACGATGGCCTGGTGTTAGCAGTTGCCGCTGACGGTGCGGCACGGGTCAAGGCAGTCGAGTGAACCATTGTGGTTACGGAGTCGTTCCTTGAATCTCGTTTCGAGACGAGAGTTTGTGCGAGTGAGCTAACTGAAGTTGGCTTGGTTGAAGGAGGACCGCTCTTTGAAACCGTAAGCGTTGTCATGGTATCATCAGTTTCTGGTAAGGGAGCTGCGGGAATGAGTATTCTTCGGGCACCTCCTACAACACGAGGTTTCTCGTCGTGCGACTTCATGAGCACGGTCCCTATTCGCTGAGGGCCCTGCGTGGTGGGAAATGGAGGACGTGGAATGTCTTCTCGTCGATTTGTGCTCTGCATGGTCGACGGGCCTGTTTCCGGAGGGGGACGGAGTGCCCCTTGGCGAGACATTTCCCTCACCGATGGCCCTGCAATTGCACTACTAGAGGTCGCTCGATTTGACACAACACGCAGCCTTGCGGCAGGTACCTCTTGTGGGGGCTCAGAGCTAGGAGGACGTGTTGGTCTCTCTGCATGTTTTCCAGAAACACCAACGACAGTAGCGGACTGTGTGGATGTAGTTCTAGAATGAGAACTCGTCTTCTGAGCCTGGAGGGACCCGATCGGCCTTGATGTCACTCTTCCTGTCGGTGCAGGACCACGAGAGTGTGCTTGTGAAGTCAACCGCGAAGCAACCGTGCCTTGCACATCTAAGTACTTCTTGATGACAGGGGTTAAGGGCGCAATGAAACTGAAAGTTGCATGTCAGGCATGTTATCACGAGCGGAAGCTTTAGCTTGAGAGACCAACCTCTCCACGCGATCAGGTAAAAGAGCTTTATATGCCTCAAAGATCATTTTTCCTGCTCTTCTGACGTCTGCGCTCGCATCACGGGCAGTCAACTTGATGACGTCCTCGATAAGACGGGCACGAGTATCTTTCTCAATATCAGGAGGATTGAAGCAGTTCAAGCAAGCGAGGACGCCCTCTGCAGCCACTGAACGCAGAAAAGCTGACTTTTGATTTAAAGACTCCGCAAGATACGGCAGAATGGAAGGCAATTGGGTATTTTCAATCACAGCGAGAATGCACGCCTTCGCCCGGCTGGTGAATACCTTGTTGGTCCGGCCACAAAGCCCGAGAAGAGTTGGCATAAATAGTGAGACGAGGGGCTCAAAAGAGGGGCCTAACCCCGCTAATAGAGCATTCACAAGTTCTATGGTAGAACCCGACAGTCTACTGCGTTCCGAATTCATAGCATGGTTGATTGGTCTGGAAAGCGAGCGTATTCCGGCGACCATTTCCGTGGCGAAGTCGCATCCGCCATTATTGCAACATTGGGTGAGTTGCACAATGCCCTGCTCGATCTTGTCCCACGACTCTTCTGTCTCTTCAAGGGAGACTTTCCCGCGGACAGCTTCAAGTTCTGCGTTTAGAATTGCTGGAGAGCTACACTGCTAAAATGTAAGAAAACAGCGAAGATGATACGAAATGCATCTCCCACCTTTCTCTTGGACATGTATCAGGACGTTATAATGTGTAAGTGGTTAGAAAACGAAGCGACGAACAAGTTCAAATCATGCCCATCAGTGGCAACACGCGACTTGTACCACAGGTCATGTGATCGCGGATCCCGGAATTTGCCGAGAAATTGTGTCTCAGCATTCACCTATCGCTCGCTGTCATACGCAGCGTCAAGGCTATCCTGAGGAACAATTGAACGAAGGTGAGCCCATTTTCACGCACGCACCAATTAATTGGGAGGCACTTTACTTGGCTGGGATGAATCGGAAGGTTTTGGGCCAGGTTTTCGCTGGATGGATGGATTCCCCCTTGGATGACATATTTATCGAATCTTTACTCGCAGATCGCGCCCATCATGTCCCTCGTTGTTCCTGAAGCACACCAACAGTTCCAGGTCCGTTGTCCTTTAGCCCTTGCATCTCCTTTCTATTAACGCCATCCACAGCACATTCTGCGTTTGCTCAACACTAATGTTGACGGAAAGCGGAAGATTATGTACGCCCTGACGGAGATCAAGGGTGTTGGACGTCGTTACTCCAACCTTGTTTGCAAGAAGGCAGATGTTGATCTCAACAAGCGGTATGTGTTTCCACTCTGTGGTACGCAACTCACTCACATAATTGCATAGCGCTGGTGAATTGAACTCTGACGAGCTTGAGCGTATTGTCACTATTATCCAAAATCCCACACAATTCAAAATCCCCACATGGTTCCTGAACAGACAGAAGGACATCGTAGACGGCAAGGACTCGCAGATTCTTTCCAACGGTGTAGATTCGAAGTTGCGTGATGACCTTGAGCGATTGAAGAAGATTCGGGCCCACCGTGGTCTCAGGCACTTCTGGGGCCTGCGGGTGCGTGGTCAGCACACCAAAACTACTGGTGAGCTACTCGTTCCCACTCTCTGCTATCTCTTTTTTGAAGTGTGATGTAGGCCGTCGCGGGAAAACGGTCGGTGTGTCGAAGAAACGGGGTTAGACACGTGTTGTTGCATAACCTCTCGTATTACTCTTATGTTATGGGATTGTGTCATGCTACGGAGCCATGCGATAACTGGACGCAGTGGTGTGTTGTGCGAACACCCTGTTTGATGAAGGCGTCCGTCCAGAGTCGTCATGATCACTATACATACTTCATTTAGCACTCATTCGCACGCATCTTTTCTTCCTGACAACAAGTGTGAAGAACCCTCGAGCTTGAAGTCTATTTTCTGGCTTGCAAAACAACGAACGCTGAGCATTGAAAGGAAATATTATCCGTTAACGGACAGTACAACGGACTCACCGGGTGCCCTACCTCAATCGCAAATCTCAATTATGGAAGACAGGACTGCCGCGCTCCATTACATAGCGTGACCACACTCATATTAGGCAGGTGTGATGCAGGGACTCCGTGCACCTCTGGCAGCTTTGTTTTTTCTAATAAATATGTGAACAAGTGCGGCCAAGTGTCATTCAACCGGACAACAAAAACAGTAACACAAAAAAGACAAACTCCACAGTAAGTTAAGTCACCAATCAAATGTTTCATCATTGTCCTCCTCATCAGAGAATCCTGCAATAACCAATACCTCCTCCTCTATGATTGGAGCTGTAGGCAGTAAGTGTGCACCTGGTTCGTCCAACTCAGCCAGTTCATCCAGCCGGTGATGATCAGATGCATCTAATGTGCGGTAATTTAGCGCAAATTTTATTCAAACTGAGAAAACGTACCAAGACCTTGTCCGCCATGAATGCCACCCATGTAGTAAGCACCATCAATATCCTCGTGAAAAATTTAGGTCGTTTTGGTTTTCGAGGAGAGGCAAAGGCTCTTCGTCTGGGTCAGTGCCATCTGTAAGAGACCTGACAACGGCTGGCACCTGCACAGAGCGCTGCATCGAATCATACAAATCTAAGTAGATTGTCCACGAGTTACGATGGACCTTGTAATCCCAGCGCTGCCAGGCCGAGACACTTTCAAGTTCGGGATCATGCAGGTGGGTCCTACTATTAACTCCTGCCATTGTCTTGGAATGTCTGCGGTGTGCCTAAGCTCGTTGTTATCATGCACCGCGTGCGCTAACGCTCGCCGCATGGTAGGATTGCAGTCAGCCAAGTCACGAGCGATGGTGGTGGATATTTTCTCGTGGGGGCGGTCTCCATGCGTGCGATCGAAGCAGAAGCAAGCTCCCAGACCGCCTTGCTCGTGAGACCAGTTGGCTATGGTATGAGCGATGGTATGAGCTATGGCCGATTTGCCCTTCCCCGCAGTGCCAGAAAACCATAAGACACGTGGCACGTCAATCCCTGTGTTACAGACCCAGGACTTGATGTCGGCCAGAATATCTTTTCGAGTGCCTGGGAGACAATTTTTGGAGGTATTCCTTCCAGCAGCAGGCACGTATTCCATGCCGCTAAGGTTCAAGTCCTCAGCTGGTGTCAACAGTGATTTGATCTCGGAATTGCTGCATAAGTTTGTCGAGAGCCTCGCTGTAGCTTTTGATCGCAGCATCTGTTTTGTTGACGACGTGCTTGCTAAGTCTTCGCCCTATACAGAGAGTCTGAGTCTTGAGCGACGATGCGGTGGGAACGACTCACAGAAACTTGTCACCTCCGAGTAATGGACGATGAAATCGGCACACTCGAGCGTCTGTCACGCTATCTTCCCATATATCGCCAGCATGGATTTCAACTTGGACAATTCCTCCTCTTCCTTGATGAAGGTGTGGACTTCAGATATCTTTGAGAGCAGAAGGGAGACAGCTGATTGAGAATCATCTGCGACGAATAGCTCCGTTCACTTGTGAAGGTAATATAATTGAAAGAAACACACCTTGGACGCGAGATCGAAGTGCACGGAGTCCTATTGCCTTATATGTGATTGTGACATGACTAAGTGAGCGCGGCAGTCCTGTCTTCCATACTCAATACTCCCACGCCAGTCATCTTCATTGAATATTCTAAGATGGTCATTCCCAGGGTCGGTATAACAAGCTAATTTTACCTAAGGATTTTATCACAATCTATATTTTTCATGATCAATTGTGACTCGATCTGACTGTCGTTGTCTTCTATCCCCTACCCTTGAGATATCCTCAAGTCATTCATCATCCACTCACCAACTACAAAATGGCTCAGTGCTCCTGCTCGCATCAAAATCCAGAATCCCCATCGGCACCTGACAAGACCCAGATGATTCCGGTCAACGGTGCCAATGGCGTGAATGGTGCCAGTGCCAACGGTGTCAACGGACACGTCCACCCTAGTGAATTACAGCGGAGGAATCCGTATGGACCCCGCGCATCAGATTTTTTAAGCAACATATCGAATTTCTCCATCATCGAGAGCACTCTTCGAGGTACATTTTGGTTTTTTTGGCACTTTGGCCTGGTTTGACTGGTGATACAGAGGGCGAGCAATTTGCTAACGCCTTCTTCGACACCAAGACAAAAATCGCTATCGCAAAGGCTCTTGATGCATTCGGTGTCGAGTACATCGAGCTCACCTCCCCCGCCGCATCTGAGCAGTCGCGCGCTGATTGCGAGGCAATCTGCAAGCTCGGTCTCAAGGCCAAGATTCTTACCCACATTCGATGCCACATGGACGATGCTCGCATCGCTGTCGAGACTGGTGAGCTCCACAGTTGTTCCACCCTATCTTTGCATTGACTCATTTGCACCCGTAGGTGTCGATGGTGTCGATGTCGTGATTGGCACATCTTCATTCTTGCGCGAATTCTCCCACGGAAAGGACATGACGTACATTACTAAGACTGCCATCGAAGTTATCACCTTCGTCAAGTCTAAGGGCATTGAAGTCCGCTTCTCTTCAGAAGATTCCTTCCGCTCCGACCTTGTCGATCTGCTTTCCATATACCAGACCGTCGACAAGATCGGTGTCAACCGTGTAGGTATAGCCGACACCGTTGGATGCGCGAACCCCAGGCAAGTTTACGATCTCGTCCGTACCCTCCGCGGCGTGGTTGGTTGTGATATTGAGATTCACTTGCACAATGACACCGGCATGGCAATCGCTAATGCTTATTGCGCGTTGGAGGCTGGTGCAACACACATCGATACCTGTACGTCTTATCATTCTATCCTCGCTAGTACGTAGCTAAATATCTCCTTTAGCCGTCCTTGGCATTGGCGAGCGTGTCGGTATCACGCCACTTGGCGGTCTCGTAGCATGCCTGTACGCTGCCAACCCTGAATACGTCAAGGCCAAGTACAACCTCCCCATGCTGCGCGAGATTGAAAACCTCGTCGCAGAGGCAGTAGAGGTCAACGTGCCTTTCATGAACCCGATCACCGGCTACTGTGCTTTCACGCACAAGGCTGGTATCCACGCCAAGGCGATTTTGAACAACCCCAGCACATACGAGATTTTGAAGCCCGAAGACTTTGGTCTCACCCGATACGTGTCGATCGGGTACGTACTTTTTTCCAGGCATTCATGAGTCGTGACAGAGGCTGAAGTTTCGTGTTTGTGATCAGACATCGTCTCACTGGCTGGAACGCTGTCAAGTCAAGAGTCGAGCAGCTCGGACTCAACCTCACCGACGAAGAGGTCTGCTATCTTATCTTTGCCTCACCTATCCACAGTTCACTCATACAGTTTTTATAGGTCAAGGATGCAACTGCCAAGATTAAGGAGCTCGCTGATGTCCGTACGCAATCTATGGACGATGTTGACTCCCTGTTGCGTGTATACCACTCCGGCATCCAGTCTGGAGAACTCGCAGTCGGTCAAAAGGAGGCGCTTGACCGATTGCTTCAGCAGCATCGCGAGTCCTCGAGAGAACGTCAGCAGCCAGAGGCTGTTGCTGCAGCAGCATAAAAAATTAAAATTCTTGTAGTATGAGGTCGTCTTTGCGTGGCGAGAAAAAAAGTTGACCGGGTGGTCAATCTGTATCATGATGGAATTGTAGATCAGTGTCTATCCCTATCTAACGCATGCCGTGAATCAAAGTGACCCTTCGGATCGCCAGACCCAGTAACATGGTTATGATCATGATGAGACTGTAGAGTCTAAACATGTTAAACCCCGAGCACGCGGGGGATGCCGAAGGACCGATAGTCATGACCTCTTTTATATTACCTCCCAACCTTGTCCGAATCTCGTTGATTCGGAGTACTAGGCATCCAGGCAACCCACATACACCTCTATTCACAGCGCTTCGTGTCTTTCTTCGTGATTAGTTGCACCAGCATATCTCGACACGCAGCCCCCTCTCCCAGCGGAGACAGCTCTCACTGAGGCTCACTGTCAGAACCCACCACTTAACATCGGCCTCTGTTGTCTCCCCACCTTACCGGCTTCCCAGCGATGATACATCGTGACTCATTGGTTGCTCTTCCAGTCGAGGTTCGGAGATCTCGGTGTTCATTCAGACCAATCGATATTCAATTTTATTCCTCAGCTTCTCTACGAGATACAACTCTTCTCCATATCTCCATCTTTACCTCTAACATGCAAGACGCTCTACGGAATATTCAGCGCATCTCCATCCTCCTATCGTGCCCAATATCTTATCGCATCTGTAGAAGCCGCACAAATTAGGAACGACTTGATTCCTTCGAAACTATTGCGGTACCCAATTTGCACAATGGACACCTTGGAAGCAGTATTTCGAATATCCAGCGATGTTATATCTTCAACCTGGAGGCCGGAACTTCCAAGACGCCTCTTTCGCTCGCTCACACCCGGGTCTCACGCAAAGCCGCCTTCGTGGACAGATCAAGACCATCCGCTTCCCTTCCTGAAATATTTATTCGCTTGTCCGAAAATCCATCCCCCAGACGTCAACTCACACGAGGGCTATGCCCTCACAAAAGCTGTCCAAGTGGGCTTTGTGCCTCTAATTCGCTTCCTCCTTGATCATGGTGCTTCCCCTCGCTGCAAAAACAGCATGTCGATCATTGTCGCTATTTACCGCAAGGATATCTCACTTGTGCGACTACTTGTGGACAGAGTGGATCGGGAATCTAATCCAGCGGGACAAAAGGAGAAGGGGACGAGGCGAAAATTGGAGGATCGAGCCCAAGTAACACCTGAAATGCTCAAAGTTGCGGTGAAACTCGATGCACGGGATATTGTGGAATATTTGATGAAAGAAAAGGGATGTGTGCCAGATATGCAGACTCTGCTGATGATGCGGTGACATTGGAAATTACAGCCTTTGGCAATAATTGATATCTGATGTATTGATTCACCATGTAGGTCTCATCACCTGCATTCACTGCGGAAACGAGATTTTGTGCAGACCTGGACAGTGTGCAAAAAGGCCACATAAACAGTACTTAATCAGAGGTGGTCAAAAATGTAAATCCCCTAGTGATAGGGTGGTGGGAAGTACCTGTTTCACATTCAAAACTGACACGGGGAAACTAGCTGTTCCAGATTAAGAATACAGGAATTGCAATCTAACCTGGCATTGAATTTTATCTGGTTTATGACACTTGCACATCTGATTTTGCTCGGAATAGCACAGTAATTGTGTTGAATTACCATCAGAATACAAATGTGTATTTACAGGTCCATATGCTCGACAACCATCTGGCACCTCACGACTGACACTCCCTGCAGCTGCTCTGCTCAGTGCTCACAACTGCGACACACAGGTACCAGCTCTGAGCTCACAGCGAACATCTGGGTAGTGCCCCCATGTACCATAAACTAATGATAATCAAGATATCATCAGGTCAAGGTCATTGGAAATAGTAGACAGGTGTATAATGACTCACTTCAACTCTGAATGTCCATCCCCGAGACAGTATGCTATGTTTGCAGGATCATGAGTATAGGCATCTGAGAGCAAAAAAAGGTGCATACATTCACATGCTACTTGAGTTTGGCTTTGCGGTCCCGGAGTCTTGGTCCTTGAATACTTGGGTTCTGCTCTTTCCGTGACATGGTGGGGCGACATATAAAGGCTAGGAGATACTATTGAGCACCAGAAGCATGGTTAAGGTAGGAAAACATACTTGTCGTGCGGTCATGACTTTTAGAACAACCATGACATTATGGGTGAGTAGCTACTAGCAAGAGTGGAAAACCTGCTGCCAGCCTGCATCATGATGGCCCTGGTGTTCATATAAGCGTGATAGAAGACACAAGAGCACTGTGGCTTAGTGAGGCATATAAGGATGAGGACAGACATGATCCATGGAGTCGGTGTGGACTGAGAGCGTGGTGGTCAGACATGAACCATCTTGCTCACACTTGGTGAAAATTTCAACAAGTTTACTTTAGAAAAGTCGACTGTATTCAGACGTTGCAAAGGGTATATTCATAGGCTGGTTTGTGTTGAGATATCATGTATTTACCTAGGCAAAACAGTGATCTGGACAGGTGTTGTGAGATCATTTGAAAAGGCTCTGATTAGAGGTATCACACCTCAAATTCGGCCGCATGTCTGATTTATGTTGGATTATGAGGTGGGTACATTTTGGATCTGATTACTACTAGTATCTCACTCAGATTTTGCTCTGCTCAAAAACTCATTTCCACAGCGATTCAAGCTACATTCCCATATACACTTCTGTGGAAGGCACATCAAATAATGTAAATTTGATTTTCTACTGAGCTCTCAGCTGGTGGAACATTTGATACAAAGTCACTAACTTAGAGTTCATTTGGATATGCACATTTGGCCAACTTAACTAGAGAATAAGTGGCAACATCATTATGACTCATGTGAAGGGGTGGACCAATTTTGGTCTCATGTGACACCAAAATGGTCATGCACATGAATGACCATTTGTGCGGAAGGGGGGGAAGGAGAATGATGTGAAGCAAGGGCGGGCTTGATAGGATAGAGGAGATAATGTATTATACAAAATCTGAACCATTAGTAGCAAGGGGGAAGGAACTGCGAAGTACTTTAAAAGAAATATCAGGAAAACAACCACTTCCTTTTTTATCCTTTTCACACTTAATTTGAGGTTTTCTCACTTACGAGCTCGTTCAATTAAGGGCAAGGTATTTTTGCAAGAAGAATAAGGTGGGCAACACAATTAAGTTGGATTTATGTGGTAAAAGGGGAAAAAGAGGAATACATTGCTAGTACTTAGTTAGGACTAAATGTAATGATGTGCACCATGAACTTGAAATACTGAGTACTGAAGCATTAGTCTAGATACATTCGAACAGATCTCTTGGAACTGAACCTGGCAGGATGAAGACACAGAGGTGGTTCATTTCATTGTGTTGAAGGTTTTTTGATTGTGGTGTTGTTGTTGTTGTTGTTGTTGTTGTTGTTGTTGTTGTTGTTGTTGTTGTTGTTGTTGTTTGTTGTAACTTGTTACAGTTGAGGTGTTGACGGTTGCAATGATGTATACTGTAAGACCTCCAGCAGATTAATATGAGCAGGGAAATATATATTGCCATAGAAGTTTACATGTGGTGGTGGTGTTGTTGTTGTTGTTGTTGTTGTTGTTGTTGTTGTTGTTGTTGTTGTTGTTGTTGTTGTTGTTGTTGTTGTTGTTGTTGTTGTTGACATTGACATGTTCATTGTTGACAGCACTTAGCGTGGTGAATGTGACACATCACACATGTGATGTGTTTGTAAATTTTACATGTTCAACATGAATTACTAACAAGCATTCTCATTGATGGAAAACAGACCAAGCAGACTGCTCAGGTCCTGGCACCTAACTTGTGTGTTGTGCCTTTATTCATACTGTGTAGGAACACTTATTTTTTCAAAGCGTAAAAACTTGACACCCTTCATCCTCACTATCCTTGTTGACAGGGACAGATCTCCACTATGGTCCTGTTCATTCGGCCATGACTTCATTCCTTCAGTTATTGGTATCATTATCTAATACTGTGTTCTTTGCCTTGATACTAACAATTCATTATAGGTGCTGGTCTCGCTTCCTACCCTCATATACTCCGTTGTCACACAATGATGAATCATGACCTCCAGCGCTCTCGTTCTACATCACACATTCACAATCAATGCTGGCTTTCAGATTGTTATCATGATCAAGGAGGTCCGAGGATGTCACTAAGTCATTGTTCAAAGGTGCATGTGCTAATTTCATTGTATTGCTGGTGCTAATTATCCCACCTGTTTATGTTGGCACTCCCACTGCCCTCTAGATGTGAAGACCACCACATCATCCACCACCAGTCACTTTATACCAGTGGTCAAGCCTCCCGTCACCACAACAGTGAGACCTGCCATGACCAAAACCGCCACTGTTACAGTGCAGGACTGAGCGCACTGATTTTGGGCAATGCATGGAGAACAAGTCATTTTAAGTACTACTTATTCTAGTTAATTTACTTGTTTTCACTTTTTCTGTTGAATGACGGCTGAAATCAAGCAAATGAAAAGCATCAAAAGTTGGAAAAGCAGAAAAATAAGCAGGAATTCAGAGATTGAGTGGCTTATTTAAGTAGAGTCTCCTTAGTTCACTTTTCACAAATAAGGCTGTCAAAAGTGCTGTGAAAGCAAGAAAAAAGGAAGTGGTGATTTTCCTGATGAAAGTCAAAGATGAGCAAGAGAGTGTGAAAATTTGACTGTGAGGCCCAGTGCTCCTGGAGGTACTCAATGCGAAGGTGCTTGACATTATTGTGCACAATCAGCAGTGCATCCAGCATTGATCCATCAATCTCGAGCTCCTCGCACAACTTGAACAGCATGGTCCCTGATTCAAGTGTCATTGACCGGTTGAGCAGCATCGTCACAAATGCTTCCTGCTCGAGGGCAGGACAGTGCGCACACTGGAGTGAGTTCCAGCCTTTGTGGGACCCCTCCACATGGTGGAACAGTGACCAACTCAGGTCTTGCCTTCTGCCTTCGACGTGGTAGGAAGCCTGCTCTGCAACAACACATGACTATAACCTATATCTGCTCTCGGTGTAGAGAGTGATATCTCTACAGGCTCGTATCCCCTGATTCCTACATCAACCTCATCCCTATCCACAGGTAGGCGTGACTCTCCCGCGCTTTGCGCTGACCATGCGGTGACTCCCGCACTTGCGCTTTCCTGCGCTTTCATCGGCTTTCATCAGGTCCATCCATCCATTGTCTATTCGGTCCATAGGTGCGTATTACATACATATATTGGTTTTCTGAGAGCTGCTGTCACCTTACATACATCTGTGACATTCTTTGGCCGCTTTCCCGCGCTTCCGCGCTCTTTGGCCGCTTGAGGATGCTTTTCGCTCGCTCTTCACTAGCTATCCTCTATATCTACTGGGCTTTCTGACAGAAGGTTCCACACTGAGTTACTCATGAGAGATTCATACTATGCCTTAGAGCGCACCTATCTATAGCTAGGAGTCATACTCTCCTTCCCTTATCAGTCTATACATCCACTTGATATCTATTCCTCACTTCTCGCACGATCCAAGACCTCTCCCAGCATTTGTGCTCTACAAGCACCACTTTCTCGCACTTCGTGCGCATACCGCGCATTTCCCACACCCTCTGCTTACCTCGTGCGTTCTCGCGCTTCGAGCCCACTTAGTCGCCCAACTTCTGCCTGACTCAGCTTCCCCTAGAGGCCGAACATATTGCCCTCACATCAGAGCAGATTCCTCTAAGTCTGTTCGTTGTACCCACATTGGCATCTGCTGAACTGCTTCTGCCCTCTATTCTCCTCCTATCTCCTATGCTCTCGTGCTCCCTCTCATCTCGATCTCTGAACCTGCCCAAACTGGCACATCTGCCTCCCGACCAGACCTCTCTGCTACAAATACCCCCCAACATATGCGACACTCCAGGGTCGCAAAAGAACATGCCGGCGAGATGGTGGTCTGGGTGCTAGTCTGTCATTAGACTCGTACCAGACACTGGCACCTAGGTGGGGATACATTCTTCTTCTTCATCCTCCTCCTCATCACTCACGACACTTGCTTCTTCTACCCCATGTCTCCCTGGTTCTTCCTTGTCTTCTAATCCCTCTGCCCTCTCTCTTTCCATCTCATCCAGTAGGGATCCTGTGCGCGGTATGAACAAGCGCAATTGTTGTGCGTGGACCCACCCTGCGACGGGAAAACTCTCCAGAGTGGTGAGTTGATACAAGTTTGCCCGCTTGGCAATGACTCGACATGGGGCGGACCAGCGGGGTAGTAGTTTTCGCGAGGTGGAGAAGTTACTGTCGATATCGTTAGCGTAGACCTGTACTAGTTGTCCCTCCTTGAATGTAACCTCTCCTGCGCTAGACGCTAATACTCGTTGGTCAAAAGCAGCCTTTCGTCGAATTGTGTTAGCTATGTTGTTTGCGAGGGCGTCTGTGCGTTGCTGTGCGACATAAGCTGCGTGAACCTGTATATCTGAATCAG